CGGGAGCGAAATAGCCCGAGGCTGGAATCGAAGACCTGAAGCGACTCTTCCGACACAGAGTTTTCATGCTTTTAGTCCTCCACCAATGCAGGAGGGAGAAGCTTCGCGGATGAAGGCAGGTCCTCAGACCATCAAACAGTGATCGGGCACAGCCGGCAAGCATTCTCGAAGACAGCCACGGAGAAATCGAGCCGCAGAGCAATATAGAGTTGCGGGCCACGTAGGACACTCATGGGTTTTCCCTTTGCAGCCTGGCCTCGGCCTCGGCCTGGACTTCAACCGTGACCAGGGAGCAAGACCCCATGTTTCGTATTACCCAGCTCAAGCGCCAGTCGAGCAGTCTTGGAAATTCCTGTATACGAGGGGTCGCTGCTCGAGTCCAGCGAGCGTCAGGGGGGCAATCAATGGCGGGGCGAGAGGCCAAGAGAACTATAGCATTCTCGCTAGGCTGAAGTCGCCCATGGCTCCGGGCGCCAACCTGGGATACAATGGGACATGGTGTTGGCCGCCTCAATGGCGTGGATGGGCATGGGCATGGTGGTGAGAGCGCGGCAGATCCGGCCCGTCAGTTGGAGATGCTGCGTGACAAGGCGGTTATTATTCTACTGCGTGTAAGACGACGGGTGGGATCGGCACCATTCAGACTAGGGATTTGGAGGAGGGATGGGCACGCATTTTGTGTGGTGCGGCGGTCGTAGTGCGAGGTTTGGGTTGCACAAACTTCGCAATGCGACGGACCCCAAATCCCCATCTCGCTTCCATCCGGCCTTCTAGAAGCCTGCCTCTGTTGTTCGGCGGGTGGCACATTGCAGCAAGAAGCTCTCTCGATCCTGCGCCCGCGCCCTGCGCCGCACTCCTGCCTCTATACGCACAGCAGGCTATGCAGGTGATGCGTGTGATGCAGGTGACGCAGGCGATGCCTTTTTGGCTCTCCTGAATATCCCGCACCACCACCACCCACAGCCTATCGCGGGCGGTCCATTGCATGCAGAGAACTTGTCCCTCGCCTCGGGGCGTCCTTAGTCCTGTCCATGTCAGACCACTCCAGCTGGGTGCTCATCCTTATCCTCGGGGCCGTCGTGTTCGTCTCCAGTATCTTTTTGCCCCGCACACCGCGGCTTCACGCTGTCGGGCTGTGCAGGAGCTGGCTGGATGCTGGCCTGCATTTACGGTGATCTATGCCACGGGTGGCTGGTAAAGAGGGCCAGGCTGAATTGCCTCAAATGCAGGATCGCCAAGGAGGATGAGAGGAGGGTGGGGGCGTGTGCAGCGTGCACAGCGTGCAGGCCACCCCACCCCCCTTCATCGTGTTGCCCTCGGCTATCGCGCATCACTGAGGTGTCAAGCTGTCAGACAAGAAAGCAAGGCAAGCTTGCATCTCCCAGTCTGGTTGAGATCTGGATTTGGTAGGTGGCTGGCTGGCCGTTGGCTGTTGGCTGTTGGCTGTTGGCTGTAGGCTGTAGGCTGTAGGCTGTAGGCTGTCTGTTGGTCTCGTACGAATTCTCATTCCCACGGAGGACCCCGCTATGACATATCGGCGTCGACTGAACCGCAAACCGTGACTGCACTAAGGTTTGGGAGCTTGGGCCACCTCGGAGCTCTTCCCTGCAGCCACAAGTCAGAAATTTTCTTCCTTCCACTTGGAGCAGCCCTGAGCATACGCGCAACACATACACACACACTCACACACACGCACATCCTTTCTGTTTCTCTCCCAGACATCCCACTCCCATCTCCCCCCACGACCACGCCGACTTGACTTCCGTCCAAGCGCCACCACCCTACTGCTTCTGGCTGTCACTTTGCATAAGTAGCAGCAGATCGAGTTGAGCTTCTCCGCAGCTTGAGGCTGTCAGTTCCTAGCTCCTCGGCGTCCACCCTGACATCTCCGCTGTGCTGGCTACGGCCATGCCCGTCACCGAAGACGGGCAAAAGGAAGGATTTGCTGCTAGATGATCAACCGGGATCAAGAAAGCCCTTCCCTTATACAACACGACCATTGAGTTGGGGGCACGCTTCTCTTGCAGGACATTCCAGAGCATCTCTCCCCGTGCCACTCGGATCCTGCTCAGGAACTGCTCGCTTGCACCTGTGCAGAGTGGCTGCTTATTTGCACCCATCCAACTGGACGTATGCTCGTGCGGCAGACATGACGAGATTCCTACGTGTATGGCCATGTTCGATCGAACAAGGCGTCGTCCACACGGGCTACTGCGCCTGAGCCAACATCAGCCAGGGCTGCTTCAAGACCACCTCGATTCCAGGATCTCCCTGGGTGCCACACTCCTGTACCAAACGCAGCCGCTGTCCGGCGAGGCTTTCAAGTCATCAACATCTCCTCGGTCTAGCAACCGCAGGGCTGCAAGTGCCGCCACTGGCCCTAGTATGTGATAGGGACCTTGCTAGACCGATGAAGACGGGGTGTACAAGACGCGAAAAAGCTCCGTCAGACGGTGCCAGAGTCTGCAATGCAATCCAAAGGTAAGCCCTGCCAGATATCACGTGTTTACACGTGTATCGACGTCTACTGTCCTATCTCTCCGTTGGCGTAGACGTTTTCGCACTGGCATAGATGAACATAAGACCCGTTGCTGGGCGCCCGGTTTTAAGAGATCGTCTTGACTCTCCTTGAAACTCCTGGGAATCAGCTGTGGCCACATTCTCTCCTTCTCGATCCCTCTGGGTATCTCCTTTCGTCCCCGCAGTGTGTTCCTTTCCCAGGCCCTGACCACATCAGCCTGGGGGTCGAGAGTCCTCTCTGCACTGGTCGTCACAATGCCGTAAACCGGCTACTCAAAACTGCGGGCGATCTTCCGATTGTCCGATCAGTGGTCACATCGCTTCACAGGACGAGGTTCATGGTCTTATTCTCGCTGATGGGGTCAATAAGCCACGAGATATACCACAACATCTTAGCTGCATATCCCACGTTTTAGGGTGGAGAGCTCCCTGGCACAAACTTTGTCAGATGGGGGCCTTGTAACCTCCGTCCACATGCCCTGATCAGCTTTTTAAGTGGTGTCCCCCAGACAGTCAGCACAATGCATAGCTAGACTGGTGACAGGGCAGCCATTGGAATACTACTGGCGTCAACTATCGCTAGCTGTGCCAGGCGTGCTAGCAGTCTGCTGGCTCTGACCGAGCTGTAAACGATGTGGCTCGCCTCTTGGAAGGAGTCAAGTCCTGCCGCACTACCGCGGGTTGTGGGGGGCTAATCGGTACTTGAAGAAGCAGCTATAAGCTCTCGCACTCTCGTAGGCTCGTTTTCGTATTATCCAGTCAAACGGCTGCAAATCCGCCTGGATTCTATTGGTGCTGTTGTGTGTCACTGCATCTGAATTTCAGTGTCAACGCTATCGTCGTGCGCGGAGAACCTCATGTTCGCACTTAACTGCGTCGCAAGAAGCAATGCCATCCCGTCCCAGACTCTCGGGCCAGGCAGTCAAAACAGCAAGTACAGGATGATTGATGCACCCGCAAGACCCCAAGACCAAGCCAGGGCAAGTCCAGCCGGGCCGCGGTCATAGCTCTCTCACGAACGGGCGGGCGGCTGGCAGAGGTCGAGATTGTGACCTCGCTCCACGACTCAACCACGCTGAAGCTCATCTGCCTTGCCATCCATCCGGGGGGCGCCTGCAACAGAACAGCTCGAGCACTCTCTTACAAGCGAGTGGAACCCTTTGCACTCGGTGCAATCTCTACAACAAACCCCCCCCCCCCCAATCCTCGGGCCCTCCCAAAAAGAAACATCTGTGTCGGAGCGCCCGTTTCGGCCAACATCTGATTGCAACCTCGCGGTACCAGCACCACCACCCTACCCAAATTGCCGGGATCGACTGACTGAAGTGGCACCCCCCCATCCCCTTCCCCCAGGGGTGGTGGGGCGGCCCCCTCCACCCAGCAGCGTTGCATTCTCTAGATAAATCCACGGGAGGTACGTAATACCCGGCTACCGCTGTGAGATGGTTGCCGAAGGTGATGAAGGGAAAAAGCAAACCCCAAAGCTACGTGCGCTGCAGCATGGCTTCGACCAGCTCGGTGCGTAAGGAGCTCCATGCTGTTGGGAAGTCGGCAGATATGTGGCGAGGTATTGGATGGTGTGGTGCGAGTCATCGCTTTGGGGTGAGGGCGAGAACCGAGCCCACCGTGCGGGCTGTCGATGCCACCCATAACCATAGTTCGTTGAACTTGATATGATAAGGCTCATTGTTGTGTCATTAAAAAGCGTAGAATATGCCGGGACTGTCACGACGCATCAAATAGCTATGGGCTGACCATGGCGGTGCGGCTGCAATTGTATTCAGAACCGGACCAACCCCTAGGCTACTAGCAATATCGATCCCCAGGAGTCGTGCCTATGATATAGTATCTTCTTCGTAGTCTATCGCTGTGCACCAGTCAATCTCGAGGTCTCTCAACAGTTGACTCCTCTGCCCGCTCTCTTCAAAACTGAGGGTCCAGTGACTACCTAAGGAAGAACAGGAAGGCCTATGGGAATGGTAAACTAGCAGTTTATATCCACACAGGCACCTCCAAACGTAACAAGTAACTTAAGCAATGTGATCAGAAGGGACCTGAGCACAGTGATCCTGTACAAAAAGATGACGAGTGGTCACCCCATGGTCCTCGAGACATCGTAAGTGGATCGATATAAGACTCGAATATGAATCGACAAGGAGGCTTGACTGTGGCAATTCTCTTGGGTGGCGCTCAACATTTGGACAAGTTGAAAGGTCCGTGGACATATGCAGCTCGTTGAGATGAGGTAGTTGACCTGGAAAGCAACAAGACGCTCCGTCGAATGACGGCCTTTCCCACAGGTGCAGAAGAGGAAAGCATGCAAGGGATGGCTAATAGTCCTCAACCACTTCATCCCAGCCAGACAAGATTCCCTCCCGAATAGAAACCTGCCTTGCTGTACCCGTCAAATAAGGTGAGCGTCGTTGGGCATGGGACCTCCGAGGTAAGGCTCCTCGTGAGACTCTCGAGTATTCCCCGTCTTAAGAGGAGTACTGGGCGATGGCGTTAAGATAACCGCCACACAACATTTGTCGTGGATCGAAACCGAGGTCTTCGTACGTGTCGCTGGTGCGGAATTTCAGCACTTCTTCGATATCCCCGTGGATCGGCTCCATCGGCGCGATGGCCGCAGGTGCGCCGTTACTGACACCAGCCGGCGCCACCTCCGCAGCGGCCAGGTCGGCGAGATGCTGTAGGCTTTGACTAGCAGCGGCTTCAGTGGCGTCATTGCCAGGAGGGCGCATGGTGTCTCGAATTCTGTTGCGAATCGGCCCATCCCAACTCGATGGAGCAATATTAGCCTCCAAAAGCTGATTTAATAGCTCCTTAGCCTCGTCCTCTGAATCCTTGAGGTTCGCTAGCTCGAGTAGACATAATGCGACCAAAGATGTGAAGTGATGGTTCAATGGACTGATCATCTGAGAGTGTGTAGTCAGAAGCCCGACGGACTCTTTCACGGCCCACAGAACATCTGTCAGTAACGAGGAGGGCGTAAACAAGAACGCAAGCAATCGACAATGCCAGTATGCGAGATGCAGCACAGGTTCCACGTCCGGATGAATATCCCCGGGGAAATGGGCACGCCACATCTCCATGTTCAGGTGGAAGGTAGCTGCGGCCCTAGCTGCAGCTCCCGGGGTGGAGTTCGTGGGCGCAAGCACTGACGCGGGCACCCAGTGTCCCATGATGTACGACAGCACTAGAGATGTTAGTATAGTGCAATGTGTCTGTTTCAAGTAGGACTCACAGGTGAAGCGAAAGTTGGCCTCGCCCACGATCGGCTTGAGGTTCGATGGCAAGACTATCGTATCGCCGGAGATTATCAAGGGGGTTGCCGTGGAAAGGGCATTCCATCGATCTAGTATGACCAGTGTCCACCACGCCCGGATCCGTATGCACTGGTCTGATTCTACATTGGAGACACCATCTAGTGCGGTAGCCTCTTGTGGGACTGACATAGCGTAGGCCACACCAGCGGCTCGGCCAAGCAGGGAGGCCTTGGCTGGTCCTCCATGCTCTCCGACGAGTGAGGGTGGGCCAGCGTTGTCGGTGTTGATGATCATCAGAATCAGACACTGCAAGTGAATCAGGCCAGATATTTGAGACTTCCTCCCACCTTCAACTTCGAAGTCGGCGAGAAGTCGGTTGGCATTTGCTAGACTGCCCTGTACATTGCGCACGGCGAATGATCCAATGGCAGAGTTGAGGGCCTCGATGAACGCGCTGCGCAGTGTAGGGCTGCAATGTGCCAGATGCGAATTGAGGGTGTCTTTGGAACTGGGCAGGAAGGGCAGGACGTGGTGCACGATGCCCAGATAGCTGTGGGCCACGGTCAGGTTAGCCAACATGGATCCGAGGACTTGCAGAGACCCAAGAGAACTTACGCATTGAAAGCATCATCCTCGACCCCGGGGAGGAGATGGTCAGGCTGCGGAGGCTGCGGTTCCTCTTCTTGAAGGGGTTCTATGTTGGGAGGTTGTGGTGGTGTCGTGCTAGTACTCTCCCTTGGCAGAAGGGGCTTGAGACCAAGGTTGTTGGCAGAGTAGGATGCTTGTTGAGAAAAGGCAGGGCGGGATTCCGACGGCGGCCCAGACTGCCTTAGTGGGGAAGGAGTAGAGAAGTTTTCGGAAGAGATATGAGCGTACGGACGCTTGCGAGACTCCTCTACCTGTGCGGAAGCAGCAGCAGCAGCATAGCTGTCCGCGAGATCACGCCTCGGTAATGCAGCCAGCTCTCCGGCTAGAGCGTCTGCCGCCGCCTGTCCTCCCAGCTTGCCCTCGATGGAGTGGATACGATCGGCAAGCTCTTTTATATAGCCTTTGGATGGACCACGCTTCTGTGGAACTCGACTGAAAAGACACCGTACATTTGAGCGCCTACAATTAGAGCAAGCCTCCTCACCTGTCTCTGAGGCAGCGTCGCATTTCACCTTCTTTCTCCGACACTCATCGCAGGCCCTGCTGACCTTTGATCTCTTGCGGGGAGGTACGTCGCCGACACCGTATTGGGCTTGGCCCAGCCCCATGGGAACAGGCGGACCGAGGTGAGGTGGTTGTTGTTGGTGGTCCATGTACTGGGCATGGTGTGCATGGGATGGGTGCTGCCCATGTTGAGACAGCTGAGGTTCCTGTTGAGCCTCTGGGTGGGGCATGACATGCTGGAGACTCTGCTGTAAATCCTGTTGTATGCTGGGCTGGATATTTTCGGGGAGCTCAGGCAGCACATGCTCTTGGCCCTGCATGTGGGCGTCCGGCGTATCCTGAAGCTGTTGGAGGCTCTGCAGGTTGGGTTCTTGGGGATCAAAATCATCCTCCTCCGGATTCGAGGTGCCGACCACGCCAGAGATGGCCTGGGACATCTGGGCAGCAAGCTGCAGTTGCTGGATCTGGTCCTCGCCTGGGCCACCCAGCTGAAGATCCTCAGCATTCACATCTGGGCGAGAAGCCCGCTGAGGCGGTGTTGGTGGCTCTACATGCTGCTGATCTGGCGGGTCGTCGAGCTGCCGATCGCCTTGAAAGAAGGAAGCATCAGAGTCTTCGACGCGAGGAGATGGGTATTGCTGGAGCGGTTGTGATGGATGAGGCTGTTCGGGCTCTTCCTGTTGGATGTCCTCGGGTACAGCCTCCACCTTGGGAGCGGAGGGCTCCTCAGGCACCTCTTTGTCCATCACAGAAGACCTTCGGACAAGGTCAGAAGGCTTCGCATGTATGGGCGTGAAAGAGAATAAACCAGGTCAACTCCGTACAAGTACAAGCGTGCCAGCTCAAGTGGAAGATACGGTGGTGTCCTGGAACGGATCTTCACCTCGAGCCTTCACATCAGCGGCAATGGGGCACCCTTGGCAGATCCGAGGCGATGCAGAGCCTGGACGAAGACGAGTCCTGCACCTCGTCAAGGGACGAGGCAGTGACAGTGACCTTGTCGATGCGTCAGACAAGCTTGCCAAAGGACGCGACGTCGCTTGAGGAATGTGACATGTTAGCTGGTGGCACGGAGGAAAACAGCGAGACGCGAATCAGTTCAAGTGAATGCTTTTTTTTCTTGCTTGACATTTCAGTAGCTCTAAATGATACACAGACATGAGCAAAGTCATCTTGGCTCGCTTGAGGGATGTATGACGGTGATCAGGTTGTGGCATGCTTGATCAATGGAGTGAAGCGAGATGCATGATGGGAGGTGAGCGCATGGACAAGCAAGACGTACCTGGGCCTGGGGGGGGAGACTTGCGTTGATGACAACTCGGCGATGGGAAAAAGTGATGATCCAGGTGAATGTGTGTTTGAGACTGGCGTACGGCCTGGGGATGGGAAGTCGGGTCGACCGTAATTCGGCGGCTGGCCAAAAAAGTGGGCTGTCCTACCACAGTAGCGCGGCGCCGCTTACATAACAACAGGTCTGGCTCGGGTCTAGTCCTCGCTCGCCCTTTGTACTGTACTCGATCCGACTTGCACGAAACACTTGATTGAGCCAGCCAGCCCAAGATAAACTCCTCCAAAGCACTGTTTGGCATCGAGCATGCTTGGATGATGACTCGGAGGAAAATGAGCCTGACTATCAATTCTCTCTGTTATTCTCCTCTTCTCCCGTTGTAAATTCCAGGGCCTAGGTGCACGGGCGGGCTCCTCACCTATTCGCGGAAACATTTCCTCCTCTCTGGTCGGCTTCTACATGTAGGGCACGATCACCGTCTTCCACCTTGTCGGAGTTCTTGCATACTACTTCTTCTCTTTTGTTCATTGTAACCATCTCTTCAAGTGTATACTGTATGCTTCTCTGAGGGAGGAAGCAAACGCAGTAGATCTGATCTGATCTACCAGGGATCAGCCTCTAGAATTGCCTCCCACAAGTTTCATCTGTCCAAAGCTTCTCAGCTGCAGCCATGCCGACGGTTCCACGAATCTGGAACTTTATTGACATTCCAGGAGTTCATTGATTATTTCCATTGGGACCTTTGACTCGGCCATCGCAACTAATTGAGGAAATATGGTTCTTAGAGGAGGTCACGACAGCTGCATAATAGCTGCTCAATAAAGCAATCCAGACTGCGGGTTATGCCGGCATTTCCCCCCACCAATATGCGCGTTCTCCAGGCTGTGACTTTACTTGCTCATATTATTTACTAGCTCAGGCGCTCCGGCTAGTCGGTCTGATGGTTTAGACATCAGATATAAGCTTTTTGCTTCCGGGATACCACCCGTAGATCATATGGTGTTTTGCCTATGTTTTGCTACCCCTAGGGCCCGAGACGTTTCAACTGATCTACTGAGTCGAGGGAGTACCACATTCCTGGTGCACTGCCTCCTTACCAAACAGGTAGACCTTCCAAACCGGACACTTCTAGACACTTGCCCCTTGGGCATTGGAATTATGCGGCTGCGCGCGGAGCTTATTACTCGCCGGCGCCTCATCTCATGAGTGAGAGCGAGGGGAGCGACAGATACATATACATGGAGGCTTTCTCACTGGTCTTATGTCGACCCGCGATGCGTCACGTCCTGTAGAATAGCAAAGTCCCGGATATAAGCCCCACTCTCTTTCAAAATGCTGTCAGCACTGCTCGGCGTGGTTTTCCTTCTTTTCGTAACACCTAATCTGGCATTAGAATCGACCCTCGTCCAGGTCGAGCACCTCAGATCGGCACCGGCACCATGGGCGATCTCCCGCCCAGCAGACCCGGGACAGCGGTTCCAGCTGTCGATCGCGCTGGACCGGAGCAGGCACGTTGAGGACAAGCTCTACGCCGTATCCACGCCTGGTCACGAGAATTACCGCAAGCATCTCACAAGAGCTGAAGCTCAAGCGTTGCTAAGCCCGGACAGCGAGACCTATGAGAAGGTCAGGAGCTGGCTCATCCGCAATGATGTCAACCCTTCTGATATCAAGGGCGACAAGCATTGGATCCGGGTAACCACCACCGTGGAGACAGCTAACCACATGCTGGATTCCGATTTCACCTGGTACAAGCATATGGGAAGTGGAAAAGAAGTGCTGAGGACGTTGAGATACTCTCTGCCGCAGGAGATGCAAGCCGATATCTCACTGATCACCCCTACCACAAGATTCTGTTCGCACCCGATGATGCATCAGCCTGTATCATCCCACAGCGCTGAATCCGAAGCTGATACACAGCTCCCCGAGGAATTGCGAAGGCTGAAGACGAGAGGCTTCGCCGGCGCAAAGCAGTTCTTGACTGAACAGAAAGCCGTCGCCCAAGTCGATGCTTCGTGCAATACCACGATCACCCCGAGCTGTGTCCGTGCTCTGTACAACGTGCCATCGAACTTGACTTTGAGCAAAGCCCGAGGCATCGGTATATACTCTTCACAGAACCAGGTCCCAAAGTTCGCGGACTTTGCTCTCTTCGCCAAGACCGTTGACCCGACCGCACCGCCAACCAACTTCTCCTTCCTGAGCATCAACAACGCCACCACCGACCAGAACCAGAACCAATTCAGCAACCAGGAGCTCCAGTTCGACGTCCAATACACCGCCACGCTATCCAGTCCGATACCAAACATCGTGACCGCAGTGACCGGCGACGGGCCCATCCAGCCAGAGCTCGGCAACGTCCCAGGAGACTCGACCGAGCCATGGCTCATCTGGCTTGACGCCATGCTCGCCCTGCCGGACGACCAACTCCCTCACACCATCACGACGTCGTTCGGCGAGAACGAGCAATCCCTGCCAAACGGGTATGTGCAGCAGATCTGCAACCAGTTCGGCGCGCTGGGCGCCCGCGGCGTGACCATGTTCGCGGCAAGCGGCGACAGCGGTCCTGGGAACGCGTGCGTGTCCAATGACGGGACCAACAGCACGACCTTCAACGCCGTGTTCCCGGGGTCCTGTCCATTCGTCACAGCCGTAGGGGGCACGCGCGGCACGACCCCGGAGCGCGCTCTATTCTTCTCATCAGGTGGCTTCTCGAACCGCTTCGCCAGGCCGGCCTACCAGGACCAGGCCGTGCCGGGGTATCTGAGTGGGACGATCAAGAACCAGTTCCAAGGTCTGTTTAATGCGTCTGGCCGTGGATTCCCGGACGTCAGCGCGCAGAGCTTCAACGCCACCTTTGCTGACCAGGGCAAGGTCCTGGTCGGCTTCGCTGGTACGAGGTATGTAGTCCTCCGCTCTTCTTGGTGTGCAGTGGTGTGAAGAGCACGTAGCTGACCACGTCTATAGTGCGGCAGCACCCATCTGGGCGGGCATGGTAGGGCAGGTCAACGCTGCTCTTATTGCGCAGAACAAGGCACCCATGGGATTCATCAATCCGTGGCTGTACGGCGCTGGATTGCCTGCGATGAATGATGTGACCACTGGTGCGTCGGTTGGGTGCAACGGGAAGAGTGGATTCGGCCAAACATTACCCCCGGAACTTGGTGCGAAGGTACTGCATTTCCCAGGTCGCTTTTTCGAACGGTTTCGCAATAAATCTTGCTGACATTGTACACAGATCGTACCGAATGCGAGTTGGCCAGCAGTTACAGGCTGGGATGCTGTGACTGGTCTCGGGACACCGGATGTGGGCAAAATGTTGGCCCTAGCAATGGCCTCCTAGAGATGGTCAATATGCCTTCTTGGTTTTTCTTGTTGGAAGGTACCGGCGTTCATAGGAAGTACAATAGTATAAACTCACCTGAACCGTACATATGAATTGTTTGCACGCAGACTAAGCCACGTGGGCAAAGACGAGCATTCGCTTGAGCCTGTTCCGGAGCAGTTGTGACCTCTCCTGCACCACGCTGTGTGGCAATGTCCCTGCTCGATTCTCTTGCGCACCACCGTACCTCTTGGGTCCGTGCCGCCGCTGCTGTTGCTGTTCGGAGCAACGCCAGGTATCTTCCAGGCATACCATGTAGGAGGGCGATTTGCCGTCTCGTCCATTGGTGGTTGTCAGTCAGCATGTCTCACGTAGACCTCTCGATCTCTTCCTCGCCAGCCTCCTCCCTCCTCTCATCCCAGAACCCCTTCCCATAACTGATCAAGATCTCCTCCCCCTTCGCAATACCACCACTCTTCCCCTTAGCCTTCTTTCCGACCGGCAAGACAAACACAGCCATGCCCTTCTCGCTCCTCCTGAGGTCCCAGACCTCGCAAAACTCGGCATTCGGCTTCGCGGCCCCAGGTACACCGCGGTAGTCATTCACAAACCTAGCCTCATTACCCATCCTGGCCGCGTCTACTGCGACGCCCGCGTCCCGGTCCAGCCAGAGGTCATAGTCTGAGGAGGCGTGTGCCGCCGAGTCGGCCGGGTGGTACTCGCCCAGGTAGGGCAAGATCAGGCTGCCCGGCGGTAGGGCCCGGGCGGCGAAGAGGCCGGCTTGACCGCAGGCTGGGTGCTGGGGGTCGTTGATGGGTGTGATCTTCACGTGTTGGCAGGGCCCGAGCTTGAGTTCGCGAGGGATTTCTCGGAGGACCTCCCCGTCGGCAGGTGGCTTGGTGCGGCAGGACAGCAGCTGGGTTTTGGTCAGGGACGGGGAGTAGACCGGTGAGGTGAGGTATGGGAAGCCTTCAGGCCAGTTCTTTGGCAGGGGCTGCTTTGAGACTCCCATGTTCTTGGTTGCTCGCCGAGAGACTCCTGGGCTTGATAGGGTTGATATGTGGCAGAGTTCTCAACGCTTTGATTCGTGTTAGTAGGTGAGGTGCCCAGGTCAGATATTGCAGTTTGACCGCAGCGGGCCGCGCCGCTCACATCGGAATTGAGTTTGGCGAAATGCGACTTCGCGGCATTCTGAAGGCAATTTTCTCGGCCACAAGCACGCACCCAAGAGCTCTTCACCTTGGACATATACCAAGACGTCCTCACATCTATCACAAAATGCATTGATCATCATCCTAAACGCCAATGGCCCTTCAAAATAATAGCGCACTGCAGGTCATTTGGTTGCGTTGACAAGCTGCCTTGCTTCCAATTGCTAGAGGGGCATTCTTTTCAAGAGAACGGTTTCCTGGGACTGGAACACATACTTTCATATGAGCAGTGATCAAACTCACTCGACAGGCTAGCCTACCTGATCTACAATCTGAATGCACTCGGAGCTATGCGAGTGTAATACCAGTCCGGAGTTGATGGTCCATCCTGCTGTGCGGTAAGCTGCTCTGGTCACCATGACGTAACACCTCCTTCACCATCGATGATGATCACTCTGCATATTGCAATTCCAATTCCAATCCCTCAAAACTGATTCGCACTCGAAAACTCTCATCCTCTCGTGAAGATTTTATCGATTTGCCAAGTGTTACCTCAAAATCAATAAATCCGCACCTACCCTGCCGTTCTCAACTCACAGACATGGCATCCCTCCGATCAATCCGCGGCGTCCTGCGAGCGCCCGCCCAAGCCCGGCCGCAGACACTCGCCCCTCGCCAGCCGTTCCTCTCGCCAGCCAATATCCAGGCCTTCCACAGCTCGCCCCGCTCAAAATTCCCCTACAAGGACGACCAGGACCGCGAGTCCCTCAAGCCCAAATCCACCGAGGGCAGCAAGAGCGGCACAGACGACGCCGCGGCGCAGTCCGACGCCGCATTCGACCCCTCAACAACGAGCCCCGAGGGCGCAAAGGAGCAGGCCGAGGGTGAGGGCCACGGGGAACCGCTCGAGGTGAGCGGCGCGAGCCACGAGAAGTCAAAGCCCCTCGGGAACTCGGGCGGAGGGGAGATGCAAGGGACCACGAAGCAGGAGAACAAGAAGTCGAGCCATGGCCACAGCCCCGAGAAGAAGGGCAAGGTGTAGATCGCACCGATAGGGGATGGGTTGAGCCTCTGGTGGCCAGACTGCAAGTGTGGGTGGACGACAGCGGTATTGGGGGTTCCCAGTGGCAACAGGGCAGAGCTGGCAGCACGTAAATGTATGTGTACCGGTCGCTGGAGGTTCCCATGGTACTGCATCGTTGATAATGTGGGAAATTTCATCATAAGACGTTCAAATGCATCAACCGTAACCCTCAGCGCCTTCGCTCATCTATGCATCTGTAACCACACCCGCACTGCCATGTTTAATTATACAAGCCGTGCGGGTCGTCATCCTCTTCATCGTCTTCCTCAGCCGGCTTGCCCTCCTTCTCCCACATCTTCTTGATCCTGTCCGACGTGTCCTTTCTCCGCGGGTCGTACTTTGTCAGGTCTGTCCTGCACATGGGACAGGTGCCCTTGAGCTGCAGCCACGGGCCGACGCAGTCCATGTCGAATCGGTGGCTGTGGTGGCACTGCAGCTCCACGACAAGCGGGTACTTGTCGTCGAGGAACTTCTCGGCGCAGATGGGGCACGAGTCGTCGGGCTTGAGCGTCTTCTTGGGCACCCGGTCCAGCGCGTCCAGGAACTCCTGCGACACGCCCGCCACCTCCCTGGGCGGGTTGAGGATGTCGCTCTCGAGGCCGTCGAAGAGCGACTGGAGGAAGTCGCGGTTCGCGGCGTCGGGCGCGTCCTGCGCGAGCGTGCTGAGCTGGTCCTGCACCAGGCGGAACAGCCCGGCCATGTCGACGGGCGTCGGTACGGCGTGGGGGTTATGCCGCTGCGTGTCGGCCGAGGAAGGGTCTTCGCTTAGTTGGTGCAGCTGCGAGCTGAACGAGGACATGTCGATTTGTCTCCGGCGGGTGGGAGGGGCTGCCTCCTTGATACCGTGCTCGACTGCGAAGCCCTCGGTCAGCATCTCTAGCGGCCGAGGTGCGAGTTCACGCCTGTTGCTTACCTTCATATTGGGTCGCCATGGTTGTGCTGCTGTGAAAAGAGTGGGGAAACAGTTCTCAAGGTCTAGCAGAGCATCTCATGTGAAGCAGAGTTGTATCAGGCTTGGTTCAAGAAATCAACAGAAAAAAGAAAGGCGGATGTATAGCTTGCGAAGGAAAGCTGCAGGGGCTCACGTAAACCCCGATGCCTGGCAGGCAAACAAACGATGACGGATGTGGGTGGCTTTTGGGTGTCAGATCGGAGCCGAAGGTCAGAACCTTATCTCAGAAACGCGACGATCAAATTGGGTGCAAAGTACAGTGATTGGACCATCTGCAAGTATCAGACAGCCTCAACACATCATGATGAATGGCATCGGATGTGTCTGTATACGTGCAGCAAACATCGCACATAGTATGAGATGCTGGAATTTAGGTTTGGGCTTCCGGAGCCGGGACGGCCGGAGTTGCTAGGATGCTAGGCCCTGGTTGTCTGCTACGACTCGAGGGTGGGAAACTGAGTTGCAACGGACCTGAAGTCGTCATCGGCACATGCCTATGCTCTCAACTTGGTCGAATACCATAAGTACTGGTCGGTCATCAAACTCTAATTCATCATCTTCATCAACCAGGGTGGTTTTCCAAATCCAGACATCAAGTCACCTGTTGAAAAATGACTTCGGCAGCAGTCTTCGGTTGCACCGGAGCCGTCGGCTCCAAGATCCTGGATACACTTCTCACGTCGGAGGCCTTCTCATCCGTCAAGACCATCTCAAGGCGAGCCCCGCCCTCGCAGTCGGCCAAGCTTGAGGCAATCGTCGAGACCGATTCATCAAAATGGGGTGGTCTGATCTCATCCCTGAGCCCCAAGCCCTCCGTCGTCTTCAACGCTGTAGGCACCACTCGAGCCGCAGCCGGCGGCATCCAGAACCAGTGGAAGATTGACCACGACCTCTGCATTGAAAATGCCAAGGCTGCAAAAGCAGCTGGCGTCAAGACCTACGTCTACATCTCCAGTGCGGGGACACGAGGCCTGCTCAGTGGCTTCGTGCCGTACTCCAAGATGAAGGTTGGGGTCGAAGATGCCATCAAGGAGCTCGACTTCGAGCATGCCATCATCCTGCGGCCGGGTGCGATTCTCGGAGAGCGTGAGAAGCCGAAGAACAAGATGTTCGAGGACTTCATGGGCAGCCTGCACAAGGTCAGCCAGGGGCTCCAGGACTCATTTGGTTCGTATCTGACCGTCCCGCCATCGCAATACGAGCGCAATATTAATCCCCTCTGTAGGCCAAGATCAGAAGTTCATCGGAAGGGCTGCAGTGGCAGCTGCGCGTGTCGCCGAGGAGGGCAAGGCACCGTCCAAGTTCTGGTGCGTCGAACAGGCCGACATCCTCAAGCTTGGCAGAGATGAGTGGAAGGAGTAAATCAATGGCAGCGAGAAATGAAGCGAGGCTGTGCTTTCAAAGCTTTGAGTGAGACGGCATCAGAAGCAAGAACTTCACCGGTCAGTGTCGGGAGCAGCGTAGCTCTGGGAGCCAGTCTTCTAAAGGCAGTGGGTTGGGGTCGTACGGCATGAAGGCACACAGTACGAGATCAGCCCCCTGATATGCTGCATTCGAGATTGCAGAATGTAAGGCACCGGGAAACAGACCGGCATTACTTGACTCCTCGGTTCTGAGCTGTCATGTTGGACCGTTTTTACGCGAGGGATTATAGGTTAATATTTGCGAATCTGCAACGGTAGCATCGTCAAAGCATGCGCATGAGAGACATGACGGTGCTAGGATCGCACCGAACCGTCCTTCCACGTGGCGGCCCCTCTAATGCTCTTCCTGCAGTGTATTGCTTCCCTCGAGATACACGGGATTTGCTCGCCTTGTCCATATTGAAAAGGAGCGGGCCGTCAAGCCGGCGTAGTGGGCTTCGAACGCCGTTGAAGCGATGCATCATGATAGATCATATTTCCAGCATGAACTCAGGCTTATGGTTCAACGTCCTGCAATGCGAGCCACATCTTTTTTTCGGCCATGACAACCTAAGACGAATAGCCAGGGTGGAGGATGTTGACTTCGACGCTTAGATATTAGTCCGTGAAAAGGTGTGGTGGTTATGTTTGCCCTGTCACCCCCTCCCCCAACCGAGGCACCCTAACCCCCCCTCCCCCGCCATCCATGGTTATTCTGGGCTCGACGCGTCGACCATCAAAGCAGACGCGTCTCCCTGTTAATTGGCACTTTCACGCCTTTCGTCCCTCAGACAGACTTTGGAACAAAACTGCCACCACCTCCCAGTCTTAGACTTAGAGATCTTCTTAGGCTGTTTACAGCGAACTTCTTCAGAATGACGGCATCATCCGCCGAACCGGTTGCTGCTTCAACGGCTGCAGCGCCCGTTAAACAGAACGGCAGCTCAGCTGGGAGACACGAGGAATACCAATATCTGGACCTCGTCCGCGAAATCCTCGAAGATGGAGAACATCGTCCAGACAGGTACTACAATCCCCACCACAAATCACACCCATTTCACGTACTCACACAAAATTCTGCAGGACTGGCACAGGCACATACTCAATCTTTGCCCCACGGCCGCTGAAGTTCAGCCTCAACAAGGACGGCAGGCCGCTGTACCCACTTCTCACCACAAAGCGTGTTTTCCAGAAGGCCGTCGTCGCCGAGCTGCTCTGGTTCATAGAAGGGAACACGTCCTCGCTCAGTCTCTCCGAGCAGGGCGTCAAGATCTGGGACGGCAACGGCTCGCGCGAGTTCCTCGACAGCGTCGGGCTGGGCCACCGCGAGCCGGGCGACCTGGGCCCCGTGTACGGGTTCCAGTGGCGCCACTTCGGCGCCGAGTACGTCGACGCAAAGGCCGACTACACGGGCAAGGGCGTCGACCAGCTGGCGGAGGTGATCCACAAGCTCAAGACGAACCCCTACGACAGGCGGATCATCATGAGCGCATGGAACCCCGCGGACCTGAAGAAGATGGCGCTCCCGCCGTGCCACATGTTTGCGCAGTTCTACGTCTCCTACCCGAGGTCGAAGGCGTCGGCGGCGGCGGCGGCGGGGACAGAGAATGGCAATGGGGAGGCGAAGCCCAAGGGCCACCTCCACTGCCAGCTCTACCAGCGCTCCTGCGACATGGGCCTGGGCGTGCCGTTCAACATCGCCAGCTACTCGCTGTTGACGCACATGATCGCACACGTGTGCGACCTCGTCCCAGGGAGTCTCACGCACGTCATGGGCGACGCGCACGTCTACGTGGACCACGTCGATGCCCTCAAGATACAGCTGGAGAGGGAGCCGCGCGAGTTCCCGGAGTTGGAGATCAAGCGGGAGAAGGGCGGCAGTATAGACGGGTGGAAGGTCGAGGACTTCGAGGTGAAGGGATATAACCCGCACAAGACGATTGCGATGAAGATGTCGGTATGAGATATTCGAGCTTGGCTCTGGGTTGTCATGATGTTATGAAACGACTGTGGGAAGCGCCGCTTATTGTCGGCTGTGGTATGCAGGGCATGGCGCAAATGAGGCCTATTTTGCCCTACGAAGTCGAAGGTGGCCATTTGACAGATTTCCCGCCCTTTTTGGCTTTAATATAGAATGACCGCAAGGTCAACGGAGTTGTATCATAATGTCGCATCCTTGCGGCGGCTGTATCGGGCCAGAACGATTCATCTTTAGCCGCTCTGGCGACATGCTACTCAGTGTATGTGCGACTTCATGTCTATTGAGCAAAGGATCAACGATGCTCGTGGTGGAAGTTTCATGCCTACAGTGAAATTCTGCCTAAACCAGCTGGCAAGGTGGGGTGTAAATCGCGAGATGATGCAATGAACATATCCCCAGCTTCGTAAGCCTCACCAACACCTCTCATCATGGATTCGCCACGCAACTACTCCCAATTCACTTCTCTTGACATATATTGACTTACCTATTCCCTATCTCTGATCACTTGTCAAGCCACGATACACCCTCTGGTCAGATAAAGCCAGACTTCATTTAAGCAAAACATCAGAATGGACGCTCTCCACATCCTCATCACAGGCGCAAGCGGAGGCATCGGAGAAGCAACAGCGCTGCGCCTGGCCCAGCCAAACCCCAAATACACAGTCAAGACATTGGTCCTGCACTACAACACGAACGCCTCCAAGACGCAGCGCATCATGGACGAGATCGGCCAGCTCAACCCGGCCATCAAGGTCGCCTGGCTGCAGGCGGACCTGGGCTCGACCAAGAGCGTGGACCGGCTGCACCGCGAGGCAGTCGCCGCCGCCGGGGCGCCCATCAACGTTTTGTTCGCCAACGCCGGGACCACAGCGGGCCGTATGTTCTTCTTTCCGCAACACAGTCATGATTCAGCATCATCACCACCCCAACGGTGATATAAATGTATTCTCCGCAGCATGCATGCATACACTAACACCGCCCACAACAGACTCCGGCCCAACCGGCACGCTGGACGCCGTCTCCCTCGAGACGTTCGAGCAGGCGTGGCGCGTGAACACACTGTCGGTGTACCAGCTGACCCAGCTGGTGGCGCCGGGGATGGCGGCGGCGGGGTTCGGGCGGGTCGTCTACAACTCGTCGGTGGCGGCGCTGACGGGCGGCGTGGTGGGCGCGCACTACGCGTCGTCCAAGAGCGCCCTGCACGGCATGCTGCACTACCTGTCGCCGCGGATGGCCGCCGCCGGCGTCACGTTCAACGCCGTCGCGCCCGCGCTCATCGAGGGCACCACGATGCTGCCCGCGGGGGCCGAGGGGAATGCGGACCTGAAGGCCAAGATTCCCGTGGGAAGGCTCGGCCAGCCGGATGAGATTGCTGGGGTGGTCTGTCTCATGATCGAGAACGGCTATGTGAATAACAAGGTCTGGGCTGTAGATGGGGGCTGGGTCCCGAGGTAGAAGTGAGTAAGTAAGGCATGGATAAGCAGCCATCTATAGGGAGATTCCCATCTTAGATGTTGCTGGCTGTCTACAGTTCTAATCCTGAAAATTAAGTAAATGCCATCGCTGTCTCTAGAAACGCCCCGTCTACCTCGTGAGCCACGAGCAGTCCAGCTTCCCGTCCTGCTCGCCAGCAGGCTTCCACGCCGGCCTTTCCAGGCTCCTCCTGGCGACCTCGCAGTCCGTGTTGATGTCCTCGATCAGGGCGTCCAGGCCCTCGTAGTTCTTCTCGTCACGGATGTAGCCGAGTATCAGCAGGCGCATGTCGACGCCGTAGAAGTCGGCCGCGAACTTGTCCAGGACGTGCACCTCCGCGCTGCGCACTGTGTTGTTGTAGAAGGGGTTGTACCCGATCGACATGACCATGGGGAAGATTGAGAATCTGCCCTCGCCCGTCGACGACGAAGATGACGACGACGACGACGACTTCTTGTGGTTAGGATGGTCCGGCCCCAGCTCGAGGGAGGCCCAACCAAAGTACACGCCGGATTTGGCGTCCGATATCCAGGGGGTCACGGTGGCGTCGACCGGCAGGTTGGCAGTCGGTATGCCCAGCTGTGTTGGGGTTAGATCATTGGGGCCGGTCAGAGGAGTGTGTACATGAGTAGGATGTAGATGACCGGACAGCAGAGGGCTAGCGAGAGTGCTCTGGTGGGGAGGAGGGGTGGGGGGACAGAGAGGGCGAAGGCTTGCGGTGTATGGGTGCGTGGTTGCATGGGGACTGCAGACTATGCAGCACCGCACATATGTATGTGTGAGTATGTGTATGTGTGGGCCACTGCCCCAGAGGCCTGCACTCCTGACCGGCCGTATCCCCCCCATTCTGGACCTCGACTACCTTGCCTCTCATGCAGAGGCAATGGCAATGCCCGTCATTGATCACCATCCACCCTCCCCTTCGGTCCCGGCTCGACCGGGTTGCCACCCCATGCCTTCACTCGATCGGCACCTGGCGAACGCCGAGATCTTGGTAGTGCTTCGGCCGCCTGCTGCTTGCTGCTGCTGCTGCTTGCTGCTGCTCCTCGTCCCTATCCGTCCCCCTGCAGGGCCAGCACACTCATACGTCGTAGGATGGGACGCAACGAGCGCACGCGCCGTAGATCATCGTTGGGCAAGAAGGGGGCAATACGAGAAAGCAGCACACACGAGCCAAAGCGACCACGACTCACCTCCTTGGACCCCCGGCCAAAGCCCTTGATGACCTTGCCTTCCATCTGCAATGGGAAAGGAGATTCCGGCCCGGACGCCGGTCCTGCTACCAGAGGCCTCGTGTTTGCCATGGCTTTGCGTCGTTGCTTTTTCCCTTTGCTCAGGGATCGCGTGAATTGCCCGAATAGGGAGCGGCCTTGTGTATGCACGACGCAAGAAAACACGGTGACGGGCAGTCTCAGAGGCACAGGCGGGAACAACACAGGGGGGGACCCCAACGCTGGACGCAGATTTCAGGTCGCACAGAGATCGTGGCAGAATGTGATATGTGATATGATCGAGAACGTTGCAGAACGGCAGGGGTCTTTGATTCACAAGTTTCTGGGTCACAGGCCGGGGCGTGGGGTTTGTTCCTGTTGTGCGTCGTGTTGCTCACGGCTGGAGGTGGATGGGAATATGTAGACTAGGTAGATGGCGAGGTCGTATATTTGTAAGTGTGAACGACTGCAGTCGCCTGTGACAGAATGCTGTGGAAGAAGGTAGCTCACAGCGGGGTGAGTAAGACCTGATAAGATAAGGTATACTGCATACACAGCCTTATTAGGCGACGGGCGGCTGGTATTGGGAAATCCTTCCTGTTTGCGGGCAATTAAAATTATACATGTATGGGGTCGGCCATTTTCTCAACATTTCAAGGTGAGGCCCTGCTTTGGGTGGGTGCAGGGAGGCGAGCTGCACCTCAGACTGCTGTAGACGGTCTAGCAAATTTGATGGTCGCTGTTGCGTGATTGCATTGCCCATCAGCCAGCCATCTTCGAGGTTAACCGCTCGTTCGGCCAGGAGAGTGGAGAGCCCGCAACCACACACTCACACTCACACACGCACATCACAGTGCCCTTCTCTTCTGCCTTCCCCCCCCCTCCTTCCAACCCCCTTCCACCCCGCCCTACGCCGCGAGTCCTAAGACAGCCTGGGGTTACACAACAAGAGCGAGCACATTCAGCAGCATTCAGGGACTTTTGAGAATTTCCTCATTTCAGCTTCACGGAAATAGACCTCGACCACGTCGATCGCCTGCGTCGATATGAGCTAGCCTCTAATGATTCATCGCTGCCGAAGATGCCGTCAAGCAAAAAAAAAAGCAAACGGGTATAGTAGTAGTTCTGTTGCTGTTGATGTTGTTCTTGTTGTTTGTTGTTGTACCCAGAAAGTCCAAAGCCTCTTCTTTCTTTTGAAGTGGGACCGTAACGAACTCTTCTCTGCCCCTGATCACTCAACTCTCTAGTGTCGAGACGGGCGCGAAACCAGAAACCCACCACCCGTGACTCCACCCAAGGCCGTAATGCATTCTGCCCAGTGATCCCCATCCTTTCGTGACACCGGTCCCCATGAACAAGCAGGAAATGCATGTGATGATGACTTACACCGCCAGACCGTGCGGGTGCTGGTCAGGGTAATAACAAGGTAGAAACTGTAACTCCATTAGCCACGTGCCCGTCTTCTTGGCCTCCCACATTGGTGGGATTGGGAAGGGATCTCACATTAATGACAATCATCATGGGCATATCAAATGTGTCTCTCCGTATGACCCAGCAATATGTGCACTCCAGCTTCCCGTCCTTGGCAATCCTCGAGATGCCGTGTTCCCCGTCAATCCTTGCGACCCTATTACTGAGGAACATGGCCCTCGGGTCTTTCGGCGGTGACTCGTGAACGCTGGAGTTACTCCCCGTGCCGTCGATGCTCTCCTGCGTGCGGTACTTGAGCAGCCTGCACTTTCTCATCACACTGCTCCGGCTGTCGCCGAAGGCGAGATGTGCAAAGTCCTCAAAGTACTGGACAACACTGTCATCGTCCATGAGCTCTGCTATGAAAAGCGGGTGCCGTTCGTTGCCCGAGGCCTTGCTCTTGTCTGCTTGGTCGTTCAGGCTGCCAAGCTTGGGCGTCGTCAAGGTGTCGGTGGTCGCGCCCGACGCTCCCGCACTGCCGCCCGTGTTGACATTCATGTTGACCTCATTGCCGAGGAGGACCTCTTTAGGCCAGCCAGTCAGCGCGGTAAATTCCTTGTTCACCGCGGCGATCTCGCCAGTGCGGCGGCAGACAATAGTGGGGCTTGAGCCGTGGTGCATGAAGTCTTCGTATTCGAACAGTGTCCGTTGGAAACATTTTTCCATGAACACCATGTCAGCCCGGTTCAGCGTTCGGGTGACCGAGATGAAGGACGGCCGGAAGCTCGAAAGCGCCACGGCGATGCGGACCAGCTTGTCATTGCTGGTCCGAAACCTTCGTTGCAAGAAGGCGATCAACCGGTGGAAGTTGTGCACGTATTGGAACGGCTCTTTGACCGTGTCATAGATAGTCGACGGGTCTCGCTGGCGTTTGCCAAGAAGAGGCTGCGGAAAGACCTTGGGCATGCCAGGCTTTGCCTTTGGGCGGTTCTGAGCTCCGAGTACTTGGGGCCCAGGCCCGTTGTGGTAGGTTGTTGTAGGCGAGCCTTCGTAGCCGATGCCGTGGCTGGGCTGAGGACTGTCATGATCGGTGCTGGGGCTTTGTAAACTTGTTGGGCCTGCAGCAATGGCGTAAGCATGAGGGAGACCGTGCTGGAGGTTGCCTTGGGTATATAAGGGGTTGCCGGACTGGTCGATGGAGAGGATATCGCCAATCATACCGCCGTCGAATTGTTGCATACCATTGCCGAAAGCACCAGCCGAGAAGTTGGCCTCGCCAGCGCCTGCTTGGGAGAATGATGGCTCCCGTGGCGGCGTGTCAGCGGCCCCAGAGGCCATGTGGTTGAGCATACTGAACTCCATGGCGCCGTATTGGCTCCCAAAGTTCAAGCCCTCGAGGTTGAAATTGTACAGTGCAGGGTTGCTTGGGTCGAAGAAGGCGGAGGACATGTCTGATATATCGCCTGACACCTGTGGAACGGTGAGACCACTCATCTGCGGCGGATTTGGTGGCTGAAATGTGGGGGACACGGGGGACTGTTGACTGGCGAAGGCCATCCCCTCTGATATTGATCCCAGCGCCGACTGTGGCGAGAAGAGCGGATAAGGGTTGGAGGATGTCGTTGGCGAGAAGAAGCTGCTGACACTGGAAGCAGCCTCGGAGCCAGTGCTGGATGGGTGGCGATGCCCGTTTGGCCGGTTCTGAGGTGCGTTGGGGTTGTAATTTGGGCCCAGAACCGGTCTCAAGGCTTCTGGCGGCGCATCGTGAAGATACTTTGCCTTCTTGCGGACTCCATCTTGGCAGTGGTCCGCGAGCCCGCGTTTTATACACCTCTGACAGGGCCGTTCATCGCCTACACCGAAAAGTTAGTTTCGCCCATGCGCCTATAGTCTCGAGGCTCCAGTAGACACTGTCGTGGGGGACGCAGAAGAACCGCAGGGGGAAGCAGTTCCGAAAGACATATTTGCTTGGTTATAGTTCGGATTCATGGCGTACCGCAAGTAAGGTGGGCTCTCTGGCAAGCAAAGCAGGCCCTCCTCGCCTTCTTCCTCCTCGGTCGCAGAGGATCCTTGGGGTCATACTTTTTCTTGACCTCGCCGTCAGGGCCGACCTCTTGTTTTATGGCGTTTTCAGTCATCTTGTCGTCGTCTTTGAAGGAGGCGTCGTTGTCGTCGTACTCATGCTCATTCTCAGACATGGCATCTGAGACCTCACCCCCGTTGGAATCAACTTCTTCCGGCATCGTGTACCAGCTACATATATATGTGCGGCCTTTTATACTGGGATGGGTTGCTCAGGGCTAGACGCTCGTAATGACGGCACGGCGCTGCAAGGCCGGCGACCTATTGCGAAACCACTCGCGCTACCTGTTCCAGGTGTAGCAGGTCGTCTGGACGGGGACGGACAAGATGTGCTCAACTCCTGCAGGAATGCTTGGGTGGTTGCACGACACCAGGATCAGCTGCGGCCGCAGGACATACGGTCACAGGGGACCCGGCTGCTCGAAAGCTAGGTCTGCTTTTTCCTTCCCAGAGCGCGCCGATGAGCTGCGATGCGATGCGCGGCGCTGCGCTGCGCTGCACGCAAGGTACGTGGACGCAAGGAAGCAACGTGTGGCAAGCCAAGGGGCCGGACGTCCACTTTAGCCCTGGTCTTGCGAAGAGAAGACGCAGGTGGTCGTGCCGGGGTTGTCTAGGACTGTGGCCGTATTGGGGGCGGGAGGGCCTCTGTGCGCATCCGCAATATTGGCGTCGATCGCTTCGCAAGCTTCCAGAAGGACGTGCCGCAAGGTGGAAGCTGAAGTCCGGGCAAGTCCAGGCGCACGATCTCGCAATGCCAGCGTAGTCGCTCGTATTCTCCGCGGAAAGCTATGACGACCAGGGCCAGCTCTCCAATGGCCTCGCAACCAGTGTAAAAAGAGGCGTTCCTTGTGCGACCGGCACCGTGTTCGCGCACTGGAGAGGGCAGAGGCCAGGGCAGGCGGACAGGGGTCGACAGGTCGGTCGGTGGGTGTGGTCAGTCGTAGGTTCGCAGGTCCAGGTCGCAGTTCGCAGTCGGCTTCGGCGTCGCGATCGCAATTCAGAGGGGCACACACAGGCGCCGTGGGTCCACATACACAAGGGACAAGGACAGGCACAGGCACACGAGTACAAACACAGACACAGGCACAGGGTAGGCGGGTAGGGCACAGGATCCTGGCTGTCTGGGACGAGACGAGGTTGTATGAAGTGTGTCGTGCTTGCAAGAGGGTGGCGGTAGGAGGGGTTGTTGCTGCAGCTACCCGTCGACTTATATTGAATGTTGCATATGGCAGCGCTAGGTTGATCGGCGACCTTTTGGAGGGGGGATGGAGGAGGAGAGGGAGGGCGGGTGTACAGGCAGGCAATGGATGCTACTGCTGTCGGTGATGCTGGCTGGCTGGCTGGCTGTCGGCTGGCTGTGATCAATGCAGATGTGAACAGGCGAGGAAGGCGTCCTGTCCTCGGTTCTCCCTCAGTACATGTTGTTGTCCGCGGGGTGGTTGGCCTCGGTTGTGGAGGATTGTTGCTCTCTTTGTCGTGCCTTGTGGTCGGCAGGCTGGGTCGGGCTGCCGAGCATTGGCCGTCGGGAGAGAGTCGTAGCCGTAGTCGAGTCGTGGTCTGGCTAATTACCTGAGGAGGACCTCGGCGTACCTTGGTAAGGAGTCCCAAGGCTGCGCTGCGGCGAATGATGGGATTGCAGCTATTGCAGTGGATTGTGGGTTATAGGTTGGATGTCTCGTGCTTCTGCATGTGCCTTGCTTTGCCGTGTCTTGCCTCGTACTGTCTTGCCTTTGGGCCGCTGGGGAGTGGAGGAAAACGTTGGAGTGGGTATTGCGTCAAAACTGGGAATTGCGGGGTGGGAAAAAACAGCCCTGGGCCTTTGGGGGGGGGCGCAGAGGGGGGTTGGAGGTCTTGGCCAAGCTGGATTGAGGTAGGTACAGTAAGTAGCCTAGTAGCCTACTCTGTCGTGTCTCTGTCTGTCTACATCAAAGACGTAGTACAGTACTGGTGCTGCTAAGTACCTACCTAGCCTAGGACAGGACACAGACGTGGACAGGGAAGAGTCTTCCCAGCACACCGGCAGCTCGACTTCGGACTAAAACAATAGTCCTTCGCACTACAGACGGACTGATGGACTGATGGACTGATAAGACTGTTTCTTACGATACAGTCTCAACCCACCAACGGCTCAAACTGCTTCTCGAGTTCCATCCATTCAGTTGTCCTGGGTTCCTGGTTCCCTGGCTCGTGGCAATCTGTGGGCAAGTGGCAGGCTATCTGCTACCAGGATTAATTAGACTACTACTCAACTTGTCCGGATCACACCTCAGCTGCCGGTGCCGAGCAGATGGCGTTCACATGAAGGAGGGTTCCCTACCACTCACTCACTCGCGCAAGACTTCAGTACACCACCACACACACACTCTCTCACACACTTACACAGTCCCTCGTCTCGTACAGCAGACGGTCAAGTTCTTTGCACCCTGCATCGTACAGTGCAGTCCTGCACAGTGCTTCGGGCCAATCGCAGATCCAAAGCAGCCTGCACCTCTCTTCAGGTTGTGTTCCACATGCTTCCCTGCGTCTGCCCATCACCTTCACAATCACCATCGTCACCATCATTACCATCACCGTCATGCCAGTCTTTCTCCTGCGCATGTGGTCTTATGTTCTACAAACTTTCGGCGACCTGCCCGACTTCCCGGATCTTGCTGCTGGCTGGCACCTGCCCAGTGGTGGTTAGCTGGCTTCCCACGCAGTCATCAAGACGGTGAGACCTTGGGCACCTTGTTGGGCCTGCGCACACACACACACCTCATTTCTTCAACCATGCCGCCCCGAGCACCAGAAGTCTCGCCAGTCCTTGGCCCAGCTCTTTGTTCAGCAAAGGGCAGGACTAGGCGAGAGACTCAGCTGCTCATCTCAGGTCGCTAGAGCCCCATCCGTCAGTCGAGTCGTATCTGCGACCTCGCTTGACCAAAACACCCACTCCCGTGTTGCAGTTCCAGCAATTTCCTTGAGGCTCGTCGAAACCCCCTCCTTCTCATTCCCCTTTCCCCCCCTCCTCCCTGTTTGAGATCATCAGTGCAGGACGTGACGGTGCAGCACACACGCTTGCCCTGCACTTTAGCTCATCACACTCCCCTGTGCGCGCCTCATCTTGGGTCATCTGGGGTGATGCATCAAGCCTCTTACAACAGCTCAATAGATCACGGGCGCCGGCATGCGCGCCACCAAACATCATTCATGGCTGCGGCTTGCAGGTGCCAACTGGTGCGTATGGCTTCGATGCCGTTTCTCTCGTCTATCTCATGCCACCATGACCTTGCCTTGTCCTGCCCTGTGCCTCGCAACCTCCATCCCAACCCTGCCAGAGAGGACATGGAGGACATGCAAGGCGGCCTGCCATCCTGACTTCACTCATGTCGGTCAGGATAAGGGACCAGGCCCCGGCCGCTCTCATTGGGCGCCCTCGCTGATTGATCTGCTCGAGAGGCGTCCTCCCCTCCTGCTCTTGAGACGAGCAACGTTTAGACTGCCCGCCGGGGAGGCAAGGTGATCGATCTCTGACTTGCAGCTGCTGCTGGGGATCTCCGAACCGAGATTGTGCGTGTTGCATTCTCGATCTGGTCCCAGAGCATCACAATGTCAACCTTCTTCCCTCCCGGCCATGGCTCGGTCTACTGCTATCCATCAACCGGATAAGCGTCTCGGATAAGGACGGACTGTAGACCAGCCAACTTTGCTGTAAGCTGACGACAGGATAATCTCACGGCAACACCTGCTCAGGCTAGATGCTTTCGTACTCTATCTTTGGGGTACACGGCATAGAAAGCTTGCATAAAGGCTACTGGGCGAGTGTCTGGAGGGACTTTTGACGAAGGGGTACCAGGTCTGCTCTGTGGAATTCAGCAGGTTATCTTCGACACAGTGTGTTCGCTGCTCTACGCTAAGACCTCAGCCTGGTTTCATGGGCACGCGGGAACGGCACGCCTGTCTCAATTTGCTTCTTGCTCTTTAGAGTCGCCGTCGACTTTATTTTCGGACCGACCGATAGTCTGCAGGGCCGCAAAGTTGCGGTGTTCAGCCTGGCCATACAGGCCATACACGTATCGGTATAAGCCAGTAATCTTCGTTATTTCAAAACAATTGGGTATCTAGCATATAATACTCATCTCAACATTCCATTCCCCGCCCCAACATCTTTAATCTGTTGTCGCCATCTTACTGTGTGCGCGGATCCGCTTGCCAAATCTATAGAACAGGTACCTACGATATATTAGTAAATCTTAGTAATCTGCAATAGAGTCTAGTCATGATATCTAGCAGCGTTCCCAGAGGCCAGAGGAAGGCAGCCAGGGGAAAGGGGCGGTGAGACGCAACAAGGGGAAGGCCCAATACGTACGGGAATGGCAGCATAGCTACCGTCAGGAACGCCAACAGCGATGTCGCCCACTAAGTACAAATCTCGTATTAGCAACCACTGTGTTTCCCCAGAGAACAGCACATAGCCGTCAGCGACTTCTTGTTTGGCTTACCTGGTTACCAAGCTTTTCATACATCTGCAGCCCGAACAGAGGGAAAGCTGAAAGAGTATTAGTAGATGTGTCAGACAGAAATAGAGATGGAGAGAGAGATAAACGCGTATTCAAAGGTCGTATCAGCGTTCGTTTGGGGGAGGGTTTATCGAAGACAATCCCAGCTGAGCGGGAAGGGGCTGTCCCGTGTGCGACGACTCACCAGCTGCGAAAGAGCACCGAGCCAGTGCGTTTGCGGCCAAACTTGACGCCGCGTAGAGAGGATAGGCGTCGACCTGGTTTTGTTGGTGCAACGTTAGCCGTCCGATAACTTGGTCTCTCGTACAACAACCAATGGCTCTCCTCGGCTGCCCTTGCACGACAGTGTTTGGGGCATCACAGGAATACGTCAACGTAGTTTGGGGAGTGGGAGGGGAGGGGGGTGTTGGAAGGGCAGAGCAGAGCAGAGAAGTGGGGGGGATCAGCAGGTTAGAGAGTATACCACGTACAAGGTAGCTGAATGTTCCGGAAAAAACAAGCAGTGTCTGTGAGACAGGTTTCCAATCGGTTAGTCGCAGCGTCCCGGATATGCAGAATGCGAGATTCACAGCAAAAGCGGGAAGGGAAGAGAGAGACACCATGCGAGGGAACGGCGTGGCAAAGCCCGCCTTGGACGGGACCAGCCCATGATTCAATGGTACGCTCGTGGGCCGTCTTTTTCCTTGTCTCTCCCTCGCGTGCCACAGTCGCACAGAGCTCTCGAGCCACAGACGGCTGAGGCTGACGGGCCGAACGACGTCGATAACGACGGACGGGCCAAGTTTGGGTGGCTGCCAAGGTCACACGAGGGGACTAACCGCCCATTGCCATCAAGAGCGTATATGCAAAACAAAGGAGATTGATTCAAGGAAACTCACCCCTGCGCCGAAAATAGCTGAGCCGATAATCGGCATGATCCAATGGACCCACGGCAATGAGGACCACCCAAACCAAAATAGACCGATGGTCACCAAGAGGCTGCCCAGTATCGCGGACGGGAGACGGTACTCGGGCTCGGCCTTGCCCTCGACACCTGTGAGCCTCTCGTTCTTCTCGATCAGCTGCGCCCGGATCTTGACCCAGAGCGGGCCCATGAGGGCGGCGCAGACCATTCCAACAAGCATGCCCAGGAAGGTCAGCCCCGTCTGCCACAGGTTGAAGCCGTAGGTGCCCTGGAAGACCAGGGGGAAGGCGCCAAAGAAGAGGTACAGTATGCCCAGAAGGATCGCCGAGTAGAGGTTCAAGATCAGCGCCATGGGCTCGAAGATCAGGATCTGGAAGGGCCGCAGGAGCGAAAGCCCCACGGTGCGGATGAGGGACTTGTTCGTCTTCTCGATGGGGGCCTTCCACCGTTCGTCCCCGGTGTCTCCGCGGATTTTCCTGGCTTTGTTGCGCAGCACGACAGGGTCTACGAGATTGTCAGTATCATTGTGTACATAGGCCTGCCACATCGGGGATCTTCATATTACTCACGATACGTCTCCGGCACAATAACCACAAGTGCTAGGCATATCATGAATGCCCAGATAATGAGCATATAGTGAGTCCACCGCCAGTTCACATTAGAGTTAATAAATCCCCCGATCATAGGTCCGAAGCTTGGGCCGAGGAATGGCGACGCAGTGAACATGATCATCGGGTAGTGCATCTGGTCGGGCGTGAAGAGATCCCCAACCGTGCCACCAGACACGCTCAAGAACGCGCTGCCCGACAATCCCTGGAAGAAGCGACTGACAATCACGGTCTCGATATTCCGCGCCACAGCAGATGGGATAATCCAGATGGTGAAGACGGCAAAGGCAGCCAGGTAGATGGGCCGGCGGCCGTAGAACTCGGACAGCGGGCTCCACATGGGGCCAAGGGCGATGCCCAGGACGAACATGGACAGGCCGAGCGTGGCGACGATGCGCGAGCAGCCAAACTCGGCGTCCATCTGCGTGTAGGTGGACGTGTAGATGGAGCTCGCGCACGTCACGCAGAAGCTGCCCATGGACGTGATCCCCACGATCGCCCACTTGCGCCCCGTGTTCATGCTCCGCGGGCACCACGGGTCGTCGTTGCCGCCCTCGAAGCTCACCTCAAAGTCGTCCTTCTCGCGCCCCGCCGCCCCAGCCTGGCCCTTCTCCGCGTCGTTGCCCGAGTCCCCTGACGACGAGTCCGGATCATCGTCCGCGTCGCAGCCGTACCCGTTGTAAGATCGCACGCGGCTGAGGGACCTCGTCGACCTTCCGGATGAGCGTGTTCTCACTGCTGACCTCCCCGTGGCTCTGGCGCCGGCAGATGTAGCCGTTGCTGGCCTGATGGATTCGTATATTGCCTCATCGCCGTTTGCGGTGTCCGTGGTGCCTGTCTCAGTCTTCTCTTCGTCCATCGAGGCCTTCTCAATTGAGATCTTCTCCATCTTGTCGCTGCTCGTCGAAGTGTCTAGCCGCCCGAGGATGTTGTTGGCCGCGTCCTTTTCGACATCCATTTCACTCGCCATCTTCTGGTGCTTGGTCCTGTCTAGGGGGTCGAACTAGTCATGAAGGGAGGTGGTGATGTTGCAACAGTGAGTTTCGACCTCTGCGGACAACAACCTGGCAACCAAACCTGGCCTTAGGTGTGTACTTGTTCCTTCGGGAATTATTGATGACGCATACGGGATATAGCTGTTCCCTTCACACCTGGCACGGGACGATTGGTAAACATGCAGTTTGTCAGATCTCTTAACGCCGTTAAGGTGACGACGTCAAAGGCCGAAGGAACGTGGGCCAGAGTGGCGGGACGGCGATCCGCCTGGCTCATACGATACTAATCGACTTCAGGGGCTGATACAGTTCCGTCGCTTGTCGCAAGCGGGCCAACATAAATAAAGGGACGTGTCCGTCAACAACTTTTTTTTTCTTTCCAATTTCGTTTTCCAAACTATGGGTCGCTTGCCGGTTTGCTGTCTGCCCTCGGCGCATTCCTCGGAAGTGGTCTAGAGCATCCTTCCCGCGACACACAGCAACGGCGACGGGCCGGGACTGTAATAAATGAAGGTGGAGTTGCTGCGTGTTGCTTAGTTGGATCTCTGGCAGGGATTATTACTTGGGTGCGACTGGGTACTCGGTCCGGGACATCGTCAACCCCCCAATTTTTGCCCTTTTGGCTGGCCGCATCCGGGATGGGCAGGAGGGTGGCAAGGCGGGAATATAGCACCCAATGCTGCTGCAGTGGAGTTAGCGGCAAGTTGCCGGTTCTCTTGCCGACGACCAGCCGGGCCAATTGACTGTGAGGAAAATGTTGTGGTGTCGATGTCTGCGGCACGTGTTTGTTATTAATCTCTGCGAGTTTGTCAGGAAGCTGTAGGGGTGGTCGCTGATAGCCTTGGCATGGATGAATAACGATGATGCGTATAAAGGCGAGTCGCGAAGGCCGATCTCTGCTGGTGTGTGGCTCGCCTCCCGCGCTGTCAATCCTACAGCCCGAGCGTTGATGAGCCTAAGTCTTGCCGAGACTATATCACTCGTTACTGTGTTAAGGATCTAGTAGATCTTAGCCTGTTGTTTCAGGAGTGTCCATCGATTTTCCTATGCCATCATTCAACTCAATTGCTGGTAAGGCTGAATCTTGAATCTTGCTCAAACTCTCCAAACCACCGGGTTGTCCGTGCTTGGCACTCCGAGATTGCCGATCTACCGAGACGGAAGTTGATGGAATGGACCGACGGCAGAGCCCGGCTTGGCCTGCACTGTTGCACCGCAAGATAGCTGGTCCGCACTCAATAGAAAGGTAGACTATACATAAAAGAGCATAACGGGTCGTTGCCGACTGAATCGAGAATCATTCGCATGCTTTGGAAGCTGTCGTGGCCTTCCTTGCCCTTGCTCTTGGCCCACTGGTACTTCATGCCGGGTGGTGAGCAAAGCTGAAACTCATGAAGGTCCTCGATATGAGCAGATGCTTTGGGCTGTATCATATCGCCATGCCCCTTAGCGTGAGCTGTTTCCTTGATTGATCGATGTTGGAATAGGCATCGTAAGACAATCCATGGCAGATTCGCACAATCCATTCATATCCATTTCTCGTCGAGTTGGTCGCGAGACACCCAGCTCCTGTGCCGATAAATGTGATTATTTGGCAGCTGAGTAGCAAGAGGGCGCCGGCTGTCGAGTGCCTGTTACAATCCCGAACTAGTCATCAGGACGCGCTGAATGTGTACAGACGACTCGAGTGGTGCCCACCTCAAGTCTCATGCGTTGCTGGAGGCAATTGTAAGGGAGAACAGACCACGTTATTGAGTTCGTCAAGGCGGGTCACAACGTTTCCAACGATCAAACTTCCTTTCTCACCGCAAAGAAGTAATTCCCAACCTTCTCGCTACCAGCAACCTCCTTCCAGCCCAGACCAGGCACGTACACAACACCCATTACCCTCGGGCTACTCCACCCCTCCCTCCTAGCAAAGAAATTCCTAAGTTCCTCCTCGTTGATGTACTTATCCCAGTCGTGCGTCCCCTTAGGCACAACACCCAGTACATCCTCCGCCATGAAATTTGTGGTGAACCAGCTCGTCCACGTCCGCGCGATGGTGCTCAGCACCAGCCAGCCGCCCGGGCGCACAAAATCGCCGCACCGGTCCAGGAAGGCCGACGGCTTGTCGACGTGCTCGACGACCTCGAACAAGCTGACGATGTCGTACTTGGCCTCGTCGGTGGCCGGCAGCGGCAACGTCTCGATGGCGCCACTGACATACGTCAACTTGGGAGCCAGCGACGGGTCCTTGGCGGCGTGCAAGCGTGCAACCCTCAGGACCTCGGGGGTCGGGTCGACGGCCGTGACGGACTCGGTGGTGGGCAGGCGGGCGGCAGACTCGGCGAAGATGCCGCCGCCGCAGCCGATGTCGAGGTAGCGGAGCTTGCGCGCGGGTGATGGTGCTTGGTCCGGCTCACTCGCGCGACAGTCGCGGATGAAGTCGTGGCGCAGAGGATTCATCAGGTGCAGGATGCGGGAGGAGCCGTGGGGATCCCACCAGGAGGCGGCGAGAGCATTGAAGTGTGCTACTTCGTCCGCGTTGACGGACGAGTACGAGGACGAGGACGAGGAGGACGATGATGTGGGGCTTGATTTGGGATCAGGGGTGTTGCTCTGGAACCTCCGACCTGATGGTAGTAGTGGGGCTGAGAGCGTGCGCAAAGGCGATGGGCGAGCTCGACGAAGCTGTCGCAGCATGGCTGCGGGTGCCCTTGATGGGGCCATGTTGTGCGTGTGTGTGTGATGGTGTGTGATGGGCCTGTCGGCCTGTCTGTACCTCAATGTATATATAGCAGGATGCTTTCAGACACTTAAAGGTCAGTGTCCAGTAGTCGATGGATGCAAGAGAGGCATCAGCACCCGTGACAATGGGAGTCGGTTGACTTGAGGCACGAAGTTGAGCTGGGGGTTGGATGAGGTTCTACATGAGGTCAGAGCCTCAACGTCTGTTGACCTGCAACTTTTTGCCGGCTCGGATTCCGATCCCTGCAACGGTCGCTGCAGGTCCAGGGACTGCAAGGGACCCACTGCAGTCTAGCCCAGCAGCCCGCAGCCCCGACGCCCGTGAGAGCTGGAGGGGTATCAACGACCGACCCCAATGGGCTTGAGATGCTGACTTTGCTTACGAAGGAAGGCGATAGAACTGGTCTGCTGGCTCAAAGCAGGACGCAAACTAGCCCCAGGGAGAGCGAGACGAGTGAGTGCCCAAGGGCGCTTTGTGTCCCCAAGATTCAAAGGTTTGTTTTGTCATTGTCGACGGGATGACCTAATCATTCCCAATGCTCACTCAGCGAGTCCGGGCGAGTCGAGTCATCAATTCTAGGGACCCAACCGCCAGGAACTGCTGTGGTCTCGCGGGGCTGGCGGGGCAGACTTGATGCTTGATGGACACCGTCTTCCCAGCAGCAATCTAGACGACACCATCCCACCTGTATCTGCCCATACACAGTATTGCGCCATACATAGCGACTCTTTGTTTTGTCTTTTTCTCCTTCTTCCTTTCTTGATCGTTATACCGGCTGGCGACGCTCTTGAACTCCGATCCCCCTAGAATACTCCGTCGCAAAAGTCTCAGTTCAGCCCCGACTCACGATCGGACCGAGGAAGCCGACATACTTCCGGTTCTGCCCAGCACTGCTGAACGACATTAAGGACAGACACCACTCCAATTGATCCCCTCCCGCCTTTCAGACATCGTCTCCTCTTCCTCATGGGATCTATAATGCCGTCCGAAACCCTCGACCGGTCCGAGTTCGACTCGATACCAGACACCATCAAAGCCTTCCGTACGTACAATCACATGCCACACACCACACATGCCTCGCCCACACACAGATAGCACTGCAAGAGAACCCTCCACTACGTCACAGCAGTACTGACTCTTTCTCCCCCGGCCGCAGGCGATGGCCAGTTCATAGTAGTCCTCGACGACCCGGGCCGCGAGAACGAGGCCGACCTGATCGTCGCCGCCCAGGACGTCACCGCCGAGCAGATGGCCTTCATGATCCGGCACAGCTCGGGCTACGTGTGCGCGCCGGTGCTGCCCGACCTGACCAAGCAGCTCGACCTGCCGCAGATGGTCGCCGACAACGAGGACCCGCGCGCCACCGCCTACACCGTCACCGTCGACTCGGCCGACCCCTCCGTCACCACCGGCATCAGCGCCCGCGACAGGGCCCTGACCTGCCGCACCCTGGCCGACCCCGCCGCCACGCCCCAGTCCTTCCGCCGCCCCGGCCACGTCCTGCCCCTGCGCGCCCGCCCCGGCGGCGTCAGGCAGCGGAGGGGCCACACCGAGGCCGCCACCGAGTTCTGCCGCCTCGCCGGCAAGAGGCCCGCCGGCGTCATCTGCGAGCTGGTCGACGACGGCGAGGAGGTCGAGGGCCAGGCCATATTCCGCGAGCCGGGCATGCTGAGGGGGGAGAAGTGCATCGCCTTCGCCAGGAGGTGGGGCCTGAAGGTGTGTACCATCGAGGATCTGGTCAACTACGTGGAGAAGACGGAGGGGAGTCTGGACTTGAACGGGTCAGCGTGAAACTAGCGGGGAGCAAAATGGAGTCCGGGGGCAGATCTACGCAGGCGTTGGCCACTGTGTGTTTGTGTGGCCTCGACGCCGTGGAGCGTGCGAACGTATGTCTATAGAGTGGTGACTGAGCAAAGGGTTGGGAATGGATATATTGGAAAATTTGCCGCAAGGCTTTCAGAGGTCATTTGGAGATATGTACGTGTTCGTCTACATTGGCACTCAGCGTCTTGTACTTGAACAGTCCAAGCTTGGGGACACTTGTTGGATATGTAAACTATGGGGGTCAAGTCGAGAATTAAGACTGCCCAAAGAGTAGATTGTTCCCCACTCCTTACGAATCGCATCCAGTTGACACACTGGATGATCACACGTCTCTGTCCGTCATTCCAATCAGTGCCTCGTCATCCACGTGGGTTGTAATCACACCCGCACATTTATAGTGCCACTTGTATGGATGGGCTGGCACATGGTTGCGACGTGCCAGAACGTCAATCACAGACTGACACAGTTGGGCCAGATCTGATGGTCGATCTCGGCCGTCCAGCGCTGAAATGGAGTATCAGACATCCTCTCGCAAATTATGACCCTCAGTATCGGGAACTACTGTTGTTGTCCCTGGCTATACAGCTCGCCTCACTAAACGTCTCAGGGGCCAGGTGTATTCGTTGCTCTGGTTCACCTGATGTCGCCTTACGAGGCTGGCGATGCTTCACCCGAGCCTGACCTCGACTTCCGGACACGGTGAGGCCGTACGTACCGGAACCCTCAGGCCAGCGGCAGGGGATCAGCGGGCGTCATCAGCGGGCGTCATCAGCGGGAAGACAAGCTTTCTCTCCCGGTACGACTGAGGTCACCAGCACATGGTTGCTCAACTGGATGATGAATCTCAGCAACCAAAAGTCTTGCCGAGGCAACGCCCCGATTCGAACGGGCTGACAATCTGACGATCGCTCGAGCGCCCAGCAAGGGAGTAACTCCGGACCGGCATAGAGTCGCACTATACGCGGCGACAGGATTATACTCGGTCCCACTTCGCGATGCCTAGGTTGGGTATCTACACACATCTAATAATACATCCAATATCACTCCTCCTACTCGCCATCCGGTCTGAAACCGCAGAACAACTCGGCGACTATGGGTCGGCCTCGCCCGCAAGCATTGACCAGAAGACGACTCGTCCGATATGCCTGCAGGGCGCTCCCTCTCTTTCTCTCATGGAAGTAATGCAACGGTCTCGGTGAGATTCCCGTGGCAGCTCTGGGGGCCGCTGAGGTCACGGAGGTGACCTCAGATCCGGGAAGATCGAATACAACCCAGGATCGACACCGCGATTGGAGCATGAGAGAAGATGAACTTTGGAGGGATCGGGGTCAACGGTCAACGGCGAGGCGAGGTTGAGACATTGTTTTGGGTAAGGGGCCTATGCGCAGCTCTCGGGATGACCCTGCGCGCTTCGGGGACCCGACTGAGGAAATATCCTGTTCAATCTGGCGGAAAAACGGCCCAGGTGGCAAGTGTTGTGTGTCTCCCCCTCAAGACGAGACAAAACAAAATGCCAGAAAGATGACGGGTGGACGTTTTGGGGAGAATGGCGCGAGGGTCTAGCTTGAGGAATTCCGTGTAGAAGCTGGAACACACCGACAGGGAACGGTCTGTGCTTCCCTTTCCTGGTCCGTCCCGGCGAGCAAATCGCAGCGAAACAAGCAAGCATCTCCCATCTGACATCTGCCACAGTCACATAATCCTCCGATGCACAATCAGCCCATTCGGGGCCAACGGCCACGCCGGCACTGGGAATGCTGGACTGATGCGTACCCAGTTTGGCTAGGTTCCAATGTCGTCACTCAACTAACTGTGGTTCCGGACGGGGATTCAGCCTCCTGACCAGCTGGTGCCTCAACCGAGTTACAGTTGCGGTCCTGGCGTCAGATAACTTGGCTTGTATCGCAGGTTCGTCCAGGCTCGACGTGAGGATGAGAATTGGGGGTGGGTCCGAATCCCATGCATTGTACATCCGCCCGTGCTTTGATTCCGCGGAAGAGCTCATGGTCAACGAAGGGGGGGTCTGCGCATAGCAGCACTGCACGCTCTGGTGCCGACGAGACTCGCGCCATCTCGACAGAAAATGTGAAAAGCCGTAACTTACAAGTGACACCTGCAAGCGTTTGGTCTTCGGCACCGGCATGTGAGCAACCCATCGGTGGCTCTGGAGCATGACCATCAGTCCTCGCCCCTCCCATGAGGCCGAGGATTGATGCTGTTCAGATCAATCACAGCTATAGCACGGGAAGGATTCCTTCTAGAAGGAAGCTCTGGCCGTCAAGAAGACACAGCGTCTCTACGCCGGCCCAAACCACCGATCTCCCATCTCTGACCAGGCATGGGACCCGACCAACTCCCGGGGGCGCAGCAAGTGGCCACACCAGAGCTAGGTACACTAGGCCCTGGGAACAACGTGGAGGAGGCGAATGTGTGCGTATGGGTATCTGGCGCGGGTGTGTGTGCGCGCGTGCGTAGGGCGACAATTTCAGGGGAGTCTAATTGATTGCCCGTCCACCCCTGATGTCAGGTACTTACACTTCAATACATACCAACTTCACATCTCCAGGATCCCGGCTTCTAGAAAACCCCACTCGCGGAACGTGGCCCGAAGCCGGGAACGAGGAGCAGTCCCAGCTCGTGGAGCATGATCCAAGTCTCACCTTGAGTCGCGCAACACATCACCGCTGCGTGGCTCGCTGGTCGAAGTAGACGAGCACAGCCGGCGCGAAGTCATTCTCGTATTCGAATCTTGCTCGAAATAACAACTGCAATTTTCGTCGCGGGACAGATCTTGATTCCAATTTGGCACCGGGAAATAGGAGCGACAATCACTGACGTGTTCCGCGCTATGTGCCATCAGATCGTGAGCGAGTAAAATTTCGATGCGCGGAGGTCTGAAATGAGAGAACTTCGCTTTCCGACCAGCGCTGCTTCGGTGCGTGGTCACCGCGTAGCCCGGTTACCAAGCTTTGACGCTCCTTTTGTAACAGGACAAGCAACAACATGGCGATCGGTTGGACGTCGCCATACTAGACCATATTCTTCGGAAAGCTACCATCGGTCGACTCCCAACCAATAAGACAAGGCCCATCTCGCACTGCAGAGATACAAGATTGCCTATGTCGCAAGCTGCTAGCTCGTCGTAACGTGGCTCACAAACAATGACGGGCGCTGATGAGAGGGCGTTCACACCGAGCACGTTTTAAGGGACGTGAGTATGCTTTGCGGCCTCAAACCTAGAAGGCATGCTTCCAATGTGTTTTGTGTGGAAGACAACTTGTCCTGGCACCACCGCAGCATCACGAAATCACGAGCTGGAACGGTCCCAGGAGCAGGAGCTGGCCTGGCGTGTGTGCGGCCGTGGACAGATGTGTTGAGCACAGACATCCAGCGACACTTTTATGCTGATTATTGTCCGTGAACAATTAGCAGCGATCGAAATCGCAGCTCAAGGGACGATGTTTATTGGCGCCATCGCACGTGAGCTTGGAAGCAAGGCCTCAGGGCGGATGAGCTCGATGAGACGAGTCAATCGATGGTTTGCTGAAGGTCAGAGCTCTCGAGATCTATGTTTCGAGATCTGCTGCAACATTTAAGCGCCGCCTTTTGAAACACGGTCGGCCAGTGCTGTGGAGGCTGAGAGTCGATGGACGGGATATCCTCGACGTCTGTGAGCTGAGATGGCGCTTTGATGTCCGTTCGCAGGGCTGACGGCCGGAGAGCCAGAGAGGGCCGACTCGCCCGAGAAACAATGGGCAGCTGGTGGTCTGCCACATCGATCTCCAACAGTCAGTCAGCACGGCTGCTCTCCTTTTCTTCGGACCGTTCCACGACAGAAACAATGGATCCTACTGAGGACCCGGCACACGGGCCAGGAGAGCCAACTTGTGATCGCTGCGGCTGCAACGCCAAGCTCCGTGATCCATCTCCATTTGGGGATCATACCAGATTGATCCCGGATTAGAATAGAAAGAGCCTCATCTTTGGCAGAAAGGCCCGGAGATCACAGCAAATAGGAGAACTTGACTGACGAAGGAAATTATTGTCGAGTCTTACTAGATCTGGCACAGACTCAGGCTGGAGAGGACGCCACAAAAATAGAAGATGGTTTGAAGATGAGCCGACTGCCACGCCGAGGCATGAAATATGAGCCTATTGGCCGGGTTGGGTACACGGCAGATACGCAACAAAAGCTTGCTCTACTTGCAGTCAGTTGGGCAACCACATTGTGTGCAAAGACAGGATTAGAAACTGCGCCTCCTCAAATTTGATGGCCACGAATCCAAATTCGGGTTGTAATGTTAGCTACCCTCGACTGATTGGTGGTGCCCGATTGGGGCCTCAAGGCATCCCCCATGTCTCGTTCTCCTGGTCTAAGATGAGGTACAATCGTGCCTAAATAATTCGTCAGACAAGTGATGAACTCCGAGAATGCAGGGCCTGCCATGACGTAGCAATTGGTATATGCACGACTGTAGGCCAGAGCCGACGGCAAACAAGTCGAGCAACTTGGCACCCGTCCTGCCGTTTCAGCCGAATCTCACAAAAAATAATGCACACCCTGGTACCTGGGCGTATCATGCACTGCCGGGTAGTCCAGTCCATTAGCCGGAGGTCTTCATATGGGCTTTGGGACAGAGCCAGCGGTTCGGGAAAGCCGGCCTTCAAATGAGCTGAGGCAGGGGCTGCCTTCGGTCCCTGGACGAAGAGACGGGCACGCGAGAATGAGCATGTGAGCTCAACGTCTCAATCGTGGACGCGAATGCGCCTAGACAGACTAGTTTGCCACGATCAAAGCTGGAAGTGTTTATGCCTGTATGCCTGTGGCCTCGGCTTGGGTCAGTATCTCAGACGGCTGGTGGAATTTAGCATGGCGGCCGACATGGAACGACGTTGAAATCGGGCTTGCAGGGGCCCTCGTAGACGAGACAATCAGTACGTTCATGTACCTACTGTGTAATGCCGATGGAGGGGTGACACGGGCCACTCGAACTGCTCGAGCAGGCTTTCCGAGCAGCAATTTTATCATGGCCGTTTTACCTCATCTCCGACCATGATCAATGTCGCTCAATCCCCGGAGTTTGAAGGACGCAATCCATTTCGACCTCTGCAGGTGGTTGCTTCTATACGACGAATTAAATTGTCGGTTTCCTGACCGCTTCGTGAGATGCAAGACCAGCGCAAGCGGCACCGACAGCGAGCATCTGATATGTTTGTGTGGTCCTTGCTCCCACCGCAGTTTTGCCTCGCATTTCACTTTCGACTAGCGAGACAGGGATGATCAGGGCTTCGGCTCCACTCCCCGTCTTTAGAAGGATCCATATCTTCTAGAAGGGTTCCAGAATCTTGCCGCTTCTGGCAAAGCCAATTTCAAGCCCCAGTCGTTGGCTCAAGCGTTGGCCAGCAAGCCAGCGCAGTCTCCCCACAGCCCTCCTTGACAATGTGACCCTGCAACCGGGGGGCCCTCCTGAAGGGTGATGATGATAGTTCATCTCCTCCGCCGGGATTCTCGATGGATTGCCCCTTTGCGTCGTGTCCACTGGCTGTCAGGATGTCTGAAGTAGCGGTAAGGCGAGAGCGACGATTGAGTGCCGCGAGAGACAGTACGAGAGCCTCCGCATTAGGTCGCGTGAGGAAGTCAATGATCCATCTGCTACGGTTCTGAGTAGGGCAACACGGGCGAGCTGACGACAGGTCAGCTCAATGAATATGAGACTTGAGGTAGGGCTGGACAGCAGGGACGAGCGCTGTCAAGCTGCTGTCCCCGTTCGTCAGCTTCCCCTCACCTCTCATATTCATTCTCGTTTCCGAGGCCAAATTGAGTTGCTCAGCCGTCCGAGCGTATCCTGTGAGTTGAAGCGCGGGCCTGCTTTTAAATCGACGTACAGACTACCTGTCTGCAGGCTCCCGCATGCTCCATGACTGGTGGCACGGTGTTGTGAACAGGATAAACCAGGCCTTCCGCATAGGGAAGGCATGCAGCATAGCATCTCTGAATCGTCGATACATAAATGGAGCCCTGTTCATGTCTCGCAGCGCCCGCGCTGATAAAGTTACGGTGTACGACTCCTTGTGCCGTCGAGCTTCGAGGTCGCCCAGGCTCCCACAAGCAGCAGGTGTGTACTGCGCGAGTACTTCCGGAGCTACCGTGGCAGGGCCGCCGGCTCCGTATGATGTGGAGATTGTCGTCGTTACAGTAGCGTTGGTCGAAAGCACAGTGCACAAATGAGACGTCCTTCTGCTTTGCTCTGACCGTAATGGAATACTGTAGAGGCGGCATCGACATCAGGCTGATGTGGGAGAAATACCGACCGGCTGCATCGGTGATGACAAGCAGTCAATGCGAGAGATTTGATCACATCACACATTCGCTGTTTGTCTTGCAGTAGTAGATCGGACGGGAGTCTGAGCTCTCGAGCTGGGTTCGCAGCCTGGCGGTGATTTGAGCGCTGATGCCAAACGCAATGTTCTGCCTGCCTGTACTGTACCTGTCTGTGGGCTGTAGCTACTGTTGGGTGCAGGCATACCGGGCTTCACACCACCCTCTCGGGTCTGCTGGAAAAGTCGTCGTCCTCCTCGCCTCCTGGGCATGGCCACCAGGCTGCTTGGTATATGAGGGCTGGTACGAAGGGACCGTCCGAAATCTCCCATGTGAGAAGAGGCGGCAAATAGCCAAGCCTTGGAACAGCGTGGTCTACTTGGCTCATCTTGAAGCCTGGCAGATTGAGTTCATTGCCATGACACAGGGACCGAATCCAGTGTCCACGAAGGTGTTGAGGCTTGGCAGAAAGACGCAGGCGCAGGGCCGTCCGCCCGCCGTCGTCCGAAGGCAAGGTTTGGCTGGAAGAAGGCCCCAAGGTTGGGGGTCTCATCGAGGTCTGCAGGCTCTAGCTTCCGGTGCCCCTAGCCTTGGGAGAGCGTCTCAGGACACCGAATCTTACAAATCTTGACGATTCATTGAGTTGGAAGGATCTGCCAGCGCATCTTCAGGACCGACGGAACCAGACAGACTAACCGATCGACAAATGAACAAGCGATGGGCCACATGAGATATGGGGGATGGTTGGATGCAAATACGATGGCCTGGATGTCGGCGGTGCTGAGGGACACTGAACGAGCAAGTGATGGAGGAGGGAGGGAGGGAGGTCTGCGGTGATCAACGACGGAAGAGTTGGGACTTGAAACCCCGGCAGTCCGTCGACTTGGTCAGGCCTGGGGAGCCCTGGGGCTTGGGTTGGCCTGGGCAGCAGCAGCAGCAAACAGCAGCAAAAAAAAGGGTTCGGCTCGGTTCTGCTCTGCTGCAGGGCGGGCGGAAGAGAAGGAGCTCCCAAGTGCCCTGTGCGGCGAGGGGTGGAGTGGGCACTGGGCTGGGCTGCACATGGTGGATGCTTGGGGCTTTGGGCTGGTGGGTTCGATACTGGTGGGCTAAGTGGGCTGGGTGGGCTGGCCTTGTTGTCCGGCCCCCTGGAGCCCCGGTCGTGGAAGTACCGGCTGTGTACAGATGGCGCCCCCTGCACACCTGGGCACACACCTGGGCACACCCAAGGTTGGGATGTTTCAACGGACCTGTCGGTCTGGCAGTCTGGGCAAGGGTGCAGCAGCAGGTGAAGGTAACTGGGCTGCAGCCGGTGCTGTACTAGGTCTACCAGGTGGTCTGCATCATCTACCCAGCCAATAGTCGTGTGGGAACCCTGGAAGTGAAATAGAGTGAGTGGGTTGAGGCATGGAAAGCTACCTTCGCCCGTTCTGGGGATGGCAGTACCTGCCCAGGTACGATTTTATTTTTAAGAAGACCCCTTGTCCTCGACCCAAAACTTCCTCCTTCCCGTCAGAGCGTCATATCAGCATTCAATCACCACCGTCTTCACCACCTTAACCACCACCGCCTTCAACAACCTCCTCCTCTACCCGCCTCCGCCTCACTCGTTCGTCTGTGCCTCATCGCATCAGACACATTGCAGTCGACACTCACCACGCAGAGTAAGGCTATCATCATCACGACCGCCATCAGTCCAGTCACCACACCGTAAGTCGTGCACAGCACCGTCTTTAAACCCCTTGCCTTGCCCTGCCTTGCTTTGCACTGCACTGGCCCTTGGTACCTGGTTGGAGGATTGTGTGGCCGGAACTGGGACCATTGCATCGGACTATCGCATTGTTTTGGATTCGACGCGTAGGACGGAAAGCGGCAGACCTGTCCTCGCCTCCAAACAGTCGCCGCATCTGCAAACTGCAGTGCAGACTCTGGACCGGCGTCGTGCAATCTGTGTCGGCCCTCCCTCTGCTCCTTGCATTTGAGTTTTCCCCTGGCGTCCCATCGGCCCATCTGAGCCACCGACACTCTTGACTGTTGCCTTTCACAAACCTACAAGTGCTGGCCTGCCCTGCCTACTTCCGAAGCTTACCATCCTGGCAAAATCACCCTCAAAGCGCGTTCCAGCGAGGTCTTTCTTGATACATCACAGCTCATGTGATCGAGGCAATCATACTCAACTGGGAGCAATTTCGTGCATGTTGCACAAGCACATTCGGGCTCTTCGGTTCAGTCTAGCTGACCCAAGCAGAATTTGACAGCCTTCGGCTACACCGACTCGAGCTTCTCTCACGCGTCGACAGCTCCTCCAAGACCCACGGATACCTTTAGACGATTCATACCGAGGGTGCCAACGAGGTCCTGCAACCTCTAAATAAACACCGAGAAACCAAACGGACTGTGCCATTTTGCGTTGGGAACAGCCAGGGATAGTGTTGAGCCTCCCTAGGACCGCGATCCGCCTACCATCGATCACGCGGATTTTCTCGTCACGGCATCTGCTTTTCTGTACCTCATTTTGGGTCCGAAGAGCGCAGGAGAACCCGAGCATTGCACATCGACTTTGGTCCTACGAAATCCTGCTACCTGCGCAGGTGGACTAGCTCTGTGTGCGCTGTGCGTTGTCAGAGACAGCATACGAACGTGGCTCCGTCACTGAAGAAAGTCGAGACAAGGTGCGTCAACATCCTGCAGCATTGGGGCCCGGGTTGTCTTTTCCTCCATCGAACTTTGTCCGTCCGGGGCGGCAGAGTTTGTTCGCAGGCTTGTCGGCAGAGTCCTCTTCTGCACTTTGCCACGTCATCAAAGTTCCACCGGCATCATCAATTTTGTGGGCGGGAAAGCGAACCGGAGATGCAGAAGCACTGAACTGACATGGCAATTGATGAAACCAGGCTGAAATCGGACAGAGCGCGTCTCTAAGTAGTCCACACGCGCCTCTTCCTGCACCTTGATCCGTGCACGACAATCCAGTACCCACCACCACGACCCCTACTACTGGTCACCAGAGACGGCCGTCTCAGCCGCGCGCAACAGTCAGCAAACGTCAACCACAGGCAATCCCCCTGCCCTGTCGAGTTGATACCATTGATATCGTTCATTAACCTAAGTGAGTCCACATCAACCGTTCAAACAAAAAGTCACAGAATTGCATACACGCCTGGTGACGGGTCAAGAAAGCCGGGGTGGAGTTACTTTGCGCCAGCCGCCACTAATTGGAGGCATTCACCAATATACTCCAAACAGTCACGGCTCCTACATCGTTCACATCCCGCCTCTTGTTTGACTTATCACTTTAGTGGTAGACACTGTCCACCTCTCCTGGCCATCAGTCTCACCGCCTCTGCTCTCAGCCTCGGACTTTACTGACAACAGCTTCAGTTGATTCGCGTCCTGCATCTAGCGCATCTGCAACCAACAGCCACCGGGTTCCGAAACATTCTGGTGTTGTAAGACACATCTTATTTCCTTGCTACGGGAGTGCAATTTCCTTGCGGACGAACCCGTGGACCGTGCGTCACGTCTGTCCAACTCGCCTCCTTTGTCTGGCTCCAGCTTAATCATGTCGTCTCCAGCTCCCGGTGAGGTTATGGGCATCACCAATATGCTGAACCAAAAGGGCGGCGTTCAAGTAGCAACGCAATCAATTCCAGGTGTTCAGGGATCAACTCCAGAACAACCTGTTCACCAGCAACTCCCTCAGATGACGATGGATCGTGCCGATTCGCCTCACGGATCCGAACACTCGAGGTATTCTCAGCCTAACATGAACGGCAGCATGCAAAACGGACGGCCGTACGGCTCTCCCAGTGCCATGCACGCTCCTCTTCATATGCCTGAGCCTAACATGGGCCCCATTGGATTTCCTGGCATGGCCCCCGATATCTCCCATGCCATGCCTCAATACGCAAAGCCTCCCGAGGCGGTAGCGGCCCAGCCACCACCCAAGGCATACCCATGCAGCACTTGCGGGAAGGGATTCGCGAGACGCAGTGATCTTGCCCGTCATGGTATGTGCCCTCCACTGCCCCCTCCGATTCGCAAAAGTAGATGCTCACGCTAAATTGAATGCAGAGCGCATCCACACTGGAGTGCGTCCACACGTCTGCGATTATCCAAACTGCGGCAAGCAATTCATCCAGCGTTCAGCTCTCACAGTTCATCAGCGTGTCCACACTGGAGAGAAGCCGCACATGTGTGAACGCTGCGGAAAGGTGAGCGAACCGACAGTCACACAATCGAGCGTCTATGACTGACAAAGAAAAAGCCCTTTAGCGACTCTAGCTCTTTGGCTCGGCATCGTCGGATTCACTCGGGTAAGAGGCCGTATAAGTGCCCGTATGCTGATTGTCAGAAGACATTCACGAGACGCACAACACTCACTCGCCATCAAAATCACCATACTGGCACGGTCGAAGATGCTGCTCGCGCCACTGCGGAGGCCCTGGCCAGGAACAGCGTAGCCCGCTCAGGCTCCGCACGCCCTGCCCGGTCTGAGGGTGACCAGATTAGCAACCACGGTTCACCGATCTCTACGCCGTCTCCGGCTCAGAGGACCATGTCGATGTCACCAAGTGCTGAGATGGTTGGTGCCAATGGAATGCAACACGGATACGTGGGTAACACCTCCCTGCCTGCTCACCTGCGCAACGACCTGCACACTGGCAGCCCCACCTCTACAACGTCGGCAGGTTTCGCCAACAACGTCCGGCCGACTTCTCACCCCACGAGCTACGGCGCACCACCGACGACACTGGAGCCGAGCATCGAAAACGGGCAGGGACCTGGTAGCGCGGCTGGAAGCCCCCACATGAGCAGTGTCGGATGGGCTTCTCCTTCGCATGGGGTGGGTTCGCCTGTTCATAGTAACAACGGTAACGGCAGCTACGTCTACCCGGATCCTGACCAGGGGTATCCCACAAACGCGGCGGCGCAAGGGCAGTTGTTCTACAGCGCCGCCATGGGCTTGCAGCGGCCTGGAAGCGCTGAGCCCGGTGCAGCGAACTACAACAAGCCACGTCAGGGCGAGCTCTGGGCTGCCTAGAAACCTAATTGGTGAAGCAGACCCCCACTGGTCGCGTGGACAGGATGGGAGGCACGGGTTGCCAGTTTGCTGGTTGCATTAACAGGTTCTGCATGACAAATTTCGACAACAGAATTGCCGAGGCGTGCTCACTGAGCCGTGCTCGGCCCGTCAAACAGAGACGTTTTCCAGAGGGCTTTCGGTGGGTACCCATGATTACTCAATCGGTGTGGATGTCTGCATCCAATTTTATAGTACGGAAGTTATGGCGCAAAATCGAGCCAATCGTGGAGGGTGGTAATACAGGGCTTTTGGCTGGGGAAATTGTTTTTCTTCACTCCTTTAGACTGGCAACCGGGCATGAAAAAGGGAGAACAAGCGTGGCTACGCAGCGGGGCGACGGCAGGACAGGGTGTTTCGGAGCTTCACGGTTCGATTGCTTCTTAAGGTCAGCAGACACAAAAGTGACTATCCGTTTACTGTTTTCTTTTAGTGTAAAACAATTAGACATTCGATAGCTTCGATGGTCGAGGAAAAGAAAATAGGACAACCGCGTAATTAGTATTGCTCGCTTGAACACCATTGTGAAAAAGTGCAAAATTAAGTGCTAGTGAGACGAGGCTGATCGCGTCCATCCCCCTTTCTTGCTCGGGACTCATGCGCACTTGTGGACATATACGTGACGGTGGAAGACGACGTCTGCGTGGTTTCTGACGGAGACAGCCGAGCTTGCTGCAAGTGTGTTGTTCATTTGCACAAAAAGATGGTCGGGACGGGGACCAGGCCAGCCAGGATCCGAGGTCAGGCTAGTTTTGTCGTAGGGTGGGTGTTGGCTCGGTTTTCTGTTTACTAATCTTCGGCCACGAGTTGTCCTATTTCGCTCATACGCTGGCCATGGGCTGTCAAACGACGTAATCATGGGCAGAAAGAGGGCCTGTGTTCCTGTTTTGCCTGTTCAAATATCTTGTGTGTCTCGCTCGCCCCGTCTTTCCCCCCCGAGAAGCTTCATACAAGGCTGCTTGCTGTCCAAGTGTATGGCCCGGCACGGAGTAAGCACGAAACTACGTGCTCAGCTTATGTGGACGACGATTCCTCGACATTAGCAGCCTCGTCACATTCGTTTTAGAAAGACTGTATTGCGAACTGGGTTCGTCGAAAAGAATCAAATTGTTGTTGTGGAGGTGTACGACTTAAAGCATGGCGCCGCCACTCACCATCTCGATCCAGACCTTCTCCGACACTGTCTGCCCCTGGAGTTACATCGGCAAGAAGAATCTCGACAATGCGATAGAGGCATACAAGGAGCAACATCCCGACGTTGAATTTTCGGTGACCTGGAACCCGTTCTACTTACACCCAAACGCCAAGATCTCCGGTGAGACCCCAATATCTTGTTTTCAACATCACCATCTTCACTACCACCTTCCCGGCAGCTGAGGATATACTCTGCAGCGATGTCCCACCGCGTTACCCAAAAAACCATGGCTAGAGCTGATATCATGACCAGCATATAACAAAAAGAAATACTACGCCTCCAGGTTCGGGCCCTCAGGGGCCGCAGCGATCTGCGAGCGGGTAAACAACTCGGCGGCGGCGCTGGGGCTGTCTATCAACTGGGACGGGATATGCGGCAACACTCGAGACTCACACGTTCTCCTCCTCCTCGCTCAAAAGCTCCAACAGCAGCAGGACGAGGAGGGCGAGGAGGAGGAGGGAGGTGACAGCACCGCCGCGCACAAGGCCCGCGACAACCTCCTGCGGGACACACAGGATACGCTGTTCTACGGGGCGTTCGACCGCGGCCAGGACATCAGCAATCGGGGCTTCCTAGTCAAGGTAGCGCTGGAAGCCGGGCTTTGCGAGAGCGAGGAGGAGCTCCTGGCGCACCTGGACAACAAGGAGGCGCGGGACGAGGCCGACGGGCTGGACAGCTACGCCAAGGAGGTGGTTGGCATCACGGCCGTGCCGAGTTATGTCGTCCAGGGGCGGTACAGGATCGGCGGGCAGCAGTCATCTGACGTGTTCCTACAGTTGTTTGACAGGATTAGGGCGACGGAGGTGGGTGAGTAGTGTGTGAGTGTGAAGGGCGTCTCATATTGGGTTTCTATCCAGATGAGAAAAGCGAAAGCAGGTGCTATCTGTGTGTCTGGTTGGCATAGTCGATTACAAGTCAGAAATGGCTGGCCAGGAAACATACACGATGGCCTGAGGATAGACATATTGGAGGATTCGCATACCGCTGGGTGGCCTGTTGGCGTTGTGATGGTATCACATCTAGTAGTAATAAAAGCCAACCTTGTACAAAGAATGAGCAGTAATGAGTTGCTTTGATCACGATGTCTCTCGGCCATCGAGATTGCTTCAACATGTTTATTGATGATTAGTATGAGTATGCTCGAAGACGAGAGCCTCTGTCTTCGCGAAATGTCCCTTTCCCCTCCCTAATGAATCGTGTCAAAACTCCCTGGAACACTTGATCCTCGTTCCATCGATGCTGGGTGTCCATCCATACGCCATGGGCAAGCCGACGTCGAACAATCTGTCGAAGGCCTTCTTCAATCTACCGTTTGCATTCTCTTTTTTTGTCTCTTTTCAATTCAATTTACTCCAATACGCCGTGATGATGCACGCAACGAAGATGAACCAATACTACCTCACTCACTTCTTACCTCGGCGGCGGGAAGAATCATCCTATTTCTTCTTGTTGCCGTCGTCAAAGAGCCCCATGAGATGCGTGTTGGTGAGGTTCTTGGGTCGGGTAGACGCCCTCTTCTTCTTCTTCTCCACCTTGGCCGCCACCACCTTCAGCCGGGGGTCCTCGCTTGTGGGCTTCTGGCCGACCTGGGTGAGCAGGCGGTTGATGTCCTCGACGGCCGGCACCGAGACCTTGTGCCACAGGTTCTGGAACACCGGGTCGACCTCGTTCCAGAGGCTCTGGTCATCGCTCCACACGTAGCGCGGGTGGTTGTCCTTCTTGGTGCGCACCACCAGCACCTTGTGGTCCCGCTCCAGCTCCGTGAGCGCCTTGTAGAGCGACTCCTTGGGCCAGCCATCCTCGAGATCCTTGACCTGCACGTACATGGCGTCTTTCTTCTTCTGAAGATACGCCAGAAGGCTCTCCTTGCTGCGCACGCCGGGGATCAGCGGGTTGTGTATGTAGGTGCCACTGTCCCATCGCTGCTCGCTGAGGTTGGGGTCAGGGATCCAGCGCACGCGCGGGTTCCGGCGCAGGATCTCGGCCAGCTCGTTCTGCTCCTTCTCGGTGACGGGCCGCCGCGACATGTGGTCCATGATCTCGTAGATGCCCAGCTCCTTGTCCTTCTCCTTCAGGTGGTGCACGGCGTAGACCATCTGAGTGCCCAGCTCCATGCCCGTACCCGTGAGGGAGGGCTGCGAGAAGATCTCGGCGCCATCAATGGGACGCGACTTGTTCTTCTTGGTCGGAGTGCTGCCGGCGAGCGCGCTGCTTGTGGATGCGACTGATGGAGAGGGAGATGGAGGCGCAAGGGCGGCCTTCTTGGAAGGACCAGTCAGGTCGACGACGGTAGGGCCGCTCTTCGCTGCGGCTGACGCAGCCCGCTGGCGCTCGAGGAAGGACATGTCGACGGGATGGCAGAAGAACTGGATCACTGTCGAGAGGTTGTGGATGATTCACGCGCTGACGAAGTCAACGTCGCTATTGTGGAGGAGGAAGGGGTGGAAAGACGTAAGGCTGAGACAAAGCGCTCTAGGCCCCCAAAGTGGGTGGTTGATACGCAGCGGAAATTGATAAGGAAGTGGGCTTGCACTAGCTCCGCTGGGCGGGTTTGCTGTGGGTGCCAGCAACTGAGAGATCGACAAAGATTGACACGATAACCAGCTGTTTGCTCCTTGAAGAAATCTTCAGGAATAAGACAAAATATGGAATAGTTGAAGTCGCGAGAGATAGTTTGATCAGCTCTTTTAAGTCTGCTCAACGTGGTGTATGATGTGGGCACAAGACCGTAGATCTCACTCGCAAGTAGACAGACTATTGTGGCAGCATAATGGGACGACCCGGCATTCTGTTGGCCAGCAACCATCTGTCTTCAACACCGTGGTCCGTTATTGGCAAGCAATTGTCTTCAGGCCTCGTGATTGTCTCTTCAAATGGAGTATTAAAACGACCGCGTATAAGTGAAGGAAAAGTCTAGTCGAAGAACCTAACCTTGTTGAATAGCCATCACCCACGGAAATGCATGGAGTGAAAGTGTCTGGACAATGTTCCGGCGCACATAAACAACCGACCCGATGCCTCTGGTAAACTCAACCGTGGAACCCTCAGTATCAAATCATTGGGTAAACAAGGCCAAAGCTGAATTCTGTCTACCTGCACGGGCGAATAGAAACAACACGAGGATATGTAAGGCAAAAACCACCAGTGAAAGCACGACCTATATGTTATCGTCACGAAACTGGCGGCACCCTCTTGCCAAAAGCCCACCGCAACGCTAGCCCCTCCCCAACTCATAGTCCTTCTAAGCCTGGCCTTGCTGCTGCTGCTGGGCCTGGAGATATTGGTAGGCAAAGTAGGCAGCGGCACCACCGATAAGCACGAAGGCGTACACGCCGATGCCGAGGCCGGTGGCATCGCCCGTCGACGCAGGCGTGACGGCACCGGGCTTAGGAGCCTTGGGGGTTGGGTCGCCGGGCTGCGAGAGCAATTGATTGTCAGCAGGTGCTCGAATCCGACTTGAAGTGGCCCCATGTGCTGCTCCTCATCTTCTCACAGGGGCTGGGGGTTGTTGATTGCAGAACGTACCTGTCTCTTCAGCACACCGGCGTAGAGCTGCTCCAGTGTCTCACGCGCCTCGTCGCTGTGGCCGACGTCCTCGAAGGCTTCGGTTGCGTCTTGCCCGGCAACATCCAGCATGACCTCCTCACCACCGCTGTGTTGCGCGCGGGCATGTGTCAGTATAAGCTTGCCGGTAGTGCCGAGGCATTGGGGTCGGGGAAGGGCCCGGCATTTGGACTGCCGGGCAACATTGGACGGGGCAGAACTCACGGATGCTCGTCTATGAACTTTGCGCAGTCGTAGACCTTGTCGTGGATGACCACGAACAGGTCCTTCTTGGTGTTGTGCTCGGCAACATCCTGGTAGGTGAACTCCTTGTCCGTCATTTTGGCTGTTGCGGTGGTGGCTGTTGGGGAGAAAGCTCGGGCAGTTTCGTCGAGGTCGGGGTAAGACAGTCAGAGAATCTCAACACGGTGACCGGTGCGGGAGACAGCAGCAAAAGGGGGTGGAGTAGAGCGCCAATGGGAAAGCCTGGAGGAGAGCGTCGACAACAGACTGCAGGTGGTGGAAAACTCGAGGACGGTGAGGTGGATTAGACCGAGTAGCCGGACAGGAATGGGGAATCGAAAGATAATGTATGCTTTCTTGCTCGGAGTGCTCAACTCTGTCCCCGGCGGGAACGGAACGGCAGCATCAGCACCGTTTTGACACTCTGTCGAAGGGGGGTGTTCGCAATCCGGCAGCCAGCCTGGCCAGTGGGAAGGGGACCGCCCGGCCGCCCTGGACCCCGAGCTAAACAAATGGGAACTGTGAGCTGTCCAGTTGCCGGGGACCCTGGGGCCCCACTGCTGCACCAGGTACCTGAGTTCAAATCAAGTCACGCTGGTTGGCCAGAGCGGGCGATTCATCACCCTGCCTTATCCAGAAAGTCCCGTCCGTCTGCAGGCCGTTTGGCACCGAGTATTCTCCGTTTCAACAAGATCCCCACACGAGCTCCTCCGTCGCGGGAACGGCACCACAATGAGACCCCGAGGCTGACGGGGCCGATGACAATCGCCGCTTCCAGAAGTATGGCCCCGGCTGACCTCAACATATGTCCCATCGTCCAGCGTCAGCCTGGTTTCTGCACCTCCAAAGCTCCACGTCGCATTTCTGCACAATTTCACAACACTAGCATTGACGGGGACTGTGGCTCCTGGCTTCCCCTTCGTTTTCGTATTCGTATTGCCCTCTTTCTCTCCCTATCTACCTGACGCAGAACCTGTCCGCGAAGCAAGCTACCCCAATCAGCTTGCCTGTGGTGCTTACGGCAGGACATGACTTCTCACACCAACAGCCAAGATATAAAGGCTTGGTGTCGGCGAGCTTCCGAGTCCGATTTTCAACCTCACGGCTCAATTGATGACACCCCATGCCTGGACGTAGAGGCCTACATATGCCCATATACATCTGGTCTTCCCTCCACGCTCACCTCCTAGAGCTGCCGCCACCGATGTCTTGGCCTAACCGGTAGCTGGCGACCTTGTCCCACTCAATCTTCTGTCTCGTCACCGGCAGCTGTCTCCTCAGACCCTTGAATGCGCCCTCGCTCAGACTCGTGAAGCCCTTGTTCAGCTCCTCCTGGTACTTCTTTTCCGCCGTCGAGATCTCCTTGGCAATGCCGCTGCCGGTTCCCGACGAGACGGAGGCTGTGACGGTCTTGTTGGTCACGAGGCGCACGTTTCCGTCCTCGTAGTAGTGAACATCCACCTTGATCGAGCCTTCCAGAGAGTTGTCGGATGGGTCAAAGATGTACAGGGATCGCCATCGACCGTTCCTATCCTCCGTCAGCCTCGGTCCTTACCGAACTATTATGCCTATAGGGACAATCCTCACCAAAAATTGTTGGGGCTGTATTTGCTGGCTACGGTGATGATGGCCAGTTTCGAGTCATTCTCAATAGGATACACTCCGAAGGCAGCGTTGGGGAAATGCTCCTTGACGTATGTTCCCAAGCTCTTCAGTGTTGATTTACTGCGGACCAGGATGTGTCAGTGCATGAGCCTTGAACTGAGAGGTCAGTCAACACGTACACAAGATCAGAGTGCGCGCTTTCGAGGGAATGGCTCTGGGCACCGCTGGCCTTCTGCGTAGCATGATCGAATTCGAAGCTGGTAGAGCTCTCGACGTCGTAGTACCGGCCATCTCCAAGAGAGTTGTGCGAGCTGACAATGACGGGCTCGCTGCTGCCCGGTAGCTTCGCTGTGATGAACTGCTCCTCATTGTACTTCTGGAATGCCGGCCCAAGCTCCTTCACCAGGCTGGGTTCGGAGATGGTGAGGGCTTTGATGTCTGCATCGAGATGTTAGTGTCGGGGGTTCGCGGGGGCGCACTCGTAGGCTCCAACTTGCCGGCTATGACATCTGAAAGCTTGAAGAGGTCAGCGGAATATCAATGGCATATAGGGACACGGGGGCGCACCTCTCCGGGTGGAGCATCTCCGACAAAGGAAGACACCCACTCTAGACTCTCAGACATGGGCGGCGGAGGGACAAATGACGAATCGGTAAGGTGGCAGTTCGAGTATCGGTTTCCTCGGCTACACCAGAGTTTGATGCTTGGGTAATCTGTGGATGAGCGCTGGTACGAATCGAAGGCGACAGGTTTCAGGGGCAACGACGTTGTTGCGTTGACAGCTCCCCGTCATCTATCCCCAGACCGCGCTTGACCCCTAGAAGTGGGGTGGGCACTGAACGCCGCGCGTGGCGGGGTAGCTCGTCATTGGGCGGCTGGCCTGTTGAGTTGTGGGAACCACCCGAGCGATTCCCAATTTCTTCAAAGGAGCGCAGCATTAGGGATCAACTTTAACCAAAAGTTCGTCATGCCCAACCATTTCCCAGCTCCAGCACGAACCACTATACTTTTTCCAACTTAGATATATTTCGTTTATAGTTATTTTCTACGTCATCCCAAGAAGAAGCCGTGGAACCGGCCTTTCAGGATGGTCTTGCCCAGCAATACCAGCCCCCAAGCCAAGGAGCAAGGCACCCGGCTGCCATAGTAACCACCAACGCCGAGCCTGATGCTTTGGAGATGCTAATAATCCAAGACCTTTTTAATATTGTCATATACCCCTGACAGCTGTTAGCTCCTCTTCACAGTGGGCTCACTTGCTTGGAAAGGCTACTTACTCGCAACATCTGGCAGGTTGAACCTCTCGAAGACCAAAGGCGTCGGCGTGCTCCAGCCAGCAACACGCATGACAGGCGCCTCCAGCCGAATGAATGTGGATGGGTCCTCCTGTATGGCTGCTGCCACCTCGGCGCCAACGCCAGCATTGACCATAGACTCGTGTACGACCATGCACCGCCCAGTCTTCTGGACGCTCTTGAAGACCGTCTCCTTGTCCCAGGGGTACACAGTCCGCAGATCGACCAGCTCAATGCTAATGCCCAGATCCTGCTCTGCCTGCTTGATGGCATTCTGGCAAATGAACAGTGGCTGGCCATACGAAATGATGGTCAAATCCTTACCCTCTTTCACAACCTCGGCCTTGGACAATGGCAGCTCATACGGCGCAACGGGAACTTGCTCGACGGCTGCTCGGTACAGCACTTTTGGTTCCATGAAAATGCAAGGGTCATTGCTCCGTATTGCCGCCAGCAATAGTCCCTTCGCCTGCAATGGTGAGCGCGGGACAATTACTCGGAAGCCTGGAATGTGCGTGAACAGGCTCTCCGGTGACTGGGTGTGATACAGAGCGCCATGGCCTACCGCTCCACAGGGCATCCGTACGGTCAAGCCTCCGACATGCCTGCCACATGCTCCGTCCCTATATCGATATTTGGCCGCCTCGTTGACCATCTGATCGAATGCTGGAAATACGTAGTCCGCAAATTGGATCTCTGCGACAGGTCTCATGCCCTCGGCAGCACACCCGATGGCGAAGCCCATGATGCCCTGTTCTGACAAAGGGGTGTTGAAGACGCGATCGCCTCCGTACGTCTCGGCCAGCTTCATGGAACAACGAAAGACACCTCCAAATGCAACATCTTCGCCAAACAAGAGCACATTTTCGTCCTCGGCCAGTGCTATTGACAGAGCATCGTTGATGGACTGGAACAGGTTCATCTTCTTGGTCGTCCCCTCGCGGACCTCGGGCGGCAGCTCTGGGTTGTTGAGGGCGGACTGCGACGTGTGTGCCAGGAGAGGCGTCGTTGCATAGTCGATTGGTAAGTTGAGCTTCGCATTGGGAGGGTGCGTCGAGTGCCGCCTCTGTGGCAGTCCGTTATGGCTCGAAGGCAGAGGCTTGCAGCTTCGCGAGGGAGCGGCTGCCAGTGTCGCAGCCCTCCTGAGCAAGTGTCGAGGCAGGTGGCCCCTCATGGTGTCGAAGACCGCGGTATCAAAGCGAACCAAGCGATTTCACAGGAACTCTGACGCGTCAACGCACACAGAAGTAAGTGCCTGGTAGGTACAATCTCATTGCATCTCCCAAAAGAAGTCGTGTCCACCATTCTGGGCGGGATGATGGCGGCCTTGGAGTCGTCTGGAAGACGAGAGTTCGGCAAACGGCGGTTCAAGAGTCGTGGGGGGGTTGATCTGGGGTTCGCCGCCTGGTCCCTGGTCCCCCAGACGCCAGACAACCCTCTCTAGGCGGCACCCTTGTCCCCCAACTCAGGTACGTACCTGACACACAGCCAGCCTGACAGGTTGGAGCTCGGCACCTGCAGCATGACATGCACAGCGGATCCCGGCCCTGCGCCGTGCCTCCCAGCCTCTTTATATCCAAATGTTACCTGGGAGACCAGCCACCCGTAAACACCAGCAGACGTAGCTAGGGCAAAATCCCACCGTAGAAGGTCAATCAATTTATTTTCTGCACCCGCTTCCTTTCTGTCCGTCATCCGTGCTGTTCCACATTAGATCTGAGCTGTGTGTGTCATGCTGCAGGTGTTGCATGTGTTGATCTGCCACTGACACTTTTGGTGGGCTGGTATTGCTACACACTACTGTAGTCCATCAACCTTACCGACTGCTAACCGAGTCTCCGCCCTTCCTCGAACAACAGTTACTTCTTTCTTAAGTACACTTCACACACCTCAGGTTCTGAGCTATGGCACCTGAACGGTCTTCCAGGCACCGCGAGTCTGGTGAGAGGAGACATAAAAGCCGCCACTCCAGGTCACATCATCATGCCTCCGGTTCAGACGGGACAAGGTCTGGCCATAGCTCTCGCCAGGCCTTGTCTATGGACGCTCTAGCGGCTCTGAATGAGGCCAATGCCCAGGGTCCCAGTTCTCGAGAAGCTGAGGAGGAGCTCGAGAGAAGACGGCGTCAAGAGCGCAGAGAGAGGCGAAAACGAGAGCAGAGGGCGAGCGCGGCCCGGAACGAGTATCAAGCAGTTGAGCCAGACAGCCCACGAGACAGCCCACGAGGGCACCGGACGCGGCAGTCCAGGTCTTCCCAGCCGCCACCACCACCACAGTACGAGGAAAGGGACTTGAGCCGTCGCAGGGAGTCGAGGGAGAGGAGAAATCATCGGTCTTCGAGAGCGTATGAATCACCACGAGACGCCCAACGAGACGAGGATGATGAGGAGAGGTATCGACAAGAACGGAAGGAACGCAAGCGGCAAAAGAGAGTGGTTGCCAGTGCTCCAGCACCAGCACCTGTGGAGGACAAACCCAAGTCCAAGAGGTTCTGGCACTTGCGCGGTGGCGGAACGAATACGTCGAGCAGTTATCTTGGCTACGATGACAAAGAAGGTGCTTATGACGATCGTCCAAAGAAGCGTTTCTGGACCAGGAAGAAAATTTGTGAGTTCTCTGTCCCGGATTTTGACTGACCGTACGACTGACATGATCAGTGATTGCTGCCGGTTTATCACTGGCCATTGTCCTCATCATTATCATTGCAGCGGTGGTAGTGAGCAAAAAGAATTCTGGAGGTTCCAACTCTGGCTCGGGCTCCAGTTCGAGCTGCCTGAAATGTAACTTGCCCGCCGAAGGCAGCGTACCCAGCGGCGCTCCAGACTACTTGGATCCATTCCAGTGGTACGATACCATCGACTTCAATGTCACCTACACGGATGTCCTGGTGGGCGGCCTTCCCATCATGGGCTTGAACTCAACGTGGGACGACTCAAACGCGCCGAATGGCATCGTCCCGGCCCTGAACGAAAAATGGGGTTCTTATACTGACCGGCCTGCTCGAGGTGTCAACCTGGGGGGCTGGCTGTCGCTTGAGCCTTGGATCACACCGGACTTGTTTATGTACGATCAAAGCCTAGGGATCGTGGATGAGTATAACCTCTGCAAATATCTGGGCTCAAAATGCGCTTCAACCCTAGAGGAGCACTACTCATCCTTTGTCACCGAGTCGACCTTTGCCGAGATAGCCGATGCAGGCCTCGACCACGTCCGCATCCCTTACTCGTACTGGGCTGTCCAGACCTATGACGACGACCCATACCTCTTCCGTACATCCTGGCGGTACCTCCTCCGCGGTATTGAGTGGGCCCGCAAGTACGGCCTCCGCATCAATCTCGACCTGCACGGCATCCCCGGCAGCCAGAACGGGTGGAACCACAGCGGGCGCCTGGGACCGATCGGCTGGTTCAACGGAACCAACAGCACACAAAACGTCCAGCGCTCCGTGGACGTCCACGACCGGCTGTCCAAGTTCTTCGGGCAGGAGCGCTACCAGAACATCATCTCCCACTACGGGCTGTGTAACGAGCCGAAGATGACGGTGATATCCTCAACCGAGGTGATGAATTGGACCGAGTCCGTCTACAGCATGGTCCGGGCCAACGGAGTCAAGGACGCCATCGTCGTGTTCGGCGACGGCTTCCGCGGGCTGGGCAACTGGCAGGGCGAGATGACGGGCTACGGGGACAACATGGCGCTGGACGTGCACCAGTACGTCATCTTCAACAACGAGCAGATCGTATACAACCACACGGAGAAGGTCGACTACGCCTGCCGCGGGTGGACGGAGCAGACCGAGACGTCCATGGACACGAGCACGGGGTTCGGCCCGACGCTGGTGGCCGAGTGGTCGCAGGCCGACACGGACTGCGCGACGCACCTCAACAACGTCGGCTGGGGCAACCGCTGGACCGGCACGTACGACACGGGCAACGCGAGCGACCCGCTCCAGGCGCTGACGCCGCGGTGCCCGACCGAGGACAGCTCGTGCTCGTGCACCAGCGCCAACGCCGACCCGGGCTCCTACAGCGACGACTACAAGCAGTTCCTGCTGTACTTTGCCGAGGCGCAGATGGACAGCTTCGAGAAGGGCTGGGGCTGGTTCTACTGGACCTGGTGGACGAGCCAGGGTTCGTGGCAGTGGAGCTACAAGAGGGGCATGCAGGCCGGCATCTTGCCCAAGAAGGCCTACGAGCGTTCATTCCACTGCAACTCGACAGCGATACCAAATTGGTACCCATCTTTGCCCGAGACTTACTAGTCGACGGTTGGAAAGAAGAAGAGAACGTTCGTCTTGGGGGACGCATCTCCGGAGTGGAATTCTCGGGATTGCAGCGTCTGGCGGCATGCGGCTGTACATGGTTGATGATTAGGGTGAACATCAAGCGGGTTATGGCTGGGTTTAATTATTTGGCATTGCAAACGGCGTCGGTCACGGAGGAATGGATCACATGGCTTCCACGTTCCTCCAAAGCATATTGTACATAAACGAAATCCTTAAGGGATAAGTCTAATTATAAACTACAAAGTACATAAGCACACTCAATCAATTTCCAGATGTGCCAGTAATGAATTTTATGTCCGAGTGGTCATATCGACATCCGACTCCAGGGTCGGGCAAGTTGTTCGCAACGAAATACTTGTGATGTGAGGCTAAAGCAAGGCGAAGAGAGTGAAGATCCATAAAGTCAGATCCAGAATTGAGTTTCCTAGGCGAGCATCTCCATTAGAGAGAATTCCCGATACAGGGGCTATTCATGGATATCGAGTGAGTACCATTGTCTTTATTCACGTCTTAAATGCGGATGCATTACGATGACTGCAATTATGTAGGAGATGAGTACCAAATTCATTCAAGTTCAATCAACAGGTTCAAATGCAAAGCTCTTGTATTTTATTGTACTACTGAAACTACTTCGGATGCGACCACAGTAACACTTGCAGTCAGTCACATAGTCCTTCTCTATGTCAAAGCGAGCCCAATGTCCGTCAACACGCTACTGGCGTGGACAGGATCGTCGAGTCGCATCTAGATGACAGTGGGCACCCTTGGGTAATGGTCATACCTAGATCTGATTTTGTCAGCCATGAATTCATGAAATATCTTTCAAGAATGACTGAGGTAGAGAGGGGTGGCGATATCAGTTCGTGGAGCCTCTGTCAAAGGCAGATTCATCAAGGCATTTTGCTATGAAGACCGTCGTGATAAAATTTTATGATCATCATTTTGGCACGGGGGAAAGATTGTGAAAAATTGGTCATAACTTACAATTGTAAACATGTCAACATCGTCGATCAGTAAAACCTAACCTGAGCATCATGAAGTCACTAATTTTCTGGCATCATTGTTAGCACTAATCTCACTCCGTAGACGCGATAACAAGAAGGTGAAGCCTGGGATTCAGCAGTGACGGTTATCATCTGCGCTCGAAAGCTCTGACATATGCTTGTCTTGTTTTTTGTCAGATCATCATTAAGGTGCAGAGAGTGGCTAGCTCTTGATCTTGGGCGACGGGAAAACTGAGAACGGACCTACCAAATGGGGCCGTCACGGATGTGAAGTCGAAGCCAACAGATCGATCTACTTCAGCAATGTTAGCAAGCTGAGTTTCTCAGGCATGATTGCAAAAGTGTGTGATTCAGCGTCTCTGTCAGGAAATGCATGAATGGTAGTTAAAAAAGGTTGTCTGCATCGGAAACCCGGATAAGACTCGTCATCTAAATATTCATCAGGGAAACGGGGGAGGGCTTCGAAAGTGGGAAATAGCACCTACTGACTTGAACGACGACGATCGTACTCGGTCGGCGTATGGAGAGCATCGATTGGCTCGTGGCCAACGACTCATCAACATCATCACCAGTTGCCTATTGGCCAGAATTATACAGTGCCAGAGATCTGGGTTGTGACGATGTCAGCGAGGGTGATCGTCTGCGGTCGTTCCAGCCCGTAGTGTCGCTTCAATTCAGTGGACGAGGTTTTCTAGGCCTGTCGCAAAATGGCATATCTGCTCATGAAATAATTCGGAGCCCAGTGCCGTTTCATCAGGATGAATGCTGAGGGGAGATAGATGGAAATGGTCGTACCATGCAAGCATCTGCAGCCGGGCCTGAGCTTCAAGTCAGCATATTGCGCAAGAACTCAAGATCAATAGAAACGTAATGTTCAAGATGATAATCAGAAACAGCCATTTTTGTCGTCAAAGAATAACTCAGTCGGTAATTCCAACTTGCCGAAGCAAAGTAAATGTTCATCAGATAAAGGAGAGTCGAAGAACGCAAAGTTGACATACCGTCACGGTGGGGGCCCGGCGCAGGCAGAAGAGATGGTCGATCATAGAGGCATGTCGACGTGGAAGAGACTCGAGCACTACTTTTCAGGCTGTTAGCTTGAGGTCGCAGATCGAGCGATGTGTTTGATGAAGCGCAAGTCGTGCTGAATTTCAGACTGACGTTACAAATTCGGTTTCATTCCTTTTAGGTCAAAGACTCTAGTTTGCGGTTTTTGGTGTTGTCATCAGGAAGACGATGGAGGGGAGAAGAAAAGTGCTGGCTTACCTCGAATTTCGCACGCGATGCGCGTGGTTGATGTTGGGACAGGAAGAGGTTGCTTGCAGAGACTTTTTTTTTCTTGCCGTTTTGAAGCAGGTCGGCGGAGCCAAGGTGGCCCAAGCTCCAACGCCGTTTTTGCGGGGCACTGGTCAGCTGAGTTGGCGTTTGGCCGCGACGGCTCTCGCGGGTGTCATTGCATCACCACGCCGCGCTTGAGTCGCGTCATCCTCTCTGAACCACGAGTAGGATTCTGAGCACTCAACCAACAGGAGAAAGCTGCCCATCATGCCTGAAATTGCAGAAGGTAGGTCACATCAAGTTCCAATTTTACACACTTGGAAATCCTACTAAGAACGCTTCTAGTCGCGAGGTGTGTGCATTTCCTCCGCCAGCACCTTGTGGGCAAGAGGATCTCCAAGATCCAGGCAGTAGATGACAACAATGTCTTTGGCAAGGTCGGCACGTCCGGCTCGGCTTTCGAGAAAGCACTCAAAGGCCGCACTGTAGGTGTGCCGCTGAAATCCCCATGCTACAGGTCATGTCCTGAATCTCGCACAGGTCGAGGCTGCTGGCAGTCAAGGGAAATATTTCTGGCTCCAGCTTGATCAGGCTCCACACCCGGTGATGCACCTAGGGATGACTGGTAAGCGACAATCCCGATACACTTTCTTGTGCGACTTGCAGTTTAGCTGACCGGCAAAGGCTGGGTTCATATTCAGAACGACCGCACTGCATACACCAATTACTACAAGAAGATGAATCCAGAGGAACAAGAGCAGTGGCCACCAAAATACTGGAAATTCCAGCTCGAGACTGAGGGCAGCCCAGCGGTCCGCATAGCTTTCACTGATCCCAGACGGTACGTATATCTTCAGGAGGCTCGCCGTCCTCGTTGCCCGTTCACATGCTCAAAGCTCAACCTTTGAAGCACTTCCTGTCGTGAAGTTGCAGACATCCTCATTAACGGACTCAAAATTCCTGACTCTCATTCGCACATTCCCCCTACTTAGTAATTGCTGACGGCTATCTAGATTTGGACGCATCCGCCTCGTTGACTGTCCTGGTGACCAGATTCGCAAGACCTCGCTGCTGGTGGAGAATGGACCAGACCCGGTAGTCGACAAGGATGTATTCACAGAGCAGTATCTGAGAGAGAAGATGCGCAAGAAGCACGTGCCACTCAAGGCATTCATTCTGGACCAGGCCCTCATAAGCGGCATCGGCAACTGGGTCGCCGATGAGAGTCTCTACCAGGCAAGATTACACCCTGAGCAGTACTGCGACGATTTCACCGACGCGGAGATCAAGCGACTTCACGAATCTATCACCAATGTCTGCCAGACAGCATGCGATTTGCTTGCCGACTCGGACCAGTTCCCCGACGATTGGCTTTTCAATCACCGATGGGGAAAGGGCAAAAAGACCTCAAGCGCACTGCCCAATGGGGAGAAATTGGCTTTCATCACGGTGGGTGGACGCACAAGCTGCTACGCACCGAGCCTCCAGAAGAAGACCGGTCTTGTCGCACCAGGTATCAAAGAAGAGCCGCTGGAGAACGGGGACTCTGAAGAGAAGCCTAAAAAGCCCAGGGCTGGAAAGCAGAAGAAGCAAGAAACAGATGACGCTAAAGAGCTGGCAAAGAAGACGAGGGCCAGGAAAACCGCGGTCGAGCCCGCGGATGACGATGACGATGACGACCAGCGACCACGGAAGAAGAGCAGGGTGAAGCAAGATGTCGTGAAGGGAAAGCCTTCGGCCTCTGGATCAAAGACCGCGAAAAAGGAAAATGGCATCGCAGAAGAGAGCGGCACAGGCAGAAGGCGATCAGCAAGGCTCAGCAGAGGTGCTTAGGAATCGACCTAAGTCCCGGCCGATCACAGACTCGTGGTAGCAAGAACGACTATCGCCGAATGCCGATACGCGGGATTCTCAGATTCCCTCAGCCCAGGACAATACGGGATGGCAGGGGACCCTTTCAGTTGCCAGTCGATGACTTGCCTAAAGTTCGAGTTATGGTTTCGGTGCAATTTGGAGCTCATGGCGAAGTCTAATTTGGGCTAATTAAGTGTTATGAATCCTCACTTGTCCTGTACTATCACTGCAAGTCCAAGTTGCTGTTTGATCTTTGATCGTTGCGAACTATTGGTTTACCCTCTATACAGCTTCTTGCACCACCCCTGAGCCAGCAAATTTGTATGCCATGTGTACTATTCTGTACATTCCCCGAAGTACAAGAAGATCGGCCCACTTGAGATCTAAGGAAGCTTATGTATAACAAATCTCTTAGACGGCATAATCCTGCCCACTTCTATTGTGCCGCAAAGATTGCAATTATGGCAATGAGAGTCTACGGTTCGGACGGTATGTCCGGTGGAAACGTCCCAAATTGGGCCATCAAGTACATAGTGTCCGCCTCGTCCAGCTTCTCACCATTCTCCGTCCCCTGGGCCAGCATTCGGAAATCTGCAAGTAAACTTAGCCTTCCATGCTTGCACTTCCACTGCCACCGGGGTTCGTGTCAAACTCACAATCGATATAGTACCCTGGCGTAGCAGTCATGTAAAGCTCAGCCTCCTCCGTGGCCGAGGCATTCTCAAAGGTGTGTATGGCCCTGGGAGGAACAACCATCAGGTCTCCAGGCGAGACTATGATTGGGTCAGTGATGTGTACCTTTGTCCCTGAAATAATTAGGTTTGGCTTTTGGGCACTCACCGTCCATGCTGCCGTCGGGAACGATGAATCGAACAGTCCCTATGCCGTTAAGAATCAGCAACAACTCAGCCTCACCATAGCTCCAAACAGTGGGTCACCGCACCCTTGGTCACGAAGAACAACTCATCATGAAAGCGATGCCAATGCATAGGTGGGCCGGAGGTGCCTGGGGGTATCATCAGGAGAATAGCGCCGACGCGGTTGTCCGTGTGGGACCCGTCCTCGAACACGTAGCAGGTGATGGGGCCGAGCATGAGGACCTCGGCGTCGTCCTTCCTGTAGAGCTTCACGGGCGCCGGGCCACGGTTGGAGGGCATCTTGGGCCTGGGTGCCAAGACGGCCGATAGCGAGCAAGAGGGGCAGGGTGGAATTCCGGGTAATAACTCAAATCACTGTGAGCAGCACGTCCAAGTCGAACATCGTGAAGGGCTCCGGGCTCGCTCAAGCAAGTGCACATGGTGTCTGCGCTGGATGCATGGGAGTGTTTCGTCCGACGTCCCCCCAGCCGCCGGCTCCTTTGCGCTTTGACGGACGGCGATCAGCACATGTCTGGCAGGAAGACGTGACGTCGTCCACTAGCTTTGAAGCTCTTCTCGCCTGCGGGGTTAAAGTGAGAGTGAGTTGTTAACGCTCAGAAACCCTTGCGTTGATAATTGGATGTCATATAGAATTGGTTGTGTGCATGCTGTAGGACGCATTTCTAGTGTTCCTGAGTAGACCCTGCATATCCAGCGTCTACTCCAATTCTGAACATTACGCATATGGAGTGCAGAAGCCAGGATCAATTCTCATTTGGCGAAACCTTCTGTATTGTATTATCTTAGGAGTATATCAAGCCTTGTTTTGAAAGACAAATCGTGTGGGGATGTGCAAGAGTTCTTGCTCTCTTCTTAGAGTACCGAGTAGTCACAACACATTGAATTTGCGTGCATTGCACCTTTCTGCAACCCTGACAAACACTGCTGTCAGACCACCTATGATAAAGTCGTATGGCGCTCGGAAGTCGGCAGAAGTCTCCCTGAAAGCTTCTCATGGCTACTATGGGCCAAGGGAGCAAAGGTAGGTCCAGGCCCTTTACCCGCCGAACGCCCCATCGCTTTGAACTGCAACTTAGGATAACTTGATAGGGATGCAACGCTCGCGAGCTCTGAAGCGCATGGCAGACATGTTTGCAGTAGTTCCCATGCGGTAATCGAAGAGGCATGACGATCTTGAGGAGGGGGACCAGCTGCAGCTTCGGTGCACAACGATCTAAGGGAAGCACATTACGGCAGTGGCGTTATCATCGCAGGAGCTGGCGCTGTCTCTATTCGGCGATCTAGACCACAATTACGAGGCGGGGGGAAGAAGCTTTCGCGTCCGGGTAGTGACTAGGGAAGATACTCATGGCATCCGAAGGGACAAATATCGTGTTGTCAGGGGCAAAAATGGACTGTCAGAGCTGCCGTGTTCGTGATCCAAGGACGGGTTCAGGTTTACGGAAGCAGCGATCCGGAGGGGCCCCCCTATATCCACCCTGATGTCGACGTCGTCTCCGCCGTGAACTCTATCGGCCGCGGAGGACAAGCCGCCATGAGATCAGCCCACGCGCCGAGAAAAGGCCTCGGTTCCTCCGCCTCTCTTTCTCACCGGCCTTTGGACTCTCGATTGACGCCGCTGTGAATGAGCGACGCCATCGTAGGAGCACGGGTTGCTGGTGGGTCCTGTGGGTTCCAGGAGGCATTCGTATAGTTACACGTCCAAGCACTGCCCGGCAGATGTTGAGGATAGCACCCTGGACGTCGTCTCTGTCTCTCAACGTGTAGCATGTTTACTTCAAATCTAAATCTGCGGCACCTGCAGGCTCACATGGTGTCGTGCCTAATGCGGCCCGCATTGCTATGTTCCAATTGTAGTATAATTGTACGGTACGCCAGCGAATGCGCTTCACTCAAAGATGAAATGGGTATCGCTTGTACCAAATAGCGCTATGCCTAAGAGCAAAATGCCTGCGTGCAGCATGGGAACAACCGAAATGCTGAGCCCGAGCCCCGATGAACTCCGTCTTGAATGCTGCCGTGGTCTGATGCCGAACTGCCTCAAAGCAGGAATGCCCCCAAAAACTCCTTTGTTACCTTTATCCTTCGATGCATTCAGACTGCCAGATAGGTCCCTGTCCACCAGAAAACTCCCATGATGATGCCCTTGTAAACAATGATGACTTGTTGCCTTGTCGGTCCAATCTTCCTGACACCGGGTCTGATGTAATGTATAAAAACCAGAGCGAAATACCGAAAAGTTGTCTCCCAAATTGTTCTGCCGTTTAAACATGTCCCTGAATCGATACAATTGCTTGTCGTATTCATTCTTTTTGATGCTGGAAGCCAACCGAATATCGAAATTCTTGGGTATCCCACTGGATGGGAATGATCGTGAGGATATTGACGAATGGTCTGCCGTCCTTCTTGAAATTCGTAATCTCGGTCTGGTGCTCTTTGTTGGCCTTTACAGCCTCGCGCATTCCTAGGATCGTCCTTTGGTCGATGTACTTGCGAGTTGAGCGTGGTTTGACGTTGCCCCCAGGGGCCTGTAGAAACCGGCAATTCTTCCCCCGGATGTCGTTCATCCTATAGCCCGTCATCTCCATGAACGGGTCCGAGGCGTAGACGATGGGCGCGTCAGGCAGTGCCAGGTCACAGACGAGGAGTGCGACGGAACAGTCGATGGGACCTAAGTCGATTTGTGGGTTGGGCCTGGCAAAGATGCGAAAAAGCACTGTCATGACGTCCAGACCGCTTGGGGCGTAGAGTCCGGGGTAGATCAAGGGATCAGAGACGTCGGATTTTTGGGTACATTGTGCAACTTGGGCCTCTCTCGTCTTGCCGTTCGGTGTGAATCGGTACTGTAGTTGTGTGTTAGCATACTTTTGATCTCTGTCAAACTGTCAACCCTTCGGTTGGTGTTGGACTATAGGCCTACCTCTAGTGCACATGATTCCCAGGGATTCATCGTTGTGGACTGGGACATAGGGAAAGGTGGATGAGGTAGGGTTGTGTTACGGCACACAGCAAGACTCAAGTACGGCCCAGTGAGAAGTTGGCGTAGGATGAAAGAGGATGGGAGAAAGGCATATTATCTACGGGACAAGTTTACGAATACATTGGGAGTTGTCAGACAGGCACTTGCCCGGTTTGCGAGAGTAGTGCACGTAAGAGATCGAGATCACAGCAGAGGCTCACAAACCCGCAACTCCGAAGGGTTTGAGCACCAGGTTAGAGTGACAAGAGATCGTGGAGTGGGCTAGAGCTTCATCCGGTGTCGTGTCTGGGCGAATGGGTAGCCGAGGGGATGGGAAAGTCAGGCGGCAGTAAGCGAAATGGGGCCAAAATGCGATCGCATTTCGATGGCCGGACGGCATCTGCCATGATCGCGGCGAGATCATGTAGGCCGAGCGATCGGGACGGCTACGAATTTGGTATATTACAACACTAGCACGCAGCAAAGCGCACCCTAGCACTCGGAAGCGGTCGCTTTGCCTCCACCCCTCTGCAGGCGGTGCCCATGCAGCAAACACTCTGTTTCTAGGTCACATAGCAGGGGTGTATCCTTTCCCTTGAGCGGAGGACACCTAACTTTATCTGTCACTCGAGAAGCGTTCAGCATACTTTGCCGCCACAAAATGATTGCTCGATCGACGAGCAGCCAGTCGCGGAATTAGTCAGGCGAGCGAAAGTGAGCTGATCACGGTGTCAGGCGGACTAAGCATTGACACGAGTAGGCAGACACTGACGGGGCGGATTGACGGATACGGGTCGATTGACGTCGCTATTAGGCTGATGAGGAGGCGATGCGTGACGATCGTCGTAGAGAGCAGACGTCGTCCAGATCTGAACAGATCTGAAGCTAGTAGACTATTTAGAGGAGACCATAGTGCAGCCAGTCGGGTATAATAGTGGGGCCGGCCCGCCCAACGACTGCAGTATAGTATGTGGGCAGGCAAGATTGGTTGAGCAGAGGCTGGATAAGCAACAACGGTTGACAAGGGCCCAGGCCTGTGTCTCAAAACCACTCGAATAGATGCTGTTAAGCGACATACAGCAAGCAGTCACACCTCATCTGGCCTATGCGAAGCCGCATCTCGAAACCGTTCCGGCTGTCAGGAAAAGAAAGACAAATCGATGCATGCGGCTGGACGCCCAGTTCATTGGATACACAAAGTACATCGGCCAACACTACGCAGTACCTGACAGCTCACCAAATTAGTGCGGTAGGCCGAGTCTAGAGGGATGGCCACTGAGTCGATTCGCTCCTGGGCGGCTCCCAGTGCCCCTGGTATATCCCGCCCATCCTAACTAAAAAGCGCCTTGTTCCGCGATTCTTGTGCGACGCACCCCGCCAGTCTGTTTGCTTTTTCGCAGCAGTGTGACTCCAGATCCCCTCACTCACGAACGGATTTAAGGAGTTTGTACTCCGTCGCAGGTGACCAAGCCCAAGCAATGAGGCTCAAATGGTACGTTGAAGGCTTGCCATCATCGTCCCACAGCTTGTCTTCTGAGACGTCGTCGGACTCGCTTGGAACTAGCTCGCTAAGGGCAGTCGTCCTCGCCTTGTCCCAGTCGGCTTCTCCCGGTTGGCTATCGTCCACCAATGTGTTTGCGAGGCGCTTCCTGGCCTCCATGGCGACGTATGTCTCAGCAAAGGTGGTATCGATGCCCTTGGCCTCCTTCAGCAGCGGAAGCACTGTCTCCATTGTCTTCTTGGCCAAGACAGGCTTGAACTCGCGCTGTTCAGATTTCGCCTTTGGGTATGTCTCCTTGAGCCATTTCTCAAACACGGCCTGGGCAGCCTTAATGTCGTCCGTCTTCTTGGGATGGTGCTTCGCTCGGTTGAACATGGTGTTGATAGTCTGACGCTGGTCTATAATGCCCCTTGTCAGCGAATTTGCTACAAAGTATGGTGATCATCCCAGATCGGTCTCAGGAAATACTTCTAAGCGAGAAGCGTTCCTTTTCTGATTTCCCGGACGGGAAACCATACACCAGGTGGGATGCTTAGATTCGCCCATTTACGGCATTGGGCAGTACGGCTGTCCAGATTGTCCACCACTTGGCAGGCTGAGGGAGCATTGAAGAGACGCTTATTTACAGGTCAGGCTCCTCTTGGAAACAAGAGCGATGGTCTTGTTGGCTGTCTCCACATCCTTAAAGCCGGTTCCCTTCAAGGTCGTCTCGGGGTTATCATCCGTGTCTGTCTCTCAGTCAGGGTTAGTAAGTGTTGAATCAGGAGGGTATCTTCTGAAGCTTGATATCAGGAATACGACCTCACTGGTCACATCTCTAGATCTGACATCGAACGGATGACGCATTCAAATGTGATAGACTGTGCTTACACAAATGTGACTGCTTGGGGTCTTTGGAGGCCTTGGCTTCCTTTCCCTCCTTGGACAGCGGGTTTGCCCGGTTGTTCTGCTTTTTCGACGTCGCTTTGGCCATTTTGGTGAATGGACGATGTTACTGAGGCTGATATCTAGGTGGAGCTGTGGTTGACAACAAATGCTTCCAACACTGCCATGCCAACCTCATATAATCGGGTCCTGGTGGCACCTGTGTGAGGCAGCCGGCTCAATTTATTATGCCTGAAAGCGGGCCGTTCTTCTTATTAAAAGCCCCTGGCGTTTATTCTGCAGGGTATGGAAGCCCTCATCGTCATAATAACCAGCTTTGCTTGATGTGCACAGCTGTTACAGTCCCGACAAAGGCAGCTTTGATTAGCTGTCGATGGCTCGCGTTTGGGAATTGATGTCATTGCCCCCTAAAGCTGCCTAGGTGCGAGTTGGCAGAGCCAGGGAGCTCCGATCTGCAGGGGTTGTATGCACCATGCTCAGCCAAACACGCGTGAAGGTGCAGGAGCAGCTGCAACCAGACGCGACGCGCTTGGCGGGGCTCGAATTGACCGCCGGAAAGTCATCACTCGGCCTCACATCTAATGGGAACACGCCAGCACAGAACGCTCAGGCGCCAAATGACCTTTGGTTCTATACCGCTCTTGCAGCTTCGTCCGATATCGCCGGAAGATTTCCTTCGCGACAATACCTTCAGGGCTTGAAGCGCGCCTGAAGACCCTCCTTCTCCTCGCAGCCGATAGGCGCGTCCCACCTTTCACACCTCACAATGCTCGGCTCTCAGCGACGTGCAGGGCGCAGTTCTGGCAACCGCCGTCCACCACCATCTCGACACGATGAGCAAGACTCGGTTGACCTCCCGCCGTATGAACCGCCGAAATGCCCTCTCACCGACGACATCAAGCGCCAACTGAAGGAGCTCTCCACAAGTCGCATCAACGATACATACGAGAAGCACACGGCCGAATCCACCAAGCTTCTTAGCACCACCGTATACGCCATCAACGAGCGAGTGACCCACCGCAAGAGGACTGCCGCGCAGAATGCAGAAAGGGCCGCCAAGAGGAAGCACAGCAACGATGACGCCGAGGGTGATGATGAGGGCGCAGCCGCCGAAAGAGCAGAGGGCGCGGTACAGGAGCTGGAGGGGGAAGTCTCCGAGCTGGCCACCCTGATCGAGGAGGCCATGAGGGGCGCCCTCGACATGCAGGCCGCGCTAGAGGACGAGAAGAGCGTTTTGAGAGACCTGCCCGACATGGTCGCAGACCGACAGCGGATCGCGTTGGAACTCGCACAGCAGGACCGGGAAGCCGATGAGGGAGACCCTGAACCCCCTGAGGTCTCAGGAGTCCCCATATTCCACGTTTTCGAGAAGGCGCGCGATGCTAAAGCAGCGGAGTATGACAAGTTGCCCCCTTACGAGAAGTACGCGCGCAACAACAGCTACATCGACTTCAAGCAGTCGTGGCATGAGGGGCTGTACGAGAACCCGGACGATATACCGCTGCCGGATGCCACCAAGTGGTTCGACCGGGACGGCCGCCCGAGACTCGAGACTCGCAAGGACGAGCGGCAGGGCGGGGCTGACGCGGATGAGGAAGACGGTGACGAGGACGATGAGATACAGATCGCACGCGAGAAGAGGAGCTTCAGATGCCCGTTGACGCTCAGTGTCATGCGGGAGCCCTACACGTGCAGGCTTTGCAAGCACTCATTTGAGAAAGACTCTATCATGGAGTACCTTGGCGGAGGAAATGGGAGGGGTCGAGTTGCGAAGTGCCCAGAGGCTGGGTGCCATGTTGAGGTGAGTCTTTTCTGCTGCTATGCTTGTTTTCTTCTATATACTGATACTCCCCGCCAGGCCATGACGGCGCAAGATCTTTACTTCGACGAGGCGTTGCTGCGCAGGATCAAGCGCGCCGAGCAGGCGGAAAGGGAAGCGGCGGAGCGATCCTCGGATCAAGAGGACGAGGACGAAGAGGAGGGAAGCATGGATGCTTCGCATGTCAGCCGTGCAAGCGCGAGGCGAAGAGTCAAAGCAGAGCCGGGGGGAGACGATGAGGATCAAGCTGATGATGATGGTTCAGTCTGATGGGGCAGCAGGAAGACTTAGCTTTGCTTGATTTCGACACAGGTCAGGACGTAATGATACCCACACTATTTGCGCGAACGTCGTACTCTGATACCTCAATTGCCATGTCCTCTACTCCCCGCCCTGAGCAATCGTGAGCGGTGTATATTTTGGTAAATCTTCGGATGCATGTTTCCGGTATGGCCCATATTGATTGAAATAAATCCTCTGCCAGACTCCAAGCTATGCTCGCAATGACCCAAACCCAACACCCGGCAAGGTAGCAAGCCCAAATATTGGTACATCACACTATGAATTCTTCGCGCACAATTACGTTCCTGGCACAGATATCAATCTCCCATGGTAAAGAACACGCCGTCCCCGACGAGAAGTTGCGTCTCGGTAGCTTTTGTTCCAGCTTCGAACTGTGATCTTTGACACTTCCCTCTCATCATGCCGACGACCCAAGGGTCGAGCGCCGCCATATCACCAGAGCTGCGATTGCAGCGCAAGCGGTCGCACCCAAGGCAACATACAGACTTGTCATATCCGGCGGCGGCTCCTCACTCTTCGGGAATCCGGAGCTAGGATTCGTCGCCGCCTCAGCCAGCGCGACAAAGAGCTCGCTGATGCTCTGCCATGTCACGCTCACGTGAAGCGGGGTGGGCATCATTAGGCCGTGCGTGTAGGCGTCAGGTTGCATCTCACAGCGCTGTGTGGTCTTGTCCTTGTCGGCTTTCAGGGCCACATATATAGAAGGCAATTCGTCGAGCTGTGGGAACTTCTGGCGGAGGTCGACAATGTGCGAGAACGAGTCTGGATCGGAAGAGTCGTACGTGTAGCAAAGAAGGTCACAGGCATCGAGCTTGGCATGGTTCTCGAGGATGGCGGGCTCGAGCTCCCCGAGCTCCTCGAGGATGAGGTAGCATTGCTTTCCACCTTGAAGCTCGACACTGTTGACAGCCCGCCGAGGCTTGATGGTCGGGCGGTGGAGAGCGTCAAAGGGCCTGTTCAAGAAGGCGTCCATGAGAGACGACTTCCCCGCTCCGGATGCGCCGAGGACATAGCACAACACAACGCCTCGCTCGACTCGGCCAGGTCGCTTTCTACGCTTCCTTGCCTTGGTCACCTTCAATGCGCTGGTGATCGACTCCTTGGGATTCGAGGCCTCAAAGCCGAGATATGCTAGGTACTCGAGCGTCGTCTTCGGCTCGAGGAAGGTAGTCATGCTCCATTGTGCGAGCCAGCCCTGCAGCGTGATGTGCCCGGCTTCATTTCGCACAGTGGACGACGGGAAAGAAGCGTCAGTCCACGACTGGGGCAGGCCAGGTGTTGGCCGAAACAACGCCGCCAGCTCCTCGCTGTTGAGCCCTCCATCGTTGTCCTTGTCGAATGCGATGAAAAGGTCCACGAAAAAGCGATACCCGGCAGGGCTCAATTCCGACGACGCGTACTCGGGGACATCAAATTTTGGCCGTAGAAAGTTGTCCTCCAGACTGAGACTATCAGTATAGTGGTGCTTCCGCAGTATGATCCATATTGTCTCGTGCCGGCCCTTCTCCGCGTACATCCTGTTCAGACGCAGAAAACCTTCCAAGTCTACACCCTTTTCGAGATTGGTGCCAGGCGACACCTTGCTGACAGTTAATTTAATATTGTCCAGGTCTTCCTGTGACAAGGGCCGCTCGAAGGATTTGGCCTGGAAGTCGTGCATCTCCTGGTCATTTAGGTAACCATCCTGGTCTTTATCACTCAAGTAGAAGATCCTACGGAGAGCCGATGCGCAGGCAGGCTTGAGGTTGCCCTCCTTGTAGTCGAACAGTGGTGCGATCGGGTGGGTCACGGCTTTTTGGCAAAGGAAGAAGACCTCGTTCACATTGCGGTGCTCCCGAGCGCTTGTCCTGATGCAGGAATCGATCTCACGGAACTCATGCATCACAGGCAGTATCTCTTCGTCGACGACCTGGGCTGTATTTCCATCTCCTGTCAGGTCGGACTTGTTCGCGCACAACACAACGGGAACGTTGACCCCGAGGGAGCGGAAGTAGGGCATCCAGAAGAGCGCAACCCTCTCATAGCTGTAGTGGTCGGAGTAGACGAGGAGTATGACATTGGACTTTCGGATCTCTTTCCGCAGGGTATTGCGATCTTGTGGCCGGGCAGATGTATCGACGATGGTTGTGGTGACGTTCTCTGGGGTACCGATGCTCGGCGGGAGGGATATCTGGGGCAGGACAGCCTGTATTCATATCAAGGTCAGCGTGGCCGTCGAGGAGATTGGGAGGTTGCACCACCTGTAACTAAATGAAGGCTTGAGTCCTACTCACCTGGATTTTGTTGGAGACAAAGACGTCCTTGACAAGGGATGCGATCAGGCTAGATTTTCCCGTCCCCTCGTCCCCGCACACACAGATGCGCACTGGCGGCCAGAAGTTAGAGAGATCATGTGGGGAGTGGCATGGTTGACGGACCTGTCGCCATCGCAGCTGAGGTGGCGGAGGAGCTATGATGTTCTGCTCAGGCCATGCCAATTGGCGAATCGGCGGATGGGTGGCGGCGCAGGACGTCCTTGCAAACGAGGAACGATTACGTTTTGTGATCCTTTGTAGCAAGACTGGAACAGGTGCGAAGAGCAAGCGAGCGAGCAACGGATGTTGAGGTGGGTGGAGGTGGTATAGAAAGCTACCCACCTTGGTCTAAGTAAGTTCGAGTAGAGGTGGGAGCTATCAGTAATTTCCGCGAGCTTCGGAACCAACCATTAGCTGCACAACGGAGGCGTGACGGTGGGTGAGTGACATTGCAGCTTTTGGAGGCCAATCCAATCACCCTGTCGCCCAGCTCCATCCCACCTTCTCTGGACCCATGCACCTCGTGACGAATTTCCTGGGTCCAAAAGTCTTGTTCTCTACAGTTATCGAATTACCATGTGTGCGCAACAAATGCAAATAGTAGGAGGTGATCTTGATATAGTCAAGAACGGTGTCTAAATATTTAGCTACGTGTAGCTAATTGGGCCAGTATACAATTGCGGTACTTCTGCTCCCTGATTCATAGCCCGCCCATGTATTGTGTCCATCGCACCGCTGGTGATGCCATGAAGACATTACCACACCTACAGACAGTAAATGACTATGTACATGTAGACAGGTAGAATGAAGACCAAGATGGATCTGCAGCCCACATCAGAAGTCCATGTTATTTCTAGACCAGCGGATCTCGTTTGGGTGCAGGTCACATCAATCCCAGCATCCCCATGACGCCCCATGCCCCTTCTCCAAGCTCCAAGCTCCTCCCTTCCCCTCACTCCTCACATTACCCCACAAGATCGATGTGGATGACAGGCTGACAGGGCAGTGGGCAGTAGGGATCATATCCAATTCCCAAGGTTGATCCCCAGGATCAGGGGCTACCGACACCACGGGCCCAAGGTCCATGGGTCCCGAGGTCTTTCCTCGCTTCTCGCCCAGCTCGCGACGTTGTCGCATCCTTCCATTCCCTCGTCCCTGTACAACTGTGAACATTTCTCAATACTTTGACTCTTTGCTGCCAGCGACGACCTCGAGCACCTCGAGATCCTTGGGCATCCAATTGATCTGTCCTCGATTCGATTCAACCCATCTACCTCCGGCCAAGAGGAGCATCCGTATTTGGCAGGTCGGTCGACTGTGCGCCATCCAATTCAACGACCTGTCAAACCTCTCGCCTCGGTCGTACTGTGGCTGCCACACTGCTTTTGTACATGCGTAGCATCCCTCGATTCCGCCAACAATCGTCCGCGGCGGAGAGCACCGACACACGCGACAACGTCCGAGAACTGGCTCCTGTTAATATTACACGCCCACCAGGGTCCGCTCTTTGCATGGGGCTCAACCCATAAGACGAATACAACCTTGAATACATACGTCTTGCCAAGAAAGCATCCAGTACCACCTTCAGGAACTACCCCATCCTCCTGGCACCATGTTGTGAGCTTACACTCCGTCTCTTTCTTTGCTTATCGTTACCACTGCTCAGCAACTCCGCAATATGACAGACGTATCGCTGATTACTGCCCTCAGCGTCCTACCGCCTCCCCCACGGTATCCTACCCAGGCCGCATACAATGCTGCCGTCGGTGCTGGCCATATCCCGCCCATGATAGAGACCAACAATATTCTCTCAAATCCCGAGGACCATTTCTTGGTCGGAGAGGGTGAGCTTACCCAGTCTCCTGAATTCCACCCTCTGCGGGACTTCAGCACCGCCCAGGCTAAACCAGCGTGACTTCCACAGGTACCTATGTCCTCAAGGAAGACTTACATCTTGCGACTCCTCCTCCACACCCTTCAGAGGCGCCTGTGATCAACCCGAACCCACTCGCGACGAACCCTCAGCCAGCCACTGCCGGAACCAAGGTATCGTTGATCAACCTCGACGCCCGGCCGGCTCCATTCCAGTACAGAGGCATCTCAGCGACGGGCCTCGGGCAGTCGAGTATACAGGAACACCCACACGAGGACAATTCGAGAGACCCAACCATCAGCGGCAGTGAAGGACGGGCAAATTCTAGCGATGCGCCTCTGTCATTAGGCTCCGCCCCAGCGTTTGGGGAGGGGACTGCGTTGCTCGTGGCGCCGAACTCTAAGGACGCGAACAAGCGGAAGAAGCCCAAGAATAACATGACAAAGAGCAACTCATCATTTATCAGTAGAGTGATCGTTAATGAGTCGCTGAGTAAGAGGATACAGGAACGTCCGACAGACGGGCTATATGCCTTTGCTAATATCAATCGCGCATTTCAATGGCTTGACATGTCGGCATCTAATAAGGTATGAGTTTCGCTACATCCTCGCCGTAGACGAGCGTGGCCTAGAATTACGCTGATCAAACATAGGCCGAATATCTGACCAAAGTGCTCTTCACCAAGGCGCATTGTCTCTGTCATGATGTGAACCAAATAACGAAGAGCCCAAGCCATATTGACGTTATTATGGGGTTCTCTACTGGTGAGATAATATGGTGGGAAGCTACCTCACAGCGATATGCGCGTTTGAACAAAAATGTAGGATTCTTGACGGCGAGCTTGTTCAGTTCTGAGCTGATGGCAACAGGGCGTTATAAATGGAACTCCCGTTTCCCAGATCAAATGGATACCGGGATCAGAAAATCTGTTTCTCGCATCACATATGGACGGATCACTTGTGGTCTATGACAAGGAGAAAGAGGACGCCATCTTTTCATCAGAGCAGGAGAGCAGAGAGAATGGCGAGGTCGAGCTGACCAACGGTACGAACGGGGTCAACACCTATAAGAATGGTATCCAGGTCCAGAAGTCTGTCAACTCCAAGAACCAGAAATTCAACCCAGTCGCAGCATGGAAGCTCTCAAATCAACGCATCAATGCCTTCGCCTTCTCACCAGATAACCGACATTTGGCTGTCGTCTCGGAGGACGGCTCGCTACGAATCATCGACTACCTGAAGGAGGAGTGAGGAGCCCCTTGACATTATCTTGTGAGTCTGATGAGCTGACCCCACGATACAGTCTGCTTGACCACTTCCACTCGTACTACGGCGGTCTCATCTCCGTTTGCTGGTCCCCAGATGGGAAATACGTCCTCACCGGTGGACAGGACGACCTCATTTCGATTTGGCACGTCCCCGAGTCCGTTCTCATTGCGCGGTGCCAAGGCCATCACTCATGGGTGACGTCTGTGGCTTTCGATCCATGGCGATGCGACGACAAGAATTACCGTTTTGGCAGCGTTGGCGAGGATCGCCGGCTGTGTCTATGGGACTTCAGCGTCGGCATGCTACACCGGCCTAGGGGAGGAGGCGCCGCCGGTGCAGCATCGGTCCGCCAGCGAGGCTCGATCGCCTCCAGGTTGACGACATCGCAGCTCACACGTGCGGAAACGCAAGGAACCTCGGCGAGCAGGGTACGGTCCAACTCAGCCAACTCCGCAAATGGTGATGGAGAGGACGGCTTCACGGGGCCACACGCCGTTGAGCCAAGAGCAAACACAGCAATACTGCCACCTGTGTTGACGAAGGTTGTGGACACGGATCCGCTGTGTTGGCTAGAATTCACAGAGGATGCCATTGTGACGAGCTGCAAGTCTGGTAAGTTCGCTTCGCACATAAACATTCGGTCCTTCTTTCGGTATCCTGTCTCCTCGTCCCTGCTCCGCCAGCTAATGCTATCTGCTTCAAAGGACACATTCGCACTTGGAACCGCCCGTCAGACTCGACGGCTCCTGTCGGTGAGACCTCGGCCAGTTGAAAAGTGAGAAAATTTGTTGGGATGGTATCAGCATGAGAGTCGGTCCGCCCAGTAGCAAGTTTCTGGCTCTGCCACATCCACTATGCCGTACAGGGGCATGTGAGACTGAGTTAATAAACGCTGCAAATCCAGCACGACTCCTAGGCCTTGCATATCACTGCAAAGCCTTTTTCACATGCTTCTTGGTTTACGTGATTTGTATGGTTCGGATTATGACCGATAGAGTTGTCACTGTTTGTGCCTGGTTGTCTCCACCAGAGAGCTATAGGTCCGCTCTCGTTGGAGGGTTGATGTTTTGTGTGTTTTCGTTGGCAAGCCTCTTCCCGCATTGGCATGCAGCCATGGCTCCGGTTCGAGCCGCAGTGCCTACATGTGTTGATCTCGGGACCCACACCAGGTGGTCGAGAACTCGAACAAGTCCTTTGACTCAAGACCAGCCCAGGCCTGGGAAGCTGCCAGCAGGAGAGAGGCCCACGGAATTTCGCCGAGGGAACCTCCTGAAGGGGCTCTCCTGATCGTCACCCATCCGTAGATTTGACTGTGACAGCTCATGCGGCCTCGGTGGACTGTGTTTCTCCTTCCTCAGACTCACCGAGTCCCTGAGTGTTTTACTGGGGTGGTGGTGCTCGGTCCTGCTTGAGCTACCCTGATGAGCTGGATCGAGGAGCTCCTGGAGCTAGCTTTTTGCTCGAAAACACGTGGGTCCTGTGTTGCTCGAAATGCTAGAGTGGGTCCCGGGAGATATCGCAATGGCAGATGGATCTCGTCGTCCCGGCCACCCGACCCACAGCGGGAAAAGCATGCTGCAGCCTGCAGCGGTCAAGCTGCTCCTGCTGCTGGCGCCGGAGCAGAAGTGTATTAATTAATTTGTCCCAGCTTGCGCCGTCCCAGGCTGTACACATTACTGCGTAAAAGTATCCATCAAAAGACAGGCTTGCGATTTGAGCATATGGAAAGCTATGAGAGACTGGCTGCGCCGGATGCGTTTGTGCCCCTGTCTTAGCGCGAGCGATCGGTCAAAGGAAAGTGCTCGTTGTATCTGTACACGCATACAGCGCCGTCGTGTCTTGAAAGAAGGTGGCCGGGAGCATTGTCGCCTTAGCACTGCCGCGCTCGTCATCGTGACAAGAGATAAGCGTCGACGTCTAGAACAAAGGGATATGGCACGCCCGAGTTTGCTAGGAACAGGGGTGACGCGTGCCATTGATTGGTTAGGTTCTGCTTAAGAGAGGCACTATTATCAGACTTTGGCGACGGGAAAAGCTCTTTTGCCTCAGAACATGTGAAAATGATATGACAATGACTATGCCGGGCTGGAGGGTTTTGCATGCGTTCACTATTAGATTCATCGCCTGTGTTACTCGCTACTGTACCGGTCATCACGGTGGTGAGACAGGAAAATGCAAGATCTTGTACAACCAGCAAGGCTGAGGACCGGCAGTATCACGTATCCACTTGGGCCCTCTTTGGGTTAGCCTCGATCTTTGGAGGATATACGACCGGCCGAGCCGCCAGGACGTTGATAAGGAGCTCTGGGAGCGGTGGAGCCGGCCAGCGAAACAGCCAAAATGACGGGTCTCGCTGGCCCATCAATGCGGTGCAAGACCGGCGTCTGGTGGCGTTGATTGCCTAGTTTCCGAAGCTCGGCGTTGCCTCGTGCTTAACCCGGATGGGTACGCTGCCGACAAACCCTGAATCGCGACGGTGGCGTAAGGCTGCTTGCAATTCCTGCGATACAATACTGGCTCTGTAGTCTCGGGATACCCAACGCGGAAGGGGTCGACTTCGATACCTGCCAATGTGCAAGCTGCACCTAAAACGAATGACATATGAAACTGGTCTGCTGAGGCTTGCAGGTGGCTTTGAAGGTTTCTCCGGTAACCTTGTTTTGCTGTCAAGACATCCACACATGTTCATATTTTCTTTTTTTCGGTAGATCTTGGAATCGTTCCGATTGACACAGGGGTCAGGTCTCAGGGCTGGGCTGTTGGTGGGTCTACGCAGAGCCGGTCAATTAATCGTTGAATTCTGGCCGAGCCGGCGGTTGTTTTGGGCGGTCTGGCGGTTCCCTCACTCGGCGCAACGGTCAGGGCTTGTCAGGCACAGGCCTCGAGCAGGCGTCTCGTCCTCGTGCCGGATCCAGCGCTTCGTTTCGGTCTCCTTTGGATCAACTTGCTGGATGCACTCGAGGTTGCCTTCTGCGCTGGTCCTCTCCATCGGCTGCGGATCATCTCTCCATGTGGCGTGTTGCACCTTGGAGCAAAGTCATGCTATGCCTTGCTTTTTCGGAGGGTGGCGCCGGTCCGTCCCTCACAGCCGGCGCTGGGCAGGCCAAGCCCCCGCGAATAATGGGATGGTGAGGACTGCATTTTATATGTCGCCTGCAAGAGTGAGTCCAAGTCGCAGGGGGGAGACGCACCGGGTGATTGGCACGGGTAGTCAGATAAGCTGTTCGCACTGCCAGAAAAGAGGGCCATCAGGCGAGAGCTCGTAGAGATCATGCCACTGCCCTGTGACGTGGGCATGGGACGACACTGTGGCACCCTTCTAGGCCCTCTGACCGTTGGTGACGAGTTACAGACCAGATCTCGTGCAGTAGGTGCTCATAGCTGCTGTTGATCACACTGGAGAAGCATGGCTACTGTCGCCTGGTGCCCTAGCGGACGGAGAGTCTAAAGGTTGGAGCTTCTGAGATCGTGGAGAGTTCCGGACTGCCGCTTGCTCACATGGCCCCGTCTTCCGCCCGATTCAGCAGTCCTGCGCAATGCAATGTAGATCTTGCCCTGGCAGCCTGGCAGGCCAGGCAGGTTGAGGGCCACCAATGATCTCCTCATAGCGCGCATATACAATATGTATGTATTGTAGCATTTGCTGATCGGAGCTGAGTTTGTTTGAGCCCCCTTGAGGAGGGCGCAAGCGACATACCCCCTGCTATCGTCGTACCGTGACAAACTGACAGCGGGTGCTTCGGCTAGAAGTGTCATTCGTGTCGAGAAATAGACGCTCCTAGCGGAGGAGGAACGCCAAAAGGGAGGTCAGATCGCGCCTAGATGTTGGCTGGCCGTGGGGGGCTTCTTGAGGTGCGAGCCGACGCCGGCGCCAAGGTCTTGACCAACAAACGAAAGGCTGATGGAAGCTTGAGGGAAGGGTTGTGGAAGGATGCTCGATAAGCAAGCCAATGCAGGTTGATAGAGGACTGGGCTGGGCTCGGATCCACTTGGACGCAAGTAGGGTGTGCCTATGTGGCTATGTACCTATGTACCTGTGTACATGGGAACTCGACGGAAGGGCCGATCAGCAATCACTCCCTCTCCGTCATGGCCCGCCGTGGAGGCGAAGAGGACCGTCCAGAGCTGTCAGAATGGGATTTGTAGAGTACATGGTGTCGCCATTTGCTATCAAGGTTCACGGCGGAAATGCGGAATCCCCCGGAGAATCAACGGGAAAAGATACACCCACGACACTCCCCAACTGTATCGGCCGGAACGAGAGCAAACCTGTAAGGATTGGCGCGCCACTCGCAGAGCGACGGATGACGCGAGGAGGGAATCAGTTCAAGTCAGTCAGTCATTCAGTCAGTGTCAGGCCCTGGTATCCCACGCCCAGCCCTGAATTGAACCCTTCCGCCCTCTTGCATCATCCAGCCCTGAATTGAACCCTTCCGCCCTCTTGCATCATCCATCAGAGCTTTTTGGACCCCTGCCACAAACCATGGGTGTCCAGTCCACTCACCATCACTGTCACTATCTATCATCGTGTCTGACACCGCCCCCATCAGACTACTGGATCTGGATGTTGGTGATGGTGCCCTCTTTTTGGGTCGACCACCAGCCCGACAGGTCGCATACAGTACACACACTACTGAAATGTGGTCTACGTAACAGGTCGTTAAGAGTGACTCGACCGTCCTCGTTGATATTATTCCCTTTGTGGTATCAAGCGTGTAGACTATGATCCGGCCGTCGTCGGGACCCAAAGTTTGCGAAGTTGAAAGTGTGGGAAGGGAGAGACACCCGGCTGGCAGGGAGAGCCCCTCGAGTCGAAAGTGACTAGGATGCTTTCGTTCGTGTGCAGAGGCACCCTTGTCATCCTTGTCGACCCGGTATGTGGGACAAGCAACGGGCTCGACGTCTCGCTTATTGTTACTGACCGGTGGTGGCTTTGCCTGGTGGCCGTGTTGTACCGGTACCAGATCGCACTCGTCCTGGAAGAAAGATGCGTGCATACGGGACCCAGCCAAGGTTCCACGTCCCAGCCCAGCTGTGAATCCGATCGCCCTTTGTGTGTACATGTGCTGCTGTCCGCCGGTCGTCGCTCATCACGATCAAGGGGGCCATGGCCCATGTGGGATATCTTTTCTACAAGTGCGCGTAGTTTTTGCCCATCCTGTCCCCCCTTTCACCGATCCCAAAACAAGGTCCAGGCCCCATTTCCTCGTCACTGCTCGTGGGGTGTTTCTTGCATCTTTCGATACCACCCGTCTCGACTCGTCTCGTCACCCTCCCTGTCCAACCCCCCAATCCGCCATCCCCTTCTGTTGCCTCCGCCGACCACCAAAGACCAAGGGTCCAGTCCACTCACGGGACGTTACGGTACAGCAGCTATCGTCGCATCTCTGATACGGGCCATTTACAGCATCCGCAAGCGACTCATTCCCACTTCTTGCCCGGTATTACCACGCCCATTTACAATTTTTTTGCCTCACCAGTACCCACTTAGATTCCATGATCTGCATTGGGTTCCTGGATTAAAAGCATTCCACCCTGCCTGGCAGACCCTCACTCATTCCACTCCTCGGGCCATTGTCATTCTCATGCCCAGCGCAACCAGACATTGAGAATGCCCTCATTCAACCCTCTGGCCAACGTCACTGGGCGCAACGCCTACACGCTTTTCGAAATCCGCCTCGACAGCGACTTTCTAGTCTTCCGAGGCAACGATCATGAGTCCTCAGGACAACTGCTCAAAGGCACCGTTGTGCTATGTTTACCACAAGCTCTAAAAGTAGACGATGTGCACCTGCGACTAGTCGGAACTGAAAGGTTGAAGTGAGTGTGTCACAGTGCTCTCCCCACCGGTCCCTGCAACTTCTCTGCATCGCCCTGCACCCTGACTCCTCACTTCCCAAGCAGCCTTTCTTTGCCAGAGAGCTCTCATACTGACGGCCATGCCAGCTGGACGGACGCACGGGTTACCCCAACGGGAATCTCAAATCAGAAGGTCGATCGCACCAACATTTTCTTCCAGCACAGATGGCGACCTTTTGTGGGAGGCAGCTCGGGGAAGAGCACGCTGCTCGAGAAGGGAAACTATGAATGGCCGTTTGAGCTTATGCTGCCGGGCGACTTCTGCGAATCCATCGAGGGCATGCCTGAGGCCAGCATCACTTATCATTTGAAGGCGACCGTCGCGCGCGGCAAACTCGCTTACGACCTGCATGCTAAGAAGAGAGTGAGGATAATACGGACCCTCGAGTCTTCGGCCCTGGAATTCCTGCACGCCATGAGCGTCGAAAACATCTGGCCCAACAAGGTGGAATACAGCGTTGTGATCCCGACCAAGGCCATCGTATTTGGAAGCTCCATCCCGCTCGAGACGAGGTTTACGCCTCTGCTGAAAGGACTGGAGATCGGGGAAATCAACTGCAGGTTGATGGAGGTTCACGAGATAATGGTGACGACAATGCAAGGGCACCACATACGAGAACATAAGAGGGAACGCGAGGTCTCACATTGGACGCTCTCAGTAAATCGAGACGAGCACTGGAATGACATGATCGAGGACTCTGGCCAGGAGGGTTGGGTCCTGAACACAAATCTCGATCTCCCAAGGAAGTTGGGCAAGTGCATGCAAGACACCAACGTGCATGGCATCAAGATAAGACACAAACTCAAGATGGTGGTCGCACTGCACAATCCGGATGGCCACGTCTCCGAGGTAAGGCGCATGCCAACAAATGGAACATGGACCCGCAGACTGACAATCTGAACAGCTCCGTGCCACTCTTCCCGTGACGATATTCATCTCCCCGAACATGCCCCTGGACGACGACGGGAACCTGGTGCGCCAAGCACCTCACGAGACCAGCCAGGCTCAACGCATGCACGGCATCGCGCCGCCGGGCTACGGCGAGCACATTCTCGACCAGCTCTACGACGAGGTGGACATGAATGGCCTGCAGAGCGGTTTCCAGACACCCGCAATCCAATCCGGCGTCAACACGCCCTTCTACGCCCTTTCCCGGGCTGGTTCGGCCGAGAACCTGCACCAGATGGCAGGGATGGCAGTGCCTCCTGCAGCGCTTAGCTCGCGGCTGCAGGACGTGTCTCTCAATGCGTCAGACAGGAGTCAATCGTACCACAGCCTCAGCGGCGCGACGACAGGCGGCGCGACGACACCGCACTCGCAGCCTCCCCCGGCCGATAGCAATCACAACTCACCTCCACCTTCGGAACCACTATCCAGATCGAACAGCGGCGAGAACCACTCCGGCATAAACACGCCAGAGCACATCGAGTTGGAGAGTCTCAGCAAGGTGCCCAGCTACACCACGGCAATCAAGACACCTGCCCGACCCCTTAGCACGGGAGAGGGCCTGGCTCTACCCGATTACGACTCTGTAGTGAGCGCACCAACGACGCCTACGGTACAAACCACGCCGGCAGGAAATCCTCTGGACTCGATCCCCGAAACCACGACCACCGAGACGATGAACCAGCCACCGCCCAGGCCTCGCCCGTCCAGAAGGCAGACGTCTCTGGGATTCAGCAATCTGCTCCACCATCACCACTTCGGGGTCGAAGATGACGTCCGTCGGAGACTGCACCTCCTGCAGGCTCGAGCCCAGCCCTACTAGAAGAAGGTTTTGGCGCGAGTTCGTCGTCCGCCCAGGCCGTGACTATGGTTGTTAGCAAGCGAGCCTTGGGGCTTCCCCTTAGCAGGGGGGCTTGTCTTCCTGGGCGGTCGATGATTTGTTTTTGTCGTTAAATCAGCGTTGATACAGCACTTACAAGCACGGCCATAAGAGTATTAATACCGGATCATGAAAGGGATGGTTGCATGTATGGGGCAAACTAGACAGTGTCTGCAAAGGGACGGAGTTTTTGGACATAGGGAACGTTTATACCCCAAACCGCCTTGATATGGCAAATGAGAAACAATAGATTTGAAGCGCTTTCATGACAAAGCCCACGATATCCCAAAGTTCTGCGTAGGCACCTTAGAGCATACGGAAACAAACCGAGAAGGAGTACGTTATGTTATGCAAGGTTCTCATGTCTTACATCTTGCATATTTTTGTCATGTGTATTGTATGCACGTTTTAGCCGTGCCCAAAACTTTTGCAATCCCTGAGAGCTGTACACGTGCGTATGAAGCTCATAGGAGAGCTGTGAACCGCTAGTTGAGACCTGAGGGCACAAGGCTAGTGGCTCACAGACAGTCTGCTGTCAAAAAAAGGTCGTACACAATTCTTTCGCTGCCATCCTTGCCTGTACTCTCTCAACAAGAATGCACTGTAAGGTTCTCTCTCCTACCTGCCAAGGTGGTTCGAGACAGAACTTTAGTCCAAAACACAGGATCCAGCTAACCAGCGCGTTTCGACCGATTGGCACAAGAGGCAGCCTGCCACACCTATCACCGGCGACCCGATCCCATGAGCCCAACCAAGTCTTGCTTTTCTTGGGCCTCAGGCGATCTAGACAGCTAGACAGGCAGGGCCCTCCCCGAAATCTTTCGCACCTGGTGATGGGTTCGCAGGAAATCCCGCCCCAATGCAGTAAGGCGCCAAGGGCGATACGTGGTCCATCTGTGGTCCATCAAGCTTTGAGGGTGGACCGCGACTGCCGCTACTGCACTGAAAGTCCAGTCCTCAAAGCCCAGAAGCCGCCTGTGGCTTTTCCCGCGCTGCGCTGCACTACGTAACAATAGAGAAAGCATGCGTAGCAGGGGACCACTACGTCATCGCATGGTCGTCACTCCCGAATCTAGGGAACACGGCAGACTAGCAGTAGAATGTTATAAGGGTCGATCACACGCCATGCTGCTGCTTCGTGATCGTCGTCAGTCGAGGTGACAAACCCCCTACATTTCCTACAGCACCGTCAAGCTTGCCCAAAATATTGCATAGGTCAGTCTCCTGTTGTCCCATCTCGTCCCATCTGCAGGTGAGGTACCTGCAGGCAATTCGAACCGACGGCTCCGTGCGGGCCCACACAAGGTTCATCAATCTCGTCTGTCTAGATCTTCACAGGGGTCTTGAGTGTTGCGGTGCGCCGGCCCCACTGGCAGTGGGCAGCTTGGCCCCTGAGCTCTACATAGATAGCATTGATGAGCTGTGCCGTGTCATGACGGCCTGATCATCTGTGCATCGCTCAACAGCCTCGCCTTTCAGCCTCAAGATCTCCTGCTGGCGGTCGAAACTGTCGATATTTGACTTCAGGTAAAGTTGGAGATATCGTGCTAACGCTGCCTCTTAGTAGTTACGAACAACGCCGTTCTCTCGCATTTGACAGCGCTTCTCAGACCCGTTACCCCGAAATCAGACAACCACCTTCACGATGGCCGACGACGTAAAGACGTTGCCCCAAAGGTCGGGCACTATTATGACCAAGTCGAGCACTTTCAGCGAGTCCGCAGTCCCTGAAACAGATCCTGGAACCGTGCGTCGCCCCTTATCCCGCTGTCTTGTCGCGTCTTCGCCAGTGCATAACGACTGACACAATCTACAGACCGCTGGGCTGCTTGCCGAGCGTCTGCAAGCATGGAAACACGCCGTGGGCTACCTGGAAGAGTACATGGGCGCCATTGAGAAGATCCACCATGCACAGTCAAAAGAGTACGAGAAGGTCATGAAGACTATCTCCAAGCCGTTGCGTGAAGGCCACCATTTTGACCAGAATCTGGGAGGCGTTGCTGGCTTCTACGAGAACCTGCGTCAAAACACGCAGGCCCTGATCAACACCAATGCCGAGACCGAGAAGAGCATCAAGGGCTCCGTGCTTCCCATTCTGGACCGCCTCCACAAGGAGGTCAAGAACAAGGCCAAGGAGCTGGCGAGCGGCGCGCAGAAGGGCGCCAAAGAGGTCGAGAAGGCCCGAAACGTTACCCAGAAGCACATCGAACTCCTCGGCCAGCATGCTGCATCCTTTGAGTCTACCGGCGGCAAGATGAACCCTACAGAGGACCCCTATGTCATCCGGCGCGGTGTCTTGCACCGCCTGAACAAGCAGGTTATCGAGGAGAACAACCACCGCAATGATCTCATTGCAGTGCAGGGCAACTTCTCAGACTTCGAGGCCCACGTGATTCAAGTCCTTCAACAGGCCATGGAGGTCTTCAACCAGTTCGCCGGTGGGCAGGCCGAAAAGACTCGAGCGCTCTATGCCGATATGCTCGGCGCCGCTCAGAGAATTCCTCCGGATATGGAATGGCAAGCTTTCACTCAGCGTAACGCCGACATCCTCGTGGACCCCGAAGAGCCGCCAAGGACGGTCGAGGCCATCACGTTCCCCAATCAGGAACATAACTCGACCGAGCCTCTCATTGAAGGCAGCCTCGAGCGTAAATCACGGAACAAGCTGTCCTGGGGCTTCACGACTGGTTACTACGTGGTGACTCCTTCCAAGTTCTTGCATGAGTTCAAGTCAGACGAGTGAGTTACGTCCTGTTGCTCCTGCGAAGAATCCCTGGGCACAGCTACAACCGTGGCTCTGTCCCTGGTAATTTTGATGTGAAGGACATTTCATTGACTCAAAGCACCATAGCAATGCGAGCAAGGACCCAGTCCCAGAGCTTTCCATCTATCTTCCTGAGGCAACCATTGGAACCCCCAATGGAGACAAGTTCAATGTGAAGGGCAAGGACAAGTCCAAGACTATGAGCAGCAAGCTCACTGGGTCGTCTGAACTTGCTTTCAAGGCGCACACGGCGGCAGATGCTCAGCGGTGGTTCGAGGTGATTTCTAAGGTCGCAGGAGCCAATGCGCCTGTGGAAAGCACGCCCGCCAGTCCTGTTGTAGGCAGTGGGGATTCTCCGGTAATGAACGAGGCCCACGACTTGGAGGCAGAGAAGCCGGCCGAGGGAGAAGCGGGAGCGGTTGGAACTAACCAGATCACTGAGCAGAAGCAGGAGCACGCGGGACAGACCTCGGGGATCACGGGCGGAGAGACGGTCGCCAGCCCGACGGCTGTGTCACCAACGGATACGAAGGGTAAGGAAGAAGCACATCACCAAACAACTATTCCACCATCTGCGGCAAACACGACTGAGACAAAGGCAACTGCTCCAGCATCAGGAACTTAGAAAGTCACCACCGAGACGAAGACAACGACGGCAAAATTTGATGAGAAACCGCAGTACGAATACTAGGAGGACGCGGGAGACGAATTGTTTGGCGGGGCGAAGGCCTGGGGCAATGACGGCTCCTGGCGGGCGATGGATAGGACAAGGACGACGTCCGCGCTTGACGATGATGGAGATTTGTTCAACAACGCGAGACTCAGCCACGCTCAGCCATGGAGATCGAGATATCCAACTCCACATGATCTGAAGGAGCGACTGGCAAGGAGTTCGTCTTCACATAATAGGATGCAAGACACAACCTTATGGAAGATATAGGTGGGAGTACACAGGGGGAGAGGCAAGGGTGTAGTGGCCCAAATGACAGGCCAAGGGGGTTTCTGCGATTCGACAAGAACAATATTTAATGCTCATTCGGTTACGTCGCGGCCCGAGGTTTGATTCTCAGGCCGTGTCGTTCTTATCGACTTTCTTTTTCTTTTTACGAGTATACGCAGAACAAATTTAGCTCACTCGACAGACTTTTTCTACTTGGCTCGCTCGCTCCGTGTGACAACATCTCATACCGGATTCGTCCATTTCATTGCTGACTGCAGCTGCAGGGTGCGCTACTTGGGGGCTGGATTTGCGCATGACCGCGTTAAGCAATGCCCACATGGGGTTTCTCTCCGAGAAGCGAATGAACAGCCTGCATAACAGCGTGGTTCGCCATGATTTTTCCTGCCTTGCTATATATGGTGTCAGAGTATATCTACTTGCGTGCCGCCGCCTCCGTTTCATATTCGGCCTCCATCAGGTCGACTGCGGAACTCGTCTATTCCCCGAGGGCTGCTACACATGAGTGGATGCTAGGCTGAACAAAGTATAGGGAATACGCATGTTCGCCTCGTCAGGTCAATTGTTAGTCAACGCTGGCCGAGCTCGGTCTGCTATGGATCTCACGGAACCTTTATAGCCTGCCAAGGCCCCCTGTCAAGGCAAAACGAGGCAACAAGTTTGGTGAGGGTGCGAAAGCCAGTGGCCCAAGTTAAGCCACGTTCCTAAAAAGGCCACCGTGGTGGGCATCCTGGTGAGAAGAGGAGGCCGCGGAGAGGGGGGCGAGAGGACCCCCCCCAAAGGTCAAGGTGAAGGCCGACCGGGGCGCCTACTTCGAGCACCCTGCTCCACGACGCCCGGGCGACGATGGCCAGCCACACCCATCCTCTCAGCCAGGTGGCACCGTTGCATAAATGTCTGAGATGCCTGGGGGGCTTCGATCGCGGCTGCATATCTTCATCGGCGTAGAGTTAAGAGCGGACCAACCACGCTGCAGCACTCTGTGGTTGTAATTATCTTCGACGAACGATGAGGGCGGGCGGAACAGCTCGCCAGCCCACGCCATATGGGCGCCTACCGCTACTGTAGGACGTCCTGCTTACCTTGCGTCTATTTTCAGCCCAGGGGACGGGCCGCGCTCCATCGACTGCACGCCTAGCCTCGCCTTCTCGTAGTCTCCTCTCTGGATGCCTAGAACCTGCCAGATAATCCCACCCGAGGCTCCGAGTCTGATCGCTGCGGTGCCAGACCGATCTTTTCAATATAGATTTTGACTCATCGAGATTGTGGATGGAGCTTTATATGTGCTGACCAGGGAAGCCTAACTTCCCTGCTATCTTCAGACTTGATAGTGCCCTCTCTGGGGCGACCATGGAGGGCGTAAACTGAGCCCAGAAAGACCTCCCAGCCTACCAAGACCAGGTGAGGCTCAGGGAACATGGGTCCGTAGGCGTGAACTTTGATGCTCGATTGGCTGCCTTATTATTCTACAGTCATCTATCGCTCTAAGAGTCTCCCAAAGTCCCATCCTTTACCGCCCAAGAGTGCCTTGCTGGGTGCCCATCACCTCCACTACTTCTATGATGCCCCTCCCGAGTCGTTCTCCCATAGCCCTACTCCCCTGTTCCTATATCCAGGAAGCATATTGTCCAAGGAACGAACACTACTGCTTCCAGCTATAACCCATGCCTCGCACCGCCCGAGCTGGCCTCCTCCAGGCTGGACCTCAGCTACCAAGGACCCGGAACCACCCCACCCCGGTGTGAAGCCCGGGAAAGCAGGGAAGATGACGAAAGAGTGGCTGAAATACAGGACGACGATACTGGGCCTGTACAAGGACCAGAGGAAGACCCTCGATGAAGTGAGGCGGATAATGAAGGATGAATATGGTTTTGAAGCCTCGTGAGGACAAGCCCAGCACCAGCTCCTCCCTCTAACTTTCAGATCTTGGCCTGTTCCCCCGCTGATAACTTGTACCCGTCTCCAGAGTCCGGGCGTACCGGTCCCGCTTCGACAAGTGGCGAGTCCACAAGTACAACTGCTCGCGGCGGCGGGCGGCGACAGTGACGGTGGGCACGGATGGCTACCAACAGCAGGGAGGGTGCCTCTGTGGAAACCGAGGTTGCCAGATCCAGGGGCCGCACGCCGAGTGCCAGTTCCTGCCCATGACGAGGCATTACTCTGCTCCCGACGTGTTGGTGACTGAAAGGTGAGTTGCACTCTGCCCTCCAAGCCCTGAAGCCATCCTCCCGACCTTCTATCCATCGACATACAGATGGCTGATTCAATATCGACGCCCATGCAGCGATACCCGACAGTTCTCGCCATTTATGCCATACGCGCAGCCAGGGATCAAGACTGAACCGCATGTAGATACTGAAACCAGCCCCAGGACTTCAGCTTTTGGCGGGGAATATACCGGACTGCCATATCGCCCCTGGTTTGAGTCGCACAACGAGGGCGCCGGGGACGCCACAAATGAAGCATCGAAGGTGGAGAGCGTAGTCAGCTCGCCGTCGCGCATGCTTCTCAATAGCGGCCTGCCAGTGCGCGTAGACCACAGTGTGTACCATACAGAGCAGCTCCATTGGATCATCCAAGCAATCCAGCTGCCACTCCAGCAACACGCCCTCGATTCCCTGCTGCGATGTCTCCTCAGCAGGCCAGATGTGACCCGCGTCCTCCCGAATGGCTCGACACCGTTCTCCCAACTGGCCACCTTGTTCTGGCAGCAACTATCCTCGGACGGCACACTGGGGTCCGACAACACATGGAAACTGCTATGCCAGTGTCTGCGGGAGTGTCTGTCCCAAGGGGCTGACCCAGACGTCCAGGTCGGTGAGAAGCCGCTCCTATTCCAGATCCTCGAACAGCCCACGAGGACCAGGGCGTTCGGGCTACTCTGGCCGCTCGTGTGGCACCTCGCCACGGAGGCCTGCCCGACACACCACGGCCTCAGCGCGCTCCACGTCCTGTTCGACGAGGCGGCCCCGGCCCCGGCACCCACCGAGGCCTCCGCCCGAGCCCACCTGGCGAAACTGCTCACCGGCCGCCTCGCGGCGGAGGGGCGGCTCGGCGACCGCAACGCCCGGGGCCTGACGGCCCTGCAGCAGTACGTCTACCACAGCGCGGCGCACGACCTGCCCGAACACGTGCTCGCCATCTGCGCGGAGCTCGTGAGGCAAGGCGGCGCCAGCGCTGTTGTGCCGCCGTGGTTCATGGACGACATGCGCGCGGGGAGGCTCCACGGCGGCGGCGGCGGCGCCACCGCCAGCTTGCTCCCAGTCGTGTGGGTCTCGGCATGCCAGCATAGCCTGAGGGGGGATGCGCCCACCGTCGACGAGCACATGCCTCTCCTGCTGTACTGCGTCGGCGGGCGGGCCGATGCCGAGGGGCTCAAGGTCATGCTGCCGCGGCCGGTGACGGCGCCCATGGCTCTGCCCAGTCCTGTCTCGCCCAGGGGCGAGGTGAAGTATGCTTGGTGACGGCACCTGGGTTGTGCCCGAGGGTAGTGGTGGGAGGTGATTGAGTGGCACGATATAATGCGTTATAGATATTGATCAGAGAACTCAATCGTTTACTAGCAAGTTTTCCGGTGGTCATTTTCTTTCCTTTCACTCTCTTTCGCACTGTTTCACCCTCAACGAAGCTGATCCAGTCAGCAAGATTGCGAAGCCAGGACCACAGTACTGGGATAGACGTACCCAAGAACCAGATCAGGCCGGAAAATATTCTCAAAAGCATGTAAAACAAATAAGCTGTTTTCCACCTTCATCACCAGATTCTTATTAGCACAAACCAAATCGTTTTCTTGGTATCATTTCATAAATTCATTGTCTTCTCTAATTGAAGATCACCGCATGGAGACGCCATTCGGACGGGCTTTACCCATCCACGACCTATTCAGCCTTCGAGATATGGACCTCTGACTGCCTGAGCTGTCTGCCAAGTGATCTCATCTGTGGCCTGTATTGTGGTGCTGACTTCCCACCCGGAATTTTTGGGCATGAGAAATGAGACCTGTAGTATAGCAGAGCTTAAGAACGGTGCAGAATCGAAGGTACGATGGTGTCCAGGGTCTTAGCCCTACACCTTGTAGAAGCAGAATCCCACATAGAATGATGCAGCCTCCATCTCCTCTGGCGTGACCAGAAGCTCGCCGCCGTGTCTCTGTCGTACACCCATGCGCTCGCTCAAGGGCCCCAAGGTCGGGTCATCCTTCTCCGTCTTCCATATGTCGGAGAAACTCTTGTGGTATTGCAACTCAAGATTGTAGTCCTCTGCCAGAGCTCGGAAAGCTTCCCATGGGACGACGTACTCGGGTACCTCCTCGACGGCCTCGTGCAGGAAGAAGCTGTACTTCCAGCCGAAAGGAGGACGAAAGATACCGTCTTCTGGGGTCTTACCCGGAAACCTAACCCGATAAATATCGTTGCCCCATTCAGCAGTCGGCTCGGCCTCTCCTTCTTCCTTCTCCTCACCCTCCTCAAGCTCCTCTGCATCCTCGCCAGTCTTGGCCTCCTCGCCGCCCGCTTCGGCTTGTTCGGCCTTGGCCTTTTGCTTCTCATTGAACTCCTTGACCTTCTCCCCGATGACGTCGGAGTTTGGAATGGTTCCAATCAAACGACCACCCTTCTTCAATGAGCCGGCCACGTTTCTCAGCATCTGTCGTGCTTTTGCCTCACTCTCAAATGCGTAGTGCATGCAGAACATCATGGAGACAACATCAAATCCCCGCTCGCTGCTGATATTGGACTGTGTGTAGCCCACCTGCCGTACGATGTCGACGTCTTCAATCGTTTCGGAGAAGCAGTCCTTGACGTGGAATCTTGCCTCGAACAACCGTGGCTGAGGGCGTCGGTAGTTCCCTCCGCGACCGCCCCTGCCGCCGTGCCGGTCCCGCTGCGACATGCCTCTGTATCTCTCTTTTGCCTGATCAATTGAGATATCTGCCGGGTCCAGGCCCACGTAGAGTTCCACCGTCTGCGGCGCCTGCTGCCATTTGCCCAGATCGCCTCCCTTTCCGCATCCAATGTCCAGGATGAGCAGTTCTCGGCCACTCGAGATGCCTCTCTCAAATGCGCCAGGCGTGTGATCCTCGTCGGGTGCGAACTTTTGTATGATGCAGCTCTTGATCCAGTTGTTGAACGAGCGCAGGCCCTTGATGCGGCTGTCGGTCTTGCGCCAGTCGCGACCGCGTTCGGGAACGGCGTTGTAGTGGGCGCGGACTACATCGTTGATGGCGGCGCGCTGCGTCTCGGCCTGAGACGCGGCGGCATGCTGCTCGCGCTCACGCTCAATGGCACGTTGGCGGAGCTCCTCGCGCTGGGCTTCATTTATGCGCGACCGTTGGCCAGGTCGCTTGAGTTTGCGCGGTTGTTCAGAGCCCGAGGGTGATACACTTCGCTGTCGCTTCTTCGCAGGCGCCAGAGCCTTGGCGTCGTAAGGTTGAGGGAGATCGTCTCCTGCCATGATAGCGGAAAGGTTGTGATGAGCTGGGTGCTGAGTTTGCAGAGTGGAGGAAGGCTGGGTGCTGAGATATCGTAAGAAATTCGTATCCGTCTGTTACTGGTTGGCTTTTTGTATGAAATTGTCCGAAGCTCGAGATGGTCTGAGGGCTAGCCACGGAAGGAAATCGAGAACCTCGATGATGACTTGGCTCAGGCTGCTCTATCTCGAAATTGGCCGCTCGTACCTAGAGGCGAGTGCCTTTCCGTTAGTTTGTCCTTGAGCGGGGACCTCTGTGGCTTCGGAACTAGAAACAAAGGAGAGAGAGATGTAGGAGGAGTGTTTTGAGAAAGAAGCGAGGAGACGAAAGGGGCCAGCCGGCCAGTCAGTCAGTCAGTCTGACCTGGGAGCTGCGAGGTCACCAAGCGGCGCCGAATCGGGCAGGCGGAGAGGTACCTAGGTACCTGGCTAATGTATCGATCCACCCCCAGGCGCATGGGCGCGGGCATTACGGAAGCTCTGCCGCCTGCTGCTGTCAGCCACTACCTGGACAGTGACATCGGAGAGCTTCAATCCTCACCCAAGCAACCTCTCAAGCATCCAAAAAGCCCGACCATAACAACAACTCAGCCTCTCCAATCCCTCCCCCAATCGCCGTGACTCCTGAACTTTCTTCTTTCCGTTGTCATCGGCCTCAGTCCACTCCAGAATCATGGGCTCAGATCCTCAATACGCGAAATGGCCTCTGCTGCCACTATCGCAGCATGTGTTCACTCTCACAAACCCCTACGCCTCACGACCGACCCAGGATGCCGCCGTGAAGAAGCTGCAGGATGCTATTCAAGAGCACAAGATGGCACCTCTCTACAGGTACCTGGCACACCCGCTCGAAGGCATACTGAATGCCGTTGGCGAAGGCGGCGCTAGTGCACCCGGCAAGCCTCTGAGCAGGAAGTCGAGCATCGCGGGCATGATCGCCACTAAGGGCCCCACGGCTACTGTCACAATCCCCTGGGACGAGGGCTTGTACCAGAAGCTGAAAGAGGAAAACGATAAGGAGCTGGAAGAAATCCAGAAGGAGGAGGATGAGGCCGTCGAGAAGGCCGGTGATTCCGAGATAATGGCTGCCAGGGGCAAGAGGGCTGAATTCTGGGCGCGAGTTGGCGACAAGGTACGTCCACACCATAGATATCTTGACAGTTTACAGGGCAATGACTAATCTGTTGTCATTTCTCCAGGAGAAAGCCATAACCACCTACGAAGACGTCTTTGAGAAGACGGGCATCCTCGGCACCAAGATCGATCTCGTCCTCGCGATAATACGCATGGGTCTGTTCTACGGCGACAAGTTGCTAGTCAAGAAGGAGGTCGAGCGCGCCAAGACGCTCGTTGAGAGCGGCGGTGACTGGGACAGGCGAAACCGCCTCAAGGCTTACGAGGGCCTGTACCTGCTCACAGTGCGATCGTACAACCTGTCTGCGCCCCTCCTCCTCGACTCCCTGTCCACATTCACGTCCTACGAGCTCTGCACCTACTCCAACCTGGTCGTATACTCTGTGCTCGCGGGGTCCGTCAGCCTCAAGCGGGTTGACTTCAAGAGCAAGGTTGTCGACGCGCCCGAGATCAAGGCAATCCTGGGCGACGGCGACGACAAGCTGGCCGCCCTGAGCGGGCGCGTGTCCGCGGGGCCCAGCGCGGACGACCCCGTCAACGAGGACGACCCTTCCAGCCAGGCGCAGGCGGCAGCCAAGAAGAAGGCCGTCAACCTCACGACGCTCGGCTCCAACAGCGACCAGCCCGAGGCCGAGATGGCGGTCGACTTCTCGCCGCTCGCCAAGCTGGTTAGCAGCCTGTACAGCGGCCGGTACAAGACTTTCTTCCAGTCGCTGGCGCTTGTCGAGGAGCAGTTCCTCACTCAGGACCGCTACCTCCACGAGCACAAGAACTGGTTCATCCGCGAGATGCGGCTGCGCGCGTACCAGCAGCTGCTGCAGAGCTACAGGGTCGTCGGGCTGGAGAGCATGGCCAACCAGTTTGGCGTCACGGTGGACTTCTTGGACAGGTTTGTCTCCACCCCCCTCCATCTTCTTTTTAAGCCATTGATTTCCAAAGATACGTATGACTGACATTATTTCTAGGGATCTCGCCAAGTTTGTCGCTGGAGGCCGCATCCCGTGCACCATCGACCGGGTGTCGGGCAAAGGTGTCATCGAGACGAACCGGCCGGATGACAAGAACAAGCAGTACCAGGACGTCGTGCGCCAGGGTGACCAGCTGATCACCAAGTTGCAGAAGTACGGCCAGGCCGTGAGACTGCGGGGAAGTGAGAGGGCATAGAGGCACATCAAGGCGCACCCATAGACTCAAAACGGGACGGTGAATGGTGGTGACATGGCACATTGATAGGGTGCTAGGGCTTATGCCCAAGTCGCGCTGTATGTATGATACCTAGACACAAACGAAATGACTTATGGGCATTCGAGCAAGTCCTCCAAAATTGAGGTGGGAATCTTGTGTTACATTTCCGTTTTTCCGTCATGATCTCATCTACGATGCAGCATTGTCATGTAAATATCGCCGATTTGCATCCAAAGGCGAACGCCATGCCATGTCCAAATCCACCAAGATCTTCGCAATGAGTGGAGTCGTTTACTCCACTGTACGTCTTATTTCCAAGATGAACCGTCTATCGGTACTTGTTCATGAAGTCCTCGTGGAACTTGACAATCGAGCCGACCCACTCGGTGCCGGGGGCGAGGAATGTCGTCCGGAAGTGCAGCGTGCCCTCCTTCTGGCCGAATCCACTACCGGGGACGAGACAGACGCCCGTGGCCTCTAGCAGCCTCAGGCAGTAGAACTCGTCGGCCGAGCGGCCTTCGGCAGCCGCCGCCTCGATCGCCTTGGCCGGGATCTTGACGGTGGGGAATAGGTACATGCTACCCTGAGGCTCGCCGCACTCCACGCCCTCCATCTTCTCGAAAGCGCGCCACAGGGCGTAGGCGCGCTCCTTGAGGCCGTTGAAGATGCCGTTGTACTCCTTGTCATACAGCTCGTAACTTGGGTCGCCAGGCTTGGGCGGGTTGACCATGAGCTCCACCAGGCACTGCCCGATGACGGGCGCGCACAGCGTGATGGACACGAACTTGTAGATCTCGGCCTGCACCTTGGGGTCGAAGCCGCACAGCTCGAAGTAGCCACCGCGGTGGCCACACTCGCCCACCATGCCCTTCGAGACAGACTGCAGGGAGGCAAGCTCCACGGTGTCGTACTTTCCGGGGTTCTCCTTCTGCAGTGTCCGCAGGACCTTCTTGAAGGAGACGAACTTGCCAATGAACACATTGGTCTGGTACACCTCGTCCGCCATCACAACCAGCTTCTCCTCACGCGCAAAGTCGATGACGCTGCGTATGTCGGCCTCAGACAAGCTGGCGCCCGTGGGGTTGCCAGGGTTGATTATGACGATGGCGCGAACGTCGACGCCCTGGGCCTTTGCATCCGCGCAGCCCTTCTTGATGGCCTCGAGGTCGGTGCCCCAGTTCTGAGACTCATCAAGGTAGTAGGGGACGCATGTGGCGTTCAGGACGGAGAGGGAAGCGGTGTACAGGGGGTACTGAGGGATTGGCACCAGGATACCTGTTTTGGGACCCTCGCAGATAATATGCAGCAGGGTGTTGACGCCCGACGAGGCACCGCCCGAGAGATATATGTCAGCCTCATTGGCGGGGAAGCCGTCTCGTCCTGCGACAGGTTAGCCCTATTTACCCAGCCCCTCTTGTCACCGCTGGCGGTTGGTTGCCCGCGGGCCATGGGTAAACTCACTCTCGAGGAAGTCGGCAATGCTCTGCCTGATGGCGGGGACGCCATTGCTGGCGCTGTAGGCTCCAACTGAACCAGCCTTGCTCAGCAGCCACTTGGCCCTCTCGATGACATCGGTCTTGTAGCCGAGTTGGTTCAGGAGAACGTCCTCATGCTGCAGAAGCAATGGGTTCTCGAGCAGACTCAGGACCTGCCTGAAGAAGGTGATGGGCTTCTGGTCGAGCTGCTGTGGGTTGCCGATGTTGGCGGAGATGACCTGGGTGAAGGGGAGGTCGGTATCGCCCTTTGCGAGCTTGGCACGGTACTCCTCAGACTTGACGGCGAGTTCACCCCTCACGGCATACTTGGCCTCCCTGACATGAGGGTTGATGTTGTCGATGTTGAGTCTCCTTGCCGAAGTGGACGACATTGTGCGACGGGCCTGAGTGTGGGGCTGCAGCTGGTGAGAGAAGCTGGCAGTGAGAGGCAGAGCGGCGGGTGCAAGAAGGGTCCGCTGGGTTGGTGATGCTGTACAAAGCGATTTAAAAATGTCAGATATTGTTGTCAATACGCAGAGGCGGCCAATAACAGGGAGGGTGGATGGATGACGCTTGGAGGTCAGATGAGGGTTGAAATGAGTCAAGCAATGGGGAATAACACTGTATGTAGCCAAGCAGCGAGCTAGGGCAGAAATTGAGAGAGATAGAGACTATGACGGGGAAAAAGAAGAAAATGCGCGCAGGCAAATGGACCCTGGAAGACTTGAGATCTCGTGGGGAAACCAGAAACAAATCTCGCATGCATGCGGACGTAACAAGTACCGGAGTGACTTGTCGATTAGATAGGATAGACATCGCAGCATGGTGGGGCGATTCTTGTCCCTCTGTCTCTGGCTTGTGTGCCATGCGCACCTGGCCATGTGCACCTTGCACCTGAGCCTGCACCTGAGCCTGCTCCTTCTCCCAGTGTCCCGCTCCCAGTGTCCCACTCCTGTTCCAGCTCCTGCTCCATCCAGCTCCTGCGCCGGTCAGACTGGCCCAGAGTGGCTCAGGTCAGAGGTCAGGCAGGGCCCCCACGGCCCCGGCCGAGTTGGCCGACATCGGGGGACAGTGGACGGGGATATGCAGTGCGGGAGGGCGCGGTGCAGAAGGAATATCAACCAAACGCTGGAGGGCAGGGCTGGGCAGGGCAGTTAGTTGGCCACACTTGAGGCCATCGTCGGGTTTCACGGTCACGGCCACGGCCACCAGCAGTTCAGCAATCCGTGCCCAAAAGTGGTGGTGGATCGTGCAAAGTGGGACGTTGAACGTTGATCGTGGATAGTAACAGTGACACTGACGGTTGTCACTTTGAGATCGGTCGATCGGGCTGGGGACAGGGAGTGTAGTGCAGAGAAAGGAGCATTAGAGTGTTAGAGTGTCGGGTTAAGGCAAGATTGGCGAGCTCGAGCAGACAATTACCCATCAGTGTAAGTTTGGCCCGGGCCAATGAACCCCGACAGTGCCTCGAGAAAACCGGGCCCGTGGCCATGGCCGACGTCAACACGGCCCTCTGCCCACGGAGAGCCATCGCCGTCAATCCGTCCTCTCGTCTTCGCGTCTTCTCGTCTTCAGGCTGACAGGCGATGGGGAAATTCGAGCTTGATGGGGAGGTGGTTTGTCTATGGGTCAAGGGAGGAGGAGGGTCTTGAGCAGAATTGAAATGGGAGAGAGATAAACTAGCATGCAGGGCTCCCCCTGCTCACCAAGAGCTGGAAGTATCCGAAGCGCGGTGACACAGCACATAAGCGCCGTCTCGACATGCCTGCGGTCACTTTCGCTCAACAGCTGCTATACCTTTCTCATATTTATTGACTCTAGTACAGACTGAACGACAACACCGTTCTCCGGGGAAAGCATACAAGCGTTGGTGTCTTTCAGTTTGGCGTCCTCGAGCAGAGGTACCAAATATCTGGAAATGACTAAAATATAACCCGGTAGATACTGGCCCAGTATGACCTCTGATGGATTCATGTCTATGTTATAATCTCTTAGGTCTCAAAGCACAAATCAATTCCTGGGCAAGCGTTCCCCTCCGCAGATACGGTAGAGCCATGCGGAACTTCCTAAAATCAACATCCTGGAGTCCCCTTTAGGAGCTGAACTGAAGACGTATCAGAGCGTAGATTCACGTCAAACACTCTGACGGCTAAGAACAAATCAAAGGATCGTATAAAGTTCAAATTTTTCAGTCAAAGTATTTGACTTTGACACCCTTGATAATCTCTATGTCTGAAACCTCATTATCACCACCTTCTTCATCCTTCGACGCACCGAGATTTTTAATGACCCTGTTCTTAACCCACTCACCAGCTTTGACTGGCTTGCCGTCGTTGCCCAGGATCTTATCGCCCAGCAAACCACGCTCCTGAAGCACCGGCGACTCCTGGATAGGAACCAAGTCCGTACCGTCCTCAATCCTCACCATATATAACACCCCAAGACGATTGATATGAGCTTGGTCCTTCGGCGGTGCCACAACTCTGTGGATGCTGGATTTGAGGTAGCCGCCTGCGTGGATGTTAGCCTTGTCCGAGGGCTCATTGCACGGCTCCCAATTGACTGACCCGTGAGGAACTGAAGCGCATCAGCAATATTGACAGTCAACGCATCCGTCTGTGGCTTGACCCATTTCCATGTCCCGTCTTTGGTCAGCACCTGCAGCGCGGCAACCGGTTGGCGGAATAAAAGCGTTAAGCTTCCCATATCCGAGTGTCTGCAAGATAAATCGTGTCAATCATTCATTAATCAAGAACTAGGGTTCGTTTTCTCTTGCTGGACCAACTTGCCCTTTGAGCCACACACCGCCCAACTTCTGGTTCTCCTCTTCGCTCCTTGCATGGTACTTCATGTACCGCAGATGATCTCCACTGCTCTCCTCATACCGGTGTCTCTTCAAGAACCACTCCTCGTCGTCAAGGCCTAAAGCCACGGCGAACACAACCAGGAGCTTCTTGACGATCTGCTCGTGAACTCGCTCCGAGAACTCCTTGATCGTGCTCCAGTGCTGCCTGACGATGTCTGGGTGCGGCCGGCCGGCGTGTTCTGGGATGAATTTTGGGATGTTGTAGATCTCGAAGTTATCCTTCACGCCCGGGATGAGGTTGCGAGTCCCCGCGGGCTTCCAGCCATTGTAATCACCTTTTTCGAGAGCGGCGCGGTATGGTGCCTTGGATGAGTCTGGGAGGGAGAGGAGGGAGTGCGCGAGGGCGAACTGGGTGTCGATCTCGGTCGGGGTAAGGCCGTGGTTGGAGACGTAGAAGAAGCCTGCATTCTTGGTCAGGACTCTGCCGTATCCGAAGGTCATGATGTGAGAGGGGTAGATAGATTTCCGTTGATCTATGGTTGAACCTGCCTATGTCTTCCAGGGCCCTGGCCAAAGTTGAGGCTAGTTCTTTCTTTCCTCCCGGCTGGTCAAACTTAGAGAGGTCTAGAGTCGCGAGATCTGCCCAGTCGAGATCCGCCGATGTCTCGGGAACTTGCACATACGGCAATGCGACGGTTTCAGTGGTTGTAGACATACTTAAGTAACTGCAAAAACCCTTTACCGTCTACGTTGCTTGGTGCAGAGCGAATAATCAATATCAGTCTCGAGACGTGAGCCACCCTTTGGAAATGTTTCCACTAAGTTGACCCGCTAGCTGAGGTCAACCATATTACTTGGATTAAAGAATCGATACTATCTGGCCGGGGTAAGCAAGATGAGGTGATGGGACGCGGAAATATCACCATTACTCCACCGTTGTTTATCTTACGACAATACCAGATTGTCGGGCCGGATGGTGGAGAAGCATATTCTCCAAATCGTTGTCATAGGCACTCACTATCGGTAATAGTCTCGGAACCAAGCAGTCGGGATTTGATCGCATATGTAAGTTGCGAGATATCGGGAGTGCAAGCAGAGGCTAGGCAATACGTGATGGGCACCCTGGTAATACACCATCGCCGGCATGATCCACAATCCAACGTGGTGGAACTGTGCCTTTTCCAGGAGAGCTCATATGAGATTTGGAGCTATCGATGATGTTTCAGGACAACTAAATCTGCAGAATTAATATGCTGTATGCAGGCACATTTTTGAGTATTATCGATGTTTAGTAGTTTTAAGTTCACGAACTGTACTTAGGGCCAATCGGTTCAGGACCCGCCGATCAACGCTCTTAATTAACGAGCAAGCCGACCTCGGGTCTAGTTCTTCTCAGGTACAGACACATAGACAACTCGCTCTTGTTCCAACCTGAGCGATTTCGAAGTGGTCCGTCCCAGGTCGGCGTTGCTCGATACCGGTAACGTCAAAGAGCATCCATTGAAGGCTACTAGCCAATCAGCACCAAGTTTGCTCAAATTTTCACCATGACGACATCACCAGGTCGAGACAACGGCGACACCGCGGTTGATCCCAGGTCAACGAAGGAGGTGGTTAGTACCACGACGCCGACGATGGAATTGATCGGAGAGGAAGCAAGGTCAATTGACCCCAAAGTTGAGAGGCGAGTCTTGAGGAAGATCGACCTCTTTCTTATGCCGGCTATGGTCATCGGTGAGCTCACATTAATCTCTTGACCACGACTAGGAAATGACACTGACACTGGTATGTAGGATATGGTTTGGTCTACTACGACAAGGCTATTCTGGGGAGCGCGGCGCTGTTCGGCATGACCGCTGACCTCCATCTCTCCGTGACGGATGCGTCAGTCAGCCCGCCCAAGGTAGACACCACGAGGCTCAGCTGGGCAACATCAATTTTCTACTTTGGCCAGCTGGTCGGCTCCTATCCCATGACATACATCCTGCAGCACTTCAATACTCGGTATATCCTCGGTCCTGCCGTTATGCTCTGGGCCGTAATATGTGCCGCCACTGCTGGGGTGACGACTTGGCAAGGTCTTCTGGTGCAGCGATTCTTTCTTGGTACGGCCACAAACATGTCTTTGCTCTGTCGAGTTATTGGACGTACAAAGCTAACAGGTTTCTATCAGGATTCACCGAGTCGATCGTTCCTACAGCCTTCATGATCACCGTCAGTGGGTATTACACTCAGTCCGAACAGGCTCTGCGACAAAGTTGGTGGTTCTCCGGTACAGGTTGGTTCACCCTTATTGGCGGTGGCCTAAATTACGGATTTGCACAAATCGATGGTTCTCTCAAGCCTTGGCAGTATCTTTACGTCTTCGCTGGTGCGCTTACGTTCTTGTTTGGACTGTGGTGTTTTGCACTGCCAAACTCTCCTCTGGACGCGTGGTTCTTGACCTCTGAAGAACGCCTTGTTGCCGTCGAGAGGCTGAGGGCAGGTCAGACGGGTGTGAGGAACCAGGCCATCAAGGGCGCGCAAATCAAGGAGGCGTTGTTGGATGTGAAGGTCTGGTTGGTTGTGGTGATGATGGCTGCAGCGTACGTTACCCCTTACCATCCATATGCGCCTACCTGTCTTGTTACACTTCGTGGTCCTTAAGCTAAAGGTGACTCCAGATACACGGTGAATGGGGCCGTTTCTGGCTTTGGGCCGCTCATCGTATCGACATTCGGCTACTCTGCCCTTGAGAGCATACTGTTTCAGTTCCCGCTCGGTGCCATCAGCGCAGTCGGTATTACTCTAACAGGCTGGATATGCTCCCACCGCAACATTCGAATCCCGCTTCTGATCTTTTGCTGTCTCCCCGTTATCGCAGGCTTTGCCATTATCTGGAAGTCCGAATGGGGATACCGTCCAGCTGCCCCGGTGGTTGGATATTCGATCATCGGGTTCTTTGGACCGGTCGTCAGTTTGACTATTGCACTCGCGGCAGGAAATGTGGCGGGTGAGACGAAAAAGAGCTTTACAGCATCCGGCGTCTTTGTCGCATACTGTGTCGGAAACATCATCGGGCCTCAGATGGTGAAGAGTCAGACCAAAAGTCAACACTACCCTGAGCTATGGACAGGCTTGATCATTTGGTAGGTACAAAATCTTCCGCCACATTCGACATATGGCTAACAATGATGACCAGTTATTGCATTACTATCGTAGCTGCCTCTGCACTGTATTTCGTTCTGCACCAAGAGAATAAGAAGCGGGATGCGTTAAGCTTGGACGAAAGTGAGCGAGACAGAACCGCTTTCAAAGATCTGACCGACAAAGAAAACGTATATTTCAGATACGTATTATAGGTGAAAGTTGGTGGAAGATACCAACTATTGTACAGAGCACAGGAACATAGATATAGCACAGATATATATAATTGCGGCATAACCTTCCACAAAAGTTACAGATGTCTGATCTTATACGTATCCTATCACATTGACATCCCGGCTTGACAGTCAATTCCTTGGTTGCCTAATAACGACAACATACCACAACCCCAAAGAGCCATCCATATTTTTGTGGCGGGCTTCAAGAATCTCGAATGGCTCGTCGCGAGATACCCGGAGTTACGACTGATTACAGTATCTATCGAAATTGTTGCAGTGTAAACTACTATGTCGGGCCTTTTCGGGAGACCTCTAGCTCGCGATGGCGTCTTCGGAGCTCAAAGTGACTACATCGCCCAGCTTCTCCACTACTATCAGAACCCCCGCAGGGGATCACTGAATGAATCCACAATCGGGATTTGAAGGGAGATAAAATATAACGCCAAGCTGAGGTGCAGAAAGACAAACGAAAAGCGCCTGGTCGGGGTATCTGCCTCAGTGACATGCTGCGGCTTGACGTGACATTGCACAGAACTTGTTGTAGCTCGATAGAAACATATACAACTACACCATGGCAAAACCGAAACGCCGTGTGGCTGTGATTGGAGCTGGTCCAGCAGGCGCAATTGCCACCGACGCTCTTGTCAAAGAACAGGCGTTTGATTTGATACGTGTATTCGAACGGCGCAATGCTGTAGGAGGAACCTGGTACGTTGTCGCATATCCTGTCTCCTTAGGAACTTGCCAGACTGTAACTCCGCATCAGGATCCACGACTCCAAACTGCAGCCGGGCATACCATCGCTCAGAGCTTTGGTGGAACAGAAGACCGTTATACCTTTGCAGATACCATCCACCTGTCCCTGTCAAACTCCCCGTGATGAGTCAGCCAACTCCCACCAGTCCCGGTATTGGGACTCGGGGGCTCATGAGCACCTCCACAGCAACTTGCCCCCTGGAATTATGTGTTTCTCCCAAGAGCCTATACCGGAAATAGTCTCGGAGCGGTCTTTGGCGCAGTATGGCCCAGACTCACCTTTTCGCCATCGTGAGGTGATGAGGGAGTGGGTCGAGGGTGTGTTCGTACGGGGAAAATCCATTGACCTCGTTCAATTCAATACCACTGTCGAGCTGGCCGAGTATGACCAGAAGAGCGCAGAGTGGAACCTGACTCTGCGAAGAGAGCAGCCGGGCAAGGAGACCGACTACTGGTGGCAAGAGCAATTCGATGCCCTGGTTGTTGCATCTGGCCATTTCTACCTGCCGTACATACCAGATATTCCAGGCTTGCTGGAATATGATGAGAAGTTTCCCGGCAGGATAGCACATAGCAAGCACTACCGGAATGTAGAAGACTATAGAGATAAGGTGAGAAAGAGTTTCAGAATTAGGATGCCCATGATTGACAAGATTCTGCCAGAGAGTTGTTGTGATAGGGGGCTCAATATCGGCCTTTGATGCGCTGCACGACATCCGGCTTGTTTCCAAGCTGCCAGTTATCTCGTCTTTGCGGAAGCCCAACGCTGTGTTCACGGAAGCAGCTTTTAAACACCCCGATATTGTGGTTAAGCCAGAAATCGAGTCCTTCGATCCAGATTCCGGGCGTATCACGTTCTCAGATGGGTCATCGGTTGATGATGTGGAACAGGTGCTATTCGCTACCGGTTATGACTTTAGCGTGCCTTTCCTGCCAGACCTGAAGGGCGTGAACAAGAGGATACCGGGGCTGTATCAGCATGTTTTCAAGATCGACAATCCTAGCCTGGCCTTCATCGGAATGGTGAGTGTTCCTCCTTGAACGGTCCCTGCTCAACTTCTTGCTCAGGATCTGAATTGGCTTATTGTTCATAGGTCACTGGCGGCTTCGGCATTCGCATTTACGAATGGCAGGCCGTAGCAGCCGCACGCATTCTGGCTGGCCACGCGAAGCTTCCCCCACGATACGAGATGGAAAAATGGGAACAAGACCGACTGGCACTGAAGGGGGAGGGGGGCCCATTCTGGACTCTAATGCCAGATTTTGAAGTGCATTTTGAGGCCTACAGGGCTCTTGCAGGAGAGCCAGCTGAAGGCACATCAGGCAGAATATTGCCAAAGTACGATTCCGCTTGGGAAGAAGAGTTTTGGGAATTCGTCAGGAAGAGGATCAAGTGGTGGCAAGATGCTGCTGAAAGGGATCTGACGAATCGTCAAAGTCGTGCTGAATTATAACATGAGTAGATGGGAGCATCATACATGACTATATAAAGTGCCTTGAGGTATATGTACTAGCAAGAATTCAGCATGATAATGTTGTCAAGTTAGACTGCAACGGCTAGAGTCATCCCTGAGACAAGACATACGTTCCCGCTTTGGTGCGAACCATGTTGAAAGGCCGGGTTTTCGACAAGTCTAGACCAGTACAGAGCTCAAAGAAGACACACGTAAGCATTTTAATCCTGATGAGTCTTGATCGCTGAGAATCCAGAGATGAGCTGCAAATGCCTGCGGTTCCTCGAAGATTACGACAAGGAATGAGGCAGTTGTGTTGATCACGCCATCGGCCCAGGTGCTCGACAATGCATCCACATAGGAGAAACTGCCCCTCTTCAAGCCCACATGGAGGAAGACGCACCGCGCACTGCAGCCGCTTTGAATATAAACTAGGCGAAGTCCAATGCCCACATGATCAAAGCCTCGCGAGATGTCTGCACCTCTTCTCTCTTTTTGACATAAGTTACGCCCACAACATGGCATCTCGCCCCGTGATCGAATATTACTTCTCCTTCATCTCGCTATGGTCCTATATCGGCAGCCGCCGCCTGCAGGCTCTGGCGCAACAGCACAACGCTCAGATCATCTACAAACCAATTGACCTACTGCACATATTCTCCGTCTCCGGAGGGCTACCTGTGAAGCAGCGCGCGCCGCAGAGACAAGCGTACAGGCTCCTCGAGATGGAGCGCTGGCGCAAGATCAGGGACATCCCACTCGTCAAATTCCCTAAGTTCTACCCGGCGGACCCGTCTCTTGCTCACCGGGTCTTACTGGCTGCTATCGAGGAGGATGGCTACGATAATTACGCGGTGCAAGAATTTGCTAGGAAGGGCCTCGAAACTGTGTGGGCGACCGAGGGTGATATCGCTGATCCGGAAACCATCCGGAGGCTAGCAGAAGCCTCTGGGCTCGAAGGTGCCAGGCTGCTGAAGAGGGCTGAATCAGAGGACGGATTGGCGGTGAAAGAGAAGGAACTGACGAAGGAGGCTGAGGCTAAACGCTACTTTGGTGCGCCGTTCTATGTGTACAGAGGGGAGCCTTTTTGGGGTCAGGATCGGATTGAGATGCTGGAAGATGTCATTAAGAGTGGCAGGGACCCAATAGTGTTACCACAGATAGAGTGAATAGTCAGTTACCAGGCAGGATCTACTAGTATTCACTTACTGATTTCTCTGGATTTAGAACCTGCATAGGGCTGTCAAAAGTCGTCGTTCCACACCATCAAATAAACAATTTCTGGCCTTACGAAAAGTTTCCGGATATACAGCCAGCTGTTTCAACTACTTTGAATAAAGCCAAGTCGGTGCTACTTTCTATCAAAAAGAAAGCTAACTCAACCACCGTATCTGAAATGTCTATTCCAATTGAAACATGCCCTGCAAGATTTCAACAAGTGTAATTTTTTAAAGCCTTCAGAACTTTGTATCTCATTACGCTCAGTCTGGGGGACTGCTTCCATGGCAGGTACCTATAGACACTAGCAGTGAGCCATACCCTAGTGCTAATCAGCTGTGGTCGTGACAAGGGAACATTTCAGATTTTTTGCTAGAGACGAAACCCAACAAGGTGTTGTGATAGTGTCATGCAGAGCCCCGTGACCGTCTGCTCGGACTGAAGGCCAAGGCCATGGTCTCAGTATAGAGACCTGTACGAGTCCCTGGTTGTCCACGCTAGGCGCAATAATTGAGTGAAATCGCAGATGGAAGGTCAACAGCTTGTGACAAAACAAAATATTGACGACAACTTTATTGACGAGAATTCAGCAGAAATATAGCGTCAGATGTCCACGACTGGGCAATTATATAAGATGGTAGCACAACTGGTCTTTTTCTACTATTGCCTTGCTGCACCCTCACAACACTTCTCACAGGATCGTACAATTTCATGTCTTAAGAGTTTCAATTCTGCCTAACTTCATATTGACGAGAACATCTACCTCGATCCCCAGCTTGTTGATCAGTTGCGCATTCACTGCAGTGGAAAACGCACAGGAGCCACCATATCATAACTTTGGGACCACTTTGTCGATCAAGCTTATCAACAGCTTAAATTGTCATTACACCCGCCTAATATCAAAATCCATTCATCGGATTGGACCGTCAACATGGAAGGCCCCAGTTCCTCTCACCAACCAACGGAGCATCCAGCTTGGTTCACGCATTGTTCTGCTCCCATCAAGCTGCCGAACGTTTTCATTAAGCTGCCAAAGGAAATCCAAGATCAGATTCTCAGGCACATACTCTGCGTCTTTCCAAGGCCAGAAACGTCAGATCCGGCCAATAATGGCAGATATATCGGAGAGCACAGCAGACTCGCTCAGATGCCCTGGGAAATAGACACACGCATACTCGAGCTGAAAGATCCCGGGTTTCGTGGACAAGCTTTGAGGCTCATGCTGACGACGAATCAATTCATCTGCGTCAAGTCAGAGTCCGTCAATTTACTCCCTATATTTCACGCTGCCCAGATCCCGATTGTGGCTCTGGGCGTCGGAGAGTGGAGCCGAGATCGCGTGGAAGAGCTCTCCAGATTCTTCATCCTCACTCATCGAATCGAAAGAGTAGGAGGTGTCAGGGCGTCTATAACCCGCACGTGCAGACCATGGGGTCGGTCTAACGAGTCACTCTACAGGCTTGGTCTCTCTGGTAAGCTCGTACCTCAACGGCAGGAGTTCGTCATTCTCCGTAGGGATCTTGACCTCTTCTGTCGAGCACTCGATGGAGCTGACAGCGGCTACCACCGATTTGGTGAATGCACCCAGCATATACTCACGTTCCATGGCCCCTTTGACGATATACTCGACGAGGATGTTCCAGTCTTGCATCCTTCATGCTTCCTGCAACCTTATTCGGAAACCCTTCGCGGCTTCAAGAATTTCACCGTCCAGGGTAGGATACGCTCAGAGCTTGCCCAGGAGATCAAAGATAAAGTAGGACCACAGGTCTCAACACCTCGAGTTGAAGACGTCCTTGACAACGTCGACCGCCAGATGAGCCAAGGCGATGACCACCTGAGCCTCAGCCGGCCCATGATGGCGGCCCATACCTACGCAAGGGCGTCGCAAGAGCTGATATGGTTGTACAGCAAAGGCATCTTACCACTCATGGCCGACGAATCTCCAGATCCAGCACTCTCCGGGCGGTCTTTTGAACTAGACCTGCAACAGGGAAATGCATGGCTGATTATGATGCAGAAAAAGCGAGAAGCCACCGAGAGCGCTGGTCATAAAAGGCTCAATGATGCACATGACCGCGGCGACCCAACGAGCTACTCAAGCTTTGTGGAACTCGTGATTAACGCCGTCATGCACAAGGTACCACCGCCGCTCGTTCATAAGGCGAGCATCCATCAGTTCGCCATCAGGCTGTACCAGGCGGCCAAGGCCGAGCGGCTCGGCGACTGCGGCAGCAGGGATACGTGGGCAAACATTCAGTCCGCTGTATCAAAGGCGCCGCAGGACGAGGAGATTCGCCGGGAAGCAGCATTGATCAGAAGATGTATACAGCCTTGGTCCTTGACATGGATACCAGAGGCCCAGCGGTAGAATATGATGCTTGACCTTGAATGCACCGGAAGAGATGGAGAACGGAAGATTCAAGGAGATTGTTCTAATAGCATTTGAGGGAGGAATTCTGCATTATTTGGAGGATGGGATCTGCCACACATCGTCCATGGGCGAGGGCTTGTGCAGGAGACAACATTTGAAGTAACCCAGGCGGTGGGCAAGGAACCTTACGGAATTTGGTCAACAGCAACATGTAAATATTGATGAGCCTTCATCCGTTTCGCAATAGTCTAGGTTCAATAGCAAATTTAATCAAATGAGCTCACAAGAAGCTAGTATGATGCCAGCTGGAATATCCTCGTTTCACACAAGGCGTATGAAGGGCTTGGATCCAGCACGGTTTGTCCTGCTTGATGGGTACGCGAATGGAAATCTTCTCGTTCTGTATTTTTCCAACAGATCTCAGCAGCAATCTACCTTTCCCTACATGATCTCTCAGAGTAATCGCCAAAGAGGCAAACACCAAAGTCGGCCACTGACATGTAATTGTAAACTTGGGAGACGATAATTCAAGTCAACAGGGCCTCTCGCGTGTGGAGGATCGTTTCGATCTCAGCCTGTCAGCGTCCTCACACGTTAACACCTTTCCATTATTAGCATGAAGCAACCCGGACGATATTTGTTTATTGATTGCTCTCTTTCACGATATATGTCTTAGACCAACATCTGGGAAGAGTGTGCCAAGCTTACGATGATGATTGATAGCCACTTACACAAGCACCCAATCGAGGGTTCAACCCTGACAGGGTACACCTCCAAAAGTGCATCTCGACGTCAATCCCGATTCCCAAAATCAAACCTCGCCCGTCGACATTCCCATCCCACCGGCGACGCACCCGCACAGCAAGCCATGGCCAAGAAAGGTGCGCACCAAGCTTCCCTCCTTTCAAGAACTTCTCCTATCGACTGTACCTGTGTACTAACCACGGCCGAACAGTGAAATCCCGCGTCGTCTCGGTGCGCCTCATGTCGATGGCCCTGACGGGCTTCTTCTACCAGTTCACGCGCCCGCGCACGTCACCGCCCATGAGCATGCTCAAGTACGACCCAATAGGTACGATGCCGACGCCTTCTCCCCTTCCGCACCGGATCCGCCCCTCCAGTCGCGAGCCAGACGGCAGTACCGGCAGCACTCCTCGTCGCATCGCCCTCCTCCACGCGCCGCAGCAATCCCATCGTGCCCCCGTCCCGAATGGGATGACCTGTCCGGGCTGATGCGGCGCATGACGGTTTCGACTAGGAAACGGCCGCTGCCGCGGCTGGGATGGGGGCCATGCCAACACCGAAGTGCACACCTGGTCTAGTCCATCTGCTAACATCGAGTCCTCGGGCGAATAGTGCGAAGAAAGGTTCTCTTCCTCGAGCAAAAACGAAAGGGCAACAGGTAGATGACCACGAATCCTACCAATCACTTATTCGGCAGCCCGGAATTGCGATAAATCCACAAATAACAGACCAAATGGAGAAATACGTCAGATCCAACACGATCCGGCACGACCATGCATGGACAGCGTAGCCAACGCAATTCTCCAGCATTTCCGGAAGGATAGAGACTGTGGGAGCAAGCAAATAATTACTGACGCGCGGTGGTCTCTGGCGAGGGCGGGCTTGTCTGCGTGGTCTGACAGAAGTCAGCTAGATACCACAGATCTGGATCATCAAGAGGATTCAACTCGAGACAGCACGTTTTTAAAAGGAACACGGACATGAGGATGGCTACTTCACATCACGCCGCAAGGCTACATGTACGATCAAGCAAGTATCAATTAGTTGTAAGAAGCTATGTGTCAGACGTACTCCTCGTCTCAGCCATCCTTGCCATCTCTAGCTACGTGCAGTTCCCCATCAAATCTTTTATAGAAGCTACGTCCTGCCCAGTACCAACATCCCTTACCGTATTTAACTTGGTGCCTGATGTCTTCCCACGCGAACGACAATTTTCTTAGCAACATCAAATCCCATTCCCTTTTTCGATCCTCCCAATTTTCAATCGTGTCGAAGCGCATATTCTGCGAATCAGGGGCCCATGGTGAACCGCCGTGTTCGAATGGGTGGACCAACGAGGTCGCCTCGCACTCCCTGTGAGTGAGTGATGGAGTCTTGAGAATCCTCGTTTTGTTGCGAGGAGCGGCGGCGCTGATAGTAGAGCGACTGGGGATCCTGACTACTGTCTTGCGAGTCCATCTTCGTCTTCGACGCAAGCAATGCTTTCAGCCCGCTCAAAGTCACATCTCTGGCGCCAATGTCATTGCGCCGCAGCACGGGTGTTTCAATCTCTCTTGAGGGTACATTCTGCGTGAAGTGGAGGCTGCGAACAGGAGAAATAGAATCGCGAAGAAGGTTCGTATTCTTTCGGCTTCTCTTGCGCGGTGCACTAGGGGCCACCGGGAATTCATTGCCCTGGTTCACTTGGCGCTCTGGAGGAGATGAGTGATGTTTCTGCAGCACTGATTCCTCCTCATCCGACTTTTTCTTGGTCCTCTTGCTGGGCGACTCCGCCTTCTGTTGGTCAGCTTGCTTACGTTTCTGCAACTCTCTTCCAAAACGAGTTCCGTGGCGGGTGATGCCACTGTCGGGTTGGGGATTGATGCCTGAGACAGGTCTGTTGTACGATGCGCGGGAGAAATTGCTGCGAACCGAGCTGGTTCTCTCTTGCAATTCCTCTTGTCGTGGCTCATCATCTTGCTGACGAGCTATGTCCTTGTTGTCAGGTGGCATATAGGCTCTGCGGCCAAAGGAACCCCTGCTCGGGACGCTGAATGACTGGGCGGGCATTCTTGGCTCAGCCAGATCTTCATTCCCGAGAATGCTGCCTTGGCTGCCTGATTTCATGATGGACTTCGGCGGATTTGCTGATCGTCTGCGTTCCTGTTCTGCCGACACTGAAGGAGGTATTGGGGATGGCGCACTATGAATTGGACTTCTGACAGTTACGCGGCGACGAACTTGATCGAGGACTCTCGCCGCTAGATTCACCGGCGTGATTCGCTCTGGTGGGCTGCTAGGCGGCAGATCTGCCCATATATCTTTGTCTGTGTTTGACTCATCTGCTGTATCTCGTTCTCCATCTTGTGCAGACTGCCCCTGAGCCAGACAATACTGGAAAATGGCCCTGTGAAGCACATCAATCTCCAGAAATGGTCTCAGCTTGGGGTCAACATTGTCGAGATCACCGTTTTGGGCCTTTTCAAGCTCAGACACAAAGCCTTTGATAGCTTGACGGCCATTTGCCCATGTCTTCAAGCTGTCGAGGACCTTGTGTACTTGCTTGTCGTACTTTTGGGCGTCCTCTGAAAGCTGTGAAAATTCTCTCTCCTTGCGCGCGATCTTTTCTTGAAGGTCCTGGATGTGCTTTGCATTGCGGTCAAAGGCCTCTTGGATCTCCTTGTCCTTCTCACTGGCTTCTCCCCCAAGTCTGGTTGTTTCGGCTTGAGCTGTCTCGAGTTCGGCTCTCAACTCGTCAACCGTCGCAGAATCCCGTCTATTCGCTTCTTCAACGGTCGATATCTGTTGTTTCGCTGCATTGAGTTCTTTTTTCAATGAATTGCTCTCTGTCTCTGCTTTTTTAAGAAGCGTGTCGATTCTTTCCTTCGCAAGATCTGTATCGCGGATGACCTCCTGTCGGGCAATCTCAACAGCGGTTTCTTGGGCAGTACGCGCTGCTTCTTCGCTCTGCTCCATCAACTTGCGTAACTCTTGTGTGTGCCTCTCGTGCTTTTGAGTCTCCTCCAAGAGCGCTGCTTGGCTCTGCTGAAGTCGATACTCAAGACCACGGGCGATGGTGGCTTTCGCGGCGACGTCAACTTTCAGCTTGTCACACTCCTCAAGAAGCGAGTTTGCGCGCGCGGCATGCCCCAGGTCGTCGGCCTGGGCCTGTTCTAACTCCGCGACCTCATCCTTGAGATCTACAAGATCTTTCTCTCGTTGTTGCAGTGTTGCTCTAGCTTGCTCCAGGCTGGTTAGAAGATCGTTGCGTTCATCGGCTCTTAGCTGTAGTTCAACTTCAAGCTGTGCGTTGTCGGCTTTGGTCTGCTCAAGCAACTCCGTCAGCACATCCTCGCGATCCTCGAGCTTCATCCAGAAATCCTCCATATAGTCCTCAACCGCATCCGACAACTTCTGCAGATTGGTTTGGGCCTCAGTGTGTGAGTTGAGAACCGGCTTGAGGATGCTATGAATCCAATTAGCACATGATCGGTTCATACAGGATGTCAACTTACGTGGAGAATGCCTGCACATTGGCTTCTTGCAGCCTCTCAATAATGCTGGCTTGGGGCTCAACCCGTTCATCCAGAGCGGAAATATGGGCAGCGATTTTGTCAAGTCTGCTTGGTCAGTCCCTGATCACTGTCAAGGATACAATCGAAGACTCACTTGGCCTGCGTCTCTTCCGTTGCTTTCGCATCCCGCTCGACCTGGCTAGACGCAACCTCTCCCATTTTCGCAGAAATCTGCTCGATCTGTGACTCGAAGCTCTTCAAGACTCCTTGGACAGAGGCAACGGTAGCATTCTGCTCCACTAGGTTTCGAATAGTCTCCCGCTCCCGGTCGAGGTCCGCATCTCGCTCTTGCATTCTCTGATTCAACGACTCGATTTTGTCGTTGACTGGCATCTGTAAGCTTCAAAATTAGAACGCTTCGCGGAGGCAGAACTTACAATTCCGTTCCTTGAAACTGTACTCGGCCACTGTTGATTTAACAACCTGAGTGAGCCTTTCACGGGTTGCTTGTAGGTCTTTGCGTCCTTGTTCATCCAGTGCCTTTCGCTTCCGCTCTTCTTCTCGCATTTGTTTGATCGCGTTCTCGCATTTTGTCTTGGCAGCAGTGTATAGCTCTTGCTGCTCCGCGGTGGCCTCATTCAGGTAGTCCTTGTACGTTCGACATTTCTCCTCGAGCTTAGACAGTCTAGTGGATCGATCCTCAAGCTTCTGATTCGCAGACTCGAGTTGCTCCTGAAGTCGGATCCGATCGTCTTCCAATTCCTGGATCCTCCCGGCCTTGCCTTCACTCTGTCTCTTGAAGTTCGAGAGCTCGCCCTCCGTCTTTTCAAGGTGTCGTTCAAGGTAGGCGAGCTCTTGGTCCTTCCGTTTCCATCCCTGTTTCATCATCTCAAAATTGCTATTCAAGGCCTGAGCAAGGTTTCCCGCGAACACGTCGATCTCAGGTGACTCATTGGAATGCTGACTGTTTCCCAGTGAAGAATCGCGGTTATTCGTGGCTGGATGACGATCCCGTCTTCTCATAGAAGGCGTGTCATCATGGTATCGTGAGGACGGTTGGCGTGAGGGACGTGCTCTGCCCGAGAGGGATGGACGAGGGCGTGATCGCTTTTTGCTAATGTTCGATCCGTGCACAGATGAGCGAGATGACGGACAATGTGTCGGGGTTTTGGTATGTGACAGTCGTCGGACATCCCTCAGAGGCCGGTTGATGCTGGGATGTGGAGAGTCTGCAGGAGTATTCCTCTGTACAAGCCTCTCACGAGGTGTTTGATGCTGAGATGCCGCCTGAATTGATCGCTGAGGCATCTGAGAAGGAGAAACGGAGGTGTCATTTGCAAATGAAATGCGATGACTCTGCTTGTTGATTTGGGCGGCACTGGCAGAATGGTTCTGTTGCTTCAGGCGCTCGTCGACCGAATGATAATCTCCATTACCCTGCTCGCTGAAGGCTTGTTCTCGACGAGGGTCTTCACCCTTGTGGTGAGTTGGACCATCAGGTTGCCTTTGCACGGCACCTGCATCCCCTGGCTGGGCCAACCGCTGAACAGGTGAAGTGTGCGTAACGGATAGCTGATCCTTACCTTCTTGACGTCGGTATTGTGGCTGATAGTCCTCGAAAGGAGGACGCCTCATAAGCTTCCGGACTCTATTGAGATTTTCGGAATCATTTGCCGCGGACTGATGGTTCTCGATGGGAAGCAGGCTGCTCTTAGCGCTGGCGAGGGCTATATGAGATGGTTCTTCACCAGAAAGACGTCTCAGATCCGGAAAGGTGGTATTACCATGCTGCCCAGAGGCGACAGAAACTGTCTGGACAGAGCCGCTAGCAGTGGAAGTTGAGGGTCCGACTCCCAGACTGCCAACGACACTAGGAGAAGTGGTGATGGTCTTCTCTTTGGTGGCATCAACCATCGACTTAGCAGGGACTGGGCGACTAAATTGGCCAGGAGTGATCTTCACCGGCTTGCCCCAAGAGAAGCTCTCGCCTGGGTCAATGTCTAGGGTTTGTGGTCGAGAAAGCAGTTGAAGGGCACCATCTCGCTCAGGGGGTGAAGAGAGATTGTGCTCAGGGCTATCACGCTGGGTATCAGGTAAAGGATCCAGAGCATTCAGCAACGTCAGGGATTCCTGAGAATCCTCGTCCTCTGTGACTCCATGAGAGGCTATGTCAGGCGGGTCAGGACTGCCGTTGGAGGTGGACAAGCTTGTATCCATCCCGGGCAAGCAGGTAGTGTCAGCGATGGGACGAGAACAGGGCCACAAGAGGGCGTATCAGAGCAAAACACTATTGTGTGTCCGCCGTGATCTGGTGTCTTCTCTCGTTGAAGCTGGTGAACAGATGGATCAGGCGATGAAATGAGACGGGAGTGTGACTTGAGTAAGAATCTGGCATATTGGGAGGGAATTCAAGAGCTCCCAAATTTTTCTTCAGGGCCACAGCGAGAACTAGGCAGACACGAGCAGATACGGAAGGAACCCACGAGTTGATGAAGGCCGTGTTGTCAAGGAAGGAGGCAGGAACTTCTGACCGTCTCTTCATCTCTCGGGCAAGAACGACATCCCACTACCATTCCCTCGCTGGACACCCGAAGATTCGAGCTCATCCATCTGGGAGATCCCGAGATGTCATGGAGAAATTTAGGAATGGTTGAATCTAGAAGTGGTTGTGCCTTGACCATTCTACCCACCACCAGCTTCAGCTAGCATTTGGTGTTCAATCGCGACGTCTCCCGGTAGAGCACTGGTCCATTTCGCGATAGGTAATCAGAGTTGATCATGGACCAGCAAGAAGACCAAGCGAACTCGTTCAAGTCCTTGCCCAGCCTCTACAGCCGAGAAGGGCTCAGTCAGTCCAATGCGTTGTCCTCCACGCAGACGCGTCATTCTTGTGACCACTTGATCTGATTTCTCTTACCGTCTGAGGCACTATAAAGCTGTCAGAAAGTATACTCTCGATTATAGTAGGTTTACGATGGCAGTGAGGACTCAAGTGATCTCGGTTATGCAGATCTGGGAGAAGCGCTGGTAGGCGAAGCCGTTTCAACAGTCGATAGAAGCACATGAAGTGATCCGCGTCAATGTATCATCTGGTTAAACGCTGGCAAGAACGAAACCATCTGTGTAAATGAGAGGGCTGTAGATGATACTATTCATAGTCTTTTACTGGGGCTCCGCGTCAAGCTCGTTTAGCAACAGAGCAGCTCCCTCAATATCCACTCGCTTACAACCCTTGTCTTACCCTGATATGCCAACATGTCAAACAAGCAAGCGTCACCGAAGTAACGCAGATTTCGTCTCGGGATTCAGAGGCAGGCAATTTGCATTGAACAAACCCCAAGATCTCGCCCGGCGGCAAGTGGCACTTGGCTGACACGGGTCGTCTCGGGCGAGCATCTTTTTTTGGTGCCTCTGGAGTCTCGCAGTGGTCACAGCAGTATGCCTGCAAGAGCCAGTGGATTTCCGTCAAGAATGCAGCTCTCCACAAACAAAACATCGGCCCAAGTTCGAGTCTATTTCGTGGCAACGAGTGCAACGACGATATCGGGGGGCACATGGACACCCACAACGTTCTCAGATAGTGATATCTTTGGGCTCGTGCAATTTTGGCAGATGCCGAGGAGCGGGGAAGAAAAAATCTGGCGTTGTGATCAGAGACTTTCGCAATCCCAAAGAAGCAGCATATACTGGTGAGAAGTCGGACACCCTCAAGTGAAGTCAAGGGCACGGCGCTTACAAGCACCCTAGCATCCCGGCCCGTTCACCCTGATTGGCCAAGTCAGCCCAGCCCAACTCAGGGGTATTGTGAAGAGATCCGCAAGGAGGGCGCGTAGCAACACCGATCCTCGCCAATGATAGGAACACTGGCTGCAAAAGAGCTGTCAGTTTCACCTGGCATTTCTTGGATGGCCAATGGCGGTACCACTTAGATCGGGTTGCTCAAGTGCCGAGGAGGGTCCAGTGTGCATGCATATGCACTGCTTTCTTTGGCAGCACCCACGATGTCCACATGCGCCCATGTGTTTTGTGACGATTGCCCGCTGCTGACTCTGGGGTGTCGACACCTAGCGTGGAATTCATTTGGGTATTGAGTGACTGTAGATCTAGGTATCTAAATAGAGCGGCTCCGCGCTCTGTGAAACAATATCGGAGCGTATTCATACCCTGCTCCCTCTCCGATTTTCTTCGACTGTCACCTCTGTCGCCTCTTTAAGTCTTCCCTCCATATTCACCTCCGCTCACAGGCTTGGCGAGCATCTCGTGATAGCGTCTACCCGTCTGCGACGGCAAGCTTAGACCTCTAGCCAGCGATCCTTGTCGCGACCCATTCTCAATCATGGCAGCGACATCATCCGCCGCCTTCCCGCTCGCAACCAGCGACCCATACACCGGTGGAAGCGACAGTACAGCTGGAACAGCCAACGCAGGTTCCGATGGGAGTCCGGACAATGACGCCGGTGCATCTGGCAGCAGCAGCGGGAACTTCCAAATTTCTCAAGGCGCACTGATCGCTATCATCCTGATCGTGGTATTTGTCGCACTCCTTGGCAGTAAGGCAGTCCCCTCTCCGGTGTTGACTGCGTGTGCTAACGTTATGCAGTTGCTTCTGGAACACTCTTCTACCTCGCAAAGAAGAGGGAGTGGAAAGTCCGCGAGACCATTCGCAGGTCAGCCAAGAAGGTTGTCACGGCACTGACACCACGACGCTCCGAGTTTCCGAAGTCCGTGAAGCAACGTCCAGCGAAGTCAAGGGGTGTTCGGGTTGAAGACGAGATTCCACCCACTCCACGTTTGAAGCCAGAGGATCTCGAGAAAGGACTGGCTGCAAAAGTAGACGTGAAGCGCAAGTACTTTCATCGAAAGTAGGAACGTCACAAGGGGAGGAATTGTTGAGAAGTTGACATGAGCGTGATGTGGTGCAGAAGGGACTCCTTGGTCTTCATGCCACTCGGAACAACACGGAGTTGGGGAGTGTAATTGAGCGGAATAATTCAAGCATGAGCCAGATGTATTATAGTTTTCTGAAGGTATTCGTGCTGGCACTTCGTCTTTGCGTTGAGCGTTTGCTTTCAGGGGCAGGCTGCTCAGGCCTCTGCTTTTTCTTGGGTTCTGGAATGAAAGAAATTGATCTCTCGCCCACTGCGTTGCTGTGCGATATCTTGCCCACGCGGCCATTCTTCTGCACCCGCGAGCCGAGAGCGATATCCTTATTTCTACCATCCTGGCCTGATGACGAGACTCGCATGGACACACCTTGCGATGTCTGTGGAATCGGCTCGCTGTCGTCTTCACTTTCGGCCATCTCGTCCGACTCTTCTTCGGAATCAACAAGTTGTCTGCGAGGACCATTGGATGTGCCTGAGATTGCGTCAACCGTTGTGCTTGGGTTGAGCATCTTGAATTCACGACTTGTCTCGTCGACAGCGAAGTCTTCGTCCTCGAAGAGCTTGCCGAAACGGTCGTCTCCGAGCACACCCGCTTTGGTATCCACGGTGTCCCTCTTCTCTTGCCGTGCAAGAATCTTGTCGGCGAGTTTCTGGTTGACCTTGACTTTCTTGATGCCACGAATCCTGCTTGCGCGTTCTTTCTCGACCTTCTGCTGGGTCCTCTTTTGGCGCTCCTCCTCAAGCACGAAGGGATTCGCAACCAAGTGCGCCTGTTCGTAGAGCTTGGTGTCGACAAAGTAGCCATGCATGTACGGGCGTAACATGGCCGTACCGACCAAGTGGTCCAGGCTCAGTGCCTTCAACTCCGGCATGGTCAAGAACTTGTAGTTATCGTATGTCTCTGTGCGAGCTTCCTCGGTCATTTCTTCCACCATGTTGTCCAGGAACCCACACCACTTCGGTGCTGAGCCCAAGGATGGGATATGGAACACGTGCTGCTGCTTGCCCTCGTTGGCAGTCACGAGGGTGCCTGTGTCCTTGACCCATTGAACGTAGTTGAGGTCTGTGATGGGCTCTATGTGCGTCCAAGCCTCGCCACTCGTCTCGTCCCAGATTTTGATAATCTTCTTGTCCGATGTCAAGATCTTTCGCTCCTGGGACGCTGTTTTGAGGTGTAGAATGTTTTGTATAGCATAACCAAAGCCTTGGTCTTTTCGAAGTAGAGGAACGGGTCTTCGTAGATCGAAAACAGAGCATATGCCCTGGCTGGTGCCTATCGCCAAAGACATTCCGGAGTAGGGGTTGAAATCCAGAGCGGATACCTCTCCCTCCAAGCCCTCCAGGACAGCCACTTTTGATCTTGCACGTGGGTCGATTAATTCCACCGAGCCCTTGGACGTACCGAAAGCCAGCAGGTTGTGGGTGTCCTCTGCGACAGCGGCCGAACTGACGCAGCCAGCCTCAATACTGCCCTGCAAGCCGGCCTCCAGTCCATCGTCGCCTCCAACATCAATCTCATAAGACTTCATGAACCTCCCCTCAACAAGATTCATCCGGAACACTTCCCCTGTTCCGTTTGATCCCAGCCCAGTAGCTGCGACGAGGGCCTCGGACGAGTTGCGGTCGTACACAAGATCTCGGCCGTACCGTGGCAATCTGATTTCGTGATGGCATCCAGCTAAGGTATGAAACTCGAGTTTGCGGTCGGACTGGAGGTGTAGAGACTTTGTGGCATCTCGGCTGAGGAGGACAAAGGATTGGTTGAGACTTGTGGTGTGTCTGTTCCAGCTCAGGGAGAGTTGGTTGAGATCGTGGGTGTGTATTTGCGGTTTGTATGTGCCTGTGCTCATAATCCACTGCCCATCTTCGGAGACCCTGACACAGACACTGGCCTCTTCGAACTCAAAGTCCTGAAGCAGTTCGACTCGGCTCGAATATTCGGGATCGTACTTCAGACTCCTCTTCCTTCTCCGGGCAAGCCAGTCTGGGAGCGGCCTGCCTGTGGATGCGCCCGAGACCGTGTATACGGGCACGAGGCCAGGCGTGGTGACCTTCATGCTTTCTCGCGTGAGTCCGTGGGTCGAGAGAGAACGGTACTTCAGTGGACAAACAGAGTTGGGCACGACAAAAGCGTAACGAATCTTGCTCAAAAAGAAGGGCAGAAAAATCACCCGTGAAGAAGGCTCAGGAATAAATTCTTATCGTAGCACTTTTGGTCTTATCGATCTTCGCCTGGCCCACCAAAAACTAGACTAGTCTAGCTCCCAGATGGGCCGGGCCCCACACACTGGGCGTAAGGAAGGACCCCTGCTCGCAGGCACACGCAGGCCAAGCAACATGAGCTACGTCCCATCTCCAGGGCTCAGTAGCACGGCACCCAGCCCGAACTCTAAGTGAGCCGCGGCGATCGATGTCCAGACATCAACGGACAGCCTCTTCCAGTCCAATCTGCCCAGCAGCGCCTCTCGCCCGCCCGGAAGCTTCCCCGACCTCTACCATTAGTTGCCTGCTCAACCCATCCATACCTAGCTCCAGCTGCGATACCTAAGTTTCGAATTGCACAGCATAAAGTCGGAATCCCCCGCGGTTGGCTCATTGTCCTAGCCGTTGGGAACACCTACTCCGGCCTATCACGCGCGCCCTACGATATCCGCCTCTGGCTCGACTGAGATGGACTGTGGCCCTCCGAGGGCTTCCAGCAGACCAGATCAGGCCAGACCCATGACCTTTCGTCGCATGAGACGTTGTATTCGCAAGAACAGCGCCCGGCTTTCCTCGAGATCTCGGATGTGACACTCGCTTGGGAGGACGGCCGATTTCCACGTGCCCCATGAATGGAGGCTATCTCCCCCCTGTGAGGGACTCGACACTACGAAATGGACCCTGGGGAATATGATACTAATACATTATTGATTGTGAGTTGCCCCTGGGCCTGTTCGCATCGCTTGCGCATCGCTCTGCTGACGTCGCTGTGCTCTTCTCCCAGAACAACGTCTCCTCGGTCGCTTTCAAGATCTACGAGCCTGTGATCACGCACGCATCTGCCTACACCTTCTCCGCCTCCGACGTCGAATTCACGCTCAGAAATGGGGGACACCTGGTCTATGCCGACCCGGTTCGGCGGGCAATCTGGTGCTTCTCCCTGACAGCGATTGACGGGTCCACCATAGGACTGCCGGGCCAGCCATCTCTCGAAGCAGACCTAGACGTCTGTGGCTACAAGCTTGCATTGGTGGACGAAGGCGGTCTCGAGCCGATCAGCTTGCTCAAAAACAGGAATACGACTCCCAACACGCTCAACACTCCTGCCTCTTCATCACCGAGTGGATCTGCGCTTGACACAGCGCTTCGAGGCGCACAAGCCCCGGGAGGCGCCATGACCGCGACTGGTTTCCCTCTGGAGGCAGACAACAAGACAAATGTTGGCCTCTCGGTAGACTCGAAGGGCTACGGGTCTATACCGGCAAAAGACATATATGAGTTCTTCACCGCAGCGGCGCTGGCTAGTCTATCACAGCGGTTCTGTACGAAGACCGGTGCAATCCCGCTGGATCTGAGGTCATTTATACTACCATCCAAACCGCCTGATTCAGAGTCTCTGGAGCCTGCAGGTATTCCAATCATAGCGTCTTTGAGGGTGCATTTGACAACGACAGGCTCACTCCTCATCGGCGTCTCCCTGTCTTTCTCACGAGGACTGCATGCTGGCGCTGATGGTTTGAATTCATCTTTACCGCCTGCTGGTGCTACTGTTCTTGCTGCCCCCTTTGGCGTGTTTGGGACATTCCAGGGACTGACAGAAGGTGAAGGGAGCTCGATCGATGGCAGCGTGGCTCAGTCACCCGAGACACAAATCACGCGATTCAGACCAGACGTGGATGTCAGGTCAGGCCAATGGCGAAGCACGTGCTGCAAGTTACTTGAAATGCGAGGTATCTCGACCGCTGTGTTAAGCAGGTCTTCTTGGTTGAGCATTCAGTATTTGCGACGGAAGCCAGTTGAATCTAAGTCAGACGGCAAGCGCACTCCTGTGGTGACTTCGCAAACACACATTCTGTGGCCAGCAGTGCTGTGTTTCCGGAAAAGGACGAGAAGCCCTCTGGCGATGAATTGCACCGTCGATCCTGGCGCAGTCAGTCTCAGGGACGGCTTCGACGCTTTGAACCATGCAAAGACCTGGTTCCTGGGCAACAGTGAACGGGAAGAGCTAATGGCCAAGAAAAAGAACGAAAGAGAAGCTGCCGCATCTAAGGACGCCGCCGAAGCTAACCCTCGCCTGCTGCAGCAAAATAATGGGTCCTCACCTTTTGATATGCGTCGAACCAGCAACACAGGAGCCGCCGGTGGTGCCATGTATCCCACGCCGCCTGACGGTGTGCAGAATGCGGCAGGCGTCACCCCGTCCATAGATGGAACCACGTCCAGCCCCGGAAACCCAGCACCATCAGCAGCACTGGTTGATATTGACACCGCAATGGTAACATCAGCAGGCCTAGGTGATGCTTTTGGCGACGGATGGGATGGCTCTGACGCCAAGCGAGATCAGTCTTTCATCCAAGGCGAGAATTGGGAACTCAACAATGACGTCTTCGTTGACAACGACATCACCGACGCAGACTTCAACTTTTTCGACGAGCATCCTGGCTCGATGGACGTCAGTGTTGCTGATCTTTCGGAATTGAATAGCGGTCTGCCAAACCTGGAGTCGACAGACCAGTTCGCGGTTCCCGCTCCTCAGAAGCCTGCAGAACTTGGAACACCCAAGACCAACAATTTGCCAGCTCCTCCTGTATTTGCCAAACCAGAGTTGAAGCACGCAAGGAGCATCATAGGCGAAAGTCGCCAGCGTGATAGCACCAAGGTACGGCCATCAAACGGGGTCAAAAGGCAGCCCAGCCCTTTTGATCCCACAGCCGTCTACAAGAGGCTGAAGGCATCCATTGCAGGTGGTTTTCGGACCAACACGAATTCCGTCGATTTACCGGTTCGCCGAGGAAGTGTTTATGACAAGCTTCAGTTCGATCCCTCTCTCTCCATGGTGAACAAAAAGTACGAGCACAGCGGCCGGTTCGACTTCCAATGGGAAAATGAGGAGAACGCACAGAAAAGCTCTGGATCACCTCCAACGACCGACTATCTCCGGCGGCATGGGAAGTCACGAACCACGCTGAAAGACTTGCCCGCGAATATGGGCTCTCGAGGTGTGGAGGCACCGGGGACCTTGGAAAGCAGTATGCAACTTGATTCTATCAAGTATGAGGACTCGACTTCCGACGCTGATGAAGTCAGTCTTGTTTCCGATCAGGACGATGCAAGCGATTTCTCCGACGAGCCATCGTCACCTACGAAATTGAGCGTGCGGCGGCGGCGGCTTGGGGATGACAACGAATCACTGGCCCCGTCGATAAGAGACATCGATTTTATGGATGATTCTCAAACGTTGAGCAGTACTGACTTGTCCAAACTATCGATAAATGACCACTCGGAGACGGCTATCGCTCGCTACTTTGCCGATGCTGAACCAGCCTCGCAGCGACTGATTTCCAACGACGATGAATTCATGATGGTTGCACAAATACTCACAGAGCAGGCTGCCTCTGGCTACCTTAAGATCACTCTGCCAGACTCGTTACCTGCTAGTCTCCATTTGACTGACCTGCAGCGAGACATTGTCCATGGCACACAAAATTCGTTGCGAACACTCCAGACCATACTGCCCCCAAACCTACAAACTGCGACGATATGCCAGCTCCGGCAGCTGCTCGAGATACAGGATGTCCCATTGCTGGCGGCACCCAGCCGCCTGCAACCACGTCCAGCGGGCGGGCCGGAACAGCGACCGAGTCTCGTCCAGATCCCCGCACCGCACCTCGAATTGCGAAGACAAGACTCCAGGTTGTCCGTCTTGCCGTCTGCTGTCAAATTTTGGGAGACTCTCGGGCTCGGGCCTTCCCAGGGCCCTAAGAACGTACATGCTGTCTGCGTGTTCCCTGGTCTCGACGGCGTAGCCGACTTTGCTGGTATACTCCTAGACCGTCTTCACAATGTGTACGAATCCCTGAAGTTGGGAAGTTTCGAACGAATGCCGTCGTCGGCAAACGTGCAGAACGGCCTCGTCTCGTATGAGGTTGACAGGACGAACAACGCCCCAGTCTCATCCCCAGGGTCTCAATTCAGATCACCCTTGGTTGAAGATATGGCCAAACTTGCTGTGGCTATCTTCAATTCAACAGCCGTTTCCAAAAACTTAGTCGTTTACTTTGTTTACACACCTGACAATCCCCAGACAATAGTTGATGCCTGTGCGGCTTTCAAAAGGCTCTTCGACATATATAAAAGAGCTCTGGCAGAAAGAAAGAAGCCGGCACAGAATGAGCTGGTGCTCCAGCTCGTCTCCCTGGACTACGTGGCCACGTCGACTTCGCTTGTGGTCCTCCAGCCACCTGAGCACATACGACTGTGCCTCGAGACTTATGATCGCTGCACACTTTTTGGGGGGCCAATGCCGTCACCAGCCATTGTTCTGGAGCAGCCCATAACCCGCGGTATCGACTTTCAAATTAGAAACCCACCCTCTGCGAACATACTCCAGGAGAACTCATCAATGCACATCGCATACGCGCATAGTGTCGACGAGAGATGGATCACAGCAGCTTGGTCGGACAATCGTGGCTGCAAGCAGATGACTGCATCGTACTGCCTGGGTAGAAGGGGAAAGTCACTCTCAAGAAGCTTTACTGATGTGGCTCACGAAATCTGGACAACTACTTTCGACCTGATATCCATCTGGAAAGTGCACTGGCGCATAATTGTCACCAAAGTTGGGGCAATGGATCAACAAGAGATCAGCGATTGGATCAACCTGGCGCAGGCTGAGACCAAGGCTTCTGTGACCCTCACTCTCTTGGCAGTAGACACAAATCCGTCACTGCAATTGCTCCCATCGATATCGAAAGTCCCGTTTACTGCGCAATCTGTATTCTACTCAACGCCAGTATCAACTCCCCAGTCATCCATGGTCTCTCCAGAGCAAGTCGGAAACCCGGCAACACCGAAAGGGGCGCCGACTTCCTCACAGAACGCCACCACACCAGGCGCAGACCCGAACGCGACCGAGACCGACTCGGACGCTAGCCTCGTGGACGTCACCGACACAATCTGGGCGGCGATAGCCTCGCATCGGCTGAACGTCTCACACTCTCTGACTGACCCCAACCCAGCTCTCATCAGCGGCTACCTGATCAAGCGCGGAGGGTCTAATACCGAGGACCCACCTACCGTCCTGGAGGTCAACGTGGTCCACAGCGAGGGAAATCCTCGGATGCATGAGCTGCTTCTTAGAGAGATGCTGACGTACTTCCGCGGACTGGGCACCATTGCAAGGGCTAGGTCCGTGACCGAGGAAGAGGGCGATGTGCGGCCATGGCATATAGCCGCGGCAGAGAAGGGCGTAGAAGCACTGTACCAGTTGATGTGAGAGATGTAGGGAGATGGATTTTCAACAGTATGTCAATCCTAGTGGGACGGGCCGTTGGTGGTTTTGGTGTATATTTGTATGGCGCAAAGGCATTGGGGAAGCACTGAGCATGAAAACCTTTTCTAGACACACAATGTAGGATACCATGCATAGCAACCGACTTGTAGAGCAAAATTCAATGCGCTCGGCCTTGTGCTCCGCACACGAGCAAGTCTATGGCTAAACGGCCCCTTCCATGGTGACCACAAAGCATATATATCTTTTTCATAGATCCAAAACCTTTATACGCTTATTACCATCTATATGCACATCAGGCTTCTGATGTCAGGCAAGATGTATTTCTAGTGAGAGCAAACTGCGGACGGGAAACGACACCGCCGACGCCTGTTCTGTTCACCCCGCTAAATCCTCAGCTCTCCCAGAAACCAGGGAACAGGTACTCGACGCGCTTCATGGCCTCGGGGTCCCTGCCCTCAGGCTTGGTCATGAACTTGACGGCGCCGCCGCTCGCGCCCTCCCAGTGCTTGGCCAGGACCAGGTCGCTGTTGTCGTGCTTGGACAGCTCGTCCAGGACGGCGCCGACGAGCCGCTTGGCGTTGACGCTGTTGGCGCTCATGTACTTCATGACCATGGCGACGTCGACGTCCTCGCCGCCCGTGCTGCGCCAGCAGTCGTAGTCGGTCGCCATGCAGATCATCTGGTAGGCCAGCTCGGCCTCGCGCGCGAGCTTCGCCTCGGGCAGCGCCGACATGTTGATCACGCTGCCGCCCCAGGAGCGGTACATGTTGGACTCGGCGCGCGTCGAGAACTGGGGTCCTTCTGTTTTGCGCGGCAAGGAAGAGAGGCAGCCGGTCAGTAAGGTGTTTTTGACTACTGGGCATATTGCTGGGGTTTCTCGTGGCTAGCCTCCCGACTTACCCATGCAAATGATTGTTCCGCTATCGTGCAAAGTCGATCCTTCGCCCTGCATCGCGCCGGCGCAGGCCTTGACCACGGCCGCCATCTTGGCGTCGAAGGGGTCGGCAAAACCAACGTGGCCCACCAAGCCCTTCTCGAAGAAGGTGAACGGCCTGATACCCTTGGTGCGGTCGATGATCTGGTCGGGGACGACAAAGTCCATGGGCTTGATGTGCTCCTGGAGAGACCCGACGGCGCTGAAGGCGATGACGCTCCGCACACCGATGTGCCTCAGGGCGGCGATGTTGGCGCGCGCGGGGACCTCATGGGGGGCAAGCTCGTGGTGGGCGCCGTGTCGCGACAGGAAGGCGATGGGCACGCCGTTGTGTTCGAGGATCTGAATCGGGGCGGAGGGGTAGCCCCATGGGGTCAAGGGGTTGACGGATGCCACGGGGTGGTAGCCATCGATCTTAGAGAGGCCGGTGCCGCCTATCACGGCGATGTGGACCGGCCCTGGACGGAACGGCGATAGTCAGCGGTGCGCCCCATGGCATGGTGTGCCGAAGAAACAACGAGGAGGTTTTCTTACGGTCGTACTTGTCTGGAAGTTCTGTGGCCATCGTGAAAAAAAATATGTGAGGATTTTCCCAAAGACTAAAGCAAAGGAAGCGGTCCAGCAGCTAGCTGGTGAGGCTGCCCCTCCAAAATTATTGGAGGGGTCGAGAGCTTTACTAGACTATGCACCAAAACATGCTTTTCTTCTAAGACGACCCCCGGCGTGCGGTGTTGAATCGCTACGGCTTGCATTACTAGGCTGTGTACAATAAGGCATTTCAACACCTGTCAGTCACCCACGTGGTATTCAACAACGAGAGATTGCCGAATAATCATCAGGCTGTCCCTTGGGCTCCCAGTGGCAAGGTGAGGCTCATTCCTGATGGAAATTCCACCTACGTAAGAATCAGAAGCCAGCTTACACACCAAGATGATGAGTCTTAACGAATTTATCCCCCGGGGCACACTTCCAACTACCCTGCTTCTGCCCGGGGAATCGATCCTTTCCTTTTGCGTTGCGATGTGCGTTAACTCACCATTGACCTTGCGTGTCTCCTGCGGACTCCCCTAGAGCGGATCCCCTGATGCTGACGAGAGGCACAGTCACATTTGCAAAGCACGTTGATTCGCACAGGACCGAATACCACCAGGACAACCGACCTGGCGCGCTAGCGAATGCTTGGTTTCTGGAAGAGACGGCATCATAAAGTCTAGCCAACAGGACTTTGAGGTATGGTTCTTACTACCAACAGTGGGCCGTTGGCCTCTGGACTTGGTGAGCAGCTCCGGTCTGCGCGAGGCTGGCGATAAGACGGATAGCTTGGCGCTCCTGTGGCCATGCCGAAGGACGTGAGGCTTATACAACTGCGCCGAACTGATCTCCAGAATAAGTACAAAAGCATGGCGAGGTCATCAATCATGTTCACAGTTGATACAGACATCCTCACCTGTTCTCAGCCTTTTCTCTCTTCGTCCTCAGTTGGTTGAAATTGCAGCTCAAGGCCCTTATCCCCGTCACTATGCCTGCCGCCAGCGCATCAGCGCAACAAGTCATCACCGAGACTGTCGAGGGATATGTCTTTGAGCACTCAGGCCCGTTAGATGCGGCCCCAAAGACCACATACGAAATCCGGGGCTTGAAGACGGCCAACAAACTCCTCAAGACCCGCATGGGGCTTGACCCATCGACTTCAGACGACCTGGCCGAGCTGAAGAAGGAGAACAAGCGCCTCAAGGCAGAATATGATGCCGATGGCTTGCAGAAGCTCCTGGCGCCAGATATCGCCGCCGCCGATACGTTTTGGCAGGACGTGATCAAGACATCGACTCCAGATAGCTGGGTATCGGCCGACGCCATAGGGACGGCCTACCTGCCGAACCTGACAGCACTGGCTTTCGCCGCGTGGTCCCAGTCGCCCCTGGCAGACGAAGTAAACAATGATGTGAACGGAGAGCATTACTTCAAGCGCACCGTCACAACAGGGCCAGGCGTCCTGGCCTCGGATATTCTGGAGGGCTGGGGCGGTGTTACGACCCGATTTACCATTCCGGACTATGCGACTCCCCCAAACAGGATTCAGTTCCCGTTCCTGCGCCTCCTGCCTGAGTTTCCTTTCCAGGCGGCAGGCAGTAAGGTTCTCGAGGACAACAGCGAGGACCCTCTGTTTGGGGTGTTGCACATCTCGGTGCGCGATGTTGTCGGTGCCGCGGGCGAGCACGGAATTGAGATCTACTCGACCGTCTGGTATGGGGATGCAGCAAAGGATTCATTCCTCGAGGCAGAGAGGCAGCACATGGTTGTTGAAATATTCAACTTGGCCATTCAGGCCCAGAGAGACGTTGAAAGCGGCAAATTCACTGTGCCGTCCGTGTGAAAAAGGCTGCGAAGGACTTGGAGCTTGCTCTGCTGACGTTTGACGCGGCGCCAAAACAGACGTGGAGGTGTAAGAAGAGAAAGCATCGCCGAAGTAAAGATTGGCGGTCTCCTGTCCTAATTGGAATGGGCAGTGATCGTGCGTCCAGTACCTCGGGGCTTTGAGCATCAATGGGTGGAGACAGTCTGCGTTGGAATCCGCAGCTAGTCAGCACATGTAATTAGTAATGTAAGAAATAGTCGTGGCGAAGCTCTTCTTGCATGATGATGGATTCGCCTCTCAGAACTGTGTGCGGGACGAAGCCCACGCGTGTCACGTTGTATAAGGACGAGGAAAGGGCCTGGTCTTCGTCGTCTTCATGATCTCAATCCGCTGCACTATGAGCGGGAAAGGGGCATTGTCGATGTAAGTGACCGGCGAGGCAGAATTGTACTTTTGTATGATCTTGGAACAAATTGACCATTCAGTACAACTGATTCGTGACAAAGTTTTCGATGATTGCAAAGCTCAAAGACGGCGAGGTTGGTGGAAAGGTACAAAATTGATGTCTTGGTATGCCATTCATAAGTGGAGGAAGCAAGCTCGACCTGCGTAGGGCTGGGTCCTACAGTGCTGTATTGCCGCTACACCGGTGTGAGCTTAGGCAGGATCCGCTGCAAAATTCACGCCGCCTCTAGAGTACCTAAACTACCTACCCACCTAGGTTGGTAAGCTTCAACATTTGCCATCAGACGTATTCGCTCAACTATTCTTTGTGTCTCCACGCTTTCACTGTCATTTGCTGTTTGGAGACTACAAAGTGAAGCACCAGTTTCCGCCTGTTACGAACGTGGGAGGCAGCCGCAAAACCGTTCGATCTGTGGCTCACCTTGAAGCAGAGCAGCTTCTTGGGATACGACCTCGGCAACAGCTCAAGTCATTGCTGCAGCTGTTACTTTGGACGAGACGCCGAACAAGGGCACCCTCCACCAACAGGATCAAAGATTCAAAGCACTGCGATCATACTTGGCTGGTCTCTGCAGTGAGAATCCGAGAAAATGGCGCTCGGCTCGGTGACAGACGAGCTTGAGCCCAATTCTCAGAGCAGTACGTCCTCAAACGAGTCAATAGAGGAGCGATGTTTTGCCGCCGCCCTCATATGCCTCGAAGGCCATTATACCGACTCCCCTGCAATGGGCCCTCAGACCAATGCTAAGGTCGTCTCCATGGTATCACGTACCTTGGAGAAGACTCATGCGTCAAAAGAAGTCCGGTAAGTTAATCTCGTGCTCGACGATCGTTTCCGTAACCTTCGCTAAACCACTTCCCAGAGAGGCTCTGTCCAGGAACGTCGCCATATGGATATGGCTCACGAGGATATTTGCCGCTGCCATTCCAAATCTCACCACGCGCTCTGTTGGTCCATTAGCCAGCTTGAATGACCCAGACAAGGGCGTGACCCCTCAAGAGAGCACTGCTCTCATCGTCAAGAATTACCAGGGCCTGAAGGACGACTTGCAGATTCTTAACAAGCTGATGCACATCGCCCGCAATCTTCTTGTGACCACCGAGCCCGAGGTGCCTCAGGACTTATGTGCGGCAGTCCATTTTGACCAGATGGTCTACCAGACCATCATTCTTTGCGTCAACGTTACGAGCAAGGGTTACGATGGAGAAGTCTTGGATGAGAACTCTAGACAGAGACTCAATGAGATCACCGAGCTTTGTAAGATCTTAGGACTCCCTAGGGTTTCGTGGCTTACTGACAAAATTTCCAGACAAGAAGATCCTCGTCACTTCACTACAACAAGCACACAACTGGACTGCCAAGAACGACAGGAACAAGATGTCTTTCTGGTTTGACGTATTGTTTGATGAGGATGCCGCACTGGATGACCCACAGGACGGACTTGGTGATGGACTAGGCTTTCGAGTCGACGTCGCCAAAACGGAGGTCCAACATTGGCTGGAACGCAACTCAACAATGTGTGACACTGCCCGGCGGCTGCTTAGAGACTACGCCGAGAACCGTTCTCAGAAACCTCCTGGTGCATTGGCACCAATATCGCCTTTGGCCTGGAATTGGCTACCTCCAGGTTCAGTAAAGGTCAGGGCCGACGATCCGGAGGACAACGACAAGATCAACCCGCAGTGGAAACCGGAGGAGACAGACAAATTTGAACAGGATAGGTGCTATGGGCGCGTATCCAGAGAGGTCGACATGTGGTGGATCAAAGCACGAGACGCAAACTTCGATGATTGGGTCGTACCTATGCCCTCGGTGGAGTTCGCGCAGAAGCGGACTGAGAACTGCAAAGAGAACCTCGTCAATCGATATGCTCATCAATACCGCGCCGAAGACCAGGAAAGACAAGGTTCGCCACAAGAGGGCGTTCACGAAGCCGATTACGCCGACGAAGGTGACCAGCACGCCCCCGAGGAATACAGCGAAGAGTATGCAGACGACATGGTTGAGGACGAGGACGTGGACGACGACGATTCCTACGGCGAGGGTCCTATGACTGGTCTTCTCACCGAAGTGCCTAACATACTCGATCCAAAACAGATCGAGGCTCTGCACATGATCGTCAAGTCATGCATATTGGACGCAGCCGGCAGCGGTTGGACGAGGGCAGGCGAGAATTTGCAAAAGACGCGGTGTCGCATGTTCTTGGCCCTGGACTGCGGGAAGAGTCTTCTAAGAGAAATGCTTGTCTTCATTGCGGTCTGGGAGAAGGATGAGTCCTCTCTCATCTTCCAGATCACGAGCCAAATTGTCGAAGCCATCCATCACAGTGCTCTGATACCTTACGCGTGGAACAATCTGAGGATACCCAAGGATATCGTTTCACCAGCTCAAACAATCCTACTCCGACTCATCAACTATATGTTTCGAGCTCGAATCAAGAATCCGCCCGCCGAAGAGAACAAAGATCAGATGGTGGCTATAAGATTAGTCCACTTCTTCTTCATCACCTTCAGAAGCCGGATCGTGCCGGAGTGCGTGGCCCTGATGAACCTGCAGGCCCAAATTCGGGACAACGCCATGGATCCTGCAGACTTTCCAGTCGACAACTGGGACATGGAACGTGCTAAGGATGGTCTGGTCCAATTCTTGGATTTTCTCACGACAGTCTCCGACGATCTCGAAATGCGAAACAAGCTGATCGAATGGGAGGCGGCATACGATCTCTTGGCCCTTCTGAAGGGCCTCGAGGCTGGCGTGCCTAAGAAGCCTCTCGTTGATGTGCCCCATCGCTCACAACACCGTCCGGCAGATCCGGCGGCATCGGCATCGGCGAGCGAGCACTACGATGTCAACGACCCTCCTCCCCCTCCCCCACCCCACCCAAACATTAGAGAGACTCCATCCGCTCACACCTTCCCGTGGGCCGGTGTCAAGGGCCAGATCTTGCAGATACTCGCGGCTCTCCTCCAGCCGCCTTCCGGGCGCAGCAGTCCAGGCAACCCAACGGTGCAGGCGCAGGTCGTACGACACAATGGCATAGTAGCCTTGTTGAACTGCTGCACCTACGATGACCACAACCGCTACGCTCGCGAGCGTGTCCAGCTCTGCCTGAAGTGGCTCATGGACGGCTGCGAGGACGCCAACACGTTCCTGCGCAACCTGGTGCACAACACTCCTGCTCCCCCTAGTGCCACACCAGCACAGACTACGAACCTTCGCATCGACGGCGTGCCCGGCGAGGTGAGGGTGCAGGTGCGTCCAGCTCCAAGCGAGCCGGCAATGGCCACGCTGAATAACAATGGTGTCAGCGGCGCCAGTAACCCCGGGCCTGTTGCTCCAGCACGAGCTGCCAACGCCCCCGTACCGGCGGTCCCGAGCTCGAGCACCGCCAACGGCGGGCCCCAGCTTGACAACCCCCGAAGTAATATGCGAACCTATCTCCAAGCGCTGGATTGGGCGCAGGCTCAGATGTAATGAGACTTTTCCCCGTTTTCATCCCCTTTATGAACTCAGCAGCTTTCGGAATCTCTTGAGAAGCCCCATTCTCTCAAGGCTGCTAGTTTCGAGACAAGCTGTGGACAGAGGGCAAAACAGTACTTGATTTGAAATATGCTGACCATGGTCATAAAACCTACAAAAGGCCCCCTAGGAGTCGAACGGACGAGCTCCTGCACGACATCATAAACCTTGCGGACGAGGCCGCGCGGCTGGCCCTCGGGGAAAATGGGGAGGAGACGGAAGACGAGGACTTCATGTGAGGGCAATCACAACACACCAATACTTGTGGGAGACGGTCCCCTTTTTGTCTTGCTTGCTCTTTTTTCCTTTGCCCTCCCAGCCGCTGTTGCGAAACATCATCCCTTCCTTGCTGTTTTCGAGAAATTGTGCACAGGGTTTGTCTAACCTGCGGACTTTGTTCACACATCCAGGTACTGCGTCTTGAAGCTTACCGAGCGGCTGAAAAGGGAGGGCATCGACATCAACCTACGCGACGCGCTTGGCGTTGATACGGACCCGAAATTGAGAAACTTGCGAGGCAAGCTGTGATATTGGTATAACGGACTGGAGTTTGCAGACGGACAAGGCGTACTGGCTGGAGTGATGGCATACCGGAAAAGTGGGCCTGAGTCGCAGCGGCGTTGGGGGTCAAAACTTGCCACGGCATAGCAGGCACACAAAGATACCAGAAACCCCATTTCACTTCACGCTGGGCTGTGCTGCTCCTTATCGACAAATGAGGTGTCATTCTTTCGTATGAGTGTTGTACCCTAACGTATCCCTCGACGAAGCCTTCGAGGGCGTTCCGCGCGTGCCCGACACCGATATATGTGACTGGCCGGACACACTCGCCGCCCAAGACTCTGTCTCCCACGTACATGGGGGGCTCAGGCACACCGCATTGCCCGCATCCGAGATGAAATCGTCCCCTCCCCGCGCAGGGATCATATATATCACACTGCCGTCGTCCTTCCTGACGGCTGGACGTCTTCCACCCTTCCATACGTGGGCCACCAGGTCCGTTGTACTACCGCCATGCAACTCAATGGGATGTTTATAACTCCCGAGGACCTCGACCGGCCTGCCCCTACCGTCGACCTCGAGGCGGTTGAAATGCGTGGCCAACTCCTGCGGCTTTTGCGGCGGGGACTTTGGCGAGTAAATGGTCGACCGCTGCGACCGGGCCTGGTGGTAGCTGCTGGGGGCGGCGTGGCTCTTGCGGTAGTCTGAGTGGTGTAGGCTCGCCTCCTCGCGGCGCCTCTTCCTGGCGAAGCGCCTCGAGGTGCAGAAGACGAGGAGGACCAGGAAGATGAGTGAGATGACCGAGCCGATCACTATGCCGGCTATGGCGCCTGATGAGAGGCCCGAGGGGCTGCTCCCTGTTGGCGACGACCCTGATGAAGACGAGCTGTCTGTGGCGGACTTGGTAAATACGTAGACAAGGGTCAGGTCGCTGGAAATCGTGTTCGGGCTGTCTGTGATAAGGGCCGTCTCGGATGATACCGTGGACGCGATAGCGGATGTGGCGGCATCGGCTCGGGTTATGGTGACGGTGAGAACTCGATCGAGAGAAGATGAGAGAGAAGATGAGAGAGAAGATGAGGCTGAAGCGAGGTTTTCGTTGGAGGAAACGGAAGAAGTGGTGGCCATGGTGGCCCAGGCACAAGTAGGTCACTGCCGTGATACTCGGTACCGGATCTAAACGAGTGTATAGTAAAGAGTTTAGGAATATAATTAACCGAAGCTCATCATATCGCCAGGGTTTCTGAGGTTCGGCCTATGCCCATGCCCATTATCACGGCACCGTCGATGGGCGAATTCGGGTTAAGTGAGTAAATGCTGGCCGTATCGGTATATGCTACCGAGTCCGGGAGGTAGGCCGCTATCACCGTGAGCGATAAGGATGCTCGTTTTTCCTTCCTCAGGACGGTGAATGTAGCGCGGAAGGGGATCGAAAGAAGATGGAAAGGCCGAACGCATTCATGATGGGAACGAGAGGGGGAATGAGCCTACATCCAAAAAAGAGCTTGGTCCTCCCGTTGGGAAAAAAAAGCCTTGCAACTCAGGAAAGAAAGCTTCAAACCAACAGCCACAGTCACCCTTGTCTTGCCATGAGAGCGAGATTGGCCGCGACAGGGGCTCTGTCCGAGCTGTCACGTTGGGAGTTGTAGCGCGACCAAGGAACGGGCAGCGTCTGACAGCCAAATGGGACTTCGTATCTGTGTGCGAGTAGTTGGTTGGCGTCCCCGTCGCCGGCGGGCGGGCCTCGACGCAAAACAGCCGCCTCCCACACTCGTGGGTGGCAGGGTTGTAGCCGGACGCGCAATGACATGGAGGGAAAGGGGCCAGGACGTGATCCGTCCGCATGGCACCGCGGCCCATGAGCAAAGAGGCTATTTGGCCCGTTATACAAGGCCACTCGCTCTCACTCCTACCCTAGCCTTGAGGGTCTCGGCATGGATCCCGTCAGTTTTTAGGTGTTGGTCCATTGGAGGGGACTTGACCTGTTTGGGACGAAGCGAGATGAATTTTGCACAGCTGGGCATCCGTCCGTTCTTGCACAGACAGTGTATGAATCAATAAAGGGATCAATGGATGGATTGATGGATCGATTCGTGGATTGGCTGTTAGATTGGCTGACTGATGAATGCGTGATTGAAGGATGGGAGAGCTTATACAGCTCATAAGGATCCCAAATGTATGGGACAACATGATTAGTACATTGCAGATCTTTCTGTGGGATAACCTCATGTGGGATACCCTGCTGTTGGATAACCTCCTGTGAAGTAACCTGTGATAGGAAAACGTTCCCATGGATAGTATTGACCTGAGTAGGTGTTGTTCCTTCTTGCCTCTTTCTGCGTACTCTGGAGCGTTGGGCTGACCTTTTGGGATCCTTGCAAACTAGAAGTCTAGGAGTACGAATAAATGGATGACAGTCAATATTGCTGCATCTCCTGGCGACCTTCATGGCCCTCCCCTGCCTTTCCAGGTGAGCCCTATGACATTATAAGAGAACGAATTCCCCAGGGCCAGGATGGCCTCTGCAGTAGCGCCCCGGAAAAGAGAAAGAGCCGCATGCCCCAGATTGTCGGAAAGGATTAGATGATCAATATGGGGACGATCGAGGTCAAGGTCTTGGTCGAGCATGTGAAACCGCAGCGTGAACGAGTAAGCAAGCAGCCACATGGAAGTCGAGTCGAGCACCAGCATCAAGTGAGATCATCTGCCCGTGCTGTCCTGCTGTGACCGCCTCCAGTCAGCACTGGCAGTAGGGCAATTGGCATGTGAAGACGCTGAAAGGCCTAGTCTGTCCCATGACGCCAAGGCCCTGCTTGTCCGACATCCGGCAGCTGCAGCAGTCCACATCGCTCGGGTTCGGGCGTCGTGTGCCTCGGCACAACGAGGCCAGAGGTCCAGATTACCATCAACATTCCTCGCCCTCTTCTCTGACATCTTCGCACCAGACAACACCTCTCTGATTCTCCATTTTTGTCTGTTTACGGCACGAAACACATAGCATTTCCGTTTCTATTCTATCTACAGCATCACCGTGCCTTCCGTGACCCATTCCCAAGCATCACCTATAACCCGGACAGACAAGCAGAACCGCAGAGATGGGTGGTAAGAGAGCTCTCTCATCTTATTCCAAAGACCTCGGACTGACTAGGTGGCCACAGCTATCGACAGAATTTCAGCAGTTGCTGGCCAGCTCACCAGCCCCAAGCAGGGCAAGGCCAGACTCCTCGAGAAGAACCCCGATGATGTGAGCCCATCCATCTACTTTACTCGCTCTATTCCTACCCTGTCTCTACCATTTCACCTGCTGACCAGGAACTCGTTGCTACTTTTCTAGGTCGTCGTGACAGCATGCCTCCGAACAGCATTCACAAAGGGTGGCAAGGGCGCATTCAAGGACACCATGGCCTCCGACCTGGTTGCTGGCGCACTCAAGGGCATCATCGACCGCTCCAAGATCGACCCCGCCCTGGTCGAGGATGTCTGCGTTGGCACCGTCCTTGCCCCCGGTGGCGGTGCTACTGAGATGCGGGCCGCTGCCCTGGTCGCCGGCTTCACAGACGCCACCGCCGTGCGAACCCTCAACAGGCAGTGCTCTTCCGGCCTACAGGCCTGCGTGGATGTGGCGAACCAGATCAGCACCGGCATGATCGAGGTCGGAATCGGTGCCGGTGTCGAGTCCATGTCGACGCAATATGGGTATGCATCAAACCCGTCATAGTTGACATCTACCCATGGATCCACGCTAATGAACATACCAATTACAGCCCCGGAGCCGTCTCCGAGTTCTCAGAGCTCCTCGAGTCCCACCCCGAAGCCGCCAACTGCAAGGTGCCCATGGGAGTCCTCTCCGAGCAGATGGCCAAGGACCGTAACATCGACCGAGCCAGCCAGGACGCCTTCGCCGCCAGCTCCTACCAGAAGGCCATCGAAGCCCAGAAGCAGGGTCTGTTCAAGCAGGAGATCCTCCCCCTGAAAGCCAAGTACGAAGACCCCAAGACCGGCGAGACCAAGGAGGTGGTCGTGGACAGGGACGACGGCGTGCGCCCCGGCATCACCGCCGAGTCCCTGGGCAAGATCAAGCCCGCTTTCGCCAAGGACGGCAGCATCCACGCGGGCAACGCCTCGCAGATCAGCGACGGCGCCGCCGCCGTGCTGCTGATGAAGCGTAGCACGGCCGAGAGGCTGGGCCAGCAGATCCTGGGCAAGTACGTGGCTGCGAGCATCGTCGGCGTCCCACCGCTGCTGATGGGCGTTGGCCCCTGGAAGGCCATCCCCAAGGTCTTCGAGCTCACCGGCATCACCAAGGACGACGTCGACATCTTCGAGATCAACGAGGCCTTCGCCAGCCAATGCCTGTGGTGTGCCAACGAGCTGGGCCTGCCGCAAGAGAAGATCAACCCCAAGGGCGGCGCTATCGCCTTCGGCCACCCCCTTGGCTGCACTGGAGCCAGGCAGGTCTCCACGCTGCTGTACGAGCTTAAGAGGAGAGGCGAGAAAATCGGTGTCACGAGTATGTGTGTGGGCACAGGCATGGGGTAAGTTGTCTTGCAAACTTTGACTTTAGTTTCACCCTCTGTCTTATAGCAAACGCTAACCTTTCTTCTCTACCCTAGAATGGCTGCTGTCTGGGTTGCCGAGTAGATTGTATCGCTGTAGTATAAAAATAGGATCTTGTCTAGATTTGTGTATTGAGCAACATGACCTGACGAGCACGTTCTCCAACCCTGAAGTCGTTGATCCTAGCAGCTGTCTTTTGGATTCTCCCTTTTCCCAGCCTCTCTGTAAGTAACGACTGTTAGATGTTAGACTCGTAGCAAGCGTCTGTAGTGGCCAGTCACTTGCTGTTTGCTGTGCATGCCGCGTGTCTCGAGGACTAGAAGAAACGAAAAACCATTGCCAACAAATGGACAACAATCACTTCGCGGAGCTCTGGGTCACACGGGACCGACATCATGATACGTGGCTGGCGCACCCCAGTACGTGTACGTGCCTCGCCAAATCATACGGTCTAGTGGACCTGGATGTGCACGCCATGCAGCACCCTCAGCGAATACCCCCCTTAAGACCCCTCGCTTCGGTGGGAATCAAAAAGTCACTCATAAGCCGTGATAGCCGCGGTGGCGCGTCCCCCTAGAAGCCAGCCACGTGCGTGCCTACACCCTTATCCCGCGCAAACTCAATGACCGACATCCCGACCGTGAGGTCCATGAGCCCCAGGCCGACGCTCTTGTAGATGACGTTACCAGCCTGCAGCCACCGGCACATGTGGTCCTCGCGCTCCTTCTTCTTCTTGCCGCCGTCGGCGGAGCTGCTGCTCTGGCTGGTCTTGCGCCGGTGGAACAGCGAGCCCGGGCGGCTCGACGGCCGGCTGGGCGAGCGGCTGTCCGGCTCGTCGTTGGTGCCGCTGTAGACGGACGTCATCGACGGCCCGGAGCTGAGGTCGAGCTTCTCGAAGTCCGAGGACGGCGCCGTGCTGGCCCCGCTGCTGGAGACGAGGCTGCTCGTGTCGTCTGAGGATGACTCCTCGTCCATCTTTATGCGATGGAGCATGACGAGCTCACCGAGCCTGCATGCGTAGACACTATATCAGCATACCGTTTCAGAAGACATCTCTTTCCGGTTGAACTTACTCAATAAGCTGCTTGGGAGTCAGTCCGCCCTGTATGATCTCGCCGGCCTCCTCCAGCGCCCCGTCCAGGGTGTCGACGATGACAACGCCGCCCTCAGTGGCATGCTTGTGGAAGTGCCTATGGCCCGGCTCATGCGTCTTGACGGCCTGATGCACCACCTCGAGAGGGATCTCGAGCATGTCGGGTTTGTAGCTGCCGATAGCAACAATGAGGCGGCCCTTGCGGCGGCCGTCGCTGTTGGTGAGGATGGTGTGGTCGAACAGCGGCTCCTTGCTAGGCGTGCAGCAGAAGATGACGTCGGCCGCGCGGACCTGCTCCTTGAGCAGGCGGTTGAACTCGCCGTACCCGGGCGTGAGGATGCCGAACTGGGCGTCCTGCCAGCCCTCGCGCTCCTTGACGGCGGATGGCACCGCGTACAGCCGCTTGAGGATGTACTTGCACGAGTCCGAGAAGCGCCGGTTGATGACGTTGACCTGCCGGATGGTGCTGCCGCGCAGCATGAGCGCCAGCCGGATGTGCCAGTAGGCCTGCTCGCCGGACCCGAAGGCCGTGACCGTCTGGATGCGGTTGCGTCGCACCACCAGGCAGGCTGATGCTAGGGCCGTCCGAAATGCCGTCAGCGTTGAGGCATGCAGGATACCGACGGGCTGGCCCGTTTCTGAGAACAGGGTGATAGCGCCAACGGGTTTGATCTTGGGCTTCCCTCCCGCTTCATCTTGTTTTGACTGGGGTGGTGAAAGGGTGATAACTATTTCGTCTGATCAGCAGGGGCATATAGGTTTGAGGCCCGGGGCTAGGGTCAGGGCCAGACAAGGGGCGCGCACACCTTTGACACCGACGCCAGCAGGGCTACTCGAGGGCATGAACAGAGTGGTAGCGCCTGTCCTGGATGAATTGACGGATTGTCGATGAGGTTGGTGGATGTCGGACTCTCCGGCTACCTGGGATCCGTTTGAGTAGTCATGGAGTGCGCCCTTGAGGTTCACATAGAAGGTTTCGAGCTCGTCCACGGTCAGGGATTCGAGCAGCAGTCTGATCTGCTCATCTGTGAGGACTGAGAGAGACATGATGTAAAGCGGCCCCAAAATCTCCGTCTATCGTGATGTTGTAGAGTTCGCTTGGCTAGTAGAGTCAGCCCTTATCGATGTTGAGAATGAGGTGGTAATTCGATGTGAAGCTACCACGACTTTAGAGCAGCAATACTAGACCTGGCTCGCTCGGCAGGCTTCTTGAAATCTCAGGTTGATGTCAAAAAGAAATGGCCGTATATTGGATTTGACAGTGACGGACAAATTGTTTCAAAACCGCCGGCAGTGAAAGTGGTGGATGAGATGTCGTAGATCTATGCGACAGAGGCACCCGCATTTGCCAAGGGCCGCTAAAGGAAGGCAAATGCGAGTGAGCTTTTGCCAACGGTACCCGATTACAATATCTAAAGAAGACGTTTTAAAAATTAGATTAACGTCATCACGCCTTTTCACCAACATCAAGACCCCACGGCAGATGGACTATGTGGTTCCTGAGACCCTTTGTGATCGTCGGTTGAGAGAAGTGGCCGGTTTACGGAGCTTTGTCGTGGCTGAGGGGCATTTCTCTTGAATGGCGGGGTCGCTTGACGCAAGAGAGCGCATGTGAAGGCACGGCAGGGAAGATGCTGTTTTTGCAAAGAATTTATCATTCATTCACGCAGTCAGTCAGTCAGTCAATCTATAAGCTCCCACGCCACGCTACTCTTGAATACAGATGATGGGGTGGTGTCCCCGCCGCTTAAGTATCTCCAAATGCAACTGACCCTCCCTTTTGAGCATCCAAACAGACTCAGTCTCCAGGTGCATAAATCTCATGCACAATCCTTCCCCCAGGACCCACGACTCAAGGGCTCTGCCCAGGTCGCCCCATGCATATCTTTGAACGCCACGAACAGTAAATCACACAGCTAACAAGGAGAAAAGCACGTCCCTATCGACCCGTCATCGAAGCACCACCGCTGCGGAAGACCAGCGTTGCGTGGTTGCCCCTAATGATCTCTTCAGGTCCTGGGCTGCGGTGTCCATTCACCTTGGCCTTGGTGTTCCCGAATCCCAGGTCCCTGATCTTGCCGCACGAGATGTCGAAGAGACACCCGTGGACCTCGAGCCCACGGTCGCGGATCGCCTCCTGGATGGTGAAGTTGGCCATGAGGACCTTGACGCCGGCCTCGACGTTCAGCTCTGCAATGCGGACGGAGCGCTCCTTGTCGTCCCGGATGGCCGCCAGCTCATCAGCGTGAGCGTAGCGGACGGCCTTGAGCGGCGTCAGCCAGGTGTCGAGGACACCGCCCACCCTGGAGTCGGACAGCGCGGCCGCGGCGCCGCCGCACGAGGTGTGCCCACACAGGACGACGTGCTTGACCTTGAGGTGCGCGACGGCGTACTCGATCACCGCCGACGTGTTGATGTCGGTTGCAGAGATGATGTTGGCGATGTTGCGGTGCACGAAGACGTCACCCGGCTGAAGGCCGAGGATCGTCGTCTCGGGGCAGCGGGAGTCGGAGCAACCGAGCCAGACTGATTTTGGTTATTAGTCAGTTGTCATTTTTCGCGACTCTTGGCGGGTGCCAGAAGGTATGAAAGTCTAAATTCGCCGCATGCCATCGCTGTGCAACAGGGGAATGAGACACTTACGGATCTGTGGCGATTGGCCGCTCGCCAGCTTCGGGAAGAATTGCGGGTTTTGGTACGCCTTGTAGCCCGCCCAGGCTCCGTTCGAGCTCATGGCATATTGGAAGGTGTCCTCTGCATCGGCAAGATGAACGGTTAGCGAGAACGAATCCGCGAGCGAGGGCAAGCAGATATCGGCACATGAGACTTACGGTTGTGAGCCATTTTCGGAGATGTGCCTGAGTGTTCAGCAACAGAATTCCTCTGCGTTACCACTAGTATTTATATGCTAGGAGGCACAAGGAGGCGTCGGTCGATGCACGCGCTTCAGAGAGCCCGGGGCAAGCTCGCAAGCTCGCAAGCGCCTCGGTCTTGAGGGTGGACTCCCAGGGACGTCTCCTGTCAAAAGGAGGGGGAAGGGGGAACGACGGTGAAGCGAGCAGCCGGGATGGTGGCGCGGACGTGGTGCTGCTTGCAATGCCGATTTGACGGGCTATGGATATCTGATGCAGCGGACCGTTCCGACGCTTGGAAGCAACTCGCGATGTAATAGCGAATTTCTGGACCCTGCCGGCAAAATGGGGAAAGCTGTGGTCCACAGATGGGTCTGCAGTCGCGTCAGAGAAGAAGCCGAAGAAGCGATCCTCGAAGGTCCAGATGCAGGTTCCAGAAGGGGGTGATGCAAGATAGATACGTACCAGGACCGGGGAACACGGAGTATCTGTGGGAGTTGAGATCGCTCGGGAATACAGTCGTACGGTGAGCGATTTTAGACCGGCAACTGTCAGACGAATCCCAACGCTACGGACTACGCGAAAAGCACCTTGTGGAACCTGTTCGGACCAAGGGAATTTATGAGGCTGTTGTATTCGTAGACTTGAGGGGAGCAAGAGGAAAGAAAAAGGTTGGGAAACTTTATAATATCTATCTCTGTGGGGGAGCAAACCCCAGGCTGCGGACTTAGTTTTGGGATGAAACGCTTCAAGCCCGAGTACCAATCTGCCATCGCTGAACAGGCCGACCGATCGCACAGATGTTAATGTTATTGATAGTGACCGGGAAATTGACCGAGTGTTCACGATCGAGGGAGCTTGGACAGGCGTGCAAGACCTCCAAGGAATGTCAAACACAGATCGTCGTCCCAGAGCCCCTGGTCCGCCAGATCTATGCCCTGCTGCCGGGCCAAGGCCGCGACCCTATACCTAGGTTGAGGATGAATCAGGGCCTGTTTTGTCGTTATTGCGGCACGCTATTATAGTCCCGGCATAAAAGACTGCCCAGCAGCACCCTGCTCGCTAGAGGTGTCCAGGTCCGGGTCACTGTAACGCTTGTGACTTCTGTGGCTTTTGATAGGAGCGTGCGACACTGCAAGGCCGACATTTCTTACCCACCAGGGCCTTGGCACCAGCAACGTCCGGGTGTCTACGACCCTCGCACACATGTCACGGTGGTGATACACTGAAAAAGACTGACTTCCATCGCGAGAGTCGTATTCTTAGTAGTGGCTGGCTACTCGGCGGCAATGTCACACAACACGAATGTGCCCAAGATGCTTCCAGATCAAGCAATTCCATTGTGTCCATAAACCGTTTTGGTATTTTCCAGACGCCGTGACCATTTACCCTTGCCGGCCATGCTTCCCATTCGTAGAAATCAGTACTCGTCGAAACAAAATTAGACCTTGAGGGCCTGCTCGACAGCCTTCCTCTTCTTCTCAGTGCGCTTGTTGGCCTTGTCACCCATGATACCACCTCCCCACTGGCGACGAGCGTTCTCGGTGTTGGCCAGGTAGCCGTCCTTGACAGCAGAGACGAGCTTGGACAGCTCAGACTTATCCTCAGAGCGGACCTCAGTGAAAGCGAGGACAGCGGCGGTCTTGAAAGAACAATGTCAGCAACTACTTCCTCGATAAGGGTGATGATAGGGTCATCGCTTACCTTCTTGTGGACGACTGTTCCCAGACGGGCCTTGCCCTTGACAATAGCGAAGGGAACACCCATCTTGCGGCAGAGAGCCGGCAGGAAGATGACGAGCTCAATGGGGTCGACATCGTTGGGGATCAGGACCAGTGAGGCCTTCTTGTTCTCAATCAGGCCAACAACGTGGTTCAGACCGTACTTGACGGTGTAGGGCTTCTTGGAGACGTCCTCCTTCTTCTTGCCCTCCTTGATGGCGGTGGCCTCCTTCAGCAGACGCTCCTTCTTCTCGACCTTGGTCTCAGGGCGGTACTTGTTGAGGAGCTTGAAAGCCTGGGTGGCGGTGTTCTTGTCGAGAACGTGCTGGAACTGGGCGATCGCAGGAGGGACCTTCAACCGCATGTTGAGGATCTTCTTTTGGCGCTGGAGACGGACATACTCGGGCCACTTCACCATACGCGCAAGGTTGCGCTTAGGCTGGATGTCGGCCCCGATACCATAGTTGCGAGGGCGCTTCTCGATGAGAGGGTTCTGGAAGCGGGCATTAGTCCAACATGCTCTGCTGGAAGGGATGCGTGAGAGATTCGAAGAACTTACCTTGGGAGCCTTCTTGCCAGCCTTGGACTGGGGGAACGGGGCGGGAGCCGCCTTCTTTCCGGATTTGGGAGGCTATCATTGAGGAAGAAAGACATCAGCGAATGTGTTCCATTGCTTGGTGGTCTTTCTTGAACTCTAAAGAGCTCACACGAGACATGTCTGCCAGCGTGCGGAGGCTCAAGCCAAGTCATCACCTGCGTCCAAGGACGACAGGCGGAATCTGCATCTCGAATTTCTTCGAGAGCAGTCTTGAGAGTCAAATTGATCGACGACAGACGCAAGCACACGCGAGGCGGCTGAGTCTATCGTCATGAAGACATTTCAATCAAGTGCTTACCATTTTGAAGGGTGATGGTCGGCAGTTCTGGAATTGACCCTCTCGAAGAACTGTGGTTTGGCGATGGTTCAAAGGAAAGGAAACTTTTTGGCCAGTGGGCTCGCGGAGAAAATCGACAGGCAAGTTTTGTTGTGGGCTCTGGGTTTCTGACCTTAGTACTAAAATGGACTAGCTCCAGTCAAAAACTCACCAGCCACACGGGGCGCCACAACGGATTTGCATGCCTTACTAGCGCAGGCCTCTCTGCAGCACCGCCCAGTCATTTGGTAGAGAGACCTGCATTCACTTTTTGATTTCAACCCATTCACCGGGTGAATTTCAAAGGCAATTCATTTTCTTTTTCACATATTTGAAGTCGCTTTCCTTCGATATTTGTGTTTCGTTCCGACCGAAACCTTGAGTCCTGGACTCAGAACACTGGAGTGCCGTTGTTCAAGGCCCTCAGAGTCCCAGGCATGGCTCCTATACCCTGCGCCCTCTGTAAGACGGAGCGGGCGCTCATCAAGCGGCCAAAGAACCACATGAAGCTCTGCAAGAAGTGTTTCATCCAGGTTTTCGAGGACGAAGTTCATCACACCATTACCTCTTCAAATTTGTTCTACCCCGGAGAGAGAGTAGCTATCGGTGCATCGGGTGGCAAAGACTCAACTGTGCTGGCGTCCGTTTTGAAGACATTGAATGAACGCCATAACTACGGCCTGGATCTGGTATTGCTGAGCGTGGACGAAGGAATCAGGGGCTACCGAGATGACTCCTTGGAAACGGTTAAGCGGAATGCAGAGCAGTATGAGATGCCGCTGAAGATAGTGGGCTACGGCGAACTCTACGGCTGGACAATGGACCAGGTCGTCGAGACGATTGGGAAGAAGGGAAACTGCACATACTGCGGCGTGTTTCGACGGCAGGCTCTAGATCGCGGCGCAAAGATGTTGGAGATCAGGCATGTCGTCACAGGCCACAACGCCGACGATGTCGCAGAGACCGTGCTCATGAACTTGCTGAGGGGCGACTTGCCTCGGCTTTCGCGGGCGACGCACATCGTCACCGGTGACTCAAACTCGGACGTCAAGCGGAGCAAGCCGCTCAAGTACTCATACGAGAAGGAGATCGTGCTGTATGCGCATCACAAGAAGCTCGACTACTTCACCACAGAGTGCATCTACAGCCCTGAAGCCTTCAGGGGAAGTGCACGGAGTCTGATCAAGAACCTCGAAAAAGTGCGGCCGAGCGCGATCCTCGATATTGTCCGCAGTGGTGAGGACATGGCCCGCCTGGTGCCTGGAAAGCAACCAGACAAGTGCGCATGCAAGGGGAAGCCACCTCCGGTTGCAGTGCCCGCCGAGGACGAAGGTGTCGAGGGGTGTGGCTCTGCCAGTGGAAATAGTGCAGGGAACGAAATGGCCGCAATGGAAGCTCAGTTGAGGAGCAATGAAACATCGGCCGGGCTTGAGACCGACGTCACTGCTGCAGTGTCTCTGAAGGCTCGGCCAAACGGGTCCAAACAATTACCAGTACGGTCCACCAATCCCCCAAAGAAGCCTGGAGTGTCAGGGCAGGTGCTAGGAAGGTGTGAGAAGTGTGGTTATATGTCCAGCCAAGCAATGTGTCAGGCTTGTATGTTGCTGGAAGGCCTGAACAAGAATAGAGCACAGATTCAGTTATAACACAAGATACCCGGTGCGATTCACCATTGCTCTTCTGGACCTGGACGGATTTATAAATGGCTCGTAGCATTGTGCCTACAAACCCACCATCGTCTGTATTGCAGAACTTGTCTTCCTGTATCGCATCTTTTTGCGCCATCATGGGAGAAAGTCCCTGCTCTGGGTGCCTTCCAAACTGAATATCCTCTGTTAAGCTGCGATGAAGTATGTGCGCCTCTCCACCACCAGACTTCCCTAGTTCCTCCCGGCATGAAGCCTGTGAGGAGCCAGAACCTCATGCTCTCCAAGAATTGTCCGCCTCGTAGCCTGTCGGTGGGGGTCGGTCGTCGTCTAGCACACGCGTCGTTCGACCTAAACATGCTCATCAGCCTTATCGTACTTAAGAAGTCCACAGTTTGTTTATCATACTCTCCAGGGATTGTTCAATTCGTAGCCATCTGGTGCCACAGGACTGTGGCTCTGGCCCCTGAGGAATCCAGTTAACCGCCTGTCACGGTTCATCACTTGTAGTTTTAGTCAGTATGGCAGGCCTGCATCCACTGTCTGGTTGGGGGAATCGTACTTTGTCTGTCCCATTGGTCCGTCGAGCGCCTCGCTCTCTTGCCTCCATTTTGGTAGTACTTGATATTGGCGAGTCCCACGCCGGAGACACCAAACATCTGGAATTCGACTTAGCTGAAGTTGGCAGATCAGGCGTCCCCTCTCCTCATCCACCTGGACCTTACCGCAAGGATGATTCCATACGGAATCAGAGTCTCGAATGGAACCGGCATCTTTCTGGTACTGTCTGAATGCTGCTTGAGGTGGTTGTTCGGATCTCAGGTCGCCGGGACGGATGTCGTCGCTGGACTCGAGCAGTCTGGTTGGGTGCTGTGACGGCGTTCGGCCGGCAAGGTTATCTCAGACATCGCAGACCTCGGGATGACTAGTTCGCCCCGTTGACCCCAACCCCAATTTGCGCCGGCTGCAGGTACGAACCCGTGCTAGAATATTGTTAGGCAACCTGGTCTGCACCGAGACAACCCACTCCCGCACCTTCGTTTGCGACGCACATCTCGCCCTTAGGAGCTGGTCTGTCTTCTCGTACGAACAGCTCACGTACAAGCTTGAGACGCGTCGATTACGACTTTCTTGAGATATCTTCAGCTTACATCTCCATCGTCTAATGACTCCCTCCCAAATCTGCGCGTCCAACAACGGGCAACTCCCCACAGCGAACTGCCGACTCCATGTGTGGCGCAACCACATCTAGTCGCAAAGCTTAGACTGCAAGCCAAAACGACATCAAGGTTACGATCTAGATATTATTGCGTGCTTCACGAGTCGGGAATGAAGCTGGGCACTTCACTAGTGCCTCCCTGTTCGTAAGAAGGGTGGAGCAGGCTACGGGCCAGCCGTCGCTGGCAAGAAGAGCTTGGGAAGTGATCCAGAACAGGACCCCAACGAAGCTCCGCAGCTGGATGTCAAGCGTTCCCAACATGGCGGCTATGGGAGCCACGCAGAGCGCTCACCTCACAGAGGACGAGCTCCAACAAAGCGCGACGAGCACGGACGAGGCTCTCGAGTTCGACCCTGACGACGATGCCCCGGCCGAGGACGATCCAGATGCCGAGGGCGAAGAATACGATGATGCCGAAGGAGAAGACGAAGATGCAGAAGGCGAATACGAGGATTTAGACGTCCTGCCGGAGGAAGCCGAGGAGGACGATCAAGAAGATGTAGTAGAATCCGGGGACGGCAACGCTGGAAGCGAAGTGGATGCTGAGGGGGAAGACGACGAGAATTACGACGACGATGCTGAGGGCGAACCTGATGACGAAGCGATCGAACAAGCACACACAGGCAGGGGCAAGGAGATCCCAGAAGAGGATGAGGAAGAGGAGAACGAGGACGAAGACGAGGAAGGCGTCGGTGCTGTCAAGCTCAGGCCAGGCGAGACTGACGATGAGGAAAGCGAAGCCAGCGAGGGTGAATCGTATCATGCCGAAAGCGAGGAGCCATCTGAGGGAGAAGCCGAATGGAACGTTGTCGCAGACAACGAAGACGATGACGATGAATCAGAGAATGCGCCGGCAAACATGTGTATGTTTTGCAAGCAAGATGAGGACAACGACCCGTCTGAGGAGTTTGAAACATTCCTAACTTGTACCGGCTGCGGTGAAAGTGGTTCGTACACTCTTTCAGTGGGCCCAAGACGCCGATGTGCTGACATGATCACAGCTCACCAGCAGTGCGCTCGGGAAAACAAGGCGCTGGAGGGCAAGCAAAGTGAGTAGCCGCTCCACCATGTGCGGGCAAGTTGTTTGAGTAATACTGATGAGTCTCGATTCTAGCCTCCAAGTCGTGGAAATGTCCCGAATGTCATGAGAGTTCCGAAGTTGAACAAGACGACTCTCTTGACGAGTTGAACGGCATCGTCGACGCCGATTCGCCTCCTGCCGCAAGGCGAGCCACGGCGCCGAAACTCGCTAGAGACCTCCTTCCATCACAAAGGGGAGCTGTGAAGCCAGATTCACATTCCGTATTCAATCAACTTGTCCTTGATGACGACCCCATGGATGGATCACGCGTGCTTAGAAAGCGCAAAACATCTTCAGCCGAGGCCGACGAGCACGTAGTTGGCCTGCGCAAACGACGTAAAAATACCGGTGATAGTCACAGCATGGAAGGCGCAGCAAACGGCACAAACGGAGTCGAGGAGGACAGCCGCCCACGCTCTGCACGATCCCTTCGACTAAAGATATCAACCAACGCGCCGGCAACAATCATCAAAAAGACTAGATCAAGCCTTGTGGTGAGATTTCGCGTTGCACCAACAGAACTCAAAAAGATCGCTTCCAAAAAGCCCAAGCCATCAAGGGGCGGGGGAGGTGGACGGCGCACGACAGGATCCAGGCCAGCCAGAGCTGTTGGCCCTTCGCGCGCGAGGCGGGTGGCCACACCTCCTATCGCTCCCTTTGCCTCAAACCTCTCGCAACCCTTTTACTCTTTTTTCGACAAAGACATGGACGACAAGGGTAAACCGTATGGAGGCATCCTCACTGAGGCCGAGGCAGATACTTCGAAGACCGTGCCCACCAACGAAGACCGCCGCCGTTTTGATGAGGCCAAACAGAAGGCGGAGGAGGACTGGCAAGAGCGCCTTCTGAAGATGCAGGAGGAGATCGAGGTGCCCGCCAAGAAGTCAAAGAAGTCGCAAGGCCCTGCGAGTCAAATTGAGTGCATCGAGTTTGGCGGTTGGGAAATCGATACATGGTATGCGGCCCCATACCCAGAAGAGTACAGCAGGAACCGCGTGCTTTTCATCTGCGAGTTCTGCCTCAAGTACATGAACTCAGATTACGTTGCTTGGCGACACAAATTGAAGTGCCCAGCGAAGCATCCTCCGGGGGATGAGATCTACAGACATGGATCCATCTCCGTCTTCGAGGTCGATGGTCGGAAAAACCCAGTCTATTGCCAGAACCTGTGCCTGTTGGCGAAGCTGTTCCTAGGCTCGAAGACGCTCTACTACGATGTCGAACCATTCCTCTTCTATGTGCTCTGCGAGTACGACGACCTTGGCTACCATTTTGTTGGCTATTTTTCGAAGGAGAAGAGAGCGAGCAGCCAGAACAACGTCTCGTGCATTCTGACACTACCGATACATCAGCGAAAAGGATATGGCAACCTATTGATCGACTTTTCCTACCTCCTTACCCGGGTAGAAGGGAAAACGGGTTCACCTGAGAAGCCGCTGTCGGATATGGGCCTTGTGTCATATCGAAACTACTGGCGCTTGATAATGTGCCGCTATCTTCTCGAACATTGTCCAGAGGACAAACACGTGAGGAGAGGCCTCAGCATCAAGCAGATCTCCGATGACACCGGGCTTACGCCAGACGATGTTATTTCAGCCTTGGAGGGGTTAAGGTGTCTCGTTCGTGACCCGCAAACTCAGCTCTACGCTTTCAGGGTGGACATACAGTTCTGTAAGGAGTACGTTGCGAAGTGGGAATCCAAGAATTATGTCCAGCTTGACGCGAGCGTGTTGACCTGGACACCCTATGTTATGGGCCGCAGCAACGCTACGAATTTCGAACTCGCGCCAGCCATACATGCCATCGCCCCTAGAGAGGAGGACGACGAGCAGAAAGCCGATGAAGCTGTGATTGCAGAGATCGTGGAAAATGGCAAGCCTGTTGCCGTTCAAGTCGAAGCCGAGGCTGAAGCCGATGTTGAGACTGAAATCGATACTGGCACGGAGGTCAACGGCATTGACCAAAAGGAGGAGGTTGTCGGGAAGACCGAGCCACAGACGGACGCGGAAGCCGCTGACACGGTACTTGAGTCCACAGAGCCCAATGACATGGGACTCGACGGAGCGAGTGATGTGGACATCAGCAACGTGCCCATAGCCGACGAAACAGAAACCGGCCCGCAAGTTGGTGAAGGCAGGCTCGACCAAGAGAAGCCAAACATCGAGGCCGATGACAACAAGGAGAATTCATGGGTCGACGCCTACAACGACATTCCGCCCACCAGGTTTGTCGTATACCCTCATGTCCACGGCGGAAGGCGTACCACGGCGGTCCGTCCAATTACGACTCCACGGCCGCCAGTGGCTCGGACAGCCAGCGTATCCCGGCCGAAAGCACGAAGACCAACTGGAGGTCGGCGGTCTGCAGGGCCCAAAGCCAGGAGCAGCAGCAGCGCTCGCAGGAAGCCCGGTGGCACGGGACGAGGGCCAGGACGCTGGCCAAAGGGCACAAAAAAGAGTGATTATGGAAATGCCGATAGCGGCCCGGGCTTGCCGCCAGGATGGCTTGAGCAGCGGCGTCTGGAGATCGCTGCTGGCGAGACGATGACGACGCAAGAGGCGGAGGAGGCTCTTGGCGTCAGCATTGATGGTGTTCAAGGCAAAGAGACGGAGGGCCAAGTCACGGCCAGCCCGCGACGGGTCAACGGTAACGGCAAGGCCTCTGCTAGGAGCAGGAGCAGCAGCAGCAGCAGCAGCAGCGGCAGTAGCAGCAGCAGCAGTAACAGCAGTAGTCGCAAGACTGACGGTGGTGACGAAGGTGACGGCGACATTACCATGGTTGACTCTGAGGACATTGCCGCTTAATGGGGTACACGAAGGGCCGGAGCGGACGAGACTCAGTCCCGCGTGGATGTCCTGACCTGAGGTTCTTTTGATGATTTGCTAGCAAGGCGTTGGGAACCATTGTGTACTATGTATTACTATTGCTCACGTGGATTGGATTAGTGGAGGGACATCGGTACCGCGACTGATATGATGGCCATCATCATCAGGCTTAGAGAGAAAGCCCAGAGCTTCGTTATTACCGCACACAACATAATTGACAAGGGTGTAAGATGGAGCTACTGGTCTCCTCACCATCACTGGAGAGCTGTCCTGCAGGTCCTGCCTGGACGGGCCCATAGAATGGCCCAGCTATTGCTACTAATGGCAAGACTGAATAATGACTGTACCTCCGGCACATGTGAGCGTTCCTTCAATTCCATGCGTAATACATGCTGGTGAGGCGGATCTTCGGAGTGGATTATGATGAATTACCGCAGCACAAGAGATAGACTGGTCCGTCAAGCCCGTCAGATCCATAAAATGCGTGGGTTCAGGATACTAATGGGGGGTGTCCACTAGCTGGCCAAGTCGGTGGTCATCGTAATTCATCGCATTTAGATTTACAGTGCATGGTTTCAAGAAGGCATTATTTCGCCTTAGTCACGAATTCTCGGCTGCAGCTAGCTCATCAGATACTGCCTAGACAGGCTTAGCCCCCAGACATGGGCCCTGTCAAGTTTCGTCATGCCCAAGCCCAAAGCCTGAGCCCAAGCCTGAGCTGGCTTGCTGCTGCGCCTGGGCTGCGTACGAAGTCTAAGTACCTTGGTCACAGCAGTTCAGTCTAAAGTGTGTCCCGGACGGGCGCCACCTGGAACACAGGCCATCATCTGCAGAGAAAGGGACCTCCGGCTTCATTTGATTCTATTTCGATTCCCAACCTTACTCATACCGTACACGCCCTTCTCACATCCGGCTGCAGCCATCTCTCGCCAGCCCGTGACACTCGGTATCCCATACGAAGCATCCTACAACACACCGACCGCATAGCAGCCGAGGTGCCACTACTGCGGTAATTCCACAACTGGAACCCATCGAACGGCTCAATTTCCCGTGCCAACAGCCTGCGATCCCGCCGTCTCCCGTCCCCCGTCCTCCTGTTCATCGATCGATTCATCCCACCTGCCACCAACTTCTCTGGCTGAGGTCGACAAACGGCGCCTGCCAACCCCCTTTTCCGCATCGCGATTGTCGCATGTGGCAGATCTGCCGTCACTCGTTGTCCGGAGGCTCGCTGAACCCTGTGGCTGTTCAACAGCAGGCGACAACTCCGACAGTCAAATATTTCCTCCTGTTGCACGATATCTCGACAGCGCGCGACGACCTGCCAGGCTCGCCTGCGACATCACCACTCTCGGTGCAGCCGGTCGAGATCTAATCCGTTGATTACCATCGGACAAGGGGACCACCCCCACCGCCGCAAGTCAACCGGCTCCCCGACTACACACCTGGTAACCTCCCAACCCAGCCGCCAAAATGTCGAAGGCTATGAGAAGCATCAAAAATGTCACCAAGGGGTATTCTGGTGTCCAAATCAAAGTGCGCGAGGGTATGTTGGCCAGGCTCACAGAACTCCGCTCGGACCCATCTCGAATGTCGCAAACTGACGTAGTCATGCAGCGACGAGCAATGACCCATGGGGCCCAACGGGCACTCAGATGAGCGAGATCGCCCAGCTCACCTATAACTCGTACGTTGTCGATCCGTCGCCGTGCTGGCTGTGGTGGTATGCTAACGCGATTCGCGACTTAGGTCAACCGAATTCTACGAGATTATGGACATGCTGGACAAGAGGTTGAACGACAAAGGCAAGAACTGGAGGCATGTCCTAAAAGCGCTCAAGGTCCTCGACTACTGCCTCCACGAGGGCTCCGAGCTAGTTGTCACATGGGCAAAGCAAAATGTCTACATCATCAAGACCCTTCGCGAGTTCATGTACACCGACGAGGAGGGCAGAGATGTCGGTCAAAACAGTAGGTGATGATTATTACCACCCTATCGAAAGCAAGTCTGACCTTTGTCTTCGCAGTTCGGGTGGCTGCAAAGGAGTTGACGTCCTTGCTACTGGATGAGGAGCGCCTGCGAGCTGAGCGCAGCGATCGCAGGACGTGGAAGTCCCGCGTTACTGGACTCGAAGAATATGGCCCGCAGCAGCCGCACGATACACCGCGCCGCCGTGAACGGCGCCCAATGAATGAAGAAGAGGATGCCGAGTACAAGCTAGCTCTAGAGGCGAGCAGATACCAGGAGGAAGAGGATAGGAGGAAACGTGAGGGCCGGCCAGGACAAGAGACAGAAGACGATGACCTTGCGAAGGCTATCAAATTGAGCAAGGAAGAGGAAGAGGCCCGCCGACGAGCTTTAGAAGAGCAGAACGCCCAATCGCTGTTTGACGACACCCCCGTGCAGACTCAACCTCAGCCAACCGGATGGAATCAGGGGTACCAGCAGGGAAGCGGCGTCGACTTTTTTGGGAACCCGATTGATCAGAGCCAGATGCAGCCTCAGCCCACGGGCTTCATGCCGAATGCGTACACTGGCTTCCAGACACAGCCCACTGGCTACCAGAATGGCTTTTCGAACGGCTTTGGCCAGCCTCAACAGACTGGGTTCGATGCCTTTGGTCAACAGCAGCAGCCGTTCCAGCCGCAACCTACAGGTTACAACCCGTATGGGCAGCAGCAGCTCCAGCCGCAGCAGACGGAATCGCCCATGCAGGCAGGAAGCAACAACCCTTGGGCCACCAACCAGAATTCGGGCCTATCTACGATGGCGCCGATGAAGACAGGCTCCAACAACCCATTTGCTCAACAGTCAGCTTCACCGTTCAACAGGCCCGGGCCGTCCAAGATGCCATCGATGTCAGTCTTGAACGCGCTGCCAGAGCAAAAGACACTGTCCGCGTTCAACCAGCCCCCGCCCCAGGCCACTTCTTTCACCCCTCCGCCAAAGATGCCCCAGGCACCGTCGAAACCGATCAGTGAGCACGAGGCGAAGCTCAACGCGCTTCTTTCCAGCGGCGAGGGTCAAGACACATTCGGCAACACTGGTGAGACTCGAATACCGGCACAGCACACAGCTCCAGGAACGTTCGTCAACAGTGCGGGAGCCGGTGCCAACAGGCTGACAGCCGAGGCAACCGGCAACAACCCGTTCCTCCGGCAGCAGTTCACGGGCATGCCGACCGTGTCATATGGGGCCACGGGCCCTGGTGGCATGAACGGCGGGTTTGGCGGACAGGGCGCGAGCAACCCATTTGGGGCGAGGCCGCAGCAGCAGGCGAGCAACCAGGGAGATCTAATCCAATTCTAAGGCGACGATGGAGGCAGCCCACGGGCCAAGACTGGTCAAGGCTCGTTCGGCCCATGACGGAAGTGCGCGCGTGCGTTGTGGTAAACTGGTGTGTTGTGTCCTTGGGTGGCGCCTTGCGTACTTGGCTTGAGTGCGAGTTTTCTCTTATGAAGATATATCCCCTCGGAGGTCCCTAGGTAGCATTCATAAATCTTTATTCTTTTGTTGGCGTTGCAGTGGCACACCCTTGGATTCTCGTGTTGTCTTCCCATGAGAAGCGTCTTTGAGGACTGCAGGGAGCCCACGGCGGCAGTCCTGTCATCGACATCGACCCCATCCAGGCCAACACCTGATGTATTGGTCATCGCCGCCTCTCCCATATAGCAGCCTGGGCCTTTCTGCCAGCCACAGATCCTGCTGGAGGCTGGCATTGACTCACTATTCTCCCATTGTCCTGCTACACAAAGGCAGTGGTGGTCATCTGATACCATCTGTGACATGTATTGTAGTCTAGAGCTGGCGAGGCAGAATCGCAAGAGGGTCCTCGCCAGTGGATTGACCAATGGGCCTGAGCCTGCAAGATTGAACTGACTAATCCACCAGAAGGCAGCAGCAGTGCAGCGCTCAAAGCAGTTATGATTGGCTGGTCTGGGTGGCCCAGGCACGGTGGCCGGGGCCCTTTCAGAGCCGAGCAGTCAATTGCCTGCGCCTTTCTGACTGGCCAGTTGCACTGGCCTGAACTGATGTCGCCCCCAAATCACCTCCAGCACCGCTTTTCCTACGGAGCACCACCACCGAGCCCCAAGCTTGCGAAGGAGCTGTCACCAACCCAACCCGCAACCACCCTGTCCGCGGCGGCCTTCGGATGGCTTCATTTTCTTATTGATTCTGGCGAGTGTTGCATTTCTGTCCGTCCTTGTCCCTTTTAAAGGACAGTCGGCTTCTTCTTTTCTATTGGAAACCCGCCTTTCCTCATGTTCCCCTGCCACTGAAAAAAAATCCCACCCCGACCTGACGTTGACCTCACCCCAACCTGCTCGTCTAGGACAGGGCGAAGCTCGAGCAACGGTCGCGATTGCGCGAAACACCACTCATCCCACACAAACATCGCGACCGACAACTCTACCTCGATTGTTGACTGCGAAGTGGGCTCATCTCGCGTCACGCTTTGGTCGCCTCGACGCGTTGGGCGCGCGATCCACGGCCCTCGCGCCCTTGACCATCTCACCCTCCGCACACAGTCGTACTCGGCAGACCCATCGCACTCCCGGCCATCTCCAATATGTCTTTCGGATTCGGCGGTGGTGGCTTCGGCCAGAATAATCAGAGTAACAATACCTTCGGCGGCGGTGGATTTGGGACAAACAACACGACGACTTCCGGTACGTTGGTTCAGCTTATTTTCTCGCAATGATTTTTGTGTCTTTCTTTTTGCTCTTATGCCAGGCCTCAACCTTCACCCGCCTCGGCTGACACGATGTCCCCAATTACCAGCCTTCGGATCATCCAGCACTCCTGCGTTTGGGGCGCCAGCGCAAACAGCCAACACTGGGGGCGGCCTCTTTGGTGGCGGCACGACAGGTGGTTTTGGCAACACTGGGGGTATGATACATCACTTTTCCTTTGAACGCTGCGAGCGCCGCGTTTCACTGGTCGATGTGGTCCTAGGCAGACTCACCGCACAACCGTGGAATGCGCCCGGCGTCTTCTTGAAAATGTCTTCCCCATTGTCAGCCTTCTTACGGGCATCTGTCTATTTATAATGCCACCGCCGTCTTCTGACTTACCAGACTGCCTTGAGACAGTCATGTTTTGCTAACATCCTCTTCGTACAGGTGGTTTCGGCGCGACGAACAACACAGGATTCGGAGGCGCAAAACCCGCCTTTGGTGCCCCTGCGACATCCACAGCTGGTGGCGGCCTTTTTGGCTCAACCACGGCAACGACAGGTGGTACTGGATTTGGAGGTGGTGGATTTGGAACCAACACTGCGGCCACCTCTTCGCCGTTTGGTGGTGGAGCTACCAATTCCCTTTTCGGCGCCAACAAGGCGCCAACTCCTTTTGGCGGCGGGGCCACCGCCACGACCGGCACTGGATCTTCGATGTTCGGAGGTGGAGGTGCATTCGGCGCCGGCAATACCACCAGTGCATTCGGTGGTGCCACAAACAATCCCGGAATAGGCACGAACGTTGGGGAGCCCCCTGGAACTGCTGTACTGGCTTTCTCCCCCTACTTAGAGAAGGAGCCGAATAGCACCTCACAGAACTCTTTCCAGAACATACTGTTCCAGGACCCATACAAGAAGTTCTCGGCAGAAGAGCTAAGGATGGCAGATTATGCTCAGGGTCGACAGTATGGTAACGGGCCGGCAGGCGGTGGCGGCGCATTTGGAGCAACCTCTGGGTTCGGTGGAGGGGCCTTCGGCAACAACACTACTCAGAACACAGGCTTTGGAAACACCAACACCGGCGGCGGCCTTTTCGGTAACACCCAAAATACTACGGGTACAACTGGCTTTGGCAACACCAACACCACAAACACAGGCGGCTTCGGAGCCGGTGCAACCAATACCGGTGGAGGTCTCTTTGGACAGCCCAAGCCCGCAACAGGTGGAGGTCTCTTCGGTAACTCGACCACAACAACTCAGCCAGCGCAGACCGGCGGGCTGTTCGGTTCTTCAGGTGCTACGTCAGGTGGGTTCGGAAACACGAACACTGCCACGAATAGCTTCGGCACCGGAGCCACTGGTGGCGGTTTGTTCGGCAACACTCAGAACAAGCCTGCTACTACCACGGGGTTCGGGGGCGGATTCGGGGGCACAGCGGGCACCGGATTCGGCGCCACTGCAGGAACCAGCACTGGCTTTGGTCAGACCAACACCGCCAACACGGGGGGTGGTCTATTCGGCAACACGAACACGCAACAAACCAACACTGGTGGTGGTCTTTTCGGCAACACGAATCAACAGCAACCCCAATCTACCGGCTTTGGTTCCAGTGCGTTCGGGCAAAACAACCAGCAGCAGACCGGTGGAGGCCTGTTTGGAAACCAGAACAAGCCTGCAGCCACTACTGGGGGTCTCTTCGGTAATACTGGCACTCAGCAAAACACTGGTGGGGGTCTATTTGGGAATACCAACAACACCAACACAGGAGCATTTGGTCAGGCCAACACTCAGCAGCAAGGTGGCGGTGGCCTGTTTGGACAGGCGAACAAGCCCGCAACTGGTGGCCTCTTCGGGAATAGCACCGCCGGGCAGACCGGGCAGACTGGAGGTGGTCTTTTCGGAGGGCTGGGATCCAACACCCAGAACCAGCAGCAGCAGAACTCGGGCTCGTCGTTGTTTGGTGGCTTGAACAACCAGCAGAACCAACCGAAACCGTCCCTCTTTGGCCAAACAGGACAATCTACTGGCGGCGGTCTGTTCGGATCCCAGCCAGCGCAACAACAATCGGGCGGACTATTCGGACAATCAACGGCTCAACAGCCACAGCAGAATTCTATCCTAGGGGGTTCACTTTTCAACAACTCCCAGAACTCTCAGGCAACGCCCCAGGCATTGACAGCTAGTATCGGCGATGTCAACGCTTACGGCACCCCGTCTCTCTTTTCAGGTCTTGGAAATGGAGAAGTGCAGAACCCCGGGCCCCTTGCAACACCCTTGTCTGGGAAGAAGAAGGAGCGCAAGGGCTCTATTCTGCCCATGTGGAAGCTGAATCCTGGATCTTCCACCAAGTTTGCGACCCCAGTCAAGCGGGGCTACGGCTTCTCTTATAGTACTTACGGCTCTCCTGCCACACCTTCAAGTGCAGGCAGCACTCCGGGTGGGTTCGGACAGAGTCTACTCGGTGCAGGAAGCCTGAACCGATCCTTGAGCAAGAGCGTTTCATCGAGCAATCTGCGCAAGAGTTTCAACGCCGAGGACAGCATCCTCACGCCGGGCTCGTTCTCGTCCAGCATGGGCACTCGCCCCTATGGTAGTGCAGGCTTGAAAAAGCTGAACATTGATAAATCATTGCGTCTTGACTTGTTCTCGTCGCCTTCCAGAGACAGGCAGGCCCCAGAGGCACCCAGTGGTCCACGCAAACTCCCAAAGCGGGTCAGCTTCGATACAAGCATTGACGCATCCGAAAATGGCACGCTTGATGGCACACCTGAGACTCCCACTGCCTCTGCCCAGGATCTGGGCTTCATCCGCCCAACCAATGGAGGCACACTGACAGCCAGCGGTGGTTCGAAGAGCCCAGACGCACAGCCTGAGATGGAACAAGTCAAGGGCAACGAACTCGCTGTTGTGCACGAGGAGCCTTCCTCTGCCTCTGCAACCAAGGATGCCGCCTCCTCTCCGGGCAAAGGAGCCGGAGCCTACTGGTTAAGTCCTTTCAAAGAGGAAATTCTGAAGATGAACCGTGTGCAACGATCTCAAGTGACCGACTTCACGGTTGGTCGAGAAAATGTTGGCCAGGTACAATTCAAGGCGCCTGTTGACCTCACCAACATCGACTTAGATGAGATTCCAGGAAATGTAGTTGTCCTGGAGACCCGATCTTGCACTGTGTACCCGGTCGCCGCGAAGAAGCCTCCGGTTGGCAAGGGCTTGAATGTGCCTTCTGAGATATCTCTGGAGCACTCTTGGCCGCGTGGCCGGGATAAGCGGACGCCAATTGCCGAGAAGTCTGGTCGCGCATTCAACAAGCATGTTGAGCGCCTCAAGAAGATCCCTGACACAAAGTTCATCGACTACAATGCGGATACTGGAGTGTGGACGTTCGAGGTCGAGCACTTCACCACCTACGGTCTCGACTACGATGAGGAAGATACAGAAGGTGACACTCTCGGCGATATCGCGCCGGAGGAGGCCGCCCTTCCTGCGCCGCCTAAGTCAACATTTCAAGCTACCGATGGGTATCCTTCCGCTGATCCTGAGGACACTTTTGAGTTCAGGCGGAAGCGACGTGCTCTACCCGGTGCCTTCGACTACACGGGGGCTGTTTCTGACGATGAAGAAGAGATGGCCGACGCCAATGAGCAGTCTTTTTTATCTAATCGCTCCGCGGGCTCTCTGTCCAAAGCCTTAGAACACCATGAGGATGAACTAATGGACGAAGAGCATGCTCTACCCGAGGCACAAGATACGAGCGCTTACCTAGGGTATCATCAAGCCGCGGAGCCGGATTACGACTCGCCTTACCATGGATCGATGGTTGAGTACCAGGAGACACCTGGTGGCATCATGAGGGCTAGAATGCGTGCCATCAAGGACTCGAACACGCCTTTCAAGCTTCAGGTCGCTGATGGGGATGACTGGATGGACATGCTCCAGAAAACCATCGGGCCAGCAAAGCGAGATCGCGCTGCGTTGAAGGCTATTAATGAGGAAGAAAGCTATGAGGACCTGAAAGCCAGCACACGGCAGGATGCTCCCCAAGCAATGCCCAGAGCTGTGTCGGATGGCCGTGGATTTGCAACAAGCATTGAGCTCATGAACTCGCTGTTCGAGAAGCCTAAGGCGCCAGCGAGAGCTGCGCCGGCTCCCATTCCAACCTCGGGATTCAAGGTCGGTACCACATCTGTCTGTTAGATTGCATTTTCACGCATGGGTTGGGGCGCTAGTTGCGGACGTTTTGTATTTATTCACATGCATTGCATTTAATAAAATGTGCCCCTACTAAGACTTTTCCCATTTTCTAGTGGCCATACAAGAGACAAGACAAGACTGGTGAGGAGGACGAAGCCAACATGGACCCTACCGACAAAGCCTTTCATGACACCCTCCGCCCAAGCTGGGGTCCGGACGGGACCCTGGTCATTTCAACCACCCCAAAGACAATCTCCAGATCCTCTAGGAGAGCCCTCGAGAAGGATGGCATCATGGCTATGGGTAGGCTCAACATCGTCTCTGAACATCGCGACATTCGATTTGCGAAATTCTCCAACGAGACATCACCAAAAGCACTTACCAATCAGATGGCTTTGACCCGTGTCAGCCTGGTCGACAATGTTCCGACAGCATCGCTAGGTCCAATCAACACGTTGACTGCTTTCTTCCACGGACAGGACCTGCAGAACCCAGCCAACGCGCACGAGAAGATGGTCTGGGAGCTTGCAAGTATCCTTTTTGACCAAGTCACCGACGTCAACGGGGATAGAGTTCCACCGTCTGGGCTGCGCCAGGCTCGCCGACGTAATCTCTCCAAGTTCTGGCAAAACACGGTTGAAGAGGCGTCTAACAAAGCTGTCGGCATGGCTCGGTCGCCTGAAGACAAGGCCATCGCCTCCCTAGCCGGCCACCAGATCCCAGACGCTTGCAAGCACCTGCTCGATGGCAAGAATTTCCGGTTGGCAACACTGGTTTCACTCATTGGTACCAGCGACCAGCTCATGCAGGACATGCGGGAGCAGGTCAAGGAATGGCGTGAGGTCAACGTGCTGTCCGAGTTCACCGAGCCCATTCGTGCCATTTACGAACTCCTTGGTGGCAACGTCTGTGCTGTTGAGGGAACGAAAGGAGCCATGGAGAACCGAATGGAGTCGTTCGTGCTTTCGCAGCGATTTGGTTTGGACTGGAAGCAGGCGTTTGGGCTCCGTCTATGGTACGCAATCACCTCGGCGGATGATGTAGTGGAGGCGATCCACTCCTTTGCAGAGGACATTCAGCAAGACAAGGAGCCGAGGCCTCAGCCATGGTTCGCTGAGCAAGGCATCGCCGCGTTGTGGGAGGATCCCGACAAGGATCTGCGCGAGGACCTTCTATGGGGACTGCTCAAGCTGTATGCCGACAAGGAGATTGATCTCGCCGACATTCTCCGACCCGAGAATTCTCAACTCTCCCCTCTGGACAACCGCCTATGCTGGCAGCTGGGCCAGGCTCTTATCAGCACCGGCAAGGTCGCATTCGGACGCGATGCGGACGACAAGGCAGACGCTGCGACTCTGACGTTTGCGTGGCAACTGACCAACGATGGCCACTGGCTCGAAGCTGTCTTCGTCCTGCTCCACCTGACCAACCCTATGGCACGCGCCAAGGCGATTCAGGAGCACCTCTCTCACCATGCCCAGCTGATAGGGAGCGAGCAGAGCGAGGACTTCACGACACTCACGCAGACCTTCAAGATCCCGGCTGAATGGGTCTGGCAAGCTAAGGCGTTGTACATGCGCAGCGTCAAGGGCAACCCCAGGCAGGAGGTCGTGTACCTGCTACGAGCGGGCAGCTACGCCGAAGCGCACAAGACATTTACCAAGCAGGTCGCGCCGGCGGCGATCATCGAGCGCGACTGGGAGGGCCTGGACGACCTGCTGACCGAGTTCGGCGGCGACCCAGGCAAGTTCGTGCCGGACTGGAACTTTGGCGGCAAGATCTACCGCGACTTCATCGAGCTCGTGCGCCACGTCGAGCACGGCTCGGTCGCCAGCGTCCCGCCGCGCGTGGTCGAGGGCCTCATGGCGGGCCTGCCGGCGCTGCACGAGAGCGTCCAGGTCAGGCAGGACGCGGACGTGCTCGAGGTGGCGGCCGTGGCCGACATGGCGAGCGAGGTGGCCAAGGTGGTTGTCGAGCTGGCTAAGAAGGGCGAGGTACGACCGCATTCTTCCTTTTTCATATTACCCCAAGTTGGTTTCATTGACATCATGCTGACTTGTTTTAAATGCAGACTTCACTCACCCAGGTCCTTGGCCTGCCGCTCACAGAGGACGCGTACTTGAAGTACTCGAATGAGCTGGCGTTTGCGTATTACAGGGACGTCATGGTTGGACGTAGTTGATCGAGAAGGGATGGATTGTTCTGCCGAACGAGGAGAGAGAAACAGGACATGAATGTGGCAGGGTGTAAATCAAATGCAGTTGGGCAGAAAGACGGGCAAGGTAGCGAGCATGGCATGCGTTTACATTCTTGGCTTTCCTGTGGCTCCAGGTAATAGTCGCGGGACATTCGAGTGAGAAGAGACATGAGAAGACGCTGGCATGGACGTCTGACAAAGATGGGAGGATGAACGAAAGAAGAAAGAAAGCGAGGTCGCCTCTACACAGTTGGCATGAAAGCATACCACTTGCTCAACAGATAGGTTTTAGATAGTCACAAAGACAAGCATAATGCTCCAAGTACCGGTCGCTCAGCTATGCAGACGTGTTCGTGAGATCCAGCTCCCCACCGCAGTTCCAAATGCCGTTTTTCGAGACTCCCCTGTGCACATATATTTGTTCATCAGAGTACGATGGAGGCAAGTCGTTGCTTCACTTCACAATTTCCTTTCCGTGGTATTATTCGCGTAGAGACACACAGCTATGCACATTATGACCGTTGCCAATCTGGTCTGTCATCCAACAACGCGGGTAAGCGTGACAGCAGCAGCAGCACAGGAAGTAACGCCGTTTTGCTCCTCGTCCGTTGATACCCAAGCCACCAAAGAGAGAGAGAGATTGCCTATCCGTTCGGGTATCTTATGATTTGTGGAATTGCTTGACCCTCTCCACCTCGTCCCAGCTGCCCATGAAGATTCCTGACTTGTCGTGAATATCTCTGGAGTGGCTGTTAGAATTTTACTCAAAAGGTGCAGATTATATGGGGGTGGTGGAAAACAAGGGTACGTACTCAGGGACGACTTCCAGCATGCGGTCCATTTTTGAGTTGACGGCTTGTCCACCGGCTGCGACGTCGTCAGTTCAAGATTCGCGGAGCAAACACACGTAAAAGTGGGGAAAAGAGGGGGGGGTTGGAGGCGTACCATTCTCAAACACCATAGCCATTGGCGCACACTCGTACAGGATCCTCAGTTTGCCCTTAGGGGCCTTCTTGTCCGCCGGGTACGCAAAGATACCGCCGTACAAGAGCGTCCGGTACGCATCCGCCACCATGGACCCAATATACCGCGCGCTGTAGGGCTTGCCCTTGGCGTCCTCCTGTGGCTGCTTGAGCGACTCGAAGTAGCCCTTGACGTTGTCCTCCCAGTAGAGCGAGTTACCCTCGTTGACGGAGTAGATGGCGCGCTTCTTGGGCAGGCGCATGTTGGGGTGGGTGAGGATGAACTCGCCGACGCCGTTGTCGAGGGTGAAGCCGTTGACGCCGCCGCCCTTCATGGTGATGACCAGCTGGGCCGAGGCGCCGTACATGGTGAAGCCGGCAGCGACCAGCTCGGTGCCCGGCTTCAGGATGTCCTCCTTGGTGCCCGTCGAGCCCTCGGCCAATTTGTGGATGGCGAAGATTGTGCCGACCGAGACACCGGCGTCCAGGTTGGAGGAGCCGTCGATGGGGTCGCAGGCGACGGCGTAGCGGGCGTTCTTGTTCTCCTTGAAGTATATGACGTTCTCCTCCTCCTCAGAGACCAGTAGTGCGCACTTGCCCGAGGAGCGCATGGCGGCGATGAAGAGGTCGTTGGAGATGACATCGAGCTTCTTTTGCTCGTCGCCGGTGGTGTTGGAAGAGCCGGCCAAGCCAGTCAAGTTCACGAGTGTTGCTCTTCGGATATAGTAGGCAATTGACTTGAAAGAGAATTGCAGGGCGTGGCAGAGCAGACTGGTCAGGGAATAAGACTGTCAGTTTCTTGGATACAAGTGCCCGGGCATGTCTGAGGGGTGCTCTTACGTGAAGTCTCCGGTTGCCTCCTTGACCTTGACCTGCTCCTCGGTCAAGAAGCGGGTGAGGGTGACAATGTTGGTGTTGATGGTCTCGGCCTCGGACCCATTGGATTGTACTGCTGCCGACATTGTTGTGGTGGAAGAACGGCAGGGCACACAGAGAAGTTGAAGAGAGTTTAACAATTGTCAAGCAGACTGCTTGAGGACTGAAGCAGGTGAGTTGGGGGCGCGAGATGGTAAGCACGTGGGCAAGATGTGAAACAGAGCTGAAGTTGAAGGAAGCTATGGGCTGTATCACGGAAGCCTCGAATAGCCGAGCACGTAGACAGATAGCTCACGGAGACCAAAGAGTAGAGGTTATGGCTCTGGTTGAGGGTGAGGGTGAGGGCGAGGGTGAGGTTGTTGTGATGTCAAGTTCTTAGGTATACTAGGCAGGGGCAATGGGTTGCGGTATGGTTGCGAGAAAGGACAGGATGTGCAGGAGAAGGAGAAGAGACGAGAAGGAGTAGGAAGGAAGGAGACGAGCAACAAACCGGCGCAGACCAGAGCAGATCAGATCAATTTCTAGCCAGGAAGGGACTCACGATAATGACACGGCCGGAAGGGCCATCGTCGGCTTCGGCTACGAGGGGCAGGGTCCTTGCTGTGCCTGGGTATAGTCTAGCTCCCAGGTATGGATTAAGTCATGGTATGGGGAGGGGAGGGGGGGTGTATTTGTTTGGCTGCATGGGCATTGGAGCATCCGCATCCATCCATTCATTCATTCATTCATTCATCATTCCCTTTGCCCATGCGAGGGGCCAGAGGTACCAGAGGTACTGCCCCTCAACCCCTCTGCCCACTGACTCTGCCCCTCACTGAGGGTACTGTACTGTACAGTAGGCAAAGGGAGAGAGAGAATGGGTGAGCTCGGCACAGTGGCGGCTATTGCACTTGGTACGCACGAGTGACGTTTAATTGGAGCAAAGAAGCTTTTCCGAGGGCCGGCCGGGTCGCTGTCAGCTTGATCGGCTGGATCTGCCCCAGCTTGCATGTCAAGGCACGATTTCTCCACACTGACGCTGCACTTGGGTATATAGTGTATACGTACATTGGGGCATTGGGGGGGACCAAGAATGCGGGGGCACCAGTGGCTCCGGTGGCACCTGTGGCTAGGTGCTGTGGGAATAACTGATGCACCCCTGGTGCTCTGGGCGGGCCACATCCCCCTTTGTCCATTGACGCGACCTGGATGCAAGACAATTTCCCGGGACGCTGTCAACCTCTTGCGTAGCTGCATACCCATTACCTATCACCTATCTATTTATCTGGCTCCCGATTAGTACATGAATGAATGAAAGGGTTGGATCTCTCCATTGACCGTCAAGTATTGTGGGTATCTCATATTGTCTACAGTAGAAATTATCACGCGAACGAAACAATAAAGCTTGTCCAGTAGGAGAATTGTCATCCAGCAACTTGTCCCACAGGGATCGTCATACCATCATCCATGAAGACTGTACCAGCCATTTCACATGTCGAAGTCTCGCTCGACTATAGCTAGTTAGCTACGGAATATCAAACTGTAGACAGCCCAACAGCCCCCCTACCAAGGGTTTCCCCAGGGTTCGGGTTGGTGGGCCATCGGCGCGCGTGTCACACTCAGCCAGGTCCAAAATCGCCGACTTTGACCTCGGCACATGCGGCCAACGCACGCGTGCGACTGAGACTGAGCCGTGGGACGCCATTGCCGCTGCCAATGCGGCCAGTCCATGGCATCTTCTTAATTTTATAGTGTCGCTTCTTCACCTCGTAGCTCTTTCGTGTCGTCTTCATTGACTAGACAACTTTCTGACCATAGTCAACCTATTGCTCTCCTCGCTACCCTCCTGTCCCTGCAGCTGTGAGTGACCGTCAAGCTCAAGACCGTCCCTCCATCCAGCTCCACTGTTTCCATCGGCAGTCCACGCCCTCGTGACATCCGATCGACGCAGCGACAGCACCAAACACCTATAACCTTTCTCTCCATCTACGAAACAGCCTCCCCAGACGAAACCAAGACAGGCAGACACACAACCGCCACAATGGTCGCCGACGCCGCCATCTACCACCCCAGCGTGGCCCACTACCTGCGCTTCGTCGCCACCACCGTCGGCCGCGACAAGGTCCTGCGCACCCTGCAGTACTTCGCGCGCTTCTACGCCTGGTACCTGTTCCGCACCAACGGCTCCCCCGCCGAGATCGCCCCCTGGGAGGCCGTCAAGAAGCAGTTCGGCCTGACGCGCAAGCTGATGCGCGTCGGCAAGAACGTCGAGCACCTGCGCGCCGCCGCCGCCGCCGCCGACGCCAAGGCCGGCTCCGTCGACCCCGTCCTGCGCTACACCGCCGTCGCCCGTCAGCTCGGCTACGCCGGCTACCTGTCCCTCGACATGGCCACCGTCCTCGACGCCGCGGGAATCCGCAAGACCGAGTCCGCCAAGCGCCTCCAGCGCGAGGCCTTCCGCTTCTGGGCCATGGGCCTGCTCAGCTCCGTCGTCGCACAGGCATACACCCTGTACCAGCTCAAGCAGCGCGAGGCCAAGGTCGACAAGAAGGAGGGCGAGGGCGTCGTGGAGAGCAAGCGGATAGCAATGTGAGTGATGCTGCGATCCAGTTTTCGGTTTCTCTCTGTAATTATACACGGCTAACATGTCACAGTGAGCGATCTGCCAGCCAACTTCAGCTCATCTCAGACTTGTGCGATCTGACCGTGCCCTTCTCGGCACTCGGATGGGTTGCCCTTGATGACGGCATCGTCGGTATTGCCGGCACCGTCAGCAGTTTGATCGGCCTGGTGGCACAATGGAAGAAGACAGCTTGAGTGGCGGACGGACAGTCAGACAGATGGTACGATGAAACGGCGTTTTAAAATGATGCGAGACGACGGCGATTGGGAGTAATTGATTTCTAAAAAGGTCTGTTCACTTCACAGGCTGGCGCTCTCCATTTTCGTTGCACTAGCAATGAGTCGAGCCAGCGTCATAGCTTTTGATTCCCTGATCTTGCGGAAGCACCCCTTTACCCATGGCGGCTGATTTCAATGAAAATTTTTGGACTTGTTATCTGTATCTGGGACCATCTGTGTTGAGAGATTGTATCAAGTCAAAGTTATTGTGGCGGCTAGTGGGTCGCTGGCGCTCATGGATAGCACTATGTAAACCAGCAAGGTCCTCGAAAGCACATGTGCCACAGATGTACCAGAAGGATCGCTCCCTCGATTTGAATTAGATATTTCCCGCCAATCTGTAGTAAGCCTCACTTTCCCAAACACTAAAGTAAGGGCGAGGTCTTTCGCTCGTATCGGGTGACGAACTCAGCGTTGCGAAACTGTTCAGTAATGAGTACCAATGACAGAAATCTGTTATTCTTACATCAAATATTTTGTCTGCCAGTGTTTGATACGAGTATATGAGCCAAGCCATGTGTCCTGGCCAATGAATCCCCCATATACACGTCCGCGAAGCAAGCGTCACCCGTGATGGCATCTGCTTGACGGAATCACCAAGGTGTATTCGTAGCTGTAGAGCACATCGAGGAAGCAACACGTGCTGTGAAAACCTCAAATTCGATAGTCCGGGCTAGAGTTGAGAACCTCATCGTCCGCCTCGTTTGCAAACCCACGAGCTTAGCCCACCTGACCAGCGCAACCCGCCACGCACATCGCGAACCTTCCATCCCATCTTTTCCCAGTGAGTCACTTGCCCACACCTATTCACTTCACTCCCGCCGCAAGAAAACCAGCAGACCCGACCATTTAAATCCCCATTTGTATGTATCATTCAGGGCAGGTGGCCTAGCGGTGGGAGACGTCCTACCACGAAGCCATCTCCCTCACGCCAATCCCGACGGGGCCCGAGTTCAACTCCCCGACCGACCGATCGATCGATTAAAAAAACGACCTAGACTTTCCGCAGGACCGCCGGTGAGGCCAAATATTCCGCGCCAGTTACACTGGGACCGTCGGTGAGGCCAAACATTCCGCGCTGCGTGTGTGACGACAACTCGGCTCGACGACAAGAGACGTAGGCCCACCGGGGCCGAACTCTTTTGACCTTCTGACCCATTCTGTCTTTACTCCCTCCTGTCTTCCTTCTCCTCTCTCGGGTATGACCTCCTCCATCCTCTTCGTTCCTGCGCTTCTGTGATGAGTGTAACACTCTCACCTGCCCATACCAGCAGGATATTTGAACCACAGTAGACAGTACCCTGGATGCCACAACATAGAAATCGAACAACTTGAGAGGAGGGGTCCATCCATGACATTCAACTGCAAGACCCAGAATGAAAGCACAGAAGATAGACACCGCTACCTAACACGGCATGGCTCTCGCTCGAGGCAAGACAGATAGCAACATTGCAGGTGAGGAGCTCTGGATCTCTTTGTTGAGGGCAATGGGAAGAGTTTGCACACAGCTGACAGCACTAGCTGCGTGATGCCTATAGAATAAGGCCAGTGAGAGACTCATGGTGGTTCTACTAACATGCCCCTCCACCAGCGCGTCAGAGCCCGATCTTCCCGCCCAGATCCCTCGCGATCCCCAGGAACGCCTCGGCGCGCTCGCTGCCAGGCTCGGCCACCACGGTCGGCTTGCCCTCCTGCGCGTGGCTGCCGATGTTCTGGTGCAGCGGTATGTCGCCGAGGAACGCGATGTCGTGGTCCCTGCACACCCTCTGGACGCCGTCGCTGGAGCCGAAGATGTGGTGCTTGCCGCCGCAGTCCGGGCAGGTGAAGAGGGACATGTTGTTAACGAGGCCGAGGAGGGGTACGTTGACCTTCTTGAACATGTTGATGCCCTTGACGGCGTCCTTGACGGAGAGGGAGTGTGGTGTTGTTACTATCACTGAGCCTGCATGCGTGGCCGGTAAGTGCTCCAGTCTCCTAGCTAGGGTGTGGGCAGGGAGGTCAAGGCGAACGTACCATCCAACACGATCTGCTGCGTGATGCTCAACTGCGTGTCGCCAGTTCCCGGTGGCAAGTCCAAGACGAGAACATCCAGACCGTCCCAGTGGACCTCGTGAAGCAGCTGCTGCAAGGCCTTCATGACCATCATGCCGCGCCACACGACAGGGGCGTCCTCCCCGACCAGATAGCCCATCGACATGGTCTTGACTCCGTAGTTTGACAAGGGAAGTAGCTGATTATCTGGTCCGCATTCATCAGCTTCTCGAAACGAGCTTTATTCCATTCTCGGCCACAAGGTTGATTACGCACTTGAGGAGAGCCGGGGCTCCTCGTTGAGGTTGAACAATGTGGGGATCGACGGCCCAAAGATATCTGTGTCCAGGATCCCAGATCGGTGGCCCAGCCTCGCGAACGACAATGCCAGGTTCGCGGCAATAGTGCTCTTCCCTACGCCGCCTTTCGCAGACGACACGGCGATGACCTTGGCTACATCCTTGATCTTGCGCCGCTCAGGAAGGCCACGCTGCATCCGGGGGATGGAGCCTGTCCGAGGGAGGCCCTAGGACAAATCAGCTTTTGTAAAATTGCGTAACGGATGAGACATCTTACAAGTGGATTCTCATGTTGTAAGGCACGGAGGGTGCTAAAGAAACGCCGTTGTATTGGGGTCATGACGGTCATGTTCCTGTTAGAACTTGGCCACTGATCTGGGCGGCTCAGAGTTGCCTCGGGACAATTTCAAAATATGGTTATGAGGAAGAGGAAATTAATTGAATTGCCTAGATCATGGTGAGGGGCCCAAAACCACAGTCTTGCAACGCTGGCTTGTATACAAAATATGGAACAGAATATATCATAACATGAGCATAAATAAATTCGTTGATTGTATAACGTTTAACGCGCCGAAAAGCCGGATGTCGTTGTTAAACCAGGTCCCCGGAATGGCACACTGGGGCCGTTCTCTTCAGCGGCCAATCACTTTCCCCGTCAGTACAACAGGTACCCCAAAATGCCCGATCGGCCCCACTAAAAAGTTCAGAAGCTTCAAGGTGCATTTTTGCGCGGCCGAAATTTCCAAACTTCTCCAAACATACGTCCCGCATGACAGGAATCATGGCGCCAGCAAAGTCAACACGCGCGAAAAAATTCGCTGCGTTTGAAGAGAAGGCTGTGAAGGGTATGCGAATCGCGTCTCTAATTCCGCAGCAAATAAACGCATAGATTTGGCTAACAGCGTCTGCTGCAGACTACGACCCAGAAGCCAACGCTCCGTCCGAGAATGAGAGCGACAGCGAGGCCGACGAAGATTTGGCAGGAACCGAACACTACGTCAATGTTGGGTGCGTCTTTCTGGAAACAACTTTGCCTCAACATGACATCCCTCTGACTCACTCTATAGCAAGAGCCAACTTCGCCAAAAGGAAGCCCCGTCACTAGGTCCCGAATACAGGGGTGTTAGGGTCAGCCGCGCAGCCCTGGAAGACAGCAGCGATGGCATGAGTGAGGGCGACTCCGAGGAGGACGATGAAGAAGGCGACTCCGAAGACTCTCAAGAATATGACGACCCCGAAACTGCCGACCTTGAACAAGACAACATTATCGACGACGAGGAAATCGACAGCGATGAGGCCTTTGAGGATGGCGAAGAGGAACTTTTCAGGAAGAAGGGATTCTCGTTCAAGGACAGTAAAAAAGCTGCCACCAATGGCACGAAGCCTGCCACAAACGGGCGATCGAAGAGAGCTGTTGCGGCCGATTTCATGTCGGGCTCGGGGAGTGAGGACAGTGAGGCTGAGGAGGACGGTGTCGAAGATGATCAATCCGAGAGCGACTCTGAAGATGACGAGCAGACAGACGATCTTGACTCCGGCGATGATCTCATTGACAGAGAAGCCGAGGAATCATCTGATGAAGAGGGCTCGGATGAGGGTACCGAAGACGAGAGCTCTGAAGATGAAGACGATGAGGATGAAGACGTGGAGATGGGCGGTACTGGGCCCAAGGACAGCCGATCTACGATGCGGGAGTTGATGCAGAAGGGCCAAAAGTCCGCGGTCGCAACCATCTCCCAAGCAGCCAAGGCAGACGCAGAAAAGGGCGTCGCAGTCCGAAAACAGAGGCGCACCTACGACTCGCTCCTGAACCTCAGAATACGTCTCCAAAAAGGCCTCGTCGCCACCAACTCCCTAAACGAAGCGACTGAGGTTGACGACGCGGATAAAGAGCCCTACGAAGCAGCCGAGGAGGCTGCCATCAAGCTGTGGAATGCCATCGATGGCTTCAGGGCCAGCTTACTTCCCGAGCCGAAAGCGGGCGACAAGCGCAAGCGAGAGGTCGACATTACTACATCCAGCGATGACCTCTGGGAAGAAATGCAAGCCACCGAACAGCGCGCTGTCGCCAAGCGCAACAAGGTACTCGACAAGTGGTCGACCAGGGTCAAGAACACCACAGCCACCATGAACACTCGTCAACTGGGTGCTGCGAAAGGCTCGCAGTCCTTGGTGTCAGTGCTTGAGGACCAGATGCTGAACTCTGACCGCCTAATCAAGCGCACCCAAGTCCCTCGGTCCTGTGCCCCGGTCCAGGGGGCCAAGAAGGTGACCGAGGACCCGAGGATCTACGACGACGCAGACTTTTATCAGTTGCTACTCAAGGAGCTTGTTGACCAGCGCACAAGCGACTCAGGGGCCACTGGCACGAGCGGTGTCCCCACCGTGCGATGGACTGCCATCAAGGAGGCCAAGACGCGGAAGCAGGTGGACAGGCGGGCGAGCAAGGGCCGCAAGCTGAGGTTCACCGTTCACGAGAAGCTGCAGAACTTCATGGCACCAGAGGACAGGCGGAGCTGGGAGGGCGAGGCCATCGACCGGTTGTTTAGCACCTTGTTCGGGCAGCGGACGCAGCTCAAGGAGGACGATTCTGATGAGGAAGAGGATGATCTGATGGCTGAGGAGGAGGGCCTCGAGCTGTTCAGGAGTTGAAGCACTCACGCAGAGAAGCCGGAAGTACTTCTTAGTGTGACCAAGACATGTGTGGAGGGACGAGAGCTGGCAAGTGGCCCCAAGGCGTTCGTGGATCGCCGCTGGTGGAGGCTGACTGGGGCTTAATGCTGTGCAACCCTCCTTGTGGCCGTGTTCACGACACCAGCCCCCATTTATATACACCTTCATCTCAAATTCAAAACTTCTCAACGTGCTAGGCCATGCAAGCCCGCCCATGTCAGAGACACAAGTAACAGAGTATGCACGGCGAAATGCACATACGGGCCACCCAGTGCATCAGCCTGTTGCAAGAAGCCGCGGCCGGCACCCTGCGTCCTGATCCTCATCCAAGCCCTCCGCATAGGCATGACATGGTAGATAGCCAGCGAGGTGGCAACGATAGCGTTGGCATCATCAAAGTTGGTGCTTCCCCTGCGGTACAGAAGCAGGACGCACAGCACATTGGTGGCAACCAATAGACCGCCGTAGCTCTGGCATACGAGAACAGCCTCAGGGCTGGGGCTCGACTCCCGGAGCTGTTTCGGTGCGTTGAGCAGGAAGGACAGCGAGGCTGGCACCTCTATGAGGAGGTGAAAGAGTAGGGCCAGGTTGCCGAGATGCATGATTCGACTGTGGGCGCCTGAGGGCACCGTGACTGGCCTTGCGTGGGGCGTGAAGATTGATGTGGTATTCCGGATCGGGCCCGGCGCAATTCGTGCTCCGGATGGCTGGGTCGGCCGGATTGTTGCGCGTTGAACGTGGAATTGTCTGCCCGGATGCCGTTCCGGGTGGACGATTCCCGGAGACGAGCCAATGCAGTCTCTGCGGCTGTGCAGGACCTTATTCCAATTGACCAATGACTAGAATGTGGTGGGCGCCTGGATTAGTTTTGCGACGCCCATGATTCATTGATTGCGACGTGAGGCGGCTCAACTCACCTCCCTTGCCCCTCGTGTGCCTGCTCTCTGTACAGTAGACTGACTGATCTACTGTGTATGGGTTACTGGCGCCGTTCTGGTTTAGATGGTGTAATGTTCATGTCATGTTGACGGCTGGGCAGTCGCACGGGGCTTAGTGAGCTGCAAGATTGTGGGTTTGTGACCTATCTGTCTCCTCGAAACTGTCGAGGTGGGTGTGGCTGTGTGTCGGTGGAATGTCTGAATGTCTGGATGTCAGGATGTTGTTGTATGGTTGGAGCAGCCGAACATTGTCTCAGCATGCTCGTCAAGGAGCTTTCACTCCTGCTTTCTGGCGAGGTGCTGGCCCAGAAGAGGCAGGTCCAGACAAGCCAGACAGACAAGCCAAACAAGAAGCAGCAGGGAGAGCAAGCAAGCTCCTGCAGGGGTATAGCAAGTTGCGGGCTGGGGACCGGCAGGGGCGACTAGAATTCCAGGGGTGGGCTTGCAGAACTTGCCAATGACAGCACCAAGAGCTCACCTTGGGCAGATCCCCGTTCCCACAGCCACGGCCTGCTACACTTCCGGCCGCGAAACTCAAGGCCTCGTGTTTTGCGTTTGGGAGGAGACCTTGTCTTGTGTCTGCAGCTCGGCGCAGCCCTGTGCGGGCAGGCCCCAGGGATCGTCTATCTGCGTGGCCTGATGCCTCAATGACTAGTGTTGGCCATGCTGCACATGCCTCGGTATCACACGGCCTGGCCTGGCCTGGGGCTTGGGGGTCTCTACCAAAGTAGAGAAAATCAAGCTCTCGCCACACCTGGATTGCGGGCGGGCGGGAGAAGGCATGTCCTCACCCAAGAATGGACCTCGGATTGTGACTGCCCAGACGAAAGGCTTTGTATCTTCAGCTGCATCACATAGCTACAGGGTACAAGTACCTGCTGGGTTCCTCCTGCACCACCGTCCCATCGTAATCGCAACGCGGAATGATTTACACAACCCGTTGCTCCTGACTGCGCAGACTTATCACTCCCGGCGCCATAATTTGTTGGGACAGCTCTCCCGTCTTGTTTCAAACATCGTCGCCTCGCGTCACAAAGCTTCCTGGCAGAACTCCACGCCTGAGCGAGACGCCCTTCACCACTTGAAGCGATATCAAAGAGGACTCTTCACGAATAAACCTTCTCATGTCAAGATCTATCTAGATTCCCAGGTAATCTCTCAAGAGATTGGTGCAGGTGGTTGTGAATCTTGAGGCCATTCCAACAGAATCGAATTTTCCAAGGCGCTACCCGTTCTGCCAGCAATCTTTTCGACATTTGACTCCTGGGGGAAGAAGAGAGGAGACAAGAGATAGACACATTCTGCTGATCATTTTGTGGCCGGGCTGGGTTTGGACAGGATCTCAACTTGTTTTTTGCCCACCTGAGACCATTGACGATCCGAGTAGCACTTGCCGGCCGCCTGAGCCATTGAACCACCAGGAACCGGTTTGCACCTCTAGAGTGAGTATCAGACGGTAGAGAAAAAGACCGAATACGGCTCACGGGGCTCGAGCATCCAAGAAATTACCAAGAGGAGGCGCAGACGCTTGCAATGGCCTCGTCCAACAGCTTTGGGCAGCTAGGGCTGTCCATCTTGGGGCTTGGCTCCCAATACCCACCATTCGGGCTCAAGCCTGACGCCATAGACACTCTGGCGAAGCGTTACCATCCAGAGAGCCCGTCTATGAAGAAAGTGTGCGCCATCAACCAGTTCACTGGCATCGACACCCGCTCGTCCATAGGCAATCCCGACCACCCAGTCGTCAATCATCCGGATCCTCCCACTATAGCACAGCTTCATGAGGTATTCATGAACGATGGAGTACCACTCGCTGTGAAAGCTGCCCAAAAAGCCATCGCTGAAGCCAGAGTCGACCTCGACCAAATTGTGAGTATTGTGACCCCGAGCCCCAGTTTGTGTGTCTGGGACTGAGACCGTGGATGGCACCCTGCCCGCTCATCATGGTACGCATTGCGAGCTGACTATATGGTAGACACACGTCGTCTCGACAACATGCACCGACAGTGGGAATCCCGGCTTCGATCACTTTGTCTGCCAGGAGCTAGGACTCTCTTCCCAGGTCGAGAGGGTTCTCCTCCACGGGGTTGGTTGCGCAGGTGGATTGACCGCACTGAGAACGGCAGCGAACCTCGCCTTGGGTCACAGCTACCGAGGGAAGCCAGCGCGCATATTGGTCCTTGCACTCGAAGTGAGCACGACAATGGTACGGAGTGAGTTGGAGAGTATCGACAAGCTTCAGGAGACAAGAATAGGAGTGTGTCTCTTCTCAGACTGTGCCAGCGCCGTGGTTCTCAGCAATGGTTTGGGCAACGAGGGCTCTGTTCCTGGACGCCCGGTGTACGACTTGTTGGGTTGGGACAACCGAATCATCCCAGAAACGACAAAAGATCTGGGCTTTGATGTCGACCCAGTGGGCTGGAAGGTGGTTCTCTCGCCACGCGTGCCGAAAATCGCCCAAGGTGCTCTGCAGGAAACTTTTGCGGATCTGATGTCCTCATTGAAACTACCACCACCATGGGACGATGCCAAGCCATCCGAATTTGACTGGGCCATGCACCCAGGAGGTGCGACGATTCTCAGTGGTGCGGAGAAGGCGATGGGATTGGTCCCGGAGCATATGAGGGCGAGCTATGACACGTACATTAACCATGGCAACTCCAGCAGCGCCACAATTTTCAGCGTACTGGACCGCTTGCGGTCAAAAGACATGGACGCTTGCACACCAGATGGCAGAGGACCGAAAGACCATGTCGTGGGCTGTGCCTTCGGACCTGGCGTGGCAGTGGAGATGTGCATGTTGAAGAGGCACTTCGCGCCCCGCGCGGAAGGAACGGGCCTGCAGACTCCACCCGAGACCGAGAGTGAGCAGAGTAGTGAGAAGAGCGATGATGGAGAGGACAGTGTTCTTGACGTTGAAAATGAGGCGACAATGAAAGATACCACACGGGCTGATGCGGGGACGGACAGCTTCATCAGCCAGGCACTTGCATCTGTAGAGCTTGATTGAGCGGCCAGATTAATACATGAACAAAATATAGAACATGCACTTATTGGCAACACCTAGCTGGCCGTTAAACACCGTTACTTTTCACAAGTGTTCGATGCGACCAACTTTCTCCCATAATATTGATCTCTCGCGAGTGGTGGGCACAGCCCACCACTTTGCGCAACTCACAAAAGCGTACGTAGATACCTAAATAAGCGCACAATCTCAACTGTAAAATCTCAACCATCTTGACACTTCCAGAAGAATAGCATAAAGTGACTCCGAATTCATTATGGGACAAACGATGTTGGGATAGCCTCCTGCAGAGTAACTATGGACCAGAACATTTGAAGAAAGGGACAAAGGCAGAGCGACGGGGTCTGAATAGAGGTAGAATCGAGCGTATCCTCTCTAATTCTGAAGGGCGAGGTCGCTCTCTTTGGTATATGATCCCTCCGACCCATATAGCCCCTAACACTTGTCTTTAAGGATACAATAACAGCTTATAAGACCTAGAAGTCTAAAGCAGGTGAGAGTCTGGGCTGGATCCCAAGATTATTAATAATATATCCCAAAACATCTTCATATGCCCAAGATATTCAGGATGCACAAACCCTCTCGCGTGTTAGGGGCTATATGGGTCGGAGGGATCATATACTAAAGAGAGCGACCTCGCCCTTCAGAATTAGAGAGGATACGCTCGATTCTACCTCTATTCAGACCCCGTCGCTCTGCCTTTGTCCCTTTCTTCGACAGGGAACCCGGCTCCAGACAATTCCTGATGAGTACGGTGTTGGCGGGATGGACTTTCTGCTCAAGTTGCTTTGTATCTAGGACGTATAGCACTATGAAGATATTTCAGAACATATAGAATGTGAGAAGCGCAGCCTGCCAACTGAGCATTGAAGGTCTCTATTTAATAAGTTACCTAAGACTTGAGAAAGGAGTAGCCAACAGCTACGGGCCCTCGTCGAGTCATGGGATCAAGAGCTGACGGGATCGACTGTCTAGAATGCGCCTCGTTGATGGAATTGTTGGATATGTTCCTGAACACTGAAACTTGACATAGGAGCACAATGCCATCGTCAGTATCCGCAGGCACAGAGCGACAGCAAATACGGGGGAAACATAATTCTTTCTCCATCATCTGCAATTTTTAATGACTTGGTAACAATGTCGTTGATCAACAACTTCGTACTGGTATTCCATCTATGGTCAGCTTTCTATACCATCGTGTCCTGAACGCATTTCTGATCGATGAGGACGGCAACAACGGCAACGCAGCAAAAGGCCGACTCGAGTTTCTTGCCCTAATACTTTTCTGACTTTTTTCATGCAAAACTACGACTTCTGAAAATCACTGAGGCATAAGTGCTCATCCTCTTAATACATGTTCTCCAACTCTGGGGATACATTGGCACTGAAGCATTCAAATACTTCCTCAAATACATCTACACTTTTCGCTGCTTTTTCTACTTCTGCATTCGGGTCTCTGCGCGCTTACCTCTTTGTGGGCGTTTGTCCACCTGACATTTCGAGCTGCTCGTCACCTTCTTCTCTCATCTTCATACACCCTCACACCCACCTTCATACCCACCACTCTCATACTCACACTCCATTGCTCTCTTCTCAACTCTCTTCCTTGTCCCCAGTCCTAATTCCTCGTCTCTCACTCCCACGAAGACGCACACCGACCTCTACCTCAGGTGCTTCGTTCCGTAATTCTGTAAGTGCTCATCTCTCTACCGCTTCTTCATTCCATTCCTCAACGTTCTCTGCATCTTTTTCTCACATACCTACATCACAGCCTTCTCATCTTCCACTTTCTCTCCCTGGCTTCTGCAAGTACGTGCTTGCCGACAGCTTGCCATCTTCATCGTACCCTTTACCAAACCTCACCCACGTCTCGCTGATCATTCCTTTCTCACTTCGCATCACCAAATCTTACCCGCAATTCCCAGTCCATAATACCATGTACATCTAGCCCCTTCTCACTGGGTGTGCCGTTTGACAACTCCCTATCCCACTGGCTCTGTGGCCTTCAAATCCTTCTTTCACTTGTCCACCGCTCTTCTTCCCCTTTAACTCTCAACTCTCTTCCTCAATCAGCCTACATTGGCATATGCACCTGTTCCGACCATTTCCTTTCCCACCACTCTTTCATACTGACGTACAGATTTTAGCCTCATCATAGCCCTGGGCTCAATAAGTAAAAAGGCATGTGTTCCTCATATCAACCAAACTCCTTTTCATCTTTTCATTTGCCTTTCAATTTCATACCGCGCTTCTGCGCTTCTCCTTACATTCAGTCTCTCCTATGTTCTGTTCTCTCACTTGTCTTTCATCCCTTACCTTGCTCCCGTCCCCTCCTTAACTCTTCCTCTCACAGTCCCTCACACACATCCACACACACTCTCTCTCTTTTTTACAGACATATGCACGCCCTTGCCTCTTCTTTCCTTCCACATCCTCTACGAAACATACAAACATAAAGTACTGAGCTTATCTCCTGACAACTCCTTTCAGACAACAACCCACTCATCAAGCATCTCCAGCAAACGACTTCCGGTCATCATGGATGATCAGGACCCGGAGGGCGGAAGCCCCCCCATACTGCCCGACGAGGGTGGAGAGGAAGGAACTTCTAAAGCATCGGCACCAGAAGTTGGCCCCTCTGAGAGCCCCATGTTCGTGGATCAGGAGTCTGACGAGGACGCCCCTTCTGAATCCGATACGCCCGATCGTGCCTCGCCTCTGAGAGAGTCACCCATGTTCGTCGACCAGGGACCTGGTGGTACCAACTCACCTGAGGATGATGATACTGCATCCCCAGAGCCCGTCGGCCAGGGTCAGGAGGAGGCGCATGCTGAACCTGAGCAACGGGAAGTCGCTGACTCTCCTGAGTCCGAACCTGCCCAAGGTCAGGGGGAAGGTGATGAGGACATTGATGGCAGTGGATCCGCCGAGGTGGAGTACGAGGACAATAGCAGTGATGACCCGGACGCCTGTACTCGGGCATGTCAAGCGCAAGCGCGAAATGCGGCAAGACGACTCAGAATCGCAAACAAGAGAGTCGAAGCGAAGGACCGGATAATTGACGACTTACGGGACAAGCTCGCTGCTGCGAAGAAGGAGATCAAGGAGCTAAGAAAGGAACTCAAGGAGTTCCAAGGGCCAGCTGATCCGCTTCCGAAGCCGACTTGGAAAGAGTTGCTCCGTAAATGTCTTGCCAACGATGGAAACTACTACGACGCATGGACCTCCAGCTACAGGGCCTTGAATATGTCGATCAACGCAGAGATGGTCCATCCACAAATTCGGTTCATCGGGAAGGATATTGATGCGAATAGCCGCTCACGCCATAACTCCCCGGATGATCTGGTATCTGTAGGCTCAGGAGAGGAAATCTACTCGGCAATGCCACCACTTCCGGACAGTATCATCTACAAGATCTTGACGGAACTACTTACCATGGACGGCCTAGTCCATTGCTTCTCGCGTCTGGACCCACACTGTCAGCCTGAGTCTTTTCCGACTGAGCGGCAGCTCACGCGGCAGCTCAGGAAGGTTGCCACTGGAATCCGCGGCCGCTTCTTTATCTCAAAAGAGGATCGAGTCTCAATCAGTCTAACTCACGACACGGAGGACCCGGGAACTGTGCTCGCCGCTCTGTGCGTAAGCCGCAAATTTGCATGGTACGGCATTCACATCTTCTATGGAGTCAATTCATTCAGTTTCTCCTCGTTCGGAGAGATGGATAGATTCGCGACAGGATCGGGTCCTGCGAGATGGAGTCGTATTCAGCACATTGAGTTGACCTAGGTGGGATCCAAGTGTGTTGATTTCGAGCTGAAAGGATCACGCAAACGCCTCAATCGACGCACAATGCCCCTCGCTTGGTTCTGTGAGACAGCGTCGCTGAAGACTTTGTGCGTTCACATTTCGGAATCGAAAAAGAGCGTTATCAGAAGACCATACGAACCAGAGTCTCAGAAGGTTTACATGACGGGCAAGACTGCAGGGCAACCCAATTGGAGGATGACAAGAAGCTTGAGGAATTGCATGGGCATGGACTATATTTACCAACTTCGTGGCTTGTATTGGGTGCGTTTTTACGACTTGGACAAGGAGAACGCTGATCCTCGCAGGAGCCGGGCAAAAATCCGTGACAAGAGCTTCAAATTGGACGTCGAGAGGGTCGCGACTCAGGAGAAGGTTCCATCACGCGCGGAGAATTCGAGGCTGGAGAACCTCGATCGCCTTTTCCCTGATGCAGACTCCTGGACACCCTCGCAAGAAGACTTTGACAGGATCCGGCCTATCTACAACGAGGACACCGGTTACGATAACCGTTGCAACGACCTGGACATTGATGCTACATCTTCTCAAGATACAATAGGAAGGCGCACTCCTTCTGATTCGGACTCGGGTGGATCTGATGATGACAACGACCCTGGACCTGCGCTTCATACGCCGCCACGCCCATCGCGCAGACGCCGCACGTTCACGCCAGCGCCTGGCCCCGCTGACTTTGAGGAGGAACGTAGTATTGAGCACGAGGGCAACGAGTTTTCAGATGGGAATGATAATTGCCAGCATTCTGGCAGCGAAGAGTCAGCTCAGAATGATTCCGTCAGCGAGGAGCCGCATCACGACAATTCTGGCAGCGAAGATGGAGATAGCGAGGATGATGACAATGAATCCGTCACCACTGAGGTCTTTCAACGACGACGCCTTCACCAATACCTTCGGGGCGACTCAGTGTCAGAATAGGGCCCTGAACATCTGCCGCTCCCGAAAGCTCAATCGGAAGGAGGCCTAGTTTCGCACCTGAGCAGCGACATTGTCGGTGCTCGGCGCCAGATTATCGAGATTGAGGATGATGACGATCTTCAAGAAATCCCAGAACCGACACCAGCGCCAGCCTCTGCTAGATTGGCTTCTCGGCTCAGTCTTTTTGTCACTCCCGGAAGTGGCACTTCTGGTACACCCGACCCCAGACGACGGTCTACAAGTGGCTTGCTGGGACGTGGGGAGTCCTCAGTGTCCGTAATCGACCTGACTCTCGAAGAAAGTGACCATGAAGTCGAGGTCATTGAAGACGCATATCTCAAGTTCAAGTTTGAGGAAGGTGGCAGCCCAGGCTCATACGACGAAGGCCTCGAGGAGGTTGACAATGGCAGTCCGGCTGGCCGCCTGAACCCCGGTTCGAAGCGAGCACGGCTGACGAGTTCTGTCAGTGAAGGAGGCGGAAAGCGCCAAAAGTCGAATGAGCATCGCAATGGGTTATCCCCGTGGTCAGAACCGCAATGGGGTTTCCCGGAGGAGGCTTAATATCTCCTCAGCCAGCGATCTTGTCACAGTACGCATTTGCTTTATTGGTTTTCGGAGTTCCATCGGACAACATTGCTTTTGACACTTTTCTTGGGTGGAGTTTTTCCAGGACTGGAAAGATCTGGTGCATTTGGCACCCATCACTTTATCACTTCCGACTCAAGAACCTGCTCACCATTATGACTAACGAACGATTTTGGGCCAAGGCCCCTGCGAACGACGACTAGATGATCTCCCATTGAAGGGCATCCCAAGGGAGGCTATCCCATGGGAGGTTATCACACTAGAGGTTATCATGGAAGGTTATCCGAGGAGGTTATCCTGGGAGGTAATCCTGAGAGGTTGTTCTGGGACATTGTCCCAGGCTAGGAGATTATCCTATCCCGCGGCACTTGTTTACTCTTTCTTTCCACCAAACTTTTGGCGATGCATTCATACTTGCACAACATCAATTAGCGATGACTTAGGACCAACTCAATACACTCGTTTAAAAAATAACGTTGTGCCATTTGCGTGATTCTAACTAACTGTCTATTCCTCTTTGGCAGAGTGAGTCCTACCTGAGAGGACTCCCTCTTCCCGGGGTAAACCCCCCGGCCCCGGGGCCAGCCGACCAGCTCGGCGTAAGCGCTCCCTGGGCCGCAGGACCAGCCAGGCCCTTCCTGACGGGCGTCGATGGCGGCCCTTCCGAGATGGGCGTGGGACTCCTCTGCACAGCCGCCTGCTGCTCGTTCGCCGTGGTGCTCCCCGGCGGCTTCCACCCGACGCTGTCGCCCGCCCTGTAGATCTCGTTCAGCATCATCTTGGTTATCCCCGCGTCGTCGAACTCCTGGAACTTCTTGTACAGCTTGAGCGCGATGCGCGCGTCCTCGATCGAGTCGTGCGTGTCGACCTGGATCCCCTCCTTGAGCAGGTACCAGGCCAGGAACTTCAGGCTCAGCTTGCGCCTGTAGTTCTTCTGGTAAAACAAGTCGATTGTGTCAATGATTTGCGCCTTTGGTACCTGTATGTTGATGACGCGGAAGTCGCCCTTGAGGCCGTGGCCGATGAACTTGCACCCGAGGTTCAGGAGCACCCAGAGACGCTTGTATGCAACCTTCAGAGACACTAGGCAGTGGTTGCTGTTGCGCGGATCGAGATCGTCGGGTTTGATCCCCGAGTAGCTGTGTAGGTAGTCGATGACCGGCTCCTTAACTTGGATCCAGTCGTCTATAAAGGCTAGGCCCTCGTCCTCGCCCTCGCCGCGCACAATGGAGACACGGGCCAGTGCGTGGAAGTTGGGGCGGATGACCTCTCTAACGCCATCCGATTTCATCTCCACCTCTGACTGTTTCGCCAGCACAAATTCCGTGTCAAGAGCAACCGTGGTCTCCGGTCCTGGACGTTCTGTGATCGGATCAAGGGTTCGATATGGGTGCTGTTTTGCATCAGGCCTGCGTGATGTTAGCGAAGGCCTATGAGGGCAATATCTTGGGCAACTTACTTGAAGTCGATGTGGAGTACTGAAGTATCTATGTTCTTGACCCATTCGGTGTCAAGATCGTTGTTTGCAGTTTTCAGCTGGTAGACAAGCACAGACGGCATCTTCCACCTCGCGTTGAAGGTCAGTGCCTCTGCAGCTGAGACTGGTTTGACGGAGAAGTCGTTGAAGAGGTGCCACTGGCTATCTCCAGGGGCCGTCGGCTCCGCATGCGCAACTGTAACCTGGTTAGCACAGCTGCTTTGACCTTGGTGGCGCCATAGTAGGACTTACCATTGACCATGGCAACAAGGTGCGGTTTATGATTCGAGCCGGTATCAACACTGCCTGGTGACAGGGCCCCAAGGTGTGATTTTTGAGGTGACCCGCTCTCTATGTTGACAGACAGGCCGATGAGCGAGTAGACCTGAATGTTGTGCACCCCGCGTTGAAGGTGCAGTTTGAGGTCCTCGCCTTGGTAGCAAAAGAAGGAGCCGTTATCCACTATGATACCGATCTCCTCGGGGAGCCATCCTGGGTTCGCCCACAACATCCTTTGTTCGAGCTCATTATCGCGATGCTCCGCGACCGGGACGTTCAGTGTCAACACTGAAGGAATGCCTTGGATAGTCTTTCGAGCCTGCAGGGATTGGTACCGATTGCAGCGGATGCACCAACCCTTCATGGCTCCCTCTCCTTCCACGCTCGTTTTCAAGACTTGGGAGAATGAGGTTTTCGACGAACGGCTGCCGCGGCCTTTGGTTAGTGGGTACGTCAAATCTGTCACATAATTCGAACCTGACCGACTGGTCTCATTTCCGCAGTTTAAGCATTTGATCGTGGTTAGAGCAGAAGTAGCAAGAATTTCCTGCATCGCTGTAGGTATAGGCGACTTGGTGCGATAGTCATCCGCTATCGTCTGGAGTAGAAATCTCGTGAGCTGCTGCATCATCTTTGTCAGAGAGCCTTGCCGTGAGTCCTCCTCCAAAAGGCCAAGGCGGGACGCTGGCGGGTGATTGCTTAGACACTTCAACAAGTTTGACGCATGGCATGATGAGCCCTCCGTCTTTTGCAACATATCCGACAGGTAACCAAGCTCACAGAGCAAACACATCTCGCTCAAGCAATCTGTCGCCGCATGCTGGAGCGCCAGGTTCCGAACCAAAGGCGTGAAGTGCAAGACCTGGAGAAGGGAGTTTGCATAGGAATTCGCAATATGGTTTTCCAAACCAGCGTACCGGGTCATGTTATAAAACCCGAAGTCGAAATCGTCCACTCCGTACTTGCTGAATGAGATCTCAACGCTCTGGTAAAGGGCTGGAACGTCCAATTTCAGACTTTCCAGCTCGGCATTGCCGAGGGTGCCGACGGCCATGTCCACCTGTCCATCTGGAGCACTCGCGCTACTGGATATCTTCGTCGCATCTCGGGCCTTTTCACTAAGGAACTTTGGTGCTCGTATGGCAAGCGTGGTCTTGTCAGCAACCCGTGTGTCCTCGGCCTGGTTTCGACGTGTACCACGGGTGTTTGGACCGTAGAATCCAAACGATGCTTTTGTTAGATGTGCCAAGTCATTTTGTGAGATCCTGAGAGGCGGTGCTCCAACATCTGAGATGGAGCTATTTGGTAGGGCTGATGAAAGAGCCTCTCGATAATAGGGTATGCCAATGGAATTCAGCGGGCTGGCAGAGTCAGTCAGAGGTATCGGCACTATCCTTCGAGCTCGCAACTCACGTATTTTCTTTCCAGTCAATATGGGGCGGCGGCACCTCTTCATCAGGCCATTCAGTAGGCTGTGGCAACTCGACAAAATGACATTTAGAAGGAGAGCCCCATAGATGCATGTTACAGTCAGTGTCGGCCAGCGCGATGGCTTCCCCCGATGGCGCGATTTCTATTCCCGTGAGCACCGAGCCTACGACATTCGCCTGGCGTACATTGCTAGTGTTCGGATTCAGCAGGTCCACAACATGCATCTGACCACCCTGAGAAGCAACTATTCCTGTTGTGAGCATGCGCGGGTGCATGCGGACATAGGCTGCCAACGGTGGAAATGGTATAGGAGGCATCGTTGCGAGATTTTTCAGGTCGAAGACCATGACAAAAGGGTCGAGCATGTAAGTAGCCGCAGGCTGCTTCAGGGAGGTACCACAAGTAACAACGAAGTCCTGCTGGACGTCCATGTCGTTTATGAAAGCGGAGTGGGCGCGCCACTTGTGCATAATGGTGAACTTGACCGGGTCGAGAATGTGAACGTTGCCATCGGTCGTAGCTGCGCAAATGTACCGGCCCTTTTTCATCTTGATGTAGTGATTCGTGGTGGGTATCTGGACTACTTTAGACAGCACTCGAGCCGAAAGTACGGGGGTAATCCTACCCGTTTCACGATTTCTCCTTTGTTTGTGTCGATGACAAACATGGTGTCTTGTACACCGGCGACAAGAATTTCGGAGGTGGCTTTCGAGGTGAAACTCATGCACCGGAGGTCTCTCATGTCTTCAGCACTGTGTCCCGAAAGCCATTAGACCCTGCCCTCGATGACACCGTCGCAACAGGCGCTCTCACCTGATATGTGGCCATACTGGCGGTCCTCTTCGAAGGGCCATGTGGACGCCTCGGGCGCCCAGTGCGATAACCCCCTTCTCATTGAACAGGAGTTGGTGCACCGCACCCTCGGACGGTGGGTGCGCGCGGAAAGACGTGTATTTTTGAAGGCTGTTTCCATAAAAGGATGTAACGCGGCCCTAGAACACTGTCAGAAGATGCGTTGCGACTGGGAATCGGGAACAGAGATATCCGTTCGGTCGAGCGTACATATCCATTTCCAGCCCATAGGAGCTCCTGGCTTGAATCGAAGGCGAGCGCGGTGACGACGGTAGGCACCGACTGCCCTCCCGGTGGAGGGAGGAGTTGACGACTCAACTGTACGCATCCGAGTTAGCATTCATGAACCATTTCGAAGGATCGCGGTGCGACCAGATGCTCGTCGTTGCGAAAGTGTCCAACCCGTGATTCGCAGTCCTCAACCCAACACGCCTCTGATCGCGGGGGTTCTCGCTCGTCGCGCAAGACTCGGCAGCCCCGCGGGCTCTGGAATGCGGCTGAAAGCACGGTTGGGTGGTCTTGAACTGGAAATACCGACTTACCTCATCCCAATCCGCATCCATTACACCGGGTCGCCAGGTGGCATCGTGCGGCCCTCTTGAAGCTGAAACGGGCTGGGCTTGGAATATTGAATGGAATAGACGCGCGCAGTCCGTTCATCCACCGTCGTTGCTGGAGCTGCAGCTGGGGCGTACCGCGGCCCGACGGTGGGGTTCCATTTCCAGGGGTCCGATGACAAACTTACAGGGGCTTACTCTGTACCTACAGTAGACCCTTGACTGAGCACTTGGTTAGTGAAGAAGCAATATCACGGCACTAGAAGCCTTCACATCTGTCTGTGATTCACCTTACCTATACATCACCATCAGTGCGATATCGTGTACATGCATAGCCCAAATAAATGCTTGCAACATGCATTCAACTATCTGGCTTACCTACCTAGGCACTGTATTCGATGTGCCTAGGTACTGGGAGAGCCTTAAATTTGTACTTATCCCTCCTTGACTGCTTTTCAGTCTTGCTCTCTTCTCATGAGGACTACTAACTAGGACTATGCCATTTCGAGTCAGAGTTCTGAGACTGTATAATTGAATGATAAGCCGAGATGTGTTGGAAAGATGAAGACGCGCAATGAACAACCCGAGAATCGAGGCTACAAGAGTTGTATTCTATTTAACCTTCTAGTAAAAGCACTTGTGCCGATGTATGATCTGATATAATACCGCCTGTCTCCGTGCAATGTATCCTTCTAACCCAGAATCAATACGTCGAAGGGAACGTGCCCAGCCTGCCTCCGTCGATGACCGTGACATTGCCATTCAGGTATGCCCCAGCCCTCGAAACGAGGTACAGTACCGTACCCGCCATATCCTGAGAATCGCCCATCCTTCCAAGAGGGACCAAGTTCGTGTCCAGGGGAATCAGACCCTCTGACGAGGCATCACCTCCCATCGCCTCGACAATAGGAGCCGACATCTCGCTGGGGAACAGTCCTGGTGCCAAGGCGTTCACCCTGCAACCGCCTCGTTAGCCCTGGTTCTTGAAGGCTCACGGAATATACTCCACTCACCTGATGCCCCATTTAGGTAAAACACCCGCCAACTGCTTCGACGAATGCGTCACCGCTGCCTTCGACTGCCCGTAAGCCCACCCACCAGGGGCCTTCCGGTTGAAGCCGGCGATGCTGCTCGTGATGAGGACCTGGCCCTGCCAGTTCAGGTTCCCCTTCTTGTTTCCCTTGTCCAACAGCTCGAGGAAGGCCATAGTTGTGTACCACACGGCCGTGACATTGACGCTGAACGTCTTTTCATACTGGTCCATCGGAATAGAGAGATTCTTCTCACGGAATTCCTGCAGGGAAGTCTCCGGGGAAGGATAGGGGACCTGGGGGCCGCCGATGCCGCTGTTGCAGACGAGGAGGTTGAGGTAGCCGGAGCGCTTCTCAATCTCCGCGACGAGCGACGTCAGTGAGTCCTGAGAAGAAACGTCACATGTGAGCGGGATGACCACATCTGGCTTGTTGATCGATTTGGCAGCCGACTCGAGGACTTCGAGACGTCTACCGGCGATGTACACCTTAGAGGCGCCCGCGTCGGCGATGGCCCGAGCCATCATGAGGCCGATGCCTGGGGCGATGTTAGTAGCTTGCAAAAGAAGATTCCATCGGAAGGGACAAAATAAATACCGGTCCCTCCACCTGTGATCTGTCATTCTCGGATTTAGTATTAGCAAGTACTCAGAAATGAGGCCAAGGCTACACAGCTGGCTGGCTGACGAATACTTTGAGTCGATGTACAAGTCTCACATTTGCTGTAACACAGATCTGGGTAACCAATAAGGAAGTGATGGCTTAATGCAAGTGACATACCAGGGCCACCATTCCCTTGACAGAGAATAAATCTGCAGTACTGGCTGTTGCGTTCGACATATTGATATGTATGAGTTTATAGGGTACTCGATCAAATGTGCAAGTTCTTGGTAATTGGAATTGACTCGTTTGCAAGCAACAATGGTTCAAGAAGAAAACAGCCAGATATCAAGGCCTCAATTCTAGATAAATTTATATCTCACAAGTGTTGTCGTGAACCACGTCGTCAATACTAATCAGGATTGAGACGATGCTGCCCCTCGCCGCTTATTAAGAATGTTGACGTCGGAGCTGCGTGCCGGGCGGCTTCCGACGATTGGCGGCCACGACCCCGTTGCGCCCTTAGGCCGGATTGATGACTTATTTGGTACCCAGGTGATTTTCAATCTACGACAAGCACAACAGGCCATGATTGCAGCTCCGGTGGATCGATTTCCCTCAAGACTCGAGTTGAATTTCTCCTGCAAGTGTGGGTATCTCTCAATCAAATGTGATCTTCTTGCCTTGGAAAGCCGCCGTCTCCTGCGCCTCCTTCGCCTTTTTCCGTGCCTCCCAGCTGGGATGCAACGGGCCCTCGTCGTCCTTCTTCGTCGGCGGCCTAGGACGCTTGGGTTCGGGGGCAGCATACTCCTGCCAGTCGTGCCGGTCGTCCGATCTCTTCTCGAACGGCGTCTTGATGCCCTTCTTCCATGGCGTCCTCTCACTGCCGTCTACCGCGCCGCGCTTCAAATCCCACCCGGAGTCCCGACCGGGCTTGTCTTGGGCTAGATGTTTGGCCTTTTCTTTGAACTTCTTTTCCCATATCGCCTGTCGAGCCCGCTGGCCTCTCCTGTTCTTTCGTGCAGCCGGTGCCACGTCAATATCAGACGCCTCGGATTCCGAGCCGGAAATGTAACCCCCCATCAGGCTGGGAAGAGCTCCGCCTTCCCTCCGAATCTGTTCAACCTTTTTCAATTCCTTCCGCGACGCCTTGGGTGGTGGTGATATAGCGGAGACATCAGAATCAGAATCGGATTGGGATCCGGACTCTGACTCGGACTCAGATCCAGACACAGATCCCTCCTCTGAGTCGCTCGATCCATCCTCATCCTCGCCAGACTGCGAGCCTGGCTCATCGCTGTCCGACTCCTCAGACGCAGACTCATCTGTGATTTCCATGGGATCGAGCTCCTCGTTGGCCGTGTCGTATTCTTCGTCACCGTCAGACTCCGCGTTGTCGGAATCGAAGCCCCCGAGTCTGTCGTCGAAGCGCGAAAGGGCCTTCTCCACTATCTCTTCGTCATCGTCGTGTTCGGACAGACCGCCCCATTCTGATTCCTCATCGTCCGAGTTTCGATCCTCTGACAAAGCTTTGCTCTTGACATGCTTTCCCTCATTCTTGGTCCCCTTTTCTTCCGGCGCATTCTTCGCGGCCCTGTCTGCGGGCTGTTCTTCTGGCTCCTTCCTCGTCGCCGGCTCGCTCTTCTTCTTGTCTCCTTTCTTTAACCTGCCCTTCTTGTCGGGCACTGGTACCTGTAGGACGCGGCAAATGTCGGCGATGGCTGCCTCCAGTGTTGCCCGGACCTTGGGCTGATTGTTGAGCCCACTGGTGACATTGTGTAGAGCCGCCCGCTCTTCCTCCGAGATGTCGGGTTTTGCGACGCCATTCTTGACCTCGTCTGGTAGTCTCGGGGATTCGGCAACAGCCTTGATCCTCAACAGGGCTGAGCAGAGATGGGCGTGAGCGACGGAGTGTAAGTCGAGTGACTGTATATAATGAATCAGCTTAGGTGTGCCAAATTTGGACTACGACTGCAAGTGAGATTGTCTCGTCGGTGATTATGAAAATGCGTACCTTCAGCACCTCGATCTCCTTCTCTATTCTGGCTCTCTTCTCTCGGGTTGACTGGGGATCGCGCAGCCGTTTTGCCATGCGCTGTCTCTCAAAACCCTTTGCAACTTTCAGCGCTCGGGAGAGCGCCGTGCTGTGCTGCTCCAGCTTCTCCTGAAGATCATCTCTCTTCCGCTTCGGCATTTTGTCGTAGGCGTCGTGCCTTGTCGTCTCACGGCCCAATTGTAAACTTCCGTTGAATGGCCTGTGGGTGTAATGGTACAGCTTATGAACTGCTTAAGCTTCTGGCGGCCAAATTTTTGAAGATCATCGCCCGAAGTCTTATCTGTTAGCTAGCTATCTGAGCACTGCGAGATGTCTATGAAGCCAGCTTCAGAGACTAACAGATTATGCCGTCGCAAACCGCCCTGCAAGCAATTAGACCAGAACAGGTCTATGGTGGGGTTCTGCTGCAATGTTCCCAATGAACCGCCCTCGCCCTCGCAGCCCTCGTAGACCAAGCAAGCTGGGCCGAAAAGTGTTGAACAGGGAGCGCGTCAAGGGACCGCAGTGGTCGCGTCGAGGCGTCCCTACCAAAACTTAGACGGCGGTCCACATTTGTTTGCGAACCCCAGCCACTTGACGAGAATCATCGATCCCTGGCAGGTCAGGATCTCTGGAGAATAATTGATTGATTATTCGGGAACAGGTGCAGACTGGTGCTCAATCCGGTCATTCTCGACCACTCACGTAGCCGCGCATTTTCGACCGCTCGAAAACAAAGGCGACCGTTGTCAACACCCTCACCTCGCCCCTTCGAAGGTGTGTGTGTGTACGTGTGTGTGTGTCGTGCAGCGCGCGGCGCAGGATGATCACTTTCAGGATACTACTTTCTCAATCGCTTCTGGTTTCACCCTCGCCTCCCTGAGAAATTGCTCCTACACAAGACCACGATTCGATCTTCTGCGAAAAGCAAAGCGACTTGACCTACTCGAACACACGATTCACCGCTTCCTCACCCTATCACACCTTGGCCGGCCTGACTGCTGCCGACTTGCGCTCCCGCAGTGTCTTTGCTACCCGGATTCGAACGATAAATCCTTCGAAAATGATGTCAAGAAGTATCAACAACCTCCCAGCACACGGTGCACCATCCAGAGACGACTTCGCCAAGCTAGATGAGCGACAAAGAGACCAGATAAACGATGTCGTATGTTGTCTCACTCACGCCGTGCTGGAACTGCACAATTTGGCTTGCGCCGCAACCCCTGCTAACGCGACTGGCGCTCCACTTAGTTCTCCGTATTCGACGTAAACAAAGACGGCCGCCTCGACTATCATGAGCTGCGGTTCTGCCTGCGCGCGCTGGGCTTCGAGCTGCCCAAGTCGGAGACGTACCCGTACCTGGTCAAGTACGGCATCCAGCCGATCGACTGGGACCCGAAGCGCGAGTGCACGCCGGTGTGGCGCGAGTTCACGATGCCCATCTGGCAGGGGATCGCGGGCACGCTCATGTACAACCGCGACCCGGTCGAGGAGTGCCACCGCGCCTTCAAGCTGTTCGACGTCGACGGCAAGGGCATCATCACGCTCGACGACCTGCGGCGCACCATGCGCGAGATCGGCCAGAGCATGGAGGAGCAGGAGCTGCAGTCGATGATTAAGGAGTTCGACTCGGAGGGCAAGGGCGGCGTCAACGTCGACGAGTTCACCAAGATTATGATGACCAGGAAGCAGAAGTAGGGCGGCCCTGGCGGGGCGGATAATCTGGATTGGAAGAAGGTGGCGGCTGTGGAGCCCCCGTCGCGCAATGTCAAGGGCGGCGGGAGGAAGTTGCCGTGAGGCAGACGGGGTGTGGCTGTGTATACTACACAAGAGGCGTTGTTGCGATGGGATATTGATACCAGGAGAGACTATTATTGTGATGAGAGACTATCTATAGCTTCAAAGAAGCGAGGACTAAGGATGCGCAGGAGCAGTTGTTACAACGGGGCCGCTTATACCCTGTTGAATTATTTATCTATCTACCGACGCCTTGTCGATATTGTCCTCCGTCTATGATGAATGAATCTTCCCTCAGAAGAGCTTGGGGATGAACTTGGGTGTGTTCTTCTTCCACTCCTGGTAATCCTTGCGATCGCCGTATCGCTTGTCGTACTTTGACTCCGACATGGGAATGCCGCTCACCTTCGTCACCAGGAAAGTCGTGAACATCGGGCTGATGTAGGCCAGCGTCAGAGCACCGAGGATGCCTCCGGGACCTCCACTGAAACCGATGGCCGACTGGATCGACTGGCTGGCGAGGACACCCGCTGCGGTGGTTGCAATACCTGTCCAGAGGGTCGACTCGCCGAAGTAGTTAGGATATTGACTGTGACATCAACGTTAGTACTCCTGACCATAACGAAATCAGATCCGCATCAGCTTTGGACCTACCTCCGCTGCCACAGGCCCCTCGTCATGAAGTCCTCATGGTGTTTCTTCTCGCGCTTCTCCTTCATCCATTGTGACTTCTGCTTATCGGCGGTAGCCTCGAGCGTGATCCCTCCAACCCAGAGCGCAACCCCGAGGACATCAGTGATCTTCAGGCCGGGGATCGCCGCGAACGCGGATATCGGGACGGCGTTGAGCGCGATGACCGGCAGGCAGATCAGTGAGCACCAGGTCGCCTGGGCCATCCAGGCGCCGAAGAACTTGGGTGCAGATTTCTTGATCTCATCGAAGCGCGAGTCCTGGCCCTCGCGCAGAACGCGCTGGAAGAGGTACGTCCCCACTGCGTTGTACCGGTTAGCATGGGTATTTGGAAGGCGCGCCACGTCTCACGGCATAGTGGGTGATACGTTACACACATCGAGCAGCCCATAACGTCACGAATCCAGTCAAGGCGACCTGCCTCCAGTTCAGGCCCGCAGCGGCCGGGTTGGTGAAGGGCGTGAGCAGGCTCGGGAGCGCCTTGCCCCCGGCCGCAGCGGCACCTCCGGCATATTTGGCCCGCAGGGCTGGCAGGTACAGGCTCAGCGCGACGATGCTGATGTTGGTGAGCGCACCCGAGAAGTCGTAGAAGCGCTCCGTCTCGGCTAATATGGACGGGACGGCAAAGGCAGCTTGTATTGCGAAAGCTGCTGATACGGATGGCACCACGGTTCGGAGGAAGGGTGACGAGAAGTTGGTAAGATGTAACAGTTTCTGCACAAGAGCCATGGCTGCGACTGTCTCAAGAGAAATGTTGGCTTGGGCATTGACGGGAATTGACATGAGCCAGTCTCTAGTGAAAGGCGAGAGTATATACACGACAGGTTGGGCTGTTGAGCTCTGAGCTCATGAAGTGAAACGAAGCTTTGTTGGAGCTATGAAGGAGCTGTGGTGACGTTATTGACAAAGGAGCTTGAATCTGTCCGAGTCCCGACGCGTCGATGCATGTGAAGACCAATGCTACGCTCAAAGCAGCCTGACAGATAGTAACCTGTGGATCATACTAGTCCAGGACGAAACCAAGTGCGAATCGAAATGCGTTCTAGAGCCATCAATTGCTCGATTGTGCTCACCCTAAATCGATCTGTCATGCAGGAGGTTATCGGCTTACAATCGAGCCCCTGGGTTCCGGTCCCAGGTAGCTGGATCTGACGGAGCCGGCCCCCAGATCGGAGCCGGACAGTTTCGGAGACCCGCTGCGTAGAATGTGCCGGGACAGAGCAACGCCTGACAAGGCCTGGTCGAGCTGTTGGCAATATTAACATCCAATGAGGATGGGGTGATTTGCGAAGTAAGCTGGCTGAACTGAGCACTCATCCTTTTGGAAGGTCGGCAGCTTGATTGAGCCAACACGTGCAGCATAAAACGCAAATGAGAACATTGCCGCAGACACTGACTAAACCGTCAGTCGGAGCTTTGGAATGGTGGTCAATTGGAAATTATGGATGTTTTCACAGAAAGCAGGCCCTTGATGATCGCATGGGCTTGATACATGACAGACCAGGTGCCAACCTAGAGACCAAGCCATGCGTTGGGTGAATGACACAGGATTACCTGGCAATGTAGACTGTAGTTTAGTATATTCCCAAACTTCGCGGACTCTGCAGTTCTGGGTCACTGTCAACCGCCGAGATGGTCCAGCTCGAGGAGATCTTTCGGAGTCCCCACCTTAGGCGCATCTCACTCGTCGTTATGTGTTTTGTGTTTTGTGCGAGTTTGTTCTGACGACCTTCCGGGGGGGACTCGGTGATAGCACGGCATCAGCCCACTGTCCTGATCTACACGGAGCGTAGTAGTGTGCCATGCTTGCTCCTGGTGTCTCTAGGGGGAGGGGCCCAGTCTGCTTGCCGAGCTTCCAGGCGCCTGTTACCCCAGATTTCGTCGGACGGGAGCGGTGGAGTCGCCCCAGCGTGGCATGTTACGCTACTTTTGATGTGTTGTTACCCCGCAGTCTCAAGGCTGAAGGCGTGAATGATGCGAGGGTCATTGCCGGGAATCCTTGCTATGCGATGTGAGGGAGCATTGTGCCCCTCAAGCTGGAACTGTTGCTCCCTTTATTTGTATCACTGACGCCGAGAGCAAGACAGGCCTCAGCCCATGCGATGTGAGGGAGAGCAGCATCCTCAGCTGAGAAGGGCTGTTCACGAAGGGCTGGCCATGACGGCGGTCATCAAGATGGGCCGCTGCTGATTTGCTCTGCTATTTTGATCCCGCCCGCCTTGAGTGCGATCCCTGGCGAGACGATCCCGGCGGCCAGAGGGCGGTGCAGCTGTGGCCTCGAGTCTGTTACAGAAAGTTGTTGGTCGCATGCCATTAGTCCATTGCCTAGGTAGTCCATGGCTACGCTAGTCTGATGTTTGATGGGGACCGAGTGCCATGTCAAGCGCTGGTACCTCCCCGGCGCCATCGGTTCGGCACAATACCAGCTGATGACCGCGATGTCATGTCTCTGGCTCGCTTCTTCCCCTCCCCCGAGGAGAGCTCCTGGCATCTTCGAGCAAGTCGTGCGAGTGACGAGCCCCCCGCACAAGCGGATCCCTGGGTGCTCGTTACTGGACGAGTGTCGCACTGGAAACAAGCTTGCAATCTTGGGGAAATGGGCATCTCGCCAGTCTTGCCAGTCTCACCAGCTCGCAGCAGGTCTGTCACATGCGGGCGGCTGCCAAAGAAAGCAAGAGGAGGATGAGCGGCCGGTCCAGCAACCGTTGTCCCAGTCCCCAGGTCTGTCCCACGCGAGAGTACGTAGCTCGCACACCAGCACGTAGAACAGTATGCCCGTACTATGTATTTCCCCCCTCGGGAACTGGAGTTATGACCAAGGTCAAATATGCCTGTTTGACTCCAACTCCCCTTTTATAGTCGATGCCGCCCACCCTCCTTGCGGACTGTTCTAGTCGGACTTTCTCCTCAGAACCACACAGTCTTCGTTTCATCGCAGACGATTACTCGGATTTCTCCTCGTCACTGCTTCTCAAAGATCATACTCGAACGCCTCGGCTTAGGTATCGTCTCCCCGAGCGGTGATAACGCCGCCCAGATAATCTCCGAGTCTCGGCACTCAACTCTGAGCTACGGAACCGCGTCAGCGGTCCCCCACCTTGATAGTGCGCGCCTCGATTACCGCGAGCCCAGCCCACCGGGTGCAACAGTTCGAGCAGCGAGCGGGATATCCGGCGGCTGCCTTTGCTGGCATTGAAGAGGGCGGGTAGACAAAAGCACCCATAGACAGAGGCAAGGATTTGGATTGTTCGGGGTGGTGAATTAAACGTGAGTTGCCGAGATTGTTGAGAGGGTCTTGGATTGCCGACACTGGCCAGCTCCGGCTGGTTGGGGGGGAAAGGAACTCCGGCTTAGCTTTGGAGAGTCTCACCTGTGCCCGCACCTGCAAGTTGCACTTACACCCACCACGCATACACGCGCCCACCCACCTACACAAGCTCAGGTCAACGGTTTATGGATGATCGGCTTTAGTGAGCCGGTCAACCAAAACATGCCCATCAATCGAGAAGGCCCCATCCACCACGGTACTTGAGTCGGTTGGTTCCTGCTTTTCCCGACGGACCTGGTGCCGTCGATACCAACAACCCAATCTGGCAAGGTTTCAACCTCGTCCCTCAACCACGTAGCCGACCTCAGCCGCACGTCCACCTCGGTTGACATAAGGCTGTTACGTGACTGGTGGGCGCTACTACGGAGCATTGTAGTGGTGCCATGGAAAGCGTGGTGATGCCATTCGCCCTGGGCAGTCCGAGATAGAACTCAAACGGCTGAGCAGTTGTACAGTATAACTTATCTGCCCATTGCTGCTGCTTGTGTCCGTCAGGCTCAAGTTGGCACGACGGATGCTCCCTCGTCACTCCGTTACCCGAAACGTTGGCCTTCTTCTGGTTGAGGAAGTTACCTCCCACCACTCCGTGTTTGAGCAGTTGCCTGCTTCATGAGCTCGTCCAGCCTCTCTGCACCTGCCCCAATTCGAAGCACAGTTCACTCCCCTCCCCCAAAGCTCAGCTCAGCTCAGTCTGGACCAATGACCTCTGCTTTCGCGAGTCTTGATGTTCTGACAATATACAGCTCTTTTTGAAACGACCCTCTTTCCGGCTCGTCCACACGTCTAATAGAAAAGACCCGCAGTCGACCCAGAGTGCACCAGAGTTTTTGTATTCGTGACTGCCCTTGTCCAGACGCATCTATCCACCATGTCGAACACCATCAAGCAGGCCGCCGAGGCAGCAAGGTCCAAGACCTCAGAAGTCATGGGTTCGGCAAAGAATGTCCAGAGCGAGGGCGCTGCTGTCGCCAATGATTTCCTGCACACACCGTACATGAGGGCGGCATTACCCTTCATCAACGGCGGACTCAGTGGAATGGTTGCAACATCAGTCATCCAGCCAGTCGACATGGTCAAGGTAAGTGCGATAGTTGATCATTCTTCAAATGAAAGAAGCGTGGTGACTGACCAACCGATTGACAGGTTCGAATCCAACTGGCTGGTGAAGGTGTGGCGACGGGCCCAAAGCCAACGCCCCTCTCCGTCACGCGCGAGATCATCGCCAAGGGAAAGGTTCTTGACCTGTACACTGGCTTATCGGCTGGTCTTCTGCGACAAGCTGTCTACACGACCGCGCGCATCGGTTTCTTCGATACCTTTATGGGCCAGCTGACGGCCAGGGCCAAGGCGAAAGGCCAACAGATCGGCTTCGCAGAACGGGCCACAGCAGGCCTGTCAGCCGGTGGCATCGCCGCCATGATCGGCAACCCGGCCGACCTGGCCCTGATCCGAATGCAAAGTGACGGCCTGAAACCTGTGGATCAGCGCAAGAATTACAAGTCGGTCATCGACGCCCTGTCACGCATCGCGAAGAGCGAAGGCATTGGCGCCCTATGGGCAGGCGCAGCTCCGACGGTCGTGCGGGCGATGGCGCTCAACTTTGGGCAGCTCGCGTTCTTCAGCGAGGCCAAGGCGCAGCTCAAGACGCGGACAGAGTGGTCGGCGCGCACGCAGACGCTGAGCGCCAGCGCCATCGCTGGTTTCTTCGCGTCCTTCTTCTCTCTGCCGTTCGACTTTGTCAAGACGCGGCTGCAGAAGCAGAGTAAGGGCCCCGACGGCAAGCTGCCATACAAGAGCATGGCCGACTGCTTCGTCAAGGTCACTAAGCAGGAGGGCTTGCTGCGCTTTTACCGCGGCTTCGGCACGTACTACGTGCGCATTGCACCGCACGCCATGGTGACGCTCATCGTCGCGGATTATCTTGGCTGGCTCACCAAGTAAAGGAGTAGGTGGGACTGAGTGATATTATGTGCGGCGTTTGGACGGGTTGCTCTGTGTCTCTGGTTTGACTGTTTCTCTGCGCTGGCCTCGGTTTTGCACAATCGCTGGTGGACGCTCTTGTTAGTAACATTGGCCTGTTTGCAGGCATGTCTGCTCGTTTTGTGACTGGCCCAGCAGTGATTCCCTGGTGGCGGGTATTTTCAGTAGCTTATAAGAAGCAAACATTATCGATCAATGTGTCGTCACTGGTGGTTTAGAGTTTTTGTGCATGAGTAGGAAACCGAGACTTTCGGGGTTGAAGGAGACGACAGGTTCAGAAATGCGTTTTGTCATCTTTTCGCTTCTGTCAGAGTAGAGCGGAGGTAACCTTCCAATTCCGGGACAGCTCGAATGCCCCACAACAGCTTCAACTCCCTGCATTGCTCTGCATGGGCTACAAGTTGCAGGGATCTCAAGAGATGCTCCTACTCAGGAGTACGTAGAAATAAAAAAGATCGCCCTATCTAGCTGTCATCTTACATATTATACTATGAGACGTTGAAGATTTCCCAATAAGAGTCTGAATTCCAGCTGACAATCCCATGGCAGTTGTCGCACGGTAGGTCAACCCACAGGAGTTATCCCACACTATTATACAATGGGAAATTATCCCACAGGAAAGCGTGTACCATTCAGGTCATTCTTTGTGTCTTCCTTGCCAAGGGGATTGAGATGTCTCAGTCGAGGCTCAACCTCTCAAAACTTCTTCTAATGGTAATTTGCATGTCATGTGCACAAGTCCTCTGTGCTTGCAGCTGTCCGGAGAGGCCTCGCCTCGAGCACGGTTGAGCGGTGCGCTGCTTGATTGGTGGGTAGCTTGAAGGGCTCGGCGCGGGTGATACGCGCACTTAAGTCTATCTAAGAGCTGGGTCTCGTCTCGTCGTCACTATGCCCTCTTTCCGGACATGCCCCTCTTCAAATCGCTCGTCTTATCAACGACAACTTGTGCGCTTTACCTTCTTCTAATACTCAGTAACTGGTGCGAATTATACCAGTCAATCCTCAGTCATCTCACTCGATTAATCATCTTTCACATAGTACAGCATCGATCAAATCGGCCAACAGTGCTCGAGTTGTATCCCCACCACCAACAACCAGCTGAATCCAACAGGTGGCAACTTCCCTCCCAGCAAGCGACAAACGTCCTTCACTGCGCGTCCAACTCGACATCGCCTCCCGACCTCCGTGTCTCTCTTCCGCACTTCCCCTTGCGCCTTTAAAAACGCCGTGATCCGCATCGAGATTCACAGCGAGGTGCACCGAAGTGCCGGAAGAGCCTAACGCGTTCCTCAGTCCGGCTCAATGAGTCACAACTTGCTGTGGAAAGCCTACTACAATGACGATGTCGACAAGTTTCGGCGCTTGCTGGCCCCCGCCGCCTACACCCAGAGCGCTTCCAAGAGCCCCAGCGTAGGGACCGGAGGAGCCGCCAGCCCCGGCGCATTCGGGACATCGCCTAGAAATGTTACAAAGGCGCGGAAGGCCTCGGCCCTGGGCTTCGGCGCAGGAGGTGCGCGGCCTGGCACTGTGAACTTCGGTCGCGCCGAAGTCAACAGTCGCGATTATGTTGGATTGACCATCCTCCTGCGCGCCGCCTCCTCCGACTCCGAGAACGCCATCGCCTTCGTCGAAGCCCTACTCGATCACCCCGCTGTCGATATCTACGTACAAGACCCTGAGAGTGGCTGGAATGCCCTTCATCGCGCGTTGTATACGGGCAATGTGTCGATCGCGAGACTGTTGCTAGAGAAAGAGCGAAGAGACCTGGCAGGCCTGACCGTCGGCGCATCGGTCGCCAAAGTCGGTAGGCTCATCAAGACAAAGGATCACGAAGGCAACAGTCCATTCGACTTGTACAACTCGACTATTGGTGAACGGAATCTGAAGAATGTCGATGACGAGAATCACTCGGACAATGAATCGGAGAGCGAGGAAGTCGTGGTTGCGACAGACAACATTGCCAACAATGGTCTGCTCGACCTCGTCGATGGGACGGAGGTTTTTGCATTCGGCAGCAACAAGAACTTGTCGCTCGGTCTCGGAGATGAGGATGACAGACAGTTCCCGGAACGTGTCTATCTTGAGCGCCCTGGCCACTTGATACAGAGGTTCTACGAGGAGTATCTTGAGAAGGGGGGCGCTGAGACGCCTGGTCAAATCCCAACACTCACTCGTCACAAGGAGCTGCTGGTGCACGACGTGGCATTATCCAAGTACCACAGTGCTATTCTGACGACCGATCCTGTTTCCAATCTCTACATCTGTGGCATTGGCCGTGGTGGTAGGCTTGGGCTGGGAGACGAAAACACGCGGTTCACCTACACGCCAGTACAAGGCAGCCTCACCAATAAGAAAGTGACTCAAGTTGCGCTGGGACAGAATCACACTCTGGCTGTCACATCTGAAGGCGGCCTGTACAGCTGGGGGTCTAATGTAAACTCGACACTCGGTTACGCGCTGCCTGAGCCTCCTCCGGGAGAAGAGCCCATGAGCCTGATGCCCCGACAGTTGTTCGGGCCACTCAAAAAGGAGGTCATCGTCGGCGTTGCTGCGTCAACGATTCACTCGGTTGCGTTCACAAATACTGGCAGTCTTTACTGCTGGGGTCGCAACACTGGGCAGTGAGTGATCTCGATCACCATCTTCTTGCGTGTTCCGGTCTGCTAACAACTCTAGGCTGGCTCTGATGGATGCTGATTCTCGTTCACTCGAGGTACAGCAAACACCCAGGAAAGTAGCTGCGTCGTTGGTGAACAGCGGCAGCCCGGTAACCATGGTCTCGGCCATTGACAAGGCGACAACCTGCCTCCTCGCCAACTACACCGTTGTTGTGTTCACAAGTTATGGCTACAACGTTGTCAAGTTTCCATTCGCCGAAGCCGGATTTACAAACCACCATCTAGGCAATATTTCCATGTCTTCGCGTTACGATGCGGAGCGGAACCGGATCAAGTACATTGCTTCTGGCGGTGAGACTATTGTAGGAGTGAGTGGTCGTGGCGACCTCTTCTCCATGAATCTCACAAAGAGAGTGGACACTATTTTGCCCACGTCCACCACCAATCCTTCGAAGATTAAAGGTGCTGTCAGCCAGCCCATCTGTATTTGGAGCGCCCACAAGGATGGAGTAAGGTCTGTCGACGTTGGCGAGCATGGTTCAGTTATCATCAGCACTCAATCAGGGGCAGTATGGCGCCGTATCATCAGGGCCAAAGCCAAAGACACTCATGTGGCTGGCTCCAGTGAAGTCAAGCGCAAGGACTTCAAGTTCCAGCGGGTCCCGGCAATTACCAACATTGTTACTGTGCGGAGCTCTGTTTTTGGGGCTTTTGCTGCCGTTCGAAAGGATTCCGAAGTCATGCGCGAGCAAGTCACCGTTGGTCGACAGACCCTGTGGGACGACATAGCGCCACTCAATTGCCTGCGGGATTTCAGATCCTCTGATCCAAGCCCAAAAGGAAAGGGAATTCTCAAAACCTGGGATGCTACTACGCTTCAGCAGAAGCTGGGGTCAGTTGCGTACGAAGTGCTGAAATCGCCCGACCTTGAGTTGGATCTTCAGAACTATTTGCTCTCGTGGCGATCCGGGAACGGAGCTTCTCAGGTATGTAGCAAGCTGACTCGCCCTCATGTTGATATGAGCGCACCTCAACATTGCGTTTTGGTACCACTGGCATGTTTGGACCCTGTCTTCATATCGGTCGATGGTGCCTGTTTTCCTGCACCTTTCGCAATCTTCACCATCGCCCTGCTTGCCCCTACCTCCTTCATCTTCCCTTCCCTTCACATCTACATGTGTACCTAGACATGTCACTCAAATGAACCAGGCCCTCTATTGCATTTTCTAATCTCTCATATAGGCTACTCTTGACACCGTTATCCGTTCGTCTTCTCTCCCAGAAGTCCAAATACCAGTTCATAGCTGGGTACTTTCCGCAAGGAGCCCAACTCTCCGAAAAGCTTTAGCATCATTTCGAACTAGCGGCACTTACACTCATTCGGATGTGTTTGTCGTAGAGAAGCTTGAGGAGAAGACTGCCGTGACTTTCGCTGGCCTCGACATCATCTCGCTATTAAACTTGGTCGTCTACGTATACGAAGATCGTGTCATTCCAGCATGGAACTACACTCGCCACGATCCGTCACTGGCTTACAGATATCGTCAAATCCGAGCCGAAGTCGTCAGGACAGCGAGCAATCTGGAGATGAGTAGACTGGAGGCCGCCGCTCAGAAGCAAGTCGACCCTCAAAGGCATCTAGATGAGGATCTGCGACTAGCTCTGGGAGACTCACAGTTCTTCGAGGACGCAGACGCTGTCGTGGAGCTTGATGGCGACGAAATGCTAGTTCACAGCGCCTTGTTGTGTCAGAGGTGCCCATTTTTCGAGGGGCTGTTCTTCGGCCGCTCTCAGGGCATGTGGCTAGCAAGCCGCCGCGCCGTCCAGGAGCCTTCAGAAAGGATCCCTGTCGATCTGAAGCACATCGATCCGGAGACTTTTAAGTTCGTTCTGAGCTATCTTTACTCTGACGTTGGAGATCAGATGTTTGATGATGTTGTAGCTGACAATCTGGACGAATTTTCCGACTTGGTAATGGATGTCCTTTCCGTCGCCAATGAGCTTATGCTCGATCGCCTGTCTCAAATATGCCAGCAGGTCTTGTCTCGCTTTATCAACACGCGCAACATCGCACATTTCTTGAACGCCATCAGTCCGTGTTCTATCACCGAGTTTAAGGACGCCGGTCTGGAGTATATAGCTCTCCAGCTGGAGAATATGCTCGAGAACAACCTTTTGGCCGACCTCGATCAGGAGCTATTGCTTGACTTGGACGAAGTGGTCAGAGATAATCAGCTTGCTCGTTTCCCGTTCGCAAGGAGCGGTCGGGCTGCACTCCTGCTCCATGAGCAATATCCGAACCTGGCACAGGATATAGATGAGGAAAGGCAGCGGAGAGTCAGAGAGATGGCCTTTAAGGCGAGTCAAAAAGAGGATGAGAGGAAACTTTCATCCTCGCTCAAAGGCAAATTTGGCAGCCTTGAGGAGTTCCAACCCTCATCCCCTGCTATGGATAAATCCAAGGGGAAAGAGGCGGCGAGAAGAAATGAGCCATTCAGTCCTGACCTCCGCCCCAAAGCGGTTCAGACTGACCTCATGTTCGATATGGACGAAGATGAAGGACCCATAGAGAGCCCATCCATACGGCCCGAGAGAGCCATAGATCAGAGACGGAAAACTGAACTTGACCAGCTTCCTCCGCTGAGCGAGTCGTTCTGCGGTCAGCAGTCGAGAGCACCCCGTCACTCTCCCTTGGGCTCGTCGCCAGCAGGCCTTGGACTTGCCTCGCCTTCTCCGACTAATAGGTCTTTGGCTACGAGCTCTCTCAAGTCCGGCAGCCCGTGGGCTTCATCCAAGATGCCGACTGCTAAGCTTGACTTGCGCGAAATCATGGGTGAGACACCGCCTGTCCGCTCGGCACTGTCTGCAGGGTTGGCTGCGCAACGGGCCAAAGAGACGGCGGTCAAACCGTCACAAGCGAAATTGTCACAGAAGGAACGCAAGAGGCAGCAACAGCTTCAAGCAGAGCAGGCTGCGCAGGTTGCTCAAGCGTCGTCGGATAGGGCTGCGTGGGAGAAATCATCGACAGGCATCAAATCACCGCCATGGAAGGCAGTGTCCAGCGGGCCTAAGCTTCCTCCCAATGACAATCTAGCAGACGCACCAAAGTCAGCGCCGCCCAACACAAAGCCCCTTGTTGCGGCAGAAGCTTCGGCCAAGTCCATTCCGCGGCGAACACAATCTCCAGACACGCGGCACTCTGGCCAATCGAGGACACCCGCGGCAACACCACCTATCCGGCCTCCCCCAAGATCCACCTCAACCTCTACTTTCTCAGCCGATATGTCCAATAAGCCTGTCACTCCTCATTCGAAATCGTACATCAAACCAGCAGCCAAGTCAGAGCCGATCATAGGGCTTAGCATGGCCGACATCATCGACCAGGAGAGGCGTAATGTCGAAAGTGTGAAGGAGGCAGTAGCCAAGCGCAGCCTAATGGAGATCCAGCAGGAGCAAGCCTTCCAGGAATGGTGGGAGGAAGAGTCACGGCGGACGCAGGAGGAAGAGGCGAGGAGATCGACCAGGGAGAAGGAACGGGAGGAAGGCAAGAGTAGCAAAGGCCGCCGAGGCAGAAGCGGCAAGCCCAGAGGGGGCAGAGGGGGTGGGGCCAGCGCTCCCAACCCCAGCGCTGGCGCTGCCGGTGCTGAGGGTGAAGCGGCGAGGCAACAGAACCAGGACCAGGGGAGAGGAGGTCGGAGTAATAGACGTGGCCGGGGCCGTGGTGGTGTCGCGAAGACTTCACCTTGAGATGCACACGGCCATCCGCATGCCTAAATCTGGCTGGAGTTGCCACGCATTGAGTGTTGCATATTTTAAAGTCGAATATTGGGCCGGGAGTTTGCTGCAAGGTACGCGCATGTAAAGTTTGACAACACACAATTGTCTTTGTGGATTAGACCGACATGCCACATGAATACTGGCTGTTCTGCGCTGTGGTTGTTTTTGCTTCACGGTACATATTCAGATCGAGCCCGTAGAATAAGACATGAGAATAATGTGCTTCACGATGCTAAAATCTTACAAGAGGGTTTTGTGTATAATATACGTGTGTGCATATGCATATATATCTTGTATTATATATATATATATGTATCGGAAGTGAACATGATACAATGTACATAAGCTGTAACACATATTTGCCGAGGAAGGCCAGCTCCGTGACTAGGTGAGACAGCAACACGGATAATTCCTTCTCATTGTGCAACACGCAAAGCGGCGCTGACTGCACATGTGTTGTCCTGCGTACATCGTAGGACTGAGTCACTTGACAGCAAGCGGGCAGGCATCATAAGTAATTTACTAACAGGCTAGCTCTTGGTATAAATCCGTCTCTTTACTTCATTCATCCAGATCAGGTTTCGTCTATGAAATGAAAGGTACAACAGAGAAAACGAACATAAACAGGAATGTGTTGGGGAGAGAATATTCAGACAAAGTAACATTGACAACAAAATCACATAATTACACTTGTACGGCGTGTACTAAACTTCCCGATGGCTGTGAACACAGCAAGGACAGAGTGGTGCGAGGTGTGTTGCAGTTGGATCGTAGAGGGCCGACACCGTCGGCATTGTCCTCTTTTCACAGAGGCAGACGGTCCAGAGTTGGGGTGTATCGTGAGGTCAGACGGCTGCAGCGCAGGAGGATGCATCTGCGGTAATGAGATGCATAATAAGTCAGACGAGTCAGTAGTAGACTAGATAGATTACAACACCAGTAATGCAGATGGGTGTTCCACGATACCTGCGCCCAATGACAATTACAGCGTTAGTGATTAGGCCTAGTTTGCCGTAGCTGCAGGCAAATGTCACCGCCAATGCACGGCTTGGTGCGGTAGGACTCAGTGTGGTGACGTCCCATGCAGTGCCGGTGAACCGTTTCTTATCTTATCTCTTATCTATATTCCGTCGCCGATCGCGGAAGAGCTTGGCGGTCGTGTAAGCGTGTTGAGGAACGACTCATTGTCAGTGATGGTGTAGAGCAATCAAGAGAATGGATGGATGGCATTGCCATGTATGATGAAATGGTATGATTCAGAGCTACGCACAAGAACATTGTGTATGGTCTCCTGCCCACACCGAGGCTGCACGTATCCCATGTAGGCGTTCCGAGATAGACTTATTGTTGACCGCTGATCAAGTGCGTCAATGGCTGAAGAGCTGAGCAGGAGATGCTTTGTCCATCAAGCAAATATCCAAGTACAGAGCACAATGGGCTCTTTGACTGAATTGGATTTGGCTTCAGTCCAGTATACTTTATGTAGACTCTGCGTACTGGATGCAAGTGATCGACAGGGTAACAAGGTACCAGGGTACCTAGAGTGTGAGGCTGCTGGGCCTCTGCAGTGGGCTACCGCTGGTGGACTTTCACAGACACATGCTCCACATCCCGCTCGGTTGACACCACACCAACCAACAATAACCCATCCATCATCCTTCCTCCATCACTCACACACACACTCACTCACTCGCTCATCCATCCCATCAGCCCAGGCGTCTTATCCCCTCCTCTTTGCCCCTTTCTTGGCTATCTCTGCTTTATGTATTTGCCCTTCTCTTCTGCCCCCCCTCGTTCTTGGGTATCAGCAATTAGACACCCGCTGTCTTGCATTGGCTCGCACCTAGCCGAGCGGCCGTCCTCGCAGCCATAGACTCTAGTCAAGTAGCTTCCTCGGCAGCGGATGACGAAAGAGTGGCCAGGATCACGAGGCATGCTTCACCACCCATGACTTCGACTGCCACCCTGCATATTCTCAGTCATCGCAGATCGACCCCGGTCATAGGTCCACCTTCTTAACGTCAGTCCTCTCCTGCATCTATGCACACCGAGCATCTGCTCAACCTCGCTCCGGCTTTATACGGCTGCATCTTGTGACCTTGGCTGTCCGTCCGTCCGTCTTTCTTCTCGGCCATCTATCCGGCTCTCAACCACCCCCATCGCCAGTCCGTCTCCTCGAGCATAGGTGCACATCCACCATGGCTGCAGCTATCTAGATCGCGGCCAGCCACAGAAACCAACAGTGACGGCCACCAGAGCTGTCACCCCTGAATTGAGCTTTTGGTGCGCATCGGTGCCTGTTCTCTCGAGCCAACCAGCCTTCGAGCTCCCACCTCCACCTACAGCCTGCCTCGCTCCGCGTGCGAGCTTCTACGAGTCTGCCTTATGGTCTCTTCACAAGTCCTCTCTGCCAAAGTGTAACAATGGATGCCGATGTGCGCTGGAATCGAGAGTAGATACTCAGCAGTCCCGTTCATTGCACGACCCTCTTCCGGCAGCCACCCTCACCACCACCACACCTCCACCATCGTTTCTGTCAGTCTTCAGCCTTGCGTGAATCCGCCTACAAGCGCCCAACATCATTTCCATCGGCCCCTGCTCGACCGACTCGCCATCATACCACGTGAATCCTAAAACCCGAACCACTCCTCAACATGCATCAACACCCAAGACATCCGCCGAGGACGGCATCCCCTGCCTCCTCACCTCAAACAAATCCTACAAGATCCAATAATCCTAGGGAAGGCGTAGGAGCTCATGTAAGGGCCTCGTCGGAATCTGCCAGGCAAGGACTATCGAGCTCTGCCGGAAGCGGAGAACTCGAGTCCAAGGGACCGAGTCGCGAATCCATCAAGAAGCTAGATCAAATACTCCAGGTGTGCAAACAAAATTGTCCTTCTTTTAACGTCCGTATGAGCTAATGCGCCATAGAACCTCTATCTCAAGGCTGCCGTAGTAATTGCTCAGTCGCGCATCAAAACAACCCCACTGGGACCTGGCAAGATCAACAAATGGGTATGCCCACACATGACATGAATATGTGGACAAGTTCTGACTCTTACTACCAGTTCTCATTAGAAACAGACGAAATCGAAGAATTCCGCAATGATCTCCGGTCATGGAAGACCTGCAGCGCCTTCGAAAATCCCTTCCCAGCTATGGTCATCGAGACATACCTGGATGCTTCTCGCCTCTCTCCGAGCCAGTGCCTAGTAGTGGTTGACGACAATGGCAAGAGGTGGGATGTGCTCGAAGCCCTAAATTCTTCAGAAACTAGCGATGACAGTCCAACCTCGAGAAGGCGAAACACTGAAGTCATACTAGAGCGATGGCGTCTCGAATTGAAGCCTGGCCCGATCGAAAATGTCGAGGATTTTGGCCCAATACTGCCGACCATTTACAAAAAGAGCATAATATTCTTTAGGTCGCTATTTGTGGCCAGTCGGATAATACCCGCCTTCAAATTCTCCCAGCAAAACATGACGAGGAAGCCTCAACCAGCGCTAGAAGTCAAATGTCGCATCTTGACAGGCGAGACCGAGCCAAGTGGCCATGATGCGCTTCGGCAGCCACTGAGCGACGGCCGCGACGTGGTGACCGACTACATGCTAGGAGACTTGGAAGTCCCAGTAGGGCGTTTCTACGCTTCAGCCACATACCGAAACGACTGCCATTTCAGAGTTGATGACGCGGAGTCGCTTCTGAGTTCCCGCTTCATGGGTGTAGATGAGCACTTTTTCAAGCCGTCGATACCACAGACTAGGGAATCAAACCGCCGAGAATCTTCGGCAGAAGTAGGCTCTTTGCCCTCTAGACGGCAGGGAAGAGACTCTCCAGATGCTCAACAGACCTACGGCAGCCTTTCCACATTTCACGGAGCAGGAGCTCCGGGCACCAGTCCAATATCAGCTCTGAAGGCCATAAAGACCGTAGGTTCTGAGACCAGCTCTCCGCCCGGGTCAATCCCGGCAAGCATGGAGGAGCCGCCTCATTCTCTTCCAATCCGTCCGTCGGTTCGTGGAAGAGAAACTTCTGGGAGGCGCACTTCAGTCTCATTCCAGCCCTTCAAGGCAGGCTCTCTGTCAGGCTCCCCTCGGATCCCAGATGGAGACATTCCTGCTTCGCCTCTCTCCGGCCAGAGGCAATCGGGGCTGAGCGCGCTCGCCCAAGCTCGAAACCGTAACTCGCTGACAGCTGGTATGCCTGCCTCGTTGCGCGGGGGACCGCCGCCTGGTGAGATTCCCGTGAGCTCATCTCCTAGGCCGTCCAGCGGTCGGATCAGCAGCAGCTTCAGCCATCGCAAAGGAAGGCTATCGTTTGGCGGTCCAAGCAGAGGCGTCGATGACGATCAAGCTAGTAGTGGACGGCAGAGCCTCTCGTCTTCGATCGCTCAACCTGGATCCGGCCTATTGGCTGAGACTGGGGGCCAGGCCAGCTCGGGATCGCTGAATGCTGACGATGATAACATTTCCGAGTTTCTTAAGGTCCTCGATAGCAAGAAGACGCTTCCGAGCTTCGACCCTGGAAAGAAGGGCGAGTCGGCTACTAAGCGAACAGTGGCACAGCTTTCGAAATTTCAGCACATGCGCGACTCGAACAACGCCCTTACGGAGTCGATGGCTTCCTCGGTGCAACTACAACGATCATCGAGCTCTTCCAGCCGTCAACTGACAAGCGTCCCGGGAATGGTTCCTCCGGGAACTTCAATGTCGGTCTCCTCGTCGCCCGGAAAGCCGCTGTCGCCACACACCCCGCACACTCCGGCTATTCCGTCGCGCCTCAGTGAGAATTCGATTATCAGTTATGAAGCACAAGTCCAGAGCCAGGTCGACGATCGAGCCGCACGGGTGGCTCCTCGATTTGCATCGACGGAAGAAGAGTCAGCCACTGACGCCGCCCTCAGCCCTGAGGGCACCACGGCTATTGACATTCCCCTGCCCTTGTCGCCCAGAATCCTGCAGACCAACCGTAGATCAAGCTCGGTCGCACAGCAACATCGGGCCATGGTCGAGGACGAGGACGCAGAGCTGGCATTTGGAGGTCACCGGAGCATCAGCCTCGGCGCCGAACGCGAACCGCCGACTGCTAGTACACTGTTTGGCATGGAGCGAGGAGACTCTACGGACGACACCACGGCACTCCAGCCTGCCGCAGACATACGCACTTCTGTGGCAGTCGGATCACCAAGCTTGGCGGAGCGCGAGAGAAATCCACCAGGAGGCCTGCTTGCTGGCAATCCTGCGAGCTCGCCGGGCCGTTTGCGTTACACGAGCACGCGCGGTCGTCCGACGCCGCCGCAATCGTCGAGGGGCAGTTTCGCGGGTAGTTCAAGCGGGCGGTACGGTATGGGACGAGGGGACAACGACGCGGACGACGAGCCGCTTGTCTTTGACATGCAGGTCAGCGAAATGGGCCGGCGAAGCTTGGAAGAAGGCCGCGGGGGCGGAAGTGTTGGCAGCAGCTCCAATGACCGGTACGAGCCACGTGGGGTCTCGAAACGAGGGTGGTAAGCGACGTGTTGAATTCATTTTTTTCCTTTGCTTCACAGACATGGGTTGGGAATACCCAAACAACAGACCAGTTGGACTAGCAAGTCCTGGGTGCACACAGGAGTCTAGGAGTTTTCACAAGGATTGTCACATTTTCGGTACGATATCAGACTGGACATAATTGTTTGCGTTTTACGGGTGCCCAGGGAGCTGGGACAAGGGACTTGGTTAGGGCTCATGGGTTCAGCAGAGACAGAGGTGCTTTCCCAAGGCGTTACTTGGCTTGAGACAAGGTGGATGGTGATGGCCTTGTTGACTTGACTGGATTGATGAAAGTCCCGGGGATAGTTGCAGAGTCAGTGTGTGAGAATTGGGCGAGGGCGGGCATGTGCACATAGCAAGTCGCCTCATACATTGCTGAAGGGCATGTGATTTGCACATAGAATTAGATGACATCAATTCTCAAGTTGTAATACGCAATGGCGCGAGACCTGCGGGTGGAGGTTCTCGTGCAAGTGCCAAGCTGTGACAGTTGCGCAAATTCGAGAGAGAATAACCGCGTAGACTATCTGGTCTGGTACAGCCAGCTCGACGCGGCTGGTTATTTGCTTGCTGTGTCGTGTTGATATGCCCAACGACATGCCCAACGATACTACCGGCCTCAGCCTCAGCCTCAGCCTCAGCCTCAGCCTGAACCTGAGCTCTGGCCACGCAGTTTTGAAACCGGCTTGGTGGATCGGGTGCTAAGACGGACTGATTCATTTCTGGGTGGCCTCTCGAGGTGTGCTGCTGTGGCGCAAGCTGGATGCGTACGCAATGCGAGAATGCGAACTGCTGAGAGGATCCCGGACAATTAAGAAGAGTGGAGGCGCCTGAAGGAGAACGACGGCCGGAGGCTGCGTCTAAGAGACGCCACTGACAGTGCACCACTGTAATAAGAGTACGAGCCCCACCTTCGAGCCTGGCCCGCAGCAGTAGGAGCAGCAGCGGGAGCGGTTGACAGATGGAATGTTTCTCCCCCACCCCCCTGCCTAATAATAAATAAGCAGCGGCCAGGGTTACTCCTCTGCAGTCCGACCTAGGCACATGTGCCTGCCTACCAGCATAGTTTAGCTTACTGTAGCATTACCTGACGGGTCATTACTTGCGACTTCGTCATCGCCTCCAACTTCACCTCTCGTAACCGTCCAGTAGGCTCAGGCTGCCACTTCTCCCATCTTGTGACCTATCTAATTACCCTCCTTTTGCCGCCCACACCCTACCCAACCCAGCCCGAAGTGTGCTCTTTCTCGCCGACGACGAACAATCAAACAAAGCGCAGACATCACCATCAAACCGCATCTCTGCAGCCGTCACACCAAGTCGCCCAGCACGACTCGACTTCGCCCCTCCAGAGCTCCCTCAGCTACAGAGCAAGCTGCAACCATGTTCCGCGCAGCAGCTCCAGGGCCCTACGATGAGGCCGTCGGTACGTCAAGCCCATCTGGCTGCGGATCGCAGAGCCATGAGGCATCATTGCTGACACCTGTTTACAATGTCTAGCCAAGGCGACGGACGAGAACCTCACCTCCGAGGACTGGGGCTCAATTATGGAGGTTTGCGACCGCGTGTCCAGTGATGCCAACGGTTCCCAGCAGGCCGTCCAGGCCCTGATCAAGCGTCTGGCCCACCGCAACGCCAACGTGCAACTCTACACCCTCGAGGTGGGTATTTCGCGGTTGCCCTTCATTTGCAGAGGGTGGTCTGCTCCCATGCGCCGCACAGGCTGACGTCTCCCCTTCTCCACTGCAGGTCGCCAACGCCCTGAGCCAGAACTGCGGGAAGCCCATGCACCGCGAGCTGGCCAGTCGCGCATTTACAGATGCCTTACTTAAGCTGGCCAACGACCGCAACACCCACAACCAGGTCAAGGCCAAGATTCTCGAGAGGATGAAGGAGTGGTCCGACATGTTCAGCAAGGACTCCGACCTGGGGATCATGTACGACGCTTACTTCCGCCTCAAGCAGACCAACCCACAGCTACAACCGCCCTCCGCGCCGCAGAAGAACAGTCTGACCGACGTCGACCGCCAAAAGGAGGAGGAGGAGCTCCAGATGGCGTTGAAACTGAGCCTGCAGGAGGAGGACAGGAAGAAGTCAGCACAGCAGCCAGCCCCCGCGGGGCCAAGTAGCAGCGGCGCCGCAGCACCTCAGGAGGCGGCCCCAGCGGCTCCCATACAGCCCATGCCTTCAGGGACCACGGCAGCGACGGTGAGCCGGGTACGCGCTCTCTACGACTTCGTGCCGTCCGAGCCCGGCGAGCTGGAATTCAAGAGGGGCGATGTCATTGCCGTCTTGGAGAGTGTGTACAAAGACTGGTGGCGGGGCTCGTTGAAGGGAAAGACGGGCATTTTCCCCCTAAACTACGTCGAGAAGTTGACGGACCCGACGCCCGATGAGTTGCAGCGAGAGGCGCAGATGGAAGCCGAAGTGTTCGCGGAGATCAAGAACGTCGAGAAGCTGTTGACACTGTTGAGCACGAACAGTGCACCGCGGGAGGAGGACAACGAGGAGATCTCGAAGCTTTACCACCAGACATTGGCCATTCGCCCCAAGCTGATCAAGTTGATCGAGAAGTACTCACAGAAGAAGGGTGAGCCTTGCCTGTTCCCAGTGGTATGAATGGGGAGAATACGGGCTAACTTGTGTCACAGATGACTTCACTCAATTGAATGAGAAATTCATAAAGGCACGGAGAGACTACGAGGCGTTGCTCGAATCCTCCATGTCACACCCACCACAGTCCAACTACACGCAATACGCCATGCGGCCAGCAATACCTCAAGGGTACGGAGGCCCTCCAGGTCCAGGCTATCCAGGGCAAGGACCCCCACCGCAGCAAGAGCCACAAGGCTACGGTGCACCCCCTGGCCCTGGCTACCCTCAACAGCCACCTCAAGATCCTCAGAGGTTCTACACACCCGCTCCCGCACAAGGTTAGATTTCCATGAAGTTACTACATGTATATAGAAGAGTCATCTCTGACAAGCAGTGTTGCAGAACAACAACCACATCAATACCAAGCATATCCTCCTCAACAGCACCCCCAGTCCACCCCATCTCCCGCATTCCAGAGACCGAGTGCCACTCCGGCCCCCTTCTACATGGCTGGAGCGGAAGTCCCGGCTACGGCGGGTCAGTATCCGCCTCAGAACCAGGGCCAGCGCGTTCCCTCCGCAGGGAAACAGCCTGACGTCCCGCCTATCCAGTGAGTACCTCTCAGTCTCCCATTCAACCCGAACGGCGTGTGTGATGCTTGCCTAACGGGCACTTCCATTCCATTCTTTCTCGATGACAGACTCGTCCGTTGGATGTCTGATGAGTGTATGCTGATACAATTGCAGAACAAACACATCGCCACCACCAGCGAACCAATATGTTCCCTACTCTCGCCCCCCTATCCCGGGCTCCCAGGCGCCACCACAAGAGCACCAGCGACCCCAGAGCACATACGGTCCGGGTTCGGGTCCTAACAATCCACAAGAGCTGTCCACATCCGTCTACGACTCTCCCGTAGCATCACACAACCCCCAATCCGCAGCCACTTATACCTCCTCGGCTTATTCCCCAGATGATGGCCCGTCAGCACCAAGCGAGCCGTCATATCCTGCGCCATCCGCCCCGTCCGCCCCTTCTGCGCCCGGCGTGCCTGGTAGCCTGATGCCAGGCGCCCCGCCGCCGCTGCAGCCGAGTGGCCCCGCGTATGATGCGAGGCGCTCCTCCGGCGGACAAGCGCAGTATAAACCTTACGTTCCTCCATCAAATGCTTATTAGTTGAATATTAGTCGAGGAGCGGAGATTGTGAGAGACGTGAGGAAGTGGCTCGCGGCCGTCGAGAGTCGAGAAGAGCCTGGTCTAAGGAGCCTCGGGTAAATCAGGTCGTGATGAAGACACATGTATTTCGCGGTATCTGTGTAAGGGGAATCATGACGTTCTTGCATCAAGAATCATGATGCGACAATTTGCAATACGCATCGGCGTTAGAACAGTAATACGAATCAGTATATTGGGATGCTCATGTGTACCATCAACGTGATGCTGTGTGATTTTGAGAGTAGCCCAAGGTTCCTTTGGGACGCCTTCGACTAGTCACTATGACGCTCTACGTCAGGAGTGTGGTTTCCAGCTCAAACACGTGGGATTGATCACCTGCCCGGCTGGTATAGAACAATTGCACATATTGTAAGCCGTGATCTATGGGGTGATCTATGGGGTCATATCCTAACACTAGAGGACACCAAGTGAAACTTCAGGAGTACCCAACGCCGACGTCGTCCTAGCCCGTATGCTGTGGCAGACGACTGATGAATCTAACCAGAAACACTGAACCACCAGCCTGGGGTATTATTGTCCAAACGTAGCATATCATCAACTCATCTCTCATCACACCAGAGGCCATCCCTCCCCCACCTCCGGGGTGACCTCATCACCACCGGCGCCCATAGACATCATCCTCCCTCCTGTGCGCCTTCTTCGGCGCCGGCTTGCTCCTAAAGTCCGCCAGCCCGTTCATCGCGTCGTCCTCGGCGCCGCCGGCACCGGCGCCGTGGGCATCGTCGTGGCGGGGCTTGAAGAGGTTGAGGAGGTCCTGCAGCGAGAGCTTGAGCGAGTCCTTGTTCTTCTTCATGCCGCCCTCGATGGCGTGCATTGCGAGCAGGCGCTTCTTCTCCTGCAGCTCGAGGATGCGCTCCTCGACCGTGTTCTTGACCGTGAGCTTGTACACGATGACGTCCACCGTCTGCGTGAGGCGGTGGACACGGTCTATGGCTTGTTCCTCGACGAACTAGCAGCTGGGTATTAGCAGACTGAGGGAGGACAACAGAGGAACGGGAGGAAAGGGGGGGCTGGTCACTCACAGGGTTCCAGAACGGCTCGATAATGATGACTCGAGTCGCAGCTGTCAGGTTGAGTCCCAGCGAACCACACTTCAGACTGCACAGCAGGATCCGCGTGTTCTTGTCGTTGCGCAGCCTATACAGACTCTCTTCGCGGGCATCATTCTTCATGCTGCCGTCGTACCGAACAAATTTGAAGCCTTCCTTGCGCAGGTACGGCTCCACCAGGTCCATCATGGATGTGAACTGGGAGAAGACGATGAACTTGTGCTCATGCGCCTCATTATGCAAGATCTTGATGATTTCCCGGATCTTGGACGAATTCATGAGATGAGCCTTGCTCTTGGCCCCTTTGTGAGGGGTGTACAAGATCTCTGTCTTTTCCAGTTCGGATTCTGAGACGCCTGAGTCGTCTTCATCAGAATCGCTCTGAGATCCGGATTCAGAGTCTGATTCTACTCTAGTCACCGGCTTCCGCTGTCTCTTCGATTTGACAGGGTGTGACTCGAACTTATCGATGGACACAAGGCTGTCATCATCAGAACCATCTACGTAGGTGGCCTGTGTGGCGACCTCGTCGTCGACGACGAAGCTGTCGAGTCGGCTGCCCGACTCGGACTCGGAGTGGTGTAATGAGTCGTCCGACCCGATATCCTCGCCCGTTCCTTCGGCGTTCTCGTCGTCAGTGCCGCCAGCCTTGCCTAGACGCAACTGGCCTCGCTGGTCCTCGTCCACGAGCCAACTGCCCTCTTCTTCCTCGTCGCTGCTGTCAATAACTACGTTCCGCTTGCGTGGTTGGCGCTGCTTCTCAGCTTTGCTCGCATGCTTCTTTGTCTTCTTTGTCTTTTTCTTGGTCTTGTTGATGCCCGTAAAATCTGCGTTGACTTCGTCCATGTTCGTTAAGCATTCCTCGCAATGTACTTCACCTCGTGCAGAGACGCCTTGGGGCAGATCGATCATACACAACTCGCACTTCTTGGCCTGGATACCCATGCCGCCCAAAGCGTCCGCGAGATCATCGACGCTCGTGTCCGCATTCTTCTGGTTAGAGGTATCGGTTGAGAGGGCGTCCTTGTCTTTGTCCAACTTGCTCCCCACCAGGCTGGGGTGGTTGCAAGCTTGCCTGAGCCGAAGGAGCAGCACCAAAGCGTTGGCGTAGTTGACTTTGTTCCTCATCATTGCCTCGAGACTCTTGTCCGCACGCTCCTCCAGCTTGTTGTAGAACCTCCGCTCAGACGGCGAGAACTCTGTGGAGACCGCCACGACCTTTCGCTCTGTAATCTTGAACTTCGATTCTGGAGCCTGGCTTGATCCATTCTTGGCGGCTGCCTCGAGAGCCTTCTTTCCACCCGGTAGTAAGGCGCCTTCTTCCTTAAGAATGTCCTTAGTGCGACGCTTCATAAAGGAGCGCAGGAGCGCATGCAGTCTGCGTATGGCGAGATGGCCCTTCCCATTCTTCATGGGCTTGTCTATGTTCTCCCGCCAATGCTGAAGGTTGTCGTAAGGCTGAATGCGCAGGAAGTTGACCAAACTCTGCAGCTCATCAAGATTGTTCTGCATAGGTGTGCCAGTCAAACACCACCGGAACTCCGAGCGCAGGGCGCAACAAGCTTTCGTGCCCTTGGCATTGCGATTCTTGATAGTGTGTGCCTCATCGAGGATCACCCGATACCAGTGCAGGCCGAAGCATCCTGCCTTGACCGTGTCCGAGGTGTAGTTGAATTCAGAGACCAGGATCTGGTAAGTGGTAATCACGACGTCGTACTTAGCGAGGTCCTGGAACCGCTTTGTACGATTCGGGCCGTGGTGAACACAGACACTGAGGCGATGCGATTTCGTCACCTTCTCCTGGATCTCTTGCTCCCACTGTCGGATCAACGCCAGGGGGGCAACCACCAGCGTGCCGCGCTCCACACCGTTCAGACTCTTCTTCCAATCTGGATGCTCCCTGTCCGGTCTGGGGTTGCTGAGGATGAGCGAGATGGACTGCAGCGTCTTGCCCAACCCCATATCCTACAAAGAAAGTTTAAGCACATGAACCGTCTGATATAGCAGCAATGTAGACACTTACATCCGCGAGAATGCCACCTTTGGGCACCTTGCCGCGCTTGACAGGGCCAAGCTCTCGGCCCCTCATCCACTTGACTCCCTCGACTTGATGTGGGAGAAGTTGGACCTTGATTCCCTCCAGCGTTCCGTCTTCTAAGTCACCCTTATTCTCTTGTTCATCGTCATCTTCCATCCCGCCCTCCAGCAGTGCCTTCAGGTCCTCGTTCGCTTTGGTAGGGTCGGTATAGAAGGTATTGTCCTCAAAGGCAGCATCGCTAGGGGCTGCCTTATAGTAAGACGACTGGACGTACTCTGGTGGGTGTGCTTTGGGGCTCAGAGAGCTGAACGTTTCTGGGCTTGACTCGGTGGGTTTGCGCGGGGGTAACTTCTGGTCTCTGTGTAGTTCTGGTCGATTCTTAGGCTGGATGAACATCTGGGAAGCGCCGGCTGCCTTCTGCTTAAGGCTGGACATCAGCTTTCCTGGCTTCCCAAAGACGGGCTTCTCTGAGCGCCCGAATCCCAGAGAGTTCAAAGTTTTGTGCCCACGTGTAGGCTCGGGGCTGTTCGTGAGATCAACGACTTGGTCTCTTGAGGCAGGTGAGCCAGCATTGTGGAGTGACTTGTTGGCAACCTGGGAATTGATGTTGTCGAGGTAGTCGTCGTCGTCGGAAGACTCGGCTCGCGTAAGGCGAGCCATAACGGCGACGTAAGGTGGCCCCTTGGTTCGAAGGCCAAGTTCTGTGTATCACTGTCGGTCTATCGAAGGGCAATTAAAGTCCCAGACGCGGTGTACTTTTCTCTCGCTCGCGTTTCGCAACGTGTTGGGTATTTTGACCGAGGCTGCACGGGGGCGAGAATTCAAGAGTGACAAAGGGTTGTCAGGCGCTCGAAGTGTGCGACGGCGGTGTGCATTCCCTGATTGAGTATTTGAGAAAACCTAATGGCTGCAAAAGAAAACCGCGGTCGATTTAGGAACGCGTGTCGTGGTCTAGAGTGCTGCAGGTTGAGTTGGCGGTTACAGTACATGCAGGTGAGGGGCGGCTTTGCGGGACCCTGGCTCCAGTAAGTAAACAGATGACATAGTCGACAAAGCGGCGGGGCGGTTGCTGCGACAGCGATGCTGCAGCCTGGCGCGAGTCACACACGGCCACACACAAGATACGGGGTCTATCAATTTTACATTGAATTTGTTTAATGCTGCTTTTCGCAACTCAGAGAAAACCATATTTAAGGCATCTTCTAATCTCGATCTCTTTACTGGGAAGGCCATGTACACCAAGCTTCTGATTCCAGGCCCTCATCCTCTCAAGAGACTTCCCATGACAAGGATAGGTTCCGATTGACTGGCATGACAAGGCTGCAGATACGGTTCTGTGGTGAGGGGTGCCACGCAACAATCTAGGAGACATTGATGGACAGGCCATGACCTGAACTTGGGGCAGCCAAAAGACTGGAAGCTATCTTGATTCTGCTACATGCTACTCCTTGATTCTGCCTTTCTAAACGCCACAGTGTATGAGTTCCCTCCCATCTATTCATAGCATTCTTTGTTCATATTTCGCTCTCGTGCAATCAGTGCAATTCTTATTTGGTAGGGGTATCAGTGTAAGGATCAAACCCAACGCGCCTTTCTGCCTCGTTCTTCGCCTTCCACCTTTCCTCCCCTTTCAGCCCTGTAGTCGACGTTTCCTCCAAGAAGAATGACAAGATATGGTCCGGTATCGACAAGTGCGCCGCCTGCTGAAACTCTTGGAGGCTTGTAAGCCGAATCAACATTTCCATCAGCGATAGTGACGAGGTAATCGCGCTGAATGGCGACCTAGCCACAAATTGCTCTTCCCGCCGAGCATCCAGCCTCTGCACATCTTTCGATGTGGGCGTGCCGGAAGTGTCGTTAATCCCTGTTGGGGACTGAATAGAGAGAGTCTTGATCTGTGCCATCAGATTTGCATCGAGTGAGGAATGATGAGATGCCGTTGGCCGCTTTGCTTTGACGTTGGGCACTGTTCGCTCGTCTTCACTGTCATCATCTGCTTCGTCTTCAGTGCCTGATGATCCGCAGTCACTGTCCTCTGAAAAGACCTCAAATGCGAGCCATTCAGGGTCGAGGTGAGGCGGGAGATGCAGGCCTAGTGGGTGGGGCTTCGCCACAGCGTTGCCGTCCGGGAGTCCATTTTCTTCACGTAGCTGACGATCGACTTCGTCTTGCTCGTAGTCAACATTACCATCACCTGAACCGCTGATAGCTTTCACCGGATTGTGTTGACGAGGTTCCATGGTCTCCTCTTCCACGTCGGAGTCGCCGGCGGCGTTCGTATTTCTCTTCAGAAGAAGTATGGGATTGTTGCCGGCCTCGTCAGAGTTTCCGATATTGAGGATTCTGCCACTGTCCGTGTAGAAGATTCGAGATATCTGATGGATGGGGATCGATTCGCGTATTCCGGCTTGAGTGATGGTGTCATATGGACGAGTCTTAGTGTCGCCGTCTTCATGCACTCTTCCATCGTTCAAATCCTCCACGAGCTCGAGATGGTACGAATATTCGTCGGGCCGCCCAAAAGCTTCGTCTCCTGGATAGCGTGAACTCTCGCCCGGCATAAAAAAGCCATCAGGAACGTATCCTTGGTTATGATCGAACGCCCACTGAATCGGGGTTCTGCAAAGCCGTACTCGAGCCTTGTGCAGGACCTCCTGCCATATAGGTCTTCTCTCACCCTCCCCAAATCCGTACGGCTCATCCTTCTGTGGGGAGCCTGCGCGGGATGGGTCTGGAGTAGCTGGTCTTGCGAGCTGGCGAGGGCCGTGCTGCGCTGTGGGCTGTGTGTGTCCCACGAAAAGCATGTAAAGGGACAGATGGAAGTTGGGGCCTATTTGGACGGGACGCGTGGGATCACTGGCAAATTGTGTATCCCCAAGGTTCAAGAAGAAGCTAGCCTGGAGGAATCGCGACGGCGATATGCCCGTGGGCATGGACGAGGACAGCGTTTCTCCTGAGGCGGTGATTGCGATTTGCAGAGACGGGATCTCTCTGTCAATCCGTGCCAACAGCGCCTTGATGTCACGAATGATGCTCCGCAACTCGGCATGATGTGCTTCGGCGGTCTTGGCCTTCGTCCCAGACCTCTGAGACCCTTCTTCTGCGATGGCAGCATTTTCCAGTCTCGTGCCAAGGGAAACAATATCGCGGTGCAGAGACTTCGCCAAGGGAACGGCAGATTCAAGAAAGACGTTGCCTCGTCCAGACCTAGAGAAGTCCTTGTCAGCCTCTTCCTATGGAGTGACTGCTCGAAGGGCCACTAAGACGCAACTGACTTAAACTCTATCAAGTCTATAACGGGCGACAGGATCTTGACCTTGCTGTTGAGCTGGTCTTGCAGGCTCTTGAGCTCTGCGCGAACGGCTCTATCATCAACAGTCTTGAGCAGTCTCGAGCACTGCCCAACAGCATAGCTCGAAGTAAGGGCAATCCCAGAACGGATGGCATAGTTGACGGCTTGCGCCCCGAGCCGCCCTAGCAGGGCGTCCATAGTTAGGTCGAATTATGCGAGGACCACCACACCCTACCTCACCCAACTTGACCGTCTTGGGAAGCAATTGCAGGCTGGTTCATGGCCTTGTAGAAGTGTGGACTTGACGGGATAATCTGTTTGTTAAAAGAGCCTCAACCAGGCCCCCAAACAAAACTTTGTCTCAAAGGGAACCAATGTTGGCAAACCCTCTTGTTGTCTGGTTTAGGTGAACTGTGTTGCGTTGGAGGGGCGAGTGTAGAGTTGACCACTGGCACTGTATATTGGGTGGAGTTGCTGTGAGCCTTGACCGTGTCTTTGTCCTTGGCAAGACTGTGTGACTCTCCACAGGGCAGCAGCCTAAGGCCAGCCCACTCAGGCGTCATGGTGGGGCAAAAATCATACAGATCGTTCACCCCGCCGCCCAAAGTACGCACCAAATCCTTTACAGCATCTACTCAGACTCCAACCCGCCCTCCCTGCCATCAGCAATTCCCAGAGTCCAAACTGTGGGCGCAGTTAGGCATCAATAGAAAAAAGGAGTCATATTGAAAGGAGAGGAGACTCATACCCCAGCGCCTTGCCCATCCCAAACCTGATCAACGGGCAGCTTTCCTAGCCAGGACGACCAAACCTAACCCCTGCATTTTGTGGGCTCCCGGGCAAGCTGTTGCTACTACTGCTGCGAACATTGAAATAGTCTCGCAGACACCACCCAACACTACGCCCTCTTCCGCTCTACCACCATATTCACCCGGGACAACAATCCGACAACGTCCATCATGTCGAACCTCAACTCTTGGGAAGATGACCCTGCGGCTCAGGAAGAGAACCTGGCCCAGCAGGCCCAGCAGATGAACTTGGGCAACCAGCCCCAGGCCCAGTCGCAAGGCGGCTTCCGTCCTGGTGCCGCCTCCTTTACACCTGGCGCCCCATCCTTTCAACCCGGACAACCCTATGGCACAGGGGCTTACGGCGCCCCCCAGTACCAGCAAGGTTACTATGGTGGCCAACAAGGCTACTATTCACAGTACGGCGGCCAGCAGGGCTACGCGCAGTACGGGCAGGGTGGCTATGGCAACGTCTACGGTCAGGGCCAGTACAATCAGGGATATGGTACGCCTCTCAAACATACCAGCAACCTCTCACAAGACTCTTGACTGACATGAAAACCAGGCCAATATCAGGGACAAGGATTTCAAGGACAAGCCCCACAACAGCAACAAACACAAGCTCCTAGGCAAACTCCCACTATTGCTAAGCGACCGACCGACACCGCTGCTGCGTCTTCCGAACCCGCGCCCAAGCCTACCGTTTCCAAGGAGGGCGGCACAAAGGTTTTGAGCATCGGAGGTGATGCTCCCAAGCCTAAGGCTAAGGTTCTCTCGATTGGCGCCACGGCGCCTCCCAAGGAAGAAGCAAAGAAGGAGGAGGCTGCGCCAGAATCCAAGGACTCCACGGCTGAAGATGGAGCCAAGGTTGCGGCAGCAAAGGCGATTGAGAAGACTGGCGAGAAGACCTCCTCGGAGAATGCGTCCTCTGGCAAAACATCCCCTACACCATCCTCCGGGCGATCTAGCCCTTCACGAGGCGGCTCTAAGGGCGTCACTCGTGATGCCGTTGCTGTGGAGCAGGAGCAGACTGCTGATGTCGATGAGGAGACTTTGAAGGATATGTACGGCAAGGAGCATGTCAACATCATCTTTATCGGTCACGTTGATGCTGGAAAGTCTACGCTTGGCGGTTCTATTCTCGTGGTCACAGGCATGGTCGATCAGAGGACACTGGACAAGTATAAGAAGGAGGCCAAGGATATGGTACGTTCTTCTTGCCAGCGAGTGCTTTCATTCTGCTGACTGTGGTACTAGGGTAACCCATCGTGGTACCTTTCATGGGTTTTGGATCTCACAAATGAAGAAAGATCAAAGGGTAAGACTGTCGAAGTTGGGCGAGGATTTTTCGAGACGGAAAAGCGGAAGTACAGTGTTCTGGATGCACCTGGCCACAAGACATACGTGCCAAACATGATTGGCGGAGCCTCGCAAGCAGACGTTGGCATTCTTGTCATCAGGTAAGGATGAGTATCTTAGCGGACCGAGTCTTGTGCAAAAACGTTGAAGCTGACAAAATCACAGTGCACGAAAGGGCGAGTACGAAACTGGATTCGAGAAGGGTGGCCAGACACGTGAGCACGCCATGCTGGCCAAGACCCAAGGTGTCAACAAGTTGGTCGTGGTGATCAACAAGATGGACGACCCGACAGTGGAATGGTCACATGATCGTTACAAGGAGTGCACAACCAAACTGGCCACTTTCCTTAAAGGTACAGGATACAACTTGAAGACAGATGTGTTCTTCATGCCGGCCGCGGCCCAGTCATTGATGAACATCAAGGACAGGCTACCAGAAGGAGTCGCACCCTGGTACGATGGACCATCACTGCTGGAGTACCTTGACGAAATGAAGGCCCTGGAACGGAAGATCAATGCGCCTTTCATGATGGCTGTGGCTGGCAAATACCGCGACATGGGCACCATGATCGAGGGCCGTGTTGAGGCCGGTGTGGTGAAGAAGGGCATGACTTTGACCATGATGCCCAACAAGGCCAAGATCGACGTCTCTGCAATCTACGGCGAGCAGGAGGATGAGATTCCCCACGCACAGTGCGGTGACCAAGTACGACTGCGTCTCCGAGGTATCGAGGAGGACGACATCCTCCCCGGATTTGTTCTCTGCTCGCCGAAGCGCCTGGTTCACTGTGTTAAGTCGTTTGACGCCCAGATCCGCATTTTGGATCTGAAATCTATCCTGTCCGCGGGTTTTAACTGTGTGCTCCACGTCCACGCAGCGATCGAAGAGGTCACATTCGCAGCCCTACTGCACAGTCTTCAAAAGGGCACCAACCGCAAGAGCAAGCGACCACCGACGCACGCAAAGAGGGGTGACAGCATTATTGCGCGAATGGAGGTGACTGGTGCCTCGGGTGCGGTGTGTGTTGAGAGATTTGAGGACTACCCTCAGATGGGTCGCTTTACGCTGGTAAGTACTTGTCCGTCACCACACGTTAAGACTGTTCCTGTGATTAACCGTCCTGCAGCGTGACCAAGGCCAGACGATCGCTATTGGCAAGATCATCAAGCTCAACACTGAGGAAGGTGCCTAAGCGGCCTGCGGAAAAGGGCAAGGAGCTACTATATCTCGAGGATCATGGACGACCTTGTAGGCCTCCGACCAGTGAGCAGGTCCCATACTTGTAGATAGATCTCGAGAGCCGCAGAAGGATAGACTGGTACTATGGTCACCAGTCATTGCACAGGTGTAGATGCCGGTGCAGCACCTCATACCATGGCCCGACCATGAGATGAGTTAAATCAAAAGCTGGATTTTACTTGGGTGTGTTGGCTGGGCCCATCAAGAGATGCATCCATACTCGCTTGTGCAATATACATATAAATACACCTACCTAGTCTGGGTACGGCTGTACCCGGGATGCCAATTACATATCACCCAATACTCAGCCTCCTGGCTGCTACTATGTAGAAATTCCAAATGCCCCAACCGTGCATGTTCGGCTAAACGTGGGGAACTCGCAGGGGTCCATTACAATGCTTGAATGCTGGTAGGCTTGCCGTGGTCCGATGCCGCTAGGGCAGTGTGGAGGATTTGCGCGCCGGCCGCGCTGATAAGATTCAATCTGCGCTCCATAGCTCAATTATTTCCCCGTCCCTTCTTTCCCACTCCATCCACGTCCAGCCTTTGGTTTATGTAAGTCGCCCTCCACGGGGGTTTTGCAGATCCAGGAGTCCAATCGCTAATGTGCTTTCCGAACAGCCGTCAAGATGTCTTCCGATAAGCCTCTGCCCTTCATATACCAGTTTGCCGCCGGTGTGTACTGCAATGCCGACTCGGGCTGTCGCAATATATCCTGAGAACTTATGGCTGACCTTTCATCCTCATAGGCGCTGTCGCCGGTGTGTCAGAAGTATGTACAACCATTGCCTAAGTTCAATTTGCTTGCTAACATGTCTCCACCTTTAGATTCTGGTTATGTATGTCATGGACGACAACACCGCACTTGGAGGCCGCATTGGCGTGAATTATGCTGATCGTTCAACCCAGGTACCCACTGGACGTCGTCAAGACCAGAGTGTAAGGGTCTCACAAACCACGCAATGAGGGTTCACTTCTGACAATCTCAACAGGCAATTGCAGACCGGCAAGGGAGTTGGCGCGGACTCCTACAATGGCATGTTCGACTGCTTCCAGAAGATTATCCGACATGAGGGGTGCGTATACGATCTCCTTCCTCCTCCGATCACTCATGCGATGGAACCATATACCACATAATCGGCAAACACGTTTCACGGGCGCTGACAAGATACACCGGGCAGTTTCTCCCGGCTGTACCGTGGCATCACCGCCCCGATTCTGATGGAAGCGCCCAAGCGAGCCACCAAGTTCGCAGCCAACGACGAGTGGGGCAAGTTCTACAGGAAGGCATTCGGCGCCGAGAAGATGACGCAGCCGCTCTCCGTTCTCACCGGCGCGACCGCCGGAGCCACCGAGTCCTTCGTGGTCGTCCCCTTCGAGCTCGTCAAGATCCGCCTGCAGGACAAGGCCAACGCGAGCAAGTACAACGGCATGCTGGACGTGGTCGCCAAGACGGTCAGGCAGGAGGGCATCCTCGCCATGTACCAGGGCCTCGAGAGCACCTTGTGGAGGCACATCCTGTGGAACGCGGGCTACTTCGGCTGCATCTTCCAGGTGCGCCAGCTGCTCCCCAAGGCGGCCGACAAGAAGGGCCAGATGGTCAATGACATCCTCGCGGGCACTGTCGGCGGCACTGTGGGAACGATATTGAACACGCCCCTGGATGTCGTCAAGTCGCGCATCCAGAACAGCGTCAAGGTGCCGGGTGTCACGCCCAAGTACAACTGGGCTTTCCCGGCTGTTGGCACGGTGCTGAAGGAGGAGGGTTTCGCGGCGCTGTACAAGGGTTTCCTGCCCAAAGTGCTGAGATTAGGACCGGTAAGTCATTGCCCGAAACCACGCTGCCCAAATTCTTAAATTGCTGACTGTGGGGTATCAGGGTGGTGGTATTCTTCTCGTGGTCTTCCAGGGCGTCACGGACTTTTTCAGGAAGCTTCAAAAGGATTGAACACGGGCATAGACGGGTTAGATCAACGATTAGGGCACGGTTTCTTGGGCATATACGGTCTGGATTGTGTCAAGCACGTGTTAGACAGACAGATACCACGCACACGTTATCCCTCCAGCTGAGGCACGTCCTGACCACTTGATCCTTGACGTCTTCGTTGTAAAAATGAGGGTGCCCTGTCCGCCGGGAGCGGGAATTCTCAACGTGTGGCTCTCGACGATTGATTCGACGGTAGCGGGAACCTTGAAGGCGCGCAACTGTGTGCTATACGCAGCTTGCTCGTCTCGCAGCACACGTGACCTGCCTCCACTGTTTACCTGGTCTCACCATTCAGTTAAAAGCGCGAAGCAAAGAAGAGGGGCGATACAGGGCTCTCGGCCTCGGCCTCGAGTCCGGGCCAAGTACTCGGCCGCAGCGAGTGACGCTGTACTTCTACCGAAAACTTGCCGGATGCTGGGGAAGCTGTACTCCCTATATAATAATGACAGCCTCTGCCGTCCTTCTCTTCACAACGGGCTGGCTGGGATCTCCCGGACTATAACATCTCGTCCTAGGTTCTGTTGCAGTAAAGCCTGTCTACTAGCTGGCGTAACATCAGCCAGGGACTTGAATGCCTCAACAACGAGTCTATGACATGTCCAGGGAGCCTGTAACACCAGGTGAGACAGCGCAGTGGAAATTCTTGAATGGAACAATATGCACGCCTTTTCTCATTGGCACCGGACTGATTGTGGCTATATGAAAGATGAAGTTCTCCACTTGTGCCAGGCCAGAGTGAACAAAAAGTACAAGCGGCCAGCCACCTTCTATATTAGAGAATCGAAGTTAAATGGGCTACATAATTACTGATATCATTTACGGGAATGATCCTTGCTGACGCCGCCTACAACAGAGGCATGATGACCTCTCAATCAGCAAACGGAGAAAAGCTAGTGGTCCAGTTGGACAGCGGGCGACAGTTCGTGGAAAACCGTGTCAAAGATTTATTGGGGGAACCGCAGTCCGGGAGTCTCGGAAAATTGTGCCAACCCCTTGAAAAGAGAAAAGGGGCAGAACTTCCACGGGCAAATGTGAGACGAAAACCAGATTACGTGGAAGTGCGAATGCCGGAATGGCGCAAAGCGGCAGGGTAGCAGCCCTGGCACGAATAGGCGACATAACAACAAAGAGCCTATGGGAACTTAGCATCGATCCAAAGAGTGGTGGTTTGGGGAAATCACGATATTCCAATATATGCGGCTGGCCGTACGGTGAGCGCAGCAGGTATGCCGAAACACACAGCAAGCCTGTTCCTATAGACAGAGTACGCTAAGCTTGACCAGAGACTGGAACAGGCCGTCTCGTTGGCGTAGGAGAAGAAAAGCCAAGTTAGCCTCCATATAACAAATCAGAGGTGCTTTACCGTATAGTAGAAGTCCACCTAGACCCAACGCCCTTCACAAGCCACGACAAGGTGCCGATCCCGCCGATCCCGCCCGTTACGCCATAATCCCAGATTCGATGAGCTTGAAGAGGTCTGTCCAAGGATGGGAGGCCCTGCAGCAGAAAATCAACTTAGTCAATGTCCTCATTTGGTTGGTAAACGTGACGACTCCGAGTAGGATCCTTGCGCATGGTCTGGCCAGACCCAGTGAACCCAACTATGAAATCAAAGTCAGCGATGATTCACTCTAGGGGGAGGAGGGCAGTGATACTAACCTCGTCCATGAACGCCGTCTGGTGTGCGGAACATGCTGTCCTTCTTTTGGGATTTCCCAAATTTGGATTTGGCGTTGAAGTCTTGCCACTTGGACTTTCCCTTCTCGAGCTCCTTGTTCGCCTTGATCTTCTTGAACTTTTTAACCGGCTTCTCGCCGTCGGCAGCGGCATTCTTCTCGGCCTGTGGGTACACGCTCGGTGCGGACGTGAGGACGATGCCATTATTGACGCTCGTTGATCCGCCAGGCGTTGTTGCTCCAGATGCAGTCGGGCTGTTCAAGCTGCCGCCCGCGGCGGAAGGGCCTGCGGCCGGGTTACTGCCATCGGCCTTGCGCTTGTTGCTAATGGGGCGAATGTTGTTGGAGCGCAGTGTCTCGCTGGTATCGTAGCTCTTAAACTTGACGGTATAGATGGGCTGCGTGGACGACCCGGTGACGGCCGTGATGCGTGCCGGGTAGAATCCCTTGTCACCCGAGACCCACTTAGCAAGAACTGTATCATTGACCTGGTAGGAGATGGGGATAGCCGACTCTGCTGCTGCGGCGGCAGCTGCTTCTTGCCTGTCCTTCTCCTCCTGCGCGGCCTTCTTGAAGGCTGGATGGTTTTCCCGCGACCACTTCTCAGGTGTTGGTTCTGCCGGTGTGGACAGGTTCTTCGGAGGGGCGGCTGCAGGCGCCGGTGCAGCTCGTTTGGGCTGGATGTCGGCGATGGACTCATTGATCATGTTGATCATCTCATCCAGCTCAGCCTTGAGGGCGAGCAGCTCGGCACTTTCGGGGTCATCTTTGAGGGATGTGGAGACTATGTCCAGCTGGACTGTTGTTAGCAGATGGCAAGATGCTGCTTGGAAGATGGAATCTAGGTAAGGGCAGAGGCGACATACCTGTTCCTGGTAGGCCTTCTTCTCCTCCTCGAATTGTGTAAGCTGTGCACTCATTTTGAGTAATGTTTCCACCACGATCTTGGAGAAGCTATCCGAGAGTACCTGAGCTGAGGAGAGACGTCACGGTGGGGTCAAGGACAATGGCGTGGGGTCGCTGTGATATCGATGATGTTGACGCGAGACTGTGCTGCTGGGAAGAGGGTGAATTAGTGAACGTTGAAAGTATGCAGCCTCGGGGCAGTGATAACGGAGATTACGGTAGTGTGGGTTGGTGCCTGCCGGTGACGACGGCCAAACTGCTGTGCGTACCGTACCGAGACTAAGACTGAGACTGACTAGACTAATTGCAGAGGGGGAAAGGTAGGCGGGAGGGGTGTGGTTCTTTCCGGCGGTGCCCGGACCCCAAGACGGAAAGCGGCCTGCTAGTCGTGCCTTCCATGGTCTTCTTTGCCTGGCACGCCTGGTAAGGTCTAACTAAGGTTCCAAGGCACCAAGGACTAAGGGACTAAGGACCCAGTTTGTCCCGCAAAGAGGCGGTCACGGCTGACGGGGTGCCCAGCTTAAGCTACCTAGGTACGGCCCCTAGGTACTGTACCCAGGCGGCCAGGTAGGTACCTGTTCTGGGGGCCATAGTGTCTACACTAGGAAGACTATGTGGTCTGTCTCCGTCGTCCTCCGTATCGGCGGGTAGGTACCGTGGTGGGCTAGATTCGAATCGAATCGACGTCCACACTGCTAGTTTGCGCAAATTGGCTTGACACTTCTTCTCATTACGTCGTCGAGGGTCGGGTCAATCAATAATCAATCTCCTTCTCCCTCTCGAGGGGAAACGATTGGCCATCATCTTGACGTGGCACAATCTCATTCATTCATTTTCTTTTTCTTGCATCCATTGACCATCCCAGTTCTTGCTTGTGACTGTCAGTTCAGTCACAGTCAGCCAGCTCCAGACACTCATCATTGTCCTCTGCCGCCAAAGACTCCGACAGCGCTGTCATACATTCTGCTCAGGTCTTCCTTGCGCCTCCAGGTCGCTTCCCCTCCGCCAGGACCAGTCCGTCGGCGCAAAAAGCAAAGTTCGCGCCCACCTCGAGCCAGGCAGCCTCCAATCCGCGACATTCTGCCCAGTCCTTCCCCAAATTTGCAAGGAATCTCCTACACCGGAGCGCACACCGTCACCGTCGCTGGACTGTCCCACGCGGGCACATCCGCCCACACATCCCAGGGCGGTGGAAGGGAACTGCCAGTGAGTAAGGCTTTGGAGAGCCGGAGAGACGGTGAGAGAGGGACAGAGCAGCCAGTCGTCCAGAGAACAAGCAACCATGGCCAGGGACAGGGAACGGGGAGACAGCATCTCGCCGTCTGCCGGCCAATCAAAACGAGCTGCAAATCAGCAAGACAGCGATTCATTGGACAGCGACCAGACGCATCACAGTCAACAGCATCATAATCAGCAGCAGCGCACGCATCACAAACCCCAGAGACACCATGTCGGAGGTGGAGGAGCCCGCTTACATGCAAGAGTCCCGTCATCAAAAGGACTCTCCAAGCACAACACCTCCACGTCTTCCACAAAACTAAACCGCCGAGTCACATCTCCCTCACCAGAGCGATCCACCGGGCTTACCGCGAACCACCGCCGAAATCCCTCGTCCGAGGTGAAACTTACCCGCAACCCGTCCACGACAAGCCTCAAGAAGAACCATTCCCAGACCAGCCTGAAGCGCAACCGCTCCCAAGTCGAAGTCGCCAAGCGGAACAAGTCTTCGGGCCAGCTGAAGCGGTCCTCCTCAGAGAAGGCTGTCAACAAGGTCAAGTCTTCCAAGTCGGCGGTGCACTTCGATCTCGGCAACGACGGCCAGGAAGACGAATGGATCGATGCTAGCAGCTCTGCGTCCCCCTATTTGTCACGACGCGGATCTGTCAACACCAGTGGCCAGTCATCGGGGAATGCACACGGGAGCGCAGCCGGGAGTCCAGCAGCAGGCATAAACGGCGACGAGGAACCCACCCCCCTAGCGGAGCCGCAGAAGCTCCTCTTTGCCGGGGACAAGGAGCACAGCCGGACTCTGACATCAAAGTTGCTTCAGCGGACACCATCACATAGTGCTACCACTGGCATGTCCAATACAATGGCAATGGCGCGGGCTACGTCGCCCGATAGTCGGCATTCTGCCAGTACACTGTCTGTGACGCCGGCGCAGCCCCAGGGCGTTGTTGGAAGCAACGGACAGGAGGAGGTTACATCACGATTCGTTTCGCAGACAGCGGCTAGTTCGTTCTACACGTCCGGCGAGCCGGGCTCGGGGCCTAAGAGGCCCAGGTCCATGGGAAACTTCCCTGGATCAGCGGACAATGGACTACCCGAGACCACTCAAGCCCGTGATGACGACGACTTAACAGACGAGGAGGACACTGGTGTTACAAGCAGTGCGATAGCAACCACGGCCCGATCCAGAGAGGTGGGCGCCGTGGCGGCAGCACCGTCTGAAAAGAGCCGGACACAGCAGAAAATAAATCTGCAACGCGCCAGCTCGTCCATGGAGCCAGTCCGTCACCGGCACTCCGCAATTGGCGGCTTCGCGGCTGAGGTGGCCGAGGTGGCCGGCCCCTTGCTAGGTGGTGCAGGGTACGAAGCGCAGGATCCGAGAGTCAACAGGCTTCTCGAGCGTACCGGGGTTGAGTATAACATAGTACGTCGCTACCAAAATCCCGTCGCTCGCAGCCTGGCACGGCTGGCACAGATGCCTGGCAACGACAAAGCGAGGAGGATACCACGGCCAGGTACATCCGGAGGGGCGGGCAGCCGTAGCTCTGTGAACTTGGCCGGTGGTGGGCAATTCGGACTCAGCCAGAGCTTTAGAGACGTCAGGGACGGCAGCAACGGTGCACGGGGACCGCCGACTCCCAAGAGAGCGAACACATCGGTCAGGCACAACGGCGCAGGTTCCAGCTTGGACACGGATGACGGTGGTGCCAGCAGACTGCACGAGGGGCAAGGCCTCAGCGGAGCTAGTCTGGTCAACGGGGATGATGATGATGGGATCCAGGCGATACTAAGGAGCATGTGGGACAAGAGCACTTTAGACTTAGCCGCGAGCCAGTAAGGGCGCTCAATACGTTGGCCAATCTGCACGGATTGATGCTTTTCTTTTTTCTCTTTTTTTTTGTTGGTTCCAGTGGGCCATGCGCGCAGTCTCTATTATGAACTGTGGTCCCACTGGCCAAGGTTGTTCGGCGTTGGGGCATAGCGTCGCTGCGAGGCATTTACCAAGGCACGGAAAAGGACACCAAAGACGGCAGGATCAGGGTCCGAGGCCCTTATGGTCTTCATTGACACTTCAGAATCCAAGGATGAGCAATTTGAGCATGTCTTTCAGTGAAGCGAAGGTATCACACGGATGTGCCTTTGCGTGAGTGGGCACGCTGGCGAGAACATGGCGAGCGGTTCCCATTGTGATATGCAAGAGTGCCTAATAGATTTGGTTTCGTAGCAGCGTGCCACTTCCTGCCACACAAAATTGCATGTCTTCTAATCCTGATGGACGACACCAGGCCACTTTCGCGAGAGCTTGGCTCATCGAGCTGCGTGTTACGCGTAGCATCGGAAATCATCCCCATGGCCTTCCTGCTGAAGGGCCAGGTGTCCCATATCTATTCCAACTGCGGCGATCATGCAAAGAGGGCTGTCTCCTTTCGTTCCCATCGATGGGCAGTATGCGGTCAAACGCTTTCAGTCCTGTCTTTGAACATGGTCTTGAAGAGCCCGCTCTGGAGGAATCCTCGAGCGTGATGCCGGTTTCGACGGGGCTCGAACCTCGCCGACCCGAAGAGCGCACGTCCCCGGAGGGTGCTCAACTTCGGGCAGCAGAAGTGCTAAATGCATAGTCCGGATCTTTGCCTGGGTTCATCAAAACGTCCTATTGAAATGTCCGTCACAACTGTGACAAGACTTAGTATTGCAGTAGGACCACGTATTTCGATGGGATTTTAGGAGCACAGACAGACACGGGTACAGCTATGGGTCATGAATTTGCGCGTGCAACAGGTAAATGTTCGATTTGCCATCAGTACGGTATCTCGTTTCAAGTAAACATCATACACAGATTTTGTCCCTTGTGTGTCCTTTATCCAGATACTCCCACCGCCACACCACTGAGACCGATGTTACACTGTTTGTACGCTCAAAAGGTGTCCGTATTTTAAGTAAGAAAAGAATGACAGGGGAATAAGAGAAACCCAAATTATGCGCCATAACAACGCATCCCGACGACGCTGATGCTGAAACGTATGAAAACCAGCCAAGTTGGATGAGAAAAGTAGAGAATAATCTTTGATTGTGTGCGGCTTTTATGGCTTCGCAACTTGCTCCTTCCGGAAGAACTTGAAGAAGCCGAACGGGATCACCAGCTGGAATGCCAGGCATATCCAGAACCACTTCTCGGCCACGCCGGGCATGACGCCCTGGCTGAAGTCGGGGAATGTGACGGTCGCGTACTTGGCGTTGGGGCACGTCGCCCTCGCCAGCATCGTGACGGCGGAACCGATGGCCTGGGAGCCGATCAGCACCGCCAGCACGTGCTGCCGCGTGAGAGTCGCCAGCAGCATCATGCCCAGGCCGACACCCTGGATCGCGTCGAGCAGACCGAGCCACAGCCAGATGCAGCGCGACAGGATGGCGGAGCCGACGGGGGAGGCGACCCAGGGGAGGTACCAGCCGATGCCGGAAACACCCCAGAACATTTGGGCCCAGCGAGGGGCACCAAGGCCAATGGCGAAGATAGGGAGCAGCCAGGTGTGCTCATCCGAGAACAGGGAGAAGATGTATAGGATAATGGTCCACAGGACAACGAAGAAGCCCAGCGCGAGCAGGAATACGCCCCAGCCGGGAATGTATTGCGAGCCGAAGAGGAACTGCCAATTGCGGCCGTATGGTGCGGAGAGCCAGTAATTCTGGATGATGATGGCGACGAAGAACCAGGGGACGAGCTTTCGGTGGAGGAGCGAGATGTACAGGCCGGGAATAGACTCGGGGGATTGGCGGTAGTAGTCGGGCAGGCCGAGGAAGAGGATGACGCCAACGGCCCATAGGATGACGGCGATGGGGCAACAGACCACGACGGCGTACGGGATGCTAGTGTTGGGTACGAAGCTGGTTATTGTTGCCGCGGACATGGCCACCAGCGAACCCCAGTACCAGAGCATCAGGGAGTAGACAGAGGCGATGCCGGCAACAATGATGGCGCGAATGATCCACTGACGTGTTGGCGAGCCACCTATCAAAGCGACACTGTCAACAGCTGGTCCAAAACGGGACGAACCATGAGAAATGGGAACAAGACTTACCTTCGTCACCGAAGTTGAGCGCAAACATCACAGCTCCACTACTAGCTCCGGCGGCATACAAGGCAGTCGCGGTAGTCCGAACTGCCTCTTGCACCGCACCGTCACCGAGGAAAGGCGCAACACCAAGAAGCATGAAGGCCAGTCCAAAGAACAACCATGGCAGAGTGATGGCGTACAGAGACTTCAGGTGCCGAATCATAAACCAATACATGATCGACGTCAGCAAGTAGACAGAGCCGATGATGTACAGCTTCTCTGAAGTCTGCGATGACTCGCCCGTGAGCAAGACGATCTGGTACGAGTTGACCGACATGATCTGGCCCAGCGCCATTAGGAAGGCGTAGACGGGCCAGTCGCCAATTCTGATTGAGAGGATTCTGGTGATCTGCGTTAGCGTTATGTTGTCTTCACAAGTCCATCTCCATGAGTCCATAGAGCAGGGTTCAACTTACTTCCTTAGACCTGTGGGCGCCTTGTAGCCGTTGCCCAGCAAGAATTCATCATCAACATCTGGTCCGCTGGGTGAGCCCGCTTCCGTACTCATATAGGTCATGGTGCTGTGGGGAGTAATACTGCGATGTCGCTGCCTTCCCCGGCTGACAACCGACGAATTTCTGCTCTTCCCATCCCTGCTCTCGGGCCTCTTGAGGCCCAGGCCATTGGGGCTGCGCGCCCTGCTCACGTCGCGCCGGCCCAGCTTCGCGTCCCGGTACCGCCGGAACCATTCCTTCTCACTCTTCTTGAGGAACTCTTCGATACAGAGTTCGGTGTGCGAGTTCTTCGCCGTAATCGCAGACAGTTTTTGTTCGAATTCCGCGTAAAACTCTCCGTTGGTGTCGTTGAAGGTCAGGTCAACCTTCTGGAGCTTCATGTCTTGCCGTTCGCCGACGACGTCCGAAAGAGACAGTTGACTGCTATTGCGGTTGCCCTGCTGGTAGAAACTTGGCTGCGGGAGGGGCAGGCCGGCGACAGAGTCACGCGAGTCTGGCAGGCCGGGGCTCATAGGACCATCGGCCTGGGCACGCATGGCGAAACTGTCGAAACTGGCCACGCTGATCGCTGAGTTTCGTGCGGACCCAGGCTCGAGGTTGGTCCATGGGAACTTCGGCGTGTTGAGGCTCGGGGAGGAGACGCCACTGGGTGACCGCAGACCAGGAGATGGGAGTCCAGCAGTCGAAATATCGGGGGAGACGTTGTGCAGCAGTGAGCTGCGCACTGCTTGTGGCGAGGAGATGGAAATTTGGAACCCAGTATTGGGTGTGGCTGGCCTGGACGTGCCGGGTGTGTCTGGGCCCTCTTGATGCGATGCAGTATTGAGCGATAACATTGACCTGCTTGTCAGCTTCTTCTTCTTGCTTGCCTCCTTGTTCGAGATCCGGATCGACTCATCGTAGAGGCAGTCGATCTGTTGAATCCATTGCTTGACGGGGAAACGTTGTTTCGCGCTCCATGCACGCATGAGCGCACGCTTCGGCTGCTTAGAATCCAGAGCCTCTTTAAGAGCGTGTCTAAATTGATCCAGCAAGTGAGCAGGGGACATAGACTCGACGGTGAACCAGAAACCAGGCATTTGACCAAGACCACCAACCCTCGCACCAACACCCAGCGCACCCTTCCTACCGAATTCGACGGCAACAAGCCCAAAGGGCTCGTCACGCGACGGAATCAGCGCGAACTCGGCACCGCTGAAGATGTAAGGCGGCAACTGGGTGAATTCAGGCTTGGAGAACACCCGCTTAGGGTATACCTCCATGAGTTTAGCAAGCTTCAAAGCCGCAAACTTGCCGTATAAGTCAATAACGGGACCGATGCAGATAAGTTGCGTCTTGGGATACTTTTCCAGGATGCTGGGGAAAATATCGGCGATCAAATCCACACCCTTTTGGAGAGACCAACGGCCGACAAATACAAACAGATCTGCTGTGGGGTCGATTTCAAGACCTGCCCATTCTTGAGCCTTCATTCGGAGTTCTCCACGAGCGCCCTCGAACTCGGCGTCGACCTCAATGCCGTCCTTCTTGCTGCTTCCCTCGTCCTTGTCGGGTTCCCAGGCGGCCGTGTCTGAAGGGTCTGGGTTGGGGAGCTGCCCGATGGCTTTCAGACTCCAAAAGATAGGGTATCGAGCCAGCGACCGGTCACCGTACTTCTTGGACACACCCACAGCACCAAAGCCTCGTTGGTGGTACCGCAGGTAGCTTGCACCAGCGTGCAGAAGGTTGAAAACAGAGCCGTACTGGACATACTTCTTCACAATGTCAATTGGCAGGCCGAACACATCGCAAACCTCCTTAGTCTCTTCGGGGCTGCGCATGGGCCAAAGTCCTTGAAATTCGGCGTTGTGAAGCGAGAGACAGACGGGAATGGTCTGAGGAAGCAGGTAAAGAGGAGCAATGGCACCGTGGTAATCGTTGATGTGGTAGATATCAACTGGGAATCGGCGGATGGTTTCGGCGATACAGCTATTCCAGGCTGCATAAAGGATACCAGATTCGACATCGTCCATTCTTGCGATGTAAGGCTCGGCCTTGGTCTGCTGGCGGAAAATCGGTGCGTCCAGGAGAACATAGGTGATGTTCTTGTATCTGTGGTACTGGACATGGACCTCGTAGGACTCCCCCATGATTTGCACAAACATCGATTCTGCTGGCTCGTCCATAGGGTAATCGATTCCACCTATGCAAGGCACCACCCAGATCAGGTTGACGTGGTCCAATGCTGTGCTCATCAACTTGGCCATGACACCAAGACCACCGATTTTGATGCCAATCTTCCAGTCGTCAATATTGTACTCCATAGTTGCGATCAAGACTGTCCTCTTCTCGCCAGTGGCCTTAATGGCAGGCACTGGGGTCGAAGCTGGCGAGGGCGAAATGGCGCGCAAGGCGATGCTGTACTTCTCCTTCTTCTCTGAGTTTGAGTCGGTCTTCAAGATAGCACCCAGAGAGAGCCAATTCTTCGGGTTTGTTTTGAAACCTCTCTTGTTGACTTTGACCTGGTAGAAGCCGCGGACATACACCCAGCCGGCCAGGGCTGCCAAGACGATGGGGAGGATTCCAAGTAGGAAGAACAGGAAAATTTGCAGATACACAGTGCCAGTTGGCTTGGCCTCGATCCTCCAGCTTGCATCGTTGACGACCAACTTGTAAGACAAGCCTGGCCACGAAGGAATCGACATATTGAAGACGTTGGTTGACAGACTGCTTGGCGACAATCTATCAAGGATGTTATCCTGATCAACATCACCAAAGATGAAGGTGGTGTCAGGCTGGCCGTCGGGGTTGACACCCCAGATGTTCACCTGCACTGATGCAGGCCATTCTCGCATGAAATGCATTTCCCAGGTGTGGTCAGCCGCGAGAGTCATAGCGCTTGCCGCTCCACGGTCGTATCCCCACATGTTGTAGTCACCATGTAGGAACACGTGGGGGAACTGCCGCGCATACTTGACGTCGGTACTGTCGCCATGCTGGATGAAGGCAGACGATCCGAGAGGCTGACTCCAATACTGGACCATCAGGTGGTGGCCATACCATGCCTGGTCCTCAGTACCTGACCAGGTCTGAGATGTAATCTTTTCGAAATCGCCTGTGTAGTCTTTCCAGTCGCTCCAGCTTGACCCAAAATTCGTGCTATACCGCCACTGAGAAGCGCCAGGGGCACTGTGATTGACGTAGATAACATCGTTGGCCACATGGAGGATGGCAGATGAGTAGTTGGCTATCTCGGGGAAGACGACAGGGTTGTTGGGCAGACCTCGTCTGAGGAGGAAGTGGTCGGTAGCATTGGTTGATGTCCCATCCGTGCTTTCGGGCGCCTTGACTGTGAGCTTGTGTACGCCGTCAACGACACCGGATAGGGTAGCGGCCCAAGTCCAGATAGTGGGGATGTAGCCAGTAAAATCCCCGGTGATACCCTCGTCAACATTCGTACAGGTTGCGCTTCCCACGGTGACGAGCGACTGCGGTCCTGTGCCATCGATATAGGACGCCACGGAGATAGATTCGGAAACCGAGGTGCAATCCATCTCAGTTGAAAAACCAAGCTCAATGTCCACCTCAGTTGCGGTATTGACCGACGAGTCGATCTGGTAGTCGTGGCCGGGTGAGAACCGGGTGATCATGGGTCCAGGAGCCTCATATAGAGAGGAGGGCACAAAAACCTTGAATTCGTACGGCTGCATGGTAATGCTGCTAAGACAGCCCGCTGTGGCCTTTGTCCCGGTCCAGTTGGTGTTGGAGATGGCAGAGGACTCGAGAGTAAAGGTATCGCTCGAGTTCATCAGGTTACGCACCTTGGTGTCGGCATCATACGGGGAAATGAAGGCAGTACTGGCATCACTGCAGTCGAAAGTGTAGGTGGTCTCGTTCGGCTGGTTGTGATAGACCAGCCATACAGGCTTGCTAGAATCGTCAGACGCAGTGACGTTCTGTGTTGCTGTGTTGTAACCACGCGCAACGCTCCAGATGCCAAATTCGGTTTTAGAGGCAGTACCGTTGGGGTATTTGTAGGATGTCTGATTGGCAAGGGAAGCCAGGAGCCAACCTCCTTCGAGGACTGGGAAAGCGTCGCGCATGGCGAACATGTGCTTCATGGTGTTACGAATCGGGGCAGATGGATCGCGATGATCCAACGCCTGGGCCGCGTCATGACAGCCTTGTGTAGCCTTCGTCGCCGGCCAGTCGTTATAAATTGTGCTCCCCAAAGTATAGCAGCCGTGCCGCATGAAGGCCTGAGATGGCGAGAAGGCCTGCCGACCGTAGACGTAGTTGCCTGCGGTGCTGTCGACCAAGTACAGCTCCTGCTCCTCTCCATAGTAAACAAGCGGGATGCCTGGCATCAAAAATGTCGTTACCATGTAGCCAAGCATCATGCGCTGCGTTCCCTTCTCGATTCCTGGCCAGCGGAAGACGTCTTGATTCGTGACGCCGTAGAGATGTCGAGGGTCGAAGTGGCCATCGTTGGCGTTGTAAAAGTCGTTTGACAGCAACATCTCGTTCCACATTTCCACCCAATTTGTTGGCAGATCGTAGCCAGCCTCGAGGTTGCCAGTCATGCCCAGGAAGCGAGTCAAAAATCGGTACACCGAGTAGTGGAATGCTCCAGCATCGAGGCCAGAATTTCCTGCCTCACGAAGGAACATGGAGTCAGTGGAAGAGTCGTTCCACTTGGATTCGAGTTGCTGGGCAGTGTTGATGTCGTCCAGCCACAGGTCCTTCGAGCGGCCACGTCCAAGCCAAATAGACCCCAGTGTGTTACCGGAGGTAATTTCACCGACGACCATGAAGTTTTCCTTCCCGAATTCCCGGGCACATTCGCGCATCTTGCTGGTGAAGGAGGCTTGCGCATCCACCGTAACCTGCATGGCTTTGTCCACACGGAAGCCGTCAATATCGAGTGCGGCGATGGTCATGCACGAGAACTTCTCCAGACGCGCCAGCACCGAAGGGTTCCACTCTCGCAAACGGTCTTGCACGGAGGCGAACTTGGAAAGTTGACGCTTCCAGTCGGGGAAGACACCGAAAGCTTCAATGTCACCATACTGGTCGAAATCGCTGTCGTAGCAGCCCTTGAGACCGGAAGTGGTGGAATCCGGAACCAGGTTGCCGTCTTCATACCAAAAGGTGGGATATTCACAGGTCGCGTTATAGGTGTTGCCAATATCGAAATCAAGATATCGTCGAGATGACTTCCACTGAACTTTGTGCTCTTCCTCCAAGAATGGTGTACTTGTGTTCAAGTAGCCCTCAAAGCCGATCAGATCACCGAGGCTACATTTCAAAGGGCTGTGTGAGTAATTGATCGTAGTCGGTGCAAGTCGGGATCATTTCAATTACTTACGTTGCCATGGTGTTGTCCAGAACAACATACATGTTTCGATTATGGATCTCTTCCACGACTGTCTGCCACATTGTGATATTGCCAAAATGCTTGTCAAGAAGTGTGAGATCAAGTGGCTGAGCGATGCTGTCAGCTGGTGCGGTCACAGTCGCGATGACACGACACTGGGAATGAAATCGAGTGGTGGCCTACTGAATATGCGTCTGCGCCCCATGGCTGGTTGATGAATGGCGAGCCGGCGATATAGATACCCTATTTCCGCGGTCAGAAACGAAGCTCTCCAAGGCAGGGCAAAGCTCCTGCGCCGGGGGGAGTCGCCCCAAAAGGGCGTTGGCTTGTGAGCTGTGTTACCTTGATGCCCATGCCAGCGATATAGTCCAAAGAGTCCACCAGCCCTTGGAGGTCACCGCCGTTGCGGATCTGAGTGCTCCTCATATCGGTCTCAAAAAGCGTCTGGTTCGCATTGTCGTTCGTTGGGTCGCCATTGACGAAACGATCTAGGAAGACGGTGTAGAAGGGAAACCTCCAGTTGGTAGGGGAGGTTGTGTAGGTGTGGTTGGTCCGTTCTTCTACGCTGTAGTCGAGGGGATTCGTAGCTGTCTTGTTCACATTAAGATTATATTCTACTTCAGAAAGAGTGTATTTGAGGCCGTGAACGAAGGTATTGGAAGACGAGAAAAGAGCAATGGCGGAAAGCCACGCGAGAGAAAACATCATCACCACACAACAACAACGCACAGCTCACGGTGGTGTGAGCCGTGGTGAGCGTCTGAGGTGGTGATGAGAACAACGGCGAAAAAGAATGGCAGGGTGCTGAGAGTAGCACAACCAGAGTCTATCCTCCAACAAGAGCGAGTGACGACGACTATCAGCGAGTGACAAAGGTGAAGATGCCGAAAAGAAAAAGGGAAGACAATGGAAGCTTTCGGCGAGCCACAATATCCCACCTCGCGCAACCCTACCGTCGGGCCCTCCCACTCTGGCACTCAAGGGGAACCCTTGACAGGCCCCATGTTGACAGTGCGACCCCTGACCGGCCCAGCAGCAGGCGCAGGAGGAGGAGGAGGATTCGAGACTTTGCCTTTGCCTATGCCTCCGCCTCCGGCTGGGCCGAGCTAAACCCGGCCAAGCACTCGCTTGTGCGCAGGCGGTATCCACACGAGGCTGCAGCAGCGGGAACCCATGGAACCCAGGCCCCCAGAAGTGCCCGGGAGAGAGTGTGGTGACTTGTCAGGCGAGTGAGAGCACCCATTTTCAGCCACACGGGGGATACAAACGCGGACGCGAGATAGGGGGGTGGGAGAGGAGCAGGGATTCCTGCGTCTGAGGCAGATTTCATCGGCTCGCAGAGTGGGGTGGGCGTGGCGATTTAGAGACCAGCGACAGTGACATTTTGGGCGGTGGAGGTGGATACAGACCAGACGAGTCTGCCAGTCTGGACGTGTCGTTCCCCCTGGTGGTTTCTGAGGATTCGAGGATTACTGTGCTAGGGCGCGCCGTTGATGGGTGCGGTTGAACGGTCGAAGTGGAATGACTGGATGGCCGGAGAAGTACCGGGAACATCTCTGCTGTCAAGCGCGGCCCCGAACAGGCTAGAACCCAGCATGGATCGAACCCTACCGTGCGCGGGACAGGACACCTCGAGGACACACACTGTGGGGAGGTTGTCTCATTCCCCTTTGTTGTCTGTTCTCTCTTTCTTTCTCCAGGACCAGGGCCAGGACCAGGACGGGCGGACTGTCCAGCGTTGTTCGCTGTCGCCTTTGCGGTTGGGGCAATTTGTGGGGGGTTCCACAAGTGCCAATCCGAGCATGCTGTGGGACTACTGGGCTGCATGCGCGTTTGTGGTAGGCTCAAATCGAGGGCAATCCGATCCAACGGGCCTGAGGTTCCCATCGCCATTGCTGTAGCCCGAGCCTGGTGTTGCACCTGTCGGCAATCCCAAGTGCTGACCACCGGATCTGCCTGCTCACAGGCAGTGCAGCAATGCAGTTGCAATCAATCGTGACCATTGGACGCGGGCCGGCTAAGATGTGTCAGCCCGTGCTTTCAGTCTGCCGTGAGGCTGAACTTGGGTGCTGAGTGTGTCTTGTCTCCTTGCTTTGGAAGGCGGGCCCTCATTGGATGATTTGGGTTCTGATCTGATCAGCCAAGACAGGGTAAAGTGATGAGTGATGTCGGGACGGATCCTCCTGCACAATCCTCCAACCGTGGATTCGTGGGCCGTCGGCCATCGACCATCGATCATCGAACATCAAGAAGCAACCCGCGCGAATACGTGATGATGATCAAGACGATGTCGATCGCGGTCGACCACCGCGTTGAACACAGTAGACTACGTGCTGTATGGCACTGCCGAGGTGTCTGGCTGCGCCGTGCTGTGCAGTGCAGTGCAGTGCAATGCTGTGCAGTTTGGCAGCAGCCCACAGCTCGCGTGGACAGACCAGGCTGCTGACAGGTGTGGTGCATCGTGCTCTGCTCCGTACAGTCAGCCAGAGGGTCGGACTGTACAGTCCCAGACATACGGTTTGCTTGTGGCCACGATTCGGAAGATAGCAGATGGCAGATGGCAGCTCGCAGCAAGCATCAGCAGGCTAGAGCAGCACCAAGCAGGGCCCCCAGCTGGCAGAGAGATGACGATCATGCCTTGAAAAAGCAGGGAAGCTGGGACCGGCCCACCACTGTGTAGCACACAAGCATCGCTTTGGGTAAGGTGTCAGGGCAAGCAAAGATGGGCCTGCTGCGGGCTTGCTGTACGTCTCAGGGACCCCCCTGCTGGTGTGCAGACGATACGAGGAGCAAGCGGCACCTCGTCAGGGGTTGCAGCCACTCAGACGGACCCTTCCCGAATCAGAGAGGGCCGCCCTATCAGCGCATTAAGGTTTTAAATTCTCATCCCTGTCCCCTACCGACCGTGGAACCGCGTCCACCACCGCACAGTCGCTTCTTTTTCTCAAAAATGATCCTTTTTTCTAAACTTGGTATCATGCCCCATCACGGTTGGCACTGTTGACTCGCAGACTCGCTCGCCCGCCGCTGGGCCCTGCCTGCACTGCTCATCTCTGGGCTCTCTGCCTCTGCGCCCACTTCTCTCAGCTGCTCCAGTTCTGTCTCTGTCTCGCTCTCTCTCTTTTCGCCTACGCCCCCCCCTAATTGAGGTCGAGTCAGTTTATTAGTAGTAGGTACCAAGCCTCTTCCCCTGGACGAAAAGGGTCCAGAAGTTCATGCGACAAATGGAAAATAACATCAGACGAACGAGCGTTGATCCCTTTCCGCCCACCCACCTGCCCACTCAAAACACCCACACTCGTTGTGAGCTGTGTTCTGGACAGTCTGGAGAGCCCGTCAATCAGTCTGTCACCCATCGATCGGCAAACTTTAACAAAAACTTTGCTTAGACGCTCTCTGCACTCGCTGATCACAATCACACACCCTCTCTGGCTGTCTTATCACGAGGTGGTCTGGGTGCTACACAACCTCCACGCCCATTTGGCCTCTCGCGCCCAACTGGCGAATGCCATGCCATGCACGAAATCCGGCTATGGGCCCCCGACGGGTCACATCGCCGCTCAAATCAGACCAACCACTCAGGCGCCTCGTTGCAATCTCTGGATACGATACGGATAACCACCGGTCTGCTCCCCCAATGTCCACTCTGCCACTCCAGCTCTCACTAGCACTAGCATCGGCGCGGTAGAGTAAAGGGGCCGGCAGCCTAGCCTGATAAGTTGCCTTTTTGTCCACTATCCAAGTACTCTGTACACAGTACAATTCCCAATTTGCCCCCTCGTCCACCATCCGACAAGCCTTGTGCCTGTAGTTTCTTCTCTCGAAGGGGGGGATAGGGGGGTCCTCGATGCTGCAACGTGACGGCCCCATCCCGGACGCTTCTGGAAATCTCTGCCGGCCTTTCGGGGCAATCACGACAAATCATCACTCGAGCCTTTGATTTCTTTGACCCTCCTCATGACGCCCCTCTCTGCGCTTGGCAGGGCATGTCTCTCGCTTTGTCCGAGCTGCCGAGTAACCGCAAATACGCCGTCGAGCAAGAAGGGGAAAGATCACTGGGCAATTGTGGGACGCTGGTGCTGGCCTTTATTCGGAATACGGGTGCGCGTCAGGTTACTATGTTGATCCCCCCCTGGTAGTCTGGGGCGGACCTCGGGAGTACGAGAGACGAACAAGCAATTTACCAACACAGACACTCCTCCACAAGTCGTGGGTTGTAAGTCTGATTAGGTTTCCTCCATCCCTACTCCAGTTCCTTCCCTTACACGATCCTCTTCTTTGCGATCAAGTAGTCTTGGTCACCTCTCATCGTGCCTTGAACCACACACATTCGTTTGACCCCTATTTGGTGATTTGTCGTGGTAGTTCGGACTCAGGAGAAAATATACACTCGCACTACGCGCCCAACGTTACGCGTCCAGAATCCACAAAGTCCAGTCAGTCGTTTAACTCGCACACAACACACACAGGCACCATGCGTGCTGTTTCGCTCGCTTTGACAACGGCTACGGCCCTTCTCAGCGTCTCTGACGCTGCTTCTTTGGAACAATGGAAGTCGCGCTCCATCTACCAGGTCGTCGTCGACCGTTTCGCCAGAACCGATGGATCAACCACAGCGGCCTGCGATGAACTTTATCTCTTCTGTAACGGCACATGGACTGGTCTTATCAACGGTCTGGATTACATCCACGGTTAGTACTCTTGAACCCAACCGAAACCTTGCTCCCCCAAAACCAGGGTGGTCATTGAGAGGAGGGCTGATGCGAATTGCAAATTGCAGACATGGGCTTCACTGCCGTACAGATCAGCCCCGTCGTAAAGAACATCGAGGATGACACCGCTGTGGGTGAGGCGTACCATGGCTATTACTCACAGGATCTTTACGCCATCAACGAGCACTTTGGCACGGCCGACGAGCTCAAGAAGCTCGCCGATGAGCTCCACAACCGTGATATGTACCTCCTAGTTGATGTTGTCGTCAACAACATGGCCCAAAAGTTCAACAACACCATCCCGCCCGACGTCGACTACTCTGTTTTTGAGCCCTTTGACAACCAAGACTACTTCCACCCGTACTGCAACGTCACCGAGTGGACCAACGCGACAAATTACCAGGACTGCTGGCTCTACCCCTATGGCGTCGCGCTGGCTGACTTGAAGACCGAGGACGAGAAGGTCGTCGAAATGTTCAGCTCCTGGATCGAGGAGCTCGTTGCCAACTACTCAATTGACGGCCTGCGTATCGACGCTGCCAAGCACGTCGACCCGGAATTCTTGCCAACTTTCGTGGCCAGCTCTGGTATCTTTGCCCTTGGTGAGGTTCTCACTGGTGAGCCCGAGGACTTCTGCCCGTACCAGACCCAAGGCTACCTGCCCGGCATGCCCAACTATTTGGAGTACTACCCCATCATCGACGCCTTCAACGACGGATCCATGAGCGCGATTGACACGATGCGTGAGCGCGCTCGTGGAGCTTGCAATGACACTCTGGCTCTCGGCTCTTTCGTTGAGAACCACGATATGCCTCGTTTTGCTCACTACAACTCTGATATGGCGATCGCCAAGAACGCCATGGCCTACATCATCCTCAACGACGGCATGCCCCTAGGTAAGTGACCCGAGTCATTCGAGACCTTCGGGTAACATTGGAACCCCGAAGTCGATCATCGCTGGATTATCGACAGATTTGCTAACACGTGACCCATTACTCCAGTCTACCAAGGCCAAGAACAGCACTACTCCGGCGGCGACACACCCCAAAACCGTGAGGCCATCTGGCTGTCGGGCTTCAACACCTCGGCCGAGCTGTACATCACGGCTCAGAAGCTCAACAAGGTCCGCAACACGCTGATCGGGCTGACCAACACCTCCGACTCGACCTACGTCGACTCCAAGGCCCAGACGCTCATGACCAACGACAACCACCTGTGCCAGGTCAAGGGCCCTGAGGGCTACCAGATTGTCAGCTGCATCGTCAACCACTCGTCCTCGGGCCCGTCCTACGAGCTGTCCATCGGCGGCTTCACCGCCGGCGACCAGGTCGTCGAGCTGCTGAGCTGCGGCACCAGCACCGCCGACGACACCGGCAACGTCACCATGTACATGAACCGCGGCGAGCCCAAGGCCTACGTCCTGCAGAGCCTGCTGTCTGAGATGCCCGGCTTGTGCAACACCACCACGGACGCCAAGACCGCCTCGGAGGAAGGTGCCGCCGCCGGCATGAAGAGCAGCCTTGCTGTGGTCTTCACCGTTGCCGTCGCATCTGTCATGATGCTGCTGTAGACGGGAGCGTTTGTCTTTATTTTAAGTTACGGACGGATTGGCCGCGGGTATTAATTTACTGATGCTTCGTGCTTGATGCTTCGTTGCGTTGCGGTGGGGGATAGGTGGTGCGGTGGACTTTTATACTTTTGCGTGTGCACATGTTGCTACTCCTGCGCGTACATATGTTCCATGAAAATTGCTTTTTTGATATCCAGACTTACGTACATGACATTAATTCATTAATAATATGAACGCTGTCTTATATCATCCATGGGTACTGGGTATTGGGAATGGAGATCCCGGCCGGCGCACCCGGCGTTGTGGGACGAAACATTTGGGGTTTCCTGAGAGCCGTGGAGGGAAACAACTCATAGTTGTTCAATTATAAGGCCGCGACTTGGTCTGCCTCGAGAACGATCATCCCGAAACAATCCAGGACGTGTTGTAGTCGGAAAGCTGGTCCAGGATTCAAGGTTTCTGCTGCACTGCATTGGCGTTGGTAGGAGCGGCAAGATGCTGTATTATCAATATGTGTGATATATACCATTGGGCGCTTGATTGGAATGTATTTAACGGACACCAGCCCATCCGTAACGCAAAGTTACCTCACCATGGAATTTTGGGACCTCACATGAAGTTCTTCATTCAAAGAGTATGAGGCCCACCGCCCTGTCCCGAAGACAAAGGCAGGATTCCAGATCCACACATTTATTGGGAATGATAAAGCATCCACACGACGGATTATCCCAGAACGCTTCATCTTATGTAGGGCTTAGGAAGTTTCACATATGAAGGCACTCGGCCGAGTCGAAATGTTGCTCCAGTTAAACTTCCATGCCATCGTTTGGGAATCCCTGCGAGCTGCAGATTCTCCAAGAGCTTAACACGAGCCTCAAAACGGCCCTCGACGACATCTGGCAGACAGCGCCGGTTGTCCCCAGCAAACAGTCTGGCCAGAGCAAAGCTTTTACTCAACATGCTGTTGACACTGGCCGCCGTCATTGGTCTGGAATGAGATGTCGTCGCTTTCCTGCCGCGCCCACGCGAGGCTCACAGACACGTCCGAGCACCATGCGGCTCAGCGGGAAACCGAGGCCAGGGCGACAGCTTCCTGACCACAATCCGTCAACCTCGTGAAGGTTGACAAAGACTCAAGAAAACGGCCGCTAGCAGACGTTAGTAAGGGATATTTACGTGACTGCTGAACCTAGCTTGTAGCGGGCATTTGCTCACGGACTGACAGCAGTAGATAGTCGTCTACGTCACTTTGACAGCTCCATTCTCAAAGTTGAAAGAGCAGCAGCCCAGCTACAAATGTAAAAAGTATCCCCATATAGATACTCATTCTTTGTGTTTAGTATTCCAATCGGCCTTCAGAATTATCAATTGGCCTTCAAAATTATCAAGTGGATAGAGATTTGTGTTAAACTAAGAAGTCATAACCAAAAACCCCTAAAACACTCCCATCATGTCCTCCTTCCGCGCCCTCCGACCACTCGCCCGCCAAGCAGGCGCAGCACGTCAAGCTCTCCCCAGAGCAACAAACCCCATCCAGCAGCACCAACGGCGCTTCCTCGACACCTCGAGCGCACCGACCCTCTACTCGGCGCACGCGCGGGTCATCGGCGCGCGCACCGGCAAGGTGCACGGCGAGAACCTGGACGTGGAGCTGACGATGGCCAAGGCGCTGGGCGGCGCGGGGGACCGGGGCAAGACGAACCCGGAGGAGCTGTTCGCGGCCGGGTACGGGGCGTGCTTCCAGTCGGCGATGAACGCCGCGGCGGCGAGCATGGGCGTCAAGATGCCGACGCGCATGGAGGACTCGGTCGTCGAGACGACGGTGCACCTGGTCGGCGACATGAAGGCGCTGGACATGGGCCTCAGGGTCAACATGACCGTCAAGGTCAAGGGCCTGGGCCGCGAGGAGCTGGACAAGGTCGTCGCCAAGGCCAAGGAGGTGTGTCCTTACTCCAGGGCCACCCAGGGTAATATCGACACGAATATCAAGGTTGTGAATTTCACGGATGGGGAGAATGATATCGAGGGGGACAACGCCAAGTCATACGGGACGAGCACATATGGTTGAGCCATCTGAGCCTTCGTAGTGGTCGAATCCGCTGTAGCGCTTTTCGCTCTGCTAGGTTGGAAATAAAATGTTTATTGATCTCATACTGTCTTGCTTTGCCCATCACCTCGCGTTCTTCAAGTCGGAAGGGTAATGTACACATGAACGTGTCACATTACGACAGTAGAAGCTTTATTGAGCTGGAAAATTGTATTAGCCTTCATGGTGGCTATCCACCTGATCCTCGGTCAAGAAGTCCTCGTCTATCGAATCCTGAACTCCTAGCCTGGTCAAAGCCGTTGTGTTCATGACGTGATGGGGTGCTTGTAGAATTGTAGGAAATGGGGCCCAGTCTCTCGGTGTGTGGCAGAACGCTTCTACTAATCACGCCTCGCCCCAACGTAGTCTTTTCAATGGAAACTCTTCCGCCGTCGCATCAATACTCAACTTCTGATACTCAGGTAGCCGGACCACCTGAGGCTGGGGTCTGCTGGCTGGCCGCCGCGGTCGTGCCCGCCGTACCCACACCTGCACTCGCAGCACTCTCCCCGACACGAACCTCATCTTCGGGCACTCCTACAGCGACGCTGCCTGCAGTGCTACCAGCAGTACTCAGCATGCTTGTCACTCTCTCAGCCCTGGGGCCTGCAATCCCCGCTCCTCCGCCAGTAACATTCACGCTCGCCGTCGTACTAACACTCTCACTGCGTGGTCTCGTGTTCGCATCACTCGCCCTGCGTTCACGGACCAGGCGTTCCAGTTCCCTGATCCGTCTCTTCAGGGCGTCGTTCTCGCGCTTCACTGTTTCCAGCTCCTGGCGGTGGAATGCAGTCTCTTCGTACCTCGAGGTTACAGACATCATACTGGGGGATATCATCTCCGTCGAGCCGGCGCCGGGTGTTACCTGTGCGTGTGAGACGGCTTGCGAGGATGTGCCGGGCGCTGAGCGTAGGTGGAAGTAGCCTGCATGTGCGGCATCCGCCATGTGCGAGCTCGCAAATGAGCTGGCATGTGCTGGAGAGCTGCTCAAGCTTTGCCGCGAATGGCTTTGGGTGCTGTTCTGACGACTCAGAGCCGTGGCACCAGGCCTGATGGGCGCTGGTGAAGTAATATTGACCACTGATGTGCTTCCTGTTGTTGCTGCGATGCTTCGTGCGCTCGCACTTGAACCGCTTCTGGTATGTCGTCGCTCTCGCCCGCTGGTCTGAGATGGTATACTAAACCCGGACCCGGAGAGCACTGCGATTAGAGTTAGCAAAGATTCATATAACATGACATGTGCAATGAACATCAGAAGAAAGACAGTGTAGCGCAGCCCCTGCTAGCCATAGTCCAATCCACAGGCTGTCCCTAGATATTGCGGTAGCTGCAATTTGACACCCAGAGACCTAGGACCAGTCATAGTAGACTGCCTGACCCGAGCAAGCCGGCCTTGTACAGGATATCTTCCGACAAGAATGTGGTGGGCGAGATGATCAAACCCCAGAGCTGACATATGTTGTGCTTTGCCGAGAATGGGAATCATAATCCTGCGAGCTGCTTACAATGTTGTCTGCCATCCGGAATCATGGGGATCGTAGACGTGGAGGAATCGGCGCCAGATTCACTGGCGGAGGCCGAGGAGGCTTCATTATGCTGTCTCAAGATCTCGAGTTCGCGCGTAAGGCGGTTGACCTGTTTGGTTGGTACAGTGTCAGCAGGTGACTTGATCAAGGTAACGCGCTGTATCGAAGCAGGTACATACCACGGCCTCCTGCTCCTTCTCGATTTGCTGGTGAAGCTCAGCAGCTGTAAGTGGTTGAGGGTGGCGTGTCGGGCCTGGGCCAGACTGCAGAGACGATGCATCTGCTGGTGGGTGTGGCACACTGCCTGTCGCTGCGAGGCGGGGCGACGGGAGAGATGCAGCCGCAGGAGCACCAGTATTCACAGCATTCTGATTTGATGGCAGGATATTAAGGGCGGGATCTGAGGTCGTGGGCGCATGGCCGGGGCCGGGGACTGGTGGTGGAGGCATTTGCTGAGATGAGGCCCGCCGAGACAGAGCTAGAACGTGAGGTGACGGAGGGACCGAGTTGAGGTCCGGCATTGCCAGAGGTTCCTGAGACCTTGGAAGACGGTGGTGCGATACGCGACGATGATGCAGGTGTGGGTCCTGCAGCCTGGCTTTGGTCGCGCTGGTGATCGTGATGGTGATCGCGTCGTGACAACTTGGGGCGGGGTGGGGTTTCGAGCAGTCAGAAACACTTGGTGATTGACGGCCGTGAGATGACAGACACAAAAAGAAAGGATGTCAGGCCGGTCATCTATGCAAGGGAGGAGGAGTGGAGGGACCACATTGAGACAGTCCTCTCTCCTGGACAACACACCAAACAAACAAACATACGAGTAGAAGTGAAGTGTTACAGCAATACCTGTTAGAGCACTTGCTGATGTTGCTGCGGAGGCTGCAGGGGTTTAGATTGAGGATTCATACGGCACCAGGCTGTTCTCATTCGACTTGGCATCTGGAAGGTCAGACCGATGAGCTGGGAGACATGGCTTGTCGCCTGTGTGCACATGTGCTACACCGTCGGTACGCCTGCATGGTACCTGGAGAGACTACCACCAAAGACTACATACACAAGTTGTACTGTCACAGCCTGGGTGTGGCATAGTCTACAAAATACTGAAGTATAGAGAGAGCACCAGCTCGAATCCATCTCTGCAGCAGAGTGAATCCAGCAAAGTGCAGATGCCTACAAGCGCAAGTGCTGGTCTCTAGTGGGCGGGCAATGAATGCCATTTCGATGTGCTGCCAGATGGGCGAAATGATATCATGGTGATGTCTCAACCCCTCTGACGTCTGTCTTTCCGAATCAATGGTGAGCAACCACACAATCTGGCTTGCCTTTTAAGGATCAGCCTCTTTCTCTCAAGTTGAATTTCTTAAGCTAAACAATCTAAACAAACCAAACCTTTCAAGCTCCTCATCATCTCTGAAGTCTTCAAATCCAGCCCACCATCCATTTGTGTGTAAGTCAGGCACTGTAAAACCCCGCCAAGGTACTCGGTACTGGAGCGTGCAAGGGAAGACAAAGCTGATCAATGAGTTCAGCTTTCATCAAAAACAAATTTTCCCTACTCAGCGCCATTCAAAATGTCGAGCACCGAAGGCCGCCAGTCTCCTCCCCCTGAGCAGCAGAGCGGAGCTCAGCTCAACTCCGTCCCAGGACAGGGCCAGGGCACCGACGACGCCACCAACAAGGAGCAAACCAACAGCTCTGGGCTTGAGGTATGATTGCCATGTCAAGCGGATGGACAGCAACGAATTGGCCTGCTAACGAGACATTTTAGAACCTGTCATCCAACCCCAAGGGCGTTCTGGACGATGCCGTCAAGGAAAAGTTCTCAAAAACATCAGACAGTGAGGGTACGAAGCAGAAGTAAAGGGTGCAGCTTGGTTTAGGTTGTTATAGGGAGAACGGACAGGACTCTCGTTTGCCAGCGCGCACAATAGACCAGGTCCTGATGGTAGATTAATGAGCAACAACATCATAATCTTCTGACCAGAAGTGTCACCGGTGCTTTCAACGTTTTAACATGTGAATGTTTCCCATGCAGGTATTGTTGGAAATAGATGGATTAGGCTCCTCCTAGATAAGAACGTATTGTCTTCCTCCTCATGTCTTACGTCGTGGAGCTTTACCTTACCCTTGAGCTCTGAAACGTAACGCACGGCAGACCTTGGGGAATATCTGAGGTAAATGATCTCGTCGTTCTTGGGAGCATGAAGCCACACGTAGAGGGATGCCCAAAGACGGACCATTTTCACATGCTTGCCCATTCCTGACCAGCCAAAGCATGACTAGTCTGTGGCAAAGGGCATAGGCAGATTCAACCGTTGAGACAAGAGCTGTCGTATTAAATGTGGCGCAGAGCGAAAGCTTGACGACAGCTTGGGCTTCTAAGTGCTTCTAAGCCCAGGCGAGCTGCGCAGCAGCAGGCGCAGATGAGGGGAGCTCTTTACTTACCCCGCGGGTCTTCCGCCATTTGCTCGCCTTTTAGCGAACACACTCCACCTGGGCACTACCAGCGAATGACGTATCCCGCCCCTTCCCCCCATCATCGCCAGCCAGAGTCATTTGTTGCCCCCCTAAGCTCCCTCCCTCGCTCGAATCTTGGCAGCTGCGCGTATCACATCACAAGCACTACCTAGACTAGTCTAATTGTTCTCAGTTGCTGTCTTCTCATAAAAGCCACACCTCCACGCATCTTCTTCAAGAACCTTCGCGTCTTCCAACTATCCAACAATCAGACATCAGCCACAGATCTACCTCCCCACTACAATCCTCATACCACCATTCAACCCCTCAACAACTTCATCATGTCTGCCACAACAGTTTACGTCAAGAACATCGCCGGTACCACGGATGACAAGGAGATCCGTGACTTCTTCAGCTTCTGGTAAGTACATGATTTTCCTCTGGAACGCCCTGCTCTCAAACTAACCGTCCCTCTAGCGGCAAGATCACCAGCCTCGACGTCAAGGCTGAGGGCGAGACCAAGTCCGCGACCGTCACCTTCGAGAAGGAGACCGCCGCCAAGACCGCCCTCCTTCTGAACAACACCCAGCTTGGCTCAACCCACATCTCCGTCGAGTCTGCGACCGGCTCGTCCCCTGAGGATGCTGATAACCACACCACCAATGCCGAGCGGGATTCCGACGAGATCACACAAGAGGAGAAGCCCCGGGCGCGGATTGTTGCCGAGTACCTCGCACACGGCTACGTCGTTGGTGATGCTGCGATCCAGCGAGCGATCGAGCTTGACCACACACATGGCGTCTCGAGTCGATTCCTGAACACTCTGACTGGTCTCGACAAGAAGTACCACGCCACCGACCGGGCTGTGACCGCTGATCAGAACTATGGCATTACCCAGCGGGCAAACACGCTCTGGTCTGGTTTCAACTCATACTTCGAGAAGGCTACCAACACCCCCACCGGCAAGAAGCTCGTCGACTTCTGTAAGTACTAGGAACTCCCTCACCCCTGACGAGTGAGTCAAAGCCGAGCATGGTGCTAACCATAGCTTCTATTCTAGATACACAAAGCCAGAAGCAGGTCACAGACATTCATACCGAGGCCCGCCGTCTTGCCGATCTCAAGAAGAACGAGCACGGTGGCTCTGCGTACAAGGCTTCCGGTCTGGAGCGCGTGTTTGGTGCTGAGAAGCCTAAGAGCGAAGCTCCCTCCTCCGGCCCAGGTGCTCCCGCCGCTCCTGGTGCTGCCACCACGACGGAGACGACTCAGCCCGTAAAGCCTGCTGAGGGTGGTATTGGCCTTCAAGAGTCTGCTACGATTCCCCCGCCTGAGAAGTCCGGTTAGGAAAGCGATGAGGCCGCTTAGCAGGAAGCCATTGGCGAAGGAACAGTGAGATATCACCGGGACGAGTGAACCACTGGAAGTGATGCTTACCTGAGAATTGCATGCGACGTTATGACTCTGCCTGATACGACCCCCTTTTAGTATGAAAGAAAGCCCTGACATGAATACCCCTTACCTGTTGTTGCTTTTGCAATGGACTATTAGTTGAGGAGGAATATCAGATAGTTCCTAAATTCAACTCGGAAATCTTTTACGCTGTGATCCTATATTTCATTCGTAATCGAACATCGACTGCGGTGTCTATGATTGTGCTAGATTTGCTATTTACACCCACGCACCTCGCCTCCGAAACTTGCATGCTGTCCGCTTGACCACTTGAGATGAAGCACCTTATTACCCTGTTTTAAGCGTCGCGTCAAGGCGCACTAAGTTGGCATATACACACAGAAACTAGGGGCAGTATCACAGATAACCGGTACCGCAGCAAATGAGTGTGTCCATAGCTGGTTAACATGAATTCCACAAAGTAACACACTATCTGGAGCTCATTTTGACACCTAACACCGGTTGAAGTAGCTTCCAGAATTGTGTTATCGAGTCCTGATGGGGCAACAACGGTCTATCACCGAAACCACCAATTCACAGATCCATTCAGCCGGCCATCGCTAGAGTGGCTCTTTACACTGTGCCACCAGCCCTTGGGAATAAACAGCGCATCGCCGGAGCCCAGATGAGCCTCCTGCAAAGCCACCTCCGGCTCTTTCCAAACGGAATGGTGGAGCATTTCCCTCTCCGGGCCCTCCATCATCTCAGTGCCCCTGATCCGGGAGCTCCCACCCCATCGGCCCAGCCTCGCCTGCACGTGACGAAATACCGTGTCCCCGTCCTGGGGCGGTAGCAACCTCACGGTCTTGGAGCTGCGGAGCTGGACGAAGACGTTCGGGTTCGGGTCGCGATGCAAGGGCGTATACGTCGGTTCCAGCCCGAGCCAGATGGAGGAAGCGTAGATGTCGCCCTTGCCTGCCTCCTTCACGATGCGCGGTGCGGGTAGGTCTTGAGCCAGGTCTCCGGGCAGGTCAGGCAGGGAGCACTGTGCTATGTAGAGTTGCCGCATGCGAGATGGTTCCTCCGCCTTTGCGTTGTACCTCAGAGCAGCGAGCAGTAAGGCCAAAGGGGCTTCAAAGCGGAGTAGTCGCTGCTCCAGGGCGCCTTGAGGCTGCATGTCCACAAACAGGAGCTGTTGGCGCAGGTGGTCAGCGAGAGCTTGCTCGACCGTCGTTCTGGTAGTGTCACGGCTGCCGGAGTCGAGGAAGTTGATGAACTGGCGAACAACCTCCCCGGTACCCTCGTGCAGTTGCGGATACATGAGCTCGTAGGGCATTGAGGCCATGGAGAAGCCTTGGAAGTAGCTAGAAACCACCTCTGTGAATGAGGAGGTATGGTCATCAGCCACTGGCTGAAACCATTTCTCTATGGCTGGCATGCGTGTAGGGCCCTCATGCGATCTTTTCATAAGCAAAGGCTTGCCTGCGTCAAAGGCAAGCTCCCTGAACCGCGACACATCGATGCTCCCATGGGACGTCTCTACCGCAGCGACCTGCTGGATGAATGGCTGACTGCTGTGACGTCGAATTTGAAAAGCACTCCATGAGGGCTTATGGAGCCTCCCGACCCTGCCGAGTGTCGTCTTCATCCGGATTATTGCTCTGTATTCCTGCCGGCATCGCTGCATGTGACTGAGCACAAGACACCACTGCCGCAAAAACGAACGGCCAACAGTTGGAATATGAGCGTCATTCGTACATGTATAGACGTGTGTGGTCTGACATGATCCTGAAATTACGTATCAGGCAACCGACATGCTTGCCATCGACGGCTGAAGGTAATTGCGTGGCCGACCGTCGAAAGCAGGCTTTAAAGCTGAGGTATACACAATACGCTGCATGCGTAGTCTATTTGGTCTCGTATCTAACCCAGGCAGAGAACGTGCCTGTTTAGAGGTGCACGGGCCACCTCCGCCATCCCACCAGCCAGCCCAGGCCGCAATTCCAGCAACCGATCTGCGCCTTTGACCTCCAGCTTGAAAGACCGCAAGAACAAGACATCGCCAAACAAAACAGCATTATCGTCTCCACTCCTCCAGCTCATCGCCTACATTGGCTCTGGGGAAGCGCTTCTATCTGATCACTTAGCATTTGGGCAACCCCGGACATGCCAGCGACCCCTCGGGACTAGGCCCATCCCACTTTGCATCCCATCACAACGCAACGCCGCAACCTTGGCATACCCCCCACCAAACGCGTCTTTTTGCCCGGCGCATCGACCAGACTCCCGCGATTGCCTTCCCAGATCGTTCTCCCTGGAGGTCCGCCGTTGTTCTCGCCGGTGTCGCTCTATTTTAGTCACTGAGTCAACATGTCGACCTCCTCAGGTCCACCAGAGTCCTGGATAGCATCCTTCTGCTCCCTCCTCGGCCACGAATATTTCGCAGAGGTCTCGGAGGAGTTCATCGAGGATGACTTCAACTTGACGGGGCTACAATCACAAGTGCCCATGTACAAAGAAGCGCTCGAGGTGAGCCACGCCCCGCCCAATCGTTTCGCAGGTCTCAGAGCGGGGGGCATTCTCTAACAGATGATACGCGTAGATGATACTCGATGTCGAGCCAGAAGACGATGAGGACGAAGAAGACGAGGAGGATGAGGATGAGGAAGACGTCAGTGGCGACGGCCTCGACCGGAGGCTTCCTGGAGAGCGCCGACATCACAGCAGGATGGCTAGCGACCTTTCGGTCATCGAATCCTCGGCCGAGATGCTCTACGGCCTCATACATCAGCGATATATCTGCTCGCGCGCAGGCATACAGCAAATGTCGGAGAAGTACGAGATGGGTCACTTCGGCTGCTGCCCTCGGACGAATTGCAACCAAGCAAGAACACTGCCTGTCGGCCTGTCGGACATACCAGGCGAGGACACGGTGAAGCTTTTCTGCCCCTCTTGTCAGGATGTCTACGTGCCTCCCAACAGTCGTTTCCAAACTGTCGATGGCGCATTCTTCGGCCGGACATTTGGCGCCCTGTTCCTCCTCACATTCCCCGACTACGATTACTCAAAGCACGGTGCCGACCTGATGTCCTCTAATTCCTTGCACATAAGCCGCCGGTCGGGCGACGATGACTGGATGGTCAATGGCATGCATGCCAGGAACATTGCCCCAAGCCTAGGACCCGGCAAGATCTACCAGCCAAAGATTTACGGCTTCAAGGTGTCAGAACTTGCACGCTCTGGTCCACGGATGCAATGGTTGCGCGACAAGCCCGCGGACCTGTCTGAGCTGGACGAGGCACGCCGATACGCAGAAGAAAACACGGATGACGACGAGAGCATGACCGGAAATTCTAAACCATCTAGGAGGAAGCCTCGTGGAAGTGCCCGCCTGCGCCAGAGACAACAACAAAACGGGAGCCCCATGGCTGTCGAGGCTAACGGCGCCGAGTCAGAGCTCTAGCCGCCCATGGCTCATAGACCGGGAATCGAGTCGTTGTACAAGGATGAGATCCAAGACCTCAAGGCCATTCTGACGTGCACTCTACCTGGGGCCACGAGGTCGGGGAGGCGCCAGCCCGAAAAGCCACGCCAGTCCCCCCCGAGCCTACGGACTCTGATAACCTTGCCCGTTTCATCCCCTCCACAGCGATATACCTCTGACCCACGAGGATCTGATGCTGGAGAGAATCTCCGCGAATTTGAAGAAGGGGAGGACTTGATTCTACTAGGCCCTCTCCCGCTTTAAAGAAGCGTGACTGGGGCCCTTTACGATGCCATACTGGACCACGAGGTCTCAAGAATCGTAAATCCACCAAAGACGAGCCGGGAAACCGGAGCGTGCAAGCCGTTGGTTATTTCTTTGGAACAGTGAACAGCGAGGCTTCATCAGAACTGCAGATGTCGGCGCAATTTTCCCAAGAGCAAGGAGCACGGCAATTGGTCGGGGGTTCGGGGATGAGCAAACCATGGGGACACGGGAACACTATTGGAGGAGCGAGGTGTTGGGCAGGATGCTTCAAGCTACACATTACTTGCATGCGGTCGGCGTTGTTCTTCACCCTCCCCTTCATGGTTTTTTGACATATACGTTTGTGTGGCAGGCTGGTCGTCGCCGCGGCCGCGACCGCTTGATCATGGGTCTGCTGTAGCATCATCACCACCGCCAGCAGCAGCAACAGCAGACGGCACAATCCACAACCTTTTTTTCCTTCTGTCCGTCTCAAGTGCTGTTGCCACCCATTTTGCTGATGCTGAGACCGTGATCGTCGCCGCATGTCTTACTCGGGCTCGTTGAAGCAGGATATTTCCGCATGAATAGACTAATATGAACAACCCTTTCCATGTTCTTCTTGCAGCAACCAGGGGATACGGTCACCGTCTGCAGCTCCCGACTGCCCTTGGAACATATGCAGCGTGTCCTGTGGACCACTGGTATCTTGCCTGCCTCGTGTATCTTTTTGATTTTCCTCGCCCTTTGCTTTGCTCTACCATTCGTGCTGAATTGCCCTTTGATCTGTCCGCCCTGACTGGAGCAAACACCGGCCGTATCTCAAATTTACACCGCAAGCCAACGGAAGCCTGCAGCGGCAGAGTATCAAATAGGATCCCAGCGTATGTGATTACTAGAACCATTGTTACAATAACGCCTTACTTTCCAATGGTCCATCGCATATGGCTCTGCACGCGCCTGCGTGGCTTAACTTACCTCCCGCATAGTTACATTATGGTCAGGCTATGCGGTAAATACCAGATTCACAACCACCAGCAGTTGAACTTTGCATGTATTCCATGGGCTAGGACGGCCGATGGCTTGTAATTTACTACTTACGGTCTGCGAACTCGTTACGTCAATATGTTGTTATTTGACTGTGTTAAGCCACTCCCAACATGTTGACAATACTTGGTGTGTAAATCCCCCTGTTGTCAGAGTGATGTTATAGTTCATCGGACCAAAGCCTTTGTAATTAGAATCCTGGTATCCAGCTGTACTCAATTTCTAAATCATCCGAACCTGCTTATTTTATTATCCGCTCCGACGGACCTCCTTCATGGACAGGCATATAGAGAGGTCTCAGAGACCCCCCGTCTTCGCAGGCATTCCCGTCGGCACCGATCAAGTTCCGGCTCCGTCCCAGCACGTGTTATTGATAAGCACCAGCCGGGCTGTGCAGTGTTTGTTGTCTCCTCCGGCCCCGGCTCGGCGGCCCAGTCGGCGCCATCTAGACTAGGACTTCTGTCTGACCTCTGTATATTGCCAGGTGGGTCCAGGCGGGATGATGCTGACGGCACAGAATACGAACGTGCGAAAGCGAAAGGGTAAAACTTGGTGTTCCACGGATAGCCGCGCCCTTGGGCGCCCTTGGCAATACATATCTATGACTCCTCCGCCGTGCGTTCCGCGGGGAGGAGCTTGCTCCAATCGGAGGGATTATCTGGCCTCCAAGGCCTGTCTTATCCTGCGGGAGCGGATAGATTTTCAAGGCTCTATTGTTTGTCTGCGTATCATCTTAAGGAAGGTTTTCGAATGTTCCTGCCGTGAGACCACCACCCCTGGCCACATGGTACGAATGCGGCTTAGCTTACGCCCGTCTGGAGGCTGTCACTGCTAGCCCGAGAGCTGGGATTGCTCCGGATAATCATCGGCTGGGAGGCAACATCCGTCTGACTGACTGAGTCAGTGGAACATGCCGCGGACGGGACGACTGTGTCAGTGTGGGGCCGTTGTTGAATCCGGACGATGGTGGTGCGTGGACAAGCACGACCAACGGCCGTGCCGAAGGTGTGACACAGCATTGGCGATTCTGGGGGGCGACTACATACCGTAAATACTGTACGTGTGCAGTGGCTCGAGAGTGGCACGAGTGGGTACGGACGGAGCACTGTGTGAGCCTCGAGTCTGTGGCAGGCTGTGATCCACCTCTTCTCGAGAGCGATCAGATATCTGGGCCACGTCGATCTTGACTTACAAGATGAACTAAGCTCGAGCCCTGTCTTATTGCTCGTAGTAACGTCCGATCAAGAACCCTAATTCCGGGCTCGAGGCTTGATAGGATACCTTCACGTAGGACAATGCCTCCTAGATCTGTAGTATCGCCTCTCGTCGATATCAATGCCGCTGAGCTGGCAATGCAGCAGCGCATCACCATCTCAGACCAAGTCGCTTCTAGCCCTGCCGTCTTTTTAGAGTTTCACTGACACGTCCTGGCCGTCCTCGTGCAGTGCAAGTCACACACACAAACTCGCCGCCAGTCCAGAGGGGTGGTGGCCGTGGTGGCCCAATTGGAGGCGGCAGGGGATGCCGTCTCGGGGACTAACAACTTACCGGTCTTGCGCATTGGGGGACGGCATGAGTCCTCACCGAGACGCCCGAAACCTCTGTCGATCTCCAACAGACCCACCGGCCATCTCCTGGGATGGGGTCAAAATACCATGTGCTGTGTATGCAGCAGGCAGACAGGGTGGAGAAGCTCTCGGTCTTTGTTGCCTTAAGTCCATACCAGGCTGGCCAAGGCCGACTATCACGGAGGCGGCGTCTCGAGTGGATAGAGTTTTCCTAATTAGTTGTGAGTATGTTTTTTTCTCTTTTTTTCTGTCTGTCTATCTGTCGGTCAAGATGGCTCACGATGGCTCATGAGGAAAATACTACAACATGTGCATTCTTGTGACTCCTGTGAGTCAGGCCGGGGTTATCCTGTCCCTGTCCCTGTCTCATTGTTCGCGTCCACGTCTATGTTCTCGTCGAGTTCTTAGCACGGTGTAATTCCGTATCTCCGTTGTTTTTCTCCCATTTGACGGCAGCCCACCTCCCTAATATGCAGTAGTGAATTCTATACTGCACCAGAAGAGCAAAGCAGTTACCAGTCCTTAATCTGTGGGGCTGCTAGGCGAAACACAGTTGTATCTAGACCAGTTATCGATGCCTGCCACGATCTGTACAGAATACGATGGACGTACAAGGCAGGGGAGGGGGGGGGGCAGAAGCCAATTCGAGCATCGAAGCTCGAGAGCAGGGCCGTTTGTGGGGCCCTGATGGATACACAGAGTAGGCATGGTGGGCGCCCGGTTGCTGTGGTCCGGCTCAACCCCATGCTCCTAGTCCTAGTCGAGTCTCCCGTCCCCAGTTCCCAGACCTGCCAGTCCCCCATCTCATGGCTCCCCTAGGCACTAGTTCTCCCAAGCTCCCGAGGGCCCTTGGACCTTGGAACCGTTGAAACGACAGATCCAGGCGAGGGGCACATGCTGTCTCGCAGAATTGGAGAAGAAACAAAAGTCAAATTGCCAGCTGGGGCTGTTCCAGAATACTGATTTATAATTCTAGGGCGGTATTGTCCCGGTCCAGCTACCGAGCCGATCCTCGGACTGCCGACCTCAGAATTTCTATGTATCCATCGCATACATCATCTATCTGAGCCGTGTTGCCTTCCAGGGCCGTGCTTGATAAACTTTGTTGTCGCGCCTCCCTTTCTCTACCCCAGGTTGCCGTCAACCTTGCCTCACACTCGAAGCCCTGGCCCTCACCCTGCCTTCATGGGAGGAGAAGGCCGTGTTTCATTAATCCACCTGCAATCGCCTCTTTGACCTTCACTGTCCCCCTTTTTTTGTGTGCCCTCTCTCATCGTTCCTTCAAAACTGGACGGGTCCGTTTTCAGACTCTAATTTCAAGAGGCCCACACACTACACCTACTTTTGACTGAGACCCAATCCAGACACAGACCCTCCCTGTCCATTTGTAATCCAATATCTGTGTTCGATATCAGATATCAAAGCCTCAGCATCTCTGACTTTCGCCTTCTTCCAATCGAGCAAGTCGCGTTGCATCGGGATATCCAGGCTTAAGGTTGGCCCTGCCCCGCGAAACCTTCTGCGCGTATCTGTCTTAATCGCGCCCAGATCGCTTGGCAGGAGCTTTAAAAAAAAATAAACCATGGAACCGGACGTGGAAAAGGCCGCGCTCGAAGCTCGAGATCAGGAGCACGGCGAGTTTTTGGCCCACCGCGAGATCGAGGAACCACCACGAAGGACTTCCACCGACAGCGACACCACCCGTGATCCTGAAGAGGAGCGGGAACAGGCCCGGCGCAACAACCCCCTGGGCTTGACCAGGACCAAGTCTGGCGTCTCAGTTGAGCAGGCCCGAGACGACTTTCAACAGCTGCGTCGTGAGATTTCCTCACTCTCGAGAGCATCCAGGGCAAGCCGCGAAGCCAGCCGCAAGGGCAGCAGGCATGACATCAAGCAGGAGAAAACCCACGAGGCTGTCGATGTGGCCGAGTCCGGCGGCACCTCGACCACTCTCTCCGACGATGAGCAGTTCGACCTGGAGGGAGCCCTGCGGACGGGCTTGGACGCCGAGCAGCAGGCCGGCATCCGGCCCAAGCACATTGGCGTTTACTGGGACAACTTCACCGTCAAGGGAATGGGTGGTTTCTCCAACTATGTCAAGACCTTCCCGGACGCATTCATCGACTTCTTCGACGTCATCTCCCCCGTCAAGAAGGTCCTTGGGCTTGGAAAGAAGGGCTCCGAACGCGCGCTTTTGGACAACTTCCGCGGCGTCTGTCAACCTGGAGAAATGATCCTGGTTTTGGGAAGACCCGGTTCTGGATGCACGACCTTCCTCAAGACCATTGCGAACCAACGCTATGGGTACACGAGCATCTCTGGCGAGGTGCTCTACGGCCCGTACGAGGCCAAGGAGTTCAAGCAGTACCGAGGAGAGGCAGTCTACAATGCCGAGGACGACCTGCACCACCCCACCCTGACTGTGGAACAGACTCTCGGCTTTGCATTGGACACCAAGACTCCCAAGAAGCTTCCGGCCGGTCTGACAAAAAGTCAGTACAAGAAGTCAGTCATCGACATGCTCCTCAAAATGTTCAATATTGAACACACGCGCAACACCATTGTCGGTGGACACTTTGTTCGCGGTGTCTCAGGAGGTGAACGAAAACGTGTTTCCATCGCTGAGATGTTGATCACGAATGCTTGCATTCTTTCCTGGGATAACTCAACTCGTGGCTTGGATGCGTCGACTGCACTGGACTTTGTCAAGTCTCTCCGGATCCAGACCGACTTGTACCGAACAACCACCTTTGTCTCGCTGTATCAGGCCTCTGAGAACATCTATAAGGAATTCGACAAGGTTATCGTCATTGATGGTGGAAAGCAGGTCTACTTTGGCCCCGCCACTACGGCAAGAGCTTACTTTGAGGGCCTCGGCTTTGCCCCGCGTCCTAGACAGACCACCCCGGATTACGTGACCGGCTGCACTGATGAGTTCGAACGCGAGTATGCTTCGGGATACTCTGAGAAGAACGCACCACATGATTCCGAGTCTCTGGCTGAGGCGTTCAGAGCCTCCCAGTTGTCGAAAGACCTGGACCAGGAGATGAGAGATTACAAGGAGCGTCTCAAGGAGGCCCAGCAGCAGCACGATGACTTCAGAATAGCCGTACAGGAGAGTAAGCGAACCGGTGCCAAAAAGTCTGTCTATGCTGTTGGTTTCCACCTGCAAGTTTGGGCTTTGATGAAGCGGCAGTTCGTCCTCAAGATGCAGGATCGGCTCGCGCTTATCCTCGCGTGGCTGAGGAGTATCGTCATCGCTATCGTTCTCGGAACTCTGTACCTGAATCTCGGTCAAACGTCAGCCAGTGCGTTCAGCAAGGGTGGTCTAATGTTCATCTCGCTCCTGTTCAACGCCTTCCAGGCCTTCTCGGAGCTCGGTGGTGTCATGACAGGCCGAGCGGTGGTCAACAAGCACAAAGCATATGCTTTCCATCGGCCGTCGGCCCTGTGGATAGCACAAATCATCGTTGACCAAGCCTTTGCCGCCTCGCAGATTCTCGTCTTCTCGATCATCGTTTACTTCATGACGAATCTGTACCGAAGCGCCGGTGCTTTCTTCACATTCTACCTCATGATTCTGGTAGGAAACATCGCGATGACCCTGTTCTTCAGAATTCTCGGTTGCATCAGTCCCGACTTTGACTACGCCATCAAGTTCGCCGTCGTGATCATTACTTTCTTCGTGACGACCTCTGGTTACATGATTCAGTATCAGGCTGAGAAGGTCTGGCTGCGCTGGATCTACTGGGTCAATGCGTTGGGTCTGGCTTTCAGCGCCATGATGGAGAACGAGTTCAGCAGGATCACAATGACATGCTCCGGTTCGCAGCTCGTGCCGTCCGGCCCAGGCTACGATGACATTAATCATCAGGTTTGCACCCTGGCTGGTTCACGACCAGGCACTGACCAGGTCTCTGGAAGTGACTACATCACCGAAGGGTTTTCCTACCGCCCAGAGGACCTGTGGAGAAACTTTGGCATTATCATTGCTTTGATCGTCGCCTTTCTCTGCTTCAACGTCCTGTTGGGTGAGGTGGTTAAATTCGGTATGGGCGGCAACACCTTCAGAATCTTCCAGAAGCCCAACGCCGAGAGGAAAGCCCTGAATGAAGCTCTGGCTAAGAAGCTTGAGGAACGCCAGAAGAACAGGGCCGAAGTCGATGCGGGCGGCGATATGAAATTGGAATCCAAGAGTGTCCTTACGTGGGAGAATCTTGTCTACGATGTACCTGTCCCTGGTGGAACCCGACGACTCCTCAACAATGTGTTCGGTTACGTCAAGCCCGGCGAGTTGACAGCGTTGATGGGAGCTTCAGGTGCAGGAAAGACAACGCTGTTGGACGTGCTGGCCGGACGAAAGAACATCGGTGTCATCGGCGGCGATATCCTGGTCGACGGTGTCAAGCCCGGTAAGGAATTCCAGCGATCCACTAGTTACGCCGAACAACTCGATATGCATGACCCATCCCAAACTGTCCGAGAGGCGCTCCGTTTCTCGGCCGATCTGCGACAACCCACTGAGACTCCCCGAGAGGAGAAGTACGAGTATGTCGAAGAGGTTATTGCCCTGCTGGAAATGGAGAGCATCGCAGACGCCATTATCGGATCCCCTGAGGCTGGCTTGACGGTCGAGCAGCGCAAGCGTGTGACGATTGGAGTCGAGCTTGCAGCGAAACCCCAACTTCTGCTCTTCCTCGACGAGCCGACTTCTGGCCTGGACAGTCAAAGCGCGTACAACATCGTTCGTTTCCTCCAGAAGCTCGCACGGGCTGGCCAGGCTATTCTCTGCACCATCCACCAGCCGAACGCCGCGCTTTTCGAGAACTTCGACCGCTTGCTACTCCTGAAGTCCGGTGGTCGCTGTATCTATTTCGGTGACATTGGCAAGGATGCTCACGTCCTCCGCGAATACCTCGCGCGCCATGGAGCCGTCGCTGGAGAAACTGATAACGTGGCCGAGTTCATGCTCGAGGCGATCGGAGCTGGATCATCCCCGCGTATTGGCGACCGAGACTGGGCCGACATATGGGAGGACAGCAGCGAGCTTGCCAACGTGAAGGACCACATCTCCCAGCTCAAGGAGTCCCGAAAGGCCGCTGGCGAGCAGGTTGACCTGACGCTGCAGAAAGAGTACGCGTCGACCCTCTCGCACCAGCTCCAGGTTGTCATCAAGCGCACCAGCCTGTCGTACTGGCGCTCGCCCAACTACCTGTTCACTCGTCTCTTCAACCACGTCGTCATCGCCCTCCTCACTGGTCTGACCTTCCTGAACCTCGACAACTCGCGCTCGTCGCTGCAGAACAAGGTCTTCGTGATGTTCCAGGTGACCGTGCTGCCCGGTCTGATCATGTCCCAGGTGGAAGGAATGTACCACTTCCAGCGGTCAATATTCTTCCGCGAGCAGTCGTCCAAGATGTACTCGGCCTTCACCTTCACCGCCTCCATGATCCTGGCCGAGATGCCGTACTCGATTCTCTGCGCCGTGGCCATGTTCCTGCCGCTGTACTACATGCCGGGCCTGCAGACCGAGTCGTCGCGGGCGGGGTACCAGTTCTTCATGGTGCTCATCACGGAGCTGTTCGCCGTGACGCTGGGCCAGAGCCTGGCGGCGCTGACGCCGTCCATGTTTATCTCGTCGCAGTTCGACCCCTTCATCATCATCACCTTCGCGCTCTTCTGCGGCGTCACCATCCCCAAGCCGCAGATGCCCGGCTTCTGGCGCGCCTGGCTGTACGAGCTCGACCCGTTCACGCGCCTCATCGGCGGCATGGTGCCCACCGCGCTGCACGAGCTCGAGGTGCGCTGCACCGACGCCGAGCTCAACCGCTTCACCGCCCCCGACGGCCAGACCTGCGGCCAGTACATGGAGAACTACTTCAACTCCGGCGGCATCGGCTACATCGTCAACAACGCGACCAGCAGCTGCGAATACTGCGCCTACAAGGTCGGCGATCAGTTCTACGAGCCCCTGGGCCAGAGCTTCGACAACCGGTGGAGGGACCTGGGTATTTATATCGCCTTTGTCGCGAGCAACCTGATCATCTTGTTCATGGCGGTAAGTTGTTACATCCCGAGCCCCCGGTCCCATGTTTTCTTAGTTGGATTTTGTGGGGAAACTGGATTGGCTGACATCCGTATTTCCGACAGGGTCGTTTCCTCAACTACAACAAGCGATAGTCGCACCCTACCCCTTTCTTCTCCTATCGGGATGGCTCGGGCTCGGAGTTCTCTCCCAGGTCAGGATTTATTATGGTTGGAAAATACAAGGTAATGAGTTGGTGTTGGTAATTGCGAATTGGATTGCATGTACACGGGTGATGTACATAGATTTGATACATGCATCATGCGACCATGTCTGCATAGCAAGAAAAAGTGTTTTGATGATCATGAGGAGGGCTCACAGAGGAAAGCGGGCTGGGAATTTCTGTACATGGATAATAGATATTTGTACCTAAGGCCTGCGTAGGCACGAAGAATGATCAAGTTGAAAAAACAATCTCAGCGTGTTAGATCATCACATGCATACAAAGACATCGGAGCAGCGATTGCTACCTCTCACAATGCATCCCGCCCACCGCGCGACCTCACCTTGACAAACACAGGCAACCCGCCCTCCATCGGCAACGTAAGGCTGCTCTTGCTCGCCCTCTCGCGGCCCTCGTACGCCGGCACGAACTCGAAGACCCACGCCACGGTCGCGATGACCTGCACGGCGATCAGCTCGGCCATCTTCTTGCCGAGGCACAAGCGCGGCCCGCCGTTGAAGACGGGGAACTCGCTTGCACTCTTCTGCAACACCACACTCGGCGGGTTCGCATCCCCACCGGCGGCGACTAGCCACCTCTCGGGCCGGAAATCGTCTGCGTCCTCGCCCCAGGTCAGCCTGGAGCGGTTCATTGCCCACGGGCACCAGACGACGACCGAGCCCTGGGGGAGGAACGTGCCGTCGGGCAGGGTCGTGGGCGACATGGTCTGCTTGATCTCGAAGGGGATGGGTGGATACAGGCGCAGGGCCTCGCTGAAGACGGCGAGGGTGTAGGGCATTGAGGCTGGCGTGAAGAGGGTCGGGTCCACGGGGAGGGTGGACGTAGCGGAGGCGCCCTCAGGCTGGGCGGGCTGGGCCTCGAGTGCCTGTTGGACTTCCTGCCGGATCTTGGCTAGAGTATAGCGATGGTGCATCAGCAGGTGGAATGTCCACGTCAGGGCTTGTGCTGTTGTGTCTCGACCTAAGTGGCTGACGTTAGTATGGGGTGTTTCCGGGTGGCTGCTCGGAGTCCGAGAGGAGGCGAAATACCTGCGGAAAGATAGTTGAGTGCGGCATCTGCGACCATTCCACGGTCGCCTATTGAATCAAGCAACGACTGGATTAGGCTTCCAGAAATCTTGTCAAGCTTCTCGTCTTTCTCTGGCTGACCCGAGGCGTTTGCGGTGTCTTTTGCTCCCCGTTCACGGTCCTGTATGGCAGTGTCTACGATCCGCTTACCATACGCCTTCACAATAGCAATCGACTTGCGCAGTCTCGCGCCGAAGAAGATCTCCGTGACCCGCCAGAGCGGATTCTGAACCCTTTCTGCAGTCGCACCTGAGGCGTAGTCAAAGGCAAGAGTGAAGTCGTCATCGGCGTGCATCTCCAACTGCCCGAGCGATCAGCTTAGACCGTGGCAAAGAAGGGTGGCAACATACGTTGTAAGCCAGCTTGCCCATCAGCTGGGTGGTGATCTCGTGGAAGACGGCCTGCAAGTCGGCCTCTCGCACATCTTGAGACCTAGACTTGAGGATGTCGACGCTCTGAGCCAGGTACTGGGGCAGTGCGACATCCGTGAGGACCTGCAGGTTCTTGGTGTTCAGGAAGGCCAGACCAGCCTTGCGCTGGACCTTCCAGAGCTCGCCATCCGAGTTGATGATGCCGTGGCCTGTACTTAGGCGTTTACACGGTCAGTGGTCATTCTTCAAGCAGCACGGGCTGGTGGACACGGGGACGACATTGATCTCAAGATCCCGGGGCCGACAAGGGGATCTAAACCCCGAAGACTCCGGCCCGTTAGACCGGCAGTCCATCGGCCCGTCAGCAACTCATATATTACTTACCAAAAAGGTCCCACAGGGGCTTTTTGACGAAGTCTCCTTTGGAAAAGATGGCCTCGTTCTTGAATACATAGTCCAGGTTGGCAGGGTCATTGATGACCACGCCTGGTGGGAGGCTGGGGACATACAGCTCGAAGGTCTCGTGGCCGAATATGCGCTCGCATTTGACGAACCAGGAGAAGAGCTTCTGCCGGGCCTGAAGGAACAGGATTCCATTGCCAGCAAGTGGCAGCGTGTTGGGAGGTTTCCTACGGCGTGTTAATGAGGGTTGGACGTTACAGATACACACACAGAGAGAGAGAGAGAGAGAGAGACGGGAAAGGGGTGGATAGAGTCTGCCCGTCTTACCTCAAAGGGGCCCCACCTCTCGTGATGCCACTTTTCCGAAAGATGGACTGCAGGATGAGAGCGATCAAGGCGAATCCTACGGCCCAAATGGCTGTCCAGCCGGTGAGAAACGACATTGTCACGATGATACAGTATTTGGTGGGTTTGAGCCCATCCCAGCATTGGATGCAGTGCAGTGCAGTGCAGTGCAATGTATTTTGTGCAGGTCAGATCAAGGAGAATGGACCTAGATCGACCGTGTGAGGTGAGACGTCATGATGTGTGTGACACAAAGCTCGTGTGGGAAAGAATGCCTGATGTTTGCATGCTGCCCATTCGATTGAGTGCTGACCTTGCAGGAGAGCGGGCCGCACAGTTCGATTCTCCTGCGGCGTTTTGGAACGGTGCCGATTGGGCGGCCCCAGCGCAGCTTGCAACTCTCCTTGCGAACCCCCCTACCCCTGCAAGTCTTGAGACAAGCTTGCACAGGAGGTTGAGGTGGTAGATCAGATGCAAAGCGTTCCAAGGAGTTGGAGCTGTTGGATTACGTACTATGTATGGCTGCATCGTCCCGAGGCCTACTACAAAATACCCTCGTCCTCTCAACACTCTGTCGAAACCCAGCTCTGAGTGAGCGGCTTCTCTCCCAGGTACACTCTTCGATTTCTCCATTCAGGAGAATCGAAATTGGTGCAGTCCCGACTCGAACTTACGCACAAAACCCCTTGTTCACCACCCTGACGAGAACCTCAGCAAGAGTGAGAGCGAGGACTACACACATCTCACACTCGCAAGACACGGCGCCATTATCACCAACATGGCTCCCTGGGTCCCACGATTGCATCTCTTCGAGATTGACGACCAGCCATGGTACATCCTGAACCTCACTCCTGCTCATGCCTGTCTGCACCACCAAGACCAGCCAGCTAACGCACCCCAGGTTCCCTCCCTGGTTCCGCGGCAAGGTCCAAGCCGCGCTCACCCAGACCTGGAACTCCAAGATCCCCTATATCCAGCCCGTCTCACCAGCTCGTATAGTATCCCGGCTCCTGGAAGCCCACCTCGGCGACAAGCTCTCAGACCATGTGTTCATTGACTTCTGCGCCGGCGGCGGCGGGCCCACCCCGAGCATCGAGAGGCACATCAACAAGGACATCAAGCAGCAGCAGCAGCGATCAGCAGGAGACCCCACCAACGGCAACAGCAAGACGAGATCCAAGGAGCCAGTCCACTTCGTCCTGACAGACCTGCACCCGCACATCGCCAACTGGACCGAGGCGGCCTCGCGCTCGCCAAACATGCACTTCTCGCCCGAGTCCATCGACGCGTCCGACGCCCCGCCGGACCTGCTGACCAGCCACCTCGACAGGGCCCTCCCGGACTCGGTCGTCGGCCAGGGCAAGAAGCACTTCCGGCTCTTCAACCTGGCCTTCCACCACTTCGACGACCCGCTGGCGCGGCGCATCCTCGCCAACACGGTGCGGACGTCCGACGGCTTCGCCATCTTCGAGCTGCAGGACCGCTCCGTGCGCGCCTTCCTGGCCTGCTGCCTGCTCGGCGTCGGCGTGCTGCTGTCGGCGCCGCTGTACGCGTGGCGCTGGCGCAGCCCGGCCACGCTGTTCTGGTGCTGGGCCGTGCCCGTGCTGCCCTTCGTGCTGGTCTTTGACGGCTGGGTCTCGGCGCTGCGCACCCGCACCCCGGACGAGGTCGAGGCGCTGCTGCGCACGTGTGGTGTCGATGAGAAGGAGCTGGGCCGGTGGGAGGTGCGCAGCGGGAGGGAGTGCCATTTGCCGCCTGTGGCTGACTTGAACTGGATAATTTGTACCAAGACCCGGGGTTGAGACGACTGGCTGCTGGGATGGTGATGTTGGAGGTATATACGTGAGGAGGTTGCGTGATCATAATAGGGCTACCAGATCCGCAAGAACAATAGAGTGTGACAGCCTGCTGCTCAGAGACCGCCCACCATCGTGTTCGTTTGTGAATGCGTAGTAGAATACCATCTCGTGGGATTACAACCTACGGGCGCTTATTCATCACGACACCCCCGTTGAACAAGTCAAATAAAGTGCAGTCATCCACAAGGTATGGTAAGGGTCTAAACACTATTTCTATAGGTTCACCTCGTGTCCTCTTATATGTGCAAGTAACTGTAAGCACTAGAGGCACTATCGCTATGAGAGACGTGACCACCTGCATCCAATCTTACATAGACTATAATCTTCGACTTGTGCGCACGGCATGCTCTCATTCTTTAGATTGACGTGAATGATACTAACCGGTGATACCTAAAGCATCATAGAACTACTACGCACAAGTTCACAATCAAATCTTGTGAAAGAATTTTACTCAGTTCATTCTCATTCTTATTCTCAACTACTTAGGTATCGATTGCCGATCCCTTTTGAGTACTATCAATCCTCAGAACCGTCTCTGGCATGCTTGTCTGCCGGTAATGCAGCCGCGGAGCGCGGAGCGCGTGTGCTCGTTGCTGGGCCTCAGAATAATGCAGTGTATAAGTACACTCAATCCGTGTTTAACCCGGTTGTGGTATCATTGGACCTATCGCGTGGAGCGCGTGTGCTCGTTGCGGGTCTCTGATAGGTGATCGCTCATTCTAATAAAAAGGAAAGCCACAAAGTCATATGCTGTGATGAATGTGCGTGCTCAAAACGTCACTCCCACACAGAAGATAGGAAGAAATATGGACAGGTCGAAGTTCAGAAAGAACTAGTGGGGTCAGGCAGCGACGAGCCTTAAACCACGGGTCCGGCCTTGATGACCTCCGGGGTAGCCTCTGACTCGTACTTCTTGAAGTTCTCGTTGAAGAGCTTGCCGAGCTTGGTGACCTCCTGCGTGAAGCTGTCTCCACCGGCAGTCCAGGCCTTAGCCGGGTTGAGGAGCTCAGACGGAACATTAGGGCAAGACTTGGGTACTTGCAGGTTGAAGATGTCGTAGTTTTCATACTCAACCTTCGCGAGTTCACCAGAGTGGATGGCGTCCAGGATGGCGCGGGTGTACTTCAAGGGGCAACGCTTGCCACCCTGGGCGGCACCAGCACCCACCCAGCCGGTGTTGAGCAGCCAGGCATTGGCGTTGTGGTGCTCAATCTTGTCCGCCAGCATCTTGGCGTAGCGCATGGGGTGCAGCGCCAGGAAGGGCTGGGCAAAGCAGGACGAGAAGGTAGCTTGTGGCTCGGTAACACCATCCTCAGTACCAGCCATCTTGGAGGTGTAGCCAGAGATGAAGTGGAACATGATCTGTTCACTGTTCAACTTCGAAATTGGCGGCAGCACGCCGCGAGCATCACAGGTGAGGAGGATGATGTTGCTTGGGTGGCTTGGCGAAAGGCAAGGAATCTTGGCGTTCTCAATGTACTCGATAGGGTAAGCACATCGAGTGTTTTCTGTCAGGGTGGAGTCATCATAGTCGACCAGCCTGGTCTCTGGGTCGAAGACGACGTTCTCGAGGACAGAGCCGAACTTGATGGCACCGAAAATGTCAGGCTCCTTCTCCGCCGAAAGTCCAATACACTTGGCGTAGCAGCCACCTTCGATGTTGAAGACACCATTTTCACTCCAGCAGTGCTCGTCGTCGCCGATCAGGGCTCGGTTGGGGTCGGCAGAGAGTGTGGTCTTTCCAGTGCCAGACAGGCCAAAGAAGAGGGTGACATCACCGTCCTTGCCCTCGTTTGCGGAGGAGTGCAAGGTGAGAACGTTGTGCTTGATGGGCATCTCGTAGAAGAGGACAGTGAAAATGCCCTTCTTCATCTCACCAGCATACTCAGTGCCGAGAATGACCATTTCCTTCTCCGCAAAGTTGATGGCGACGGAGGTTCCCGAAGTCATACCCTCAGTGTAACGGTTTGCTGGGAAGGAACCGGCGTTGTAGATTGTGTAGTCGGGGTGGAAGTTCTCCAGCTCCTCACGCGAAGGGCGGATGAGCATGTTGCGCATGAAGAGAGCGTGGTACGCACGGGCACAGACGACCCGCACGCGAATGCGGTACTTCTCATCCCATCCTGCGAATCCATCAACGACGTAAATTCGGCTTCTGGTGTTGAGGTAGTCGACAGCACGCTCGCGGTTGATCTTCCAGACCTGTTGAGCGAATCACGTGTTAGTCTTGTGCTTCTCGTTAATCCCGGCTGTCCGGATGTGAGAGCGGGAGACGGGAAACGCAGGAAGCGCCTTGCAGAAGTGGGGGCGGGTTTCGGCTGTGGAATAAGCGGGGTGCATGAACTGGGCCGAGGGGTTGCACTGTTGATCTCAGTGACGAGGGGCATGTGGAGAACGAGCCGCCCTTCAAAAGTGGCATCCAGCAACTTTTGCGCCGAGCAACCGCAATTGAGCAATACAGGTGGGAAAAGAGGGTATGCATTGTGGGGCCTTGGAATTGCCAATGACGTTTGCCTGATTTGTGCACGACAAGCAGTCATTTCCACGGCTGCTTTGCGGCTCCCGTCGCTCCCACGAGGCTCGTGACGACAGAGCAGGGGTTTGTCACGGGCAGCAAACAGGTCGTGTGACCAAACAGTAAAACAGCCAGGACGGTGGATTTGATGCCATAACAAAGAAAAAAAAGGAGGTAATTCCATAAAAAGGAAAACGTACGTCTGTGCTCATGGGCTTGTTCACTGGACCCCACCAGATGTCCTTTTCTGAACCGGGCTCTTGCACAATTCGCTTGTCCAGAGGTGAACGGCCAGTCTTCTTGCCCGAGTATGCAGTCAGGGCACCGGAAGATGAAATGGCTGAGCCGGGCTCGTACACAAGAGCATCTTCGTAGAGAGCGGCAACTGAAGGGTTGGGAATCTGTGACGCCCTGTTAGCGTCTGGCTCTAGATATTGTCGTACGGAGAGGCTGTTCCCAACATACAATTGCAACGCGGTCGTAGTCAATGTGCGCCTTCTCATGCAGTTCCTCCTCTGTGCCACTGGTTAGCCTGCTTGCCTCTGGTTTGTAGAATTGTCGCGTGTCGAGAGACTGGCAAGACTGTGGGTGCCATACCAAGTTCGGTGTGTTCACGGTGTGGCCTGTAGAGAAAGAATGTCAGCTGGGTTGTCCAATATGGAAAGAAATCGCGAAAGAGGGCAGACTTACTGCACACCACTAGGGTGGAGGCCGGTTTTGTTGACGGTGTTGGCAATCACTATGGACAAAATTTCAGCATAAGCTAGACTTGGAGGAGGAGTGTAGGTATGGAGAATGTGTAAACGTACTTTTGCGAAGATCTGACTGAGTACCGGAGGATAGAATCTGAGCACGAGGGCCTTGAACTTTAGGATCTGTGTAGGGAGAAGCAGTTCTCGCAACAGGATCTTGGGAGGGAGCCATGGTTCTTGTATGATTTCGGCGGATGGGTGAATCAGGGCAAAGGAAGCTAGACTGTAGTTTTGGCAGGGTTGTGTGTGTAGTTGGAGGCTTGTGAAAGTGACGAGTCCACCAAGGATGCGGGTTGGATCCAGTCTTGGGCGAGTCGAGCACGGTTACGGGTTGAAACTGGGGCCGAGTTATTCCAGCTGAGGGTCCACGATGGGATAGCGCCTGGAGCCGAGGATATATAGGATTTGGCTTGGTGGAGCCTTTAAAGCTTGACGACCGCATTCCACTGGCCAGAGAGGCCTTGAAGGTGGTGATTGGGGCTGTTTGGGTTGCCGGTTGACGAAAACCAGCCGGAGCAGTCCATCAGACACCCCTGCAAGCTTCGGGAGAGGCGTGACGGCCTTGCGTCGTCATTTCTAGACGCCCCGGAGCTGGATGTGGGCCAGGGGGGCGGGCGAGCAGACAAGGAAGACGGCAGTAGCAACTGGGACGTGGGTGTGTGTGCACGGGAGGGAGTGGTACTGGTAGTGTGGACGTTCGGGTCGTGTCGTGTGTCGTGTGTCGTGTGCTGGGTGAGGTTTAGGGGAGAAACGGTCTGGCCGGGTCGAGGGAATGGGGGAATGGGGAAATGGGGAAGCGGGCAAAACCTTGGCCTCGGAAAGGGTCTCCCTCACTTCCCTCACCCTCGCTCACGAATGCCTCGCAGGCACGGGCACAGACACAGGTACAGGTACAGGTACAGGAGGCAGGCACGCAGGCACGCAGACGGAGGCAGGCAGGCACAGGGTTGACTTCTGGGCCGACGTTGTTTCCGATCGGGACAGCACGATGCAGGCCTGATCGATGATCTGCAGCAAATCAAATTAAGAAGCTGCCATTGGCGCCTTGCCACTCACACACAGGAGCCGCAGTTGCCTTCTAAATTCAGACCAGCTACGCATACCTACATCATGCACATGCCTTAGGGTAGTATAACGAAGGTAATGGGCCGGGTAGGGGCGGCCTTCCTCCCCCATGCTGACTTCCAGAATTAGACATTTATTGTGCTATTATACACCTGCTGCAGACACCTCATTCGCCTGTAGAATTCCAAAGGCAGACAGACGCTGTTACGCTGATCTTCTCTAAAGAAAGAAAGACAGACAGACAGACACAGACACAGACACAGACCTGCGCCTGTGACAGTAACACAGTCGCAGACAGTTGCACTGTTGCTCAGTCGCTGCACAACGTGAACAGGGCTGAATGCAACGGAAATGCAATGACACCAAATGCGGAACTTAGCCGAGGCGGGTCCTATCGGAAGCCCACGAGTTGAATTCGATGGGTTTTTTGATTTCGAGACTTTGGATGAGCGATGATTGCATAGAAGACTTTCCGACCCTTGCCGTTCCCGGACATTATTCTGGAGTAGGAGGGGTACGGTAGAGGGGCAAGGGGGGTTACAATCTGGAGGAAGATCTTGGAGAAACCAGAAACCAGAACCACAGCCACGAGCGGGCGACGTGAGCCGCCTGGCGGGACCCGCTAGCGGCTGCCCCCTTGCCCTGGCTCTTCCCCAGAAATCCCCAAGCAGGCCTAGGCTAAGCATTTTCCCCCACAGGGCAGTCCAGATTTCAGACACACACACCCACCTGCCTGCTGACTCCGTCCCTCCCTCACTCCCCCCACGACGAGTTGTCGGTCTCTGCTTCTGCTTTCTTTTCACGGTTTCCATCAGTTCCTGGGCCAATTTCGATGCGAAAAGTTGGGCATAGTTCGGTCTGGTCTCAGGCTACCTGCTGGTCCGGCCGGAATTATGCCCACGATAATAAGTCGGGAGCAAACACGAAGACAGCTCGGGAGCACTGCCCCACTGCATTGTCACTTACACATGCTAACCCCGCACTGACAGGGGGGTGACGGCGGCCCCACCCACCCTCGCAACCCCCAGGGCAGCGGCCACCCGAGATATTATCGTCCCTTCCAAATAAGATAGGGGGCCTGCCGTTTCTAGACGGGCGCACTATAATAATGAGTTCCGTAATAGATCGTGTCTTTTACGAGATGGGAACGGCATTTGGGCTCGGCTTGAATCACGATGTCAATCATGCTGACGGGGTTGTCGACCTGACTGGCTGGCCTGGACACATATCCTGGCCCGGCCTGAACCAATACGATAAATGTACCAAGCAAATTCTTGGTGCAGATACTATGTACTATGTAGATGCTCACGAACAGAGTCATGGGCCTGGCGAACCACCGCCAAGCTGAGCCAGAGAACCGGGACGCATCCTGCAGGCTGCAAGGCCACTCAGACTCTTCAGACTGCCCTCGGCCCCATAGCGACTTGTCACAGCTGCATTGCCAAGTTTCGTCTGGTCCTGGTATCGCGGCCGCTTCATCATCCTCAGTCCGAGATATTCCCTATCTGACATCACCCATCCCGCAATCCCGCCCATTGTCGATCCCCCCTCAGGTCCAGGTCCAGGTCCAGGTCCAGCTCGCTGGTCTCGGCAACCCCAGATGCCAAGCAGCGTCCACCTCGCTCACCTTCACTCCGCTCACCCGGCACTTGGCATTAGGAGTCGGCCCCGTTTGGAGACCTTGAAACGTGCTTTGCCTCCGACTTCAGCCGACTTCAAGTCTACCTAACTACCCCGGCCACCGACGACAGACATGACAGCCGCGCAAGCCTGGGAAACTTTGTGCGTGCAGAGTACCTGCATCAGAGCGGCACGATAAACTTCCTCTTCGACTCGCTGAGTTTCAAGTCTTCCCGTGTATTGTTCGCGGAAGTAAAAACTAAAGCCGGTGAGATATGCCTGTGCGGCGAGAAAACCCGATACGTCGTCGCCAGGTTGCAATCTTCAAGCAATGTCCGGACTGGCTTGTGAACGACCTCGACCACCGTGTGGATAAACTTCTCGCCCCCAAATGACTGAACCATTCTGGCTACACATCACTGCGTTCCGAGCCATGAAGTGTGCGGGACGATCCGTTCCGTATAGTCCCAGCATGGCTTCCAAATCAATACGAGTTCATATCTGTCCCGTAGACTTTGGCGCGTGCTCTCCCGGCCGGGCTGGCCTCCCAACGCCCAGCCCCGTCACCGGCTCGAATTGTCGTTCATCCCCGGACCGCCATCTCCCGAGGATTTCATGCGCAACGGCGGTGCCTGGTGCATGCATCTTCGGATGAAAGCGACTCTAAGCTTTCACGTACCGCCCGTGCTCTTGACTTCCTCGATTCGTGCGACATCGCGTTTTGCACCTCCGTAGATCTGCTTTTGCTAATACGAATCAATTCCGATGAGTCGTATTTAATCATTTTGAACACGGAATGCGACATTCGTTGATAGATCAACGAAAAAGGCGATACGTTAGCACGAAAGCAGGAATCACGGCAGTACTTGTGACGACTCGTTTTGAATCTTAATTTATTCAATGCCTAAATGCTTACTTCTTGCCTATCTTGAACACACGACACGGAATCTCCTCTACCTCACCTTCCTGACTTGTTGTATTTTGGATCAACCTATGTAGTCCCACTCCCTCGGTCTCCCCTGGCAGTACTCTCGAGTCAGCCTGCCTCCATTCCTCCACGGCCTCAACCCCGACTTGGGCTCATCTGGCCGCGGGTTACCCTCGTAGTACTGGCAATCAAAAACGTGTTCTCCATGATGAACAAGCCCGCAGTTTGGGCAGGTCATAGTTCGGCTCATGTTGATAAAGTACTAGTCTGTTCTTCTAGTTGACTTTTGTACTGTTGACTGTGGTGAGATTTTTTTGGGGGAAGACTAGGAGAGAGAGAAGAGAATGGACTAGACAGAAGTGGCGGCTATATATATTGCATGAAAGATTGGTGTGACTGAATTCGAGAGCCTCGTCACATCATGGAGCAAACACAGCCAACGTGAGATTGAATCGGGCTCGATGGCCGACGTTAGCAGTGAGTGACACAAGGGCAGTCATCCCGCGAGAGTCGACCTCGTCACTACTCACACTTCGAGGATCGATTAGTACAACAGTCGTAGGAGGCCCTCCGAGTACGACAAACCCAGAAAGGGGGGGCGGGGTTCCTTGGAGCCAAAATACTCACTGTAGAGTCTGGCCAATATTCGAGGAATCTGATGCCCAAAGGACTTAGGAGAGCTATAGATGCATGAAAACCGACAGCCCACGGTAAATAAATACAGGTTCAAGATTTTCCTGGAGTCTTCAACTGCTCAAGGAAGTCCTACACAAGATTCTGTCCCAGTATGGTATGGGAATACTATCGATTGCGCAGCGCTTTGATCTGCCCTGAGTAGGAAAACAGAGAAGAACTGTGTAAGTTTCTTGCCTCGTCAAATGCCGAGGGATCCATCCTCTTGAAGTGATATGCATTCTACAGCAGAGGACGATTCGATTTCTTGCGATATGTCAGGAACATGGTCACTTCGCACCATCAGATAAGGGTTATCAGTCTTAGGCAATTGCTACAAATGATTTAATGTCTCATAAGACATTCCAGGATGTTATTCTCATTTGAGCGTGACTTTTACAGACTGTTTGCATGAGACATCTCCACAGTCCTCTGGTTCTCAACCACCGAAATGCTGAAGCCACCGACAGCGTTCTCTCAATATCAATTGCCTGATCAACCAAGATCATACACCATCCAAACATTCCCACCTTCCCTCTCACCACCCTCATACACTCTAAACCCAACCTTCTCATAAAACGGCACCACCTTCTTATTCTCTCCAGCCACACCGATATGCACTCCCTTCCCACAATCCAGCCAGCCCTCACCCCCTTCAACACCATCCTTCACGCTCGCCATGAACCTCTCAATCATCTTCCTCCCCCACCCCTTCCCTTGCCACCCCTCCAGCAAATCAATATGCATCGTGGCCCTGAAATCCCTCACAAGCTCCGCCTTGCCCTGCACCCCCTCAAGCAACAACCACCGCGGACTATGCGCCATCTGCGCGAGGCACTCCTCGTTGATCCCCCCCTTGCCGCCATCACCAGGCACGAGCCACGGCTCCAGGCGCGCGAGCTGCTTCGGCACGGGCACGCCCGAGGTCTCCGCGGGGGCGAGGATTTCGCTTATGTAGCGCGGGTACGCGTCCGCGAGGGCGAACACGTCCGCGCAGCCGATGACGTAGCCCACCGCCGCGCCGGAGCCGTCGTCCAGGACGAAGCAGGTCGCTGGGGAGAGCAGCGTGTACTGGTGCGTCCAGATGTACGGCGCGAGGCGGGTGGCTGGCTCCGACGCCGCCAGGGTTGGGGGCAGGGTCGCTCGGCACTGTTTGGTTCGTCACGGGTGGTCAGCGCGGGTGTATTGTGGGAGGGTTCGTGTGATGGAACGTCAGGTGTCTTGGGTGGCCATAGTCAGGGAAGGAAAGGAACAGGTGAGACGCTGGAAGAGTCTTTGCTCACAATGTGTGCGGTTGCAGCAAAGTCTGAGGACTTGTAAGGACGAATAAAAGCCGCCGCCATAATGAGATGAGACGCTGGGATTGCGTGGAGGCTCGCTTTGCTGCAGAAGAATTGACTCTCGCAGAGGCCCTGTCTATTCAGAGTCTGACTAGCTTTCTACGAATGAATTAATATACGAGAGGCATAGACGATAAGATACCTCGGAACTAACCGCCCCACGCGGAGTGTTAGAAAGCTGCTACGTCTTGCCTGTTTTGGATTCTTGGGCTTATGTCGGCGGCAAAGGAAAAGGGCGTATTGACCGTCGACGGAGCAAATTGGGGAAGATACCACCTCCACCGCTGAGGCCCAACTTACTTTCCGTAAAACGTGTCGATGAGGCCGGCCGTGCCATAAGGCAATCTAGGAATTCAGGTGCCCTCGCACCAGCGACGCAAAGACCGTGCGATGTTCACTGCTCGCACGAATATAAGCAGACAATGATAGGAGCGAAAGAACAAATAGACGCCTAGGAGGTCTTTAACTAAGCATGTACACAAATTCTCTGGATTCGTGTGCCCTAGCAACTACTAAATAAGAATTATGACCATCTCGGCCTCGCAGCATATTCGTGGCTTGACGGGCACCTCGGCCACCTGTCCGAAGCAATAGAAGTTAAGACGTGGTATCGATATGCGCTTCATCCTGTGTGCCTCGCCCCACCTGTAAGGCTTTCACACTTCCTCGAGCCGACAAATGGGCTAAAACCGATCCGAAAGACAGTGACCACTCTGCTCCTGATTGTCCTATGTCCCAACTCCCCTGGTTCCGGGACCCGCGCCAACCGGTGCGAAGGCAACACCCGGAGTGTCCATTAAGTGAAGCAAGGAAATGAAGAGTAAAGGCCAAGATGTCCTTTAGCGTACTATACAAATAGGTATCTCAGTCTCATAGGCCCTTTTATGAAAAGCAAAAATCGACGCCACCCATGCCGTGCCGTGCCGTAGAAATCGGTTGAACTGTTTATTTGTGGACCACAAATTGCTGTCGTGGATCCCGTATGTTTTTTCCTTGTTTGGATTATGAATAGATTTGGGTACACAGATCACGGCGAATTGTTTAGAACATCCCACCAGGCATGTTGGGCGAAGGGCCGCGCATAGTGGATGTGATCACGGCTCTTCCAGCTGGCGGTCCAACCGCAACCTGAGGCGGGGCGATACTGGCCCGAGCATCGAGTTTGACCTCGGAGCTGGCTTTCCTCAGCAATTTGCGAGGTCCTTGCTTCTCATCGTCGCTGACTGAGAAGGCACTCTTTCTGTCTTCGGTTGACGAGTCCGCGAACGGGGCCACTGGCGGCCTTGCCAAAGGCAAATGGGGCGTGCTCATGCTGAGAGCAGTGTCATCTGCCTCAGGATTGTTACGACCCATTAGTCCGTTGATGATAGTCCGCGTCCGAGAGCTCTCACGCTTGCGCCTGGGATTGACTGGAGGCAGTGGTGGTGGCGAGCCACCGTTGGCATTGCTGTCTGATCTTGACCTGGACTGGCTTCGAGATCTGGCCTCTCGAGCGTCTGTAACAGACATGGTCGGGACTCGGCTCGTTGACATGATAAATGTTGGCTCCGAAATATCGCTCTTATTAATGACCCTTTTCATTGAATCATTGAGTGTACTCGTTGTCGTGCTTGATTGTGCGATCGAAGGCCTCCTCGGGGGAGCGTACGTTGGTGTTTGAGGTGCTGATCCAGTTGTCTCGGTAGGCGAGAAGACGCCACGAGCTTGCTCAAACGGCCCGCTCCGAGGAGAACGCGGCGAAGCTCCAGCGGACAATGGCTCATTACCTGTCCGGAGGGGTAGGGCTCTTAGATTAGTTCCAGAATTGGTCCTGTCGAGGAATGGGCCAGGCACAACCGACTGTGCTCCACTGGTAGCGGACCTCATCGGGGGCATATGAGGCGAGCGTCGGATATCAGTGCCTGGCAAGCCGGGGGAGCGTAGCTTGGGTCTGAGTGCTGTTGTCGTATTGAGCTTCTGATTATCGGGCGAAATCGTGTTCTCTCTCGACCTCTGCGCCGGCCTGCTTCGCGATCGGCTTTGGCCAGCACTGTCCTCAGAGCCGCTTCGATCTCTTGCAGTTCTCGTCTGTGACCGAGGAGGTGGCTGTGGCACTCCTGTATTGCTATGCTCCTCACTGAACTTTCGCTGCTGGCCAAACTTGGCAGACTGATGTTCCCTACTAGGTGTACGGGCGAGGTCGTGGACGCCTTTCTCTGGGGCAGGCGAGTTCGTGGACTGACCATTGCGTGGCGAGTGTCTCGCCATAGCTTCGAGCTCCTTGCGCTTCTGCAATTCGCGCCTCGCCTGCCTGAACGCACGGAGGCCAGGATGTGCGTTGGCTTCCTCCTTTAGTTCCGCGTCTCCGTCCTCTTCTTCAGGCTGTTCCTTGATCTCGACCGGCGTCCTGCGATCCTGCTCGTCGAAGTCCTGCTTTACAGAACTTGGAGGGGTTGGCATTGTTACCGCGCCTGTTCCATTCATCTTGTTGGGCCTGGATGTGGCGTCCCGACCTCGGTCAATCAATGAGCCTCGGCTGCCCTTGCCTCTCAGAATCCCTAGGGGATTCGAGCGAGATGATGGTGGAGGCAAGTCTCGAGCTGAATCTGGTGGCGACTGCGGTGACATGGAGAGAGTGTTGTCGGTCTCAACAAAGGAAGTAAGCTTTTCCCTGACACGGCGCCGCGCATTCGCCAACTGATTGGCGAATTCATCTTCCTCATCTGGAGAGTGCGGCGACTCTGAGAGACTGCCTGGCTTGCTGCGATCGCTGGACCTAGGTGCTTCCTCGTGGTGGGAAGACAATGTTGGCTGTACGCGAGGACTGCGCTCGCTCTCCTGGCCGCTGGATGTTGTCCAGTCTTGGTCCTCCCATGGGCTCTTCGTTGCTGTCATTGGTTCCGGGTTCTCCTGAACGCCAAAAATGGACGAAACGTCACTTTCAGTACGCAAGTGTTGCCGAACCAAACCACCCAGTCCGGAGGTTGGTCCCAGAGTGGGCGAGTCTCCTAGCATGACTTGTTTGGGTCTGACGTTGAGCAGATCAGTATGACCACTGAGAGGCGATTGCGACTCATTAGGTTGTTCTGGGATAGAGAGCGGTGTTGGGATAGCGGAACCGCGTAAAGCTGGGTGGTCTTGATCGGCTGGTCGTTCTACCCTGACTTGTGGAGAGAAGGCTGGTTGGTGGACAAGATCATTCAAAATAGGTGATTCGACTGGATCAGCTCGAGGGGAGCCTTCAACGGAGCCTTCCTTCTGAGTTGACATGGGAGAGGCCTTGATATCTGCATCCTGCTGTCGGTTGGAGGCTACTGACTGAGACCGAGAGTAGGTGAATGATGTACTCGAGTCTTTTCGGGAGCGCTGGGTTGGAGTTTCTCGGCCTTGTTTCAGTTGGAGCTGTCGTTCAGCATACCGGGAGTCATCATACGGCTGGGCTGGTCTCTGAAAGACGCCCATGGCAGTTGCCTTGCCAACATCCCTCGGTTGAATGGCAAGGTTCGTTTGATCACTGGCACTATGATCGCTGATCGGGGGGCTCAGGGGTGGAGACGACAGGAAAGATGTTTTCGTGTCAATGGCATTTGACGCCTTGGTGTTGAGGTCCAATGTGCCGATTGAGGATCCGGTAGTTGGTGGGCTCATGGACCTCAAGTTTGGGGCGCTACCCTTGGACAAGATGGTCCGACGCTCCCCAAAGCGGTCGGAAAAAGAGTGCATCGTCGGGGACGGCGAATTCTGTCCCAAGTCCGGAGTCCGCACTCCTACAGGCCGGCGAGTTAGAGTGTCGACCCTCGACAGGACGGAGTGTTGCTGTTCTTGTAGATCTTGCGTCAATCCCTGTTCATAGAGTCTCCTTGTCCGTGTGACATGTCGTTCTAGAGCGGGCGTGGAGGTAGCTGAGGATGCCGCAGTTGTTTGTTGCGAATGAAGCGTGGTAGGCTGCGAGACGACGGAGGTGGCAGCAGTCGAGTTGCGCCCGCCAGAGGGAGTCGAAGAAGTCGTTGAGGACGTCTCACGTTTTTTGTTATAGCCCTGAGGCAATGGAGACTCTGCCCTTGTCGCGAAGGGCGAGTCCTCGACTTGTTTTGACTCGTCGCCTACCTCCTCACCATGAATGTCGTTGTCTTCCCCATTGAGGTGAGTTCGGTCCTGATCTTTTTCAGCCAGTCTCCATTTCTGGAATGCAGACATGGCCAGATCGTCACCATACAGCGCCCGGCCGCTCATACCGTCACCTAAATTTCTAGATGAGGAAGAGCCAACTGCGATCTTGTAAATCTTCTGCCTTCCGCCGAACATGACATTGCCCTCTGTAGGCCGTGCCCTAGTCAAAATTGAGCTGGAATCCTCGGAAGCAGTAGAGTCAGTACGCAGGAAAGGTGGTGCCTTGATAGATTCAACCTCGGCGATATCACCAAGAGTTCCACCAGAGCCGAAGTTGAAGTCATTTAGTCTCGAGTGTCGCTTGGGTAGCAACACGCTGTCATCGCTGGCTTTGCCGATCTTGGTACTGGGGTCATCCTGTTCGCGGAGCATAGAGAAGCGAGCCGAGAGTCCGGACATCAGGAGACTCGTGCGGAAATCGTCGCTCGAGGGCAATGCAGTTGCCAGGTCGATTTCCTTCTTCTCTTCCTGCTCTTGTGATTTCTTTTTCCGTCCGAAAAGGGAGAAAGAAGACTCGGACTCGAGGGACGGACGCGCGGACGCTGCGTCATCCTTGCCCTTCTTCTTGGTCTTGAATCGGTTCATCGTGAAGGTGATGCTCTGCTCGGTCAACAGCAGTGGCTGGGAGGTGTCGTAGTGCCTGGTAGGCTAAGGTGTGACGAAAATTGCCGTCTTTAGAAGGTTCCTTCCATCAATTCAAGTTTCGCATCGCAGAATGATAGGTAATGTAAGGACCGTAACCGCTTAAACTCTGAGAGAGCGGGAGTTGGACTGGAAATCAGACGAAAACGAGATCAACGCAGGTAGATCAACGCTGGTAATCCGACGAACTGTGACCGTGCGATATGGTCAGCTACCAAGACTAAACGTCAGCGAAATGTAGAATCAATATTTGAATGAAGCAGATGCAGCAATCAAACAGAAGTGGTTGCTGCTCATATGATACAGCCCAAGCCTAGCAGGAATGCCCAACGAGAGCGCATAGCCGCTCATTCTGCACGACGAGACTCACAGGCACCATCCTTCCTGCCAACCAGACAGGCCTGGGACACATGCTTGGGGTTAAGGCTAAAACGTGGGGATAATGTGTGTTGTGGGTGTTTGCTCACATTTGTGTGTAGCCGGTGTCGGATGCGTTTCAAAGGAGCAGGAGGGAACCTGGTTTGACAGGACGGTGCGCACAGAAGCAAGTGGGCTTCAGGTTGCGGATCCTTGCACCGAACAGCTGAAGAGATATGGACACGATGACAAGTTGACGAATCCAGTGGCCCTTGTCGTTAAAAAGTCGACTGGTATTCCAATCGACAATGATCGCAAGGTGTTGGTGGTTGTGCGTGGTGGAGAGATGACGAGGTGGTGGTGGTGACAGGCAGAGACAGGCGAGTTGCACCAAAGAACCGTGTTCGTGCGCGAACCAAACTGGCGACAAGAATAAGACGTGTTGTAGCACGCCCAAAAATTCGCAGCCGTGAAGAATGGAAATTGGTGAGATCACAAGCTGGAACGCTCACATGCCAGAGAGGGCTCAGGACGGGCTGTCGTTGGCTGATTCGCCGTGGGGCATGAGAAAGGTTGTCTCGGTTTGCCGTGGAGTGACAATCGGATCCGATGCTTCGACTCGGAGGGACGATTTCGTCTGGTGTCGTCCTGAAAAGGATGAGAACGAGTGTTGGTGATTTGTCAAGAAAGCGAGCGAAGTGAATGCGACTGGACGAAGTCGAGGCCAACAGCGCTTCGGTTGGACACACGACAAGTACCAAGAAAGTCTGTCTGTGTCTGATGTGGCCGTGATTCACTGGAGAGAGGGAGGAGAGAATGGCAGCGACCAGCAGTTCCTGGACCGACAAGTCGCACGGACGAAAACGAAGGTTGGGGGGCGAGTGTCGACAGGACAGTGAACACACAGCGTGTCACGAAGGCGGTACAAACAAGGACGGGAGAAGGGAAAAAAAGAGGGACGGTGGTCAGGGGAATTCCATTGACGAAAAGGGACGTAAAGGGACGACTACACGGCCCAGAAGGAGAGGAAACCGGCCGGGGAGATTGAGAGACTTGAGAGATTGTCACTCGAAAAATGAGAAGATGCAGGCGCGACCGGACATTGGATTGCCACTTGGGAAGACGTCGACGTGAGTGGTTCGGGGAACGCTGTGGGGCTGAACAGGGGGCAGTGGTAGCACCTTCCTGGCGGCCTGGGGGGACTTGGGTGTCAGAGCGGCAAGGGGCAGGGGTTCTACCACCGCACCTAGGTGCTAGCCAGCAAGGAGCAAGGCAGGCACAGGCAGGTACCCATAGTATCAAAGTATCTACTATAGTATCATCATAGCACCGTACCTGGATCCCATAGTAGTCTACGCAAGCACCAGGGTGGTAGGAGGCCCCGAAAAGTACTGTTTAGGTAGGTAGGACAACGGCGGTGGGATCAATCCTGTATGCAGTCCTGTGTCCTGAGGCCTGCGGCCCTGCAGTCTCGTCAGACCCCGAAGACCTCAAAAATCTCCATCTACTGTATTGTACTGTACAGTACAGACCCATCTTCATTTACACAGCCTTGCCCTCGCTATATAACGCGGAACTATCACACACTTTGGATGAAACATATCGTCTTTGCTTAAATCAACACGTAGCATAACTCTGTTTGTTCCAGTGCAGTGCTCGGCTCGTGTGGATCTGGCCTTGCATTGGTCCCTGGCATACTTGGCCCCTCCATGTCTCCTCCTCACTGCCACGTCTCGTCCCATGAAGCGCCTGCATCACCTCTCTTCCAGAAGTACCTACAGAAGCCATTCCTTCCGCACCTGAAACATGGGACGAGAACGGATTGATGACGTTGGACGCAGCAAGCAGCCGCAGGTCCTCCAGACGTCTGACATACATCCCACCTGCACCGGCAGAGGCAAACCCTTCAGTTGGACAAGCTGACAGGACGCCGCGTTCCTGCAGGACAGACCTGCATACATATTTCGGCATATGCAGTAGTAGCGGTGCCACTAAAGCAGTCAAGATCCTGCCGTCTTCACCTGCTTGCTATGCTCTTCAAGGGCGATCGGCATCATCTGCGGCTGGGAGATCTGATTCTTATCTGCTTCTGCAGGGCAGCCGGCTTTTACTGTACTTGTCTGGCCGACTTGACTGTCGGATTGTCTGCCAATCAGTCAGCCAGTCTAGATCTAGTCTACCACTGCTTGGACTTCAGACAACCAAGACGGTCACGGCGCGCTGGGCTTCGCTGCCTTGGCATCGCATCGGGCCCCACCCAGCAGCTTTTTGTTCTTTGCAACTGAGGATCCAGTAGCTCTTTTGTGATGGTGAGTGGCAAATTCCCTCTCAGCAGTCAGTCAGAGGGCCGTGAGCTGATCCAGCTGGTGCATCGTCTCACGGCTGAGCCGAGCCAAATCAGTCCGGCACCACTTCAGCGCCGCTCTCACGATACTGCACTGACAGCGCCTGAGAGATTGTCTGTCTCGGGGCCGACCGTGTATCGTACCGCATGGCACTTCGCGTCCCCCCTCCCTTGCAGCACCGCGTTGTCAGATCACTTCCTGAAGTGATGTGCTGTTTTGGTCTCGGGATCGGGACAGCAGACAAACGGCTCGTACAGGTGCCGTTCGGGGCCCGCCAGCACGATGAGCAGATGCAGGTTCCGAATGAACTCTGATTAAGTTCGCCGAGCGAACGGCGGTTGATACTTGACAATCGCTTTGCTGCTTCTGCTTGCCTCAAACAGATGCAAACCCCTGAGATCTGCATCTGTGCGTCTGCAAGGGGCCAAGAGGTCGGGTTGCAGTGGTCTGGGCCGCGAGCCAATGATGGGCCGGTGCCTGAGCCCCCAAATCAGACAAGCGCGAGGTGTGGGCAAACGGCGTGGACCACTTTGGTACGCGGTGCGGCCCTGGGAAGGCTTGCGGGCACGCCCTGCACTACGGGTCTGCCTCTCTGGCCCCTTTCCCTCCTGACGTGAAAGCCAATCAAAGCAAATGATCGGGCTCGGAGCAGTCCAGGGATTCGATGTTGCACATCATGGCCGCCAGGAAAGGGAAAACCTGTCAAACTGCCTGGGCCGTAACAGTCACAGCACCCCGTCACATTTCATCTCCAGTATTGATGATCGGCTGTGAATGTCTCCATTTGACTTGATCGGCAGGCTTTCATACTAAGGTTCTCCTTTACCCAACTCAAAAGGCTGATTTGCAAGCAAAGTGATGTGGCATTCGAGTGACAAGAAATGCCATTTTCTACCCAACTCACAGCTACTAGACAATAGAGCTATGCGGCAGACTGATGGCTCAGCCGGCCTGCTTCATCGTAGTATACGATGAATCCGTGCCACATGAACAAACTCATGCCACGACCAGCTATCGTCAAAGATCATCCAACGGCTTGGCTCGAAGGTTGTTTGCCGCCGGACGGCTGGGAGCCGTCACGGCTCGACAAACGTGGGCCGCCGGGCTGGGGATCCCCGTACGCCAGAGCCACTGCCCATTGCAAGTGGGTGCCGACATGGTTCATCGGACAAGACTTGCCAGACATCAGACGAAAGATAGCCAGTGCGTCTCCAGCTTCGAGAAGCTTTGCTTGTGTCAGAATGGACGATCCGGCACGTATGATCCCTCAAACAAATGCACATCGCACAGTGTCCAGTTTCGACAGCAGTGAACCAGTGAGCGTAATTACTACGGTCTGATTGTGATCCGCCCCGGTGGAGGCTTGTGCTTTTTGCCCCGAGTCGACACGTGGAAATGCCCCGGTGAAGGATTCGGGAACCGCCTGGGCCCCAGTATCACAGATTTATTCAATTGTCATCAAGATTTAGGGATCATCTCATTGTGATGACGGGCGACAGAACAACAAATTGCGTATGTTCTAGGCCTTCATGCTTTCGTACATGCACAGATACGCTGTTCGCCTCGCACAACGCAGCTGTCGCTACCCGTGTGACGAACGGTCTGGGCTTGCTTGTAACTGGAGGACCTTGAGCAGGCTTAAGCTGGGATTTCGATGGAATCACGGGATTCTCCCTGATGTCAGACGGATAAATTCGATCGCCCCACATGTCAATTGATTGGAGCCCCTCGGCGACAGGAGACAACCCTGTACAGGACCCGCCCTGGGATTAAATCGAGATTCTATAGGAAGTTCCGACAGAATCTCGCTTGAGACAGGTCGAATGAAGCAATCTCCGCGTCCTCCGCAAGCCGTCATTCGTTCTTTTAATGATGCAGAATACAGGTGATGGTGACGAGTCCACTATATCACAACGCGGGGCATCAACCGACGGATGGCACAAAGCTCGCCAGCTTGTTGCTTGACTGGCTTTCGAACGAACGTTGGCGACGTCCGCGGAGGCACACGCCAGTGTTTCGCCTGGATGCAAGCAGTGAAGTTTAACCCCAGTGTGAGTAAAAATTTGTGATATTATATGAGTCCTCCGACGCTAGATTGACTCGACAAATCCACATATCATTTGCAAAAAGGTATTATGGTTCTGACAATATATTATACCATCTTGGGCCTATCGCGTCACAATCTTCGGACGAACCAGGACGCGCTCCCACTCCTAGGCGCGAACAACCTTATTTTTCCCGCTTTCTATTCGCCCAGGAAGTGCCTAGGGGCGGGTCGTTCAAGTTCGGTTTGTGGACAGACGCAATGAAGATCTGGGTTGCACGCTGTCCGTGTCGTGGCGCTACATACGCCCTAGTCTTCATCCAAACTAAAGCCGTTATACTTCCCACGGCATCGGCACATCGAGCTTGTTTCCAGCGCGTCGGATGGGCCTACCTCGCCCTACTGCACGTTCCGGCGGTTTCGGCCACCCGGCCTAGCTCCACCCAGAGTCGAATGTCGACCTCGGGGAAACCCTTGGGCTCCCACGAGCGAGCCGTCGCACACACGGGCATTGTGCTCGGTTGCCGCCAAGTCGTGCGACCATGGCGTTCGTTCAGCAGCCACCCAGAAACAAGCCAGCTGAGGCTGCTTACACTGCTTCCCGATGGCAATATAACAGGCGGCGGAGTCTGGTCACGGGGCGCACAGGTACATGCCTGGGTTACTTAGCTCGGCAGGAAACTGGTATGGGTTAGTCCAGCTGGCACGAACGCGACTAAGACAAACGCGTTCCAGGTTTCCTGCGCGTCTATTTGACGACGCATCTCCTTTCCTAGGTTGCCTTAGTTCCGCATGCCATCGCCACGACCTCGTATCGTAGGGTTCCAGCCGGGCAGCTCTCGGCAATATCGTTCTGACAAATAACGCCGCTGTTGCGGTGCGCCCCTTTGTACACAATCTTTGTGCGCGATTATGTAGGAGGGACTGAGAGCGCGAATAGCATAACATAGAGGACCTCACTGTAAATCAGGCCTCTGCGGCGTTCACAATGCGCTGATCAAGTCACCATGTCATCTGGAATCACCCAGCTTGACAATCGAGGCTCTTGCCAGCACTGGAATCTCTGTCCAAGACTGAGCAGGCGTGACCTGGCCGTTGCTATAATATGGGACTTCTTCCAATGTATGGATCTTGAAGCAATGTCTCAATCGTAATGATTAGGTGCAATATCGGCAAACATTCACGTTGCAATTCGAACTTGACCTCCCCTCAGCGCTTGCCGGGGCCAGATGCATGTGTTGAAGATCAAAAGCAAATATTGGACTTTGGCCAAAGGTCTTCTCTTTAAATTTGACATCCGGATACGTGCTTTCTTCTATTTCTTGATTACGTGCTGTTATTCAGTCACTGTGCCTCTGTGTATATAATGTCCATCAGTTTTGCTGAAGTCATCCTGCCACAATCGAAGCACCAGTCCCTGAATCCAATTGAATCTTCTGAAGGCCTCGACTTTGGTTGCGTTACGCAGCGTAAGTTGGTTGAGAGCCCTGTCACTCCGAAAGGGACCACTTCTAGGTCGTACTTTCCCATACATGGACGCAGCTTCAACTTTGGGTTTGTAGCACAAAGAACTTGTCCTCACCTGGTAAAGCTGTCCTTGATTTCTTCTAGGGCCAAACTGTAATGGGTTCATTCTCCGTGGCCGGATTTGACTGGATGTGATTCATTTCATGTAGCAATTCTCGTGTTTGATCTGCAACTCTTGACTTGATTCCCAGATCTCGACCATCAACGGATTTTAACTCGCCGCAATATTGCGCTAGTTGAGGTTGACATTATTGTGTATCGTCACGTAGCCTCGCTGACCGCCGCCTGGACTTCCTATTTGACGGTGTCAGCATTTACAGTTGTCGTTCGTAGCTACATAATTCGAATCATACTCTAGAGGATATGGATTTGTCCACCTTTTTTTGTAGACAACTTTCACCGAGTCGATGGATCTAAAGCCTGTAAATATCTAGTGCCCAGTTGTTCTACTTCGTTGTGAACCTGTGGTGGAGGAAGCGATGGTGATTGAGATCATGAGGTAACCCGCCCACGTCAATAGAATCCGATGATTTCGAATTTGAGGATGACGAGAAGATCGTGTTTCATTTTGCCTACTTTAAGCGTTCGTTCTCTTTAGATGTTCTAGATTGACAGCAGTATTCGAAGCGGCTGTGGTGAAAGTGTTATCTCACGCAGTATCGAGTTGCCGCATTTCAACCTCCTTGTTCACAGTTTGCGGCGTGGAAGAAAAGTCAGCATAGATTAAACGCAGAGATACAAGGGACGGTGGAATTTGATTGAGGCGCCGACATCGTAGTAATAGTTGTCAAATTGGTTGGGATCACGAATCTACTCACGAGGAGCAAGGAGGAAAGAAAAGGAAAGGAGAGGAAAGGGAAGGGAAGGTAGCAGGACGAAGCCAGTGTTCATGGGCTTCTTCATAGTGAGTATAATGCTCCGAGAACAACCTACCAGGGGGAAGGGGGGTTTTTGATAGCATAATGATAGAATATCAATTGAATACCAACATAGTATTGACATATAAGCAAGATTTTGACAGTATTAATTTCTGTATGTCTGTCTTTATTTGTGCGTTGTTGATATGGAATTATTGTTGATATGGAATCGTTGTTGATATGCTTTGATATGATATCAACTACAATATAAAATCCCCAAAAAAAGCCTATTACAAGCCTTTTAAGAATTTGTCCCCTACCCAACTTTTTATTACTTTTTTTCTAGCTTGACTATATACTATGAAATGAGCTATGGAATTATGGAAATATTTAAAAATAGAAATATTTTAAAGTTTATAAGGCTACTTTGGATATGTCTTGATATGCGTTGATATGAAATCAATCTTGATATGATATCGATATAATATTAACCTTTTGATTGGATTTTTCTTTTGCAATGATTTGTTAGTCTTTTACAAGCATTTTGTTATTATTTCTAAATTTTGATTTAATGTTAATATTATTGCAGCAGACCTATTCCGCAGCGTGCATTGCAAGACCCAATCAGAAACCCCCCTTCCCCCTGGTAGGAACTTACACATTGAGCCTTAACTGCATAACCTGAGGGCCTTGCAATGCGTAATTGAAATGATGACCGGGGGCAGATTAAAAGAAACCCACATTTTTACAGACGACAAATAAAATCATATGCACTATCCATGCTGCAGAGTGACTACAATACTATAAACTCACACGAGTCGATGTTATCTTTAGTACCTAGGTACTTAAGTATGCAAAGTTTTCTTGACGAGTCGTGGGCGGCTCTTGCTTTCGCGAGCCTCAAGCTTCAAATCATCATTACTCAATTAAATGTACAATTACAGATATACGCTGCATTGCGTCCAGAATGATGCAATGGCAATGCTGCAGAGTAGAATTCTTCCCTCTATAATTTGGCCTTTTGCAAATTTGACTCCGCCACAGAGGAACCCTCACTCCATTCTACATCCTTCTGATGATCCATTTTCCCCAACTCAATATCATGCACGTATGGGCCCTTCAGATGCGCGTTCCACGGGTCAATTCGGTCCCGGGGCTCTCGAGCCTCGTCCAGCTCGACATAATTCTCTTCGCGAGTGACCGAGATTTCGTAGGTGACGAATATCGTTCCCCAGTTGAACTTCATGACGGGCCAGAATACTGGCAGAGAAGCACAAACTGTCGCGAGACTGACTTCTAAAGCGGCTAATACGATCGCGCCGCAGCCGTACCAGCTTGGGTCGTATGTCGGGAATATACCCGCTCTGGTATCGATAATATTGATGAGTCGGAAAAGAGAGAGAACATTCACACTGTGGGTAAGCCACGTCAGAACAAGTGATGACATAAAATTTGGATCTCAAACGCTGATGATATGTGGCTCGGACTTACATTGAGCCAAGAGAGAACAATCCCATCAAGCTAGCCTGAGACTTCCAGCTCAGGTTTGGTTGAAGGTAATATGACACAGGAATAGCCAAGACAATTAAATCAAGGACCATATTTGTCGATGTTTGCGCAAGGGAAGCGGCCACAACGCTGCCCGGGTCCAGGCTTGCCAATCCGTATCTGACTGCAGTCGTGTTGTTGAAGTCCCAGTCAGCCGACACCGGAAAAGCGGGAAACCAGCTGATGAAGGAGAAAGCGAGACCCCACAGCGACACAATGCCGATCATGACGAGTGTCGTTTGCCTCAGTATCGATTTCGTCTCGTCGAAGAGTCGAAGATATTGGAAGAGAATGGCGAGCTTGATGAGTGCCGTCGCGGTAGGATAGCATGCGTGCATGACATACGTGTTCTGGGCAGATAATTAGAACTCTCATGGCGTTCTGCATTGCTTAGTTCCGGAAATTTCGAAACATTCGATTACTTGCCTTGGTGAAGTTGACCAGTTGCGTTTGGTCAGAGGCGAAGGTGATGAAATGTTTCCCCAGCCCTCGATCGAAACCTTTGCGGAAGTGATTGTCAGCCCCTGAAATGCTTACAGGCTAAGCCTATTCCACGAAGAGTCGACGACAACGTACAGAGTAGTACCGAAAGAGTCAGCGCAAAGCTGGTCATCTGGATCTTGCGTCAGCATCAATATCTCGCCGGGCATCACGGGCAATTATCCATACCATGGATAGGAAAACCAGCAAGTCATCCCAACCAGGGCATTTGGAGACTCGGAATCGGACGTATAAACGTGCAGTTGCGCAGAGATATGACACAGTCTACGGTCTGGTTAGATAATCTGAAGCCAGTGGGGCGGTCATAGGCAACTTACAAGGAATGATATTAACAGGCCAAATGCCAAGGGCCGCTGGTTCAGCGCCGGTGTCGGCTCGCTGAGGTTGTCGACTTGGCCCAGCAAGTCAAATATCGACGAGGCGTTCGACATACTGAACCTGTCATGTGTCGATTTGCTTGTCTTTTCTTCTGTGTATGTGAAGCGCGTGCTAATGAGGGAGGGAGAGAGTCTTTGAAGGGAAGTAAAGGAGCGTGATCTCCCCCAGAGTGCTTCTGAAACACATAGAGAACTGCAACGGGCGCAGAGGGAGTTCGGACGGCAATGGCAGAGGAGAGCGTCGTTCATATGGTGTTGTCAAGAACCACCCAGGGGCGCAGTTTAAGTTAAGCCGGATAACTTTAAACATCCTGGAAATGCAACCCCAGGAAACTTTCACCGCTAGCCGTGCAGCATAGCGACCCTGAATCACTGCCGCATCAGTGCGGGTGCCGCTGAGACAAGATCAGCAAAGTTCGCTGCGAGTTCCAAGAGCTCCTTTTTCGAGTGCTTGAGACGCCAAATCCTCCGTCAATGAAACTGGATTCGGAAGGCTTGTGAGAAGCAATCCGTCGCTCGACAGACCTCCCATTGGCAGCCAAGCACGAGGACAAGATTGATAAAACTCTGGGGGCTAAGACTTGGTTGCATCGTGTATGACCTGCATGATCATCTCAAATTGAGGAATTGGACCGGAACATGCACCCAGGTGCAATTAGACTGTGGTTCTGGTTCTTTTTGGTCCAAGGCCAAAAGAGCTGTTGCCGTCGCATGACCATGGCTCTCATTGACTCGTATTGAGATTCATGGCGCGTACGACCACTCTGAGTGCTTGGGAACCATAAGTATTTGAGTTCTGGTGTTTGAGGCATCTCCCCAGCTGTCTAGTCCTGGCGTGCTTGACTTGACCCATACGCGTATGCATTCGAAGACGAATGCATGATAGAGCACCTCCACATTTTCGACAGCGACTCATGTCTTGAACTATAGGCGTCTGTTTCGACTACGACGCCCTGGAGGAAACATTTCGGCAGCGAGCCGACTACGGAGGGACCGGACCGCAGCATTCTATACGTGTAATGTACAATGCGGAGAGAGCGAACCACGACCGACCAAATATTGTTTCATGTTTCATATGCTGTCATACAAACACCATCTCGAAACAGCGAGAGAGCCACGCTGTTGCTTCCAATGGTACTCCGCATTGCCACAGTCGTTGCGGAGGAACTCTGAATGACTCTTGGAGACACAATCTGCAGCATACAGCCTCGGTGACCTTGAGCAGTCGTAAGCACCTCCCCAACTTCCCCGAGAAGTGGTGTTTCGATGTTTACTTTTCACACGAACACTTGGACCCCACGGACGATGGAGTGGGGAACTTGGCGGAGGGGTCGGGCAAGAGATCTGGAGGCGAATGCGACAAAACCCTCCTGTCAAGCAATTGAGTCGCATCGGCACCACCTGCTCAGACACTGAACACGTGGGTGGTGGTGTGAAAGGTGTTTGTCAAAGCTGTGCTCGTAGTTGGCTTTTCCTCATGATTGGTGAGCTTCCCCAACGAGTCCGCCCGCGAGTGCCGATCCAGCGCAATGTCCAAGAACCCACGCACGGCCGCCAGGATACGGGATGACACCCATCGAGACATCGTAAGATATTACTGCACAATTCCCGCGCATTTGCACATTGTCTGAGCATCGACAGGCCGGCACTTGGAGATGATGCTGACTTGATGGTTTTCCTGCAGAAGTCTTGGCTCATCATTATTGTCTAATTTAATTATAGACTCATGGTGGACGAACCGGTGAATGCGAATGGCGCAGTATTAGGACTGACGCGGACCTGGTCTCCTACGATGAAAGAGACTATGTATCCTGCGCAGCGCCATTGGTACTCCTCATGCCACTCATGTAGCTTGTAAGACCGTCTAATTTGATGTCCCAGCCGTAATCTCGTCCTAACTCTGCATATGATGCATATGATGCATATGATGCACATGATGCGATGGGCGTTGCTGAAGATAATCACATGTCACTAATTGATGCTTGATCTCTTGCAAAGTCTCAGGGAAGACTTGGCGGCATTATTTCACACCTGGCCCAGAGCTTAACGTCCGGCAGACGCTATACATATGCTCTTCGTCTGACGCGGAGTAATAGCACCACCAAACATCTTTGCATTAAATGTAGCACGCTTGGAAATGAATAAAACCCTTGACGCATAGCACACAATATCTAGCGGTTTTCGTGGAAGACATTAGAACAAGTCTCAAGAGCAGGCCAGAAATTGTGTAGACATAGCTTTCTGCACTGGGTTGTATAAATGAAACCTACGACTTTCCCAAGATAATTGCCACAAGCTATGTGTGCCTTCGAAATGTCTGAGACAAATAAAGAAACTGGTGTATTGAGCGACTAACAGCGCTTTAAGGCAATAAAGACATCTTGAAGTATAATATTGTCTGTCCGTAGTTGAGCCAGCTTCCACTCAAATTTCCAGTCGGGCTAGATGATGTCTTTAAGTCATTGGGATTTCAGAGGCACTGAAGCGATTTCAGGGAGTCCAGTGCTTAAGAGGGTTGTCTTGTGCATTCCTTACGTCGCAGAAGCCAAAAGACTTTAACGGCTGCCTACGAGTACAGGAAAACATGTTCTTGTGGAGAATCTGACACATTCTGTAGGAATCATCAATTTCAATATCTTCATAATTGAATGCCTGCTCAGAGGACGACATTGAAAGTTTTAGACTCACCGTCATCGGTAAAAATAAATAAATGCAACAGTGAGCAGACATTGGCCGCAGTGCAACGAGCCGGCCTACATCAGTGGGAAGTCGTCTATAATATTGTCAACAAAGCTGCTCGAATTAAGAAAAAAAGGCCCCCGGGGGGGGGGGATCGCATTAGAAGGGCCGGCAAAGCCCAAGAAACTTCATATGGGCCTTGGGGTGACTTACCTGCCAACAGCCTTGGTGACCAGAATGCTCACGCAGATCGAATTTGGCATTCAGGAGACGGAAGCTTTTTTATGCTTGAATTACCGGTAGTTTCGTAAGCAGACTTTGTCTGACAACGTGTGCGGACACTTGAACCAAGTCGACCCTGTTTGGCGATAGATACGGGCGCTTACCTCATGTCGTCGTTCTAGTCTACCTGAGTATGCTACATTGTTTCTGGTGAATCACACCACATGACGATTATCTCACTCCAGGGCAGAGTGCGCGCCGTTGACTTCAGCCCGATCTTCAATAATCGCTGAAGACATTCACTACAGCACTTCTCCCTACTATGTTATGCTGTCTCCTGCATATGTTCGTTGAATTCGAAAGCAATGCTTCTTCAAACATTCCTCACATTCCCAGTGATGCCACGAACCGTCTGTGTCATTTTGCCCGATCTCGATGTCTGAAGGCTCCTAAATGCTAGATCGCACCTATACTACTCTGAAAAGTAGCCAGCACGGATTCCGTCACATGGCCTCACACAATGTGATCTCAATCACACTTGCGTGAGTGCTACCTGACGTCTCGACTAGAGAAAGTATTGTGAATGCCGACTGGAATTGGACTGCACATGGCTGGAGGAGAAACGCAAAGGTGCGCGGCCACTCCAACCAGGACGCTCGAGCCTGTCACATAACCAAGTAGCATGCACGGCAGAGCGACAGAAAACGTTCGGCCCTCATTAATCACGATGTGTTGAGGCTTTCAAGTCCAGGCTCCCCAGCTGGTGACCGAAATCGTTGTTGAGAGCGGTGAGCAAGGTCTGATCACAAGGTCATTTTGTCACATCGAGTGGCCTCAAATGAGGCTCAGGTGATGGTACACGACCACAAAATAAACTGCAGCATTGCAACAATGCATACAGCGGATATCATCGGTACCACCGAGCAATCTCTCCAACTGCCTCGAGAAACCTGTTTCGGGATTGTTATGAGGACCCTCCGTCGGCCAAGACTCAGGGTCCACGCGGGTATCCCTGCCTCGCCCGAAACCTTATTTTGCGCCTTGGAACAAACCGCATGCACGCCCACGCTCGCAGGGCTGCACCATCCTACGCAGGAACTGATCTGCAATCTGATCAAGGTTATCTTGCATGAACTGGGACCGGAGCCGTACGATCCCAGGGTCCTCCTCGTGGATCAAAGGCGTCGGGTTGCAACTGAGGTGATTTTGCAACCGAAGTCAACAGTATGCCCGAAAGGATTTCTGTGTAAACCTGCTTTTTGCTGACACACGGCGTTTAGTCGGTATTCCTCCGAACATGAGACCAATGGTCTCGGTCCGATGAAGCTGGAGGAATGTCGTGAAGGGTGCGCAGCTCGGTAAGCTGACGATGAATTTCGAGAAGGTGTCGGCCCAATACGACGCTGAAGCCGCCATAAGAAGAGCTTGTGGCCCTTTTGGATCTTCAAAGATCGAAGTCGCAAGATCTTTCCATTAATGTTCTGATCAAATACTCTCTGCGCCTGTGCTTTGTTCGCTGTGGACAACTTCCTGAGTAGGCCAAGTCTCATCGAATCTCTGCTCTGAACACAGCATTATTCTTGATTTCCATTTCCTTTGGCCGTGGCTGGCACTTCCCTTACACAATGAATATGCTTAACGCTTCCACTGCCGTCATGAGCCTATTGGGCCTTGCCATGACAGCTCGGGCCACCGTTGAGGTGATCCTGTGTGCAGAACCTAGCTTCGGTAACTGCGCCACGTACAATGTAGACTCCGGCAGTTGCGGTAAGGAAGTCAAGGCGTGCGAATATTCAGCGGGGACTAGCCACTTTAGCTAATTCGAGCCGGTATACGCAGTCGATCTGGCCCCTGTTGCACACATCGAATCAGTCGCGGTAGCGAGCCCATGTACTCTATACTCGTAAGCCACCCTTATCGCCCACATCTTGAGGCCCCATTATAACGGTGTGAGAGAGCAATATTCTGATAAGACAGCAGTGGAGCATCCTGCACAGGAGTTGATACTCAAGTGACGGGCAGTGTGCCATCCCTTCTTGATTCCTTTGATAAAACTGTCGCTTCAGTCTTGTGCAGTTGAACTTCAAAATACAGAATACCACCCCAACTGGTGGGTGGCCCGATCGCTTAAGAATGTTCAAAGTGTGTGTATGTGTGCGCGCGTGTGCGAGTGTGTGTGCGAGAGACATGTTATGACATGTTGAGCTTTCAGGCTTGCTGTAGAATGGATCAGAGCCATCAGGAAAACAGCCCAATACTGTAGTACACGTGACATGCGAGATAAGCTTGGTAAGATTTGGTGATTGACAGCATATGCAAGTGCTTGGGTTCGAAGAGAGGCAAAGAGAGTATTGTAGCCAGGGGGTCAGACTTGGCTACTGCCGTGCAAGGACTTTTTAAACCTTGCCAAACACTTAGCTCGATATTCACCTGTCACCCTGAGAAGATTTTGTGACCATGGACTTCGTTTCAAGACTCAGCCAACACAGGCTTCTAGAGATTTTCTCAGTCCTGCCACTTTGATGTAGAACGAACTCGTGGAATATCCAAAAGGGCCCCCGTCGATCCGGGTTGACATAGATGAGAATCTGCACCAGAGAACAATGTTGTAAAATGGGAGCACGCGATCAACAATGCTGTTAGAAGTCATCATGAGCAGTGGTCCTGCAGCCGTGTGGAAAATGACAAGTATTCGTCTCGTGTGTTTCGACTCGATCAGGCGTAATCGGTATTCGTGCTCGTTTGTCGCTCGGAAAATATTATCGACTTCGCGGATCAAATCCGTGTCGTTCAGTATGTCTTTGATCGCATGCAAAGAGCTACATATCGAATTTCGAAATCCAGAGGATGTGAACGGAGAGGACCAGGTTGCAGATTAATCAGGAGAACTCTGCATGTTTAAATGAGGACCCTCATTGCTTTGCCATACGAGAACAACACACAGGTACGCTTGCCTTTTAGAGGAAAGTTCTCGACTGATCGACCGTGCTGAATGCGGCGGTGTAATAAATGTACAAGCAGTAGAACAATGTCTAGAAAGGGGGCTAATTCAGCGGCAATGGTTTTTTTTTAGAATGCTCAAGCTGTCAAGGAGACGAACTGAGGCTGTGTTTGACAGGGAAGCAGGATTTGCTACGCGGCGCGATGACAAGGTTGACCAGACATGCCGTGGAGTCGACAGAATTCTGATCTGCTCATCCGAGGGGTGACAACGGACAATCAAAATTCGAGACTGAGTCGACATGTGAAAAGAATTGCCAGGGGACAGGGCAACTGAAACGAGCTTGACTTCTGGTTCTCTCTCAGGGAGGTCTTGAGCTTCTGTTCCGGTCCACAGCTGGCAGGGCTGGTGTTGACTATCATGTTCGAGTATGGCGAGCGCAAATTAAAGGCGTTTCGATTCTCCAGATGATGTCAGTTCTGTTCGCGGGCCGACAAGGAGATACGCGGGTATTTAAAGGGTGGATCGCATTGCAGATCTTGGAAGACGGAACCGGGCAATGAATGCCAACCAAAGGGCACTTGCGTAAACAAGAAAGCTTAGAAAAGAACGGGCGTCGTAATCAATTCGCACACTCCACCAGGACCCACCCCCTGAGACGGTCATCCAGTTTGCAGCAACCCACAGTTTCCAGGGTTCGCTCCCTCTGGTTCCTTGATATGTCCTGACTGTCTTCTCTCTTTCGATGTGGCTGGTCTGCAGGCTGACGTTCTTCATTGTTTACACTTTCTGTCAACATAAGCAATCACCCTCATTCAAGTCGCTCTTTTGACCAAACTATTGTCTCTTTTTCTTGCATTCTGCATCGTACTCTTTTCTGGACATCCAGATCCCGACAGATCGGAACTCATCTGTTGCCAAGACCTGCCAGGGCTTACGCGATCCCCGATTAGGCTTCTCCATCTCGATCCCGAGCTTGGCTTTTCTTGGGTGTGGAAACATTCGGCAACATGAAGGCAGCACATACCTCCTTGGCGGCGGCTACGCTGTTCTCCTCTCTCGCATCGGCCGTCGAGAACCTCAGTGTTTCCGGCGCCAACTTCGTCTCCAACGCGACCGGAGACCGATTTGACATTATTGGCGTCACGTATGAGAACCCTACTACTCCAGCCCATACGGTCTGAAGACAGCCTCGAACAAGCCGACTAATAAATAAATTAGATACCAGCCTGGTGGATCAGCAGGTTTCACTGGGAAGGCCGACCCTCTCAGCGATGCAGACGCCTGTCTTCGAGATGCTATCCTCATGCAACAGCTGGGTGTGAACACGATCCGTGTCTACAACCTGTCGCCTGACCTGAACCACGATGAATGTGTCTCGATTTTCAACGCCGCTGGCATGTACATGATTATCGACGTCAACAGCGGTCAATCCGGCGAATACATTGATCGTTCTGACCCCTCGTCCACATACACCAAGGATTACATGAACCACATTTTCGCCGTTGTCGAGGCCTTCTGGGACTACCCCAATCTGCTGGGCTTCTTTGCCGGCAATGAGATCCTGAACGAGGACAGCGACAAGAGCGCACCGGCTTACATTCGTGCCGTGGTTCGTGACCTCAAGGAGTACATCGCTCTGCATGCGCCCCGGGACATTCCCGTCGGTTACTCTGCTGCAGATGTCGCTACTATGCTCAAAGACACCTGGGCCTACCTTGGATGTTCGCTTGAGAACTCGACTTATTCGAGAATGGATTTCTTCGGCCTGAACGACTACGTAAGTGCTTCTTTCTACAGCTTCCTTTACATGTCAAGATTTGATGGCGACCCGTAGAGTTTTGGTTAGGAGACTGCTCCCGCCAAAGAGGAGTCCTTTGAACGTTCACAATTGATAGAATGTGATAATTTACTAACGGTACAATAGGAATGGTGTGGTGACTCTTCTTTCACCGAGTCCGGCTACAGTACGCTCGTTACGAACTTTGCCGACACGAACATTCCTGTGTTCTTCTCCGAGTACGGTTGCAACAACGTCAAGCCCCGAACTTTCACCAACGTCCCTGTTCTGTATGGTGACCAGATGAGCGTGCTGTCCGGCGGTCTTGTCTACGAATACAGCCAGGAGTCTGACGAGTACGGACTCGTTGCTATCAACAGCTCTACGGAGGTCACACTGACTCAGGACTGTACGTATACGCTTGTCTATTCTTCGGCGGCTGGCCAAGTGCCTCAAGTCTGAAGAGCAGGACCCCGAGAGCACTAAATCTACAAAACAGGCAGCTAACATATCATAGACCAATACCTGAAGGAGCAATACCTCAAGATCGACATGAGTGCCCTCACCTCTGTCAACGAGACCGCAGAGAAGCAGGAGACGACGGCTTGTGCTGCCTCTCTCATTTCCGAGTCTACATTCCTGTCCAACTGGGATCTGCCCGAGCGCCCCAGCGGTGGTGATGACCTCGTTACTTCTGGAATCACATCCGCTCCCAGTGGAGCCATCACCAGTGTGGTGAGTAAAATCCATTGATAGTACAGTTCGAAAGAACTCTAAGCTGACTGCATCACCAGACTGCCACTGACATGCCTGCCACTGTTCACAACTACACTGGCGCTGAGGTCACAGGCCTGAGCCTGGTGCAACTCGGATGCGCCGACAGCAACTCTCCCGGCCTCGCTGCTACATACAGCGGAGGTGCAGAGACCTGCTCTTACGCCACCTCGACTGGCACCTCTGCCAAGAGCAGCAGCAGCTCCAGCGCTGGCAACAATGTCAGCCCCTTGGCTGGCGCTGACTTCCAGGCGCTGGCGCTGGTTGGCTCTGTCCTTGCTGCCTTCCTCGGCGGAGTCATGATTCTGTAATGTAGACATGACGAGATACAAGGACAACATGAGGCTTTTCAGCTGGAGCTGGCTGTCCAACATATTGACAGCTTAGTCATCATTTGCTACTGGCGTTTGAGGCACATAGGCTCACGGGAATTCATTTCGACTTGCAACCCGGCTCGGGGAAACGACACATGCATGATGCATTGAGGGAGGCTTTGGCGAGGCAATTCCGAACCATAATTACAGCAGACTTTTTTTTCGATCAGCTAGATTTAGTTCACGTCTTATATTTTGAAATGATACCGTCTTGCAGAATATTTGAAACATTTAGCACTGCATCGGCCACGTGAGGGAAGACCTTTGTTTCTGGCTACTTACGAACCGGTGAATACAAACGCCAAGGAGCTTGGGTTGTGTGCCTAATCTGGCCTAGTGGGAAGGCGGACCCATTAGACGAGGGACAGGGTTGCCACTAGCCCCTTGAGGTAGCGACGCGGTCTGCGACGCGGTAAACTTTGGACTGCCAAACAACGCATTATTCACGTGCCATATATTATGTTCCGACTTCACCCTTTCACCATTCAACTTCAGAATTCTCAATATCCACCGGAATTATTTGCTACTGCTATTTTGTCAACTCACAAAATCTTGAATGAGAAATGATGACCCTTGCTGGAACAAAACGCACGGCCGGAACGCCCTACGCATCACCAACCAAGGCCGCAGCGTCAGCGAAGAGGTCTCGCACACAATATGATTATTGCGACGAGGAAGACCTCGAGTCGCTGCATGAAGATCAATGGAGCGCTGACTGGGATTCGGGGTCAGAAATGAGCATAGATGGCGATGACGAGCGCGACAGCCTGAAGGACAGATTCCTGACAAGCCCCCGTGGGTCTAGATCTTACGAAGAGGCACGGAGGACAGAGGTAATGGCGACAATCAGAGAAACGAAGCGCGCCTTCGATCATATCCAGGCAGGCTGCTAACATCCAAAAGGAATCCAGGAATCTGCCTCCTGCCGCAAATGTACATCGCAGATTTGGCTCAAAGAGCTCCGAAAGAATATACTGCGTCGGCTGTGCTTGCAGTAAGTTGGAACATCAGTGCAACGCTCCAAGTTGTGGCTGTGAGGGTGGTGTGTCCTGCCGCAATCCCCTCAATAATCTCGACCTCGGCGCTCTATTTGGCCAGGATCCAGTTTCTCTCCACCCTTGCTTCACGACCTGGGCAGTCAGCCAGAACATAGCAAAGCTGGAGCGCCAGCCCCTCTTCGATCTGATACTCGAAAAGGCCTTTCTCATGGAAGAGTTTCACGACTACGTGAGTGTGCCCTACATTGAGTGGAGGGCGAAATGGGACCGAGTTCCTGTCTCTGAGCGAGACAGTGGCGCCGGCCTTTTCCTCAAGCAAGAGTTGCTCCGCTTGGGCCTTACATCCCGGGAGGGTCAGCTCGTCTTCTACTCTTTCTGCCGTCGTGATGGGTGGCAAGAAACTGAGCATAATTGGCATTGTCGCATTTGTAGCGACTGTATGGAGTGGAGGGAGTGGCATTGTGAGAGATGCAATAAGTGCTCATATGGGCTCTCACTTCCTTGCGAGAACTGCGGGAGAGAAAAGGATCGCTATGGACAACCTGAGTGGAATGAACTGAGTGATGACGATTCCATCGATCAGTGGTGAGGCTCGACCTGATATGGTAGATACTGTCACGATGCCATGAGTCAGTATCCTTTCGAGATGGGTGAACCACGTCTTAGCTAGTGTTAGAGTTTGCTATGGGCCACGAGAGCATTCATGTCTCCAACTTCTGCGTGCTATGAACTGGTTCAAGGGGCAGCGTTGGATACAGGGACTGAGAAAATCAGTTGGCGATGGAGGCCCCAAATTCGACTTAAGCATAGCATGGGAATAATTGCAAAAGGCGCAACAGTCACTCTCAAGTTTGATGAAGTCATGTATGAAGGCCTGAATGCCTTGAATAGAGCTGTCTTTTGATCACAAGTTGACATACTTGAGACCACCCCTCAATGCTGCTGTCCCAATGCTTAGCCAAATGCAACCTTTAAGGCATCTGTTTTCTTTGTCCAAATAGTTACAGCAATTGCACGTCTTTTCAACCGCAAGAAAGCACCGGGGCTAGCAGCTGACATAACACCGGATGGGTCATCAAGGAGCCAACACCAGGATCTTGTCTATAAGGCATCAACGCCCCGGGCATGCGGAAATCCGGATATCTTGGGTCGCGCATGTGTGGCAAGGACGCAGGTACATAAGACACTGCGCCCCAAACTGCGTCTCCAAGCCTAATGACATCGTCACCGTCCAGATATTCGAGATACCACGAAAAGAACTGACTTCGATGAATTATAAACTGTCCCATCGAAGGAACAGCAGATTGGGACCAAAATAAGCTCGTCAATGGATGGGTATCTACTATCACTTGGCTCGTGTGCACGTAGCAGTGAATAGTGCTAGGGCACCGAAATCAAAACATCGCATCTCTCCCACGGCACCAGAGGTAGCCTAAACCAAATCACAGCCCGCTCCAGCGAATATTGCACCAGCCTACCTCTCCAAGCAATCAAACCTTCTCAGTCTGCTCCAAGGTATCCTCCTTCGCAACTGTTTCAGTCTTAGGTGCAACCTTCAGATTGCCCTCCTGGATCTCTTTCTCAAGCTGATCGAGCCTGCTGCTCTTTCCTGATGTCCTCCAAGCGGGGATGCCGGAGTTGAAAACGTCATCCATCTCCTCCAGTGTGAAGCCCTTGGTCTCTGGCGCCATCAAAATCATATGAATGAATGCGGCAGCATTGAAGGCTCCGAAGATGTAGTACATGTTATAAGAGATGTTCCAGAGCAAAGGCGGCACTGCGAAGGCGAGCACCATGTTGAAGAACCAGTTCGTCGCGGTTGTCAGGCTGACGGCCTTGGCCCTGATCTTGCTGGGGAAGATCTCGGCCGGATAGGTCCAGGACACTGGACCCCAGGTGGTGGCGAAGCTGGCGACGAACAGGTATGAGCATGAAATGACGGCGCTGGAGACGGGGCGGTTGTTGAGGATGATCCAGGTGATGTTCTCGTTCTCGACAGTGCGGGTCTCGGCGGTGTTGGGCTGGCCATAGTACTGTTGCAGAGCTCCGCTGATGAACAGCCACGTCATCATCAAGAAGGAGCCGATGATCAATGCTGGTCGACGCCCGAACCTGTCCAGGTAGACGATGGCTGGAAGAGTCATGACCACATTGATAACGTACTGAATCGATGCGGTGAGGAGCTGCATATTGACTATTAGCGCAAACAAATAGCAGCGGAGGGTAAGCGAAAATTACGTACCGGAGATCCGATGCCAGCTCCCTGCATGATATAGACGATATAGTACATCACTAAAGAATGTCAGCATTGGCTCAAAAGAACTGAGAGCGCGGGTACACCGACTGATGTTCATGCCGCAAAGCTGGGACCAAGCTTGGACGCTCATGCCCAAGAAGACACGCTTGAACATTCCATGGGCCACCAATGCCTTGTAACTGCTGATAGCCTGCTCACGATCGAACTTCAAGGCATCCTCGATCTCCTGGTATTGCGCGAGAACCTTCGGGTGGTTACGGTCACCGTTGCCGATTGTGCGAGCCAAGACGTCGAGTGCCTCCTCCCAGCGATCTTTCGAGGCGAGCCAACGCGGGCTGTAAGGGAAGAAAAAGAGTCCTACGAATAGAATGACTGCTGGGACCATTTGTACGCCCCAGGGAATTCGGAAGGCAGACTCTGGCTGATCGGGATCGTTGGGACCACCTCCGACCTACACACAGTTTTCGATTAGCTTCCGTCCGAGGGTCCGTGACTCGGGTGCAGAACTAAACGTAAGTATACTTACATTTGAGGCACCATACTGAATGAAGTATTGAATCAAGATACCCCAGGTAATGGCCCACTGCTGCAACGAGACCACACGGCCACGAATTTCCCTGGGAGCAATCTCGCTCTGGTAAACGGGTACGACGCTGGATGCGATACCAATGGCCATGCCTAGATATACTTAGAATGGTCACGACCAGATCAGGCAGTCAGAAACCTACCTCCGACGACACGCCCGGCGCACAGCATTCCGCGGTCTATAGCAGCACATTGTATGATGGCACCGATGATCCACAGGATGCAAGCCACCTGGAGAGCCATCTTCCGGGAGAATCTATCGGCAAGGAACGAGCTGCTAAGAGATCCGACGAGACTGCCGGCGGGCATCGAGGCGGTGATGGCTCCTTGGGTGTAGCCAAACGCCTGGGGGTTGTTGAAATAACGGGTGTAGGCCTGGGTTCCGAGCACACCAGACATGGACGAGATATCGAAACCGAAGAGAGCTCCTCCTGAAAGCCGGATATAAGTCAGTGGAAGTGCCCGTTTGCTTTCTTGACAATTGAGGGAAGCGGTTGAAGCATCACGGAAGCGTTTGCTGCGATACGTATGAGACTTACCTATAGCGGCAAAGCCGCAGATGAAGTAGACATTGCTGGCTTGATACATCTTGTCGATGAGAACGTTGTATTGAGCTTCACTGACAACAAGATCGTGGTTTGGTTCTGTTGCGGCCTTCGGCAGCCTTGTGTGATTCCTCAATGATCAGAGTTGTGAGGGGCAACAACCAGCACTGGAGAGTGTCAATGGAAGCTAGGACGAATAAATACCCATCCAAGCATCAGTAGATACGCAAGTGTTGCGTGACTGAAGGGCGAGAAGAAGTGATTCACAGAAGCTAGTGAATCCGGGGGGACAAATGTATTTGAAGGCTCCCGCATCCCTGGACAAACTCACGAGACGAAAGCCAATCGCCAAGGGGTCAAACCACTACAACGGACCGAATAGAAAACCAAACAGACCACACGGCCGGTACAAACAGAGGCTGAACGTTACAAAATCTGGGCTGCAGTCATCGCCAAGGTGTAGTTGGTCTGTCGCAGCCGTCACGTTGCACCCCCAAGAGGCGCTGCCCTGGCCGGGCACCAATCATGACGATCCCCGACGGCTGATATCTGGCTGAAGGATCGTGTCCTCATTCGACGTTCCCTGCAGTTCATCTCGTTAATGGCCTTGCGTGGTATGCAGGTCACGCTCTGTGTACCCCAGGCCAAGACTCCTCATTGCGGGGGAAGTCTGGGCATGATCCTTTCCTCCCCGGACGACAGCTTCGCACAGCCAATGGCGGCACGTCGAGTTCCGCGAGGACCTCAGCGAAGCTAATATTGCAGCTCGACTGGCATCGGATCCCACGTCAGGGGTTGCATTTGTTACCCAAGCAGCCCAGAGTCTCGGTGGAGGCCAAAATCCTGAGGGGCTTCAACCCCAAACTCTACGCCGGTCTACAGATGTCCCGATAGAGTTTTCAAAACCTGGCGCCGCCACGTGATTACATTTCATGTATATGCGAGACAGTTCATAATGTTACACGGGACTGTTGAAGCACAATATGAGCCAGAAGCCTGTGCAAGTACCATGTATAATCAAGCAGGCCTTGTCTTATATAACCAGCACGCCATAAGATTCGAGAAGACTCTTCGTGCGATAAAGTTGTCTTTCGACCGAACTTGATGTAATCAATTGTCATGTTACACCTTAGCTGAGTTTATCTGGTGATACTCCAGAGATATACACATCGGATCCACTTTAATATAGCAGTGTTAGTGCTTAGGAGGACATGATTGGCTCCTGATGACGAACTCGTACACCATCTTATATAGACAAGGACAAAGAGCTAGACTCATATGGTATATATATACAGTTAAAAACCTCAAACCCTCTCCTCTTTCTTACAGGTCGTACCTGCTCTTGATGTGCCTCCACCAGTCACGGGCCATCCAAGCATCGAAGTCAGTGATCTCCATGGCTGAGCCCGCCATCATGATGAAAGATGTCTGGCCAGTAGGGGTCCAGTCATAAAAGTCATCGAGGCCGTAGGTGTGGCCCATCTCGTGCAGGAGGATGTGGATGTTCTCGGTGTCGAGGTTGTCGATCATGTAGTCGATGGGGAGCTGCTGGCCCCAGTCACCACCAAAGCCGCCCATCTGGCCGTTCATGTTCTCGCTGAGCCACAGGGAGACGTCGTAGCGGCCGGCCTCGCCCTTGGCGCAGCCGCTGTAGTCGTTGTCGGTGTAGTGCATGGCACGGCCGCAGGCGGGGTCGCACTCGGGGATGCCGTCGACATCGGCTGTGTCGGTGTAGATGTTCAGGTCGGAGGTGTCTCCCTCGAAGAGCGCGGTGTTGTTGGTGGCCCAGCCAGAGATGGACACGTCCACTGAGTCGTAGGGGAAGCCGTCGAAACCGGCGAGAGCCTTGGAAACCCACTTGTTGTACTGTGTGCTCAGGACGGTCTCGAGCTTCTGGCGCTGAGCAGCAGTGATCTTATTTGTGGATGCGTCCCAGCGGACACAGTACTGGATCTTGGCCTTGGTGGCCATGATGTGGTCGTAGCCAAGGTTCTTGAACTCGGTGTTGTCCGTCGTGTACTTGTCCCAGACCTCAGTGAGGCCCTGGACGAGATCCGAAGGAGGGTTCCCTACAGGAATGTCAGAATAAGGGTCTGTTACAAGTCAGATCGATATCAGGAACGTACAAGTGGTGTTCGCAGTAGAAGTGGAGCTGGCAGCTGCGACGCGAACGGGGTTGGTCGTAGTAGCAGCAGTGGTGGCTGCGGCAGCGGCCGTGGGAGTAGCTGTGGGAGCAGCGGAGGGAGCAGCGGACTGTCCATGGCCACCGAAGTTTCCCCACCAACCGCCGTTTCCCCAGCCTTGAGGAGCACGTCTGGCCTTCTGGGAGAAGCCGCCAGCCTTGTCGAGCTGGTGGGCCGCGCCGGGATGAGGTGCACGAACGGCCTTCTCAACAGCACGATCCTGAGTAGGGTGTGCCTGGGCCAAGGCCGCGAGGAGGGAGAGCACAGTGACAGTCTTCATGGTTAAGCTGATGAGATGTTGTTGTTGATGTTTGCTATGTAATCGGACCCATAAGGGAGAAAAGTCTGATACGGCCGAGACCTAGCTCGAAAAGAAGAGTGTGAACGAAGGGTGTCTGAGAACTAGCTCAGTGTAAATGAATGAATGTGTGAACAGAGTCGAGACTGGTTGATCTGGTTCTAGGTCTGAAGTACGTTTGAGGTTCTCAGTTTACTTATACCATCTGGGCAGCTCCAGGAATGCCAAGACAACCGCCCCAACATATCACATATCCTGCTAATCTCAGAGCCGAACGACGTTTTACGTACACATCTGGTAAATCAGGTAACTTCTCCCGTTCAGAACATTCTATTTTTCGTTTAGCTGGGGGGATACAAAGCTCAGGAGGATTTCCGTGAGGCACTAGCCGACAACTTCAGGGGGGGACTGAGGAACAAGCATCAGACCTGCCGCGGATGGGTCTTCTCCGTACTCCTTCCCATGTAGGTATCCGGATGTTGGTGAGGGACCATTCCCACCGTCGATCACCGAACAGCCCAGCCAGGCGGACCATGCCATTCCCAGAGATCGATGATCGGTGGTAACTATTAGGCTACCGAACCTTGGTAATTACGTGGACTAGGTCGTGGGGAAAAACTGCTTTGGACTCCACGTTGATGTTCTTCTTCCCATACAAATCTCGCAGAACAAAGTCGGCCCACAAGTGCTGGCCAATCGACTACGGCCCGCGGGAATCCCTGTGAGCGGTGCTATACGTGTTTGGTGGAAACGCCAAACACAACCCCACAATATGGAGATCTCCCGGCCCATCGGTGGAATTGTCCCTGTTCGTCATTTTGCGGCTCACGAAACGCCAAGAGCAAGTGGTGTGGTCCTGCCCCTTGCCCAACACGATTCCCGACGTTGTCGGCTCGTATAAACATTTTCTCATTGGGCCACCTCGAGGCCACTTACTGGAGCAGTTGCCTCGCGAAGGGCTTGGCGACTTCTCTCATGTAGGCTGGCTTGGCACAATGTTTGTGCTGTTTCAAGGAGACAAACAATCTGCAAGCCAGGGGGAGTCGACAGGTCGGATTTGCACAACAGTACCGAGAGACGCGAGCGACGCCTTCTAGGGAATTGCAGTGTTGATGGGGTCATAACTCGAGCTGATGATCGCCGTGTGCTCGAGTCGCTGTCTTGGCCACCGCAGTCAAAGCTATCCACTTGGACGGGGCCAATGTTGGCGAGCCCGATTTTAAGCATATGGATCTTAGAAATGAGATCCTGTAGGCTAGGACAGACTGGTGTTCTTCCTTCATTGGCTGCCAATACTGTAAACTCTACCTTGGCATCGGCAGTCAGAATGACAAGTCTGGCCCCAAGCTGCTTTGTGGGGGAAGCTGCAGCAGTGCTCGGGACAAGGCAGGAGGCGACGGATTAAGCCATCAGTCGAACGGGGCCTACTCTTTACCGAGTTCGTAGAGCATCACCGCTTTCTTAGGTAATTGGGAATTTTGAGCGAGCATCATTTCCCAAACGTAAGATCAGACGGCCTGGCCGTACGGTCCCGCGTAGCTGCTTAAAAGCATTTCGGCCGCCATCGAAGTACAGCCTCTCCCATCATCGGGCTGTATCCGAAATCTTCGACCACAGCGGTTGGGTCACTGGCCGAGTGATACAATTTATATGTATATACCTCCCTTTGCTCGCCACAGCTAGAAGTAGATCTGCCTGGCGATGTTAGCCCTGTTTCCAATCCTCACCTAATACACAACGAAGGAAGCAAATGAAGTAGAATGGCACACCAGAGAAGACCTCGACGGAGACGTGCTGTATGCTGAAGTGCCCCAGTGACATCAGAACCAACCCCAGACATTGATGTGGTCTTAATGACAATATAATCCCAAATCGGCAACAAAGCGTCACGCATGACTCGGATATGCGAGATATTGTGGGTATGACCTCAATCCCTTGCAATGAGTCGCAGCACTTTGGGCCTGTGGTGCTGATCGAGCACGCACCTATGAGTGAATCTGGCCGTTTCCACGGCAAGCGATTCGAATTTCCTCTCCACAGCCAGGCATCAAGTCCAGCATGCAGTGAGAAAAGTGGTAGTAGACCACTCCTGATGTCTCAAGAGTGATCCACCACCGGGATGGTTGCTGCTGTTCGGCGTACTCAAGTGACAATTGCCGCCACACAACAACGCGCAAGGCGAGGAAGTGTGTCCGGCTCCGGTCAGCTCGTCTCCGCATCAAAGGTTGTCAGTGTCGCGAGGACGTCAGTGAAGACCACGCCGGTTCATTGCCTGGAGAAGAATCAGTAGTATGATGCGTTCAGCGCATCAAAAGATAAGGAATGCAGTGATTGACTGCTGCACCGAAAACAAAAAGATAAAGAAAAGAGTAGAACACTAAAAATAGACGTGTCCATTAGGGCCCATTCGATGATGCCCGCTGCAAAAAATGCGCCCAGACTCTGTCGACCCGCCTTGCAGCCTACAAAAGTAAGCCGCCTGGGCAAAGGAAGATGGCCAAAAGGGGCGCGTGGACATTCAGCACCGACGGCGTGACATGTCGGGCTGAAGATCATAAGTCTATCATACATATATCTGCTAGAGATAAGCTCGGATTTCGCAGAAAGTCTTTCTGGGGGAGGGATAAGAACCAAAGACGAAACAGCTATCCAGCAGCCCAAGACTGCTGGATTTGGCAGCCAGCTTTCTCGCTGTCTGCCGGGTATCCCGAAAGCGTAAATTGCCGCCGTGACCGTAAACGCCGTGACCGAAAGTCCAAAAAGGAACGTTTTGCTGTCATCCGCATAATTCTCAAGGTGCCACACTTCCTCCGTAACGCCGAAATCCTCAATTTGTCCCTCCGCGTCGTTTCCACTCTTGTACAGACTCTTCTGGAGCGAAGCTGACGATCAGTCGGCAGCGTCATCGCGTTGTCCATGCTCCCGAAAGTACTTCACTCGTCGCAATAGCCGAAAACCTTGCGGTGGACTTTGCGCAAGTAGTTCCGCTGCTCGCGAAACATGGAGTAATTACCTCCTAGAATGATCTCAAGAATACTGTCGGACTTCTCGCCTCGTGCGATCCGCTCTATTCGCTCCTGCAACAGCTTGTGTGCCTCGGCGAAGCAGGCCATGATCTGAGGATAATTTTGAGAACCGCCTGAAATGTCGTTTGCGGGGTTGTTGGGATCAATGATGGACAACCGACCAGGGTTTCTGTAAGTGAACGTAGTGACTTGGTTCTGACCCAATTGTATATTGTTAGCGCTTGATAAACAATTAGGGCTGATTCAAACTTGCCTTGTTTACATAGCCTGGTGGGTTGAGCCTCAGAGCGGTGATCTTGTAGTTGAACCTGTTGCCGTACAGATCGAAGAAATGCATGAGCAAAGAGCCCAGATTGCGCTCTGGTACCATGTCACCACTCTGAACCTGAGGCATCATTTGGAGCATGCTGACGACCATGCAAATGACAGAAAAGCCGCCAATGCCGCCGTTCACGGGTTCATTCAGGCCACGCATCAACAAGAACTGCTTGATGACGGTCACTAGAATCGGCATGACGGGGTACTGCTCCCTCCAAGCCCTGAACGTCTGAATAGCAATAACGCCACTAGGGTTCTCGAAGGAGATGTCGACCTTCAAGCCAGTGTTGCTATCGACATACTTGACCAATGGTACTCTTGCCTTTGAGATCATCTCAAAGTTGTTGTGAACTGCAACGCGGCTGGAACGGAGGTAATCCCTGAATTTCTTGAGCTGATTAAGCCCTACAGGCATGGTATTACCACCGGAGAGCACGGCGTCGGAGCACAAGACAAGATCCATGTCGCCAGTAGGCAGGTAAAGACCAGACATGAAGGAACCGAAAGCATGCAGCTTACGGCCCCGCCAAGCGCTGTTCTTTTCGAGGATGCGATTGAGATCATCTACGAGATTTCCACGGAGGCGGTCTTCAAATTCGCGTGGTCTCACTAAGTCATAGAAATCGCTGATTTCCATGTGAAGCCTGCGTGATATCAGTCAGCCTGTGGTACCGGAAAATATGCCAAGTCTTCCGTACCTGACGTTGACCTGAGCCGTTGAATCCGGAACAGTCACCCATGGCGAGTTGTTCTCGCCCTTCTTGAGCCGCCACTCCGAAACAATCGAGCCTCCACTGGGCCTCTTGGGGGCAGCTTTCAGCTGTGCATGAGCTGGCAGCTTCAACACATCGTCATGTGTGCGCTTGCGTGAACCTAGATCCGTGGATTTGGGCAAATCCATTTCGAAATCGACACGTTTTATTGCCTTGTTAGCAGTCGGAGCCGCTGATGCCGCCTTGCTTGGTCCTGAGGTGGCGATTGACACAGCCGGCAACGAGGCAGCCGGCCGCGGCGCAGTTGTGCCAGGTATTCCTCGAGCGCTTGAACGCTCACGATTGTATGTGAGGGGGTCGATGAATTCCTCCTCATCTTGCTCGTCCTCACTACCAGACTCGCATCGGATAAAGTCTTCGTCGTCGGCGGGGAGCGAGGTTCTCGTGCTCTTGGCAGGTTCGACGCGGGCCTTGCGGATCAATTGGACCACGTCCTTCTTCTTCTTGTCTGGGTCTTGCTCAGGTGGCAGAGCAGTGTAAGGGTCGGGATTAGACCACTTAGGGGCTTCGTCGGCCGTCGAGTTGGCTGCTGTGCGGGCGCGTTTAGCGCTTGGTTGGGCAGACTCGTTTTCGTCGTCCGAAATGTCCATATCAGCCTCGTCACTATCCGATAGTTGGTCGAAGGTCCTGTAGGTCACACCATTCTGGGTGTCTGCAAAGTCTTCCCTGGGCTTGTTGTTGTCGGTCGACTGCAGGATAGCGCGTTCAGCTGCTACGAAAGGCCTCCAAGGACGTCTTCCGGCGTAGCCTCCAGCACCACGACCTCGGTTACCGTTTGGACGATATGATTGCCGGTCGTTGTGAGGACCCCTGGCGGGACCACGAGGTGGGTCTGCTCGAGACCTGGGCTCGTCGGGGCGGTAGCTGGTGTACGTGTCGGCGACGCCTCTGGGCTTCTCCGAGCGGAAGTTGAAGTCACCCTGGGGTGGACGGAAAGAATCGGAGCCACGAAAGGTTGGATAAGGGTCTTGCGGTCTCGGAGGGAGTGGGTGGTTGTCAGAGCGGCGCGAGGGTTGATAGCGATCATTGCGATCATCACGATCACTGCGATCGTTGCGGGAATAACGACTACCGTGATCGCTGCGATGATTAGGAGGAGGGTACGAATCGTAGCCCGACGGGGGCGGGGGAAGGGCATTGTAGGAGGGAGGAGGGGGAGGTCGATAGCTGTCACCGCCGCCATAACCATCATTGCCAGGCGGTGGCGGCGGATAGCTGCGCGACGCGTTTGAGCGTCTGTCGACTCCCGGAGGAGGCGGGTAGTAATGCGACATAGTACTTGAGGGCTGGGCACTCCTGTCTTACTACCAGGGTCTCTGAGACCTGTGGTAGAGGTGTCCAGGTCTGTTGAAGTGCAGAGTGATACTTGCTCACAATGCGAAAGTTTGCGAAGATTTGTGATGGTTGTCGGATGGGTGCAGAAATCACGACAGACAAAGAAAGACAGTGACGAAGTTTGACTAGTGGGGACTTGGTAGTGGACAGCCGGCAGGCAGGGCGTTGCCTGCCGAGACACAGTTCGCTTCACTAAGGATCGTGTGAGTAACTGTGACGGCGCGGCGGGCGCAAGGGTGTGACTGGAGGTGGCTGCGCACAGACCACCTCCAGTCCCAAAGCCATTTGCTTGATGGCAATCGGGGGCAACCTGCTCTCCTGCTCTTTTTTCTTAGCAAGACAAGTTTTATTTCAGAATTCTACAATAATGAGCAAGACTTGAGAGCATAGCCTCTTCTATGTCCCTCTCGCGACAGTGACCAGTCTCGCTCGACTTCATTCACCTCGTTAAATATGTAAAGAATTCAATTGTTATTTGAAAGAATATGACTTTTGTGTTTTGAATAGGTTTGGAAGGGACGTTAGGTTATCTGAGAGATTGATTGCTGGTCACCCACTTTAACACACCTTCGACGCATAAATATGCCAGCCAACGTGGGACATAAGCTGCGACATTTCGAGATTCAGTCATCAACTGGTTAGACATGGCACATCCAAGTATGAATCACACAATTAGTCCATACCCTACCAAGCCAAGCACTAACGCTACAGACAATATGTGCATGCTGATGTTAAATGCTGAGGTCTCAAGTGCGGTTTGCAAGGGCGAGGCGCTCTTTGAGTGTGTACGTGTTTAAATCTCACTCAATCGAGAGGACGTTATGTATAAGAACAGTAGCAAATGTTTGTGTCTCGCTCGGAGAAAGAGAGGCGGGGATGCTACATATGTACAGCAATCCAGGCATCAATTATGCTTGGCAAATGACTGCACATGGTTTGTGCATGAGCACTGCTCTCGTTTTTTCCTTGTTCCTTGATAAACAAGCAGCACCAGCCCCTACCCCGGTCTTCAATCACATCCGGTAGAGCCCGCAGCTAGATAGCAGAGCCGCACTTTGAGAACACAGACAGTGGTCGAGTGATCGGGCATGGGGTTTTGGCTCTACTCAGAGCCTGATCTGTACAGATTTCCGTATTCATTATGTCTTGCAACCTTGTCAGCGCGATCCTCGGCCATTGACTCCTCTCGGAATGGCTGCACCATGTACAGAAAGGATTGCCGGATTGAGGCTGCTTATAGTAATGCCCGTGTCCGGCATGTTAGGAGTCCTCTGGCATGAATCTTCGTCGTCCGTACTCCGGGCTTCTCATTTGGAATATTTAGGGTTTGTTGTGCAACCCTGCCTTGCAACCTATGCCCATCTACATCCAGGCAGAAATCTGATGGTTTCTGTCCTACGGTGCAATGCTTTCCCTGAGCAACTTTTTCGTCTTCTTGAGATGTTTTCGAAGGGCCTTGACACCTCCTTTGCCGTTCTCCAAAGCCCCGACCTCCTCTTTATTTATGATAGGACCGGCTATTTCCATAAATCCATGATGCACAAACAAGCCACGAGACTCTTCTCCACGCCCGTCAAGTCGAAACTGGCGTGGGAGCCCAAGCAGTGTTTCCGTGCGCTCAAAAAGACTGGTTACAATCTGGATCAGAATAATGGTACGAAGGTTACCAGACTTAAGAGAAAGAGGTCAGCTCTTGAACAAGGGGTGAGACGTCAGTACCCACGTATCGGAAAGCTGCGTCACTTTCCGAGATTTCCGTAAGTAGGTCGTGGATGTGAGCAAAATGGACCAGATGTAGCCGGAGCACCTGTATGTATATGCTCAGGATTGCAAGTAGAGAAGCAGAGTCGAGTGTTGGAACAGTACTTAGATTGGAAGTTGCAGGAAGTGAGGGTATCGTAGAGCTGACGGAGTCTGTGGGTGAGTCCAAGCCAATGCCATTGTCAAAATCGCTACTCGCGTGGCCTACGCTCGATTGCGTGGGACGGCGCTTCCAGGTTTCCTGACGAGTTTGGGCCGGAGCAGGTTGCGAAGGAGATTGGGACTTAGATAGCAGTTTGAGCACGTCGATGAATTCTCGCGTCCTGTTCAGGATATCGTCCACCGCAGGTGTCGACGACTTTGCCTCATCTATGGGTGAGATCATCGTGTCCATGGTGGCATGAGGGCGACCCTTTTCAAGGCAAGTCAAGAGGGTAATCAGGTCGTAGTCCACTCTTGAAAGCTGTTGGAGAGGATGCTCCGCGTCTCGGGTGTAACGATTGCTACTGATGACTGAGCTGCTTGTATGGAAGGAAAAAAGTTGCTAAATTCACATGACCCAGCTGGTGAACGGCCGCACCGTTCCTCTTGAGAACAGTGTGACCAAGGCATCAACCATGCTGGCTCTGCCAGGGAAGAAGGGATAAGGCCGCCTTTCTCATGATACCTCAGGTAGCATAGATAATTCTGCGCCTGTATCCTGGAGAATTATGAGATTGTATTTGACGTTATGGGTGACTTCTCCCGCATATTTTTGTGTCTATTTTACGGGTGGACTGAGACGGTCCCTACGTGCTTACGACACGAAGGCTCGATTTGGCTGTAGAAATTTATTGATTTCTCAGCTGCACGCGTGCCCTCGAAGCTATTTACAATACAGCGGTGCGCTGATAAGACAAGCCTATCGATAAGAGCCCTGTGAGCCCAGAGGGCCCCGCTGGCCTTAGCCCCACACCCTCACACTACGCTGCATTCAGCACTTCGACATGTTATTCGAGCGCCAAATCACCACTGAATATCATACTTCGGCAGATGTGACCCAGCAGCCTGCGAATTGTTCTGACAAGTATCTCCAATGGATGAACGAAAAGGAATCATAGAATAGATGAGCCTCCTTTGCCACCTTGCCCTCCAAGGCCCTTAGGTTCAGCTTGGAATTCCTCCAGTAAGGCATGAATGCCCAGTGCGCATCACGACGCTTGCTTAAGGTTCTTGAGCAAGTGCTACAAATAAATACACCAATGCAGAATACTTCAGGGAGTCCTGTTGATGCTTGGAGAAACGCGTGCAGACGGAGAAAATGGCAACCCGCCTCCATGTTCCCTGCCCGCGCCAGCCGATTGGGACGCCTCTAACTTGGCTGCAGATCCGTCCCGGTAGTGCAACAACGCCACAAGTCTCGATTCAGGCACAAATAAGCACCACGCTACCAGTATCCGAAGAGCCGCAATGCAAGATCGATAGTTCCGAGCAAGAAGAATGCGACGTTGAAGACTGGACTGCCAGACTGCCAGACTGCCCAGGGCGTAAGTCTGTAGACTATGATGCTGATTGCTGTGGCGAAGTCTATCTAGTGTGGAACAAAGATCACTTATTTCGCTATCCTGCTCACTGCAAGGTTACAAAAACGGAGAGTTGCTGCGGGTAATTTGTTATCGAAGCATCATGGTGCTGGCCGCGCTGTGAAGTTGCATGCTTGTGCACACTCCTTCCGACCTCGCAGCTGGGCTGGCAGACTGGCTTCCAGTCGTGATTGTTGCGGCGAGCCCTGGAGATACGGCTGATGACTGCATAGCCTTCATGCCATCACAACCCCTGTGCCGGTGACGATGACAGCGATGGTTGCCCATGACGGTTGTGGATGGGGTGGAGGAAGGCAATTGACGAGTGGACGAGTTGTAGGCCTCGGGAGGGCGGGAGTGGAGGGATGGATGCTGTTTGGGGAAAAGAACGGCTCCTGCCGGGGTGGACCTTCCTATGATTGTACAACCGCACCAATGAGAGAGCCTTCCGCCAAATCGCCTCCCAAGATATTTTCGTGACGACAACACCGCCTGGGTACACCGATCCATCTGAGTTTCCTCAAGTGCTGCTCTTTCAGCGTTTATGGTATGTCGATTATCCTTGAGCGACTTGAAGGGGCTAATCAAGCGATGTCTGGAAAATGCAAGTAGCTGGGCCACAGGAACAGCACCAAAACGGCGACGTTTACTCCCACGTGCCTTGCCGTCTTGCTAGCGAACGATGGGCTCAGGCTGGGTCACCTTTAAGTCGCACAGCAAAATGACGTTGTCGGTGGGTCTTCGTAAACTACCACATCGGCCCTTTTCCCAGAGTCGAGAGACCCTCCCCCGTTTCTCCAGAATCTCTTACCCCAACCGTGACCAAGATCTTCACCACCACTTCCCCGAGGGGTAATGTCTGTTTCGGCTAGCCCATGACACGGCGTGGTCTGACGGCCCCGTTGTTCTGTCACCAACTATAAACTTTGCCTATGGCAGCCGTCCAAACATTGGGTCGGTTCGGTGTTGGTGTGGATGGCCTTTGGGAGGAAAATCCTTGGCCATCCACATTGACAGACACGGCCGCCCCTGGAGCCGCTGGACGAGCATCGAACCGAGCATAGCGTTGCTGTTGTAACCTTGCTGTGCAACATGACATTGCAACCGACAATAAATACTTCCAACATCCCCCTCGTCTAGACCATTGCAGCCCTCGACTTGCCCTCCAAGCGATCTGCCTCGTTGGCCTGACTCTCTTGGACCACAGTAGCCATGTATCGAATCTGGAATATCTACGTCCTCGCCGGCTTGTAGGTCCCCCCCAGCCGTCCATCCACTGCTGTTGCTTGCAGTATTTGCTGACCACATGTCTAGCGGCACCATCGGCGGGGCACTCTTTGGTTTTGACGTCTCTTCCATGAGCGCATGGATCGGCAGTAAACAGTATCTCGAGTTCTTTGGACATCCGAACTCAGATACCCAGGGCGGCATCACCGCGTCTATGTCGGCTGGTAGCTTCATCGGCTCCCTCCTCGCCGGGTGGCTGTGTGATCTTATGGGCCGACGAGGTATCCTCCAAGTTGCTAGTGTCATCTGGGTCATTGGGGCCGCCGTCCAGTGCAGTGCCCAGAACATCGCTCATCTCATTGTCGGGAGAATTATCAGTGGTCTTGCCAGTAAGCCCCTCTCGGTCCCAGATTACTCTGCCTGTGCCCACCTAACTGACCACTTCTGCCAGTTGGCATCACCTCGTCCCAAGTCTGTGTCTATCTCGCCGAGCTCGCCCCTGCCAACATCCGAGGCCGTATCGTCGGTGTTCAACAATGGGCCATCGACTGGGGTATCCTTATCATGTACCTGATCTCCTACGGATGCTCCGTCTCCGTCTCGGGCCCTGCAGCCTTCCGCATCGCATGGGGTGTACAAGGCATACCTGGCGTCATTCTCGGAGTCTCCCTGTTCTTCTTCCCAGAATCTCCTCGTTGGCTCGCTAGCAAGGATCGCTGGGACGAGTGTATCGATGTTCTCGCCGGCCTGCACGCTGGCGGTGACAGGGAGTCTGCTGTTGTGCTGGCCGAACTTGACGAGGTCAGGGAGGCCGCAAATCTGGCTGCCGAGTCCAAAGATCTTGGTTATATGGGACTCTTGGCACCAAACATGTGGTTCCGCACCTTGACTGGTGTCAGTGCACAAGTCTGGCAACAACTTCTCGGAGGAAATGTGATGCTTTACTACATTGTCTACATCTTCCAGATGGCTGGACAGGGCGGAAATTCTGGACTTACAAGTGCCATCATCCAATACGTCATCTTCTTGGTGACTACCGGTGGTGTGCTCCCAGTTATAGATCGTGTTGGTCGGCGAACACTTCTGAGTGAGTACTATCCTTGCCGCCTCAGACCTAGGTTCCTGATGAGAGGGTTCTACTCTGCGGCTTGCTGCACAATCCATTTGTAACGCTTGCTGACTCTGCCAACATAGTCTATGGTGCCATTATCGCCTGCTTGCTGCACTTCATCGTCGGTGCCTTGATGGCTTCGTACGGACATGCCGTGGACTCGATCGATGGCAACGAGATTCTGAAGTGGGAAATCACCAGCACTGCCGCAGCCAAGGGAGTTATCGCCTGTTGCTACATATTTGTCGGAGTTTACGGCATCACATGGGTAAGCACCTCCTCAACTATCGTGCTCTACATGGATGTCCCTGCTGACCACAACACCAGGCGCCCGTCGCATGGATCTACGCATCAGAAGTCTTCCCTTTGAGATACAGAGCCAAGGGTGTGGGCGTGTCTGCTGCGGGAAATTGGATTTTCAACTTGGCCCTCGCATTCTTTGTTCCACCAGCCTTCACCAATATTCGTAAGTGCATAGATGACCCAAGGCACAAGTCTATTGTCCATCCTTATAATTCCTCGCCGCAAGCCACCACTATAACTTCAGTTGTCAGCTGCTAACACATTCTAGAATGGAAAACCTACATGATTTTCGGCACTTTCTGCGCCGTCATGACTGTTCATGTCTTTTTCTTCTACCCGGAGACCGCTGGAAAGTCACTCGAAGAGATTGACGACGTCTTTGAGAGTAAGACGCCCGCGTGGCGGACGGGCCAGCTTGGCACTTTCCAGGACCGTCTGCAGGAGGTCGAGCGTAAACAGGGCGATGTGGAAACGACTCATGAGGAGGCGCCTTCTGCTCAGATGGCTGCGAAGGGGCAGGGGCCCACTGCACCTGACGAGAAGGTCTGAGATATAGACTGTCTTGTTTGTCAGCCGTGACTTGGGATCTGCGCCTCCCTCTACCTGTTCAACCCAAGTTGGGATACCCCTACGGATAGTGCGGCCCATGGTAAATTGTTAGGGTAGGGTACACTAGCTATGACTTTGAATGAATGCGTATGTAATGACCAATGATTTCCAAAGTGCCAGTGTAAGCTTCGAACGAGCTCGCTCGATCCTAGATTGTTCACAAGTGTGATGAGATGCCTGGCCTTCGGGGGCGCAGTCACATCCCTTGCGGATGTCTTTTCATTGTAGCTTTTCTATGATATTGTTGAATTCCCTGCGATTTGCACCTCCCCCCCTCCCCCTTCTCCTGAGTATACAGCACGCAATAGAACGCGTTCATCGTCTTCAATGTCAAGGTGTGACCCAAATAGCTGAAAACCTACTATTGAGGTCCAATTGCCTACTTATATATACTGTGATTAGCTTTCTTATCAAGCCTCAAAAATAAGCATCTAATTGACCAGATTACGCATAAGTTTCTAAAATTGCATTATTGTAAACATTCATTTGGATCGATAAAAAGTTGAAGACGCAGGTTAGGCCTGGATTTTGCTGTGTTCTCTGGGAATTCGAGGGGTGCAGGGATTCCCAGAGAAGCAGGCGGTCTGCGTTGGTCCAATCGCGCCGACAAGCCTGAACCGGCTTCCGCAGCGACACGTTCAACCCCAGATTTCGCATCTCAGTCTCATTCAACAGATGGACCCTTCCCTTCGCAATCCCAAGGCACCATGACCAACAACTAGCAGACACCTTATCTAAGCCGCTCATACCATAAGTGCGCCAGCACAGCTAATCTACTGGAGATGCATCTCGCCATACGCACCGCGTCAAGGGTGCGCGGCGCCTGTAATTGCCGGGTTTTCACGGCAGCACCATCGACCGGTGTACGCCACGCCTCGAATGTCTCCAGGGAAGAATTCACCAAGGAGGTCATTGGCACAGTAATTGGCCCAAAGAAAGAGAAGGCCGACACGAAGAAATCACTCCGCCGTCATCCCGACGCGCAAGCGGGATCTAAGGTCAAGGTCAGGAGAGTTCAAGCGCCACCCCACGTCCGCCCCGAGAAGAAGAAAAAGCGCAAGGTCCCCAACAGGAATTATGACTTGTTCATCAGGAAGCACTTCTCCCGCACCGAGATAGACGGGAAACCAGGGAGAGTCTCAGCGCAAATGTGGCCGGAGAGACCATTGGCTGTGTTTTCACGCCGGCGCGCTCTGAATCTTCTGAATCTTCCAGCTGCGACGACCGCCAAAGATATTATTCTGTCGCTTGAAAACGCTGCACACGAACACAAGATCTCACAAAGGTCAGATCGCGCGGCAGACATCAAGATTAAGCCCAGATCAGACAGCTCAGAGGCGGTTGACGCCACGGTCGATTTCCTGCACCCTGACGGCGCGCAGGCTTTCCACGACTTGGCCGTCAAGGGGCAGCTCAAAGTACGAGGTGTGGTGCCAGAAGTGTCATTGGACGATGCAAGAGATCCATCAGAGGTTCCACGCCCGTCCGGGGAAAGGGCCATCGGAGAAGTACCCGACCAAGACCGCGCGGAATTCTACTCGTCGCCGGAGCTTCGAAAGATTGCACGACGGACGACTCTAATCTACAATTGAAGCTTGAGATATCACATATCGGATATCGGTAACTCCACCAAATCTCGATGGTGGCGCAATAAACATCACGCCAGAGGGGGGAACAGGGCACGGGCTGATCGCGGAAAACGATGTGGGCCAAGGATGGAGCAGCCGAGTACATGGAGCCGCAGGTGATTAGCCTCAAGGTTTGACGCTGTGGGTTCCTGGAGCTTTGTCGAGTCAGGGCAACGACCGACGAAGTACAGGGGCAAGGGCATCCGAGCACTGACTGGCACGGCTTGGGAATGTCTGGCTCACAACTGAGAGTGTCACCAAACAACAAAATACTATGCGATATGTTTTGTGCAAGAAAACACGGAGGCTGCACAACTGGGCTCATGAGGTCGAAGGATGGCCAAGGTTTCCCGCAAGGCTCAATGAACTGCAACTTACAGAGACGTTCAGTCAGTAAGAAGCATGATCTGGGGGTCTCTAATTGCCCAAAGTGTATCATTGCATCACAAGTCACAAGAAATCAGGCAAATGGAAACATCACGATCTCCTTGTCGGGTCAACAATAGCTGGCAATCTCGAGGATTTTCCTGAGTTTCAGCCATTTCGACCTCTTGGAAACTAAGCCCCTGCAGTCTAAGGATAACGAGAATGCCAGGCTTGAATAAAGGCTCTGTTGACTTGGACAGAAACCAAACCATCCATTGTTTGTGACTCATCAGACAAAGAGCGACGGTATGGGCTGCTTTGAATTGCATCTCTATGGCGAGGTGTTGAAAAGCGCTTGGTGCAGTCACACGAATTGCGCAAGGCCATCGAACAAAGCACTTCGGTACGAACAAGGAACTCTGAGGCTGTCTGGAAGCTTGCCGCAGGCTGTTTCCCGTCACTTGTTCTGCTGAATCCCCCAAAGTGACTGATCATACCACGCGCGTGGACGTTGATAAAGCGATCTCCCATCATGAACCATACAATTTCAAAAGGAGGAAGTGGAGTTTTGGCCTCTTCGGATCACCGCATTTCTGGATACCACGTTGTCATGTTCTCAGAGACAGAGTCATGCCCGTACATCTTTACCTCCAAATGGATCAGCCACGAGGACAGCTGCGCCGCCGTCAATCACGATTGCATCACCTGCAAGTATTGCATGGCCAACATCAACTACTGGGGTGCAGTTGACGATTACATGAAGACGGAGTTGCCGACTACTAGTCGACATTCGAGCCCATACAAACTGAATCAACCTGGAGTAAATGAGAAGAAGACGAATACACAAATAGCACGTAAAAGTGGGCAGTCAAAGATTCCGGCTACAACAATCAAATCATTGGAGACACGTTCATGAAGCCAAAGAGACAAGGCGAATGGAGGATGAGTCGTTAAATGAGTTCAATCAATTTTTCATGACAATATGACCTCGACACACCTGAGCAGGTTGAATGTTGTCCCGTTGTCCTTCATCTACACTGTAAGCACTGCCCGCTGGTGAAGCTTCTCCACGTTCTAAAGTTTGCGCGGATCCTCTAGAGGGGCGTACTAACATGGCGATGAGCATGCTTTCCCTGCGCATCACTATGAGCTTGCGTACGAGCTTGATTAACTCTGACTCGATATGGGCACTAGAAACAAGTGCATAGGCATGTGGGGGCCAGAAGACAGAAGCGCCTTTGAATTTCCCAAGTCGGGATCGGCACTGGGTGTGGAAATTCAAACACGCATTGATTTTGCTTGGATCGAATGTAATTGACACAGGGGTGGATCCAGCGCCCGCGGTAACTCGAAACGGGGTGGAGTCGAAACATTGGAAACATTGGGAAATCCGCCGCCTTGGCGTCATCCGGATATTTCGCCTGCGGCACTCACTGAGTAGGGGGATCGGAGGCTGACTCCTGCTTCTGTCCACCGGGAAGGATGATCATCGAATCTGGCCCGGTGGTCTGGATGATGGGAAAATGTTTATCTATGTTCTTGGCCTCCCTTAAGATGCGGCTTTCTTGTCCTTCTCTCTCCAGCAACTTCTTCATTATCAGCCCAGCCTGAAAGTTTTCACTCCTTTTTGTCTTTTGGCATTTCTCACTCGCTTTTCCGTCTTTCTGCATTGAACCCTGGAATTACACGATACCGGTATCGTGTATTTGGTCCTGCACATCCCCCTTGTCGAAGACACACACGCTCATTTGCTTGCCAAGACCAAGACAAAATGCGTGTTGCACAATACTACGCCACGGCTCTGCTTGCCGCAGTGTCCGCTGTCTCGGCCCAGGCCGTCAAGGGAACCGCGTACGGTTTCGCCAGTGGTGTCACAGGAGGTGATGGCGGCGAGGTCTCAACGCCCACGTCCACCTCCGAGCTCGCCGACCTGCTGTCGGATGACACAGCCCGCGTGATCGACCTCACCCAGACCTTTGACTTCACCGGCACAACCAAGACCGCCTCCGGCTGCTCGCCATGGGGCACGGCAGCAGCCTGCCAGCAGGCTCTTGACGCGGCTTCCGACTGGTGCGGTCGTGAGCAACCGGATGCTCCTGCGGCTTCTAACCTGAAGTACGACACAGCTGCCCTGGATGCGCTGAAGGTCGGCAGCAACAAGTCCATCATCTCCTCCAACGGAAAGGGTGTTCTGAAGGGCAAGGGTCTCAGCCTCACCTCCAAGGCCAAGAACATCATTATCCAGGGTATCACCATCACTGACCTGAACCCCGGCCTGGTCTGGGGAGGTGATGCTCTCGAGCTCGATGGCAACGACGGTGTTGTAAGTGGACCAAGATGCAGAAAACGTTCAGATTAACACTTGCTGACTCTCATTTGTAGTGGATTGACCACTGCAAGTTCTCCCTGGTTGGACGTATGTTCATCGTCGCCCACTACAACCCATCCCGTCTCACCATCTCCAACACTGAGTTCGACGGTGAGACCACCACGTCCGCTACTTGCAACGGCAACCACTACTGGACGATGATGTTCTACGGAGATGGTGACCAGGTCACCCTTGACCGCAACTACATCCACGACTGCTCTGGCCGTGCCCCCAAGCTCGGTGAGGACGGCAAGACCTGCTACGTCCAGGCTGTCAACAACCTGTTCTCCAACATGGAGGGTCACGCCTTTGAGGCCTATGTAAGTGTCCAATTCCGTGTAGATCCCTTCCAAGTTCTATAGCTGACTCCAAAACCAGGGCTCCGCCACTGCTCTCATCGAAGGAAACGCTTTCGAGTCCGTCTCTCAGCCCTTCGACACGAACGCCCAGGTCGACACCTGCTACACCGTCGCCGACGCCAGCGCCGCCAGCGCCTGCTCCAGCTCCCTGGGCCGCGCCTGTCTCCAGAACACCCTCACCAGCTCCGGCGACTGGCCCTCTCTGGGCTCCACCTCGGCCCTGTCCGCCCTCGCCAAGTACAAGGACTCCCTCATCACCCCCATCGCTGTCTCCGAGGCCCAGGCCTACGTCCTCGCCAACGCCGGCCCTGAGAACCTGGCTTCCTACAGCGGCTCCGACTCCGGCAGCTCTTCCACCGGCGGCAGCGCCACCGGCGCTGCTACCTCTGGTGCTGCCCAGCCCACCGCTTCCGCCAGCGGCAAGTCCAAGGCTTACCGCTACTACAAGATGTAAAGTGGCGTCTTCGGCAGGCTTCTCTCATAAAGGGAACACGACAATTTTGGCTGTAGATATTACCGCCCCCCTCTATGTATATATTCTCCGGCTTACCTCTCTCTTGAGGTTCCGGCTTCAGTCTCAAAGAGACGTAGAATTTTAACTTCATTCAAAGACCATTATTAAGCTTGCTGTTACCAGCCTCAGTCGTGTGAATGTGATGTATCCCTGAATCGTGAAAACGTTTACCCTCACCCTGGAATTGGATACAAAACTGCAGAGACTTGCATGGAAGAAAAATCAGACTTTTTGCCCCGTAGAGTGAATTCCGTAGTGAAGTCTGGTGTATATGAAGGAGTGTTTGAACTTCCCGTCGTTGGACTAGTGTTTCTTCGTTTCGACTCCGGCAAAGCTTAAAAACCCATGTCCTGCATGATGATGCGCGCGGTCGAGTCATACGGATTCGCGTTCAGTTCGGACGATCTACAACCGTGCCCCGACCGCTCCACCGATGTCCAGATCGACTCCCGTGCTCGCTTGTCTATGCAAAAGATCTTTTGGCGAGATGAATACGGCGACTTCCCAAAGAGGCGGGATTTGGCGCCGGAATATTCACAGCATGCGAAAGTGGGCGAGCAGGGGCCTCAATGCACGCATGTGGCTAGGCCACGCGCCAGGCCGGACTGGGTCTTTTATACGTGTATCAGCGTGGTGCGAAGTAAACAAGTGGATCAGAAGTCTAACTCTATCTTATCATCAGAACTTTTGACCGTAGAGGGCAGACTCGACCGAAAGCTTAATACCGATGAGTTTGAGTTCCAAAGGCCATCCTGTACAGCTAGGAGATTGAGTAAGTGCGTTGTTTGCACAAGCTAGGGGGAGCATAAGCATGGACCATTTGACAATATGCTTAATTGATTGGCATTTGTAAGGCCGGATAGACTTCTGTGTAATATATAATACAACGTTGTTATTACCGCTGAGCCGGGCGAGTCGGCTCCGGCTCGTGTAGACATTGTGCTTATGGACCCACCCGCTCACTGCATTAAGACCTTCGATGTCACCCAAATGTTACCTATTATCGGCATTGGTGAATTGGTATATAAAGTGTGAATTCGCCAGGGTTAGTGTGAGGTGGTACGGCCAAGTCTGGGTGAGAATGTGCTTGAAAGGCCGTATCTGAGGGCTCTGTCTTAAGAGGCCAAGCTGATGAGAAGGGGGCAGTGCAGATGGTGATTTTAACCACTCATTTTGACTGGTCTACACCAGTCCCAGTGCGTGCCGCCGTCTCCGCGCCTAGCCTTGATCTCTCTGTTGACCGTCGCCATCTGGTATCGGATCTGCAAAGATCAATAGTGCTGTCCTGCGTACCTGAGAATAGCATCAGTTGACAACAAATGTCATCCCACTTTTTCCCGCCCAGGGAAAAAGAGCAGGCGCTGGCAGAGCTGGCAGGGGCTTTTGAAACGAGACATTGACGGAGCAGGGGTGGTTCAGCGCTAAAGTGGGCCTTGCATTGTCGCGAGATTGTTTCTTGGCCAATTATTCCGAGGCCCTCTTTGTCGAACCGTGCTGTCTGGCCCCGACGTCAAACTTCACCCTGCATACAATGGACTGGCGCGTTTAGCCAGACATGAAATGACTGGCGACCACGATTCGGCCTTCAGACGCGGCTCGCACATCGCCAAGTTGACGTGTGGCCGCTTTGTGCGCCACTCGATTTCAGCGCGGCAACAATACGACATCCTCACAAAGCATTGTTTATTCTCGTCAGTTTGCCCCTATGCAAGATATTTAGAAGTTTGAGCAACACTCTTTGCGCCAGACTTCAAATTTCTGTCCATTTATTGTCATTTGGCATCTTCACAAGCAGCTCGTTTCCTTATTGTTCTTCTCTCGACTACATATTCTTGTACGTCGCTAAGCGCATTCACCCTACAACCCTCGGTCGACTGTCTCGAAAAGGGCCCACATCTCTCATCCCTTCATCTATTCAATTAGCGTCACATCATACCAGCTGCGGGCCAGCAAATCAAGTTAACACTATACGAATAATAATCATGGCCATTGCCAAACTCCTCCCCGTTCTCCTAAAGAACAAGAACACCATCCTCGAGGATGGGCTGGACCCCCGAGCACACGCTCAACGAGGCGCCAACACCGGCATCTCTTACGGAAAGAAAGCCGCGACAGCCCCACTCAAGGCATGGGAGAACATCCCCCGTCTCGTCGTCAGAGGCTTGCAATTCGTGCTGGGTCTGGTCATCGTGGGACTCTACGGCCACCGCGTCGACAAACAGCACCAGGAGGGCGGCCTGCACTCCCCCGAATGGATTTACGGTCTGATCGTCGGGGCGCTCTCGTGCGTGACGGCCGTTGCGTTTGCCGCCGCAGCGCCATTCGGCACGGTGTCGAACAAGTTCAAGACCGCCCGGCTCTTCTCCTGGGACTTGACGCTGTTCCTCCTGTGGATCATCGTGTTTGGAATCTTCGGCGGGATCTTCCTCCACCGGGACAACGATGACTCGTACAAGGGCAGCAGCACCGCTGTCGAGAAGGGGGCTGTTTGGCTGGACCTTGTCAACGCCATTTTCTGGCTGATCTCTGGGGTCTACGGATTCATCAAGACCTTCCTGGGTGGAAAGGTTGATACCCTCGGAGAAAAGGTCACTGGAAAGGTGTTCGGACAGAAGGAACCTCGGCCAAACAAGGAGATGTACGAGACGGTCTAGCACGTGCCGCCGCTCACGTCTTCGCTAGAATGATCTGTAATAGTATATCGGGCAATCTGCTCATCAAATGTAATAATATCATATTCTTCTATTTACAAGATTACCAAGTATCCTTCATGAGACATGAGATTCAGAGCACTGTCTTGGATGAAATGGTGGAGTCGCGTCCTTGAAGACTCATTATATCAACATTACTAGTGATCGACTTCAAAGATCCGGTGAGAAGTATTGTTACCAGCATGAATCCACTTTGTTAACGCTGAATTGGTGAAATCTATTGGAAGGATGTCTAAACTATCTGTATGGTCATAACAAAAAGCACTACAGAAAGGGTGGCCCCCAGACTGTATATTGAAGTAGTCGAAGAGGCCAAACTATCAACAGTCCGCACGACGTTTTCAGTTCCGACCCAAGCGTTGAAATTTTGCATCCCTGTTTCGCCGCAGCCTCCTATACTCATCCCCTGAATTTGGGCTATGATGCCATCGTCCCGAGATAATGAAACTACCACATCCGAGGATTCGTCCGGGTCTGGGAGGACCGGGACAGTATAGGAGCCATGGTAGACCCCAGGACCGCTAGCGGGCGACCGAGTTGCATCCCAAGTGGCTTGCACGAGATTGTCGCCAACCTTGACGGTGATATTGGCAGGCGATGCCAGAACAGCGTCATAGTAGATTTTGATACTCCCTAGCAAGTCGACAGAGTATTCCGTTTGACTATGAGTGACAGTGTTCAGGGTGGTATTTGCTGCGCTGCAGTTCGAGCCTCGTTCTGGAGCTGCAAAAGAGCCATGCAAGTTAACCTCTGTTCATAGCTCTGAAGAGTCTGGGAACAAATTCAGCAGTACTTACTGTAGTACGCTGTGAGACTCTCTTGTGTCACATCACTTGTTCCATTCTTGTACATCGAGATGAACGCAGGGAGGACATTGCGCCAACCCTCGTGGGGCATGGTGGAGACATAGTCATAGAGGGCCCCCGTTGTCATAGCAGGAGAACTGTGCAGAGGTCCGATGTAGTGGGACTGTGTATGAAGTCAGTGAACCGGCTCTATATTTGGAATTGAGAAGGATTCAATCTCCGCTCATGCAGAACATACCTCGCCAAAGTCATTCCAACTGATGATCTGAACATAGGCGGGGCCAACGTTTATAACTTGGGCCCAACGATCCACCCAAAGATTGTCTGAGCTAATTGAGGAGGAGAGTTAGTGAGCGTCAAAGAGCGTCAAATAGAGAGCGCAGAAATGTTTGTGAGCACGGGTGAGACCTGAATGGAAGATGAAGTGCATGGACCATCCAGGCAATTGACACTTACTTCCATACCCAATTCTTGCTGTATCCTGGCAGGTTGGTGTAAAACCAGGGAGAGACTGCCATCATGTATTTTGATTTGTCAATCACTGACAAGTACGTCTCGTCCATACTGCCATCCATTAGCCTGACACCATTCGGCCACGCATCCCAGCTGAAGAGCCCATCAGCAACGTTGTCGGCGGCATCCCAGGCATCTTGTGCGCCCAGAGAGGACCAGTCTGGGATTAGGAAGCAATTTGTTTCTGATTTGATGTCCACCCAATCCGTAGCGTTGGAACCGCCCTCGAAGGTAGACACCAAAGGCTGCGAGTTCTCGGTAAAGTAAGCGCCATTGGATTGGTATTCTCTCATCAGCGCAAGGACGTCTTCCTTTGGCCAAGGCCCATTGCCATCGTAGTCGAACGAAAAGAACAGCCTGAAGCCAGCGGTGTTGGCGATCTGGAAGGCTAGCGGAATTTGTCTTTCATTCGCAGTTCCATTGTACGCAATGTTCAGGGCAAAGGCATCTATCAACGCTTCTTGGGCCAAAGAGATTTCTTTCTCCCAATCTGACGAATCGAAAAGTGCAGTATTGTCAACCTGTGTCTTCCATTCAGTACTGTTTGACTCAAAGCTTGGCCTGCAGAACTGTGTGCTGTGCAAGGAGACAAGATGGAACCTACCAGAAAATGTGCAAACACAGCCTTTGAGAGAACATGAAATGGGCACAGAAGTCCCACCAGTATAGTGGAACACCTCATTCTGACTGGCGATAGGGCAAATCTTGAAGGAAAAGGGTATCATCAAAAAGGAAAACCGAACTTCGCGAGCACCAAGGAAAAAGACCAGTTAGGTAGCATTGGACTAAAGACATATCTTAATTATATTGGATTTCTCACGAGGCGCTTCGCCTTGCTGACTGCCTGCACGCGTGCTGCATGTGTGGTATGCCACTATTTTCGAGCTTGCCCGTATTGCGACAACACGGCCCACCAAATTGGATGTGTTGGCCGAGGGTGCATGCTCCGGCCCTTCTAGCCGAGTGTAGTTGCACCAATTTTCTCCGGGAGACTGTCCCGTTTGAAGCGCTCGCTTAGATACGTAGGATCAATTTGCATGAACTGCTAGAAACAACGTAAGACCTGCCTGGCTACCAGCAGCTTGGATGTGTTTCGTGAGCAGTTCATTGGCGATTACGAGCACGTGGTGGACCACGAGAGCCTATGTTGAGAGTTAGAGCTCTCAGTTCCACCTGGATACGGGAATGTATGGGCCATGCTGCCTAAAATCAGTTGACTGTTCAATTAGCGCCCGAGTTTCATGCAGGACGACCAGCCCCCAATGATTCTTCGTGATGATGCTATCGTTAGCTTTGATAAGAGCCTTGAGGCTATCCACCCACCCTTGACCCAAAGCAGCAGTATCCTTCGACGATAACGGCCAAGTCCCGATAGCCTCAACATGTTGGCGTGAAAACTTTTTTCTAGCGGAAGAGCAGATATAACGCAATCAGTCACGAAAGATGAGTTTTAGAACTTTCGTGCAGCGTAAATCACACACTACAGAGAATAGTGACTTGCCTAAATATAACATTAACCCCTAGGACTTCTTGTCATGGTCTCAGCGATGCCTCTTGAACCCACGCTCTTGATCCAAATGTCAGGGTAAAGACTAGAAGCGGCGCAGCGGTCAGACGGGTGCCACAACATGAGAAATATGGGAATGCGCCAAGTGACCGGATATTATCCCGACTTAGGGCGGCTACGGAAACTGACCAAGATGAGTCGGCAGCTTTGCTCCCAGCCTCGTGGATTCGAGGAAAGAAAATCCAATACAGGACGCAGAGTAGCGCCTGAACAATGCGTTGAAATGCTATCAACAAAGTAGTCACTTGAGACAGACCTTGTTAGTGTCAAACGCTGTGGGCAGCTGTCCGTGTCTACAACTCCTTCATCAGGGTGATGCCATGTTCGCTCCTGCCTTTTCTGTATCTCCCCTGTCACTATTCTCTTGGCGAAGTGAGTAATTGAGCCTAGCGGTTCGACCTTTCGATGATGCGTGCCATGTCCCACACATACACACCATGAGATGATACATGAGAGCAGAGCCCAGGGGTTCCCAGGCATCCAGAGTTAGTCAAAAGGGCTTTAACGTCGAACATTCAATCATGGAAATAATCAAACAATCCACGAAATATCGAGGATTCGCAGACATGACACTGTTGGTGACAACAAGACGAGGTCCTTGTAAAAAGCAACGAATGGTGTTGAGATTCATCAGCTCGAGGCCCTCGGAATCCAAGTCAATGAACAGCGCCATTTTTGCATTGAGAAATGCAGCGGATGACGCATAAGAAGGATAATAAACAATCGAGCGGCTATTCATGCAGGCCACACTCCTCTACTTTCCTTCCAAGACCGCTCAAACAGGGCTAGGCTGGTCTTCGGCCAATGCATCTACTCCGATCATATTGGCTCGTCTAAGTCCGCCAATATGTATATACACTACAAAGGCTGTAGAAATTGATGGTGATGAGATTGTTGGATGGGTCACTGCAGGCACTTCCAATGCCTATTTTTGATGTCATTCAGACGTAGGCCTGGGCTATAAATATTGATACATATCTATCCTCCGTTCAAAACGGAACTTATCGATCTAATGCCTATGAAGTCAATGATTGAGAAGATCAGTAGTTAAACGCTAATAAAGTAGATCCTGAAAGCCTAATACGGGGAGAACCTGGATCGGTAGGAACATCTTGCTCCCGGCACAGCTTATGCGTCCCAACTTGTGCGGGGTCAGCTTTGATTGATACTCTCAAGACCACGGCATTTTGGCCATCATGGGCTTCTCTCTTACTGTGCACACTTCTCCAGTGTTGCAAGTACGAGCAAATTCCTCGACGAACAATGGCAGATATTAGCGAATGTGCGGCCCGGCTGGCCTACCAGCCTGAAGCCCGCTATCCTGAGAACCCTTTCTTCAAAGGCCCTGAAGCACCCTGCCGTTTTGAGGCTGAGATTTACAACTGCATGGTTCGAGGAGAAATTCCTCCTCAGATTGATGGCACCTATTATCGAGTCATGCCGGATGCGTTGTGGGCTCCATTGTACGACGACGACGTGTTTATCAACGGTGATGGAGCTGTTGATGCCGTGCGTATCAAAAATGGGCACGCAGACTTCAAGCAGAAGTTTGTGCGGACGGAGAAGTTCACAATCGAACGCGCCGCCAGGAGTGCGGTATACGGCAAGTATAGGAATCGGTATACTGACGATCCGCGAGTCCGGGCGCGCTGCCATGCGACTGCCAATACACACGTGGTATACTTTGAGAATCAATTATTGGCACTAAAGGAGGATTCGCTACCATACGCAATGAACCCAGATACTCTAGAGACTAAGGGCAAGTTCAATCACGAATCTGAGTCGACAATTTCTGACTTTTACAACTTAGGTGCTTACAACTTTCACGGACAATACACATCACCCACCTTCACGGCTCATCCTAAAGTCGACCCTCACACAGGTGAGATGATTACTATGGGTTACGAAGCAAAAGGAGATGCCACGACGGACGTGGCATATTTCTTGTTTGACAAGAACGGACGAAAACTCGAGGAGTGCTGGTTTCAAACCCCGTTCGCGGGTATGATGCATGACATGGCTGCGACCGACAAATACGTCGTATTCATTCTTACTCCATTGACTAGTGTGTCCCTCGACCTATTGAAGGAGGGTCATAAACACTTCGCGTGGTCCGAGGAAAAGCCTCTGACCTTCGGGGTTTTACCGCGTCGGAACCCCAAGCCAGAAGACATCAAATGGTTCCATTACAAGAATGCATGTAAGTACTTTTTCGTGGGTGTTCAACTCTCGGACAAGATGAGACCCTTCACGAGCCCCCTTTGCACTTCATTTTCGCAGGACCAACCCACTTCCGTCGCGGTACACAGGTCTTGCATTGAACGATGAGGAGCGGTTCTCTCTCATTGTTATTCTGCTCTAAGATCAATAAAACTATAAGCTGATGCTGGTCTTTGCAGTCTATGGCCACACCGGCAACGCCTTCGACGGTGATGATGGCTGTGTCTACTTGGATGCTCCATTGACTTATCATAACAAGGTATGCCTGGATGAACATCATCTGTCTCATTCAGTTCTAAAAACAAGAGTATGTAATAATTGGAACTTAGTTTTGGTTTTTCCCACCGATCGGCCAGAACATGCACACAGCTCCAAGCGCAAAACCACCCAAGGACAGCACCATCAGCCACTACGTGCGATGGAAATTCGACCTTAATTCCACCAACCCCTCTGTCGAGCCACAGGAATTGGTGAACTTGGATGGGGAGATGCCCAAAGTTGATGCAAGATACGAGACCAAACCATATAGCCACCTGTTCCTTGCTATGCACGACCCGAACTCCCATGAACCTGCTATTGGAGGGGCGTATAACTCTATTGCGAAATGCTCGATCGAGACTGGCAAGTATGAGTACTGGTCAGCTGGGAAGTCTACAGCCCTGCATGAAGTTGCATTTGTTCCCAGGTCATGGGATGGTAAGATCATTCAACCTTCATAACACAACGAAAGAGCGTCAGCTAATTAAATTGGTACTATGCCCGTGCAGCCCCCGAGGCTGATGGATACTTGATCTCGGTAGCGAACAGAAGGGACAAACTTCTCACCGAGATAATAATTCTAGACACTGCCAAGATTGCTGGAGGCCCAATTGCTATTATCGAACTCCCGTTCAGGCTTAGAGCTGGGATCCATGGCAGCTGGGTGATGGGCGAAAACCTGCCTCAAGAGCAGGACTTCTGTGATATGCACGGAATCAGTGAAGAGATTAAGAGGGAATTTGGAACCCCATCTTCTGAAACGAATGGCGCCAGCCGTGAAAGAACCAATGGTAGTGTCTGAGACGCAAGAATATTCGTAACGAACAAGAAATGAAACGATCGTTGCTGTTGAATCAATTTCGGACCAGAGCTGTTGAGATAAACTCTGACATCGGACCTATTAATTCGCTTTACAGACTCCCGCGCCTCTGCGGAAAAAGTATCCAACTATCTTGACCTTCCGAAAATGTGACCCATCTCTAACGTCGTCAATCATAGTTGACCAACAGGGTAAGACGCTCAGACAACTGTTACATCCTGATCGTGAAATCGTATCACTCATCTGTTCAAGACTCAAGACAGGTCAACCTTTACTGCAACCACATTCTCAGAAGAGAAACCAGTCACATAGAGCCAGGCCTTCTTCTTTCCGTCTTCCTTCTTGGGATCCACCGCAACCAGAACTGCAGTAGCAGCATTCCTAATGTTAGTGCCGTCGTCTTCCCACAGCAATTTCTGATCCCATGCTCCCGTGACATTTTTACTGGGTGTGACATGCCAGGCCATTACACCCTCCTTCCCTAAGGGATCGTGGCCAGTTTTGGAAAGATCCATCCCCCTGGTCAAACCTGGTAGCACAAAGCCACTCGCATCGTTGCCCACCTGAGAGTACGGGTCTGAGAAGTAGCTCGGGTTGTCAGTGGTAGAGTCAAGATCGACCGTCTCCGCGACGTCAATGGACTTTGCGTCTGATGATCCCAACTTGCTGATCCACATATAGCCACCGGCGGCACTGGTCACTAGGATCTCATCTGCTGACCTCCCGTGCCCCAGTCCGTTCGGGTTGTGGAGATTGTCCAGCGCCACGCTCGCCTGTACCGTGCCATCGTCGGATACAGCTGCCCAGATCACGTTTGACCACTTCGCACCGGGCCACAGATCCTCGAGGTATCGCAGGTTGCCTTCATAGTAGTAGTGGTCATTAGTGACATAAAACTCTGTCTGACTGAGGGCGTAAATATCATTGGGCGTCTTGATGAGCGGGTGGGCGATGGTGCGGATGTGCTTGACCGAGCCTCCGCCGATAGTATGGTGGAATACCTCGATCCTGGAAGTGGCTTTGGGAGCTGTGCCTGTGTCGGATTCTGGAGTGCTTCCATCCCGCGGGTAGACGGCCTCGTTTGGCACATGGTTGACAGCCAAGATGTAAACAGCTTCCGCCTCTGGCTTCTCTGGGTCTGGAATAACGTCGATGCCGTGCGTGACAAAAGGCCCTTCGAAATTTTCGAAGGTGAGCCTCTTGGACTCCCTGGTCTGTTTGGTACGTCAGCAGGTCTGTGTCTACACCTGCGTTAATATGCGGGCCTGTGAACCAACTTACTTCTGGATCAATGATGTGGATTGATCCCTTGCTGTTCCATGCCACGCTTGCATCATTGTAGAAACCTAGAGGTGGGAACCACTGGAAACGCGTCGCGCTCACATCCTCGCACGCAGTGAAAAGAGTGTGGGCAGGAGCGTAGTAATGAATATCCTCGCAATGAATTGTATCTTTTATGATGACAAGATCGTCTGGGTTGGCCAGTGGCATCGAGTTGAGTGATCTGAATGCACCGATCTTGGTGAGGACTCGATGAGTGGGCGGCCCGTATAAGAAAGCTGCCAGGCCCGTCAAGCCGGCCATTAAAACTCCAACGGTCGCCATATTGTCAGCGTCCAGCAGAGTTTCTGCGTCGTCAAGTTGATATTGTGGAATAGATGGAATAGATTCTTGTTTAGGGCGACGTCCTACTCTCGGCCAAGTCGAGTCCAGTACCTGGTATGTCTCACATGTGCAAGCTTGATGAGGGGATATAGAGTTTCCAAGCAGTTTTAGACGTCACCGAACTAATTAGTAAAGCACACCCGTCTTTAGGTCTGCCGAGCGCATCTGGGGTCATAGCCGGAGGTACATAGTGGACCTGGTGAACAATGCGGGGAACAAAGTCTCCACAAGTTGTGCTCCCGGCTGGTCAGGTTGGAAAGGCCCGGGTATCCTTGTTCTACAAAGTCCGGCGGGACTGATACGTCGAATGGATGTGCCTCGAGAACTCAAGATGTCTTTACGATAAGCTATTGCTATGCGTTTAGGTCAAAGCTTTGTACGATGTCTATAATAAACTAGTGCTTATATGGTGGCTAGGATGCAGGATGAACGTCAACTTTGCGCTCCACACTTGATGACGTTCTCGACGGAGTAGGAGACGACTTGGTATGAAGATGAGGCGAATTTGTTCGATATTTGCAATTTTCCCGAGTGATAAGTGAGACTCCGGGCATGTCGGCTCGCGTGTAGGAATGAAAATCAAGTATTTTCAATATGCATGAGACAACTAACACTCAGAAAGCGATTACAGAGATCGATCAGGATTCAATGTTCAGCGAAGGAACGTGAGCGTATTTGCAAGCAGGTGCTCAGAAATGATGGTAGACACTGGACGCAAAGCGAGGACTTGGTGATTAGCTATGTAAATAGGCAGGACTAACGAAACCCTTCAAAACTGGCATCTTGGAGCATACGGAGCCTTGCTGTTGAGGTGAAAACAACCAAACCGCAGACACCAGGGAAATAAAGAATAAATGCATCGATTGTGGAATTATCCCGAAGTATTGAGGTTCTCCCCCAAGCACCTCGAATCTAGGGTCCTCTTGTCTTTGTCATCGCAGGCATGAGAACCCTCCAAAAAAGTTGTTGATTGCTCCCCAGTCCAAGGCTCAATGTGAGATTTGACACGGATCCCATCTTCCGTAATCATTAATCGTGACCTCCCCAGTGGGAGCCAAATGTAGCAATTCTGCTCCTTGAGCCACAGGAAATTCTTTGCCAGTCCCCAAATGCCGATATTTCACTCATTTCCCAGCTCACTCTCACCTTCCCGACCATCAGACTCGAAAAGGCTTCGCTTTCGCTTTTTGCCGGGCTCTCCCTTGATCTGTTGGGCTCGAATATTGCCTTTTACCTTCTCCCACTGAAGTCGGCTCACGCAAGACGCCGGGATGTATTCCTCGATCAGGTACTCGTGCTCGAAGGCTGACGCCTTGCGCATGGCAGAGCGACCAAGCGTGGCCAAGATATCATTGACTTTCCACACTTTTGACTGCTCCCGCCACTCTTTGTCCATTTTGATCACGAGGACCTCAATGCCGCTGAAGCCGTTGCGCTCGTACCACCTGGCGACATTGACGGCCTTGGAAAGATGGCTGGTAGTAGACATGAAAGGGCTTGGATCACGGCGCTTCCAGTTCAGATGACGGCAGAAGTGCTCCATGAAGCTCATCGGATCATTCTTGACGGTTCCGAACCCACGCGAGTACAGCCCATTGCCGGGGTGACAGTCGTGGACGGCGCGATACAGTACGTTGGGCCGGCTCTTCCCAATGCAAGCGCGAATGGGATGGAAGAGGGTAATGAGAGGCTTTCCTTTCTTGAACTGCGTCAAGTTACTGTTTCCAGTGTGAAGATAGGTAGAAGAGAGGATGGTTGCCCTCCTATTCTGTAAATTTGCCAGGTGCCCTGGCCTTAGTATGATCTTGAAAGCATTGGCCCCTTTCTTTTTCTCGGACTGTTTGGTGTCGACCACCCATCCATTGACAGGAGAGTTCGCCTCGATTGCGTAAACTTCCTGGTCAAACAGTGCAACAAATGTTACACTGTCTCCCTTGATCTCTCCATCGTGACCAGTTGATCTGTCCATGCTGGTTCGTGATACGATGAAGCTGACGCGCCAGGTGGCACGTGGCTTCCTAAGATGATGATTGGAAAAGAACTGGAAGTTTCGCTTTAATTTCGTAGGAGAAAAGCAGCGGAAGCCACCTTCTTCTTCCTCAGACAAGTCGAAATGATGTAGGCTTCCTCAAGAGCCGGATTGAGTTGGGTTCGGAGTGCAGGCAATCGTTTTCGGAGGTAAGTCAAGAACTTTTCAAAACTGACTTGAGACCTTCGTCATGTAGTTCTCAAGAGGTGGCGATTTCGCCACGAAGGCTCAACTGAAGTCCTAAACTCCGGTCAAGTGGTGTCTCGAGTGGTTTACGGAGCTAAGACTGAATCTATCGATTAGATGTGAGTGTTGTCCACAATCGTGGAAAGCTCGAGTTCTGATGTGGTCAAAATGTGAGTTTGCGTGGCACGGGAAGGACTAACAGAATCACTTACCGTACGTGACTGCCTTTCAAGTATTTCAAGATAGACTGTTAGAAGATGAGAAGCTGAAACAGCCGAAAGTTGTGAATGATCCTAGACTACTTGGGCGATGCTCCCAATGGCTTCGGCCTAATTCCAACAACACTCGGTCTGAATGAGTGACTGCACGGGTAAGTCCAGGTTTTTGTCGATTTGAATGGGATGACTCTGTTAAGAGCAACCTTGGATTAAGAAATGCCGAGCAAAGTCTTTTGGAGCCGATCCTCACCGTGTTTGTAATGCTCCCTCGATCTGAGGTTGAGCACAGTGTCGCTACGTCAGCAAATTATTGATCGATAGCAGCTAGATCAGTATTTCACTGATCATCGAAGAGCCTTTGTTCCCCAAACAGGAACACGTGGGTACCTTGCCGGTGTATACTGTGAGAAACTTACCACTGCAACGTAAATTGAAGTTTGATGATACCCCTGGCCAAGTACGATGATTGCACAGTACCATGCAAAGTATTACTGAGGTTTGTTTGACAGATGGATGAACCTCCAGCAAGCCTGCTCAGACGTACTTGAGATATGGCACCACAGGCAGGAGCCCATGAAGCTACTGTCTTTAAAGCTTGCTTTCAACGACGGGAGTTTTTTTTTTTGCTAATGCCAAGGGTAGCCTGGATACATCTACGAAATATTGCGTAGGCAATACTGGACGTCACAGCAGCTTTCGACCGGTTCGTCTTCGAGTCTTTGAACCCGAGGCCTTTTGAGCCTTTAGCTCTTTCAAGGACTTGATATGGTAGGCCCACTTGTTACGCATATGCTAGATTTTGGCAACGTACGAGCTGTTGAAAAGATCAGGATTTGACTTGAAAATCCTGACAAGACGGATTCGTCAGGGGTCGAGTTGCATCAGTTAAGGCCTCTGTTCAAACTGCGGTGTCGTACATGCACTACAGGCTGCGATTACGCCCGCTAGCTGCACATATGTCTCGACTACAAGATCTTCGACATTTCCAACGGTCCGGGGCAGTTGCCTCTATCCGTCCCTTCAGCCGTAGCCTGTTTTCTGACAATATGATTGACCCAACTACCGTTTGTCATGGCTAAATTGTTTGTTTTCTGTCGTTTGCTACGTGTTCCTTATGATCCCGTCGTCTAGTACGAATATCTGCGCCGAGGTCTTCTGCCCGTGATGGGAATGATCAAGCACCGGGCACCGTTTGTAGGTATCGGTCAAAGACTTTAGATCGCTGTAGACTGGACAACTTGCGCTGATACGAACAAACGTCCTTGACGGAGACAACCAGCGGCATTCCAATGGAAACCGTCCTGGAGGGAAGATGAGCAGAAGTTAATAACCTGTGAACACGGACAAGTATGACTCGATCATGAATTGTACATTGCCCCAGACTTGAGCGCTTATGTTACATCCTCAGCCGCGTTCGCTCGTAGTGACCATCACTTTCATGATTCAGCCATGCCCGGACATCACAGAAAGTTGATGCCCACACCGACGGAGAGACCTTTGCGTCCGAGCTCTCCTCGCCTCATCACCAATGGCAAGCTAAAGTTGAGTTCAAATCTTGCGACAGGGTGCGCATACACCAGACCAAAGCCTGCCGCTATGCTCGGCAAACCGTTGCTAAGCTCGTTCAGAGCCTTTGTCATGCCGCTCTTCACCGCAGCTGGGCTCATGGCCAGACCCTTGCTCTCCAGTTCGCGAGCTCTACTCTGGTCTTGCAGAGCGACCAGACGGCCTCCGTTTGCGAACAGCTGGAGCCTGAGCGGTGAGTCCACTCCTGTTCGAGGAAGGGGGAGAAGCATATTGACACTGCCCGCCGCGAAGACATCGCCACCCACCGAGTCACTTCCCTCACGAGGGCCCAGACCTCCGAGCTTGAAACCACGCACGTCTGTGGGGCCACCAAGTTGGAAACGATCGTTGATCAGGCTTGGTATGGACTCGCCCTTGGGGGACCAGCCGAGAGGCAGAGGGTAAAGCACACCGAATCGAAGACCTCCGCCTATGGAGATACCGGTCCTGCTACTGCTGACGCCTGGAAGTGGCACCGGGAGTGCTCCGGCGACCTCAACTTCTGATTTCGAGAAAGCGACATCACCACGCAGGGGACCAAACCCCGCCAATTCCGTAATCATCTTTACTAGGTAACCGCTTTGGGGAAGCATTGGGTTGTCTCGGCGATCCCGGGTAAAAGTGTAGGTGAGAGAGCTCTTCATGCTGTCTCCAGCGTCTGCCCGGACCGTGGGCGAAGCGTTGCCGCTCAGCCCAGTGATCTGCCGCCATGCGCCAGAGTATGCGAGATTATGCAAGTCGTTCTGTTTTGACAGCCATGCCGCCTTCAAAGTGCCTCCCTTGACCACCTCTTCATGGCTCGCCCAGGGCTTTTGCGTATCGGATGACAGGCCTTCCACCGACAGCCTCAGATCGGGGTTGCCGTGAACGGGAGCGGACAGTGCTGCGCTGTAGGCCGACCTCGTCCGTGTTCCTGCGCTGGTGTTGATAGACAGCTGCTCGGCCCCACCAAACATGTTCCTGCAGAGCAAGTTGATGTACCCGGAGCCCTCGCTGTTGCCCAAATCGGTACCACCCTTTAGCATGAACCGCGACCTTTCTGCGACGCGTATGGATACATCGATATCAGTCCCGGCGGCGTGGGGGCTCGACTCGCGGGCGTCGGAAAGGTAGACTTGAGGCTCGGGGTGAAAGATGTCGAATCGCTCCAGCTTGGCGGTAGCTTCTTGCACGCCCGCAAGGACCTCCCCCAGAGTTGTGCCGGCATTGCGACTGTTGCTAACGAGAGGGGCAAAGACCGGGTCCAAGAAGCCTTTGCGAGTGTTTTTGGCGCCGTGGACCTCGATGGAGTTGATAGTGGCTGGTCGTTGGAGGTGGTCGCTCAACTGTTGATCACATGTCAGGAGAGTTCTTCTTGTGGTCGCAAGGTTTCAGGGCATTCAGAAGTGGCTGACCAGCTGCAATCGCCTCTGTAGAGCCTGCTGGTTCCGTACGAGGTCGGCTTGGTCCATGTTCTGGGCCTGCTGGCGCAGGATAGCCGCATCGGTCTCGAGTTTCTGGAGAGCTTCGATGGCCTTGCGACAAATTGGTGTTAGCCATTGAAGACAGACAGGCAGCTGAAGGGAGCAGGATGGGTCTGATACGTACAGAAAGGCCACCGGAGCTTTGATTGGAAGCCATGGGCAGTTTCCAAGAGCTCTCTGGCTAATGTGCTCCTTGCTAGATGGTCCAGCAATCTTTTGGATGTCCTGCGAGCCCGGAGTCGCGACTTGGAGAAGATCGCGCTCTCTGCCGAAGTGGCCGTGCCTGTGTGGCTGGTGAGGTACCTGGGTACCTGGGTACTTGCAGCCTCCTGCTCCAGTCGGCCAGGGAAGGCCAAACGTAGCAAGTATCAGTACCTGCAATATTGCACGGATTTGATCGGGAGACCAAGGGTAAATAAAATTGACATTGAAACTTTTGTCAATCGATACAACATTTCACAAATCTTTAATGCATTCCAATACAAACTGTTGGTATGATACCAAATCTCAAAATGGTCGTACGTTCAACGCATTGCTGCGAGTTTAGCCCCCAAGCCTAGACTCCTAGACTCGCTCGCTCGGTGCTAGACAGGCGACTGTGGTACGGTACCATTGCCTGAGCAGGCATTGGGCAGAGCCTGCCGCATGCGTCGCAAGGTGCCACTCTGGACTCGATCCATCCATTCACTCATTCCATCTCGCCGCCCTACTGCCATCACCAACCTCGTCAGCCCGCCTCCTAGAAAGGTTCGCCTCCTCAACCCATCTTCAACCCCGGACAACGTCCACTTCTTGGGGCTCCTTTCCATTTCATTTCGTCATTCGCCGTACCTAGAACGTCGAGTCTCTATTCGCAGTATTCGTACAATCATTTGCGCCCGTTGTCTTCTCCATTTACAAGGGGCGTCGTGACACATTTCCCTTTCTGACCAACCCTTCCCGAGCCGGCCGAACCATTTCCGGGGGACGGCCATCACCATCATCGTTCAATATCAACACCACCATCATCGTCAGGCATTGACCATCACATCATACAGCAGCGCCATGGCTACCAAGGCTGCCCGGACGCGCTTAACGCGCGAGTACAAGACAATGCAGAAAGAGCCCACACCTTACATCGTCGCCCACCCTTGCGAGTCCAATGTATTAGAGTATGTTCTCCTCTCCTTCTCGTGCACTCCTGGCGTCGCCACCCTTGGATCTGACCTTGCCATGAATTTGACTAACCACATCCTCAACCAGATGGCACTACATCATCACCGGTCCTCCCGACACACCGTACCACAACGGCCAGTACTGGGGCACCCTCATTTTCCCGCCTGATTACCCCTTCAAGCCACCAGCAATCCGCATGCACACACCGTCAGGACGTTTCGCACCCTCCACCCGACTCTGCCTCACCATCTCCGACTTCCACCCGCGCTCTTTCAACCCTGCCTGGAGCGTGAGCACCATCCTGGTTGGCCTGCTGTCGTTTATGACGTCAAACGATGTCACGACTGGCTCCATCACAGCCTCCACCGAGGAGCGCAGACTTCTGGCCGCCCGAACGCGCTGGTGGAACTCGACCGGAGGCGGGACCTACGAGAGCGGCAAGGCCGCGCAGAAGGGAAACATCAAAGTGGGCGACGGTGGCAAGAAGTTCCGCGAGGAATGGCCTGAGGAGGATGCTGCCAACTGGGAATGGATGAAGGAGAACAAGATCGATGTAGCCACTGGTCAGAGCCTCAACGCCGCGGGAGCGCCTTGTGGACCGCCACTCGTTGGCTCCATGGCAACCAGTGGCAGCCAGGTGCAAGGAGTCGTGGACGCTGTTGTGCAGCAGAGAGAGGCGGGCAGGGGCTGGATGGCCGACCACAAGCTCTTGATGGCTGGTGGTGCCATTTTCATCTACGTTCTGATTGCTCGCCTGCTTGGTCAAGGGATATAATGGGTTGACAGACGGCCGGACGGCCTGTCTGCTCGCGTCAAGAGACACAGCATGTTTGGAGGGGGATCGGCCTTTCACATTTCTTTTCCTCGTTTTAGCACTGGCGTTCGGTTTGCACATGTCATTCATGTGTGTATAGACATAACGCCGGGGCCACACATGACTAGCTTAGGGAAGCTCATGACTGCTCTGCGCTTGCCATCGGGCGTACACTGCAGAAGTCACTACACCCATCGATTCCAGGCATTTCCGGCGATGTATCGAATGGATTGTACTTGGCGACTCGGCAATTCCTGTTCCCCATGTCCCTTTCTATGATGGTACCGACCGACCAACTGCGGTTTCGATACCATTTGTCAGCCCACGGGCGCGTCATCGCCGTGGAAAACAGGCTGCGCGACCACAAGCATGCGCAGTGTTCAGAATTATTGTTTCTTCCGGATTCACGGGGAATAGCCGTGGCCCGTACGAAGGAATTCTGTATCGGCCCTTCCCTCCACTTTCCGCGGAGTGTTTTGCTTCCTGCACACGAGGGCATGGCGTTGAGTTTATGCTTGTTGCTCACGGGTCGACACATCTGGGAGATCGTCTGATTCTGCGACGGCATGGAACTGGGACTCCTTGCCTGCTCGGCGCTGTTCCTTCAAGGCATCCGATACGGGGCGGGAACCTTTGTGGTCGATCTCCAGTTATCTTTGGGGGTGTTGTTATCAAGGATCTTACATAGTTTTGTTGATCTGTGCCGTTTCGCATTTTCTTGCCGCGCGGGAACCGTGTTCGGTAGGTACAGTGTCATGTATAGAAGTTTTCGGGGAGATAGGCATTGGAGGTGAGATCCTGAGGCCTACATACAACATTGTGTGTTTCCCGTAAGGGCCTAGAAGCCTGTCTTGCATACATGTACGTAGCATACATTAACAATCAATCGCTTCTCAGATGTTATGCCGTCTCTGCCAACCTTGTTCTGCAGGTAGACTGCCAGGCAGACTGCCAACCATCCTGCCCAGTTAAGGAGATGATCATTGATCTCAATTTACGGTTGCCCAGAACACAAGTCGTACGCAGGATGTTCCAAGTATCCTTGTTCTTAGTCGTGTGTGAGCGACTTCGTCTGCTGTTAGAAGGGGGAAAAAGTGAGGCCGTCGATCTGAACACGGCGAAGTGGAGCCGTTGCTACACTTACCGTCGTGAAGAAGCTCCTGTCATGCCCCAAAGTCAAATCAGTGTTACTGAAGCTTTTATGGTCCCATGTTTGCCGTCATCAAACGGCCAAGAGGCCAACTAGTCTAGCGGGTGACAGATGGACATGATGGTAATTCATGGGCTGGGGGAACTATTTCACATACTACTCGTCCAGGGGCATGATATCAAGTGATGCTAAGAGGTTGCTGAATACGTGTAGAGGCAGAGCATCTAGCCCAAGTAGCTTGTGTTCTGTACGTGTACTGCGTAGGGCTAGAGGCATCGGGTTGGATCCCGAAGTGGACTTCCACGTTGCATTTTGGATCTAGACAGGCAGGATCCTTGCTTCAGGTTGCCTCCGGTCCAGGGGTTTGTCTCATGGCCTCAACATGCATTCTGCTTGGGCCAAACCTGAAGCAACAGCAACAACTTTCCCCTCACATTCGCTGTCAATTTCCAGAGAAATTCTATCTCAACTGCCGGTCTGATAATCAATAGCCTCAGCTTTCAGCACCTCTCCACTGTCACAGGTGTGTGCTGATGATGATATATCCACGTCTTTATCGATAGCTTTCATGCACACGATAAATGACTGGGCGGAGTCCACGTGCGCGCCACGCCATCTGCCGCTTCATCGACCCTATTGGTGTTGCCAACCCTTTTCGAGACATGGGCTCGGGGAAGCAGACGTAAGCTACCGGCCGAGCAAGGTGCTAATCGAGTGGCGGTCCTTCAGATGGATGGTGGGACGCCTTTTCAGCCTCCGGGACTCAATGCACTTTTGACAGCAACAACCTTGACGCGCCCGCAGCTCCTGAGACTGCCGCCCGCCGCACTGACTGCGGCTCTTCCGTACCCAAATTCCTCAGCCGTACGGGCTTAATTGTCGCCAATGAGAAGCTGGCCTGTATTGTTCTTGCAGAGACCCCAAGCCACCAGATCTGCACAGGCTGTTGGCGATCCCGGTGGCTCGAAACCGTGGGCACGCCCACGCCAGTCGTCGATGTATCTGCCCACATTCCGCTGTGGAGGACGAGACGGTAACCGTCTGGTGTTTTGTTGGTTATGACAAAACTTCGCGCAGCAGATGCCAATCATCGACTGACGTCGTTGCATGTCGCTTTCTGGAAACCTCACTGTCTGTCCCTGCCTACGACTGACCGGGATCAGGAGTCATGGCTGCTCTGGACGGAGACCAAGACCCGTCTTGGATCGTCCAAAGTCAAAGTTCATCGGCAGCCTGAGCGCAGCAAATGTGATTTGCGTACATCACTAATCGTTCAGACGAGAGCCCGTTATTTCCTTGGACTCGGCTGTTAACCCTGCATCTAGCCATCCGGCTGAGTGTCCTTGGTGTTACTGAAGTCTATTCAGTGGGCTCCTTGTCTGCAACGAAGTATCGTGGAGCCCCCTGACAGGGCACCATACCTGGGCCCTGGTACAACCCCAAGAACTGCGCCCGGACGTCAAAGTCGAGACCTTCCCGTACTGGCCTTAGAGGCTGGGCAAAGTTCTATTTGGGCACCCAAACCTTGTATCTCACCGGTCAGGGGACAGAACCTCAAACTGTTCTGCATGATGTCCATCGGCTTTCTCTCGAAACACTCCCTTCTGGCACTGCTGCCAAATCATAAACCTGCTTCTCATATATGCACTTCTTAGATCTTGCATTGTTTGGGAACTGGCTATGGTGGTGTCAATTCTACAATTCATTGATATACTCGCCTTCTAGAGCGGCTTGCCCACGAGCTCCCGCCTAGCTCTCGTTTCTCTCATGGCCCGGCGCCCGACATAACAAAAAAAAAAAACATATCAACAAAGCCAGCAAAAATGGCGGCCCGTATGAGCTGGCCCCTTCAGAGGGTTGACAACAACACATTCGTTCAGATGGATTCATACCCGGAGGATAAGAAGGAACCCGATGTCGAGGTGATGTCGATTCAAAGTGGTGGCGACTCAACGCAGGTCGTGGGTAGCGCGGACATGTTCGATGAGAATGGGAACTTGAGGTTGATTCCGGTGCGTTCATCCTCCACTGCACATTAGCTGGGTAAGGAAGCCACTTGGCTGACTCTCAACCGTTCAGATGCCCTCATCAGATCCCAAAGGTAAGCTTCCTCAGTACCTCCTCAGTACCTACTTAGACCATATGCCACAGCAGATCGACTGACGACACCTTAGATCCCTTGAATCTGCCTAACTGGAGAAAATGGACTGCCATTGGAACCCTATGCTTCTGTGAGTAGCTTCAGCGCATCTCACTGTCGTGTTGTGTGCCTAGACACTCCATTGCGGCGTCTGACTCGTTTTGGGATAAAAATAGTCGGATCCCTGGCCCTCTCTGCCGAGGTCATCATCGGTTCATTGATCCCCATATTTCTCCTCGAATACGCCGGCCTCGACCCCACGACGATCCGGAACATCGACTTTGTTGCCGCGTCCGGAGGCAAGGGCACGCAGCTCAACCCCCTGGCCGTCATCCCTCAGGGCGTGAAGCCGCCCAGCCTGGAGGAAGTATCTATGCTGGCCACCATTCCGCTGCTCACTAACGGTATCGCGAGCTACCTTTTGGTCCCCCTCTCGATTGCTGTCGGTCGCCGTCCTGTCCTTCTTTTGACGGCTGTGCTCGCCTGGGCTGGTGGGCTGTGGGCAGGACTTTCGACGTCGCTGGAGTCCCACCTCGCCGCGAGGGCGGTTATGGGATTGGGTGCTGGTGCGGTCGAGGCGTTGATTCCGCTCATTGTGCAGGATATCGTCTTCATCCATCAGCGGAGTAAGGCGCAGTCTGCAATTGTGGCCAGTCAGGTAAGAATATACTTTAACTTCTACGATATGAGATGAAGGCTAGCAACTGACGACTGCGACACAGGGCTTCATTATTGTCGGACTCGGCATCGCTGCACCATACATCTCTGCTAATTATGACTGGCGATATTTGTACTACGCTACTTCCGGCGCTGGTATCGTCGCCTGGCTACTCCTGATTGCACTTCTCCCGGAGACACGGTGGACACGGACTAAGGAGGCGCTTGGTATGTTTCTGAACCTACTTCACATTTGCCCTTCATCTTACTGATGACACTTGAAAACAGGCGGCAAGTCCGAGGAGAAGTTGGGACCTGGAGAAGTCCGTCCTCAGCTCGACTACGCTAGGTTTGGCCCACGCACGCTTTGGACAAACATTGGCATGTTCAACTTCGGCTTCGAATGGAAAAACGCCGGCAAGTCGATGCTGGACACCCTGCGGACGACGTTCTTCCCGGCCGTCATCTGGGGTGTCTTGGCGAACAGCGTCTTCCTGGTCACCAATCAGGCAGCCCAACAGCTCGGCTCATTCGCCCTGCTCGCGCAGGGCTGGGAGTTCCAGTGGACCGGGCTAGCGGTCATCCCCTTCGTCCTCGCCACCGGCATGGTCTTTGTCATCGTCGGCCCCGTGGCTGACAAGGTTTCCACGAAGATCGCCAAGCGGCGCAACGGCGTCCGCGAGGCCGAGTTTGGCCTCGCCAACACCATCATCCCGTTTATCTCGGGCATCGCAGGATGCTTTGTCTTTGGCTACGCGGGCGAGTCCACGGTGCACTGGTCCGTGCTGCTCGTCGGCTCGTTCTTGATTGTATTCGGCTTCCTGTGCCTCATGGTCACCATCAACGTGTTCATCGTCGAGTCATACCCTCAGTGGGCCGGACCCGTGCTCGTCAACGTCAGCTCGCTCAAGATCATCATCGCTTTCTTCTTCGCCAGCTTGGCGACTACCTGGGTGGCGCAAAAGGGTCTCTTAGCGACGTTCGTCATTTATGCTGAGACGATGATCGTCATCTCGATGTTCATCCCGGTGCTTTGGTTCACGGGCAAGAAGCTCAGGGTGTGGACATCTGGAAGGGTCAGATCTAAGCCGAATCAGAGGACGAGGAGCTTTGGTGCACAGTCAAGGTTCTCTCAGTGAAGTGGAGAGCTGGTGCGTTAGCGAAGAGACAATATTTGTGATAGCAAGCGCGGTGCAGGCAGGACCAGTGGGCTGGCCGCCCGCCTTTGATAGACTTGTTCGGACAACGACAGGAGCGCGAGGTTACTTGGCGGCTTCGCCTGTAGGCGGCGATTGAGAAATTGGCACGGCGAGGAAGTTCGTCTTGAATCTGAAGGGGCACAGAGAGGTACACCAGGCAGCGCATACCGCCAGGTGCAGGTCGTACGACCCAATGAACTCCCAGTCATTACCAACCCCGTGGGTGAGAGCCACTATTGGCGGGACGAATATGAACGATAGAGACGAACGTGACAGGCGTTTTCAACTTTGGGAACAGAGGTTTGCAAGAGCGATTCACGGCTCGAAGTCTTGCACGCGAGTACCAGTTACCTGATGGGATTCAATATGGTGCGCGACGCATGGAAACATTGTGCTGAGATATAATAATGTATGAGAAGGGATTCATCTAGAATCTAAGACAACCAAAAACGGTCTCTCAGGCCATTCGCTCCTCACTTGTCCACAAATTCCTCTGGGAGCTGAAACTCTACCAAGTTTGACAAGACTTTCTGCCTCTCCGCATCTTCTTGAGCAGTCTTGTCTGACATGATAATGAAAAATTGTCCGCCGGGATTCCAATCGCCTCCATTCAACGGGCTGGTTCCTTCATTCCAAATCAGGATACAATGGCCATGATCTTCCGTCTTCCCCGACGTTGTCTGGTCCGGAATTGGGGGGTATCAGCCCCAAGAGGGAGGCGTCCCTTGACAAACTGGCACTGTCGTAAAAGGCCATGTCACTATCTCCATCGCCTTGAAGATAGCTATGCCGGCCGTGCTCGTAATCGGAGGCGAAGTGATTGTCGTTTGCGACGTACCCTGAGCTTGACACGGTAAAATAAGTGGCGCTCCCCCCATCAGGCCTAGTATAAGACGCAGACCATTCCATCATGGGATCGAAAGGGGGCCGGACTCCGGACGAATCACCAGTTGTATCCCCGCTGTTGCTCGGCATGGATACATAACCAGAGTCTGCGTCCCTGGGTCTGTCGGCGCCGCTTACTGCAGCATTGTTTCTGGCCTTCAATGCGGCAGTGTTCCTTGACACGTTGCTGCTGGTAGGAGGTCGTCGATGCTGGCTGGGGGCGCCTGGATCGACGCGCCCGAAACCCTCTAGGAAACCTTCACCGTGGCCGATCGATTGTTCATTATGATAAGATGTATTTCGAGTTTCTAACTCGTAAGTCATCTCGGGCGGGACTGCAGGGAAAGCCGTTGTCGCATCTGGATAATAATTCATTAGTACACAGCACAAGTAGTAATCAATGATTGGTAGGTCATCAGCTGGGCATCGGGTTGGACCAACGGTATGTTTCCGGCAGAGGTTTCCCGCAAGCCCCGTATAGAGCCTCCAACTTGGTCCCGACGTCTTTCATTGACCTTATCTTTTCGAACTGTCGTTGCTGTCTCCCATTCAGAAGCTCGATTCTGCCTTCGTCAGGCTCTTCAGGGAGTTGTGCACCTCGGAGCTTGTCCTCGCAGCTTCTCCAGTGCTGCTCCTTCTTCTGCTTGACGTCTTTGCGAGACAATGAGGTGCTCCACTTATGAATGCAATACCCGCAGCGATAGAATCGTGTATGTTTCCGCCACATGTGCTCACTGTAGGACTATCGTCAGCTAGAAACTAGGGGAGACACCGCACCCTCACGAGAAAGGACATTTGATTGTACGCACAAGAGGAATCTCGGCTCCTTGAAACCTTCAATTGTCTTGCATGCTTCGACATTCATGTATCTTTCGGGATCAGATTTAGCAAAGGGGCATGCGAGACCACGGGTCCCGACGTCAGCCCTGCTGTACTGATCCGACGCCACATTCTGACCGCCGGACATTGACACAACTTAGTAAGATCGAGTCGGCGAGGAGAACACTGTCTCAAACTGGGCGAGGTATCCTCTGATCCGACTCTGGCGATCGGTCTGTGGCCCCACAGCGAGTGCGAAGGGCTCGCTGCTGCCGGGCGTGTTCAGGAACTTCTGGATTTGGAAGGTCGGGGGGCGGCTTTGGTTTGCGTTGATGGAGGTAGGAGTCTGCTGCAAAACCAGTCAGTGATGTCTCCTTGACTCCTTTGCATGATTCTGAGACTCATGAAAAGTGGACGGTGCGATGCCAGCATGGCTGGATGGAAGGGTGGCTCGCATGCTCACCTTGGAGGATGGGTGATTTCCGTTGGAGATGAACATCCAGACAATCTTGAGCAGTTCTCCAAGTTGACTTGAAAATGCTATCGCGGAGCTCGCAGGCGTGATGAAAATCGCTGTGTGAAGCTGCTCGCTGTTGTTGGAACGAAGACATCTGGGCGAGAGAGGAGGGGAACGGCAAGTCCTAAAGTTGTGAAGGGTAAAAGTAGAACCCCCTTCCAAGGCGCTGCGATCGCAGCTTCTATACCGCCTCCTCCTCGACCCCGGGCACTGCCAGCGCATATAGTCTACGTTTTTACAGGACAGTCAGTCTATACCCATTTGAGATGGAGATTCTGCCACCTCCTGCAGGTTGGCTGCTTACAAGCCCCGTGTTCCGGAGCAGACCAGTTGCGGGGCTACTGATGCACGTCGTCTGTGGCTGATATGGAGGCTGAAGATCGAATTGACCCCGACACGGCAAGGAGTAAAGCCCGTGGTGGAGGTAGCCGGGAATAAGACTCAAGCGTGAAATTGGAAATATTTGGAGAGTAAAGAAGAATCGTTCTGATCATTGCGTTATGATCGCTATCTATAAACCTATTGAAAGGTTGCACGGCAGGGCAGGGGCACCGACCGCCATCACCACCGTTGATTTTGGACCGAGCTAGTTGACAATATGCGATTGACTGTTCTCGGGGGGCTGCTAGCTCACTAGAGCGCTGATGAGCACGATGACGGCTGCGCTGTCGCTCTGCCGTAGCAGATCCCAGTGGAGACTTCGAGAAGCGAAGTGAAGACGATTGCCTGTTTGCTGCAATTCAATTTATTGATCGCACTTCGAAATTCTTTAGTTACCACGAGAGCGCTGAAAACACTACACTATAGAGGGTCATGGGCTGACACACCTCATTGGCTTGGTGTCAGCGACTAATTATTCGTTGAAACTGGATACAATAATGACTATTGCATGGGTCTGGCTGACGGGGGGAGAATATAAAGTCAGCCAAAGTAACATGGAATGTAAAGGCGACAATCAGGGGCTGTAATGGAAACCAACCATTTCGCACAGGAACACGGATGAAATCGTAGGGCATTTGGCAGACCCTTGTATCTAGACAATTGCAATCCGTGAGTGCTTGCCCGCCAATCGTTCTGCAAACACCCAATACGTCGCTGCGAGGCGCTCACTATTCTTACGGGATTCCGCGTGAAGAAAAAGACAGCGGCTTGCTTCCGAAGGCCAATATGCTTGTTCTCGTCTTTGCGAACTCCATATTCCAGCTATGATTTCTAAACAAGACTTTGGTACTAGCAGTTCCACCAAACAATAATGTGGATGCAGTAGGTACTGATCCAATGTCTATGGAAGGCGCTGATATGAGCGGTCATGGTAGCAGTATATGAGTCAAAGTAATCTTCATGTCTCCAGAATGCTAGAAAGTAAAGTATACACCTGGAAGTTTTGCTTGAATTGGAAAACAAAAAAGTAATAATATAGTACAGTGAGAATATAATCCTTGGCGAGACGAGGCTGCTTGTGTCTTTCCATCATGGCCATACTGAGCTTTGTCTTTGTCGGTCCACTCAGCATTGAGTAGGGCCAAACAAAGTGACAGTCTGGCCCAAGGGGAAAAATGTGGCCCGAGTAGGTAGCAGTGTTCCTACGAAGACTTCTGCCATCCTCGGTGGCGAGACAGCTCGTACCACCAGTTTCGGAGCATCCAGCCATCGAAATCGGTAATTTTTGCCACAAAGCCCTTGCTCATGATGAAATCGTCACCACGAGTGCTTGGAGTCCAGTCATAGAAGTCATCGAGGCCGAAAGAGTGGCCCTGAAAAAAGTAATTAGCCTCGGAAGTCTATAGGTTGAGCCGTCTTCTTTGGAAACACTCTTACCTGTTCGTGCAGGATGTACAGCAAGCTGTCACCACCGTTGATGCCCTCCATGAAAAGCTCCGTCGCGACTCGCTGGCCCCAGTCGCCTCCAGAACCGCCATCATGGCCTGGTGTGAGCCATATTGACTGGTCGTAATGCCGATCAGCACCCGAAGCGCAGCCGCTGTAATCTCCATCTTTGTGGAAGAATCGGCCGCACGACTCGGCGCACTGCGGGATCCCCTCAGAGTCGACGTCTGTGTAGATGTCGAGGCCGTCGGTCGAACCCTGCAGGAGGCTTTTGTCCTTCACAGCCCAGCCAACCACCTTCACGGTGATATTGTTGAATGGGAAGTTGTCCCAGCTGTAGACCCACTTGAACCATTGCTGGTACGCAGTGTTGACCTCGTTGGCGATTTGCTCTCGCTGGGATTCCGGAACTGCCTCGTCTGAGTCCCATCTAACACAGTAGTTGATCACGCTTGAGGTAGTGTTAGCAAGAAGGACTGATAATTTAGACGAATAGAATGGTATAAGACCACGCTTACCCTTTTGTGGCCATGATCTGATCCCAACCGTAATTCTTGAAACCGTATAAATCGCCATCATTGTAGGTCTTCTCACAATGATCCCAGACTTCCTTAAGAGGTTTCGCCAGGTCTGACGGCGGATTCCACCCCGACTGGTCAGACTGCCTGCTGTTGAGGCGTCGTTCTTTTTCTTGCTGGTACGATGGTGGGACTGCCAGACACAGGCTTGCCAAGGAGGACACTAAGGCAATATTAACCGGATGCATGATGAAGGTATGATAGTTTGTAGCAAAGTTCCGAGCAGAGAAAAAAAGGACAAGAAACTACTCGGAAGACAAGTTGTGTAGACCAGCTGATAGAAAACAATGAAGGGGAAAGACTTTTGTTGGATGCGGTCTGATTGGCAGCTATTTATGTTGAAAACGTATAGCCCATGATTTCATCACGCGAAGCCATACATTGTTGACGGACGAGGCTGTATCCGCTGCCAAGTGATTTGTTTTCAGCGTTTAGATGGAAACTCTGCTTGGCGTGGTTGAACCGATGTTTCGTTTTCTACAGTGTCGTTCAAACGAGATTTGGCCGGAAGCCCCCTTGCCTGCACGTCGACTGACATGCTAGTCATACAACAGCTGGTTGTCAACTGAAGCCCCTGTGCCTAAAGAGCAGACAGGTCTACTTCTTTTTCAAATCCATAATTACTTAGTCACAGGGGTGGTGGCGGAGTTATTGACGGACCCATGGAACTTCTAAGGTGTTTTTTCAAAGTCTTGGTAGTGGGGATTTACGATTAAAGCAGTCCTTTCAATTTAAGCATTCGGAATGGAACAGAACTAAGTGGGTAAATCCGGGGAAAGATTCATAGGGAAGTCGGCAAGTCTCCGGCCTCTTCCTAAAACCTTATTAGGTACTAAGAGGTACCACCACAATTACTGACCAGCTCCAGGTCACTGAATATTCCTACGAACATGATGGAGCTGTGAAATAGGTGCAATACCTAGGTTCCATAACCGCCGGCTTGTGAGTAAGAAAGCTCAGATATGCCCAGGACATATTTGGTATGTATTGTCAGTGTCAAGTTGAACATCTCATAAAAACGTCGAAGTCGTATAACGAGAAATGTTATGCATCTTTGTACCCATGGTCACTTTCTCCAAGAATCCACCTTTTGCTTTTGCAACTTTTGTCCACTACTTCCTACTCGGCCTTGCCTTCCTCGTTCACCTGATTCAGGCAAGCTGCGGCGTTCACGATTTCCCCCTCAGTGGGCAGGTTGACAATCATGAGGTACAGAATATCCTCAAGGTATGGTCAGATGCTGGGCTCAATAAGAGGTGTAGAGCTAGATCTACAGACTACAAGAGCTTCTTCATTGTTCTCAATGGGTTGCTCAATGGAAGGGACCCAATCCTCCGGAGCCGGGGAGCTACATCAGCAGTTGAAATACGGGGCAGCTTGAAAACCAGTCCCTGCGTAGTTTTGTCTCCACGAGCCCTTCCTTTGACCTTCGGCTTATGAAGCGCTGTGATGCTTCGCTGCCGCCAATACCACTGCCACCAACCCGCAGACCAACGTCACCAGCAGTGCTCTTGACGTGCATCATGCCTTCGCGGCTGGCCGCAGCAGTCGCACGCATGGCCTCAGGGCTCACCTCGGCCGTCGTATGCTTCCCGCCCGTCACCAGTGCCACGAAAGTCAACGCTGCTGGCCGGGTGATTAGGGTCAGCGAACTTGGACTGGAACTCGGGTGTTGGCGCAAGCATGGCCATCTGGGAATCCGGGTGCTGTCCAGACCACCTTGCTACAGCACGTCTGCCCTGGTAGTCGCTGATGAAGTGGCCCGTACGCTTGACGCTTGATCCGGCAGATTTGCCACCTAACTTGACTTGCCAAACAGCTGGGACAACGTACACGGCAGTGGTTTGCCTGAACGCTGGAAGGCACCCTGTTTCGGCGCGTTGCACTATTTCTTTATCCCCTATCATCTTGCTTCCTGCTCCACAAGCCGACTTTGTCTTCTTTTGCTGGTCGTAATCCCCTGTGCTTCCCATGTCTTCGCCCTGTGTAGGCCGCTTGTGCCCAGGACTAACTGGACTTCGCGGCTCTGGAGACCTGGTAGTAGCTTCAAGCTCAGGGAAAGCAAGTGGTGCAAGTTCCGGAAGCTTGAACACTGTGCCGGCAGAAGGCAGTTGGACCATCGACTTCCTTCGTTTAACGTCAGCTGGCGCATTGCTCGGCGGCTCTTTGCTTGCAGATGTGGTGCTCATGTCGATGTCAATGATCCCGCTTGCGTCTTGCTCTGAACCGACCGTCTTTGGCTTCCACGTGATGACCAGTGCGATTAGGCCCTTCGGCTTGAAGAGTTCCTGCTTCATTTTCCCCAGAAATGCATTGCTCTTGCTGTGGCTGACAATCTTCGCAGTAATCTGGGTGGCCATCAGAGCAGAGGCAGTTACTAGTAGATGCATCGGCTCTGGGAAAGCGGTCCCGCGAGAGGAGTTAGGTCAATGGCACTGATCCACGGACTCGGTTCGACGGCTTTGTTCAGTTGATCAATAAAATCCATGAAGCTGTGATGTTCTGTGCTGCAAGACGCAAAGAAAAGTATGTTACTCACAGGCTAGTTGGCACCCCAGCCACCCAAACCGCGTCCCAGCGCTTGGAGAGCGACACGCTCTGCGTTGTGGCGGTAGACCGCCCGCAAGACGGCCTCTTCACAGCGCGCAAGCGCAGCGCGTGCAGCGGCACAAGCGATTCTGGCGTTGGTGACCTCGTCACCGGCAGCAAACAACCTATCTTGGGCCCCTCGGATGGCCTGGCGGAGGGAAGGGCCGCGACCGGACATTTGCGATGCGATGCGATGCGATGTGATGCGATGCGATGTGATGTGATGCGATGTGATGCTATGCTGTGCTGTGCTGTGCTGTACTGTTGGTGTTTTGTTGAGAACAAGAAAGGCACAGGAGATGACACAGTAGGATATTTTAAGGGCCCTCTGTTTGTCTACTTCAACATGCAGAAGGTCCATTGCAAGTAACCTTCTCACAGATCCTGTCTGTATTGATCAGAGGCGGGCAGTTGCGATGTGGATAATACGAATTCATCCTCTAAAAGTCGTTCGCAGCTGACGCGTTGTATTACTTGTTGACTATAGTTCAGAAGCCGCAACCGAGATCATCAAGAGCTTACCAAACATAACTAGCAAAGTTGTCGAGCCAACTCGGTCATTTCGATATTGGCTAGTATATGCAATCCAACTTCCTCGTGGTTAGGCTATAGATGATCAGAGAAGTGCCAGGATTGGAGCTCTTTCAAATTTGGGCTCTATAACCACCTTCTGTCACGCCTCCCGAGAGGCAAGACAGCTGTGTAAGTTCAATTCGAGCGGCCTCGGGAAGTCTCTTACGGTCAGCTCACTGCGAAAGGCGTTTAAAATTAGAGACGTACTAGTGCCTGAAGTGCTCGAGTGAAAGACCATAGGCAAGTCCGAATATACCTTTCTATCCGGGGTTTGTTACTGTCTGACAATGCATCGATCCGTTTCTACCACGTAACTTCCACCTGAGCAATTAATCCGTCACAGCCGCCTAGGGTATCTTCGATCATTCAACTGAGAGGATGTCTAATGTACGTCCTTGTATTTACTCCCCAGTAGTAGCTGTGGACGTGATGTGATCTTCATTCATGCCAGATGGAAAGGGCATACCACGGTCCAGAGGTAACCATTTGCTCAATCCTACTGCTACCAGCAACATTTGCTCGACCCATAACTCTCAGCCTCGCAAAGCCAATTTTCTGCATCGGCAGCCTGCATGTGGGACGTTCGGGTCTGGGACACCTATCGGAGACCGCTGGTTTGCGAATCGAGAGTCGAAGGGGTCTCGTCCGTTATCCCGGGGGTAGTCTTATACACCTATACAGGACAGCCGACAAGAAGTGTGATAATAGATGCGCAATCACCAGCCCTGAATTTTCTAACAATTACCAATGGTGGGTGTTCTAGTATGCAGCTAAGCTTCGTAGCAAAATTTAGCTTGGAACGATTTGCCTGCAGAAGCGAGCTAGATTAATTGTACGAGAACCTTTATACCTAGTACTTATTGAAGTTGGTATAAATATGGCCAGTTCCCTTTCATTTCGCACAACCTTATGGTCGCTGAACTTCATGCCTTTCCGCAACAATCGCACAGGGCCACATCTTCCAGCTTCCAACCTATATTACTCCATTCCTCATTTACAAAAGTCATCGCCACTCTCGGTCTATCACAACATGTCTTCAATATCCCTTGGCAAGAAGCGATGGGATTCAACCTGGAATGGCCTGCCTGCAGAAATCCGGCTTCTCATCTTAAAAGCCCTGATGCAAGACGGTTGCACACTGAGTCGCTTGGCCACAGTGTCTCGAGACTGGCAAACGGAATTCGAGCGGCATAACTTCGCCCAAATCAGACTGACACCATCGAGGCTCGCTGATTTTGATTCGATGATCCATCGAAATCGGGCTCTTGTGCGGTATATATGGTTCTGTTTGGAACTTGATGACTACGATTGCACCAAATGCGCACCTACCCGTGGAATGCTCTCACATGTAGAGTGGGAAGATGCCCTGAACGAGTCACTGACTATTACTGATACGGATCACTGTCCTATCACCATGTCATTCCAGGGACTTTTCTCGAATCTCAGCAGATGGGATCCAAATGGCGACTTGAGGCTCGATATCAGTATCTACTCGCTTAGTGACTCTCAACATTGGTTTAAATATCTAACCTTTATGCCCGACGCCCCTACAGATACGCTAGATGGTGATGACATAGAGCAGACGATGTCGAACAAAGTCTTCCATAATCCTGAACATGGCTGGGTTGCCGGGTTTCGACACTCCGCTCCGCCTCGGCCGGCTATGCGCAAAGTCTTCCATTCAGTCATGGAAGAGGGACCGTTTGATAGCGATACATTAGAGTACCAATGGTGGGATCAACTTCCATCGGTTCCGGCTGTGACCAGTTTGCTTCTCCGGCAACAGAACCGCCGGAGATGGAAGCCGGACTCGCTTGCGCATATGTTTGCCCGTTTCCCTAGACTCCAAGAAGTCCACTATGAGCCCTGGAGGGAATGGGACAGTATTTATAAGCAGACAGATCAAAGTGAGTATCGCTGCACACCTGTCCAGACTGTTGCTCACTCTTACTGCTATCCGTACTCAATTACTAATAACCCGCATCTTTAATCCAGGATATCAATATCTTTTCAACTCTATTCAACGTTTGAACAACAATCTCAAGAGTCTTGTGGTTTTCGAGAACTTTAATCAGCAATACCCAGTTTTTATGCAGATGTTCATGAACGGGGAAGACTTGGCCGAATGCGACAGCACTCGAAACCCAGACCCAGCTGTTAGTCGGGCGATCGCGCTCGCCAGCCTCATGCTCGAGCATCTCGCAGCATCCTTCCTTGCGGATGCTAGGGACTTCTTCGAGATTGAGCCCTCTTGGGAGTGGCCGAATCTGACTTCGCTTGTGCTCACTTCAAAATTTCTAACGCCCGTCAACGATCCGACGGAAATTGGGGCCATACTTGAGGCAGCGGCGGCAGCGGCAACAAAGATGCCCCGACTGGACACAATGGAGATCTGGAATGGACGAAAGGGGTTTGCGGCGCTCTTCAAGTATCAGGCCTCCCGGAATGCACAGCAAGGTACGATCACTTGGAGAGGCACATGGGAGTTCGTCTTGGAACCATCTATCATCCAGGCTTGGGAAGCCGTAATACATAAGTTTCACGGCTGGAGACTCAATTTGGTTGAGGAACGGTTGGATGGAGCTGCTATCAAGTCTCACGCTGATGCAATCCGCTACCTGATGCTTTCAGGCCAGGTCATCCGGCCCATCTCGCTGCAGCAGATCCGGATGGAACAGAAAGCCCTGGAGGGCGTGGCGACCGTGTGATACAAGAAGAATTATGGGACCAGAAACATTCTTCTGTCTTGATTTGGGTAAAAAAAATCACAAATCATGTGAGCTGATCTCAGAATTTGAACCAACTGAGGATTGCTTGGTATTTTGCTAGGACAGTGTGCCTAATCGTCGATGTATCGATGTTAGCCAATAGTTAGGTCTCAGCCATAAAGTTATAGTATCATCGACACCAAATCTCGCAAGCGCGCGATCGTGCTTGATACAGAGGCGGTCTCTGCTACAGTTCCAAGCCATGCTGGCGATCGATGAACATGGTCGCAGCAGCTTCAAATCCATCCAGCGATAGAATCCAGAATGGACACCACCAAGCCCGAAAGCCAATGCGTTCCCTACCTCTTGACCTAGAAATTCTGCGAAAGCAATAATTTTCACGTGTGACACATCTAGCTGTTCTCTCACAGAGCACCCGGACTGTTGCCTAGATGGTGTTCTCGGCTTCTATGTAGCACTCTGACTCTGCTCATGACCACGCCCTGCCGTACGTCGTGCCCTTCATCATTGTACCTAGTTCAATCCCCTCCACCCTGTTCCCGGCATCGTTTTGGCCGGGACCATAACCATTGGTAATGCTCACTCTTTTGCTGTTTGAGCCATGCTCTTCAACATTAATTACAGTTGTCGCACGGATCGCGTGCCCTGTGCCCGGCTCCTCCTCATCCTGTAGGTGACGATGGCTCCTGCTGCCGCCCCAAGAGCCGCTGCCCCCAGGGCGCGAAGACTGTGCCCAGGAACCCATCCGTGCGTTAACTGGCTTGAGAAGAGTGTAGAAGTTGGGCAGGCATGCACAAATTATGCCAACGTAGAGCTCGATTCCGGACCAGATTCCGATATCGACGAAGTCCACTATGCACATGACGAGTTAAATCCGAGAGCAGGGTGAGAGATGGATGGAGCATATATTGAGTGACTACTAGAAGGGCGGAGGGCAGCCAGTAGAAACGTTTGCGTAAAGAGTGGCAAGCGAATATAGGTGATCACTACTTACCGGTCGGATTGTGCGATAAAGTAAAGCGGTCGATTGTCGTGAGGCGGTATAAGCTGACGGCAATGACACTGAATCGGACACGTGAAGTCAGTTTCGGGGCCTTCTCTCCCCGGTCTATAGTATAGCACTCACAAGGTTCCAAAAGTAAATTTGATGCCGGACAAGATCCTCTTCCGCAGCGAGAGCTTCAAGCGCACGATGAAGGGTATAGGGAGCAACATGATCCAGAGATCAATGGCGATAACAATGAAGGCGCCTGCCCAGAAAATTGCATGAAAGCTAATACAATGGCCCCCTTGCTGGCCTTCCCAAATCGTCCAGAAGTAATCGATAGGCGTACAGCCAAAGAGAATTGCAAAGTCGAAGGCGACACAGCAGGTGATGATCAGCACAAAGCTGAATTGGATCAGCCGCCGTGCCAAGGGGACGTGGCCGAAGAAGCGGTAATAGAAGAGCAAGATGGACAACCGTACGAGGTGACGGCTCGTGATGTATAGCACAAAGAGGAAGTACATCGCCTTGAAAATTAGCGTGATGTCATCGAATGGGACAACCCAGATATCGGTTCCCAAGCCGTGGGACCTCACTGCACAGCGTTGATTAGCTCACTACATCATTTGCATTGTTGTTGTGTGTGGGTGTTGGGGGGGGGGGGGACAAATTTTGATCCACTGACATTTGCACATGATAACCGTAAAGGCAACGCAGCTTAGCTGCAAAGAATCAGAGACTATAGTCAGTATCCACATTATCTAGTCTAAAAGCACACTTGACCCGAGCGAGGAGGTAACGCACAAAGGACAAAGTGATGATGAAATCATCCCACCAGACCGGAACCCTCGTTTTCAGTCTCGCAATGACGCGCAGCAAGATTGAGACCGCGCAAAGAACCACGAAGGTCACGATGACAGGGACATAGGATGGGATAGTGGCCGGAATGACTCCACAGTACGTGGAAGTCAAATTTTTGGTGGAGAGGGCCTCGCGAACGGTGCAGCTCTCGAGGATGCAGGCTGTGGCTTGTGTGTTGAGGCCCTCATCGTGACAAACGCAGGTTTGGTTCGTAATAGCACAGCTTGAGTCCGAAACTGCCGTCATTAAGCATGCTGACTGTAAGCGGGTTGGGTTTTAGAACACGAAAGACCCCTCAGCTGGTGATTGCGGACATGAACGAACTCACAGCACATTGGGGCAAGGCAGCGGCGAGAGCCTGCAGACTTGACATTGCGAGAGATGATCGAGTGTCACAGGTAACTCATTAACACATCAGAGTTTCGGCAAGAAATACGATCACTAATCTTAAGGCCTTTACTTTTATATCCAAGCTGACAATCATCCAATGCTCTCTACATGACCGCAGCATACTCAGCCTATTTCTTATTGGAATCTGCATGTCATCTCCGCCGTTGCACTGCAGAACGCCATGCAGGCTGACCTTCACACTATTAGCAAAAGATACTTTGATTGTCTTTACCGGTGTTCAGCAGTAGCTTAGTGTCTCGGCTGTGATGATGGGGTCGGGGGGTTAAATGCGATTATATGAATAGCGCAAGTGTTGGGCGTACGAAACCAAAAAGTGACAATCCATTGATAACCGACAGCTTACATGCATTCTAGTTTGCTGTTTATCCATGCTCTCTCAACGCGACAATTGCCGCAACGCCGAATGGCCAATTGGTGTACGCGATCAGGCGATGTGGCTCACCATTCGCGCAAGACATAAGAGCTGCAATGAATGGCACATTTTAGCTCCTGACTAGCTGCCCCACTCGCCCTTACACGTTGGGGCTGTTATGGAATCTTCGAAGTTTAATGGCGTTCCGGAAACGCCGGGGTTTGGCCTTCCCCGACTCAAACATCTGCCCGGACGCGTCAACGAGCTCGACCTGCGCTTTTGCGTTTTTCATTTCTGTTAAGTCAATCACTAGTGCACGTTAATGATACGTTAATGATGGGTGTCAACTTCAGAACAAGCATCGTAAGGCCTCGAGGCTCAAACCGTGACCTATCCAATCCTCGAGATCCGACGGCTAATATGTTCGCAGCTCGTGGTCTTGCTTGCTCCTCTCGCCGCCTTGCTGGCTGGACGAATTCGCGTGCTGTCCCTAGCTTACTTCAATGCTCCGGCGCGGATGCCCAGACATGCAAACTTCACCTCATACGAGATCAAGTTCGCAGACCGGATCCGGAGTTGCGAAGATGTGCTTCTCGTCGAGAACCGGGGCATAGCACTCTTGGCATGTGACCCGGGCCGGGAGACATGGAACACTGTCATGGTAAGTAATTAGGTGACCTCTTTCTCCTCTAAGCAAGTCTGACCAGCGGCAGGGGGACTTCGTTGACAGCGCCGAACCTGACCCTAATGCTGAGCTCTATGCCTGGCATTACGGAGATTCGTCTCTGCCTGATGAGGAGAGCCTTGTGCGTATCAAGACCGTCGGGTTTGGCTCGGAGCTCCGCACGATAGGATTCGAGTACCACGAGCGCAGCTCCACGCTCTTGGTGACAAACCACGGACGGCAGGGCTCTCGAATTGAGCAATTTCATCTTGACCTCGAGACTCTGACAGCCACACATGTCCGCTCTATCATCCACCCGCTGATCAGCATCCCCAACTCTATTGCCGCGATCAGCGAGTCTGAATTCTTCGTCACGAATCAGCACCACTTCACCGCTCGCGAGCACCCACTCCTTTGGGCTTTCGAGACATACGTCGCGCCACCAATTGCGACCGTCGTGCACGTGCACGTTCTGGAGAACGGGACTGTCGACGCCGCAGTCGTCACCCGCCAGGCCTACCCAAACGGTATCGTGCTGCTCAACGACACCACCCTCGCCGTCGCAGCCTCGAGCAAGCGCACTGTGAACTTGTACACCATCTCCTCGGCAGATGCGCAGACGCAACACCCGAGCCTGAAGCTAGAAACGAGCTTCTGGCTGCCGTTCCTGCCGGACAACCTTGCCGTTTCGAAGAGCGACGGCGCCCTGCTTGTTGCGGGACACCCGCATCTTCCGAGTCTGGGTAAGTACGCAAGCTCCCGGCGCATCTGCCACCGGCCGGAGGTGTTGGAGACCCATGGTCAGGAGGGGCAGGACATGTGCGCGAGAGTAGGCGCCGCATCTTGGGCGAGTGAGTGGACGCCAGAAGGTGGGGTGAAGCATATATATGCAGATTGGGAGTATCCAACGAGTGCGTCAGTTGTGAGGGATAGAACAAAAGGCCTCGGGATTGTGTCCGGGCTTTACGCCAAGGGCCTGCTGGTATGGCGGGACTGATCAATCAGGTATGGACGAGGAGTGGCACAGAGCTCTCTTTTGTTTGTAGCACATTACTCGACGCTACGCTCGAAGCGTGCCAGCTGATCGCGGCGGTGGATACCGATAAATAGAATCTCATTTCAGGAGATGAAGATAAGGGGAAGTAAAGCATCACAGTTGGCAGGAAGTTTCAAGACATGTGGTGGAGGCACATGCGGGGACTCAATGGGCGTGGTGGACAGAGAAGAATAACCCACCTGTCTGGAAATCACTCACTATAGATCCATTTGGGACCACAATCTTACAATGCGCTTATTTTCAATTTGGCTCAAAGCTGTAGATTCTTCACTGTCACCTAGATCTGTCGGATAACTGTACTATATATATTCTTGCAGAACCGAGCTGCAATGATCATAAACCAAAGAGATTCACGTTACTTCCTCCTTCTTCAAGCAACTTCTTATTTGTCTTCTTCAACAGAACCTTCATGATCGCGCAAGTAACAATAGACAGGAGCGAAAACGACATCATAAGAAGCATTGCTTTTAGATACCTTGGACCGTCTGTCGAAGGGAAGAAATATGGGCTGTAGATATTTCCCAGCTGGCTGATGACATTGATGATCGCTGTGGCGGCTGCACGCTTCTCTGGAGTTTGATTCAGGGTAGCGCTCGCCCAGCTAAATACCATGGCATTGGATGAGAAGCAGCCACCGATGTAGAGGAATGCAGCCCCATAGCGCGCGGCGTTGTCCAATGTGGCCGCCGAGATGATAAATCCGATGCAAGCCACAGCCTGGGGGATAGAGATATGGAACCCTCTCTCCCTCCAACGGTCGCTAGAGTATGCGGTAAGGAAGGCGGCGACGGCTGCAGCTAGGTAAGGTGGTGAGGTTAGAACCAGGGTGAGAGTGTTGTTGCCTAGGTTATAGCCTTTGACAATTGTCGGGAAGAAATTGATGAAGCCGTAAGCACTATGATTTGCGAGAAGCATAACGACCTGGTATACAAAGTTAGCACAGTCTTTTGGCCGTTTCAATTATCATTGCAAGGTTCTCATGGGGGAAATAAACACTTACAAAAACCCAAGTTCGGATGTCCGTCACAGCGAGCTTCAATCCAACCCAAATGCTATTCTCGGCCTCGGGTTGTGACACTCGATCTCTGGCCATGCGCTCAACAGCAACCTTTTGTTCGTCTTCGGTCAAAAACCACCTGGCTAGGCCTGTCTTGCCCATGGGGAAGTCAGGGAGGAAGACAAGACCGAGGAGGCCCACAAAGAAACTAGCAGCGCCTTCGATGATAAAGAGCCACCTCCAGCCGGGTAAACCATGAACGCCGTCAAGCCCTTCGAAGATCCCGGCAGCGATCAGTCCTGAAAAAGCAGTCGCGAGGATTAGGCCGGAGTATAGTACCGCGGTACGGAGGGCAAGTTGTCTTCGAGGATACCAACTGCTCAGCAGAAACATAGCTCCCGGGAAGAAGGGCGCTTCGACGATACCCAAGAAGAAACGAATGGCGATGAGCTGAGAATAGTTCTGCGCAGCCGCAGTACTCGCAGAGACAACAGACCAAACCAGCACCCATGTGGAGATATAGATGGAGGGCCGGACCCTCGTAAGAATCATATTGCTGAAGCATCGTCAGTCACATCATCTTATCGTTTTGCAAATTGACAGTCTGTTGTCGTCTTTTCGGCTGACCTTGGAACCTGCATCAGCATGTAGCCGACGTTAAGGATGGATACCGCAATGTTGAACTGATTGCCGACCAATCCAAGATCGGCCTCGAAGCTGTCGAGTCTTGCCTGACTTTTATTGAAAGCAAGTCTGTCAGTATTTTCATTCCTGATGCTTCTCATGGATGCTCGGGAAGGCTGAAATAAATGCTTACGCGATATTGTTACGGTCCAGATAATTGAACAAGTAAAGAAGCCAAACCATTGGCATGAGAGTCAAGTCCAGCTTTCGGACTAGGCGCTTCTCAACAGCGTTCCAGCGCTCTTGGTTGACACTGTCCTCTGCCAGGCCTTCAGGATCGAGCTTCTCGCTAACAGTCCCCATCTCGATGTGAGCGGAACTTGCGTCGAAGGTGGTTTTCTGCTCAGTCGTGGCCATGATTCAAAGAATGTCTGAACCGCAGAAGAGGATGAGAGACGGATTAAAACAGGCCTCAGGAAAAATTGGAAGAGAAAAGAGACTCTGACGAATTGGCATTTTCTGTTATGGCTGTATACGATAGTATTAATACACGAGTCGCACGAAGGGAGCGACTCTGTGGTCTTCTTGTCCCCTTGGCATTATGGGTTGCCCCGTATGGGGAAGACTGGGGTGCGGGGGAAACGTGGAGCAATATACCCCAGATTCATGCTGATTTATTCCACCTGGGAGAGTTCCGTAGTACGGCTCCTATTCCCACCCCCTTATACGGACGCACGGAGCGTTCCGCCTTTAGCCCACGGACTACTCCTCAACCCATGGGAAACGGCGCCCTCCTTCCAGTTGGGAACGCCTTTTTGGACCTAACTAAAGCACTCTCCAACTTGTCCACGGAGTACGCCAAGTCGAGCTTTTGACAGCCGGAAAGGACCAGCTTCCGTAACCATGATGACACGTAATGCCTTCGCACAAATTTTCGGGTTTAGAGACTACCGAGGTAAAGCAACCTCCTTGATTTTCATCAAGCCAGAACATACCTAGTAACACACGGCCAGTGATCTGTCCGCATGCTTGCCTCTGACGACTCAGGAGGAAAAGACTACAAGATGGCTGCGTCAAGAGCACTCGTAACACAATTGAGGCGATTCACATCATGTGATGTAGGCTCACCCTTTCTAAATTTTCACGTCGTCATGTTCGAATCTTTGTTTCAACTGACGCAACCAGATTGGTGATGCTCTAGTGAAGCTGAAATACCCCCAGGGTGGGTTTCTCGATGGCCTCAGGATGTTCTCGCCCGGCACACCTGCCAAGTCCGTTGGGACAGTTGTGACCGTGAAGATGGTCGAGGCGAGTGATACAAACGCACCGAAGCCTGAGCGGCACTTTGCCGATTGCAACGAGCCTGGGTCTATAATGTATATTCAACAGCCAAAGGGTCTGTCATCGGCATGCTGGGGAGGGCTCATGTCCACGAGGGCAAAATATCTCGGTGCTGAAGCTGTTGTGATTGATGGTCGTTTCAGAGATCTGGAGGAGCATAGAGAGCTTCAGTTTCCAGTGAGTTACATACCCTTTCGCGGAGACATTGGATAGGAGAATTGATGAGCTCTGGTAGCTATTCGCGCGAGACTCGTCCATTCTCGGCTCAAACACATTCACAAGAGCGTCCGAGATCAACGTACCTGTTCAGTTTAAGGGAGATTTTTGGATACATCCCGGAGATATTGTCGTTGCCGACATCGACGGGGTGGTAGTAACGCCTCCTTCGTTGGTAGAGCAGGTTGTCGCCTTGTGCCAAGAACGGGCTGAGATTGATGACCAAATGTTCAAAGGTTTGCGCAAAGGAGGCATGATGGGTGACCTAATCAAAACCTTACGCAAAGGTTCTTGAAATCCATATCTCGTGCATTTGGTGGTAAATCGCAGATGATGGGGTAGTCTTGTTGGAAAACTCGAAAATCATTGATCAAATTCAATCGCAGTCCATCGTGTAAGATTTATTACGTATGCCAATGTATGAATCATTTTCGTCATTTAGAGTAGAGAGCTACCTTCCAAAAAGCCTAATCGGGTTTTCTACCATGAGCAGTTGCCACTCTTCTTCAGAAAGCCATGACCTCAGAGTTTTCAGCCAGGCCTCATCATCTACACCTAGATATGGAGTTTCCTTCAAGCCCTCTTCTGGGCTGCGGACCTTCATCCTTGGCGTGTGGGGCCAGTCGCTCCCCCAGACCACTTGATGTTTATTGGCATCCACAAAAGCTCGCACTAGATACTTGAGATCTGGGAAAAATGGTGCAAGCTCACTGACTCTGTACGGTGCGCTCAACTTTATCCAGAGCCGCCCGCTACGCACAAGCTCTACTACAGCCTGGAAGCCAGGCTGTAGTGTGGGGTTGTCTTTGTATTCCGCTGGCAGCATGCTGCCCCCCTTCAACAGGGCAAAGTGATCCGTGACCAGATTCAGCGAGAACTGAGACAGAGTCGTCTCGATAAAGGGCCGCAGCTCGTCCCAAAACTCTGTGCGGATCGTTGTCATGGTCACGCTCCAGGGCAGGGAGGCCACTCTAAGTCGTTTGGCATGTGCTTCGAGGATTCTTTTCTGCGCCTCCACGTCTTCCATGGCCCCGTAGTGGTACAGATTTATCCGCACGCCGCGGATTCCGGCATCGCTCATTTCTCGTAGGGCACTATCTGTAACCGTATCCGGGTCGATGACCCCTATACCACGCGTCATGGAAGCGCCCAGGCGAGGGATGAAAGACTTCATCGAGGTACAGTCATCGCCGTAGGATAGGCCATGCGCAAGAACCGAATTGGTCAAGCCTAGACGCCTCCTGAATTCGATGTACTCTTCAACGGTTGCGGGAGGAGGTGTCAAATGACGTGAGGCGCTGTAAGGAAAGGTAGCAGCTAGAAATACCGGTTGTCAGATTTTGTATTCGGATGGAAAAAGCCTGCCTTAACGTTCATGCTTACGTTCGAATATGTGGTGGTGGGTATCCCACCCTTCGTGGCAGATAAGTTCATTCTGGCCGCGTGCCAATGTTTGCGTCATGATCGAGGGCGGAGGGAATTTGAGATGCTAGTGATTCGTGTGGTACTATGCGTTGAGATGTAGCCAATAATGGATTATTCTCTTTGAGGATGGCTCTCGTGCAGTCATTCATATGGAGTCCGGGAGTACTCCATTGTAAAATGTTTATACCTACAACGTAGTAGTCACAGCTGGGCAGTTCCGGTCTTCAAGCGGTGGAATCCAGGTTTTGCAAAACGCTGACGGAGCGATCCGGTCAGCAATTCTGCGGAGCAGCTGGACCATGCCGCAATCTTAGGCGCGGAGCAAGGAATACGACAAATACACACCCTTATGTGTCATAATTGACGCGATCGTATTATTCAACAGAATCTCGATATGAAGATGTGTATTATATCAGCCATTGTTGCGCCAACAATAAGCCAGGCGAACTTTTGAGTGTGAATGGAGGCAAAGACAAAAATGAGTGATAAGACACGACAAGCACCTACTCCTTTACAGTCTATCGCGGCTGGGGCTGCTGCAGGTGGAGTTGAGTCCTTGATCACAGTGAGAATACGGCAGCAATCAGGTTGTGTTGGTCCTAGAATAGCTAGAAGCTGACTTGAAGGAAGTACCCGACAGAATATGCCAAAACCAGGAGACAGCTTCTCCAATCGCCGCGGTCGACGTTCACCATTGTGGTGGAAGCATGTCGAACATCAGGCATCCGAGCATTGTATAGCGGCGCCGGCGCGTTCTGTGCCTCGAACGCGGCCAAGTCGGGGATTCGCTTTCTGACTTTCGATCTGGTCAAGGACCGCCTCCCGCGGGACCCAGAGACAGGGAAGCACACGGCCACGTCGAGCATGCTGGCGGGAGTAGCTGCGGGGATCGCGGAGAGCGTCACAGTCGTCACGCCGGGCGAAAATCTCAAGACCAAGACAGTCGAGGACCGAGCAGGCGCCAGACAGTTCAAGACGACCGCTGCTGTTGTTCGAGGCATTGTCGCCAAGGACGGCCTTATGGGCTTGTTCCGCGGAGTGGTGCCAGTCACGATGAAACAGGCCTCAAATGCCCTGGTGAGATTTTCTTCCTACCAGGCTCTGCTGGATATAGCCCAGCCTAATTTGGAGCGTGGCGGCTGGGGAACGCTGGCGCCGGCCATAGCTGGTGCTGGCGCCGGCGTGATCACCGTCTATGCCACTATGCCGTTCGATGTGGTCAAAACCAAAATGCAGAGCATCGAGGGCAGGCAGCAATATGGCGGTACGTGGCGGTGTATTCTTGCCATTGCTCAACAGTCCGGCCTCAGTGGGTTCTGGAGGGGAACCACGCCGCGGCTGGTACGGCTGAGTGTGAGTCAATTTAGTCTGGCGCCTCCAAGGAATACTGTGAGCCTTGCTGACGTTCTCCTTTCTTCGCCAACATTACAGGTGTCGGGAGCGATTAGTTTCAGCATTTATTCACGGGTCGTTGTGACGATGCAGAGCAGAACAAGAGTCCCGCGGCAGGGAGCCGAGCTGTCAAATATGGTTCAAGGTAGTAGATTTGTACCGTACGCGTCCGATAGTGGAGCATGCGTATCATATAAGTACTCCACGTACCAATATCCCCACACGGGGTGTGCCCAGCACAAGTCTAGCCCTGCAAAATGTGCACTAGTCGCGGCCGCAGCATTACAAAGCCAGCACCCCCGTTGCCAAGGGTGCCCCAAAATGTTACCTTGGAACGTGATTTTACAACTACACCACGTGCACGTACCATAGCAAGAGCAACAAGTCCCATGGAGGGGAGAAGCAGCGTCTCAAGAAAAGTCCGTCTGGCATGCCAAAGGTGTCGGGTTCGCAGAATCAAGGCGGGTGATCGATATCCCTTTTCCACACCTCGATCGAGGTCGGTCTCATGGTCGCTGACACCGGACATTGTAGTGTGATGGAGGTGTCCCGGCGTGTTCCAACTGCGCGAAGGCTGATGAGCTTTGTGTTGATGTCGACGGGCAGAACTCCGACATTTTGATCCCCAGAAAGTGAGTCGAGTGTCAATGCACGAAAAGCAGCAGCTACGATTAAATCAGATTGAATCAGATGAACTTTTGCTGAGACACGATGACAGCTTTGGACATGCTGCCCGGGCGAGGATACAGTGGCTGGAACAAATCATCAGAGATCGGCTTCCTGACATAGACTTGAAAGATGGGCCACAAGTTGATATGCGGTCTGACCAGACAGTTGCCTCCCACATCAACAACCAAACAGGCACACCTCCAGCTCGATCGCCCGCCACCCCTTCCACGTTCCAGCAGTCCCGAGAAAGCGGCCTGCTGAAACGGACGGCCGAGGTGTCCAATATTTCTGACCATGAAGAAGCGTTCCCTGAGAAGGCTCACTCCGTGGCTATGGACCTTGGCATGCTTTCTTTGAACGCCGACTCGTCACAGAGCCATTACCTCGGTTCTAGCTCTGGTGTGCTCTTTGCCAATCTCATTGGAGCGTCACCAAGGACGAATGATTCTTCCTCAGCACACGATACAGGATCCCGGAGCTTCATGCTCGAAGACGATCCTCTTATCGAGCCTGCTCGTAGGTCGTCTGCACTGCACTACCGCGCTCTGCAATCGCTTTTACGACAGGTAAGAACGAGTGCTCTTTGCCTTGCAGTATCGCTGCTCACGGATTGCTAGAATTTGCCTAAAAAGGACGAAGCAGTCCTTTTGGTACATCATTATATTCGCTGGACACATCCTGATTATCCGGTTCTGGAGCCGGATTCGCTTCTAGAAGGACTGGACGCACTTTACGAGTGCGCATCGTCATCTCTGTGTGATGACGACCCTTTCATTGACGGATGGCCGCAATCGATCAAGGGGTTCCGATGGAACGGGCGCCGAGTCGATCCTCAGCACCCCGGTGCTACTATTGTGCCCATGCCACTCCTCGCCTTTGTCATATTCATGGTCTTGAATATTGCTGCAATCATAAGGGTCCGGGCTCGCGTCCACACTCTTTCACCAGAGAGCTTCTATGCAGCTGCCTTGCACTTCTCCAAGGATTGCTTCTCCCATATCTCTTTATCAACCATACAAGCCCTCACGGTCCTGCTTATACACTGCCTTCTTATACCGGCCGAGGCTAATGTCTGGACTCTCACGCACCTTGCTATGGCTCACTGCGTCGAGCTCGGTGTACACAGAGATCAGCCTCAAGGGGCGCACTACGACTGGGATTATCAGCAACTTAGGCGATCTATCTTCTACACCATCTACTCACTCGACAGGTCTTCTTCCCCTCCCTAATGTGCTACTCATTTCAATTTTAACATCATACAGGTCTATCTCCTCAATACAAGGCCGCCCCTTGGGCCTCCGTGATGAGACTTTCGATGTGAAAGTGCCCGAGGCGAGGGAACTCTCCAGTGGCAAAAGGCTGATTCTTGAGTCTTTCCAATCGGCTGTCCTTCGCTATTCCTCCCATCGCTTCCGGCTGGATCGTATCGTCTCAGACATCAAGGAGAATCTCTATCTTCTCCCGGGTAAGAGCTCACCGCCCCTAGACAACGTGGGTCCCGACTCGCACCAGCGCAAAATCAGGCTGGATTTGGATGCCTGGTGGGAAAAGGCAGGCGTGGACTTGGACACTATTAGCAGCGGGGTTGGGGCTCGACAGAAAAATATCTGGCGGGTGAAACTGGAGATTCGATACCACTTGGCCCTGGTGCTACTATATCAGCCGTCGCAAGAGATCCGAAATCCTTTGGAGGACTCCCTCCTTCAGTGTTTCAGCAGCGCCTGCTCGATCCTGGACCAATACCAGGCCTTATATGAAGGCAAGGCGCTCTACCACGGATGGTTCACGGTGCAGAATATCTTTGCCGCGGGTGCAACGCTTGTCTATTCCTTCTGGACTTCGCCGGCTGTGCGCCGTGACGCAGCTGGTGCGCATCTACTACGCAGGTTGAGGACCTGTTCGAATCTGCTGAGCGCGGGAGGAGAATGGTGGCCCAGTGCCAGAAGGGGTCTAGACAGTTTCGGCTCTGTGGTTGACCTTACCATTCAGAGATTGTACGATGGAGACGGAGTTGCGTCTAAACAGCGTCGCCTGATGGGTCCTGGGGAACCCCGGAACTCTAGAGTCTCAGGACAACATCATGGCATCTCGGAAAGTCATGCGGTGCAAATAAGTCGAAACCAGGCTTCTCTTACCGTGGCTGATCCATCCCAGCCATGGGAGCAGCCTTACGAATTCCCCCGCAATGATGGCCCAGAGTCATGGACCTCGACCTCGGAAGGTCTGGACAACAATACACGACTCCGATCTGTGGCCATTGTGGAGGCAAACTCCCAAGGCCCAGCCGAACAAGAGCTTTTCCCCGAGATCGAGGACTTCTTGGCCGACTTTAATCGATCCGAGTTCAGCTGGAGCTTCCCATTGGGTAACCCGCAAGAAAGCCACGGTATCGGTGACAGCTGGGTTGAGGACCTGTAATATATCCCCTTAATCTATGACTAATTATTGCTACAAGTAACATGACTTTTCACTTCTCCGGAAGACTCAGACCTCGGCAAGCCGAGTCGTCATGGTGCAAGGGGCTGGGGCCGAGGCCGGTTTGAGGTAATTCGGTGCGGAGCACTCCAGCAACACACGGAGCCATCCATGATTTAATTCACTAACAAATCCGGAGCCACCCGTGCGGCTCGGCGCCGAACCTGAATTCCGGATTGTCGCGTCTCAAGAGTCCGGTCGCATTCAAAGGGTACGCATTTGCCTTCGAATTTGGCATGTCCAGGTCGAAAACTTCCAGATCACTCAGACACCCACTACTACGACTGGACTCCAGCATGAGCGCCGAGAAGGAAAGCGATTCTGGCTCTCGCAAAAATCCTTAGCCATGTTACCTCTTGGTACGCAAAGGACGTGCTACAGAAGGCTTCGAAACTCAGCACCAAGGGTTCTTTTAAGACGTTGCCTTGCGACCCATACTTCTTGGACTCCTGCCAGTCCGTTGGAACCGGTAAGAAGACGCCCCGCACCCTGCTCTGTATTCTTTTAGAGAATGTCAGTCTGACAGAAGAAAAGCAAAATGCGCTGGACTATGCAGGACGATTACAGACATTGGCTGCGGTTCGAGGCGCTGGGACTCGGCCGTTGACCCTCTCAGAGAAAATCCTATACAGCCACCTGGACCTCGGAACGCGCGAGTGGTCTCTCGAGGACATCGAAAGAGGCAAAACCATCCTAAATCTCCGTCCTGATCGGGTCGCCTGTCACGATGCTACGGCGACGATGGCGCTGCTTCAATTCATCAGCGCCGGCCTCCCAAAGGTGCAAATCCCCACTACCATCCACAGCGACCATCTCATTGTGGCAGAGAACGGAGCCAAGGCGGATATGCAGCGGGCCATGGCCGACCACAAAGAGGTGTACGCTTTTCTGAGCAGTGCCGCGCGAAAATATGGCATCGGTTACTGGAAGGCAGGGGCTGGGATCATCCACACCACCATTTTCGAGAATTACGCAGTTCCGGGCGGGCTCATCATCGGAACGGACTCGCACACCCCGAATGCCGGCGGGTTGGGGATGATGGGGATTGGAGTCGGTGGCTCTGACGCAGTCGATGGTATGGCTGGGATGCCATGGGAGCTTGCTTGCCCGAAGGTCGTCGGCGTGCATCTGACTGGCAGTCTGCAAGGCTGGAGCTCGTCCAAGGACATCATTTGCAAGCTGGCCGGCATCTTAACCGTCTCCGGGGGTAAAGGAAAAGTCATCGAGTTCTTCGGACCCGGTGCAGCAACTCTCGGCGCTACTGCCATGGCTACTGTGTGCAACATGTCTGCCGAGGTGGGATCTACGTCGTGCATCTTCCCCTATTCCGAGTCTATGTCACGATATCTGGCGGCGACCAAGCGCCGCAACATAGCAAGTCACGCCGATGCCTTCAAAACAACTTTGTTAACGGCGGACGCGGGCAGCGATCAGTACTACGACGAAGTAATCGAAATTGATCTGTCCTCTCTGGAACCTCACATCAACGGACCCTTGACTCCAGACTTGTCACATCCTTTGTCGCAGTTCAAAGACCATGTTGCCGAAAGCTCGTGGCCTTCTACATTGAGCTGTAGCATGGTCGGCAGCTGTACAAACAGCTCGTACGAAGACCTCGAAAAGGCACGAGACCTTGTCCTCCAAGCGCGCAACGCGGGCCTAGTCAAGGCCAAGACGTCGTTCCTCGTAAGCCCCGGAAGCGAGCAGATCCGCGCAACAGCGGAGGAAGCCGGCATCCTTGAGGATCTTAGGCAGGCGGGTGCCACTGTCCTCAGCAACTCCTGCGGGCCTTGTGTCGGGCAGTGGGACCGCAAGGACGTGGATGTGAAAAGCGCCGAGCCAAACTCGGTCATATCCAGCTTCAACCGCAACTTCACCGGCCGACATGACAGCAACCCTTCGACCCACTCATTTGTCACATCACCAGAGCTGGTGACCGCGTTCGCATTCGCGGGCGACCTCTCTTTCAACCCCTCAGTCGATGCTGTAGCAGTGAAAAATGGCAACTCCGAAACCACGTTTCGCTTCCAGCCGCCACAAGCCAACGAGCTGCCTCTGGCATTCTCCCCTGGCGCAGACCTGTTCCAGCCGCCGGCGCTCGAGGGAGCAGCCAAGCTGGAAGTGGTCGTCGACCCAAAGAGCGACCGGCTACAGCTTCTCGAGCCCTTCCAGGCCTGGCAGAGGGGCAATGCCAGCGACATGCACATCCTGATCAAAGTGTCGGGCAAGTGCACGACAGACCACATTTCGCCCGCCGGGCCCTGGTATAACTACCGCGGCCACCTCGAGAACATCAGCAACAACCTACTCCTCGGCGCCACGAACGCTTTCCTGCCAGACGCGCAGTCGATACAGAGCAAGGGCAAGGCCTTGGACCCCGAGAGCGGCCAAGGAGGCACGGTGCCCGAGGTGGCGCGGGGCCTGCAGAAGCGAGGCGTGCGCTGGTGCATCGTGGGGGATGCCAACTACGGCGAGGGCAGCTCGCGCGAGCACGCCGCCCTCGAGCCGCGGTTTTTGGGGTGCACGGCCGTCATCGCCAAGAGCTTTGCGCGCATCCATGAGACGAATCTCAAGAAGCAGGGCGTGCTGGCTCTGACCTTTGAAGATCCCGGCGACTACGACAGGATTCGAGAGGGCGACTCGATTTCCCTCGTCGATGTTGAAGACGGCCAGATGCAAGTCGAGGTGCCGGTGACGATGCTTGTCCGGTCTAGGGATGGGAGTGAGTGGACTGCCAAGTTAAGGCACACGTATCACGCTAGGCAGATCGAATGGCTGAGGGCGGGAAGCGCATTGAACTACATCAAGGCCAACACTCTAGCAAAGAGCGAGTGATATTACTTTGCTTGAATGGAGGATTCCTCACATATATGCCTTCCCGGTATGAAATCACTGCCGCGGAGGTCGACGAAGGTTGTGAAAAATTACATCCCAGTAGGTCGCCCTGAGTGACGCTGTAATTTTGCAGTTTGTTTGTTGCTAAGTTAGATATTTCAGCCGCTCACGATTAGTAAATATCTGGTACTGCAAATACATGTTCGCGCTACCTAGATTGGATGTTGTTAAATCAATTTAGACTGTGTGGCGACTTGAGAGACTTTGGCTGAAAGTAAATCGATTCATGCCAGCCTATTATGGGGTTTTAGTTATTTGTACCTCAACTTCCGTGCTATGTCCCCTTTGCGATCCAACAATTTGCTGTATGACAACGACCAGAGACCATGAGCTCACGGTAGCCGTTCTGCCGTTCTGCCGTTATGAGCATTTAGGCCATGTCATGCGGGGCTACCCCTGCTGCATCGACACCCCTGAAAGACGGAACAGCTACCGCTAAGCTTCATAGGGAAGCCCGCTGTGACGTCGTCCAAAGGTGCGGCCTCACCAAGATGTCGAGAGATGATTGTCGGGGAACCGACTTCACTTCTTCCCATACAGTCTATTGTATACTGTCATATTCCAGGAATACGCCGCATTGCAGAACAATCTGTGAAAGCTCCAGTTTCTCACGTGTAATAGAATGGCCATTGGCGCAGACTCATCCAGGCTAGGTGTTGTTAGCCTCAAGGAACGTACCGCCTGGAAGACGGCATTGGCATCCCCACGCCCTGTCCTCGCGCATCTGAACGCCGACACAACGTGGTTGCTGCAGCTTCCAGTTCCAGCATCTGCAGGCGCGTCTCCAAGTTCAAAGTCCAAACCAAAGAAGACAGCTCGGCGCTCGCGCTTCAACATCCTGATCGACCCGTGGCTGCAGGGTCCGCAGAGCGACGTCGCCTCGTGGTTCTCAACCCAGTGGCACGTCATCGAGCCTACTGTGCAGACAATACAGGAGCTTGATGGGGTCTTAGCCGAGTTGGAAGATGGGCAAGCGATCACCGGCACCAAGATCGACTGTGTGGCTATATCACATGAATTCACGGACCACTGCCATCAGGCGACACTGACGGAGCTGCCCAAGAGCGTGCCGGTAGTAGCCACGGAAAAGGCAGCAGACCTTATACGCTCTTGGAATCATTTCGACACCGTCATCACCACGCCTGGCTTCTCGTCCTCGACGCCAAATTGGCAGGACATCTTGGTAGATCAGACAGGGATACTGCCGCCGTGGCTGGGGATTGGCCGTGTGATCACACAAGGGAACGCACTGTATTATCACTCAGCGGTGATAATAGCCTTCGATCTGGGATACAGTCCTAACCGTAGAGCAACACGCTCAAAGGACACAGCGCCACAACAACAGTCAGAAGCGGTGATATACTCGCCTCACGGGATCAAAGGGCCTGATCTTGATTGCGTCAGGGGGGCGGGCATCAAGACTCTCGCCTTGCTGCATGGCCTACACGATATCCGGATATGGATGACGGCACAGCTGAACCTGGGGGCGCTCAATGGCATCCAGGCAGTGCGAGCAAGCGGTGCGAAGTACTGGGTAGCGACGCACGACGAGGCGAAGAGAGGAGGCGGCTTCATCTCGTGGCTGCTGCAGCGGACGACATATTCCCTTCGAGACGCTGTTGAAACCGAGAAAGCAAAGGCGCAGGACGCTGAGGGTGAGCAGGACCTGGATTATGATTTTGTTGAGCTGGGCTCAGGAGACGGGCTGGTTCTGACGTGAGGCGCCGGATGGAGGCATAGTAAGCAGCAATTTGCTATTTGGTTAACGCTCAATGATCTTCAATGACCTATGTATTTGGCAAACGAATTGAACGCACTGTGGGCAGGAAGCTGCCTTGTCTCTGGCAGAAGCGAGCCTCAAGGGGGCATTTCGTCGTGGTAGTTCTTCAACAACCGTTTGCAGCTATGACTTCGAAGCTGCACAACCGCATCCAAATTGAAGATGCTGCTGCCAGCCTTGTGGCGTTCGCCTTTTGAAAATGAATTTGGCAATCTTGATAGTGCTTTGAAGGGCATAGGGTTTGGTGTGGTGAATTTGCCGTTACCGTCCACTTCAACAGCTGTGTGACCATCAAAAGGGGAGGATGCGGTAGTGTTGACAGAGATTGCCCTCTCGTGCCTCCCACTGGCAAGAAAGAGATACCTGGATACATTCTCGGGCACTAAGACCGCTGTGGCTTACATAAGTGGGCCAGAAGCCAGCCAGGCCAGGCCGACCCCTGCAAGTTGCAGCTTCCCTGCTTCCCGGTCTTTGGTGGCGTGTCGGACTTCGTGAGTTCGACAATTTTTCTTGCTGGTTGCGGGGAGGGCAGAAAAATCCAGCTCGGACAGCTCCCACTGCCCACTGCCCACTGCCCACTGCCCACTGCATGCATGACCAGGCCCAAGTCCCAAGTCCCAAGGTCCACGGCAAGGCAAGGCGACGCAAGGCTGCTGCTTCTGCTGCTTCTGCCTCTGACGCTGCTGTTATTGCCCTGACCTACCTCTTACTTCTCTCCTCGAGGAACAGCTGAAACTCCAGACAGACAGGAACAGGCAGTCAGCATTTATTCGTCCAGTACAGGGAGCTGATCGTCCGTCGCCAATCTCGCCCTCTCATCTTTTTTTTAACTTGTTGTCAGGCTGCCCGCCCACTTATTTCCCGACGACTTTCTTCCTTCGCTGCCCCTCCCCCTCCGACCGACCGCATTTTTGCCCTCGGAGTGAGTCGTCCAGTGTCGCGCTGACTCCGGTGACGGACAACCCCAGCTACTACATCGACGCTTTCTATCTACGTCGACCTGCCTCTTCTCCCACCCAGCCTGACCGACCTGGTTGCTCATGGGCCTTGATCAGTCCCGCCGCCATTCCTTTCCCCCACCTCAGCATCTACCCGTCAGGGCCTGATTCCCTGCCTCTGAACCCCGTCGTCGTCGCACCCCTCTGCCGACGGGTTTCTAATCAGGCCCTGCAGCCCCCTCTACGTCAGTAGTCCACCTTGTCTCAGACATCCATTCAACCATCCATCGGTCCTTCCGTTCGACCATGGCGTCGACAAATGCTCCAATACCCGCGCGGCCTGCTTCCACCCTCGCCAAACCCGTCATCGCCAGGAAAGGCTCTGCCTCGCAGCCCGTCCTTCGCAAACGCGTCGAGCCTGCTATTCCCCTGCCTTACCTTCAGCGTCGGCCCAAGAAACCAACTGCCTCTACGCAGCTGCCCTCCCCTCTGCGAACAAGCAGCGAAGACCCGGTACCGAGCCCAACCAAAGAGAAGTCCCTAAGCCAGCACGACCAGGGGAACGTCAACTCGAACGAACAGAACCAGACCCTTGACAATCTGCCTGCGCAAGCAGTCGAAGAGAAGGGGAGCGGCGTGGCGAACCATGAGACTGTCCTCGACCACCAGGAACCCAAGCCAGTATCAGCTGGCTCTGCTACACAAGGCGCCGTTGTGTCTCCACTAGCTACCGGAGAAGTGACGCCCCCAGGTACGAACAGGCGGCCGATGTGTAGATCAAGCTCTTACTCACTCTTCTTACCAGAAACTGTACCGAGCGCCACCTCATCGGTATCTTTTCCTCCTCCATCCATGTCGCCAGCCCCGTACAACGGCGTGCCTCCGCCCTTCCCGCCAGGCGAAACCCATCCTGCCCACTTTCGCGGTCCCGTTCCCGAGCCCATCCGCTTGCCGCAGATGAACTTCACACACCGAGCCATGCACCAACACCACCCCAGTAATGGCAGTCTGGTCTTTGGTGGGTTCCCGGGATCCAACACGCCCTCGCCCGCCCCCGTTTCTGGAGGTGCTTTCGCTCCTCCGGTGACCATGGCGCGTGAACAAATGCCGGTGCCTGGAATAGATGCGTTCGGCCGACCAATGCTTCCAGCCGCGCCGAATGATGGTCTTGTACAGCTTCCCATGAACCATGGCCCTATGACTCCACACAGCTTCCACGATTCTCAGTCCTCACGTACGGCAGATGAGAATGGCACAATCGTTCCCTTCATGAATGGCCACAATGGAATGGACTTCACGCGCCCTAGGCCTCCTCCTGGTATCGCTAGAGTTCCTCATCCACCAAACAACCAACCGCAGTTCAATGCCGAAGGCCCGGAAGTTGTCGATGCCATGATGTTCACGGACCGAATCAACACTATGTTTGCCAGTCCCGCTTTCGCCGACTGCGATATCTGCCTGGTCTTGCCTGAACGCTTGACATCCGTCAACTCGCAACACCCCGGGCAACTCAACGCCCCGTTGCGATTGCCAGGCCACAAGCTCATTCTATCAATGAGCCCTATACTTGCCAACCTCATGCAGAAACAAGCAGAACAGCAGGAAGCTCTTCGTCGTGGACTTCATGAGATCCGTATTTCCTCGGATGATCCTTACCTGCGGGCTGATTCCATGTGGAGAGCAATCAAGCACGTGTATGGCTTTCGTTACGTCCCTATGGGAAAGATCGCGCCGGATAATTCGGAGATCGAACAATTCCACTTCGTGCTAGGCTACGCTGCGGCCGGTGCATTGCTAGAGATACCTCATATCTCCATCAATGCCATGGGGGAGGCATCGAAGCTGCTGAGCTGGGACACGGTTGAGAAGGGAGTCGAGTTCGCGCTGCGTGATTCGGCCATAGTCTTGAACAGGATGGACGTTCCCCAGGGACGCCTCTTCCCACAGTTCCAGTACAGGCACGGTATCTACGTGAACGAGCTGGTGGAGAGAATCATGATGTTCATCATCACTCACTTCCCCAACAACTTTACCCTGGACACCATGGTTGATGATCCACGGTACACTCGTCTTCCACCGACCTCATCCGCTCGAGAGACAAAGGGGCCAGAGATGGCGAACAACATTCGTGTTCCGCCACAAATATCTTCACGAAAATCCATGCCCAGGTTCGGAGACCTCGAACCTGATGAGGACAGCTATGGCCAGGTTGTGTCGCACCAGGAGCCTTTCGAGCACGCGGCAGCGCTCTCTCGAATTTTGCTGAACCTCCCCTTCGAGATGGTGAAGTTCCTGCTTGAGAGCAACAGTATTGGTGGGGTTTCGGGGTGGCAGACAGCGCAAGACCGACGGCGAGCTCTCCCACATGTGATTGCCGCACGTGAGAACCGCCGCCTGCGTTTCGTCTCGGACTTCATGGCTGGTCGCCACGAAGGCCCGGACCCCGGTGCAGCCCTTCGGAGCCAGGAACCGCAGCTGCTTGAGGGAGTGTGGAACAGCGTCTGCTGGAGGGAACGTTTTGTGCTGAATGGAGATGCGCCCATCATTGAGCGGGTGTGGGAGCCCTTTGGAGACAGCAGGTAGTACCAACTGTCGCGACGGTTATGGCCTGAAGTTGAGCCTACGTCGCCGGCCTTGGAACATCTGCGCACGAACTTGACGATATGAAGCGCACGGGTGGACGAAACTGCACGGAATGGATGGATGGAGGAGGAGTGACAGCGAGGCTTGGTTTTGCACGGCGTCTTAAAAGCGTTTCTCGACAGATTCGGCGGGTGCGGCCGCTGTCTTGGTTTCAGGGTTGATGGAAAAAGAAAATGGGCACGGCACAAAAACAAAAGCATTGCGACGGGTGTTGGAGTACAGTGTTGTATTGAATTCGGGCTTGGGGCGCGAACACGAAGGTGGAGGAGGAGTCACTGGCACAAGCTAGGACTATGTGTTGTTGTTTGGGTTTTAATCAACAGTACCTTTCCCGTCCCGGGCGAGGCGTCCGGTGCCATGCTGGCACCATAAGCAGGCATACATACAAACAGATTCAGGAGTAGCAGCATCTTGACAGTGGCAGATGCTTGGGCTGCTGCGTAGCCATGGCGAGACCGGCTGAGCAGTGTGGTCTTTGCTGAAGCACGGCTGGCTGAATGCTATCCTCGGGGCGGAATCCGAGGACTCGGCATTTGTCGTTAATAGGAGATACCAGATAGTTTCAGCCTTAGTTTTCTGAGAGGCAGAGCAACATTTGTATTATTTGTGTAACAGTTTGTGTTGTCCATTGTCGATCAGACTAGCAAGGTTGCGCCAACGTTGTCGAGCTATGTGAAGGAAGCACAATAAAGCAGAGCCGCGCCCCTGAATACAACAAAACAGAAGAGGCCACAGCAAAACGGTACGCGTGCTGTTCAGGTACTGTGCCAGTACTAAGAACTAGTAATAGACACGCAACAGATCGACGACAAGATCTTGCCAATGCTCGTGATCTGCCTCGTCCGTGTGGGAACCCGTGAATGATCACGCTCGTGTGGCCGTATTGATCTCCTCGCCCGAAATGATGTCGAAAATCGCGTCGGGGTCCCAAGATTTAAGAATTATGCGTTGTGAAGTGAGTGTGGGGATGAACATGGGGGAGGGACCCTGCAACCACTTTGAGGACTGCCCAGGCTGCCTGTTCCCATTGGGTCGAGGGCCAGCTCTGTGGAGCTTGCAAGGGGGAGCTCCTAGGGCGGGACTGGGGGGGCCTGAACGAAACGACCCGTGGAACGAACGCGCCTGCTGAGGTCCGCGACTAGTCTACCGAGTAGCGCCGGCTGCTTGACCACATGAAGAGCCGAGGCACGTGTAAATCCAATCCAGTCCTCCCCAGTCCAACCTTGCAACCTTGGGCCTTGGTGAGGGAAACAAACGGCTTGCCTACCACAGTACTAGTCCACACCCACTGCCCAGCACCTTACCGAGTCTATGTACAGATCATCACACCACACGACCCCTTCCTTCCACGGCCTGGCCGGACTGTCGGGATATTCCCGTCCTCGCGACAAGACGCCGTCTGAACTCGACCCCACCTGTTGTAGATAAACGCGTCCTCCCTCGAGTCTATTTCTGTTTATACACGCCGTCTCTGGCGGCGACCATCGCATTCCGAAGGAGCACCGAGTGTAAGCAATTCTTTCTGATCTGAATGTCCATTGCACATACCATCGCGACAAGCTCCTGCTCGGCCACTGGGGAAATGAAGGAAAAAAGGGAGGGGAAAAGAAGCAAGACAGCACAGGCACCGCCTCTAACACAGCCATCATTCAGCAATACTACATTCCGACGACCACCACCAAGCCTGGCAGTCCCAAGCTGACTGTCTCGTCCAGCTTCAAGGACTTCCGCTCCTCCATCTACGCCTCAAGGACCACCCGCTCCCCAACATCTCCCAAATCAGACAGGTCCATGGCCTCCTCATCCGGCGGCAGAGCCCAAGGTGGCGCCGCATCTCAAGCAGGTACACCCTCTCTCTCGGCCAAGGCCACTACCGACCCAGTCCTCCGCAATACCCTGCGGTACACCATCTCGGCACGCGAATATGCCCTCCTCCATCGATATGTCTTGTCAAAGTCACGACAGCTCAAGAAGCGCGTGCCAACGGTCGAGACCGTCAACCGTATCATGAACGGCGATGCGGGAGGCAAAAGCAGCTCCAAGAAGGGCAAGGCGAAAGCAGAGGACAGTACAGCTTCCATAGACATGAGCGTCGCAGATGTGGGGAGCACGAGCGCAGGGGCGAACGCTGGAGCTGGCGCCATCCTGGGCGCGGACGACTACAACGCGCGCGCCGTGCGGCACTCCGTCCGAATATTTGCCACCACGGCTGTTGCTCTGAAGGCTTGGGGCGTGATCGCGACGAGGTTTATGGGCCAGAAGCAGGACCCGAAGCTGAAGAAGCAGCCGCTGCACAAGTCGCCCGTCTTCCGCCTGTCGCTGTCGCTGAGCAGCATCCTGCTGCTGTATAGGCTTCTGTTCCGCTTCTTCACCAGGTTGCGGCTGCACATCCTCGACGACTCTGCGGAGCCGTTCCGGAAGAGGAACCCTAGGACTGCGAATACGCTGACGTCGCCGTACGCGCCTGCTATTGGCGCGTCCCTGGCTGGCTTGGCCCTGGGTGTGTATCCGGCCGAACAGCTTCGTGTTACTATCGCTATCTACGCTATGTTTCGGGCGCTAGAATTTAGTTGGAATTTTGCCGAAGATGGAGGATTGGTGTGGGGAAGAGAAAAGAATGGTCGGATGAAGAAGAGACCGTGGTGGTTCGGCAGCTGGTTGCTTCAGCCTTTCGCATTTGGCCAGCTTCTGCACTCCTTTGTCTTTGACCAGGACTGCTTTCCTACGGCCTACGGCGACTTCATTATGAAGAACTCGTCGGCATACCTGCACCCGCGACCCAAGGACTATCCTGCGGGCTTGAAGTGGCCGAGCACGCGGGAGGTGGTCGACAGTATGGCTCAGATGGCTCGGCTCAATTGGCCGTAAGTCAAACTTCTTCTGATCGATGTGATAGGGTTACAAAGCTAACCTTTTACATAGGCCCTATGTCTCACCAACTCTCTTCCCAAACAAGGAAGACACCCTTCCGCCATCCCTCACGAGCGTTGCTCCTCTCTCGGCCCCAGCACACCCTCTTATCACAGCACTTAGCTGCGCGACCTTGCACCCGCAAGACCCGTCATGCAGCCGCACATTCCTTACCTTCTGGCTGCGGTCCTTCCCGCCCCTGACACGCTTCTTCCTGCTCGTCTACTCCGCCTTCTTGGTGCCGCGGTACAAGGCCCTTTACAACTTCCCCTTCACGACGCTTAACAAGCTCGTGATAAACGCCCTGCGCATGAGCGCTTTCGTCACGGGCTCCATCTCCTCGGCCTGGGCCTCCATCTGCTTCTTCCAGACGTGGCTGCCGCGGTCCTTCCTCGCGACGCAGCGCTTCTTCCTCGGCGGGTTCCTGGCCGGGTTCTGGGCGTGGGTCGAGCGCCGGCACGGCCGCGGCGTGTTCCTGTACTCGGCGCGCGTCAGCGTCGACAGCCTGTGGAAGGTCGGCGTCAAGCGGCGCTGGTGGAAGGCCATGAAGGCCGGCGACGTGTGGGTGTTCGTGCTGGCGGTCATGCTCACGGGCGTCGTGTACGAGCGGGACGCCCGCGCCGTCAGGGAGGACAGCTGGCGCAAGGGCATCAGCTGGATCCGGGGCCAGGGGTTCCGCGACTGGGCCATCGAGGAGGATGAGGAGGATGAGGATGTGATCAGTGACGACGGGGTGGAGGGCGCGGAGGGCGAGACGGAGAACGAGGACGACGACGCCGAGTTCGTCGAGAGCGTCGAGTTTGTGCAGCGTGCTGGCTAGGTGCGGGCGCTTTCTGGTTTCTACGACGTCGTCACGGCGCGGTGACTGCGGCACTGCTGAATACGGCCGGGGTGGCGTGCTCGAGTATGCGTGGAAGAAATGTGTATTGATTAATGTTGAATGAGCAACGAACGCTACGTATTGGCAATTGTAATGTATTGTTACGTCTGCTATGTCTGCCAGGATCCAAAGAACGAGTGCGAGCCGGGGTCGTACTGGTTTCAGCATTCGTGATTGGTGACCAAAGATAGGGCTGAGTGAGTACTGTACTTGTGTTGATTCCTCTCATCGCATGGATCGCATGGATCTAGAATGCCTTCGTTACCTCCCACAATGCAAGTTGGATGCTACTGGCGTACGCATTGTTTGAAGTTGTTCAGCAATGGGTCATGGCTTACTATAAACATTAGTAGTCCCGTGTGTCCTGCGTTGTGCGGAGAAAGTTGGATAGATAATCATCTCGAATCACTGAAAGCCCGAGCATGAAAACAATAGTGGCGTCGGATATCTTGCTACGGGGTATTCATCCATGAACCCATATTATGGTCAATCTGCCCAAGTCCTGTCCCAAAATCCAATTCTGGTAGCCCGGGGGCAACAGACCCGGCGAGTGATACTCCCATAAAACCGTCGCCGTCGTCTTCAAAAGGTATGTGCGCTCTCTCCGGCTCGTAATCGAACGTTGCAAGTGGTCCCTCGTTCAAGAGTGAGTGCGGAACGTCTATGGGGGGCTCCTGTCCAACTTCCGTTGCCATGCTGGGCAAAGACGGCTCGCCTTGGTGAGCCCGCGAATCTGGGAGAAAGTTGTCACTGAATTGCTGTCCTAGCATCGAGTAGTCAATACCGCGGTCGATGGTCCTCCGTCTAGACGATGGCCCATCTAGCGTATTCTGACTGATTCCATGTCGAGGTACCTTGCTCAAAGTTGGCTGAGCTATTGTGTTGGGCACAAACTCCTGACCCTGCGGGTGCGCTGACCGAGCAGCAGCTGGGCAATGCATTTCAAATATCTGATTGGGCTCTCTCGTATGAGCTTCGGGCGGCGCATAATTGTTCGAAATTATGGGGTCCCCGTAGCGCAGTGTACTGTGACCTTGGGGCGGCAAGGCTACGTTAGTCGAGTTCACGGAGGCCGAGGTGGGCGGCGTTGATGCTCCTGTGTGTGCACTACTTGAGCTCAACGAAGTGGCCGTGGAAGCTGCTCGAGCTATACCGTTGTTGCTGGCCCATTGGGCAAAGACCGCCCGCAGTCCCTCTTCCAGTATGGTCTGTTGCAAGGCAGCCAGATCTCGCTCCTCGTTGGGCATGCTCCAAGTAATCATGGCACCTCTCTGACTTAGGAATTCCGAAAGGATGTGGGGCCCGCTGGTCGTGACAAAATCTTGGTAGTGAGTGATACCCTGAAGAAGGTCATTATCAACGTAAGGCGACTTCGGCGGCGGTGAGCCCGGAAACAAAATATTCCATATCGCAAACCATTGGTCCTCAAACGGCGAGTTGGGTGTGGATTTCTTGGATAGTTGCTGCCTCTGAGCTTCGGTAATACCATCTGGTCTGGTGGTAGAGGGTGAGGCGATACCACAGGCTATAATATGATCGTCCCGGGAGTCCTCTGTCTCGAATATTTCGAAGCATCGAGGACAGTATAAGGGCCTGCGGTGGCACCTCGTCAAATGTTGCTTCACATCGCGGATTCTTGTCAGCGTGTATTTGTAGCAATCGCGATGTCTCATTGGATCCTTCTTTGAGTACGGGCAGGCAAAGCTGATTTTGCGTTCATCGGTTCGTCGCCGCTTGGTTGGTGGCCCCAGTGGCCTTGGTTCTGATGAAGCCTTGCCGTCGCCATTTCCGGTTCCCGAGGTCGAAGACTTTCCTGCCTGCTTCTTCGATAAGCCGCTACCATCAGAATTATTTGATAGGCTCCTCGAAGTTCGACTGCCATCACGCGTTCGGTTTCCATCGATGGCGTGGCATCTATGGCAGGTACATGTAGCAAAAGTCTCAAGGAGACGTTGAAGGGCAGATTCTTTAAGCTCCAGGAATGGGTGACTGTCTCTTAGTCTCGGAGTGTCATCCGAATATTCAGACAGCCAAACAGAGCTGGTTTCCGAGGAGCCCTCAGAGCTCACGCGGACTTCTTGTGACGGAAGATCAGGGCTGGAATCTGACGTGTCCACCGGAGTCAAACATGGCAGGACATCGTTGCCTGTCGTGTATGAGCGAGGGCTCAATGAGCACTGTAATCTCTCACCCTCAATAATAGTATTCTCAGCACAGCTCTTGGTGTCAATCAGTCTGAGGTCCCTTTCAGAAATCTTTCCTTTGCGTCGATCCACTCGTTCTGTGGCTGCTTCGACCCGCCATAGTTCTTGCGGCGATTCATCACTTGGAAACATGCTCGGTCTCTTCGAACCTGGTACTTGATCACGCTTCAAGATTACAGCGACCAAATTGTAACTCTCCTCGGCGAGCATTTTGTCAGTAGACACTATCGACGGGGCGGTAACAGCCTTGTTTTCCGCCGTCAGCTCGTGCTCCACCATGATCGGGGGCGGTTTCGGCACCGCTGCCCTCATATTGTGTCCTGCTCATGATGACTTAAAATCTGTATTGAAATATGATACTTCACCGGCTTTAAAGATTGCGCAGGTAAGCGCTCCGGTGCACCAAGAAAATGTTCGTTCTTACCTGGGCTCCCGTCACACGTGGAATGGTTCTCGTCAGACGCGAGGACTTCTCTTGATGGAGAAATTTTGTTGCGATGTTCGTAGACCTTAGACGTATTTGTGCTGTCCACACTGTTGCATTTTTGCGCTGACGTGACGGACCCATATTGGCTAGTCATACCGGAGCTGGAAGTTTCACTCCTGTCCCCTAATGTTGAGCCAGCCCACACACTTGGTGTCGCCACTGAAACATCTGATGATGCCAAGGCCGGAGATGAGGTGTCTGTTAAGGCTGGAGATGAGGTGTCTGTTAAGACCGGAGATGAGGTGTCTGTTAATTGTTTAGTACAAAATAGCAGAATATTGCAGAAAGAAAACTCACCCGGCAGCTCGACGCGAGGTGATGTATCTATAAAATGCTCAGCGGAGTTCAGTGCAATCATCAACGTGGATACACACCCATTAGCTCGGCGAGAAAATTGTTCTCCATCTCGTAACGCGTGAAATCATGGTATTGACGCGTGAAGTCATGATATTGCGGTCCACACGGTGCATATCGCCTTTCAACTTCAGAACCCAAATGAGACTCTTCAGCTATCAAAGTTGATGCGTCGCTACAATGTCGGAGGTATGTGGACATCGTTGATTCCTCCTCAAGCTTGGCACTATGTAGATATGGGTCCGCATCATGGTGTGCTGCCATCCAAGACAGAATCCTCTTTCCATCCTCTTCCGATATCTCCCGCATCTTCTTTGAGGCCTTTCTTCGTGACAAAAAGTTATTCAATACCTTAATCAGCGTGGTCCTCGAAGGACACTCCTTGCCATCTACTGGCATGTGGAGTTGCTTCTGCTCGTGCTCAATATCCGTCGGCGTTTCACAATCCATCATGACCAGAGGGTCGTAGTCCATCGCGTCGATCTCAGATGGAGTCGGTTGAATACGAACTACGTAATCAAGTTTCTGCTTTTCGTGGTGTAAGGGTGAGTCAGGCAGGACGATCTTGTCTCCTTTCCTCCGCAGCCGTCTCACAAATCGGCGTAATGATCCTGAATTATAAGCATCTCCCTTTGACGAAGATCCGTGTCGTTGAAACTTGCTCTTCTCGGGAAATGCTGTCTGGCCAAGGCGAGTGGGAACCGAAGCCACCCAAGGGCGAGTGTCGCCATCAGACATCGTGAAGGAGTCTTAGGCTGCGTGGTGAGAAAATGTTGGTATAGTGTAATTTTGGCTTCGAGTCCAGATATCACTGGCGAGAATGAAGCAAAGAAATACAGGACAAAGTTAGTATGAATGAAAAAGAAAACGGAAACTGCTTTAGGAGTGACATCAAAAGTCTCGTAGGAAGGCTCGGAGAGCCTGGTGATTTGCCTACAGACCACAACTGTGCTCTGAACAATATATGAGAGGTGCTGCACCTGCAGAAATAAGGCGTCCTCAACAGCAGTCCATTGGTTCTCCTGAACACCGAGATGAAAGAGGCAACCAGGACCTGCAGGTGACGCGCGTTTCTGACCAATGATATCAGTCTCTGCTGACTTCACCGGTCCCGTTGTAAGCTGAAGTGTGCAAAGTGCACTTCTGGGACGCCACGAGCAGGTTGCCAGATGTGGCTTGACCTCGCATCGCTCGTAGCGCCGGCTCCGGACACACTGGCAAGCAAGGCTCCGTGATATTAACGACTTCGATTAATCTTTTGTTTGTGACATCCATCAGTCAGCTACTTCTTTCACGAGTTGAGTGTTGTAATGCTCCATAAAAGCTTGTCGCTGGCATTCCGAGCAATGTATGAAAATCCACTCATCTAGTCATTGTATCAAGATCTATGCCAGTGGTGAATCGATATAAGAGGACGAAACCAAACAGCTATGTGCGTCATTTACTGGCGGGAAACTTGCATCAAGGCATTTCTCAAATTGACGAGGATGTTTTCGGAACAGAAAACATTGAGGTTTTGGACTGGGATGCCGGAGCCTTGCGGACACAAGTTCAGGAGGAGGTTTGCATCGCGCACATTTTCATTGTCATTCTCCGCTGCCAGTGCCCCGATTGCGGACGTGACTATACCCAGATGTGTGCCCATTATTGTTCAATTTGGCAATTGGCTGATCTCTGCTGCCCTTCATCCTTCATTTAGGGCGGCGGGTGATCCAAATCCCGCTCAAGGTGGCTCCTACATTTTTGGGTAAAATGCCACCACTGACCGAGAGATTTGTTTGTATTGGAGGGCTAGCACATATGAGGTGTATCATCAAGAACTATTTGTCGGCATTTGATTTGAGCGTCAACTTACAAACTGTTGGAGATGGGATGTTGCGTAGTGTCAGCAAGCGCCTTTCCAACAACCCAAATTATTTTTTATTGACTGCCAACAGACCAAGCGAGGGCATCTTTCTATTTGATGTATAACTATGCTGGGTTAGTTCACAGAAACCTTGTGATTCATATTATGTTCCTATCTTCACCACGTGTAAAAATGACCCACCTCGAAGAGTGGGGGAAGAGAGGGACAGTTCCAAATTGGCAGAAGTGGTTTCGATGAAACTGCTTTCAGCTAGGTCATAGGCCCAGCTGTCAAAGCAAAGGCAAGATGCAGCCTTATCCTGTTTGAGATCTACTTGTTCCCAACAGCATGGTAACGCTACGGCTCGATGGTTACATTATCAGCAGCCGGCGTTCTTGGACCTGCGTTAGAGATTGAGTCGGACTTATGTCGGAGGTGCCCGTTATCTAGGACATCTAGCCGGTGTCATCAACGAAAGTCATAACTTGCTCTGCAAAAATCTTGAAATAGCGCTCATATCTGCAAACCGTCACAAGAACAGGCACTGTAATCTTAAAAAGTGCCAAGAGATAAGGGAGTCTTGCCGAGAACGTCCTGCAAGCCGGGCATAGGGTCGGAGGGCAACCTTGCACTAAGCCCTCGGCTTGAGTGGTCGCCAGTCACAGACAGCAACTACTTTAGCTTCATAATGATAAGAGATTCAACGCGCCAGCCTCTCAGAGTTCCTTGGCCCGGGTCTAAGGGCCTGATATGAAGTCCGATTTCCAGATGGATCTACTCTACTCTGTCGTTTATTTATGTCCATGTCCCCTGACTTACCCAGGACTGTGACCACAGTGTGACCACAGAACCCAATGTAACGGTGCCGAACGTAACCTTCCTGCGAACCGGGACAAACGACACCATGAGTGAAGCTGTAAGTTTATATGGATGACAATGCTTCAAACATTGGGTCACCAAATGAGCTGAGCACATACTGACAATTTGACACTTGGTAGCCGAGCTATAACGAGTCAATGCCCGACGGCGGCAACCCTCTCGAGATGGACGTAAACGCCCAATACGTGGGCTTCGAATACAATTACACGTACCTCATCTTCTGCGGCTTCATTGTGTGGCTCATCATACCCGGAATCGGCCTTCTCTACGGAGGACTCGCCCGCCGAAAGTCTGCCCTCGCCCTCCTTTTCCAGTCTCTCATGGTCGGCGCAGTCACCACCTTCCAATGGATGTTTTGGGGATACTCGCTGGCGTACAGCCGCACGGCAGGCCCATTCATCGGCGACCTGGCCAACTTCGGACTGCGCAACGTCGTGGCTGCTCCATCAATCGGCAACTCTACAATTCCAGACATCGCTTTCTGCCTCTACCAGCTCCTGTTCTGCGCCTGTACCGTACAGATTGTGGTTGGTGGTGCTTTTGAGCGTGGACGCATCATCCCATCTCTCGTTTTTGGATTCTTCTGGGCCACTATCGTGTACTGCCCTATTGCTTGCTGGACATGGAACCCCAACGGCTGGTTGTATAACCTTCCCTCGCTCGATTTCGCCGGTGGCGGCCCTGTGCACATTGCCTCCGGATGGGCAGCCCTGGCTTACGCGCTGGTTCTTGGCAAGAGAAAGACGAACCCAGAAGACAAGTCGCACGGGAAGCCGCACAACACGACCCTGGTCTTCCTCGGCACTGTGTTTATCTGGTTCGGCTGGTTCGGCTTCAACGGTGGCTCAGCACTCAATGCTAGTGTTCGTGCGATGTATGCTGCCTTCAATACCAACACTGCTGCATCGACAGGTGCCATTGGATGGGTCATGGTAGACTACATCAAGCACAAGAGACGCTTCAGTGTTGTTGGCGCTTGCGAGGGTGCTATTGCTGGCCTTGTCGGCATCACGCCAGCAGCCGGCTATGTCAGCGTATGGCTTGCTGCTGTCATTGGATTTCTGACGGCTGTCATCTGCTCATTGATGTCGGATGTCAACGTGTGGCTGCACATTGATGAGGGTATGGATGTGTTCAAGCTCCACGGTATCGGCGGCATGTGTGGCTCTTTCTTTACTGGCATATTCGCTACGGCTTCAGGTAAGACTAAATAGCCAAACTCGCAAGTGTCTACAAAATGGTGGTACTAATGTGGGAATCCCTAGTCTCCGCCCTTGATGGCGTAACAGTTGCATCTGGTGGCATCGATGGTAACGGAATCCAAGTGGGCAAACAGTTCGCAGAGATCTGTGCCATCTCTGCTTACTCTTTCGTGGTTTCCTTTGCCTTGCTCATGATCATGAAGTACATCCCCGGCCTCCACCTTCGTGTCTCAGATGAGGCCGAGGAGCGAGGACTGGACATGGACCAGTTCTTCGACGAGCAAATTGGTGACTGGAGTTACTTTGACGCAACTGAAAAGCATCAAAATACTGCCATTCTCGGCCAGGCCATGCGCGGTAGCGATTCGTCCTCCACAAGAGGCGAGGTGACGGAGGAGACGAAGGGAGTCGCTAGCGATGGTGTCAAGACGGTTTGATCGTTGACATTCATCATGATCTTGGGAGAAGCTGATTCCTGGACTCGGGCTGAGCACAATTGACCGCATGCTTTACAGTCCACGTGCCATATGTTTATGTGCCGCAGTTGGAGTGTCACTTAACTCCTTTATATACAATACCTACCATACTAGAATAGGCTTCACAACATCCCCATTTCCCATGACTTTGACAGCTTCTCCGAAGTCCTCGAAATTGAAGAACTTGACCAACTTTTCCACGGGGAAAATGCCCTCCTTCCACCACCCGATCATTTGTGGGATGTACTCCTTTGTCCTGCTGTGCCCCTGGACTGCGCCGAAGTATTGTTTCCCACTGACCATGAAGCTCTGCATGTGAAGATTCAAGTGGGCGTTCGGCATGCCAGTTCCAACTTGAATGATCTTCGCCATGTACCGCGTGTACTCTACTTGAGCAGCGACGAGCGGAGGGTGGGCACTGGTGTCAATCGAGATGGTCGCGCCTAAACCATCCGCAGCCTTTTTGACTGCTGCAACGAGCTCCTCCATCGATATCTTCGATGTGTTGAAGACATGCGTCGCACCAAGTGACTTGGCGAGTTCCAGGCGAGCCTCCACTCTGTCAATGCCGATGATGGTCTTGCATTTCTGGTTCTTGGCTGCCATCACAGCAGCCAAGCCGACACCTCCCATACCAACGATGGCGATTGCATCGTCAGGGCCGGCCTTCGCTACGGAGATGACTGTGCCACTTCCTGTTTGAAGGCCACAGCCGAAGGGCGCCAGTAGCTTGAGGTCCTCCCGTTCAAGGCCCAAGCCGCTCACATTAACGACAGACTTGTCGCTGACGATGGCGTGTTTTGCGAAGCTTGACTGCCCGAAGAAGCGGCCTCCAATGGAGCCTCCTTTTGTGTCCTGGAAGGCTGGCTCGCCCATGAAATTGATCTCGAAAAACTCGACACAATGTGACGGAGGGCCTGTCTTGCAGACATGGCAGTTGCCGCAGTACGAGAAAGAAAGCAGGACCGGGTCTCCTGGCTTGACCTGCACGTGTGTCCTCTGTTAGACGAGGGTCCCATTAATTGGGCATGAATGCCATCCACGTACACTGCTCACGTCCTTGCCCACTTCCTTCACGTAACCAGACCCTGACTCAGATGTTAGCACGGCAGTCCTCATATACGTAAGTGGCACTTGAGCCCTTACCCTCATGCCCGAGGACTCTGGGGTAAAAGACAGCCGGCACTCCTTTGTCGTCTGCAGTGTCGCCGCAATGCAAGTCTGTGTGGCAGATGCCCGAGGCCACTATTTCGACAACAACCTCATCGTCCTTCAATTCACGCAGCTTGACATTCTCGATCCCCCAACCTCCCTGCGAGAACGGCCCGCGAGACACAAGTGCCTTCGACTCCATGGGTGAGAATCCAGTGTAATTGCTTCAGGGAAACCGGTAGCGGGGTTTTTCGGAAGGACAGCGAGCCGAAAATTCTTTGAGGGGTGCCGTTGCGATGCGAAGCATTCCTTAATCGAGTTCGCTATCGCCCGGTCAGCCGCCCGGCACAGTGCATGTGGGGAAATACGGCCTCCTCCTTTTTTGGGTAAGGGTCGGAAATGCTTGGCGTCCAACTCGCAGGGAGCGCAGGGAGCCCAGCAGCCGGGAATAACTTAACTAAAAGACTACACACCTTTCTATAGAACACCTGTGGCTTGATTTTTTGTAGGACAAATTCCTGCGGGATAATTCCTTGCGGGATAATCTCCTGTGGGATAACCTCCTGTGGGATAACCTCCTGTGGGATAACCTGCCATGGCGTAATCTTCCGTTCGATAACCTCTTGTAGCGCATATTTTTAACGTCACGAATTTACCGAAACCCAACCTCTGCTGCCATCAAAGGCTAAAGACATCAAAGTCTACACAAGAAGCAGACACGAGGAACACATGTATCAAAGTGTACATCCATGGCCTCCACCTGGGCAAAAGGTGACCCCAACAAAGTATCAAACAACAATATGGCCAATTGAGGCTATCACCTTCGTGAGTTTCAGAAATCTCTGCTGTGTAAGTCCTTCACCTTCAAAGATCTAGATTCGAACCAGAGAATGTTTCAGGAATTTTTTATTCAAAGGCTACATGTATGAATAGAAGTGAGGTCCGGGTTTAGACTTGCAGCTCGCCGTTCGAGAATTTTCCTACTCGTCGGCCGTGTCGTCGGCATCATCAGCTGCATCATCTTTCTCGTCGGCCGCATCATCGGCATCATCATCGGCATCGTCTGTTTGATCATCCTTATCATCTGCTGTGTCGTCTGAATTATCGTCAGCATCGTCAGATGCGTCGTCCTTGTCGTCAGCTGAATCGTCGGCATCGTCCTCCGCGTCGTCCTGATCATCTCCTTCATCGTCTTCACCATCATCTTCATCATCATCCTCATCATCCTCCTCATCCCCAGCATCTTCTTCGTCATCTTCCTCATCATCGTCGTCGTCTTCGTCTTCGGGGGCCGTCTCGTTACGCTTCGTCTGAGGATTTCAAGCTCAAGATCAGCCAGCCGTCTTTCAAGACAGGAATGGACCAGTGGATGAACAACTTACAGCCAGCCCTGCGTTGTCAAACGGCACTGCCAGGGCAGGGACAGCGAAAGCCATCAAGGCTTGGCTCTACAAATCATCACATTAGCTTTTTGGTCCTGTATGGAACGATAGAGGTCTATCTCACAGCAACTCGACGAGCAAGCCCGGCATTGCCGGCAGTTGAGACCTGAAGACCACTAGCAGCGGTCGAAGCGGCCAGGCCGAGAGCGAAAAGCTGAACGAGCTTGTACATTTTCGTTTTTTAAAGTATGAAGTAAATGAATTAAGCGACTAGTAGTTTTGAAAGAGGGACAGTAGTCGTGACGTTGGCAAGCGAATGAATGTAAAAGTTTCAGTTATGAGAGACAGTGGTGAACAATGAATGCAGTGGCTTTGTCGAAGGAACAGCACCCTTTTTATTTCTTCCAACCAAATAAGCCGCCTAGGAGGGATATGCAGTGGGAGGCCATGGGCCCGAAGACCAATATCTAGTCAGGGGCAGCCTGCAGCAGTGTAACGGTACCATTTGAAGCTGAAAAGGGGGTCATGGCGAAGACTGTATGAAGGAAGGCCGTGATTTGTGTTCGCATGCATTAGCCTGTTGGAGAGCCCGGGCAACTATGATGGCTCAGCTCACGCAAAGCCCAGGAAGTCCCGAGAAATGCACTCCCGAGGCAATCACAGTTCCGCCGGTGGGCTGCAAGTCAGAGGGGTTCCAGATGCGCCCACCCAGCTACGTCCGATTCAGTCTACCCTGGCTACCAATAGTAATTTTGGTCAGATAATTAGTTATTGCCACTCAGGTCCTAGTTTTGCGGCCCGGGCGAGATCACGTTCGAAATGACAGGATACAAGGCACTGTGCACGGCTTGCCGCTAGGTGGCTCGCGAAACGCGCGCTTGGGGAACGGATGGCAGATGTTTTAGCCTGAGCTTGATCACGGAATATTACACGAGTCTGGTCAGGCTAAAGAAATCCAGTACGACGGTATTCACTGGCTGAGATTCTTTCCTGACAACAGACTAGTACTCCAAACTCAAACGTAGTCTTTGGGGACAATATTACTTAATAGATATACATTTTGGAATCACGACATTTCCCAACAGGTATAAATTTTGTACACATAATGGAGCATCGGTAGCCGAATAGACACAGTCTTTTTGAATACGAGGATACATAATTGCTTACCTATAGTCCAAGTAGCTCGGTGAAGGGACGCTCACTAGCAAAATCTCAGTGGCCGTCAGTTGTACAAGCACTTGACATGCTTTGCTGCTGTCTGGAAGAAAAAAGCGGACAGGACATAAACATGTGTCCAGAAGATTTCCTCCACGAGTCTAACTTGTCATCCGCTTGGATTGTAAGACGTACATCACAGGAATGGCGTACAAGCTGCGCTTGCGTGACGTCACGAAGAATAATGACGTTGAAGCTGGTGGATTAAAACATCACTTTTGCGAACCACCCCAGGCCTCTAACGATTCATCTCACATCAAGCGACATTCCAAGATTCGAGATCAAATTTCAGTCCGGCATTAACAGCTTTTCTAAATTCTACAATGAAGGAGTACTCAGCAGAAGAGTGGCTTCCATCCGCCTCGGGCCTTGGCGAGAGTCCGCTGTACCGCGCCAGCGACCAAACCTTTTTCTTCGTCGACATCAAGAACCAACTTGTGCACAAGATCCCGGAATCACAGGGTTGGGAGCAGCGCAAGACCTACGAGTTTGACCAGCCCATCACAAGATTAGAAGTGGTTGCCAATCGTATAGATGTCCTGGCTGTGCAGACTAAGTTTGGCCTAGCCCTACTATCACTTGACACTGGAACCCTGAAAGACATTGCGACCCTACAGCATCATGATAAAACGCTCGACGCAAAAGTGCGAATGAACGATGGCGCAATAGATGCCAAGGGGAGATGGTGGTCTGGGTCAATGGCGCTGGATGAGGAAGATCCGATCGGCCGGCTGTGGTGCATGGACGAAGGCGCCAGCGAGGCCAGAACGGCATCTGTGCGGGAGCTGGACAACCTCCTGAACACGCCCGTGCCAAACGGGCCCGTCTTCTCCCCAGATGACAAGACAATGTTCGCGAGCGAGACTCCCCATGGGAAAATATTCCAGTACGACTATGACACGAAAGACGGCACCGTTTCAAACAAGCGTCTGTTTATCCAATTGGAGAATGGTGGGATGCCGGATGGCATGGCGGTCGATGCAGAGGGATACATCTGGGTAGCGGCCAATTTTCAGGGGAAGCTAGTGCGGTACTCCCCAGACGGCAAGGCCGTAGCAACGTGCAAGGTGCCTGGGGCGAAAATGACCTCGTGTCCTGCTTTCGGCGGGACGGACCTCAGAACGCTTTTCATCACGTCTATTGCATCCGAAGGCTCCACTGGCCATGTTTACAAGGTCAAGGTCGATGTGCCGGGGATTCGGCGCCACGAGTACGAGGCTTAGCTGATTGTTGTGCCGGGGTGACATATGAAATTGGTTCAAGGCATTTCGCGAGTTGCTCGTATTCAAGGTTCCATTGACTGTGTCTATAATTACCACGTGGTAGTAAGGCAACATTCGGCTATTGCGTAGTACAAGCACCGCCTCGATTATAAGAGTTGGGCTCACTGTCCGTACGCTGCACGTGCAATCTTCTCAAATATTCACGCTGACCTAGGTTCCGTTCAACACGAGCCAATAAGCCGTGTAAAATCATCTGCCTGCTCGGTGTCACTTGCTGGTGCTGTTCTAGTAATTATGGTACGCCCTACGTGAATATGCCTTCATAGAAACCACATATCGCCTCTCAGGCTTGCCCAAAGGTCAGGATGATGCCGTTTCTTGTGCGTGACTTAAATGCGGTCGACTGGATTGTTTACCCCTTCGTCGACGCCAGCATTGACCGCGTTTCATTTGTAGCAGCATAAGCGGCCCGCACAGAGCACCACACAATGCGAAGAAAGTAAAAGTCCAGCCGACGCCAAGGCGGTCAATCATGAGCTCTAGTACAGCAAGGGCTGTGGCCGCAAACGCACAGCGAACAATGTTGGCCGAAGCCGACGCCGTCGACGACCTTGTCGGGTTCAAATCGGTAAGAAGGGTCCCAAAAGCCTATGCCTGGTTAACATGACTCAGAAGCACACAAATAGTGCGCAGGGTAAATTGGAAGCCTTACCGAGAACAGCCCGGTAGTGGCAAAGCCTATGGCCGATTGGAGTATCAGGGGGATAGAAACATGCTGCCAACGTCGTTTCAGCAAATATAGAATGACAAAGACGAACTCAGAAACTAACCGCACGATACGCCACTGCCCACCCGTATCCTATCATGGCCAATGTGTTCAGTCCGACCAGATATAATGCGGTGTTGAGCCTCGCTCTCTCTATGGGAAATTCATCTGCATCATCGCTGCGATCTGTCCCAGCAGGTGCTCCGAGCCTTCTCGAGAGCCGAGCATAGTCATAATCTAAGACTCTGCCCCAGACTAGCAGACTGATCAAGCAAGCCACGCCGAATGGTATGTACACCAGACCGGAAGCGAGCTCATCGTAGTGGTACACGTCGATGAAGAGAGATGAGAGCGATGCCTGGGCGCAGCAATAAATCATGTAGTAAATGCCGTTGCATACCAGAACTATTGCAACGTCTTTAAGAAGTAATAATTTCAGTGAGGCCAGTGGGTTTGGTAGCGAGAGTTTGGGCCGCTCGCCATGATGCTGGGTCTCTGAGCTGGGCTTTCGCCACTCTGAAATGAGCGACATGAAGGTGCGGTTGATTCCGTGGGCAGGAATGTTGCCGTTACCTACGAGGCATCGTGCGGTCTCTGGCAAGGTGAAGAGGACCAGAAGGAGGCAGACACTTCCGAGTATGCAAAGGAACCAGAATATCGAATGCCAACCCCATCTTGCAGCAAGCGCACCGCCTATGATAGGACCAATCGGAGGAGCAACATTTGGTCTTTGGTAGAGAAGTTGTTAGCTTATGTTTGAACTTTGGGCCCGGCAAATCTTGACAGAATCTTGCACTCACCCAATCAACATGATTCCCACGTAGGAGCCTCTGTCAGCTGGAGTTGTAACATCGCTCAAAACGCCGTAGCCAAGTGATATGGTCCCTTTTTTGCATCAGTAAACAGCTTTGGCAAAATTCCCTATGGAAATTCAACCAGAGCAACCCACCAGAGCTGCCAGCACTTTGTAACATTCTTAGAACAAGCAGGGCAGGAAAGCTGTTCTGGAGTGCAAGTCCAATGTTCGCTCCCAAGTAAATCACCAGGACTAGAATATAGATTGGTCGTCGCCCTAGTGTATCCGCTGCATTACCAAGCAGAGCGGGGGCTATTCCTGACACAATCATGTAGGTGGTTATGGCGAGGTTCACGAATCCGATGGACACACTGAGGCCGTTCGAAATTGCGGTGATGGCCGGGTAGAAGATAAAGGAGCTCATGGGAGAGAACATCCCCGCAAAGGCAGAGAGGAAGACGATCCATCTCCTCTCCCAAATGGTAAAGATGGTATATGGCTGTTCTTCTCTGGCTCGCGGATCAATGGTGGGCTGCGCTGTCCCTTGAATATCCTTTTCATCCATTGAACTCGTCGCAGTGCATCCCGCCTGTCGTGACGGCGGCCAGTGTTTCGAGAATGTCTTGCAGGTCGGTCCTGAGGGAATTGAATGAAATGTTTTGACGGCGGAGCTCTACTCGTGACAAAATGGGCCGAGAAATACGATTGATGCAGGCTGCAGAACCAACACCCCCGTGGCGAGTGGATCAACGTGGGGCATAGGTTTCCCGCAGCTGTCGTCTGGAAGGCTGGAAAAGGCGCTGTGAAAGACACCCGAAGATTCCCTCGGACATCGACGTCAGAGGTAGTCTGTTGCAGAGCGGCGTGCAAAACATTGGGAGTGGAAAAATATGGCATCACCAACAGATTTACCAGGGCAATCAGACCTTTTGGAGCCGCCCGACTATTGGCTATGGTGCAAGCGGTGTAATTGGCTGGCCATGCGCTGAAGATCCTATTTATAGCTTCCGTGCCTCAGTGATACTCCACGCAAAGACGTAGTCTGCCTTCCAGCTTTGTCGGAACTCACTCAACAGGCTGCTCTTCCCCGCACACCAACCGACATATTCCACTACGGTCACCGCACATCCTCTGTAGCTCCAGCATAATGGCGGACCTGCGTCAACAGGAGGTCCTAAAGAACCAGCTCAGTACTCTCAGCACCTCGCTCGGGGGCAATTTGCCCCTCGACGATGCGATTCGCGATGGCAAGTGTTCTTCTTACCATGTAGGACCTTTCTATTAAACTGACAAACTACGATCGCAGTTCTCCCGGAAGGAATGGTAGTGAAGTCGATTCATAGTCATGGCATGTCCGCTTGGTCGTTCACGATCAAGATTGAAGCCATCGACAAAGAGGGGAAAGCTGTTGCTTTTTTTGCCAAAGTCGGTCATCTAGACTCATCTCCTTCAGAAATTCTCCGGTCTATTTTACTGGCTAATCAATACGCACACAGTATGTTGCCGGTAATTTAGGAAGACGACAACTTGAGGGTGAATACATGGGTATGAAAGAGCTACACAAATTAGCTCCAGGATTTGTACCGAAGCCCATTGCGTGGGGCGAGCTGAAGAGTATCGTCTCCGCAACCTATTTTCTGTTGATGGAGTTCAGAGATTTCGTCTTAGGACTGCCTAACCCAGTAAAACTGGGTAAAAGACTGGCAGAAATGCACAAGAAAAGTGAATCACCCACAGGAATGTTTGGGTTCGGTATTCAGACCTTTGATGGAGCTCGATTGCAGTCAGTGTCTTGGGATCCGAGCTGGACATCGTTCTTTTCCAAGCTGCTTGCTGAGGCGTACCGACAGGATACAGAGACCAATGGAGTTTGGCCGGAATTGAAAGTGGCATTCGAACGCGTACAGTCTCATCTGATCCCACGCCTTTTGGGTGTATTAGAGACAGATGGAAATTCGGTCAAGCCATGTCTGATACACGGAGACTTGTGGGACGGCAATGTTGCGACAGACGCCAACACTGGAGATCCGGTCATATTCGATTGTGGAGCTTACTATGCGCACAACGAGATGGAGTTGGGTATCTGGCGAGCAGAAAGGCATGAACTCAGAGACAAAGTCTATCGACGTGAATATCTTCGCAACTTTGAGCCCAGCGAACCCGAGGAGGAATGGGATGACAGAAACCGCCTCTATAGTGCCAAGACAAACTTCATGCACTCCGCTTGCTATGCAGGCTCTCCAGCAAGGCAACTGTAAGTCGAGCATTCGACCATTTCCCTCAATTGCTTCATGCGGGCATCGTGCTGATAATCTAGGGCTTTCGATGACTTTGTCTATCTCATACATAAATATGTGCCATGGGATGAAGGCTCTGCGGAGTGGATTCAGGTTCGTGGTCTTGTCCAGAGGGAACAAAGCTTTTAGGACCAGTATAGTTATTAGGGGACATTGGTAATTCAATAGACAATTCAAATGCAGGTAGACACTCCCGTATACAGTAAATTTTACGACCAAAACTTTTGCTTCAGTGTTCTCCGATGTGGCCTTAAAGTAGATACCAAAATCAATAACCCATGCGAGAGTTCCGACACAACGAATTTATGGGTCAACGACTGAAGCAGCCAGTTTGCGGTGCTTGAGTGCGTCTCGGACCCCAAGATTCCCACTCCACATCCCTCTAGCTAATTTGGGAAAGTTGCATGGGGCCCCGGACTGCTGTAACACAAGAGCATCAGCCCCGAGCGCGTACATATGTGGCGGGGTTGGTTGGTTCGTTGGTTGGTCGTCTGTTGGTTATCTGTGGTGCTCGCTTCGCGTCTTGTAAAGACTTCCTACTTGACTACCTCGAACAGAGCAGCGCATACTGGCGGCGTCGTCCGTTGCGATGGTAAGTCAGATTTCCAGTTCCTCAGAACAGCATTCCTTCTAACACAGATGCTCCAACCGGATTGCTAACAAGAATCATTGATTGGCACCAGTTTCCCCGCAACTTATTTTCCTCAAAACACTCCCGCCGGTCGAGTGACAACAGGCTCCGATCTGTTTCGCCAGGCCCCAATCTCCAAGCTCGCATACCTCCACCGACAGAATGGGATCGAAGCAGAAGTGTCGGAAGCGAAGAAACACTCCTAGTCGCCAATACAGTTCAAGATTGCACAGAGAGCGCTAGACCGGGTCCAGGGCAACATAATGCTGGTGAACGCAGTCATAGTACACCAACCATACTGCCGGTACATACGAAGCCTGGCCAGTCCGATCGTGCATCTGATCCTCAGGGTCTGAGTCTATTGTATTCACCGAAGGAACCTCACGTTGCAGACATCATCTTCGTACATGGTCTTGGAGGCTCAAGCAGGTTGTCATGGTGCCGTAATAAAGATCCGGCCTTATTTTGGCCGCAAGAATGGCTACCCCTCGACCAAGATGTACATCAGGCGAGGATCTTCAGCTTTGGTTACAATGCTTTCTTTCAATCCTCTGCGCAAACTAGTACGCTGGGCGTTGCGGATTTTGCCAAGAATCTTCTTTACGATTTGTTGTACGGCCGGGACCAAAGTGGCAAGAGCTTTGAGCTAGGGCGGGTGAGTTTAACATCTGGCAGAATTCGTTTTACTGGCTCAGGCCAAGATCATCTGAATGATAAATCTGATGACGCCACCTCAGATGCCAATAATCTTTGTGACTCACTCTATGGGTGGCCTCGTTTTCAAAAAGGTGAGCTTCGGCTATTGAGACCAGAAAGGACGCCTCTGACTTTTCACTGACTTATTGAAATTCTATCTACTAGGCATATCTCGATGGCCAACTCGATGACCGTTATGCGCCAATCATCCACGCTGTCAAGGCTGTTCTCTTCCTATCCACACCTCACAGGGGCGCAGATCTCGCGAATTTTCTGCAGAAGGTTTTATCGGCGGCCCCTATAAGCTCCCCTAAGCAATATGTAGCCGATCTTGTCAAGAAGGGCCCATTTCTACAGATGGTGAACGAGCAATTTCGACATTGTGCCCCAAGCTTGCAAATCTTCTCCTTCTATGAGACCCTTCAGACACCTGTTGGGTTCACCTCTGCAGTACGTATCAAATATATATGCGAATGTTGCTTGTGTTTCTCACAGATTTATAGATGGTGCTCGATCAAGAATCTGCGAAGTTGGGTTATCCTGGGGAAGTATCCCGGTCCCTCAACGCGGACCATCATGGTGTTTGCAAATTTGTTAGTGTAGAAGACAGCAATTACAAAGTAGTTCTGTCAGCACTGAAGTCACTAGTGTCAACTTATTCGCCCACTGGTAAGCACAGACCTGAAGTCGCCCTATTACTTGACCATGAGTTGAACCTGACATAACCCATTCTTTTGTGCTGCAGATCAAAGTCCGAACGCGGAACTGCAGAAAGTCCAGAATTTTCTCAGTATCACAGAGTCGGTGGATTCAGACTTGAATCTCTTTTCGCGCCGGAGAACAGAGTCAACTTGCACATGGATTTTAGAAAGAACTGAAGTTCATTCATGGATCACTTCAACGTCAGTCCCACAGCTAGTATGGATCCATGGGCGCCCCGGGCGAGGGAAATCGGTCCTATCCTCATTTTTGATAGAACATCTTCGTGAAGAAGGTCGTCTCGTGCAGCACTTCTTTTTCAGGAACGGGGACGAAAGCAAACGTTCGATATCGGCATTTCTCAGGTCCATTGCATATCAAACCGCTACCCAGATTCCAGCCTTTCGGCGTTCATTACTTGCTCTCGCAGACGGTGGCTATAAAATTCGAGAAGCTGATTGGAGATCGACATGGACGAAACTATTCGTTGGCTTGCTGTTCCAAATGGATGTCCTGGCGCCACAATATTGGATCATCGATGGGCTAGATGAATCTGGATCCCCTCAGCATATCTTCGATATGCTTGCAGATATCTCAGCCTCTTCATCGCCGATAAACTGCCTTGTCACAAGTCGCTGGAGTCCTGTCCTGTCATCAACCTTTGATAGGGTGCAGTCCAGGATCACATCTTCAGCTTTGTCATTGAATCAAGAGCTGACTGATATACGCAAGTACACGGAAGAAGAATTGAGATATTTAGGCTGGAACGCCTCCGTTAAAGACGAAGTCATGGCGAAAATTGTTGAACATTCAAACGATAACTTCTTATGGGTATATTTGGTGTTGGAAGAGGTCAAAGACTGCCACACGGAAGATGACGTTCGTGAAAGACTTGAAGAGCTGCCACCAGGAATGGAAGAATTATATCAGCATATGGAGGACACAATTCGGCGCATTCGGCGGCCTTCCGACCAAGGTCTTTCTCGCCAGCTTCTTCTATGGGCTATGTATGCCCGGCGATCCATCTCTGTCAACGAGCTTTTGTCGGTACTCGAACCAGAATTCGGCCAACTACTTGACATCACGAGTACCATCAGCAGACTTTGCGGGCACTTCATTGCTGTGGAAAGTCATGACAGAATTGCGCTGTTGCATCAATCAGCTCGAGAATACCTGATGCAGACCAAAACTTTACCTTTTTTTCTCGGATCTCTCGGAGCTCATCTCGAGCTGTTTGAAAAGTCCCTCGGCGCTTTCATGAAGAGAGAAATTCGTTCGATATTGGATCCCAATGAGCTGAAATGCTTCGAATATCGAGCTACATCCTGGCCCCATCACCTCGAGGCTATCAAGCAGCCAGACGATTCCGACCAACAACTAGACCTTCTCGTCAAATTCTTCACACAGCCATATGTTTTAATATGGATTCAGGTTTTGGCCGCGATAGGCCAGCTCAAGGTGCTAGTTGAGGCTTCACACGCAGTGAACACTTTCGTGCATCGCAAGCGTCGCATCGATGTCACTCGCGACGCTGCATCTCGGAGATTCGAAGATTTAGAGCTTCTTGACAGTTGGTCACACGACTTGCTGAAATTGCCCGGCAAGTTCGGTAGCAGCCTAGCGCAAGATCCATCGTCCATATTCACATCAGTTGCCTCGTTCTCACCATTGAAATCGGCAGTCTATCGTTACTTTCACAAAACTTCTGCATCATCAGTGTCTGTCCGTGGCTTGCCAGATGATTGGGATGATTGTCTTGCGAGAGTGACTTTGGGAGCTGGTTCCCGAGCAACTTTGATAGCATCATCAGGGCGATACCTCGCTGTCGCGGATGATCTTGGGACTGTAGTCTTGTGGGATTGCTCGACGTTCCAGCAGACCCATCGTCTTATGCACCGAGAACGGATTTCAGCAATTTGTTTCAACTCCCGTGGTGACCAAATTGCGACGTATGGGTTTGACACCACAAAAATATGGTCTCCTCACTCGGGCAAGCTCCTACGGCAACTCACTAATATCCGGGATCTGGGTGCGCTCTGCCTGAACTACGTGGAAAATGACACGATACTACTCATTGGTTCAGATCGCCGGTGTATACTCGAAAATAGACTCGAACGCCGCGATTCCACGTGGAAAGTTTCGGACCCCTCGCTGCTCAATGACGTTGACAGCCTCCAAGGAACGCAACTCAACTCTCCATCAGCGTTGGCTATCAGCCCAGACGGCAGCATGGTGGCGGCCGCTTATAGAAGATTCCCACTGACAATCTGGTCTATCAAACCGCCTAAGATTATCAAAAGATTTACCCGAGAACGAATTCTAGGCCGTCCTAGTGTCCCATTACCTTTCGCCAGCAAAATTTCCTGGCATCCGAGCAGTGGAGAAATTCTTGGGCTATTTCTAGATGGATACTCTTTCAGATATTCAATTCTTGACGACCAGCTCGAGGAGCATCCACCAGACCCTGCACGAATGCCAGCCGATATACACTGTAGTCCTGATGGCTTAGTATATGCGATTCGCGGCATAGGCGGAACCATCAAACTCTACGATTATCACAGCGCCACCCTTATCTACCAGCTGACTTCCAAAGGCGACTCTGTAAGCTCTTTCTGTTTCAGCCAGGACGGTCGTCGGTTCTTTCAGCTCCGAGGGAATCACTGCACTGTGTGGGAGCCGAACAGTCTCATCAGGCTGTCCGGCGCTGATGATCATGCTGCGAATAGCCAATCATCTCCAGAGGAAAGCATAGAAGCATCGAACGTTGCGTCGGAGACCTTGACGGATGAAAAGCCTCCAATCATGGTGGTCACCCCGTCTCCAAAAATGCCTCTCGTCTGCTTGGGAGATGAAGATGGCCTCATCGAGCTGTTGGACCATGAAGCCTTGCAAAGACTTGAAGTAGGAAGGACCGCTACTGAATTGAGCATCGAACACGTGGCGTGGGGCGCCCGTGGTGATCGTCTTTGCTACTCCGAAGTCAGCGGGCGACTCACCGTTATCGACATTGCGATGACCTCTTCAGGCAGTTGGCAGTGTCACAGGGTCAAACGCTTCAAGCCTGCCTTGGCACAGAAGGGAATCCTTCAAATAATGCTTGTACCCGACGGTGAATCGATTCTTGCCCTGTCTCAAGAAACGGTGCAACGCTTGTCACTTGCATCGGCAGAAGTTCTGGCAACAATTAAGTTGGATGAATGTGCTCTTCTGGCCCAATGGGTGGCACATCCAACATCAGAGCAACATGTTATTTCCATCAGCGCTCAATCTGCTAAAGTCTACCGATGGTCTGACTTGAAACAGGTGGCTGCCTTTCCATTGCCCCAAACTGCGTTCCAGAGGCGACCAACAATGATAGAAGTGAACCTGTCCACACCAAACCAAAAGGACTCTAGCGAAACCATCTTCAAAGTTGAGGAGAAGATAGACTTGGTTCTGTCAACTCACTTAACCGGTCATGTCCTACTCCGGACGTCACGACTAAGCTCATCTTCTATCCTAGTACCCAGGTTGCAAGTCCTGATCACCCCAGATAGGCCAATATCTCCAGATCTTGGCTCCAGTGGTAATCTCGTCTTCCTTGACGTACCGTCCGCAGTCGCAGAACAAACAGAACTACCCCTCAATATCCTTCCAAATGAACGCCTTGTGTTCATTGACCGATGTTTTAGAGTCTGCACGTGGCCTTTGCGTTCAAAGAAAGGCACTGAGGATATCAAGCGCCATTTTTTCATTCCCAGAGACTGGTTGCCAGAACAAAACCTCAGGCTCATTCATGTCACCCGTCAGGGTTCAATTCTATGTCCTCGAAGCGATGGTTTTGTTATCATCGAGAGTTCCATGGCTTCTGAGTGGTAATTGGAATTTGCTCTTTGGTGTCCATAGCTCAGCACCAAGCCACGAAACAATTTCAATGTTGCGAAATTTTCTTTATCTGGTTTGAAGATTCAACCCGTGTCGCCGGTGAACCTAAATTCCAAAAATTGAATTTAAAATGTAGTATAATAATTCCACCATCTAAATTGCAACATTGAATTACGGTCTTCTTGACTTTACCTTGTCGCGAATGTGCCTGGGTTCGATACCGCCATTGGGGTGTGTAGGTAATTCGTGCCACGACGCTTGATTCAATCATCGATGGTTCATATAAAGATATTTACTTTAACTCCTATAGAAAACCCGAAAGGCAAGTTCATACAACAAAAAGATGCAATTTGAGTTGGACCATGTGAACACCACCTATAGATGGCAATAATTTCATGAACCTATGAAGGTGGTATGGATGACTTAAAATCCCAAAACTGCGATGGCGAGTACTTGCTCCTGTGGTCATGCTTTCAGTCGAGGCGGTCAACTACAGCGCGCGGTAGTCAGACTTTGGCGACCGGATATAAGGAGGCCTATGTGCAAAGATGTTAGCAGAAAGTCGACAGAACTTCATCTCAGATCTTCAACTCAGAGGAAATCGAGATCGTGGAATGTGATCATTTACCTCATTAGATTCTTGGCCACGACAATAGCAGCCGTTCCTGCAGCAAAGACGCCCAAGAGATTGCCCCAGCTCTCACTGCCATAGGACCGCTGCCCTACTGCCAGGGCTACGAGGTCATATACCAGACATCCTCCGAAGATCCAGTCACTGCAGGACGCGAGACCCGCGAAACCAAGGCCAGTGAGGACTTTGACAACGGTCGAGGGTTGTTGATGAACAAAGTACGCAACGGAACCGTTGTGCAACAGATCCAGAACACCAATTCCAGCAAATGTTTTGCTCACAATGTGTGTCAAGACGGAGTTGGTAGAGTTCAGATTCATCGGCGGAAGTCGTCCAAAAATGTAATACAGCTGTGCGAGGGAGTTGATGATGACGAATATGTTGCTCGTCTTCAGGTCTGATGCGTTCCAGAAGACCATCCAGCTCGCAATGCAAATGTTTCCCACAGCGTAGAATGGGCTGAAATCCACCATAGTGTTCACAGCACCGTCCTCGAGTGCAGACTGGTCGTTGGACCGCCACAAGCGCCACAGCCAGGCAAGCTGGAACAGCTGTTGTGGGAAGAAGAAGCCGGCGATGAAGAAGGGCTGTGGTGACCAGAAGGACAGATTGGCATCGTGGACATCCTTCATGTTCGGTGTGCTAAGCATGCCATACTGCTGAGCGGCGAAATCGATGAGGAAGGAAACAGGCGCGACGTAGCGTGCGGTGGAGAGAGAGATGCCCATTGTGATAGGTGTTTATCGCTGGTTGCTTATACGCGTATGATTCTGTACTTTTTATGCTGAGGCTATCCTGCGGGTAGTTAAAGGATGTTTTTTTCCAAGACGCATGAATAGGTAAGCTTTTTGTAAAGTGATAAAACAGATTACTTGAGGTTTCGAGCAACGCGTAAATGATGCGTCTTTAATGATGTCAATTTGAATAACGGCTTTGGAAGTAGATGCAGACACGACAAAGCCGATGGCGTTGAAACTGTTGCGTCATGGACTTTTCCCGCGAACTATAAACTGTCAGCCCTACCACATGCGTGCAAACTAAGGATTCAGATGCGTCGGGGCCGTCGGCGCAATTATCGATCCCGACGCGCAATGGTTCCGAATCTGATTTCCGAAATTTGTCAACAAATGCATGTAGTTGTGAGAATGCAATTATATGCCTTACGGATCCTAGGGAGGCTCGTCTACGGGTACATGTATTGCATTGCAACAGTCAGATTCGGGTATCTCACCCCACGTGAAGTGCGATTTGAACACAAGGTTGCAGAAGTACCCGAATCAGACAAGATTCTGGGCATGAGAAACATGAAAATGATATACCAAGTCATCGTCTCGAAGAAAGCTGTGTAACATTCCGCGAAACTAACACAAGTAGATGACTCAGCTTTTCAACTGTCTATCATGTTGACATCAAGCAAGTATGTTGTTGTTTTTCAAAGAGTCCTCTCCTGCATTAGAAGTTATTTCTACGCAGTTGATCAAAATTCATGGAAGCTCGAGGATACGAGGGAAAGAGGTTTGTCTCTGGCTACAGACCTCGTTGATTAGTGTCTGTGCCAGGGCTACAGTTGCGTCTGGTCGCCTACTCTATACGAGGGAGAACGGCATTGCTACGAGTTGATCATCTTCTCTCTCTCTCTCTCTCTCTCTTTTGATAATGAAAACAGTTCACATTACTCTCAAATGAATCCAGGTGCAATAGACTTATGAATCTGGCCTAGAGAGTGGTGACTTCTCACTGCCAGGTGCAAATAGACGACTGGAGAGTCTTATGTCCTTGCCCTGAGCGGGCGTTGATTCTTGCCCTGAGCAGGCGTTGATTCTTGCCCTGAGCGGGCGTTGATTCTTTCCCTGAGCGGGCTCCCCTCTATGCACGACCCTCCATTCCACCTGCAAGAAAACCATCCAACATCCCCGATCGCACCTAGAAGAGCTTCCCCATGTCCTCCCACAGAGCAGGCACCATCACCTGCTTGTATATGTTCATTACGGCCTGTTCCGGGTACTCCAGGTGACGCATCAGGATGTACTCAACGAACAGATCCTTGTCCTCGCGCTCAGGGCGCGATGCCACGTCGTTGCCGTTGGCCCAGTGCGTGAGACGGTTCCTGGCAAGGTAGATGGCTGCACGCAGGTTGTACTCTCGTACCCGCGACATTTTAAATTGGTCGTGGAGTTGCATTGCCATTCCCTTCGCCGTCGCAAGGGACTCGTGCGCGGCGGGAAGAGTGACGAACTTCTGGGCTGTCCGGGGGAGGACTTTGTGATGCTGGTCGTAGTAGGTGAACATCGCTGCGCCTCCGTCCATCGACTCCGAACAGCCGAGGTAGACTGGCCGGAGGGCCTTGCGAGCACTTGAATTCGCTGCCTTCGCCTTGCTCAGGGCCATCTTCTTAACCTTAGATGCCACGGCAGGGTGACGGAAGGCCTTCTTCTTTCCCTTGGTGCCTGGAGTGGCTTTGTCTGAAGTGGTTTTGCCCAAAGTGGTTTTGCCTGAGGTGGCGTTGCTTGAAGTGGTTTTGCCTGAAGTGGCGTTGCTTGAAGTGGCGGTGATGTTCTGGTTGAGAAAGCCTACCTGAGCCGCAACATCATCGATGGTGGGCTGGACATAGCCCTTGCCGCACATCTGGTGTGGTTTGCCAGTGATCCAGCCTCTAGCAAATGCTGCCTTTACGAGTTGCTTGACGTCAGGGATGGTGACGACGGTGCTCATGCCTGAGCCGTTGTAATGAATGGCCTTGGGCCTGCTTATGAGGTCACGAAGGTTGTCTGCCATTTCATGCGTCACTTCATCTTGGCTTCGCATAGGCTGTCGACCGGGAAGCATGGGGACTGCATGGAAAGACTGCCATTTATGCATGTTGTCATCAGGGGAGTAGTCGTCTTCGGGGTCAGGTGCGTCGGAAGCGACGGACGAGGAATCATCGTTTAGCGGGGGCAACGCATTCCACTGCTCTTCAACGTGCTCTTCGAGGGTTTGGGCCGGAGGGCCTGCCGGAGGTGGCTGTGGAGGGGGAGGTGGCATTCTGTCACCACGGTGAGCACAAATTTATAAGATTCCATGGTGGATTTCACATACCTGATGTAGGCTGGCTTCTGGCCAGTGCGGTGTCTAGGGTCTTTGGTGTTTCGTGGCTGAGTGCCGCTGTGCCCGGTAGCCTGGGCGATGCAAGAAATGTGGCGGTGATGTGCGTTTATTCCAGTGCTGTTTCGAAGTGAACGAGGATTGCTTATGTTGATGGAGCGCGTTGGTCGTCGACCAAAGTCGGCGATCTGTAGGAATTGTGAACAGGAGCAGCCCAGAGGCACGGTGAGCTCAAAAGGAACGACGAGTCCAAGAAAGACTGGAAGACAGTTGCAGCGCGGGGAGACATCCACACTTAAGTAGTTTTGGAGCAGTTCAATTGCAAAATTTCATTGAGGTTTTTCAAACTGTGCAACAATGCCAGGCGTGTATTTCGTCCTGTTTACGGTTGGCTACGCCATGGGATGAAAAAATGAAAAGGTGCAACAAGCGTAGGTAGGGTGGTTTGCAATCCGAGCTGCAATGGCAACTTTCACAGTTCAACAATGTCAGGTCCCTCAGCACAACCAGGCCAACGTCAGGCAATTGTGAGAGGTTTGTATATACATGGGGCGAAATGCAGTCTCCTCTGTCTTTTGGTTGGAGGGTGTACGCTACTAATAACTTGCTTATAAACATTGGATAGAGATTTCTCATCGAAAGTGGGTTATTTCTGTACAAAACATCCCATCTGATTGAACCTGCACCTGACAAAAACAGCAACTCACGGGTTTGAAGGGAACCGCAGGGTAGGAAAAGAAAGCTAGATAATGCTTGCAATTCTCAATGTCCTGGCAGTGTGGGCCTGACGTTGACAAGTAGTGAATTTTCAAAGCAAGTTGAGCCACAGCTTTACATTTCAGTAACTGCGTTCTTAAAAGCTCCCAAAAGCTCCTTCCCGTTTGTCTTATTGTCACTCCCTCAGCCACGCGACCGTTTGATCAAACGTTCCTTCTCTTCAATTGCCAAAGCAACGAAAATCCAAGTAAGCTCCAACGCGCCCGTTCCCCTGATCCAGCATCTCTGCTTCCCTCACCTCTCTCTCTCTCTCTCTCTCTCTCAATTCCTCCGTCTCTACCCTCTCCCTTCCTCTTTTCTTTCTCTTTCTTCCCTCTCCAACCACCTCGTTGCAGCAGGCAAGTTTCCCTGCCGACCCCCAACCCATCTGCTTTCCAATCTTCAAACCGGTCTTGACGCGTTCTCACCTAACATCGAATCTCAGTGCGCTGCTAGCCCTGGCATCATGGACGAAGACCCAATCAACATCGACACAGACCTTCGCGAGAGGCTCATCGCGGCCACAAGAGCGGGTGGTGGCACCGCAACATGGTCAATCCTCAAGACCTTAGGTTAGCAACACGCGCTCATTCTGTCGTGCCTGATAGTGACTGGTACTAACGAAGCTACACACAGACAAAACCAGTGCCAAGCCCGACAAACAGTTCGAAGAACTTCCACAAAATCCTTCCTCCGGCACTCAGCCAACAACTCGTCAGCCAACTTGCCCCTGCGCCAACCAGGATCCACAAGAGCAGTCTCGACAGATCCAGCGAATCGTGAACACGCCTAAAAACGCAAGTTCCGACATACTCTGTTTGAATGACGGTACAAACATGCCCGCCTTGGCCAAAGCGAGTTGGCTGGCTTTATCGTACTTGGTACACCCGCAGCATTGCCAGCACCCCAATGCCCCTGAGGCACTAATCCGCATCAACGATGCGTTTTCCTGGATATCGAGACATCCTGGAGAGAGACAACAGCCTCTCATATCAGTGTCACCTCCAACAACATCGCCTCTGACACCCGCACCCCTGCTTCTGCCACCTGCGCCTCCAGTACCTGAATCTGTAGCACCTGCGCCGGCTCGTCAAGCATATCCTTGGATGATGTTCACCTCAGGCCAAGTCAGAGAGCCTCTTTCAGTTGCCGGCACTCGACCATCCAGCACTCAGCCATCCAGCACTCAGCCATCCAGCACTCAGCCATCCAGCACTCAGCCATCCAGCACTCAGCCATCCAGCACTCAGCTATTCAGCCCTCAGCCATCTCGCCCAGCCCAGCCAGTCCGGTCAGCTCGGTCAGCTCGGTCAGCTCGGTCAGCTCGGCCAGCTGAACCAACAGCTCCTCAATTTGCCCAGCCTAGCCTGCCAACGGTCTGGCCTGCCCGACCTGATGGGTCTGTCCCACCGCCAATCAGGGTATATGGCCCCCGGCCATCTGCTCATGTCTTCAGAAACCGAGACGGTACACTCAGAGTCCGCTCAACGGTTGGCTGGCAATTTCTAACGCTGGGGGGAGAGACGAGGGTTTTCTTTCAAGGACGCTACCGTGAACTGATACAAAATCGCCCAGACTTTGCGGGCATACGGGTTGGAGAAGGCGGATGGATCGTGCCTTGTTTTGATGAGGAAATGTCGGATAGCTCCTGGAGGAAGTTGGAGGGCCAGGGCAAGTATGAATTCAATTCCCATACATAGATAGCAGTGTAATGAACCCGCACCTTCTGGTACTTTGGTGACTCCTTCCTTTGCCGAAATGATTGTGATCCCATAGGAGGTTATCCCACAGAAGGTTATCCCACAGGAGGTTATCCCACTATCCCACAGGAGATTATCCCACTAACCTACAGGAGGTTATCCTAGTATCAGGTTATCCCATACGAGGTGGTTCCTGAACGCGAGTGTGAGTGGTCGATTCTAGGCCTGGACATGAACTCAATGAAGAAGACTTGCGAAGGTGTGGGGTATTTTCTATGGCATGTGTGTCAAGAAATGGCCTTATATTGATTATGAACAGGCAGATGGTGGGATTAAATACTCCGGCCCACAGTCCATGGCAACCAATTCTGGATGCATGAACGTAAGGATAGGCCCTCCGGGAGTAATGAATAGCAGGGACTTGCTGTTCGGAATCTTTCTCCGAGTTGTAGTTGAAAAGCCGGCTCGTAGAGCTGAGATGAAAGGCCTCTACTTGTCCGCAGCTGCAGCAATCATGATAGAGATTTGACCCGGAACTGAGCATGATCCCCAACGAAGGTTGCCTGCAAATTACCAACCTGACATGAGGGAACTCACATGGGACTGTGGTTTATTTAAGAAGCATTTTAGAAAATTGAAACGGAAGTCGGTGCAGAGACAGCCCAGAAAAAGGCTTATCTGGTCAAATAGCCTGTAACACGTAGAGTGCGATGCCTGCCCTCTTGAATTTGGGATCCTACAGAATATTGACTTTCAACAGACATTTTCACGGAAAAGACATAGCATGCCGAGACTTAGTCAGCTTGGAGAAGAAGATCAGAGCTTCGGCAAGACATATTCATGCCTGATCTGGTTTGGATCACAACTCTGGCGGGTGCCGTAACAGAGGACTAGGAGGGAGAGTTATTCATATAATTAATGCAATCCGGCCATTTTTCAACATAACGAAGTGTCGACTACTTCGTTGCAGAATTTGTTTATCGTGACTCTTGATTAAGAGCTGTGAGAGAACTGGAAACGGCGTAGATCATGGTCCCGAACCCATCAACATCGTCCAGCCACTGGTCTACTCTCTTCCGCCGCTCCACAAGGCTGCTCTCATCTAGCCATGAAGGAGCTGGCCAGAGCTCATCGAGGCGTAGGCCACTGTCGGCCCAGTCCGCTAGATGAGTGTTGTATGCCGTCTCCCAGTCGCGCTGTGTCTGCGCTTCCCACAGATACTTGCCAGTAGGGGCGGGTAACCCCTGAAGCTCGTTCCCGCGGAAGGTCGGCAGGCCTTCTTGGGTAGACAGCACGCTGTCGAAAAGGTACATAGTGTAAAGCGTCCGCCGCTTCGCCTCGGCGATGATCCAACTCTCCCACCTCGGCCGAGCCCGCTGTTGCTCCGCCAAGCAGACAAGCCCGCGCCGGCTGCACAGCGATGCAATGTCTTGAAGGTCCATCATGGCCCGTCGCAGGGACTGGCCGGCGAGGTGGCCGAGCCTGAAGAACAACACCATCGAGTAGAGCAGATGCGCCTGAAAGGCCGAGAGAAGAGTGAGTCCGTCGTCCATGGACGCGTGCTGCTCATAGAGAATGCTCATCTCCCTCTGGATCACATCCGCGGCGGCGCCTTCACTGCCTGGAAGTAGCTTCTCACAGATGCGCACCAGACCAAGGCACGTAGATAGCGGTGGCCTCGCCAGCAGTGGTTGTAGCTGTGCTGGGTGGACGAATGGTGGGAACCCCCGCCCGCGGACCGCCACGGAGGCGTATGACGCGAGGATCTTGGGGATGAAGGCCTTGATATGGCCCGGGTACTCTTTCACCTCTTGTCCAGGAATGGGCACATACGGATTCAGCCAGCGGCTGGCAATATCATCTGCATTGATGGGACAACATAGCTCCAGATCTCCGTGAGCCGTGGTAGTGGTTGAATCTGGATGTGGGCTATTTGAATGCACTGACACCGATGGCCATGCGGGCGTTGACATCGCCGGCCCTGCTGCGGAGTTCACACCGGGGCTTTTGCCATCGCAAGGGCCCTCAGAGGCGAGTACTGATGTTGCAGGAGTCGCTGGTGCTTGTACGTCAGGATTGTGCTGCTGGGGCTTCGGAGGCGGTCCAAATGATGAGACCCTGCTACCGCCGGGGTTGACGGTGGCTGCGTGAGGACTGAGTTGTGGGCTTCCGGGAGCAGCGGTCGGAGTTCGGACGCGCTCTTGGGGATACGTGCAGTTGAGGCCCCGGAGTGTACATCTGCCACAGCGTTCTGGACGGCGGTCGCATTTCGCCTTAGAGGTGATACAATGCTGGCAGGCCTTTTGCCGGGAAGTTGCATACCTGCTGGTCTTCATGTCGATGATAACGAGAAGGGAGAAGGAGACATTGGCCGAAGGACTGTGAGGGCGCACCACCAGTTGCTGTACGTCAACTCCGGAGCTTAGTCACTGGTCAGCTCCGTCAGCTCCGACCAGCCCGCTCTCCAGTCTACAGCTCCTGTCTTTGAAAGTGGCAACACTACTTGAACGAACAACGAAGTGGCAAGCAAGAAGGATATCCAATGTGATTTACACATTGGCAAAAGGGCAACTTCCGTCAACATCTAAGCATACTCAGAGCTTCGTTTGCGCTGCCAATCTTTGATCAACGTCAATTGATACACTGTGGCACAATATACATTTCCTCCCTGCCTCTCATCTACTGAGGCTCACTGACCCTTGCACCTGCAATACCATTTTCCTTCAAAGAACATTGAACTACATCATGGCCTCGGAGCAGACAAACTATACTCAAGGCTATTCTGAAGCCACTGTCTCAAGCCATGCCTCACGGACAATTGAGTCAGACGCCAGCTTCTTGGTGCCTCACTTGCGAGCTACCGATCACATACTAGACGTGGGTTGTGGCCCGGGAACCATCACCGTCGGATTTGGAGTCATTGCTACAGCAGGCTCAGTCATCGGCGTCGACATCTCAGATGAGGTCCTTGAGAAAGCCCGAGAGACGGTCAGCAGAGCCAGAGAGAAATCGATGGAGACATCCCGACCCCTGCCGCCCATCACATTCCAAAGAGCAGACCTCCTTACCGGACTTCCCTTTCCAGACGACACCTTTGATGTAGTCTTCAACTCGCAGCTTTTCCCGCACCTCGCTACCCACGACATGCGTGTGCGGGCCTTGAGTGAAATGCGCCGCGTCCTGAAACCAGGAGGCATCCTCGCCTCGCGCGACGCCGCCGAGCTGCACTTCTACCCCAGGACTTACGACCTCGATCGGCTCTGGGCGGGCAACATGGTCAAGGCATTGCGATACGGTGAGGCAGGCGCCTGTTTACCCGGCGGCGATATGCCTGCGCTGTTTCGTGAGGTCGGCTTCGACGCCGCCGCAGGCAAGGTCAAGATCGGGGCCGGCACGACCGTTCACGCGGGCAAGAAGACGAGAGACTGGTTCGTGACTGCGGGCATAGGCAAGTTGAAGCCGGGTGATCCGTTCAGAGATAGCTGGGATCGTGTGGGAATCACGGACAAAGAGATCAAGGAGACAAGAGAGGCGCTGGAAAAATGGGGCAAAGATGACGATGCGTGGTATGTTGCGCTCCAAGCAGAAATCATAGGTTTGAAATAGATATGGGGGTGGAGATTTGACATTGGAAGTGATAGCATTGCGGTTTCCTCAACAGCAATCAGATCGAGAATGTGGAGGTCGTTGGTTTCAAAGCCAAGCCCAATTCAGGCTTTTCAAGCGCAAATGGCAATTGAGCAATCCAGCTTAATGTGGCTCTTTAAGGCAACAATCGAGCCTACGAGGCATCTTCAATCATCATGTGCATGTCTGGGGTTGCATTCAAATGTTAACAGTGGCTGCGTCTGTTCCTGCCGTACGCGTCCTCGTCAACCATTGTACTTGTTGTTTTACAACACACAAGGACGTCTCTAAGGGTATTCGGCTGATTGAATTGTTTACCAGTCCGTTTACTGCATGTCAATGTGGACTTTCGAACCGTACACACAGAACTAGCGGCTCCAGAGAAGCCTCGGATGATATGACGATTATTGAAGCAGACATAAATTATAGTTTGGAGCTCAATATCACTAGTCAAAGTTGCTGAGGGTACGGTCAGAACTGTATGAAGTCTTCATTGCCATAATTGCAAGCTTGTCACAGTGTTCCAGTATTCGACTTGTCCAATGGCAGCTCAATAGTCCAATTTCAATTCTTTAAACAAAAATCATTTCGCTATATGCTCTATGCTGATGCTACCTGCAATTGAACCCGTCCGTGACTTTACATTACTGCGCCGATGATCCAGATGTCCCCTTCCATAGTCCTGCAGCAGCATAACGGCCGGCCACCCGTTGAGAAAAACATAACAAACAAGACCCTTCCCATATTTCGCCATGTATTGAATGACACAGACCCAATGACTAAAATTCAAAATGTAGGAATTGTCCATTCTTCTTGAATGACGGCAGCAGTGAGATAAGTGGTGTCCATCCGCCAAACATTGGAGGATATCGTTTCCCAAACCATCCCGTACCCATGAAGTCGTGAGCAAATACCCTGTGCCTCAATACCAAACGTCTGTCCAACTTTCTAATATCATTCGCGTCATCAATCCCCCATCTCATCCGGGCCTCGCTGTTGCGGAATGCTTCCAAAAGCGATGTAAATACCACGGTTATAGAGCCAATCGTGTCGCACGCAATATTGCCGTGTTTGAAATGACCAAGAAGTCGTTGGATTAATCGTATGCCTTCTTCAGGTTCAAGATAGTAGAGAAGACCTTCCATTATGATCAATGTCGGCCGGTCGTTCGGTATTTCGTTTAGCCAAGAGTCGTCTTCGTCCGCAACATTTGCTGTCACAAGAGCGTAATCTTCGCAACCTGCATCCGGCATGAGTCGTTTTCTTAATCCGGTCACCCTGGGTCGGTCCACGTCAATCCATTTCACTTCCTTTCCATGTCTAAGGCGCTGACATCTGCTGTCCAGACCGCATGCGAGCTGAAGTACGAGGACATCCTCATACTGGTGGCGATCCAGAAAATCTTGCGCCCATCCGTCGATCTGCTTTGCCCTCCCGCAGATGTACTGTATGTATGTCTGGTCCAGTTGGAATAGACTCCGTGACAGGTCGAAGTTCATTCTTTGCATTAATGCAGAAGCATAGTCATCTTTGAGAATCGGGTTTTCAGACGCCGCATCCCTCACGCGGAGGTACCACACCAGGAGAAGTGTTTCCTCTTCCGGGTCCAATTCGACTTCGGCGTCTTTGCTTGAGTTGGAGCTGCTGCTTGAGCTGGTGGATAGAGACGCATGACCTCTGCTGAGGGGCTTCACAATCGTGGGTGACGGCACCTCAACAAAAGTACTCGGGGTCAACGGTCCATCCATCGTGAATAATCAGGCGTTCACAAGTAGTCTAGGGGCGAGGCACCTCAGAGCTGTGGCTCTTGTGGCATGACGGGTTGAAGAAAGCAGCAAGAACCAAGAAACAAAGGAGGATGTAAAGCGGTGGGGATCGACAACGGTTTAAGATGTATATGTTTTGCCCTTGATGCTACCTAGGTAGCCTGCCGTTCGAATGCTGGTTCCCAACCCTGCCAGGGCGTGGTGTCTCCACTGACGAATCGACCCCTTTTTGGACCCATTTAGTCAGTCAAGCCAGATTCTGCTCCTACAGCCTGCTTTTTAGATGGGCCATCGCCTCGGGCGGACCTCGCTTCCGAATTATCGCTGGCGAGCCCAAGAAGTCGGACAGGCAGACAGTATGGCTGGGGCAGAGGGATCCAGCGTCCAAGACGACTGCTACCGGGAATATTAGGGTCACACCAAGATCAGCATCCACTGATCCCACATTTCTGTCATATGCATGCGGCTCCACAGCGACCTGCATGGCGCCATGCTCCGCAGGTTGGGCGTCGATCCAATAGTGTGCTAAACCGCTACGGGCCAGCCCCGGTCCCTCGGACTCGCGTCATGGCTTGGTTTGGGAAGGATCTCTCTGACAATTTGCTCAAGATACCGAATCAGAGAAGGGAAACGATCATTGAAACCGCCTGTCGATGTATCAAGACTCGACGTGTACCGACAAGATATATATCTGCCAGATGACATTTTCACAGCTCAAGTTTATATCCGGATTGTCTCCGAAGACAGACACAATCCAGATGTGGGGCTTATGATTAATCTTACCTCAAGACATTCTCTGGTCTCGATGGGCAGCAAGGTCTGGATCGCCGCCTCTATGGTCAAATTAGTCTGAGCCATCATGCAGTTCAGCTGCCCTGTGGGCGCAGGACCACGATATGTCTGACCAGTCAGCCAGTATCACCTGTTTTCGCATACTACGGAATTTTTCTTTCTTCCATCCCATTAGCGCTTCAAGTTCACATTGCCCCTGGCCTTATCGAGCGGCCTTCGCATCTAGATTTCCCGGCGATGTCCCACCGTTTTCGGATCCGCAAATGATAAATGCAGAAACCCTTCCAGCTCGTGATCCCAATCTACAAAGTGGATTCGGCATGGCGCGGCCTTGACATTCGTGGACTGGATTTTAAAGTGCCCTGCCCTGTGGTAGACTGGATTTGCTCTGAAGGAACTGCCGAGAGTCTGGCAGGTGGCACATATGGCCCTGACATTCTTCGAAGAGTTCCGCTGCTGGGACGCCTAGCGTTTGACAGATCCACTTAAAGCTCCGACCATCATTCTCTCGTTGCGAAGATCTGTGGGTTTTCTCAAGCTGATCTGAAAGCTGAAAGCCCTGGAATTTCATGTGAGTGGTAACCGTCTCTGATGTGCCGCACAGCACTTTGACGACAGATCCGGATACATGCTCAGCTTGGAACTCTAGAGCTGCGGAATTGTCCAGTATTTCAATATGTCATACTGCCTCTACAGTCGCCCCAGACATCAGATTGCCCTCGAAAGCTGCTTATAGCACCGCGTCTGAATGGGCCTGCTTTGAATTGTGGATTGGGTGAAAGAGGATGGTGTCGCCTGAGCACACCCACCCTCTCAGGTGAACTTGCCGATTGAAAGGTCCAAAACGTACAGTGGATGTCACCCTTGAGCGTCTACCTTTAGCTATAATCCGACAACCAGCGTAGGCCGTAGGCTATAGCTGGCCATCTCCAGAACCAGCTAAATCTCGCCGGCTCAGCTGTCGATAACGCTTGGAAAGAGTAAGTTTTAATGGCAATGTTGATCAAAATGAGGGGCGTTTCGAATCTGAGGGACCCATTTTAACTCAATCAAGGAAGCCAGAATATCATATATCTGTAGAACTATCACAGCTTGGATGAAGTATGTGTTGAGTCCCTGTGCTTTGCTCTAATGCTTTTTGGCTATGTGCTAATTAAGGATTGCCCATGTTGGGCCCATTGTGAATATAACTCGCAGTGATGACCGTATCCGCAGTAAAGCCCCTTAGAGATAAGATGGCCTTCAAGTGCAGCCTCTATCTTCCCATATCCTGTTCCTAGAGCACAAATATGCTGGGGAACTCTGAATCTTTCCATGGGACTCTTAGCACATTTGCATTGCTGTGACCATCTCTCTGGCTGGATTTATCAGCTGTGCCAACTTCTTCCTTCGACGGGCCATCCTGTCTCAACTGGTCGTCTCCCGCCTGCACCTTGTCCTCCTCGCTGGCTTTTGGCTCTCTTTCCGAGGATAGGAGTGCTGTGTTCTCGTTTTTGTCCACACCGCGTGTTATCGCGGGGAAATCTGTGCCAACGTCCTCAATATCCCACGCCACAGCCCTTCTGTTCCTCTGCCGGCGCCGACACGTCAACGCGAGATGGAGCCAGAGTACTAAGCCCGGGGTGGCCATTACAGCAATCACGCCGCACGCCACCCAGGGCCGATCGAGAGTCTGTATCGGGCCATCTATGAGTGCATCCAGCATTCCTGCGGTAACGAACAGGATAGTAAACGAGAGAGCGATGGCTGAAGCTTTGATGTTGTCTGGGTGAATCTGGGTATCGGCTTCGGAAAAGATATGTGTGCACGTCGGAAGATGGAGGAAGGCTTGGAGCTGCCGACTTCTGCGCAAGATTCCATTCTGGTGTGCGGCGATGATTTCACCAACAACCACGAACATTACATATGTCATGATTGTAAAAGTGAGCCGGGCGAAGGATTCGACGAGATGATCACATAAAGACATGGTGAGGTGGTGGGCGATGCGATTGTGGGCAACTGGCGGCGAGAGTCAGCGACAGCGAGAAGTGGGTGGGAATTGGTGTCTAAGATTCGATAGAGGTACAAAATTTCTTAGAGAGTTAAAAGTTGGGGCGTTGGTTTGAAGGATGGTGATGTGTGTATAGGTGCTCGTATGGGTGCTCAGCAGATGTGTTTTATGCAGTGCTGCGATTCAAGAAGCCAGTGAGATGGTGTAAAGAAGGCAGGTAGACACAGTCGAATCATGAGAGCATTGTGGGCGGACACCAAAGATTGAGCACTTTCGACGAACTAGGCGTTTTAGGTGCCACCGGCGCCATAGTAGGCCCTGGATCGCGACCTTGAAAAGTGGCAATTACTACTGAATGTTCAGCTTTCCAGTGAGGATTCAAATGGAGTCGTTACCCTTTTGCTGCCGCCTAGGCAGCCAGCCACTATCTATTGAATATGTTTTCCATCCTCAACATGCGACCCTCACACAGGTTGAGCACATGTTGGTCAGACCCGAGAAATCTAATTGCGCAGCGTGCTCGACCCCTGTTGAGCGAATCGCAGTATCAAAGGAGATCTAATAAGTGCATTTTGACGGTCTCGTAAAGCGGGTGGATCGTAAATAAGGTCTTAGGGGCGCCACTGTGCGTATGGAGTAATCCAGCTATAGATCTTACTTCTCCGCAACGCGTATAATTGTAAGATTGCTTCTCACTGTAGATGCAGATTACTTTTGGAGTGTCTATACAATCAGATACAATTACTACACGTCCTATGCTGCGGGCTTGACATTTCTTTTCAATGATAGGTTCCTGCGATGTAGACGGAGGCTTGTCAGAGGCATCGGTCCTTGACCAAGACAAATTGGATTTCGCATACTCAACATCCAAGAAGGTTGCAAACTAGCGGGAATACGAAAATTGTACGTGTCAGCTCAATACCAGGTACCGGTGGCTTTCACCATTCATAAGCATCTTGCCCCTGCCAATGAATCTTGGGATGCGGTTGACCCGGCTCACAGACTTCAAGGTTTTTCAAACTTTCTAGGCACATGAGGCTTTGGTGCTCGATTGAGCATCACAGACATTACACGTCTCGATTAGATGTCTCTCGACTTCTTTAAGCAAGATGTAAAGAATTGAGTTCTCGCTCGGTATCAAGAACAACCTCGTATAGAGTATGCATGGAAACCCGGCCAAGTAAGATAGACGTGATTGCTAAAATTATAACAATGACGCATGTGTACGTATCGTAGGAGAAAGCACATACGTGCCCGATAGAGCTCAAGGACCTTGGCGCTGTAGCGCGCATAAGCGCCCAGGTATGGTGCTACGACCTGCTGTAACAATGATGGTCCCCTATACACGTGGTGATGCTGTACAGGACCATGCAGATGCCCGCAGGCCTAGCCCGGAGAAGCGCCGGTCTACCGCGCTGCGATGCCAAGATCCGGGGCGGTGTGGATCGCCGTCGGCCTACAAGTGACAGGGCCCGCCGGCCGCATGGCCAACGGCTAGAACAACCTCACCTTCAACGTTTGAACAATCTCTGGGCGCCTGGGCATCCCTATGTGCGTAGCCCGAGGCGGATGCTATACGGGAGTAGCCGCTGAAACGAGGGATCATTGTCCGATTTCCGCCGCCACCGGGCCCGGCATGCTTGCGCGACTGGTCCGTTGCTACATAGTCTATGTGCCAACTCAACTAGGCCAAAGCAGAGAGCGTTGCATCTAGAAAATGTTGAGCCTTAGCATTGTCTACGCTGGACATTGTTGCTGAGCGACTCATGAGTCTCACACATCAGCCGGCCATTCTTACGCAGACAGTATCGTCTCGGTACGCTCCGTGGCTATTCACCGCCGCTTGCCTGCGGCCCGATCAGCCAGCTAAAAGGGACCCTCCTTCTGCCAAGTCAGGGTTGTACGCCCTAGAACCTTGGAACCTGACTTCATCGCAATTCTCACAAAAGCCTCATCAGCCCTCGTCCACATCCAGTCCTCATGTCCGCGACCCTGTCCAGGTGCAAGCTGCACTCATTTGGCCCAAGACGCCAATATGTCGGAATCCGCTATCAGTTTAGACGTCAATGACATCAAAGAGTGGCGCTCCATCGTCACTCTCATCGTCTTTGTCGTGACGAGTGCGCACACAATCCCTCCCTTCAGCGTACACATGCTCATGAGACTGACCACTCTATCGCAGATCTTGCCGTGCTCTTCCCTTTTGACGTTCCCATTTACCTGCCTAGGGTGTTTGTGGAGGGAACCTCACGTCTTCTACGTCGCTTGCGCGTCATCTCGCCACAAGACTCCCAGCATGGACTGCAGGGCTACGCTCTGGGGAAGCCCAAGACCTTTACTCGGTTACTGCTTCCCATCAACTTTCTGACTGCGCCCATCATAGCGGACCTGTTTCTGCTCGCTATACTGGCCATCGGTCGGGAAGAGGTGGCTGCAGGGACCATTGGCGCCCACCACATCAACCCCATCGACATCATGGTCTTCTTCATCACATTGGCGTACATCGCCATCTCCATCGATGCCTCAGGTCTCATCAGATATTTGGCATTCAAGGTTCTTCAATGGGGCGGTAAGGCGGGGCACAGATTATTCTTCTACCTGTATACCTTCTTTTTCGCCCTCGGCACCTTTATCGGGAATGACCCCATCATTCTCTCCGGCACGCCCTTTCTGGCCTACATGACACGAGTTTCGAGCAATATCGAGCACCCAAGGGCTTGGATTCATACTCAGTTTGCTATCGCTAACGTCGCCTCTGCCATTCTTGTCTCCTCTAATCCAACCAACCTCGTGCTCGCCGGTGCATTCCAGATCAAGTTTGTGGAGTACACGGCCAACATGATTGTCCCTGTTATCTTCACAGCTATTTTGCTGTTTCCTTGTTTGTTGTATATCGTTTTCCGCAAGGACACTTTGGTCCCAAAAACAATTACGATGCACGAGTTGCCTGAGGAACATCGGGCCAAGAAGCCGGTCAACCCGAACATTCCACACGCCAGAGGCAACCCGGAGGATCAGGAGGACGAGGATAAGAAACTTCTCGAGCTGGAAGAGATCCTGAACCCATATCTGGACAAGCCAAGCGCCGCAGTCGGGGCCGTCATAATGGCTGCCACACTCATCACTGTCCTGGTCCTGAACGCAGTCAGCTCGGGCTCAGGGGAGCACCCTGTCTTCTGGGTCACACTACCAGCTGCATTCGTAATGTTCTGTTGGGACATCACCTATGGTTGGATCCATCGCGCGGAAACCCGTGAAATAGCAAGAAAAGGCCGGGAGGAAGCCGAGACCGCGCGCGCTGAGCGACTGTTGAGAGAGCAAGCCGCCAATAGAGACATAGGGCAGCATCAGCGCCTGAGCTCAAGCCAGGACACGAATTCTGCAGCATTGAACTCCGAGAAGGCACCTTCTCAAGATCAGGATCGCGGCGTTCAGGGTGCAGATATCGCGCCGACGGCCGCCCGATCTGGTGAGATCAACGAGAAGTCTGGACCAGGAAATGGTGTCTTAGGCAGAGGACCTAACGGCAACTTCGAACCCACGAGCGAGAAAAGAAACGAGGCCACGGTCCCAGCCTATGAGTCGCACCCGCGCACACTTGCGTCCGCCTCGGATGGCGCGCACAGCTGGTGCCAGGAGACCTTTCCCACTACCACTGCCGTGCTCTCACTCCTGCCATTTGCATTGGTTCCATTTGCTTTTGCGATGTTCGTGCTCGTGGAAGCACTTGTCACTAAAGGATGGGTGCCGGTCTTTGCATACGGATGGGATCACTGGGTGGAGAAGACAGGAGTGGTCGGCGCGATAGGTGGAATGGGCTTCCTGTCCGTCATTCTGTGCAACGTAGGTCCTTTCCTTTCCTAAAAGATATGGCTTCTAAGAAACCCAAAACTCATGCTGATTCACAACAGTTCGCAGGTACTAACATCGGCACAACCATTCTTCTATCCCGAGTGATCCAGGCATGGGAAGAAATACACAAAGAGAACGGCATTCCGATTTCTGATCGAATGTTCTGGGCTACCGTTTACGCCATGGCACTGGGTGTTAATTACGGTGCCTTCAGTACCGCCTTCAGCGCATCGCTAGCTGGCATGTTGTGGCGGGACATTTTGGCTAGGAAGAACATCAAGGTCCGGCAGCTCGAGTTCGCCCGAGTCAACTTCCCTATCATCGCCATAGCCATGATCATCGGCTCCGTGATCCTCATTGGTGAGGTCTATATAATGAGGAGCGACACCAGACCCTATAGTCTGGGATGACGATTTCCTACTATCACAAGTAGCGACCTAGCTGGCGTCTTGGTATCGTTGCTATCCAAGCTAGGCTTTCCCTTCGAGGAATGCAGTTTCGCTGCAAGACACCTGGTGCCCAAGCAGAGACCGTCATTTGATTGACTCTAGAGAGACGGAAAGACGACGCCGTCGAAACTGATCAGTGTGAAGCCTCACTGAGCATCATCTGCAGGCCTGAAGTTTCCTGCTGAGGCCAAGCTCTACAAACCCTGCGCTGGCAGCAGGGAAATCAACAAGTGCTGGGTACTTTGGCGCTGGGGCGTCGCCATCCTGAAAAAGATGACTATCAGGTGCATCAAACCTTGCAGGGCGAGGATATTATACCATGTGGGAGCATACAGATCTAGACAACTATGCATGTTACTAGATGTATTTCTAAGTAGTCTAGAAAGTAAACAAAATGGTGTAATCCTTGATACCTTCCCGGTTTTCGTCCTAGTGACTCGAAATGGGGCTATCAACGAACATCAACTTGAGAAGCTGAGATATTCGCAAACGTCACAATAGCCTTGTTGGAGAACAATACCCGAGAGCTTTGGAAATGTTCAAATGAAAGAGGAGAAGCAGATAGTGTACATACAAATCCCCAGACTTAATTTTGAGACAGACGCAGTGAATTTAGTTGAGTGCAACAGTCAGGTACGATTACCTGTTGGTGGAATAAGAGATATCACGTGGCATGATTTATAACCCCGTTTTCAAGTTCTATGTGTTCAGTTGCTGTCATGAGGACGGGGCTCGGAGGGGCTTCCTTCGCACCTACGGTAGTCTCCTTAACCGTCCCAGAGTTTACAAGTGCGTGCATTAGCGATGGTCTTAAGGGCACGACAAGAACACGATCAATACTTCCAATCGGAGGATTTTTAGAATATGCCAACTGTGACTTTAACTGCGTCTGTCAATTCATACGCCATCGAGCAGCTAGTTGCATCCCGATCACATGAAGGCGCCGTGCCGGCGGACGCAGGGTGTTCCGGGAATCATTCATCAAAGAAAGCCGGGTATCCAAGGCTCCCTGTCCCAGCGATTAGGCTCCGCATTGGGAAAGTCAGTGCTGAGAACAAAGCCGTGAAATGGTATTGCGGTAGTCATTTCCCCGGCTCTCACTTTGTGGATCTGGACGAGAGTGGTTCAAATTGCGACAGGAGCTTATCGGGTTAGTATTTCACGATCCCCACTGGGGAAGCTCCCGGAAGCTCCCCTTGGGGGCGCAATTTCAATAAAGATCAGCGGTCAGCCCGAGCGTTTCAGGCCCAGTTTCCATCTCGGGCGACCATTATTCTAATAATGAACGAGCACAATCAAACAATGGCTACTGAAGCCTTATATGAGCAGTGGGAAAATGGGACCCTGTCATATTGGAGGCCGCGATTGCACCCGGTTTCGCCAGTGAATAAGAACAGCAAGCCCACCCAATAAAGCAGCATTGAAATCCTGTTATGACATGCACCACACTGTTATACAAGCCAAGCAGAGTATTGAATTTATGAATTCCTAGTCCCTAGAACTGGGCAAGTTGATGCGATCGACCAAAGATCAACGACTACCCTCAATCGTATCTGATCAACTGAACCGTTCAATCCCTGTTCGCCACGATTCGTCACTATGGAACCGCTACCGGAAATCCGAGACACGCCAATGGTCGAAGACCTCGAGACGCCATTTTTCTGGCCCATCGCCTTCAAAAACACATTCAAGCTGATCCAGCGGATTGTGACGGGCCAGGTCGAGAACGACATGACAGCCGCTCGTAGCCTCCACGCCTTGGTTCGCAAACAGCTTGCCGTGGCGGCCAAAGACAATTACCGAGAGACTCAAGCCCTTCTCTACCCCGAGACCGGCGAGCAAGCAAACTTCGAGCTCATGATCGAGACCGTCATGCTGAGACAGCTCGTTGAGGGTGCTCCTCAGGACACGGATGCGCGAGAAGAGATGGCTTTGTTGGTCGAGAACTGGATCGCCTTGCCTGGCATGCAGGAACAGACCGAGAAGTTTCTGAGGTACCTCCGCCCCAGACTTTGGAAGGATCCTGTGTGAACGACTTTCGATTGAGAGTGGACATGGAGAGTGAACGTACCTGGGTAAGCTCTTCATCCGTTCTACTCGAGAACCCAGCTAAACCCGTACGAACAGCAAAATCTCGCTATTCAGATTGCATGGCCATGGGTCCCAGATACATTTGGCAACAGATATCACAGCAGACACTTGGCACAAAATATCACGCCATGGTCTTGAAAAGCACGCGAGGCGCGCGGGACGCGTCAGGCCACCAGCTACATACCAACACGCCATCGAGGTATTGCAACAAAGCTTTGGAAAATTGAAGGAGGGAGACATTCCGAAACGTTTGTGATAACCGCCATACCAACCCGTCGCCAAACTACGACATTTGAGCCTGCAAATCCAGGTAACCAAGACTGAGAGCTAAACGCATCTCGCTCGAGCGTTTGGATGACCGTGGACAGTGGCTAGTGAAGGAGGATCGCTGAAGAGATGCCGCGAGAGCATTCCGCAAAAGAAAGGAACGCCTGCGGGAAGCAGGATGCTCTTACGATAGTGAAGGGCCGGCCTCAGTTTTGTTGCGGCACAAGAAACGATGCTGGACAACAGAGGCCGCTGCTACACATCCAGGACAAGCGGCCAAGGTGGGCTTTGACAGGCCAACTGTTGGGCACCAACAATACACAATACAGAGATAGATTAATCTTTTCTTGTGAACACATCATTATAGCTAATGAGAGTAATAAGCTGGACAACAACTTTTTTTCTTGATTAATACTATGGATAATTTGACTGGAAGAATCTGTAGCAACCTAAATTGATTCTCTTGAAGAGTGATCTGAAGAGTTTCTGTCGGCTTGTATGCCAGCTGGTTGTAATATTGATGATTGTATACTGAACTGTATATAATTTTCTCCTCTTCTAGCCAGTGAGACCCTTGATATTTGGGAATAGCATTGGTAGTGCTTGAAAATGTGTCGTCAAGTGTATATGAACCCCATGTCAACATACCTGGCTCACACGCCTCAACGGTTCTTGACCCAGGCCAAGGCTCGCAAAGCTGGTGATGAGCATGTAGTATCTTTTTCGGCGCATTTTCAGAGTACATAATGTTAGTAGCTATAGAACCATTGAGGCCAAGGCACCAGAACTAGATTGAGTGCTAAACACCTGTTGCCCAGAGCCAAGCTTTTGGGATTTTGTCTGTCTCACAGCAGCCTGAGAAACAAATTGATAGCTTCGACTATCAGCTGACTATAGTACCAATGTCTGAATTGCCCAGGTCCTCAGGAGCAATTGCTTCGAGACTTGCATTGCTGTGGACGGCTGTTGCCACGCATGTGAGCGGGCTGACAAGATGATGAAAGTGTGGATACTGCGGTTGTAAATTGATACCGGTATGGGCTGTTGCATGCTGGTGTACCGAGCACGTAAAAAAACAACCTCAAGGTTGCTCCACGACTCTAAGAAGAGTTTAACCTAGATTAATCACAACGCAGGAGACCAGGGAAGTGAGTTTACTCTCCAGTCCATTAATGCCATCTTGGCGCATCAGAGGGAAGCGTCATGGGTACAAAGGTACAGCTGCTGACTCAGCAGCCCCGCGGATTCGAGACATGGATGGTAGTTGGAATGGAATTGGATAGGATCTAGAAACGAACACAAACGGAACACTCCCACGCCACCACACAAGCTCTTAGCCCTTTGAGACGCATTCCCTCTATTCTTGGCATTTTATATCATCATCCTTCCCATTAGGCGTGCTCGTTCGTTCCGCACTGTTATTAGGGACACTGCTAAAGTAGCTTATTTACCTTCCCTTGTGTGTTTACCCCTCGGTCCAATCCTGCGATCCAGGAAAAGCAAACAGCAAACATGGACGACCAATTCGGCGGCAGAACCGACGACGACCTTTTCGCCGACGAGTTTGAGCCCGTTGCCGACGAAGAGCCTCAAGTGTACACTGAGCCTACTCCAGTGCCACTTCCTGTCGCTAAAGAGACTCCCTCACTTGCGAGCCAGTCATCCTCGACCGCACCCACGCCTGTAGAGACTGATGCAGCGCTCAAAGCAGCAGCTCCTATTTCAGCAGACCACAATGCTGCGGCTTCCACTGAAACAACCTCCAGCACGGCAGCTTCCAATGCGACAGCTGCCGCTACCTCGGCGCCCTCGCACAAGTCTGGACTGATGCAATCACGACATGCCCAACAACCACCACCCTCAGCGCCACGCGCGCCTCGCAACCACCGCGCCAACAACCAAAGCAACCACAACAATCATGCGGCAGTGTCCCCTAGTCCATCAAGCCCTGCACCACCCTCCTCGACCAGGCACGACTCCCGGCAACACAAGTCCAATCATGGCTCAGACGCCCGCACCGGATCCGGCGCAAACCCACGCACCAAGCTCACCGAGGCTGAGCTAGCCGAGAAAATGGAGAAAATGCGCATTCTGAACGAGGAGAAGACGCGCCGTTTCAAGCGCGAGGAAGAAGACCAGCAGTCCCACGCGATTGCCATGGAGAAGGCCTCTGCAGAATCGCGCAAGCGCCGGCAAGAAGAGGCCGAGCGCCGGAAGAGAGAGGCGACTGATAAAAAGCAGATGGATGACGAGCGCGAGAAGAACAGGCAAAGGAAGCTCGATGCCTTGGGCGCCCGGGAGAGCAATTGGGACCAGGGGAAGGAGGAGCGGCTACAGGAAGAAGATCGAAGACGGGGAACAACCAACTTCAGGGGCGCGAATGGAGGAATTCGCGGCTCAGCGAGTGGCAGGGGCGGTGGCTTGTCCGGCAGCCGCTTCGCCGACTCGACTTCAGACTCGGATTTCATGTCTGGACGAGGAGGCAGGGGCGGTAGAGGCGGACGAGGACGAGGAGGCCGTGGCGACTACTCCGGCACGCCACCGCCCCAAGGTGCGGCACATGCAGCGAAGAAGGAGCCCGCCCTCACGCCTGAAGAATTCCCTGCTTTGCCTTCCTCTTCAGCGTCGACCAAGAAGACTGACTCCGTCGCCAAGACGGACCTCAACTCGCCGACGTCACCACTCGGACAATGGGACGATGAAATGGCTGCCATGGATGCGAAGACTGCCGCCGCGACCAAAACTTAGGCGGCACTTGCAGCAGCGGGATTGTCTACCTTACAAGTACTTTCGATCAGCTCACCTCGAGAGTCTCCTTGGCACTGCCGATACGTAGTGGCATTCAAAGCTCCCATCCGCCAAGGACCCAGGTCAAGGTACAAGACCTTCCGCAGAAGATGACTAGTCAACAAATTGTGAGGCATTGTACAAAGTCCAACTTTGAGTGCTTGGAGGTCAGTCGGGAAACTTGGTCAATTATATTTAGAAGTGTCATGAGCAGACGCGTATTTGGCGTAGTCCCATGCGGACGCCCAGGTGCCGCAGCGATTATGAAGAAATGAATTCAGGATACCAAAGCAACAAGAGCGCATACAAAAAAGTGGGATGGTTGAGTAGATGAAAGTCGATGTCAAGGACATCTGAATATGAATCTGTCCTCGACCACTTCTTGTGGGTCCGTACTGGTGAAGCGTGCTTTGACAGATCATAAACCTGCTGTCTTCTATTCCGATCTAAAATGTTTTGTTTCATGGCTGTTCTTTCACGTTGATTCTCATGATTGGAGCACTCATTGACCGGGGTTGATTGACGACCTGATAGAGGCATGGACCCTGATCTCTTGTTGGTATCAAATTTATGCAAGGCAAAAACAACTCTCGATTTTCCCCGTCCGTACAGATCCATAACGCCTCCAACACCGGAGCAAGCGCAACGCCACGCACTGGACAAAGCACGTCCTTGGCGCTTAATGCCTCTTCATCGTCCACCGCGGATTATTCTATCCCCTCGGTTCTCCTGCTCGTTCATCGACCAGGCTGATATGTAGTGCCCCCTGGCGCATAATGATAATAGGTTCCGGAACTGAAAGGAAACACTTCGCAGTGATGCTGCTGGATGCCGTGCATCTCAGAGGTACCCGCCGCGTTACCGACACAAGCCGTAGGGTACGTCCGACTAATTTGAGTCGAAGTCGTGGATGACATGCTCGTCCGGGCGGCGCCTTACCAACCGCCACGATAGCCTCTTCCCCGACCCCCTCTGTAGCCGCCTCCGCCACCCCTCGGGCCTCTGGGCCCCCGACCCCAGTCTCCACCACCTCCTGGTCCAGTCGGTACGCCTCCCATTTCCATATCACCGCCATCTCCCATCGGCATCGGCCTCGGCCTCCCCCTCATCTCTTTGGGGAAGCTGTCGAACGTCTTGCGCATCTGTGCGTACCCCAGATGCATCTTCCCATAAAAGTGATCCGCCAGCCTACGGTCGTTGTCTAACCGGGAGAGGTACGCGCCGCAGACGTCACAGACTTGTAGCTTCTGGTGGCCCGACGGGCCAGAGGTGTCGCTAAGCGCCTTGAGCTCCTTCTCGCGCTCGAGCTTTTGCTGCTGGGCCTGCCGGACCTTGAAGAACTCGTCGTACGAGCGGCCCACCTCACCCAGCGCGCCCAGGATCTCCACCTCAAGCAGGCCGTTGTTGATCGTCGCGGAGAAGTCGGAGATGGACTTGAGGAGCACGTTGGTCTGGCGGATCTCGTCGGGCGTCTTCTCCAGCCGCCGCTGGGCGACGTCGATTCGCCTGTTACATTCGTCGATGTATTTTTGCAGGTCGCGCATGTAGTCGTGCTCGAAACCGTAGCGCTTTCGTTCGGGCTCGGGAAGCGCCTCGAACTCGGCCTTCAGGGCTTCTGAGTGCACTTTTGGGCAAGGGCCGAGGTCTTGCTTTGTGTTGGTGAAGAGGTCGTGAGGGCAAGTCCCGGCAATGTAGGAGCGGCACGCTTTGGGGTCGGTCAGGGAGATCTGGGATGACCTAGCTGCCATGCCACCACCCATGAGCTGCTCTATGATAGTGTCAGTCTCGTCTGAGCCTACTTGCGTGTTAGAAGGGGAGGGGGGCTTGCATACCGAGCAGCTTTCTTTGCTCTGCTGCCATGGTGGGCTATGTGATCTTTCCTGTTCGGTCCCTCCACAAATCTACTCCAAACAAATGTGATCAAGTCAGAGAATATATGATATTCGAAATTGCGAAGTCGAGCAAACTACTCGTTCTTGTTGCGCAGGACTGAGGACGAATTGGGGAGATGCGATCGGCTGGCGCCTGGGAGCTCGGCAGAATTTCTTGCGCCGGCAGGCATCTTAGCACCTCTGAACAACGACCAAACCTTATTCAGCCCAGGTGCCCAATGGCTGCCGTGACAGCTGTGATCTACTGCTAGCGGCCCCTGCATCCCTCGCCTGTCAGCACCCTTGCTCACCCAGGATCCAGGAGAGCTAGTTGTCATCAGCGGCAGCTCTCGACAGAGCGGGCTTGAGAATAGTTCAACCAGGAACCGCACCCAGCTTCAAATGGATGGACCATAGCCATCATGCGGCACATCACCTCCTTTCTTTATTTCCTGATTTCTCTTGTGATACCCATCGCTGCGTCCGACTACCATGAACAGCTCGTTCTGAAGCCGTTGCCTCTGTCCGCCCTACTGGCGAGCTTCAACTTCCGGTCCAACACAACCCTTTCCGAGTTCGAGGCGCACAACTTTCGATTCTTCCCGCGATCTCTCGCCCAAATACTGGAATATTCTGGCACAAAAGAACTTCATCTACGCTTCAGCCTAGGGAGATGGGACGCTGAGAGCTGGGGCGTCCGGCCATGGGGCGGTACGAGAGAGGGAGGGACGGGAGTTGAGCTATGGGCATGGCTTAATGCGGACACAGAAGAAGAGTACAGCTAGATCAGACTCATGATTTGCAAGTGGATTCAGCTGCTAACCGATTGCCGCAGAGCTGACAGCAAGTGGTTGACCTTGACGAACGCGCTGTCGGGCCTCTTCTGTGCCTCGCTGAACTTCATCGACGGAACACGGACAATACGGCCGAGTATGTCCTTCCAGCTCGAAGGCGACCACTCCGATGCCGTGGTATCGAATCTACATCTGCTGCACGGAACACTTCCTCGAGAAGTTGTATGCACGGAGAACTTGACGCCTTTCCTGAAGCTGCTTCCATGCAAGGGAAAGGCCGGCATCGCTAGTCTCCTTGACGGACACAAATTGTTTGACTCCTCATGGCAGAGTATGGCTATCGATGTGCGACCAGTCTGCCCTGAGGGCGGCGAGTGTGTGCTTGAGATTGATCAGTCTATTGACATGGTCCTTGACATAGAGCGGTCCAAGAGACCTAGAGGTTCGTCACGAAGCTTGCCCGGCACTTGAGGCTTGTCATTGACAAAACCACAGACAACCCAATCCCACGCCCAGTTCCTGGCCATGAGCTCAAATGCAACACTTCCAAAGAGTACCACTCAGAGGATACCTGCTTCCCCGTCGAGTACAGCATAGGCCAGGACTGGTCCATCTCTAAAATATTCGGCAAGCCCATTCAGGGATCATGCCCGTTGGCTGATGCTGAGGTAGCTCCCGTATGCTTGGAAGTGCCAGAAAGTAGACCGGTCTGGGTCACTGAAGGCGTCAACGAGTTCAGAAACAGCAATGAGCAGAAACGCTGCTATAGCGCGAGCCCGGAGAGCACGATCGATCTCATCTTGCCTCCAATCGAGAGAGAAGGCGAGAATGCCCAGGTCCATGCTGAAGAATACGTTCAACCGGACATTCCCCCACTTTACGCTGAGCGCAGTCTAACTGGGCACGGTCAAGAACGAGGAGGCGTCCAGACTATCCTCACAAATCCCAGCGACACTGAGGACGTCAAGTTTGTCTACATGGAGTCGCTTCCGTGGTTCATGCGAATCTACTTGCATACTCTAGAGGCCCGAGTTCTGGATTCCTCCAGCGGCAAGCAACAAGATGTCATACAGGACATATTTTACAGGCCGGCCCTCGATCGGGAACGAGGCACGCAACTGGAAGTGAAGCTTCGTATCCCGCCTCGGTCCACAGTATTTTTGACCTATGACTTCGAGAAGTCGATTCTGCGGTACACAGAATACCCACCCGATGCCAACAGAGGTTTTGATGTAGCTGGTGCAGTCATCACCATTCTAAGTAGCGACAAGTCGACCTCGAACCTTCGGACTACGGCGTTGCTACTCAATCTCCCCACCCCAGATTTCAGCATGCCTTACAATGTCATTATTTTCACTTCGACGGCTATAGCACTAGCTTTTGGGGGCATGTTCAATCTTCTGGTCCGGAGGTTCGTCGCTGCGGACGAAGGGCCTGAGGTCACTCTCACCAGGCTGAAGAACAAGCTGAACGCGCGCTTGGGTACTCGTTTAGCCAGCTTACTCGGAAGAGGTAAAACTACACAGGCGCCAACGGTGGAAAGCAAGGGATAGACAACATAAATACCTGATGCAATATATTGTTGTTGTAAGATCAGAACCCGAACTCAGGCAACCTGAATTCTATGGACAGGAGATACCACGAACAGGGGTTCGAAGCACATTTTCCAATACCTGCCCTCACATTTACAATTTTGTAGGACTCCACCCTACCCTTGCAGCCTCACTTTAACGCCGTTTCAAGCATTCGCCGTTAGCCATTCTGTCCTTTTTGAGGGGAAGACCCATCCTATACGAAAAGAGACGGTCCATCAGATCCAGTGTGTGTCCTCATCCGAGCATACATCTGCTGCCCATGCGATGTTGGGCCGACCACCATCATTGACCTTCTTTTCCCCCTATCTGCTGCATCCATCCTTGGCATCAACGGACCGAGGATCTCAGGGCACCGCATAATCGCGGCCTGCGGCATAGGCTGGAACATTCCACCCGGGCGCTGCACGAGCCAGCTCAAAGATTGGTCTCTAGGCGGAAAGATGTAGTGAGGCATCGGGTTACCCCAAACCCATCGTCCTGATCGGTTCCATCGGCCCATGAGACATCCATCGAGAATACATGTGCGTGCGGCCTCCGTGTCGACCCTGTCCCAGAGAAGATTCGCCAAGAGGACCAGCTTGTCGGCGAGGAGGTGGCAGAGATGTTCTTTCATGGTGATATAGAGGGTCGGGCTTTCTGAAAGGACTTTGCCGATCCAGTCCGCCGAATCTGTTGATGGCCGGCCACCAACTTGTGTGGTGTAGGCCACCCCAAGTGTTGTGCCAAAGAGGACGAGAAACAGTGCCTGAAGCGTTGGTCTTGAGGCTTTACCCAGGGTCTCTGGGTCGAGTTGCTGGTCAAGCATTTGGAGCAGGGACGAGCCGGTCAAGTAACTCGTTCGGTGCAGGTCATGGACTGATAGCCTCTGCGATGGATTTCTTTGGTCACGCCAAGCCGTATAGGCGAGGGTTGTGGCGAGCACGAAATCCTGAAATGTCGACACCATCGTGCGATCCAAGCTGCATCCGAGGGCCTGGCCCAAAGCATGGCTGGTGAGTTGGGTTACGAAGCTTGTCTCTTGGTTCGAGACGTCCTCGCTGAGGATCCAGCTGAGGCAGATCTGAGCAAGGTATTCAACATCCGGAGGCGACGTTGAAAATGGAACTTTGTATTCGTGAGAGTGCAGTGGCCTCAACTTTTCGGTGAGCAGTGTCTGGTCCTGTTCTGTGATGGCTACAAAATAAACACATTCAGTATTTCCGGACTTGTTCTTTCCATTTCACAGCTTTCACCTACCATGTCGAAATATATCAAATTCTGTAAACAGCAATCCAGTCGCTTCTTTTTGAAGCCCGACCACCTGCTTTATTTGGTCAGCAGCCTGGGTCGATGGGCTGTCCTCCTGCAGCGATTGATCCACGGCGGGAGGAAAAGCTGAGTCGTGAGATTCATATGCCGGCAGGGGCTCGAAATCCGCTGTTGGGGCCAGTCTTCGCTCCATGAAAGTGATGCCTGTCAAAATACAGCAATTGTTGTGTTCAAGATTGTATTTGACTTGATTTTATGAATTTGCTCTCATCCTTCTAGTTTACGATCATCCACGAGCAACCGAAAAGAAGCTCGCGGCCACATCCACACTCTATATACTCGCGGGGTACTCAAAAGCGGCAATCCTGGTTGACAATCACGAGATGGCGGACATTGGGCGGATGAGGCTCTGCAGTAGGAATTAAACTAGCATAAATCTACCTAGCAAGGGAAAGGTCAGGGCGATCTCCGGCGCCACATGGGGCGTCTAGAACGCCGATTTACACCGCCATTGGGCGGAATTGGGACACCTTCAGCTGGTGTCGGACCCCTGGATGTGGAGGATCTGCAAGGAGTCGGTTGCGGTGGCTCATTCCGGCCAATCATCCGAGACAGAAGGGCCAAGCGCAGACCTGCTCAGCTGAAAGGTCGACGACGTGAGCTGAGCTGGGGAATCCGAAACGGGTAATCAGTCGCAACAAGTGAGAAGCGGTTTGTGTTACGTCCGTGGTCTACACGAGCTATGCCACATAGTCTGGAAGCATGCTGGAAATAATTCCGAGTGCTAAGCATTCTAGATCTCTGTGATCGGGAACTTCCAAGATTCTAGCCCCACATGTGGACTGCGCTACACAATAAGGTGCCCGCTTGCTTTCTTCGAAGCTAATGATTGCTTGTTCGTGACCTGGTAGCATTTGAGACCTTTCTTTTTTCCTTCTATCTCTCAGTTCCATTATCTACTTCTGCCTTACCGCCTTTTTCTACTGCTTCAGAGGCTGCCAAACGCGTAAATGCTGGATCATGTGAGGTTTATTTGTTGTCCTAACGCTATCAGCACTCAGATTTTTTTTTCTTTCAAAATAAATATGTTTCGCCAGCATTTTCAAAGATCTTGATGCCCATCAAGCTGATCAGAGGATAGACATGGCAGTCAGAAAAATTCAGTAAGGTGAATTGGCTTTTTGGACCTCTATTCAATCTTGATCTCAACCGCCAAAATCTGAATTCAAAAATTCGAGCTTGTCCGAAACTGGCCAGAGAAGCCCATAGGAAAAGACATTCCGCATCTTGACCATATACTTACTGTTCTTTATGGGTGGACCTTTTTGAGTATGAGTTTTATTCGAATACAAAAAGTCATCAAAGAATTTGAGAGCCTCATTGAATTGGTTCCAACATGATGGTTCGTTGGCGTTGGGATTTCAAGCTTGCAATTTTGACCAAGAAGATTGATGCTGAGACGATATTGCATCTGTTTCAGGCATCAATGATGTTTCAATCTCTCGAAAGCCTTTACCGAAATTTGATTCGCACACCTAAATGACCGAGTTACGCCTTGTATTCAATGTGCTAGGATATTGAAAGCCATGCTTCTTACAGTGGTTCAGATGTTCCATATTTCCTATCAGCATGAGAAGCCTGGCTCTTCTCAACCGTCAACTGGTGGCTTTGAACACATTACCATATCTTCTTGGAGTTAGGGCCACCTTGTATCTCCATAATTTCTTTCTCAAGGTGAATTGCATTGATGCCGCCTTGTAGGAGCTAATTCACTGCCTGTGGAGCCACCAAGTCAACACATGTGATCCTTGAGGCGTCTAAGCGTGCCTGACTGTGCATGTTGCCTGTTCTCAAACAAAGACCTTTTGTCTCGATCATTCTCAACACTCGTTCTGCTCCCAATACAAATCCCTTCCTGCTGCATTGCCCATGGAAATTTGATTTTCTGTGGCTATGGCTCCCAACGACACAGACACGAACAGTGACCACTCCGCAATGGCGCCGTTTCCGCCAGACTTCGTTTTCCCTGTGACTGCGAGTTACATCCAGTCTGAAAACCATCGCGACCTCTTGGACATCATTGACAAACTCCGGTCGCGTGGAGTGAGCCATTATGTCGACCTCCCGCAAATCATCGTATGTGGTAGCCAGTCTTCCGGAAAGAGCGCAACTCTTGAGGCTCTTTCGGGAATTTCTTTCCCCACCGCCGAGGGTCTATGCACACGATTTGCGACTGAGTTGATTCTTCGTCGAGGCGATCAAACTGAGATCAGCGTGCATATCAACCCAGGAACTGGGCGTACCGAGAAGGAGAGGATCGCCCTAGCCGCATTCGCCCCAAAGACGAACGCTCGTGACAACATCGGCAAAATCATCGAATCGGCGAAGGTCGCCATGGGACTCTTGGGGGATGGAGCAAAAGTCTTCAGTACAGACGTCCTTCGGATCGAGCTCGTCTCGCCAGACCAGCCCAACTTGACGATTGTGGACCTTCCTGGCTTATTTGGAGCATCCGACAAGAACCAAACAGATGCGGACTCTACAATTGTCCACAAACTAGTGACGACCTACATGAAGCAGCGCCGTAGTATTATCTTGGCTGTGGTTGCTGCTGACAATGCTTTCGCGAATCAACCGGTCACCAAACTCGCTCGAGAAATAGATCCAGCCGGCATCAGAACCCTCGGTCTCCTGACGAAGCCGGACAAAGTCGACAAAGGTTCGGACACAGAGCGATACTATCTGGAGCTTGCGCAGAATCAAAATGTTGTGTTGACTCTGGGTTGGCACGTGCTGCGAAACAAGGGTTTCGACACACTTGATGACACTATCGAGCAGCGGGAGAAGAGAGAGGCCGACTTCTTCAGGGAATCAGCTTGGAGTGTGTTGGAGCCTAGCCAACTTGGCGCCGAAAATCTGCAGAAGCGACTTCGTGAGATTCAGTGGAACCAAATTCGCCAGGGGCTTCCAGGTGTCAAATCGGACGTCCAAACAGGCATTCGGGACTGCCAAGCGAAGTTGGCACAGCTTGGTTCTGCTCGAGACAGCAAGAAAGAAAAGCAAAAATACCTGATGCATATCAGCAGTCGTCTGAACAAATTGATGCAAGCTGCCATCGATGGTGTTTACGCCGACAGATTCTTCGAGTCTCGCCCTGGTCAACAAGATGCCTTTGAACGTCGGTTACGCGCGAATGTGCAAAAGACTCTCACTAAGTATTCGGAGGAGATGACTGCAGACGGCCACGCACTTGAAGTGGTGGAAGATGACCTGAAGCCCAAGCGACCTTCGAATTTTGTTTACCGCAGCAACTACTTGCAAACGGTCAAGACACTGATGGAGAGATGTCAATCTCGTGAACTCCCAGGAACATACGTAGGCCGACTTGAGCTCTGTTTGCCAGGAACGAATGATCAGCCAGCTAACATCATGATACAGAACCCTATGGTCGTTAGCGATTTATTCAGTCGGCAATGCAAGCCTTGGCAAAGCATCTCCCAGAACCTAGTTGAACTGATCCACGAGGCTGCGGCGGTCACCTTCAACAAGCTCTTGTCCGAGCTCTGTGATGAGAACACCAAAACCCGTTTGATGAGGGGAATGATCCAGCCTTCTCTGTACAAGCTTCGGCAAAATCTGAAAACCACTGTTGCTGAGCTTCTGGAGCCTCATCTCTCCATTCATCCCATCACATACAATGAATACCTGACGGAAGTGGTTAGAGATATTCAAGGGAGCCGCCACAAGCGTAACTTTGACCGCACAGCTGAATCCATCTGTGGAACTGATACAGAGACTGCGGACCATGGCACATACGACGACATCGCGTTGCGCGATCTGTTGCAGTCATTGCTGAAAGCCACGGAGCCGAATCCCAGGGAGTATGCTGCATCACTTGCGGCAGATGTTGCTGCAGCCTACTACAAGGTGAACACTCACAATCAAGAAGCAGACATTCTGATACTAATATAAACTAAAATAGATTGCCTTGAAGAAGTTCGTTGACGACGTCAGCGTCAATGCCGTGGAGACATGCCTCGTTCAGCGGTTGCCTGACGTGTGAGTGTCTACCTCCCTTACGCCGTCCGCTTGGATACACTTCATGAAGGGACAAGAGGCAAAGAGGAAAGCAGCTTTGAAATAGCTGAGTTCTGTTTGAACTGCGAATTAGGCTAATCAATGATCGGTATAGATTCTCCCCGGAGGTCGTCTGGGACCTCGATGACGAGCAAATTGAGAGCCTCGGGTCTGAAGATAACAGCACCATCAAGAATCGGAACGATTTGCAGGAGAAGTTGAGAGTGCTCGAGAATGGGCTGAAAGATTTGGATGCTTTCACAGCTCGGAGCTCGATGTGATGCATTCATGTGATTTTCACTGTTGTCACCGCCAGTTGGTGGACTAGCTTTGAGGCAATCGGCGATAAGGATTGCCCAGCACACTAGCGGATGCTGTGGAGGATTGGAGCCCCAGCTATCTCCTGGGCATTGCTTTGGGAGATCTGGCACTCGGTGAGCGACTGGAAGTGTTTGCATAGGAAGTCCGCTTAGATGGTAGTACTTGTTGAGATCGTAGTAAACACACCGCTGGTCCTCGTCACAATGTGTCAGCCATAGGCCTTGGCCCGAGACCCATGAAAATTGTTTGGGCCAGAGATTAGACAAGCGCTGGCTGTGCAACTGACTTTAAAACAATTAAACATGCAGGTGAATCTTGAAATGTTTCCTGAGGTTGTAAAAGCCGCAATCCTCAGACTCCTGAGCCATAACCAAACCAATCAAGACCTGGTTGAGCGATTTACCGGCATAACCAAGACGGGATACGACATCTGCCCAGGCTGCCCAGGCGGAACGGTCAGCCAAAGCTTTACTGCCTAGTGAGCCTCACTTAGCAAAATAGGCATGCACGCTTTGACTTAGGGCAAAGAAGCTGAAAGGCTCCCTCGGAATGAGAACCCGGGGAAGCGACTATACGATCTGATGGCTGGGGTCCGGTGGCTTGGCCAACTTGGCCCGGAGATCTGATGAGGTCATTTGATAGAAGTGATACCGTAGTCTGATTGCCAATGCAAAACAACGACATGGTGGTAATTCAGATGGACATTCGTCGATCGTACAGGGAATCTCTCGACCCTGAGTCGTCTGCCGTGAAGGTACTTAAATGTGCTTGTGCCCACCTCACTAAAACTCCGGGAAAGTCATAATCCTCATATCTCTTCAATCCTAAAATGCATGGACACAACTACTCACCACTATCAAAGTAAAACCGGACCTCAAAGATTGCAATAAAGGAAGGCCAACTGGGTATTCTTTGTCCGTTTGGAACATCAAGCAAGACTCTTCTTGAATTGGGGTTTGGATATCCTACGGGATACCATTAGTCTTTTGGAGCCAGACACAAACTGTTTCTGGCCTTCTTGACCTTGTCAATCAATTACAAGGGACTCATCAAGCGACGAAACGGGGACATATCTCACATTATCGACGATTCAAAATGAGGTTCAGTCAACTCCCATCGTTCCTCTGTCTGATTCTCGCCGCCTCGGCACAGTACACTGGACCATGTACCAAAAATAACTGCGGAGCATCGGGCGAGGTTTGCAGGGGAGGAGCGATTTGTGCACCGTACCCTTCAACGGACCCTGCACTTCGGCAGGGCTGTACATGCAGCAGTGGATAATGGTGCGTCTACCTATCGATGCCCAGGACAAAATAAATTGCTCCACAAAAGTATCTGACGCTGGAGAATCACAGTGATTGCAATAATAGCGACTGGTTTCCACTCCCGAAAACAAACAGTGGACTCGCGGCTCTTGCGGGAAGCATAGATATGGTCGTTAATAGAATTGATTGCGATAGAGCTCTGCATGAAGGACATAATTCAAAGTTTAAAGCCTGAAGAAACAGTCAATTACTAGTATTCTTTGGGGCTTTATGTGGTGTAAATTCTTAATGCGCGTTGTCATAATTCATCAATACAATTAAAGATTTTCTCTCATAATGAAAGTATACAACGGCTATGCGCCGCTTTACAATGCTTTGTGCACTGAAAGAAGAATTTAGAAAGCAGTAGAGTACGCGTCAGCCAGGTATGACTGAAAGTTAGAGTCCTTGAAAGACGCAGTCGCATCGCCAAAATCAGTCGTGTCAAGCGCCTCACGCGCGGCGTCCGTCAGGTCCTCCCAAGCTATCAGGGGCTGAGTGCCGCCCTCCGTTGTTGTGAAGATCAAGGTGTGGTCCACGGGCCAATAGCTGATATACCCGACGTATGGGTGAGTACCGTCAAACGTAGCAGTGCCGCTAACATAACCTCCGTGCTCGCTCACGACCATGGCCACGAAGGTGGCATCGGATGAGTTCTCTGACAGGAAGACTACGGCGTTCTCCCAGTCGTGCCGGTGACCGATCCCATCAGACGGCTCGTCTTTTGGCATGTACCTGGCATTTGCGTGTGAGTTTGAGTGATCGGAAGGCATTGAGACTCCATTTCAACTCACCAGCTGTACATGATTGCAAAGTATTCCTCGTACACGGAAGCCCTTGCGTATACTTGACCAGTGCTGGAGGAACACCCGGCGCTTGAGTCTCCTGTTGGGCTGAGACCACCGCTGGAACAGACATGATTAATACCTCACATTGAGTGCTCACAAATTCTGACACGAATTGACTCACGACGTATTGCCTTCAGCGTCCACGGCCGGGAAGGGAACGCAGCCGTTGAAAACCTTGAGATATGGCTTGTATGCCAACATCAAGTCCCCTTCGCTATTGTCCGGCGCAGCCTCGGCGAATCCCACAACTGCATCGTGGTCGATGACAGCACGGGTCTTGATGGCGGTGGGCTTGCTGAGCGCGGTGGTGGCCACGAGGGCGGCGGTCAGTAGTGAACGAACAGCCATTATGCTTTTGGCTTTTACTCGTGATCGAATGACTCTATGCACACTTGCAAATGAGAACACCAGTGATGAGCTAGGGGAGTCGCATCATCCCATCAGGTTTGCAGGAGGGTGTAGGTACTTTAAGTACAGCCTTGATGAAGGCTGCCGATGCTACCAGGGTCAGCATCATCAGCCGTTGCCCCATCCATTGACCGAGAATATCGTGCGTTCAAGCCCACATGGCAAGCCGAATGCCGTGCGCATCACAATATCCCATAAGACTGTCAATACGCGGGCGGGGACCATCACCGTGCTAGTCTGGATCTGACCAGGGGTCGCGCCGTAACTCGCGAATCATAGCAATCACTTGACCACGTTGGAGGTTGAAAGTGGTTGATGTCTCCGCAGGATCTAAGGTGTAGTCAATCTAGCAATTGCAACCCTCCGCTGGTATAGCAAATTTCTTTTGAGATATATCGGTATAGCATGTAGGTCTGCGTCACATCCCGTCTCGATGCGGCGCATTTCCGAAGCGCTATGGTCATAATGGGCCGGAGGTGTGCCAAGACAGGTTACTGCTTTGGTTAAGCGAGCATGGGAGGTGAAGAGGACGCGTCAGCTTCGCGTCCATCACAGTCCAATCACTTGTGTGTGTTCCCTACGTGAGAAGCTGTCAGCCTGCCATTGGGGATCATTGACATGTCTGTGCGCAACCTTCAATCCCATCTCAGAACCTTCTGCAAATTCAGCCAATGTGCAACATCTCGGGGTGCTTCCTAGGCCGAGCCAGGTGTGGACTACAGTAGTCATCATGATCGTGCACCTGCATTAGAGTCGCCGGCCCGGCCCAGCTCACCCGCCCCTTAAGATCGTCCGAACTGCGCACGCACTTGAGCGGCGCCGCATAAGATGGCTATGAAAGTACTGTCTAGACTCATATCGTGACTTGATGGATGGGTGCCCCATCAAGCAATATTACAAGTAATGCGGTCGCTCAATAAACAGCAATCAAGCTGTGGTAATCAGCCTGTAAATCCCATTGCGTGTATTGCATTGCACATGCAATTTCACCTACAATGCCACCAATCTGATCGCGGAAAACGGGATTGATGATTAGCAGTGGTTTTATGACTAAGACGTTCTTGGATTCCTCGGTGCCCGCCACTACGTACGGTATGAGTTGCGGTACGAGCTAGAACATTCAAGTGTCGGATATCGTCATCTCGCGTTTGGGACAGAGGACAAAAGGCACCGTGTCTGGTGTTGAGGGGGCGTCCTTGATCCGAGTTCCCCCAAAAGCACAGGATTAACTGAAAGTCATCCATATCAGGCTGCCAAGTCACAAGGCACACTGGCAGCCGGACGAATGTCTAATATTGCACACCTGTAAGGTGGTAATTAACAAACCACCGTCTCTGGTTGGATGAAGCCACTGCATTGGTAAGCCTGCTACGCGCTGGTTACGGCGGCCGGGTCAGTGTGTCTGGCTGTCGCTACGCCGAGGCCCGGCGAGCATCCGTTGGGAACGCGGTACCTAGCCAGCCGGTCCGCTCCAATTCTTCGGGGCAAATTTGAGAACTTCGGGTCTTTGTCGAACCTTATCGCGGCATGATCAAATGCTCTAGTCTAAATAGTCCTGACACGTATAGCCAGGCCATGCAAAGACTCGGCACAACACGTGCAGGTGCTCATAGCTTGTATAATCTCCTGCCTTTTGATATTCCTCACATTCTATATAGTTTGGCAGTCTGGAGATGTTATCCTCCACCCCGACGCAAGCTCAATTCACGGGACAATTTTGGTGAGGTAATCTAAGGAACGACTTCGTATGAGAGACAGGGTAACCTTTCCAATCAGCTCGAATCAGTCCCGATATTTTGGCGAATTGGCAGCGGACCACGCAATTGCATGTCCACTTCTTTTACTTGGCAGTTGAAAGCTTTTCCCCGTGGGGGCATCTGACCATAGTGTCCAGTCGTGATGGATTGGGCCCACCAGGTCCACCTCCTCGGCGGCTCCAGGCTCCAACCGACGCTCAGCTTCACGAACCGCAGGAGTGAGTCGATTAATAATGGGCAGCAGCAGCCCCAAGTTTCTTATCTGTCAGCTTGCCGAGCGTGTTTGGCAGTGGTTATCCTCGGACCAAGACAGTAGCTCACGAAAGTCCCGCGCTACCAAGATGCACTCCCAGCCCGAGGATGTCCCGGAAGTTATCGCGCGACACAAAGCATGATGTGCTCGGCTATCGCCCTCCCAGAGAGGCTCGGCAAGCCGTCGGGAGCAGCGACCACTTTGGAAATTGGCATCAGTCAGTTGGCTCGCCCTTGTTAGGATGATGGTCTTGGCCTCTTGGCTGCTTGGCTGCGTGGCAGCAAGCTCAGTGAATCTGGGGACCCCGCAAGTGATCCGACGAGTTGGGTGCGCCTGACCAAGCCCCCGCGTGGTCGGAGGCCAATGAGGACTGCCCCTTATCCTCTTGGCACAGGCGTGAGTTCAGTTGAACGGGGGCCCCGCTGGGACTTCGAGTCTGTTCTGGCCAGCTCTCCCATGGATCCCTCGTGTCGCGCTGCGTCCCTGCTGCGTGTCAATACACGCGAATGCAACGACGTTTGACCTCACTGTAACTCTTGAACAACATGCTGGGACGACGTTTATTGCCTTGCACTGCTTGATATATCCCATATTCAACATCTGAATAGGTCATTTTTTCCTAGCTCAGGACTTAGTATAAAAGCTACGGCGTCCTGCATGACATAGTGTCGCTGAATGATTACTTGTGGCGCCCTCCCACCTTCATTTCTGCCCACCTCCCAACGCTAGAGACCCGTTGGTATGACCTGTCAGGATCTAGCTCATTTCACAGTTCCTCCGGCACTCACTACCGCCATTTCCAGCCTCCTGTACCCCTGCCCTAGGTACCGGTAGCCTGTCCTGGCCAGTCACAGCAGTTATCACCACAAACACCCATTGCTAGAATGATCGCCAAACGCCACTCACAAGAAGGGCCGAAATCCACGCCGCATCCCGACAGGGAGACGACAAGGAACTGCCTGGGGTTTGAACGCGGGGGAGGCTTGGAATGGCCTGAGGTGACCCTCTTCCGGTGTCGACATCGGCCACTTCCTGCGTCCCGGCGCAGGAGGTGGGTTTCCCCTTTGCAGGTTTTTCTATTCGCTCAACTGTGCTTACCTCGGCAAGGTTGGCCCTTTCTGGCAATCCGACGGGTTAATATCCGCTTCCAACCCCTCCCTGACATGTCTCTAGAAGGGGGAAGCTGTGCCGCCTGGCCCCCAAACTCGGTGAGAAGTTTGGACTCAGGATGTGAGATTTGATGTCTCGGGTCCGCGATCGCTTCAAGAGCGCAAAGCTGCTATCGCCATGACGTCCAATTGCTCTATATTTATGTATCCAAGATCTTGGATCTGTTCTTGGGGAGAGGGGATGGATGATTTGGTTCGATGTCGTGACTTGACCGCTTTGGCATCCGGGCTTGGGTGCTTACGAAGTGGTTCCATCCATCCTTGGTTTCCATGGATGGGTCACTCAGCAGCCTAACCCACACCATAGGGACTTTGCAACTGGCACCGGGGTTCTTTTTGTCCATATGCACTCTCCCTAGCCTTCTTGGCGGTGCCCACGAAAGCCATTCATCATGGGGATATAAGACCTCTAGTCCCTCCATTCGTTTGCCCAGCTGTCTTCCAAGCCCTCCAAGCTGCCCAAGCCTCCTCCCGTCCCCTCCCGTCTTCTTGTACGTCCTGCCAAGTCACCTACTCACAAGCCACAAGCTCGGCGACAGGCTCGGCGATAGACGTCAAAATGGCTGGCGGTGTGAAGAAGCCCGTCAACATCTTCCGGCTGAAGAACCTTGGGCTTCCCAAGGAGGTTTTCAACTGGCGCCTGTGGTTCTCCGTCTTCTCTTTCGGTCTCCTCGGCGCAGCTCGAGGTGTCGACGAGGGCCTGATCAGCGGCGCGTTCAACTCCAAAGACTTCCAGAACTCAATTCACTATCATGACTACGATGAGGTCGCACAGGCCAACATCAAGGCCAATGTCTCGGCAATGGTTCAGATTGGTTCCGTCGGTGGTGCTCTTTTCGCCTTCGTCATAGCGGATCGTATTGGTCGTATCTGGGCTACTCGTGTTCTCTGCATCTTCTGGGTCGTCGGCATTTCCATGTTCATGGGCAACAATGGCAACCTGGGTCTTATCTACGCTGGCCGCTTCATTGCAGGCCTGGGCGTTGGGCAAACACCCGTTGTTGGACCAGTGTACATCGCTGAGATCGCCCCGGCGCCCATCCGAGGCCTCTGCACCTGCATATTCACTGGCTTTGTCTACCTCGGTATTGTTCTCGCCTATTTCGCCAACTACGGATGCCAGATCAACCTCGGCGACACCACTCACGCCCGGTGGCTGGTGCCTACCAGCGTGCATCTCATGTTCGCTACCCTCATCTTCTTCTTGACGTTCCTTCAGTACGAGTCGCCTCGCTTCCTCATCAAGCAGGGCAAAGATGACAAGGCTAGTGAGAACATGTCGAAGCTGCGCATGCTCCCTCCTGACCACCCTTACGTCGCTGAGGAAATTGCCGCCATCACCATGCAGCACCACGAAGAGATGGAGGCTACGAAGGGCACTACTTTCTGGGGAATGATCAAGGAGCTGCTGTTCATCCCATCCAACCTGTACAGGTTCTACCTGGCCATTGGCGCTCAACTCATGAGCCAGTGGAGCGGCGCCGGATCAATCACCCTCTACGCACCGGACCTGTTCGAGCTGATGGGCATCACGGGCACCAACGAGTCTCTGCTCGTCACCGCCGTCTTCGGAATCGTCAAGCTCGTTGCCGCCGTGGGATGCGCCCTCTTCCTGGTCGACGTTATCGGCCGCAAGCGGTCGCTGCTCCTCGGAATCACACTGCAGGCCATCGCCATGATCTACGTGGCCGGCTTCCTGACCGGGGTCCCGGAGCTAGGCCAAGTCGACGACTACGAGTTGACGCCCAGCGAGAAGGGCCCGTCAACGGGCGCCATCTTCATGATCTACCTGTCGGGCTTCGGCTGGGCCCTGGGCTGGAACTCGATGCAGTACCTGCTCACGGCCGAGCTTTTCCCTTTGCGCATCCGCGCCCTGGCCACCTCCATCGCCATGACGGCCCACTTCGCCAACCAGTATGGCAACTCGCGCGCCCTGCCCAACATGCTGCTGCCGACCAGCTCCGGCGGCATCTCGCCCGCCGGCACGTTCTGGTGCTTCGCGGCCGTGACCATCGTCGGCGGTTTCTGGGTCTGGTTCTTCGTGCCCGAGACTGCGGGCCGAAGCCTCGAGAGCATGGACCGCTTGTTCACCCTGCCCTGGTACAAGATCGGGCTCAACGGAAACAAGGATGCCGAGGAGCTCGATGTGGTCTATGACAAGAAGGTCGAGGAGGCGGGGGTATCTCAAGCAGCTCATGTTGAGAAGAGCGAGGACAGGGTTTGATATTTCTAAGTTTTATAGCACACAGAGGCTGATGTTCCTCAAATAAGCTAGCATCGCTGTGCATGCAAATAGGAGATTTTTATCAAGATACCAAATTGGTTCAAATACCATGTTTCTATCGCCTAGCAATATCATGTAAGCGTTGCCATGCTAGTTAGAGCTGAGGCTCAAATTCTTGACTTGTACCGTGCCAATCGCCACAAGTATCTGGACACCTTTTATGGTAAATTGCCTAGGACTTTCATGCAGAAACGCGATGTAAATGGTGTTGACATCTTCGTCACCTTCATGAATGACTTGCCACGTTAGAGATCCACCTGAACTGTACTCAGAATAGTATTTTAAAAGCTTAAGCTCTCCAAACATCATCCCACTACTAGAGCCCTTATCTTGCTGAAAACAGCTAACCGGCATCTCCGCATTTCCGCCTACCCGCCTCAGGATCGTGGAAACGTGTCAAAAAATGTTACTCTAAAAAGGGTACTCCATGCAGGACAAGATCGACAGTTGGGAACTAACTTTAGCAAGTCAACGTCTGCGATGTGCCTTGATAGAGACTTGAGGTACGCTGGCGCTTCAATGGACAGTCAGATTGGTGGTACATAGTCAATGAAAAGGACGCATGGCGGCTTAGCGGAAACCCTTCCGCACGAAACAAAAAGTGTTCGCCCGCTCTTCCGCAAACCAACGACTGTTTCGACAAGGCTCGTAATGATGTCAGCTCGCATGAAGTGTCACTTCAACTTCTGGATGTCAGTATCCACATAAAGAGAATTGTGATACGCGTGCAATCTGGGCGGGTCGAGAAGTGCAGGGGAAATGGAACGCGTTTTCATCAGACTTGGGTATTTTAGGGTAAGCAAGAATTCATTGCCGTATAAGAGACAGACTGATGATTGATTACTGAAGTATGAGAAATACAGAATTGTGTACTCAACTGAACTTTTGCCTGAATTTCAATGAGCAGCGTCTCCAAAATATTATTCGTCGCCACCCTTGATCATGATCAAAAATGAATTCCAAGGTCGAACGGTGCCTACGGAATTCGGGCACTCGAAGCCAGCACCGAAAATGCCATACGTGCGGTTGGGAAAGAGTGGATTGAAAGTATGCATCATTAGCTGTGTCAGCAATCTCATTTGCTCATGGTTGGATTTAGGTATCGCGATTAATCCTGGGCATGGCAACTTATGGTACTAAGAAAGATGTTGCGTGGCGTATCGAAGAAGAGGAAGCACTCAAACACTTAAAGGTAAGCACATGCAATATCCTCGTGAAAGGTCACCAAGAAAGGCTATGATCTGATCATCATTAGAAAGCTTGGGAGTTGGGCTTCAACACGTTCGATACGTCCAACTTCTACTGTAATGGTATTAGCGAGGAGATTTTGGGGAAATTCCTCAAAACTGTTCCACGTGAGTCGGTTGTTGTGATGACCAAGGTGAGATAAACCTTCGAGTTCGGCCTTTAGGTACTTTGAATAACAGACCTCATCTTAGTCCTTCCACCCCGTTGGGGACTCCGAGAAGCAGGGGCCGGCAGGCCTTACTATGACGTCTGGGAACAATCGGAAGGTAAGATTCATGATGCCCCACTTGATCATCATGTACTTTACTAACAACAGAGAATCTAAGCATATCTTTGACAATGTCAAGCTGGCACTCAAGAGGCTAGACACAGACTACATTGATGTTCTGCAGGTATACATGGCCCGGTCGGAAGAAAAGCGTCCATCGCTAACGACAGCATCGCAGCTTCATCGATTTGACTATGAAACCCCAGTACATAAGGGTTTACCTATGCTTTTGGGTTTCATATACTGACTGTTTTCCACAGATTGCAGAAACTATGACAGCGTTGCACGATGTTGTAAAGGCAGGCTACGTGCGCTATATCGGCATTAGTAGCTGTTGGGCTTGGCAGTTCCATGCGATGCAGAGTGAGTCCACGCGAATGTCCCTAACTCGAAACGTAACTTATTTTCAATCATAGACTACGCCCTGAACAACAACCTCTCGCCATTCGTGAACTGTCAGAATCTCTACAATCTCCTATATCGAGAGGAGGAAAGGGAGATGATGCCGTTGCTGAATTACTTAGGCGTGGGCTCAACACCATGGAGTCCTCTCGCAAGAGGTCGTAAGTCTCATCCTCTTATCTGATGCTCGCAAGGAGAATCCCCGCTTCATGAACTAATGCTTCCAGACTTGGCCCGACCGCTTTCTCGTGCGTATGAGACTGTCCGCTCAGTAAGATCGGCCTATCCTTCGATGAGGTGCCATCTTGGTGCGCCTGAGTCACTGACAACTACTTCAGACTTCAGATGCTTATCACGATGAAGGCCTGCTTGGTGTCGAGTGGGAGAAAGAAGTCAATCGAAGGGTTGAGCAGCTAGCCCAGAAGCGGGGATACAACATGGCTCAAATCGGTCTTGGTATGCGGCCTCGAATCAGCCTGTTCACTTGAATATTTTCACTAATATTTTCTGAAGCATGGATTCTTCATAAGGATACCGTGGCTGCGCCCATTGTGGGCGTGTCGAAGATTGAGCGATTTGAAGAGACCCTAGCCGCATTGGAGATTGAACTGAGTGAGGACGAGATCAAATTTCTTGAAGAGCCTTATCAGCCGTGAGTTTAATCATATTTATCAGGCTACTTCAGATCTGACTTCAACCTAGAAGACCGACAGGTAGTTTTGTTTGATGGGGATCGGGGCAAAACGATAAGAGATGGGTTGAAGAGGGAGGTCATAGAGTCGACAGCCGGCAGTTCATTGCGAAGATTCCAAACAGACCGCAGCATTCATTTTGATAGTCTGACTAGCGCTGACTCACCCTGGCCTTTTTGATGGCTAAATATGGATAAAGTTTTGGTCTCTAGTGTTGGCCTCGTTTCCAGAGAATTATCTTCCCAAGTAGTTTCATATTTCCAAGTCTAGTTCTAGTTCCAAGCATTACACACTACGAAATTCTCATCTGTGCACTTGAATGAAAGTAGACGTTCGTGTGAGATTCATTCCTATTATATTCGTGTTCGTATGCATTGGTAGGATTCACTCAAAGAAGGGCTAGAAGTAACATGCCACTCAGTACCACTTTGAATAGATTATAGTCACACCAATTTCACAGTTAGAATTCGAGACAAAGGAGGAGATACTATATTCTCAACATGAACTGTATTCTTCATGCTGAACTCCCTGGAGATCTAAATCAACGAAACCTCCAATAAATCTCGGCTCATTATAATCCAGTCTTCATGGATGCGTTCCTGCCAAAGGCCCGTCAACTACACGAGTGTTAGTCCTATTACAGTCAGAAGAGGTTACACGCATAAATATTTACTGATGACTTTGATCGTTACTTTCCCGTCTTCACCCTCTCCGTCCTGCATTGCCTTGAAGGCCTTTGCGGCATCCTTGAACGGGAAGCTACGATGTTGATATCAGCTTGAATACAGGCATTCGAAGGAGCGTAAGTAGCTGACCGGTGTGTCAAGAGGGGCTTCAAATTAATCCGCCCTTGTCGCACAAGATCGATAGCCAGCTGATAGCAACCAGGCCCATACTATGGATAATTAGCCCCTGAGTACCTAACAAATCGGGCGAGATTTTGTTGATGTGACTTACTCTCAAACTTTCCTTCACGGTGATTTCTTTGTTCACAAGGATGGACATTGGGATCAGGTTATTTGCGGGACCAGCACCGACCTGAACAAACATGCCACGTCGTTTGGCAAGCCAGATCCCCGTCTGAACGCAAACTTCGGCGCCGGAGCATTCCACAACAAGGTCAATACCTTCTCCACGCTCGCCAAATCCGAACTTATTCATGATTTCAAGGGCCTAGATAAGGTCAGTAGAGTATTATCAGCCGATGCAGCAGGTTTCCCAGGGACTCACATGTCGCCTGGAGTAATTTATGTTATCTTCTCCAGTATTCTTGGGAATGGCGGCGTGGACATCTGTCGCGCAGTAGTCCTTGGCAAACTTTAGTCTATGTTGGTTGACATCAACCGCTAGAATTCGTCTAGCCCCAAGGGCTTTTGCAACCGCCATGGTTCTATCGACGGTTAGATGGCAGTGACAAGATGAAGCGGGGATAAACTAACAGTAGGCCAACGGGTCCGGCTCCAAAAACTGCCACATTGGCGTTGTGCTTCATCTTCGCAACGCTGCTGACAGCCATTACGGCAACAGCGAGAGGTTCGACCTGGGTTATGGTCAGATCCACTTGTATGGTGGTCAAAAGGATGCATTCTTACCAGAGCCCCTTCCTCTAATGACATGGACTTGCGCCTTTCCGTCAGTTCAAACACTTTGCTGTTTGCAATCAATCACATACCTCAGGAAGACGATAGCAACTACGCTGTGTGTCAGTTAGAGATAGAAGTGGCTTAGGTGGAACACGCACAAATCGGCGGGGATGGTGAAAAAGCCTTGCAATGTTCCATCGAAACCATCGGCCGCGGCGAACTTGAAATCACCACATTGCCCATCTTGAAAGCAGTCAACTAAGAGGCTCTGGGATGGAGATGACATATTCTTCTTACATTCACCGCCTTTGCAGAACTCGCATCTCCTGCAGCAAAATCCAGGCTAGTACCGAGGTCAGTCAGTGTTGCTATCCGAACCGCGACTCGTCAAGCTTACTTCAAGTGCTACTCGATCACTGACATGCAGGGAAGTGACCTTCGATCCAACTGTGTACAGTCGTCAGTACTTTCTGCCCGCAATTGATAAGTAACATCTCAATTTTTGGCGTCACTCACCTTGGACGACCACACCAGCTGCTTCATGGCCAAGAATCAACGGGTCACAGAACGAAGACTCCCCTGCCTGTTGAAAATGTCTTGAAGTTAGCAAACGAACATTGTCATATAAGTTTCCTTTTCGTAACAAACATACGCGACCTTCGACAAAAAGGTGCATGTCCGAGCCACTGGTAAATCCATAATTGTTAGTGTACTCCCCCTGATATTACGGAATTGCGCATACCAAATGCCCGTTTTCTTCGGAGCAACTATCACTCTATGACGAGATTTCAGTTTCTGAACGTTCTCTCTGGGACTGGCTGCTAAGTTGTCCCGCACTCACTCGTATTCCCCTGGCGGAGGAGGCATAGGTCGGCTCTCCAAGCCAAGTTTTTCGATCCCTAGCATAACGCAGGCGTGGTTCTCAGTTGGGACTCTCGTGTCTTCGGTGTTCAAAGTCATCGCGGGAATTCAAACAAGTGCGATTTCTCTAAGGCGTTGCTTAAAAATTGTAAAATCAAATGGCAATATCAGGCGTAGATCGAGTTGGACGTTTTTCAAAACGATGCTATTACGTGGTACTGCTCTATGTAAGCACCAGCTTCCGACCCATTGTATTCAGTCTGCTTCCTACCTGATATTGAAGGGGCAATATTTCCGTTCGCACCATTTCGATGCAGTCGGCGGGCACTGTCCCGTAGACCGGTGTTAGACCGAAGTCAACGCCCATCTTCTGAGCCGGCACGCCTTTCCGCCGGGGGTGTTCTTGCAGAGGTGTGGACCTGACGGGAAGGCGGATGAGCGGGTAGCGGGAGCGAAACCTTTTTCGTCCGCATCCCGCCGTGATCGCAGAGTGACGGCAGAGCGATCGGATGCGAAGAATCTCCAAATGCATGCCTCGAATGGGTCGCTATCCCCCGGCACGTACTATATCCAGATCCAGAGGTCTGATTGCTCGAAGTAAGTGACGACATTGCGTGTCAGGTAGGATAGCCAATATACGAGGTAGGGTACTGTAGGTCATTGTTATGGGAATCCAGTAGCTGCCCGTGTCCTAAATATCGGCATTGTCACCATAGCTTGTAAACAAGCCCGGCAACGATATGGCTTTCAGTAGGCCGCTGTTCACCCAAGTGGCCAGTGTCCAACGCATAAAAGCGAACGTTGCTTCGGCTCAAGGTATCTGGAAGCCATCAAGCAGATCCAACTGCACCACCACACCCGCTAAGCCGAATCATTCAGCTACTGCCAATTACAACCAGCTTGTTCGCTGCAGCGCCCGCTTACGAACTATGGCGACTCAGACCACAGCTGCGAACCCTCTTCTCCAGTGAGCGCCCAGACACTCAGTTCTTGCGGGGATGCTATTGACATCGGCTCACAGACTTCACGCCTCTTACGGTGACTGGCGGGATGATCTGCATACCAAAGGGTATGCGGTCGTCAAGGGCGCTATCCCCCACGAACGTGCAGTCGAGTACCAGCAAAAGGCCCTGAAGTGGCTTACTTCATTTGGCCTGCCGTTGGACTTGAACGACCCCAGTACCTGGGTTGCCGAAAACATGCCTGTCCAAAGCAAACTTAACACCTTCGACAACTACTGCGTTGCTCATGAGAAGTTCATGTGGGACGCTCGCATGGAGCCCGGAGTGGTGGATGCCTTCTCGAAAGTCTGGAACACGAACGAGCTACTCGTATCTTTCGACTCCCTCAACATCACCCTTCCGGGGCGTAAGGACAAGCCAACTCGGGCCCCGTGGCCCCACGTCGACCAGTCACCCTTCAAGCGTGGTCTGCACTGCATCCAGGGCATCATCAACTTGAGCCACGTTGGCGATGAGGATGGCTCGCTCATGGTGATGCCAGGCTCGAATGCCTACAATGCCGAGTTCTTCGACACTCAGACCGACAGATCTTCCTGGCCCAACATTGATTGGCGCCGCTTCAGCGAGGAAGAGATAAAGTGGTTCGAAAGTAAAGGGCTTACTGTGTGCAAAGTCAAAGCTGAGCCTGGTGATTTGATCTTGTGGGACTCGAGGACCGTGCATTGGGGAGCTGAACCTACGGCGAATAGCAAGACGATCCGAACCGTTATCTACGCATCCTACTCTCCCGCTGTATTTGCCACAAAAGAAGCTCTTGAAGAGAAAGCTCGCGTGTTTCGTGTGTATGGGGCGACGACTCACTGGGCGCATGACAATATTTGGCTTCGGCCACAGCTTGCGCACCTTCCCGATGGTACGGTTGACCCACGAAACAGGGACGAGCCGTTGGAGAAGCCCGACGTGAATGAAAAGATGATGAAGTTAGCTGGGTTAAAGCCATATTAGTCAGGCCGTCCTCGGCCCGGAGAAAGAAAAAGAAGGCTCTTGTATCTAGCTAGGATGGTTCTAGTCAGTCCTTGCAATCTTTGTGTTCCATAACACTTTTCCTTTGGTCTGTTTGTGATTTGCTGGTCATGTTGTTGGTAGTAGCGAAGTCTAGCCTATACCTTGCTCCATTCCCGCTATCCTCCGCCCCTAGCCTGCTGTGAAGCATAAAGCCCTGCGACCTATCAAATTAGCAATCTTGACCCATTGACTGATGCAATGATGTGAAGAAAACATTCATCTTGTACTGGAACAGATTCGCCTCAAATTCAGCATGAATATTATCACGAGTCTTGAGCCAAAAGTCAAAACGGAGGTAGAACGGCTTTCCCATCAACTGCTTTATAGGTGCTTCTCCCACGCCCGGACTAGACAGCAAGTTCCTGAACAACGGTTGACCTATGCCACAGGGTGCTCTTGATTCACGATCTGCATCGCAAAGAATTATTATTGAAATTTCAGGACTGCCTGGGTCCGGAAAGACTACACTGGCTCGACTGGTCACCGTTCGCATCAACCAGCTCCGTCCGAGCTGCTTCTTTGATAGCTATCCGCGATGGGGTTGATTGGCTAAAGCTAGGAAGGTTGGTTAACGAGTAGATAGCTGGGAGACCCTTAGCATGCTGGACTGAGATTGCTGCTGTCGTTAGTATAATTTGTATATAGGATTCAGCTTGGTGCACTGGAAGTGCTGTACGCGCCAACGGAGCACTGAGGTTCTCTCCGTAGATAAGATGTCAGATGTAGCCTATGGAAACCCAGTCTCCTTCCACATATATGCAATGCAATCCTTCAGCCCATCGACGTGGACGAGTGCTGTCGTTTGAGCTTCGCTAGCCTTTGTTTCTGATGGATGGATTGTAGGATGCAAACGATGGACTCTATGCTGGAATCGGGTGACGCCCAACGCTGCATGGCAACGATGAGTCGAGAGATGATCCCTTCGATATCAGGAACTAGGTGCTTCAAGATCAGTGATTCCGATGACGTAGCTAGCACGAAAGATGTTGCTAAGCAACTGTTGGAATCGCTTCAGTCAGCATCACATTTTCTTATGGTCAACAGCAGAGCAGAACTTACGCTTGACAGATTGCCCACACGTAGGGGGTGCGTTTGGTCAGGACCTGTAGGGCGGTTTCGATATAATTGCGACAGCTCTGAATGCACATCTCGGAATACTTGTAGACGTACGTGGGGACCTCATCAGCCTTACTGACGGACAGAACGTATACAAGGCATGGACGCGAGATGATATGTTTAGCCGACCAGTAGCGAAGCCGCAGTGACGCTTCGTGTGCATCAGTGGGCACGTTGTGGCTCAGGTCTGGCTTGATGCTGTCCGGTAAAGAGTGATACCACACCTCTAGCTGGTGCGCAAGTTCATTCAACACCCTTTCCAATGAGCAGATTGTGGATAGAGACGGTGATCCGGTCGAGCTGTCGTTCTCGGTGTAGCTTGGCGTGCTTTCTGGTTGAAGAGGAGCCTGGCTGCCTGACGCGTAAACTGCATTATGGATGCGATTCAGAAGGCCCCGAACCGAGCATAAGGCGAGGAAGACGAGTCCGTCTCTTTCGTCAGGGCTGCTCAGCCGTGGGTACTGCATACGGTCAATGTCAATTTCGATGCCACTAGGTGGGACGTGTAGTTCAGCTAAGTTATCACTGATGATATTCTTGTTATCAATAAAGCCTGAAATGTGCGGGTTGTGACGTACCACTCCAATAGAAAACATGCCCAGAACAGGCGACCGATCGTGTCATTTTCTGCATTTGAAAAGCCCACGCTGCCTTGGTTGCGACTTAGCAACATCATCTGAAGCTTACTTGATGCCATGTACACAAGCTTCCAAGCAAGTAGTGGCCGAGCGAGGCAAGACATATAGATAGCAGATAGAACTAGGCCTGTCGGTAGGCAAAGATCGGTACCGAAGGATGTAACCCACTGCGTGGTCAACACCTGGTACGCAGGGATGAAATATTCAAGGCCGTACGAATGGTTCGTGGAGCTGGCGTCCTCGGAATCGATACTGGCCAACTTCCCGAGGGCTAAGACGACCAGACAGACTGCGGCGTCAATATCTTCGCGCTGGTCGCCTCGCAGCGTCCGATGAAAGAGGTCGGTGAAAGACGTCCTGTCCAATATCGGGAATGCGGAGTTGATATGAATGAAATAGCTTGAAATGAGGCCGTCTGTTGCACCGCCAATGAAGTCAACGGAGGCAAGGAGGAGGGACAGATCGTGTCTAGAGCCAAGTTCTGGGATGCTTGTCCGGCATGTCTCGACCTGGTAGAAGAAATCCCTCGGAAAGTCGCCAATAAGACGACGAACGGGTTCAAGAGCAAACATGCTCCCCGTGGACGTGTGGTGGCCTATTGGGATGGTGATGGGCGCGTCATCTAACAAGCGATTGTCGGATCGGCCGCAGGTGATGCAGCGCTGGCCATGACCGATAACTGGGTACGGCACTTCGGCCGAGGACCATGTCTTTTCGATGGGATTCGACGTTGCCAAAGCTGGACCATGGGACGACAGATATGATACAAAACCTTGGATGTTGTCGAGCATGGACTCATCATAAACATCGCTCATCAGGTCCCCTGGTGCTTCATGTTGATCGCGTTGGTCCGGGTCCGGTGCCGCGACGTTTATAGCGCCCGTAACGTCTGTGGGTAAGGTTGACTCGGGGAGGACAGGGGTCGGGGCATCAGTAGGCTCGCTCGCAAGATCGTCCGGTGGGGGTGTCTGTTGTGGCGGCGAGCCATGTGAGCTAGGAGATCCTCCGTCTTGATGAAGAGAGCCTGGTGTTGGTCGCTCTGATGGAGGCTGGTCGTCGCTTTCTTGTGCCGGCTGAGATTGTTGCGGCTGCACATTTTGTTGTTTCAACATGTCCTCAAGCTGATCCAGCCGGCGCAAGAGAGCATCTACCGGCAAATTTGCGGTAGCTTGCGTTGCGTTTCGCCTAGAAGCAAGCCGGAACACTCATCGTTAGCGCCGAGTCTTCATTCAAATAGGCTGGAAGAGACTAAGAACATGGCCTGTACCTGATGTCTTCTGAGAGCTCTGGGTACTCGCAGCCAACGCCAGACACGGCGCATAAACCGCAGGAGGGACGCTGGGAGTCACATTTCCGCTTGCTGTGCAAGCGACGTCAGTCAGTTGGACGGCTTGGAGGCTTGAACAGAGGTTCCAACATACCGATATCGACAAAAGTGGCACGCAACAGGTGCTCGCCGCCGCGGATAGTTCGGCCTTGTCCGCCCTTGACTCGTCATAATACAGATTCCGATGAGGTGCCTACGCGCTGGCCGATGTTGATGTTGGGAAGAGCTCAGATGCTTATTGTGTCATTGTAACCCAGTATCTCGATGTAAGTGCGCTTTTCTTGGGCGATATGCGCGCCCTGGAGGGTTGAAATGCTGTGTGGTGAACATGAAGAGGGCACGAATCTGGGGTAAACAACCTGGAACCCAGCTTCCCCGCATCCCTCTGCGTCGGCATCAGACAGATCAGCCCGGATCCTTGGGTGGCTAGGCCTGGGTCACCATATTTCCAGGCACACTGGAGCATTGTTGCGGAATACTGTGCCGGATGTGTGACACAAAATGCAGTCCTCTAGAGGGGCAAGGCCGATGAGTGGGCCCCTCCCAGGAGCCCCTGATCAGAGATAATGAAATGTATATACCAACGATAAATATAAGCTACAACCCCCAAGTGGTAACACGCAGGATCTAGTTGAGTTTCCGGTGTTGACTCGGCCGTTCAACTTAGACTACACTTGTCACCATAGCCATGCCGCCCTTGAAACTAATCTCCCCGATCTCCCTTCTCATCAAAAACAAGCCTTTTCGACGCCAAAGGTCTCGTGCAGTCCCATCAGCCAACTCCGAACCCGGGCCGGATGAGACACACCCGCTTGCTACGCATGAAAAATGGAGTTTTCCTCGCGTGAACATCGCCAAATTAGGGGCGATTTTCTGGTGTTTCCTGCTTCTGGGCAGCAATGACAGTTCATATGGTGTTAGTGCGAGGTTCCCCTCACATGATGAGTTTCTCAATTGACTTGGTGACGACTCCAGGTTCTCATCCCGCAGGTTCGCTCACCCACGTTTTCTTCGAGTCAGCTTTGCGATGTGCTCATGTATCTTCTTGATCTGACCTGTGGCTAATAGATTGAGGAGTATTACGGCATCACTTACCTACAAGTAACGCTCGTCTTCCTATCGCCTGTGGCTGGATTCATTATCAGCACGGTATCGAACCACGCCGTCCACTTACGTTACGGCAAGCGCGGAGTCATTATCATGGCGGGAACTTGCCACGTCACGGCCTACCTCGTCGGCTGCTTCCACCCACCGTTCCCGGTGCTTGTTGTCGTCTACATCTTCGTCGGCCTCGGCTCGGGGGCGAAGACGGCCGCCTGGAACTCGTTTGTCGGAGGTTTCAAGAACTCGAATGAGCTTCTAGGCCTCTTACACGGCTTCTACGGGATGGGTGCAGCTATTACCCCAGTCACCGCCAGTGCACTATTTTCCCAGTATGGCTGGCATTGGTATCAGGTATACTATGTCTTGGTCACGATGGCTGCCTCGGAGTTCGTTCTCACCCTTTCCCTCTTCTACCCTCAGGATGGAAGGGCATATCGAGAGGAGATTGGGGAGTCTCAGGTACAGCAGGAAACAATTGAGGTCCCCCTGCAGGCAATGCCGCTTGGTGAGAATGCAGGACTGCCAACACTCAAGCGAAACCCATCTTCAAGGGTCATCAAAACTGCCAGGAGCTTCAGGACCAGCAACACTTGGAACTGCCTCAGGAACAAGGTCGTTCTTGTTTGCAACGCCTTCCTTCTGGCATATGTCGGGTCCGAGGTGGCTCTCGGAGGTTGGCTTGTGACTTTCATGATTGATGTGCGCGGCGGCTCAGCCTTTGCTTCAGGACTGACTGCCAGTGGTTTCTGGGCGGGAATTACTGTTGGCCGAATCATTCTTGGCTTTGTCACCGGACGTGTCTTCAAGTCTGAGAAGCATGCTGTGACTGTGTATCTGATCTGTGCCATTATCATGCAGCTCCTGTACTGGCTCATCCCCAACTTCATCTCATCGGCAATCATTGTCGCATCCCTCGGTATGATAGTTCTTCCTCAAGAATTCGAGTCCTATTCTGATGATCTTTCCCAGGTTTCTTCCTTGGCCCTTTGTTCCCCGCAGTCATTGTCTGCTTGTCACGTCTCCTGCCACAAAGAATGCGGGTGTCTGCCATCGGAATCTGCTCAGCCGTTGGGGCTTCCGGTGCCTCGGTAATTCCATTCATGGTCGGAGCTATTGCTCAAGCCAAAGGGGTGGCTGTTCTACAGCCCATTATACTCTCGGTCCTTGCAGTCTGCTTTTTGCTGTGGTTGTTACTCCCAGGAATCCCACTACGAACGAGCACCATCTCGCGACAAGCGGCAGAAACAACAATCTAATACAATGTCAACGGGCAACTATGGAATCTTAGTAGTTAATTTTTACTAAATGCTACGGAGCCCAACTACGCCCAGATGCTCCCCCCAGGTCTCGAGTGATAATATTCTATGCCCTTAAAATTGTTGAGTGGAGGTCCGCATTACGTTCTTCAGGAGTGTCAAACACGTTGGCCTTCCAGGCTGGATTGAAGTTAAAGGGAAGACCTCCAAAACGGGTGGGTGCTTTGTGGCCGAGTTCAATGAGCTTTGAACTAAAGATGACCAGAGCCCCCAGTGTTAGCCTAATAGCCTTCCATGAAGTTCAACTCCTCCTTTCTCAAGATCTCGACAGCTGAACCAATTTCCTTTTCATTCTGGAACCCGGGTAAATTCACATGAGATACATGAACCTTAATGATTTTTTCTGGAAGCCCACCTGATAGAATTGGGCGCAGTCGAAGTGCCGCACGCCGAGCTTCCATCTTGACGCCCTTGCCAGCAATTGCAGCACAAATTGCAGAGTTGTTAAAGCACTTTTCCCATTAGAAGACCGTCTCGGACCTCATTCGACTTTGAGAGGTATGTCCCCAGGCCAATGACCGGAATTTGATTTTCATCATTGAGGACAGCCATTTTCTTGTTTATGAGGGTAACGGCGGGCATAGTGTGACGGTTCTGCGAGCCTCTCAAGCCCGATTCTGATAGGTCACTGAACACATCATCCACTGCCTGGCCGGGTCAGCACTCAAGCTCCGGAGTCCTTGTACCGTAACGCAGGTACCGGGCTATTGTCACTCCATCGGGAATCAATTAACGGAGATCCTTTTGATGCGAGTGGATGCGGGGACTGTGCATCTGCGTTCGATTTAGTGACTGGCGGAGCATGCGGACGAAGCGGGATCACTTCCGCGGCAAATCTCCGGTAAAATCAGCCTGCGATGTAGACCACTTTGAAGAGGGATCTATGTGAAGATAACGATGCATTCTTATTGATTCGGGATTTCCATGATACAGAAGTGGCTTTGAATACTAGTGTCTTGATCTCAACTAATAATTATCATTTCATTGGCCCGAGCAGCAAACCAGTAAACAGTTCCGAAAATGGCCACCGAGAAGCGCACGAGTTTGTTAGAAGCTCTGGAGAGAGTTTGCAATGTAGACGTGGATGCGATCGACCCCAAGGTTTCTACCAAGATGCCATTCAAACCCCACAATCGTTCGTTTCCCTGAAGCGTTGGCTGTTCACAAAGACCTGTCTTTGCGCTGACCGACTCCAGAAACATCGAACCAGGTCATTTGTTGCAACACTATGCTCCAGCCAGAATATCGGGACATCTTCTTGGAAAATGTGAAGAGATACGGGTCTCATGGTTGGGAAGAAGTCTTTAACCGCGTTGTAAGTTTCGTCAACAAGTGATGAAAGTTGGTGAATGTTGTTGACTTGGCGGTTAGTCCGTCCAGTTCTGCGCAGACAACCGTAAAAACATCACCGGCCGCGTTCTCGTACAAGTATCACCCAGCCACGTTCACGACAAACAGGAAGTCTTGAATCAGTGCCACGCCTATGACCGAGCCTTTAGAGACCATGGCATCACACGTGATCAATACGCGATTAAGATCGCGTCGACTGGACCAGGTTTAGCTGCTGCAAAGATTTTGAATGACCAGGGGATTAGAAGTTTGGGAACCTCAGTGTTTAGCCTTTCTCAGGCTATTGCAGCGAGCCAGGCAGGCTGTCTTTTTGTGAGCCCGTATCTCAATGGTAAGGATCAGCCACCCGACTCGATCCTCGAGAGACTGACACCTTGCAGAGGTAGCCGCTTACGAAGATGACTTTTTGATGCACAAGGGAGATGATCCCGCTATGACGGTGAATTTACGTTGCGCATGCCTTGTTTCATAACCTGCTGATCGTCTTGATGAAGCACCCGATGGCTCCTCGCTTAGTCCATATTTTGGAGACGTACGCCAAAATGTACCAAACAACAGGAAAGGACCAACCTCTTGTTGTAATTGCGAGGTTAGTTCTCACAGTTCATATAATTTCACGGTCTGAAGAACATCATCTCATACAATACAGCAATGCCAACGTTGGCGAGATCATTGCCACTGCCGAGTTGGGCTGCCAACACATCACAATCCTCGCCCACCATCTTGAAGAACTTCAAAACACAACACTTGACGATACCGCTCTCTCAAGATACCCGTTCCTGAAAGACCCACCTCCCAAGAGACAGGCACCATACTACAAGGACTTTAGAACAACAGACCGACTGAAGGGTCATATGAAGATCGATCCCTTGGTGGGCCCCACATGGGACGGCAAGTTTGCCAGCACTAAGACGGATTGGCTAGCGAATGATGGCGAAGCACTAACGAAGACAATCGAAGCTGATCCAGCTGTTATGAAGAAGTTGAAGGATGTCTTCGAGGCTTTTGGAGACGCGGATGCAAAGGCTAAAGCTGCCATTGAAAGCGAGATTTACCCATCTTAATGAATCAGAGTAAGACGTCAAGCAACGAGTACATAGACTTAGAGACAAATTAGGTCCGCTGCGGCAACATGGAATTATATTGAATTTAATCAATCTTGTCTACATGCCGTTAGGAGTAACCACTAATATAAGACTCTTGACCCTGGGTTTAATCGAATGAAATAGGGTTTTCCCTTGAGGACCTGTTTTGATTGCTCTTCTCTTTATTATTAGTATAGAGTTGGTTCAAATGAATATGTAATCACTCAACTAATAAGGGATATCCCTCCTAGGAAAATGGTATTCTGACTCTTTTTAATTTCTCGAGTCATATGACCCCACGGAACTCTGAAGATATAGATGATAACATCATGAGATATCCAAACACTTACATAGAAAAGTCTTGTTGGTGTAACATCGGTGTGAGGAGAGAAGCATACACAGAGCATGAGAGCTGTAGCATATTGTATTCGAAATAAGCCAAGGATCGTCGTTTAGAGCTATGCGAATTACATGCAGAATCGTGTCTTATTCCAGCCCTGTCGCACCTTGGAGCAATAACTCCTCGTAGCCTCCAAGAATCTTCGCGGTCTCAAATGCACCAAAGCGTCTCGCACCAGCCTTGTAGTAAGTCACGATGGCATCAGTAGTGTAACATCCACCGGATGCCTTGATCACCGTTGTGGGTTTGAGCACAGATCTCAAGACCTTCACCGCGCGCTCCACATCCGGCACACTATCAGATTTCGTGCCAGTCGAGGTCTTGACAAAGCCGACACCAGCGCGCTCGGCTGCTAATGCCGCTGTTTTGATCTGCTCCTCATTCAAGAAGAAGACCTCGATAATGGCCTTAACAATCACGTCATACCGCTGGATATCGCGTCGGGTCAGTCAATGTCAGCTAGCGAACGGAAGGCTAGTTGATAGTCACCTTTGCTATTTCAACGACAGCCTTGATATCTTCTTCCACGTACTTAACATCCCCGGAGAGTAAAGCGGAGATGTTAATGACCATATCAATCTCCTGAGCTCCATCCTCAAGAGCTAGGGAAGCCTGGAGAACTTTAACAGCAGTATGATCACTGCCGTGAGGAAGACCCACAAAGGTCTGGAGCTTAATATTGGTGCCGCTCAAGAGCTCACGAGCTTGCTTGACTCGGAAAGGCTGCGTTACGAACCGCCCTGTGCTGTATTCCTTGGCGAGGGCGACTCCTTCTCTCAGGTCAGTCTCAGTGTGGAAAGGGTCAATGACAGAGTGATCGATGAGCTGTGCAAGCTCAGCAACGGTTGGCGGACTCATGACGATGTAGAGACACAGATTCTAAAAGTGGAGATTGAAGATGAACTTTTCCGCTGCCTTGAACATTCGTGAAGATTGCAACCCCCAAATATCAATTCAAATACTCCAGCGTAGCCATGTAAACTAGATCATACAAATTTATTCGCAAAGCACCCATTTTCTCAACAAATGGTCGTTGAGCGGCTGGTGTCATGATCGCCTGGCTCGCATCAACGCTTCCGCAGTCACAAGCATGTGGCATCCGATGCGTCACCGCCATCCCGCACCGCCCAGACATAAGGCGGGAATCGGCAAGTGACGTCCCGCCGATTTTCCGCTGCGCTGACCCCCCTCGCTCAGTGATTGTACATCAATTCTCCAGATTGCCACTCGTGCAATTCTCTTACGCCGTAAGTCCTCGCGCCCCGTTTGCCCTGCCGATTCAAACCAGGGTCTAAGTGACGATGCAGAAATGAGTAGTTTGTTGGACCCATCTTCCTCACAATCTGTACCATCAATCCTGCAAAGGCTGAGAAATGCTCAAACAACTGAAGATGGACAAAGTTTCCATGCTCTACAATCCTATTTTGGCTGATTTATCCTCCCATGCGGTACAATCATGCTGTAAAGGAGACGTCAAACATGAACACATTTGTATTAGAAAAAAGAAAATTAGAAAAAGAAAGAAGAAAAAAAAAGGCCCAGCAAGTAAAGTTCACAACAGATTAAACATCAACATTCGGATTTTTGCTATCAAGAGCGCTAGAATACAAGGTAATCAACGTAAGCAGATACTGAAACATCCATCCATGTATGAACGACTGTCTCCAATGAAGATTTTTGTTGTGTCACTTCTGTACACTCCAGCCAATTCAACTACCGAAGACAACAGATCTATCCTTCGGTGCACGATCGGAAGCGGTGATGCTATCGTTGCTCTTACCAACCATGTCATTCTGTTTCACGGATATGTCGTCCGCATGTTCAGACCGAATTGAATGACCATCACCGATCACATGAGGCTTATTTTGAACAATGCGCGCAGCACGGCTGATACCCTCGGCTTTTTCACCATCAAAGATAATCGCGATCTCCTCGATGGTCAATCCCTTAGTCTCTGGGAATCGCAGATAAATAATGACGCAGTAACAGGCTAAAATGCCGATATACACTGCATAGTATTTCCAGTGAATGGCCTCGAGGATGATTGGGTTAACCCATTGGTTAACAGCGTTCGCAGACCCTAGGACGATATTATAGATCGCCTGCCCTTTGGTACGTAGATTGTAAGGCAAGATCTCGACCGAGTACATGTTCGATAGTGGGGTCCAGGCGAGGTCATAGAAGCCGAAGAAAACGAACAAGAAGGGGACCACGGCAAGACCGACTGCCTTTCGCTGGCCTTGGGTGTCGTAGGCTCCAGAAAGTCCCATGACGAAGATGAAAGAAAAGAACATGCCGATTGTTGAGGTGAGCCAAAGAGGCCTTCGCCCGACGCGATCAACAGAAAGTGCCGCTGTCGTTGAAATAATGACTGGAAGAAGAACCAGTCAGCATCAGGCTTTCCTGTCTCCGATATACAGGCCTAAATAGAATGATTTTGAGCAGAGAGAAAGTAGCTCACGGTTCCAAATTTGCAACCCCAAGTTGAGCCCAGCTTGTTGTTCCGTGGACCGAATGCCAATCGTACTGAGTATAGGCGATAGATAGTACGATATGATGCCGTTTCCAACCCAGTTTGTTCCAATGGCAATCACGACGAGCAAAAAGAGACGAGGGCGGTTGTTTGGTACGAAATAGTCGGCGTACTTTGTCTCAGAGCTCAATTGATCGGCACGGAGGTTTTCCATTATCTCTTCGTATTCGAGCCGAACAAGAGGGTCGTTGATGTCGCCATTCGCGTGGTATTTTCCAAGGATTCGTAGAGCTTCGTCAGAAGCACCGTGTCTTACGAGCCACTAGTACAATCGTCAATATTAAGGTTCTACAGAACAAAACCTCATGTCTTACTCTCGGAGACTCGGGCATCGTGAAGGTCATGGCCAGAGTTACGCTTGGACCAACGAGTTGCAAATAGCAAGGAATTCTCCATGCAGCGCTTCCTTCGATGTTTCTGGTGCCGAGGCAAACACTGGCCGAGATTACAGCGGCAACATAATAGATACAGGTATCTGAGATCAATCAGTAACTGATTCAACTTCTTCTTTTCTGAAGTAGCTTGTCACGTACACATGCTACCAATTTGAGCTCGATAGCGAGGATGAGCAATCTCTTGTAGGAGGGTCGGTGCAATCGTGAGCCCCATGGAGATGCCAATACCCATTAAGACACGTCCAGTGATATACATCCCAAGGTTGATGGCCGCGGAGTTGACAACAGCGCCAGCGATCTTTATTGGTCCGCACGTCAGCTTTGTGAGGCGGACAGGAGTACTAAACTCACGTTGATCAAAACACCAATCCAAACCGCCCAACTTCTTCCAAATCGATTCGCAACCAACTCAGCGAAGTACGGTGATATTAAACCAGGGAATAGGGCAGCTGAGTTCATCAGACCTAGCAAATTCCCTTTGGGATGGCCGAAGAAGTTTTGCCACGCGTCAATCGTCTGAAGGCCATTGAACAGACTTGCGTCATCTTCGGGATACTGTTAGTGGGACCATGTCTTCACGTCATGCAGGTTTCTGAGCCTCAAAATTCGTTCTTACAGCCGTTGAAGAAGAGCGTGCCGCAGAGTCCGACGCAGTGGAACACATTCTTCCTCAGTCCTGGGAGATCAGCACTCCAATATCACCACAGGAAGGGAATGGTCTTACCAGCGTCCAGCCACCACTTGCTTTTAGCACTATTGCGGACTGATTTGTAATTCGGCTCGGATCCCGAGGCACCACATGCTATAGCGCGACCGCCCATCTTGGAGTTGGGCAAGTTGAGTACTTCGTGAAAGGCACAGAGTTCGAAGTATTGAGAGCAGACTAAAAAGCACACAGCCTACATGATCGATGGTTTGTAATATACATTTAAGACTTAATGTACGACTGATTTTATTGATCTTTTAAATTTGTTATGAACACTTCAACTACTTTCATCCGGTGCTAATACCAAGTCCTAGAAAACATGGAGTAAACTCCACAGCTACGTGTATGAACGCCTCGGACAATTTCCCTGTGGATTGTCACTGAACCAGGGACTTTCCTTGCTTGCAGTCAATCTCGGTTTTAGTCCAGGTGACTCTTCCCCAGACCTGGCCTAGATCATATTGCTTGGCGGGTGGGCGGACTTGCGGAGGAAGCGGTTTACCGCTCTTTACCCGTAGCTCAATCACCACCTAGCGATGGTTACGACATTCAAGATGAATGATTCCCAGGATTCTGCCGACTTAATCAAAGTTGCAAGTGGCCCAGCTAAAATATCCACAGCTCGGTGAAAGGATATTGTTAGAATCTGTGAAAACGGCGGACTCGTGGCCAAGGTAGGAACATGCACAAATATCGAGTATAGCAGTGTTAAATTATAGTGGATGTGCAATAGCTTTTGACCCGAAGGCAGGTGATTCAAAATGTGACACTAGGCACATCCTCGAACTAGGTAGCTTCCACCATCTAACACAATGGTTGCCCCATTGATGTGCTTGCTTGCCCTTGAAGAGAGGAAGACCATCACACCAGCAACGTCCTCGGGGCTGCCTAGCTTCTGGTCCGGCACTTGCTTTGCAACAATTTCAAGACCACCATGTCGATCCATCAGCGGCGCACTCATTTGGCTTGGAACTATTCCAGGTGCAACCACGTTGACCGCGATATGTTTCGGTCCAAGTTCCACGGCGAGATTATTCATGAGATGAATGACGGCTGCCTTAGAGGCGGCGTAGGCATATGCTGCTTAAGGGCTTAGTGACAATGTTGACAAGGTCTCTTAATCGATGGGACTTACTTCCGTGCTGACCCATGTCCCCAACAACGACACCTGCTACTGAAGACACCATGATAATCCGAGATGGGTCCTGGATTGTGCCGCCGGCTTGAAGTAACCTAGATAATCTAGGGAATTTGTCAATGTCATCGTTCAAAGCGACGAATATCACAGTGACTCACTTTTGAGCCGAGAAAAATATGCTGCTGACGTTCATTTTCATGACCCGGTCGAAATCATCCTCCTTGTATGCGTCCATATCACCAATAAAAGTTGCGCCAGCGTTAGCAACCAAAATGTCAACATGATCCGTAGTTTTCCTGATTTCAACGGCCATCTTCATGCAGCCCTCTTGACTTGATATATCCGCAACAATCACGATCGCCAGGGCATCGGGCCCCTTGTTGGGAAGCGCATTGAGGGCTTTCGCTGCCCCATGTAGCGGCTCCTCACTGCGGGCGATTATGTATACGCGGGCGCATCCTGCCTGGAGAAAGCTGGTGATAGGATTAGTTGCCATTTGATAATATATAGATAATTTGGTATTTCGAGCTTGAGCTCACCCGCTTGCTGTGTGGAGACCTAGTCCGCGCGACCCACCGGTTATGACTGCAATCTTTCCTTTTAGCGAAAAGATATTCTGGAAGTTATCCAGCTTCACGAGATCTTCAGGTGTTGACATTATTCAATATGGTACGAAAGTATAAGATTTCGGTCTTTAGCACCAAATGTCACTACCATCTTACGACGCTGGACTACGAAGCATTGATTATAAGGCAGTAAGCTCGGGGTTGTTGTACTGCGGGGCAATATTCAGTTGGTGAGCCAGAAGCGGGTTGAGCGGTAGCGAGCGGGATACCGCTTGTTGGGGCTTGATTTGGTGCGACTGCCTCATTATAACATTAGACAATCCGAAAGCTTGCGATCAAGTCTTTTAGAAATGATGCGGTGCTGTTTAGATTGAGATGAATTGATTGAAACCTTTATTGGCATATTAGCAGCCACAGGCACATGAGTAATGACCCGCGATGCCTGGGCAGGTCGTCTTGGTCCTCAAGGACCGTAATCCCATTTCGTCTCTTCCCAGAAGTTCTAAATATAAACTGAAGGGGATGTTCGAGATTGCCTTAAAAATAGCTAAGTAACAAATCTGCTAGAGTTTGACTAGGGCCTCATTAGCTAAACTACTATTATGAGCTTGGATTCTTCTAAATTATGTCACGAGAGTGACCTAGAAGAGGCGATGCTCTCAAGCCTGGCTCATTATTGTAGAATTCTGAATAAGAGCTTGTCTTGCTAAAAAAAAAAAAAAAAAAGAAAGAAAGAGAAGAAGGGAAGGTTGTCTTCAATTGCAGTCCGGTCTGCCCGCAGCACTGTTACAATAATTGAAATAAATAGATTGTTTCTTTAAAACTTAGCTAAAAAAGGAATAATTTAAATCCAAAATCTTCAAATAAAGAAAATCCTACCTAACCAGCTTATCTTAACTTATTAATAAGATAATTAAATAAGTAAAGGAAGAAAGAGAAATCCCCTTTATTCTCCTCTAATCTATTTAAATTAATTTAATTACATCTACTAGATGATTCAATGTAATGGAATAGGCGAAAGCACTTCTTTAGTGGAATAAATGGACTTGGTATTAACCCACCCACTCAGTTTAGTTCAAATGTAATAGTGTAGTTAGTTGATATACTGTATTTCACACAAATTATTAGCAAGGCAAATGCGTAATTGCATTGCATACTGCATGCTATGGCTGCTATTTACTGTCTTCACCTCCATCACTCTCGATCTACATGCAAAGCCAATCCGCATAGATTCCAGCACCATGAATGAGATCCCCTATGACTACTATTCCGATCCATGCGCTTATCTGCTTCAACCGTCGCTTGAACACGAGTTGCACCTGTACAGGGCCAATACTATAAGCTTAGGCGGCACCATTGTACGCGAGCAGGTTGCTCGTGCCGGAGGGGACTCCGCTGATGACGCCTGAGACGGCGTTGCTTTGAATGTAGCTGCACAGCGCCGCTGGGGTCATGGAGCCTACCAGGGCCAGGAAGTAGGCGCCCAGGCCGGCGACGTGGGGGGAAGCCATGGAGGTTCCAGAGAGGGTGGCCTGCAGTGGGTGTCATTGTCAGCAATGTGTCCCGATAGCCACGGGTGTGGAACTTCTTAGTGAAAGGGAATTCAAACTCACAGTAGCGCTGGTGCTTCCAATGTAGGAGCTGACGATGCTGCTTCCAGGGGCGAGGATATCGACGACGGAGCCGTAGTTGGAGTAGGACGCCAGTGCGTCACTGCTGGTGGTGGCACCGACGGTGCAAGCAGATGTCTCGGAAGCCGGGGAGTAGTTGGCCGCGTTGGCGGCGCTGTTACCGGCGGCAACGGCGAGGAAAACGCCGGCGTTGACGAGAGCGGCTGCGGCAGAGTTCACAGCGGTAGACTTGGAGCCACCGAGCGACATGTTGGCCACGGAGTCGCACGAGCGCGTAGGGGCATCCGACGCTACGAAGTTGATGCCGGAGATGACACCAGAGTTAGTGCCGGACCCGCTGGAGTCGAGCACCTTGACCGCGTAGAGAGTGACCGACTTGGCCACTCCGTAGGTGCTCCCGCCGATGGTGCCGGCGACGTGAGTTCCGTGCCCGTTGCCGTCAGTGTTGCTGCTGTCGGCGTAGTTGGCGAGGAATGAAGCACGGCCACCGAATTGCTATAATAGGAATTTGGGTCAGCTAGAGAAGTCTCGACATATGTCTTGCTGAGACGAAGAGCTTACAGTGTGAGTGGTGAGGATGCCGGTGTCGATGACATATGCGCACGTTCCGCTGCCGGCGGAAGTATCATAGACGTAGGAAGTGAGCGAGAGCGCCTTGTGTGAGATACGTGCCAGACCCCAGGAGGCGGCAGACGCGGTGGTCAAGGCGCGCTTGGCTGTCTCTGTGTGGCTCACTTCCTCAGGTGTGTAGTCAATCTTGATAATGGCATCCTGCTCGATGTACTCAACCTGTTAAGTGAACAATGAGAATCAGTCGAGTTGCTCTTGATGGTGGCTTGCTTTTCGTGTCTATCACTCACGTCTTCCAGGCTCGCAATAGCATCAAGAGCCTCGCCGGAGATTTGGGCTGCGAAGCCCTTGAACTTCTTCTCAGCGTCCCACTCTGCGTAGGCCTCGCCCTCGAAAAGCCCATTGGCATAGTCAATAGATTCCTGGGTTGCATCATCTTTCATCTTGACGATGTACTTGTCCTCGAGGAGTGCCTCGACATCCCGGGGCTTGAGGATAGGGGCAGGGGCACCGTTGCGCTTCTGGGCCGGCAAGGCCAGTGCCAGGGGCAACATAGACAGAATAGCAGCACCCTTCATCTTGATGAGTAGTTCTAAGAACCTGGACTAGTATCGACTTGAGCTGAGCTGATCTGTGTCTTTGCAGGGACGTCGTCGCTGTGAGCTGTGGACTGGAGACGAGGATAACATAGTCACCTTCAAGACTCATCGCACCTCTTTATAGTGATCTTCATTCAACTATTTCCACTTCTACATCACCAACTCACTTCTCTCCTTCCCTTTACAGAGAAGTCATCCGCAATTGCACTATCTAGTTTGGATGGCACCAAGAGTCATAATACTGCGCCAGAACAGCAATCAGGAAGGAGGATCGACAATTCACGGACAGTGGTCTTATCACTATCCTTGGAGGTCGGAACAGTGTCACATAGCACGACGATGTCTGAACTCTAGATTGTACCATTGCATTTGCGGGTCTGCTACGGAGAGGCACGCCACAGTTGCATTGCCGCCATCCACAAGCGAAGAGATAACGGCAGTTTCCATGCATCTGTCGAATGGCGACAGCGACGACGATGCCGAGATAGTAAGCAGCCACGCGGGAGCCAAGGCAAGAGGGTGTGCGAAGGTTGTCAGCAGAGTCCATCGCAACAGGTTTTCGAAGCCGAGCACAATGAGACTATTGATAGAAAGAGATCTTAGACCACGCGTCTCGGCGTCTACGTAGCGATCGCACAGATAGGAAAGGAAAACTTCCTGCCTATCCTGATCAGCATGTCTGGTATATGCAGGCTACGAGTGGTTCCGATTCTATGTTCTGGACGTGCAGGTCAATATCAGAGGGCTTGGCTGTTCTTGGCTCGCAGGAAATGTTACCCCAGGTTTTCTATCAAGGTTCCCATGATAACGACGACATGTTACCTCCGGTCATCTGATAGTGCTTCGCCTAACGGTCAACTTCGGGTCGCTGATGTGGCGTTGTCTTGGCGAGATATAAGCGTTGGATTCGTTGGATGGAGGTTAATACACTAAAAAGACTCATCCGTCCGCTGGGCAAATTGGCGAGCACTAATTGTTGTGCCTTTTGGGGTGGCTTGGAATATGTAATAGACACAGTAATAATCATTGAGCGAGATTGACTGCGTCTGGGCACGATATGCTTTCTCGGTAATGAGAGACCTCACAGTCTATAATTGCTTATTTTCTCTTCTTTGTTTTTAACATCTTGGGGGGAGGGGGTTAGAGGTGAGGGGGAAACATGTTGATGGCAGCACAGAGTCAACCTTGCCAGGGATATATCCATGAGCTTACCAGGGGTGTTTCCCAATCCGGTTTAGCCCCCACAGTTACACTGTGTTTGCCTCCCAAGCGTCAGCTTTTCTGCAATTCGAGGACGCCTAACGAGTCACTTTTGACGTCTCCTCACTTTCGCACGCTCTAGACCTAGGGACTTGCGGTGCACATGAAGCCTGGCCTCGCTTGTATGGACTCTTTTGTACCCGCCAGGTGACATCACACGCAGTCCCCCCTTGTCCACAATGTCAAACCCTGTCTCCACTGTTTGGTTTGACCTCTTTGCAGAGAACCAGGTCTCTGACGCCGAGTCGTGCTTCAAGAGTTACGACGCGCTCGACACACTTGACAGTATCCCCGGCCTCAGCTTTCTCAAGGATCTGGTGTGGGCCGAGATCAGGACATGGGTCGCAAACAACGCCGACTCTCTGTCTCTCATCAGCCATGACGACCTCGACGGCCCGGGACGTGTCTTCCTGGGCGGCATGAACCACGCTCTCAACGACGACACCCTCAGTGATCATCACATCTCTGCCGCAATCAGCATCCATCCCCCGGACCTGCTCGCTTGGCACCCCACCGACACCTCCTACGCCCTTCGTCGCTTCTCTGACCCCACCTCGCCATGCTCGGTTAAGAACCACCTCATGATTCCTCTTGAGGACAAGGCCAACGCCGACCTCATGGAGTATTTTGACCAGACGTATGAATTCATGCAGACAAGCCTGAGAGACGGCCACAACATCCTTGTTCACTGCAAATCTGGCAGATCACGCTCGGTCGCTGTGGTGATCGCATACCTGCAGCGCAAGTACTATGATACAACAATCCGGCCGCAGAACCTTCCCCAGGATGAGGCCCTCGAGAAGATGGCCTCATACCGCGAGGCCGTGACCGAGAGCATTCGAGTCCAACGGCTCCCAGTACTCATCATTATGGAGCGTTTCGAGGACTTGCTGCAGCTCTACGATCTTCAGCTGCTCGGGCACCCGGCTTACGAGCAGAAGCTCGCTAATCTGTTCTCGCCCCCGCCGGCTCCCGAAGGTAAACCAGCGGAGCTGCCGAAGGCTGAGTCACAGACAGAGGCCCCGCAAAGGCCAAGGCTACAGACTCTGAGCTCGACGAAGACGTGGTCAGATATGACACGATCACAGACGATAGATCTAGGGTCTCCTAGTGGGCTGAAGAGGGTGAAGAAGAAGGGCGGCGCGGGAATCCTCAAGCTTGCAATTGCCATCACCTTCTTCAAGAACAACCAGAAGCCGCCGATCGCTGTAGTCGAGCGTTTGTTCGAGGTAAACGAAGCCTACTACTGGGAGATGGAGGGTGCGGAATACAACGACGTTGACTACAAGGACTCGGGACATATCCATCGAGGAATTTGTGCCTTCTACTTCCAGTTCGCCCAGGAATACGGATATGAGCCACCAATGGCCGTCACACTGCTGTCGGACTGAGGACTCAAGCCCATTAGCTTTGAAAACTCACCTAAGGTTAGACTTCGCATAAAAATGAGGCAGTAGTGAGATACTCTAACGGAAAAATGCCTCGCTTGTTGCATCGCATTCACAGAGATCATAGACCAGGTCAGATTGCTTCATGATGGATTTTAGACTAGACTTGGTACATGAGCTAGCTGCAAGAACACGACTTCCCTCATATACACAGCTTATTCAATGACCCTGTTATCCATTCAATGATGAGTTACTTTTGAAATTGCAGAAAGTAGGGTATTAGGTGTACTCCAGATGGTTGTGCATGTCCCATCATGGCAAAGCGGGCATTCGGCCTTTCAAAAACGTAAATGAGTAACGCTTCAGTGAAAGTCACAGCCATTGATTCTGAACTGCGATCACATGGATTGAGACAACTTTTGTACTCCAGATACATTCACCAGTGATCATGGTACATTGAAAACCACCAAGCTTTTCAGCCCTGTCAGTCAAGCTTTGCCAAGTCAATATCAGCCACGAGGCTAATTAAAAGAGATCTACTTGTGACGACCCCGCTCAGTACAACTGCTTGTCCACCTGCATAGGCGTACAAGAACGCCTGGGTCAAGATGCTGCATACTCCACGGTCTTTCTTGTCGGTAGTAGATTGAGGCAAGGCTTGGTTATGATTATGTTGAGCAGCAGCTATCTAGGTACTTCCGAATTGCCACGGCTCCACTTCATTGCAACATCGGCTCTAGCATCAATCACAGCCGCGGGAGGACTTTCCCCGACAAATGCGAGAAGTCCGTCCAGAAACGAATGGCATTGGTCAAAATGAGAAGGTCGAAGGTCGCGGGAGCGCGTGGCCGAGCTCGTGGTGAGAAGATTTAATGTCAGATCGGCTTGATAGGCGGAGACAGACAAAATCGAGGTTCGCCATAATGAGAGGGTCTGCGTTACTACTTGTGAGACGCACGTTTGGCCAATTCGGCATGAGGGACGGGACATCAACATCGCCTCGAGGCTTCGGAGCAACGTCCATGCGGGCGTTACTTAGGCTTCACGGGCCGCATCTGATCTGTAGCTGTGGATTAGATGATGGCTTTTGAGTATTTCAATTTTGGTAATCGATTACACTTGTCGAAGAAGTTTACGGCAGATAAAGCCTGCTGAATCGCATACATGAGACGTTGACTGAATCAGATTACACAAGTAGAACATCGTTTTGGATAATGATGTAGCATTGGTGATGCAAATGAAGTCTAAAGCAATGTCCAATGGCCAACAGGCAACAAAATGCCTGTCTATGGCTCTAAGAGATGTCAGAAGACTCTCAGGTGTCGATGAAAGACTCTCGAGGTCACGCAAGACCTGCCAGGTCTTAGACGACCCTCGTGCATTCGAGTGATACACGCATATCGAGTGAACAACGGGGCACATTATGATCTCTCCCTATAGACCCTCTCCTATATGGAGGTAATTAGATGAACTCGTGATGGGCCTGCCCAGTCGCCGGTGCCAGCCTGTTCGCCTGAACATTTTGCGAATTAAGCCCCATCCTGCTACCCTTCATCTGCAGCCTCGGGCCAGGTCCGGACATGCCGGGAGTCAAGGTCTGGTTCCCGTACTGCGCTGCCCAGTCCACCTCCTCATCCTGCTCGCTCACTTGACTCATCCCGGAGTACGGAACTGCCAGGCCTGGAGGCTGAGTCGTCGCCGGGGTCATAAAGGCCGACAGTTGATCTGCGTAGCCGTTGTAGCTCTCGCACTGGCATGGTTCCATCTGGCAGACTTCACATTGATCCATGGCCAGGCCTGAGTCGCGCTGGTAGTTTTTGTCCTCGTTGTTGGTGGTGTTGAACTTGACGCCCTGCACCCAGTCTTTAAACGGCAGGCGCGGGCTCTCGACCTGCATGCCGCTCATGCTGAAGGTGCTCGATCGCGTCGCTGGCCTGGATCTGCTAGAAGCCGCGGGTACTGCGTCCTGTGAGTACACCGAGGACGAGGAGCTGGCCGGCGAAACGGTCGTCCTCGGCGGGACCACCTGAGTCTGCGACTGCCGCCGCCCCTGGGACTTTGGCGACGACTGCTGGCTTGCACTCCGAGAGTGTACGGTCGGGGCCTTCAGGCTGCTCGGGTCGAAATTGCGCATCGAGAACCGTGATAGCCGCGAAGAATCGCTCTTGGTCTTTTCGGTCGCGCTCGACGGAATGCTGCCCCCGCTGGCGCTGATGCGGCACTTCCTGTTCACTTTTGCCCTGTGCTGCTCAAACACAAGCTGGAACTGGCCGGCCAGGAAGAAACACACGTCTTCGGACTGCTCAGGCAGCAGCTTTCGGAGGCTTTCACTAAGGTCCGCCCTAAGCTCGTTCTGACTGTCGTCCAGCTTCTGCTCCATCTCGACCATCTCGACCACGGGGAGATATTCTTGGCATCCAGTCAGTTTCCTAGGCATGGAATCTGTTTAATGCTACAATTGAAAACTTACCTGAATCTAAATCAGACACATCCTGTGGGAAAAGAAGCTTCCAGATCTGTTCCCAAGAGTGCACACCCTTTCTCGGAGTTCGATCTGCAAGAGTCCGATCCATCTCTTCGGTGATTCCATCCTCGATCACATTGTCCGAGGCAGCATTGTTAGGCTCGCACATCTGCTCCACAGGTACCATGAGATGGTCAGCCAAATCCGACGAATTCTCGAAGCCTGCTTTGCACCGCGGACATGAATGTGGCGACACGCATGCTCTGTGGTAAGTCCTGATATGACGCCTATTTGCATGTTAGCCTGAACCTCCCAGCCTTTGATGATCTTATCACATACTTCAACTCCGCTATGCCGAAGAATGGCCTCTTGGCGCAATGCTCGTGGTCGCGAACATTGAACATCACCGGGTTCCTCTTCCTAAAAGGGCACGAATATGGCCTCGACGCGTCCTGCAACCTTGCTTTCATTCTGCGGCCGCCATTTCCGAAACCATACAGCTGCTGGTATAGAGTTTCCTTGGAATTGTCGTACGCAAAAGGATCTTCCTCGTCGCCACTACTGACGCCATACCTGGTGCGATTGACGGAGGCTTCATGTTCTGAGAGTTGCTCAGACGTCCTGGATTGCGAGTCTGAATCCGCAGCATACGGCTTGGAGTCCCCTGGGCGATACTGTGGAAGAGCCCATGGTGGGTGCTCCCTCTGTACGGTAGTTGACACTTCCTGGAGACAACGGTGCACGGCATCCTGGACCTTGAGCGGCACTGTGGTCTTGGCTGCCTTGACGCCATAGCCCTCTCGAAGGATAGATGCGGCGATCCTTGAAGTGAGTGCTGCACTAGGGTCGGCGTCGACAGTGTCGTGGGGATAACTATCCGTTAGGAAATCCGTCTTAGCCAAAGTACTCTTTCTTCTTCCAGGTGGTGGAGCCATCAGGCTGGTTGTATGTAGCTGTCAATGCACTGCTTCGCGCATATGTGAAGGGAACGTGGTGATGGTTGGGGTTACTCACTCAAAGGCCCGATTTGAGGCCTTCCTCAGACTGACTGATGAGGCCCTGATGGGATGGGTGTTTGCCCTTTTGAGATTATTATTTGCGTCTGGCTCGGTGCAGTCACCGTCCCGCATCCGAAGGGGTAGGCCCAGACTCTGTGGTCTATTAGCAGCCGGTTGGGGCTGGCAAGATGTTACATCGGAGAGTTTTCCTATAGCGCCCTTGAATTGAGAGTCGAGCGCTGCCTGGGTATGGGGCATATTATCCGATGCGACAAAGGGCGGGTCGCTGTCCGTCATGTAGTCTGCAGTATCAAACACAGGAGATGTCGAGCCGTCAAGCGATGGGGCGCGGCTTGCTGAATGAGACGACAGGGTCGACACGGAACAAGTCATATCGGGAATTGCATCTGGCCTTTGTCTGCGGTCTGTTTTCATCCTGGTCCCATGAGATAAAGGGCTTGGGGTTCCCGCATAGAGTGATCGGAGATCCATATTTGGGCGGCGGTCTGTCATGAGTCTGCAGCGCTTCGTAGCCGCCGGTGGAACGGCCCGCAATGTGGAATAGCTGCTTGGATATCTAGAAAAGCAAATTGTACAAGGGATGCATGCGGTAAGAAGCCAGCGATTAAGGAGCAGAAAGATCTCACAGAGACAAAATAGAGCAGGGCGGACAAGGATCGAGCAAGTGGGAAACAAACATAAACACGAAGTCGAGAGACGATGCAGCGCGCAGGCTTTGAGCAGAACTACTCGCCTCGCCCCAGAGCCCCCCGGTCGATATAAAAAGAAACATCATCAAACAAAACAAGAAGGCCGCAACCACCCGCGGGTGGACCATGACCGTGAGCTGGACCTGGGGCGCGGGAGGCCGGCCACCAAGGACCAAGGCCCCAGGGGCTGGTCATCAATCCCCTGTCCAATGAGGCTCTACGCGCCGCCCTCGCCGCTGGCTCCACGAGATTGGGCCCGTCGCAGATGCGTGTAATTGGCCAGGCCGGCCATTTGGCGCTGAGCAATCAGAAGCGCCAATCGCCTTAGCTGCATCTCTCGCAAAAGTCATGTCGAGGTCAGCAGCCCAATCGACCCCGATGGTGCTGATCTTGGATGACGTATCGCGAACTTCGAACAGCTGTTTTTTTCGTGTTCACGCGACTTCGCGTCTTCGTTCAGCTGCATGGAAGCTTCCGTGCTGCACGACGGGAGAGCAGCTCACACTAAAATCGAGTGTGTGGGTAGCACCAGCTGAGACAGTGAAACGGCCTGGGTAAGGGTTGAGTATGGGTACCAGCACCATTTGAAGAGACCAAGTGCTGACATCCCGAAAACACATTTTCTCAATTCATACTCATAAACGCTCGAAGCTGAGAAGACCATGTGTTATTATGACTCTACCTTTTAGCCTTCGTGCACAAAAAGGGTGAGTTGACACCTCTTCAGTTGACGGCAACAAACTTTAATGTCACCCAGTTGAATGACAAATTCCACCTGTAAAAGCCAGGGTGAGAACATCTACACGAGCAAGCCAGTCGGTCATGTGAAGCTGTGTCTCAGACATCATGATTGGACATCAATTCAATATAAGAGTTGAGTGATGGATGATGATAATATTCAAGAATTTACCTTCCTTTCCATGAGAATTAGTGTCAGATTCCGTTAAGCGGAGTGCGAGATCGCCCCAATATTGCTTTGCAACCGTCGTCGAACATTGATTTTGTACTAGTCAATGCCAGGAGAAACTTGTTATTGGTCTGTCATTGGAAGACTGTTTTAGATTCGGGTAGATAGTCATTGGCCTCTTAGAATCTCCCCCGGCGTTGGTGCCTAAGACAACCGGAGCAGCTCAGAACAGGACCATATGGAAGCATCATCATTTCAAGCTTTATCGGTCACTCAAGTATGTCAGATATTAGCGCTATGGCAGAACAGTCAAGTCTTTTTTGACTGGTGTGTTCGCTGCTTATACTTGCAGGCTTTCGTTCATGTCGAGAAAGGGCGATTGGTGGGACCATCTTGGATGTAACACAGAGACATTCCCTTGCATCAGCAAATGCAACTAGGAATGATGGTTACGCCTCTCCAGAACCCCTCTCGATAAGGACAACGTCGCAATGGGGTGATACACATTTGCGCATTAGGTCTTACCTGCGCGTATTTATGGTTTTCTGTGCCCTTTGACACTTCTGCTTGCATTTTGTTCCTCTCACTTTTTCAAAATTTGAACCGGAATACGACAACAATAGCAGAAACGATAGTCACCACAACCTGACACCATGGAAAACACGGAGAAATACCACGGCGCCGCTGCGGTTGAGCCAATCAACCAAGATTCCAGCAGTGACAGCACCGACGAGAAGACAGGGACTGCCGAGGACCGTGCCGATATGTTCCGCATGGGCAAGGTCCAGGAGCTCAGGGTATGTGAAAACGCTTGAAACGCACTGGAAGTGGCTAACACCTGATTTCTATATAGCGAAATTTCCGTTTTACATCAATTTTGGCGTTTACTATGATTTTGGTGGCGTCCTGGGAATGTACACTGGTGTAAGTAGTGGGGAGATGCTAAGAAAGGAACGCTCGCTTCATCTGTGGATCCACGCTGATATGCGCATCGTGCAGACTTGCCAGCATCAGTCTGGTGAATGGTGGAACTGCTGGTTATATATGGATCTTCTTCATATCCTGGATGGGATTCATACTTGTCAATCTTTCAATGGCGGAAATGGCGTCTATGTGAGTGAAAGCCAAAGTTCATACCTGAGCGGCCTGCGGTCGTCCATTCGAAACGCTCAATACTGACCTCAATCCAGGGCTCCAACAACTGGCGGACAGTACCACTGGATATCTGAATTTTCTCCGCGAAAATATCAGAAATTTCTCAGTTACCTGATGGGTTGGCTCTGCGTTCTAGGCTGGCAGACAGGATGCGCCAGCACTTCCTTCATGGTAGGAACAATGGTGCAGGGTCTAATTGCACTCAATCATCCGGACACGTACGTACACGAGGGGTGGCATGGCACGCTACTCACAATAGCCGCTGCTGCCTTTGCGGCATTCTTCAATACCTTCCTCGCGAGACACCTCCCAGCTATCGAGTCCGGTCTGTTGGTGATCCATGTCTTCGCCTTCTTTGGCATTCTTGCGACACTCTGGGCTATGTCACCGATAGCCGATGCAGCTGTGTTCACTCAATTCAACGATGGTGGAGGCTGGGGTAGTCTTGGTGTGAGCACTCTTGCAGGGATCACATCAGGTGTCCTGCCTCTGCTGGGTGCTGATGCTGCGGCGCATATGGTAAGTTCTGTCTTTGGGCTTTATTTTCTAATCCCTTGGTTCCAGTCACTTTCAAAGCATTTCAAAGCTAGTATTGGCTGCTCTCAGTCTAGAAAATCCTTGATGCGTGTTTCATGGACGTATCTTGCTGAGCTCGGACGACGCATCATGAGGCCAAAGCTTACAAAGTAGTGGAGCTCCTCTATCAAGACATGCTGAAAGCAGAGCGAGTGTTCGATGTTACTGACAGACAACATGGAACAGTCTGAAGAACTACAAAGCGCCAGCAAAACCATCCCCCGTTCTATGATTCTCTCGACGGTGGTCAACGGACTCCTAGGTTGGATCATGGTCATTACCTTTGCCTTTTGTCTCGGGAATGTCGACGATATACTGGCATCGCCAACAGGCTATCCATTCATGGCTGTATTCTACAACTCTACCAAGTCGACGGCTTCAGCGACGATCATGTCTGTTTTCATTCTGATAATGATAGCAGCCTCCAACCTATCTGTCGTAGCCACGGCCTCGAGGCAGCTCTTTGCCTTCGCTAGGGACGAAGGCCTACCCTTCCCCACGTGGTTCGCAAGAGTATCTCGCAATGATCTCCCGATGAACGCGATCGTGGTGACGTTTATCACGTCTACGCTGCTGTCTTTCATCAACATTGGCTCGGCCACGGCTCTCAACTCCATCACGTCTCTTTGCACAAATGCCCTGCTCTCGAGCTATATCTGCTCTATAGGTTGCATGATCTGGCGCCGTTGGACTGGCGCCCCTCTGCTTCCAAGCCATTTTAGTCTTGGCCGCTGGGGACTGGCCATCAATATTGCTTCGGAGGTCTTCTTGATCTTCTCGTTCATATTTGCCTTCTTCCCTGTGTCGCCAAGTCCTGATGCAGCAATCATGAATTGGAACATCCTCATGTACGGTGTGGTGATTATCGGGTCGGTTTTGTATTACTTCTTGAAGGGGCGACATCACTACGTGGGCCCCGTCGAGTATGTGAGAAAGTTGGATTGAAAAAGAGACTGGTCAAGAAGATGGAATCTATCAGGTAGGTAAAGAGCGTGTTCGCATATTATTATCGAAATATGTTTATCAAGGTGCGCGGACCCCAGTTATAGGGTGGGCGAGAATAGAAATGCTAGACTCTGGCTACCCGAGCTTTCTCGGGTAACCCTATTGGTCTTGCAAGTCAAGAAGCCATCTAACGTGCTGGTACGTGACTGATCCCATCGTCACGTCCTTCCACGCCATTTCCTAAAGCCGATGTTTAAGTAGCAGTCCCGTACTTGAGAAGCACTGGAAAGCTATTGTCTTGCATCCCTCCATCAGCATTCCACATGAGGGCATATATCCCATCTGTACTAGTTGATTGAGCCCAGAACTGCGATTCCAAGTTCGAGTTATCATTATAGACCAGCTGCGTGGCAAACAGTCCGAAGCCCGTGACAGTGCCGTTCATCTTGCTGATGGTGGCGACAGGAGAAACGCCAACGGAGTTGAAGGCATCCGAATGCATGATGTAGAGAGATCCGAGGGAGGTTCCGTTGGCCAGCGTTGCATTGGCCATCCAGTTTTCGTCGGTGATCGAAGAGCTGCGAATAGACAGTCAGTTTGTCTCCTGAACTTGGTATTGAAGGGTTACGCTCGTGGAAGTTGCTCACAGGGACCATTTAACAGGAGCAAGATTCGCTGCAGTATCTTCGGGACTCGAAGTAATGTAGAGTTTGCCTGGACAGGATCTTAGCATGGTTAAAAAGCGTAGTCGTTAGGGAGGATCTTCTCACTGTCGTTGAGCCCATATGAAAGAGGCCAGTCTGTGGCTCCTTGACCATATGCATAGAGAACAACATCGCTCACAATAGAGCGCTTCATTTTTTCGCCGGGAATGCTCAGGGCTGAGGTCAGGCTCAGTTGGAGCGACAAAAGAGTGACGAGATTGAACATCTGCATGGTGTCAGGTGGCTTTTTGGTGAATGAGTGTCGGGTCAGGAATTGAGAAGGAAGGACGCTGTCAATAGAAAAGAAAGGCCAAAGAGAGTACACTTTTCTTGCAGGAATCACTTGAGCACCGAGAAGGAGGTGCCTGTAGGTCTACATATATCTAGTTGAAGAGATCTAAAGAAAGGCTGTTATTGACCCGCTGATCATTGACCCTGAGGGTTGCGACCTTGGACTACGCATTGTCCAATTTTAGTGACGAGAAAAGCGTGACCATTGCTCATGTTCTCAGATCTCCCACAGCCTTCTCTCTGCGCCGAACAAGGAAGTTCACGAACATCAGAGCTCACAAAGACCCATTTTGAGATACTGTAGCCATTCAGGTACGAAAGCCAGTAAGATGCTCCGCGTTTCATCTCTGTGAGACTCCGAGCCTCGTTGACAAGCGTAATCGCCGGTCGTCATCACTAGCACCCTCCTTGAAATGCACGGGCGATGTCTTGCAGGCCGCGAATCTTCGTCTCCCCACAAGGTGGGCGGGCCGCTGCTCGCCAAATCGTCATTGGCCCGACCCGTTGTCAAGCTTTGGGGGTGGGTTAAGCATGACTTAGATAGCATCGGGGCTCCACTACTCTATGTTGATCGCAATTCAACATTTCTCACTTCGCACCCGGAGCCTTACGTTGCAGAACGTTCATTTTTCGTGCACAGCTCATGATGGGCATTGATGATGAGTCCCTAGGGCTCGACCACGGAGATCAGCATATCACGATTTACAACTCCGACCCGTTCCGTGACGCTCCGGTCCCACAATCCTGCCGCGAAATAAGGCACGGCCAATTGGCCAGGTAAGTCAATGGGTGCAGCAGTGAGCAGAGACACTATGTTGAACGAGGACAAGGTGATAGCAAGAGGCGTCATACGCCTGTGAGGCTGTGAAGTCATGTAATATTCCAACTCAGGTCTCTGCAGTGGATGCAATCCCTGAGCCTATGCCATAGTCCACGATGTTATAAAGCAATGATGCATCCTCAAGCTTTCTGATCGTGAAACTTTGTTCAACAACACTGCAACCGTTCAAAAACCTGTCACTCTTTTGACTGTCACTCCTTCTCTCGCTGCTTTTTTACTCTCTCTTAGGAGAGACTTAATGACATTGCCGCAATGTTCTGTCAATCATTCATTTTATCCTCTCTCCTTGCCTTGCCAAGTGTTCTTGGAGCCGCTGTCCCATCCGACAACTCGAGTTCAGCTTGTGTGAACTCTCCTTCAACTCGATCATGCTGGTCTGAAGGCTTTGATATTACAACGGATTATTACGAGTCGGTGCCTGACACTGGTGTCACTCGAGAGTATTGGTTCAACATCGAGAATGGCACCGCAGCTCCAGACGGCATTGAGATCCCTGTAATGACCGTGAATGGGTCTCTGCCTGGGCCAACAATCATCGCTGACTGGGGCGACTGGGTCGGTAAGGATACCTATGGAAAATACTTCAACGAGCAAAAAGAATTGTACTGACCGACTAACTACTCAGTCGTACATGTGACCAATTCCCTCCAGAACAACGGCACTTCTATTCATTTCCATGGCATCAGACAAAACTATACCAACTACAACGATGGCGTCCCGAGCGTGACCCAGTGTCCAATCGCTCCTGGAGACAGTTTCACCTACAAATGGCGCGCAACCCAATACGGATCCAGCTGGTATCACAGCCACTTTTACGTCCAGGCCTGGGACGGTCTCTTTGGCGGTATATTGATCAACGGCCCGGCAACTGCGAACTACGACGTCGATCTCGGCAACGTGATCTTGAATGACTGGTACCATGTATGTTGCATTCCATTTCAATTTTCAATTTGTTCCGATGCTGAAAACTGTGCTAGGATACTGCCGACAACTTGGCTCTGCAGGCGTCTATCACTGGACCCCCAACGGCCGCGAACGGTCTGATTAACGGGACCAATGTCTACAACGAGACCGGTTCTCGCTTTGAGACGACTTTTGAGGCCGGGAAGAGGTACCGATTCCGGCTCGTGAACGCAGGAGCAGACAACCACATGAGATTCATGATCGATAACCACACTCTCGAGGTTATCTCTACGGACTTTGTGCCTATCGTGCCTTACAACACAACCAACCTCTCAATTGGGCTCGGTCAGAGGTACGATGTTATCGTGCAAGCCAAAGAGCAGACCAGCGGCAACTTCTGGCTTCGCGCTATCCCGCAGGAGTCGTGCTCTGACAATGACAGTGGTAGGTCCCCTTCCCCCGAGCCACGCGTCTATTGGAAAAGTCACGCTAATTTGCTTCTGCTGCTATAGCCGATAATATCAAGGGAATCATCAGATATGGCAACTCGACTGACGATCCAACAACGTCTGCGTACGATTATACCGACTCGTGCAGTGACGAAGAAATGACCAACCTGGTCCCCTACCTTAGCAAGGCAGCCTCTGACAGCTGGGACGTTGAAGAATATCAAGACGCTGGTGTTCAGGTCACAGAAAATGCCTTGCTGTGGACCATGGGTGGATACTCTTTCCACAATGAGTGGGACTATCCCACCGTCCAACAAGTGCTTGAGGGCAACGATACGTGGACCGACAAGCAGCGCGTGTTTCAGCTGCCCGAGGCCGACAAGTGGGTGTACATGGCCATTTCTTCGGTCTTCGCCGCCGATCACCCAATCCATCTGCACGGTCACGACTTCTGGATCCTGGATCAGGGGTTCGGAACATGGAACAACCAGACAACCAACTTCGTTCTGGAGAATGCCCCGCGCAGAGATGTGGCAATGCTTCCTGCCAGCGGTCACTTGGTTATTGCTTTCAAGACTGACAACCCTGGTGTAAGTACCTTGAAGAAGCCCTGTCCAAGACCTAATTCTGCTTGAACCCGTGCTAACTTGTTTTCGCTATTCAGGCCTGGCTCTTGCATTGCCACATCGCTTGGCATACGTCTGAAGGTCTTGCTGTTCAATTCCTAGAGCGAGAATCTGAGATGATGAGCGCGGCTGGTGTTCTGGACGGTGATGCGATCAATGGGACCTGTGCCAACTGGAGTGCTTATGCCACTGACGTCGACCAATTCGACAGTGGGGTTTGAGGGTAGATCGCGGGCGCTGCAGGATTGACCATGTGCAACGGCAAGCCTCGCTTCTTGTTGCAATTCTTATTATTTCTTTGGTGAATTGGAGTAGGGTTGAGTAATACAGGCACAGTCGGAGATGAGCTTAGCTATAATTACATTCGTTCCCCATGTATTGGTCCTACAAACATCAATGAGGTGTCGATGTGCGCTTTCAGAAATACCTTTGATCACCTCCACGGGTCCTCTCCCCACCATCTGTCTTCTCCCCACGGACCTACACCGGGGCCTTTGAATATTTTGCCACCTTTCCACACCAATTTAATGTTATCCTTGTCTTGAAGCACGCGGACATCTTCGACAGGGTTCGCCGTGAGGCCGAGGATATCTGCCTCATAGCCAACCTTGAGCTGGCCAGTCTTGGGCGCCTGCGCACCCACCGTGAGCGGTCCATTTGCCGTGGCTGCCTTGATCGCTTCGAGGTTGCTGAGACCAGCTTGAACAGCATACTCGAGCTCTATTGCCATATTGACACCAGGTGGCGTATCAGTTCCCATAGCAAACGTACATCCTGAATCAATTGCCAACTTGTAAGCGGCTAGATGATGCGCGCCGCAGAGCTTTGCCTTCTCCCAAGTCGATGGGTCCAGTCCCTCTCCCCCGGTAGAGAGAAGGTACTCTGTGATAAGCCTGGTAGCCACGTAGATAGTTCCAGTCTTTTTGATCAGGTCGATGCACTCCTGGTCACCAAACGACACATGCTCCACGGTCTTCACCCCGGCTTTAACCGCCGCCAAAATGCCCGCCTTCGCATGGACGTGTGCTGCCACGGAACGGCCTTGCCTCGCTGCCTCTTCGACGATGACTTTGAGCTCCTCATCACTGAATTGTGCGTACTGCACTTCATCGTCCCTGGACATGACTCCGCCAGAAGCCAGGATCTTGATGCATTTCGCGCCCCTCCGGATCTGCAGTCTAACTGCCCGGCGGCACTCGTCTACGCCATCGACAACACAACTCATGCTCTGCCCAAAATGTCCTGGAGTAGGCTGCATGACCCCGAGGTTCTGATACACGATCCCAGCGGGCAAGTTAAAAACGTCTCCATGCCCGGCAGTCTGCGACAGGCAAGCGCCAGCTGAGTAGATGTTAGGGCCCACGATCTCGCCCTCGGCAACAGCCTTTGCCACTTCGCACCCGAAGCCAGCTACGTCGCGCAGGCTCGTGTACCCGCGCTGGATTGCCTCCCAGCACCCGCGGGCAAGACGCGCGCCGCCCGAGGCGGGGTGCATCGAGATGAAGCCCGTGAAGCCAGGCCCCTCCTCGCCGGTGATGCTGCCGCCTCCGAAGTGGACATGGACGTCCCATAGCCCGGGCATGAGATACGGGACGCTGTAGGAACGATGCGGTGATGAGCTGTACTTATCCGGGATGTCAGACTGTTGGCCGATCCATGCGATAATCTTGTTCTCTATGACCAAAGCGGCATCGCTGAAAGGTTCGCCGTCACCTGGGATCAGAAGACCGGCTTTGACGATGGTGTAGAACTTCTTCTTGGTGGAAGCGATAGCGGCGGCATCTTGAGTTTGGATAGGCGCCCGAACAGTGAGCCCGTAGGCTGTGGAAAACATCTGCTGGGGGAGGCGAGACGCCACCGAGGCGTTGCTCGTAGTACGCAATGGCATACCCACAGTGGTGTTATCGGAACCTCCTTGGTCGCCGGCAGAGTCCCCTGGAGCCGCGACTGGCAAGTCTCGCCTGTGTGTTTCAGCTGTCCGCCTGGTCATTCTGGTTGATTAATTACATGCAGTCCGGGAATCAGCGATGAAATAGAGTTGAAAGAGTCAGTTAAGGACACGGAGTCGAGCACAGGTGTCAGCGTTCAGGTTGTGGGGCTCGAAGGATGACATGGATCTGCGAATGGAGTTGGGTATGTATATCTGCCGCTAGACCCCTGACGGGAAGGTGATAAGAAAGAGGAAACGAGTATACCAACATCAGAGAAGTTCGTGCCGCTAGCATGCAGCACCAACTCGGTACCCCATGTTTTGTACTGCCGGACAGCCCACACTCTGCCAATGTTCAATGACCGTGCTACACAAATCGGCATCCAAGCATTGCTATTTTCCATGTTTGGAGGGATCACGCGTTGATTCTACCCAACACCTATGCTGTTGAAGTGACTTCAGTACATGGAGCTTCAAATGGCAACGAATGTATCAGTGCCACTGAGAACCATCTCGGAATCAGTCCGGTAGCCCTATCCGGAGGAATTCAATTCAAGCTTGAAGCTCAGATCAGCATCACCGGTCTGAAGTCCATCAGAAAACGAGCAAGTGGACCAAGCCGGTGCCTACTTCCTCACTCATAAGCCATCAGGAGTTGAAGGGATGCTTCAATGTCCAAATTTTGGAAGGAACCGATCTGTCGCTTCCAAAACTTGGTGGGATGGGGGAACAGGTGATAATAATGAAAGACATTGCATCACGTCTTCGGAGATATCTCTCTCCATCCAGACACGCCAGATCATTGCCCCTCACATCAAATAACTGCTTTTGTGGCCTGAATTCTCTAGCAAGTTTCTTGCAGTATTCCATATCTATTGTTGCTTTCATTCTGTGTCCTCAGATACTGGTTAACGCGGAGACAAGAATGCACAAGCAAGACCTCCAGACGAGCATCGTCGGCCTATCCCGTGAAGCCATGGCAAAGATTCTCAAAGATCTTGCCGCTGATCCTGATCTTGAAAAACGTATTGCGGCTTCCGTGGAGCTGTCCCAGGTAGGTTTAAAGACGCTCCATTACTATTGACACGAGTGCTGAACGGGGACCCAGCGCTCCCAGTCTTTCGCTTTAGGCAATGAACCAACCACTCAACCCTCATTCCTCGACCGCGTCTCAGAAGCAATTAGGGGAAAGCTCCAGCTTGAGACAATTAAACCCAGGCCGAAGACTGTTGTTACCGATGTGCGGGTTTGCCGCAATTGTCGCGCCTTATTCCGGCTAAGAGACCAAAATAAGCCAGCTGTCGACTGCGTTGGCCATCCTGGTGGGTGAAGCTTCTATATATCAAAGCCAAGGTCGAACAGGACCTGTGGATAGACCTCTTCTAACCACATGTTCCGGCAACATATAGGCAAGCAGGAGGACCTTGAAAAATTCCTTCAGGATGAGGAAGTCCAACAATTGAACGAGCGCTACGTCACGAATTGTGGACGATACTACGAATGCTGGACTTGCTGTCTAGGCGGCCCTAGAGCACCAGGTTGCACTCGACTCGAATACCACGTCTGCTCCCACCCAACATCCAAGACTCAGTAAAAATCGGAACGTGCAGCAAACAGTCTTCAGGGCTGCTGTCAGTAAGATAGACACGCGTGAAGTGAGGCTCATTGAATTTGAAGCTCAGAAAATGGAAGGGGGGGGATCCCAAATCATGGTGTGGTAGACTTTCGGCTGCTGGACCGCAAGGGCCGGGGGAATTGCCACAGAGCCTATAGAACATTATCAAGTATCACCAATTCTTGAAGCTTGCGTCTTCTGCACTGATTGTGGCTCACGATCATTGCGTTGGCTTTTTGTCAGTCCATGCAAGCCATTTCTCTATCTCATCCTTATTCGCATAAATATGTGTACAGCAGGCAGGCAAGATTTGCAGCATCATTGCACGCTTGCAGCATGCTCGTGGTGATGTGGCCGGTTCTGGCCCCCACTCGGCCCAGGTCCGTTGACAGCGCGCCAGCGTCGGCAGAATCCTTGTAGCCAATGGGACTTGATGACAGTCTTATTTCTCCTTTGCGAGCTGTCACATGGCAAATGAATTTAAATCAACGAGTCTTCTAACTCTATTGTCGGTGTCGCGGCCTCAGCTTATCCGGTGTATCTGCTCACAGAGGTAGTCAGATATTTATGAATTGATGGACTGTGGGATTCACCGTCTCCAGTTGATCGACGAGCCTTAGCCGCTGAGGCCCACTAAACGGGCCCCCGTGGCGGTCTCGGCTGCCACGGTGGTTTGCCCGCGATTCAGAGATGAACCAATGCACATCGGCCCTGAGGTTGCATCGAACAGTTCAGCTTGAGGGGACTAGCCAGCCATTTTCCGACCAAAGCGGCATGGCTTCCTGCAGTGCGACCCCCATCACGGCTCCTTTTGTCAGGCCCATTACCAGCAGACTCTTTTTTTGCACTTCTCCTCTCGCAGAGCCTCATTGCTGCGCTGGCCTCTGAGGGGTTTTCTCAACTACGTTCCAAGATAATCAACCCATCATGGCCAATCTCTTCCCCAGATGCCGAGAGACACAATGAAAGGCCCTAGGCTCGGGCCGGGCCCGTACCCAGTCCGGCAATGGTTGACGGCTTATTCGCACGGGGACGTCAACCGGCACCAAGTCCTGGATGATTGGAGACGGGGTACTGATGGCTGGATGGTTCAGGCTCCCAAGGCGTATGGATACACACTCTACCCCTTTTTGGCTCGGATCGTGTTCTGACTTGACCTCTGAGACAGTGGCCCGTATTTGATCCATGTCAGATCATTGGCAAATCAATGGCCGCACCTGGAATTGCTGGCCGACTTTATGGACGTGGGCACGCATCCCATCAGATGGAACTCGAAAGCGCCAGGCGGGTACCCTGATGACCCTGCCGAAAGAGGTATGTCGACTATGCTCAGACGCACATGATTCCCAGACAGTCGACCAGAAGACACCTCGAAGCAGAGCAAACGTCGGCAGCACTTTTCATTGAGTTTGACTGACACTTTTGCGTAGATGAATGTAGACGCAAGCGCATGAGAAAGACCAATGTGTGTCTTTTAGAGTATCCGCGCCAGGGATCCGGCGTGGAGACCAAAACATTCAATGATTCTACAGACCTCCAGGAATTCCTTTCCGACATGCGCGAGGATGAGTCCGTCAAAACCAGACTGTTCGTGGTGGAAGACTTGTCTCGCAACGTTATCGAAGCCCTTGGTTACCACTTCAAGATTGATCCGTCTTTCTTTCGGGAACATATCGTGGACTATGCGTGGTACAATACCAGTAGGTTAATCTGTGTACCTTTTCTCTTTATGTTTCATGGTCCCGCATGATTGCTATTGTCATTACTACCTGATCGTTCTAGCCCCATATTCACTGGGCTAATCGAATCTATAGGCGACTGGTGGCGTGATCCACCTAATCTCGACATAGTCTCTAGGGGCCAGAACTGGTTTCAACTTCGATATGTGAGGGCAAGGAATTTCCTCAGCAACTCAGAATTTCAAGAAGGCGTCGAACAGTCGAAATATTTCAACGTCTTCCGTCGCTTGGATCGCGATTTCAACAGTAACAACTTCTGGGACAAGCACGGCAAGGATGAGGCCAAGGTAGGACTCACTCGGAGCAGAGCGACATGCTGGATACAGAGCCCTGATAAGAAGGCGGGTGGTATCACGTATGGCATACTCTTGCTGGATCCAACCGTCAGGGCTGGAAATCCCTTGTGGCTCAAGCATCGAAACTGGGCACGGACACCGCCCGTAGGGGAGCCCATCCCGAAAGAGATGCCTCCCAGCGACAACTTCTTTGAAGATTTCTTATATTGGGCACGCAAACCCGACGTTTTCAACTTCCAGGAGACTGGGAACTCTTCGTCACCAATCTGTGTTCCGACGCAAGCCCTCTTGCATCTCGTCTGCAATGAGTGGCTTACCATGGTCGACTACATTAAGACCCGTCTCAACCAAGTCGACTGGGGCATCGCCTTCCCAGACGACTTCCTGGAGAAGGAAGAGCAGATCGACGAGCACTTGACAAAGCTTCACCACTGGAGACGAGTTGTCCCTCTCTACCGCGAGATGATCGCCGACACGTTCCTGCGCGTGTTCCGAGAGACTGCACACCCGAACAAGATGCACCCTGGCCGAAATATCCACGAGCCAGCGCACAAGCCCGCCAGTGCCTTGGCGACACTGATGAACACTGAATGCATCAATGCATACCAGCAGGACTTTGCCCTTGTACTTGGGTACATGGAAGAATTTCAGGCCCGGATCGATCGTCTGACAGATGTCGTCACCGCCGTGATCAACATGGGTGATTCACGGCGAGGATACAAAGACAACAAGAATCTGCGTAAGTCAACTATCTTTTCATAAGCTCTTCTCCATTGTCCGTAAACAGTTGGAGCTTTTTATATGGTCAAGATAGGTTTCGTAAACTTGCAAGCTAACACGGCGAAGAATGGCTCACATGGCTGGCGACTTTCTTCATCCCTCTCAGCTTTGTTGCAACGCTGCTATCAATGACGACAGATTCCATCGAAAATCTGGGCCCAATCACTAGACTTTGGGCCATCGTGGCAATCCCTGCCGGACTAGTGATAATGATTGTAGTAGGCGTATTCAGCGTTGCCAAGTGGAGGAGGGCGATCAGAAAGTTCTGGTCCGAATTCCCGTGGTTCGGGGAGAGCCGACCTTTCAAGCCAAAGAGGACCTGAGATGAATATTTACTGGGGTCCACTGCATGGAGTGGTTCTCAATGCCAGAATGTTGCGTCGTTACGTGTGAGGGCGGAATTGGTTATGGTCATTGATATTATGACATTACGATTTACGACTGCATTATATAGAGCGATATTTGCTACTTGAAGGCGATGAAGGAAGAATGCATATTGTCTTTTTTCCTGGCTCACTCGGAACCTATTATAGCAGAGCGATCGATCCATAGTACATCTGTAGAGGTACAGATAGAACGTGCGCATGCGCAAAATGCTATAGCTGCCTGTTGCGATACTGTTCTGGACAAGACAGATGGATAATCGAGAGCCATATGGTGAACAAGAGTGACGACGTCTAGGTCATCAAAAGTCGGTCTACACTTGCAGACCATGCAATTATCTTCAAAAGTGAAGGCGAGTAGACTCAATTTCACTCGAGGGACAGTAAACTTAAGAAGCAGAGACTGCTCTTGAATTGTGATCAGTGAAGCCTATCAGGGTTCAGCTATGTACATGAGAATGCTATATATGTCCTGCAAGAAGCAAAAATGAATCTTCTATCTCGCGCCACGGCTCCGCGATCAGGTTCACTGGAGATCGTGTGTTGTGTTTCTGATGCAACTGCGCGTCTATCATCCCACCATTCTATATTGTGCGTGCCTTTAGTGTGGGCCAAGAATTTAGAGGGCGGTGAAGGTGCTGCCGATCTCGCCGAACTTGATGTTCGAGTAGATGACGGTGGAATCGGCAGCGCTAGTCTCAATGTCGGTGGGGACACCGGAGGTGGTTGCGCATGAGCCACGCTCGGCACCGGCGTCCGTGGAGTCGACAGGGTAGGTGGAGTCGAGCCAGAGCATGTTGGCGTAGTGCTGTGGAAGTCAAGTCAGTAAATATACACGAGCATCAAGAGTTTCGGCGAATAAGACTTACGTCATCCCACAGAGACATAACAAGGACCATACCACCCTTCATGGCCTCGGTCATGGAGTCGAAGCCACCCTTCGCCTTGAAAGTGTCGGTGGAGTTGGTGGCCTCCTTCTGGGCAACGCAGAAATCAGGAGTGATGGAGTTGCCTGAGACACCAGCAAGGTCGGACTGGGCGTTGCCAATGGTCTTGCCATCCTGGACGTAGAAACGCTTGATCTCGTTCAGAGCACCGGAATCGTCAGTGAGGAACTGAGTAACGACGGTGAACACCTTGGAGGTGTCGACGAACTCAGAGCCCTTGCCGTAGAAAGAGGTGTTTCCGAAGCGGTATGGGTTGAAGTCACATCCATCAGGGTCGCAGGTACCGGCATTGCGGTCGGTGGAGTAGGTGCCTCCGCAGCTGTCTCCCTCACACATGGTCTGGGAGACGTTGGTGCAGGAGTGAGGAGTCAGAGCAGTGGAGACGACGTTGGCCTCCCACACGTCCATCTCGGCACAGCAAGAGCCGTGGTTGCCAACTCCGGCGTTGGCATCGTTGGAGGATGGAGTCCATCCGTCCACGTTGGCCTGGCCGTTGATGAACTTCAGGTCACGCGGGCATTGAGCATCGCAATAACCAGTTCCGTATGCGGCACCGGCTTTGTTGCCAGAGTATTTGGCCTTGCCACCATCAGCGTCCATAGAGACGAAGTACAGGGCACCGTTCAGGCCACAGGGCAGCTTGGAAACATCGACATCGAAGGTAAACTCCTTGCCCAAAAGGTCGAACATCTGGTACTCCTCATCGGAAGCCATCAGGAAAGTACGGCTACCGATGTTCTTGTCAGTGCCTTGGGTGACGAAGCTCAGCTTCAGCGCGTCGTCTGTGGACGTGATTCCGTAGGTGGACTCGTAGTCAGCGCCATCAACGCAGCAGTTGGAAGCGCAAGTCTCATCGTCGGGGCAGAGGTCAGCATCCCAAGAGTTTCCGGTGTAGCAGTTGGTGGAGCCGGAAGTGTCATGGGCCCAGCGCCAGTTCGCGTCAATGGTAACTGATCCGGAGGTGTTGGTGCAACCGGAAGCAGTGCACTGGGACCAGGACAGAGTCGGCTTGGTCTCGGTGGTCGTTGTGCAGGCTTGCTGCGCGCGGCTGGCCGCGGCGAAGAGGGCAGAAACAAGGGCAGCTCGCTGAGCCATTTTGAAAGATAGAAGGTAGTTGGAAAAAGGAGTGAAGAAAAAGAATGTAGTGCTGAACCAGACTTGCTGATGAGGATGATGATGAGGCTCCAAATTGAGGCTCAAGTGAGCGGGATGTCGTCGATACTTATAGCAGCAACACCAGGTCTCCCCCACGACGGGGTTGTCATACTTTCGGCTGAATTCCGCAATGAGGCTCTACAGATCTCCCAGCATGATCTCAACGGAAAACTCGGGCCTTGTTCCTCCATCAACCCTCGTCAGATGCACTCCCACTGCAATTTTCCAGATGGAGTCGGGACTCGGTAAGGGCTCCAGTTCCGTCCTGCTCAGGGCCAGGGGTTGGCTTCGCTTGAAGGCCATAGCCTGCGTCACAGTAGCCGCCATGAATCGTCCAAATGTTGGGTTGGTGCCGTCAAGGGGTTAAAGTTCGCTAAGCGTAATGCCGGCAGGGGAGGTTGACGGGATGTTACCCCTGATCGAAGCATCATGTTTAGACAAACCATCCCCAAACGGTGTTTCCCACCCGGGTGATCGAATAGCAGGGGTTCTCCACAACGGCACAGAATTGCCATTCTTGGACCAAAAGCTTGTGCCTGACAAGCAGTCTAGGATGATGCCAGTGGGCAGATCTTGCGGGTATTGGTGGGGATATGAGCTGCTCCTTTGTTTGGAACAGCTGATGTTTTGTTTCGACGGGGCCGACGACGCGACCTTTGGCAAAGATCTGCCCCTTGGCCGAGATGGGGCGAAGAGCGACTGACAAGCCGTTGACTCTTTCCCCATGGTGTTTGACTTTGCCAAGCATCCCACGATTTCGCTTTGCTAGAGAATGAGCATTTTGCGAGTGTCAGAACAACAAGTGACGCGTTCCTGACTTCCTGTCATGGCGAACTGTGTGCTAGTCCTAAGCTTGCCCCATTTATTCCGTGGTCAACCGAGTTAGTCCACAACAAGACCGCATTGATAACCGTCCGGGCTTTGACTGTTTGCACCGACTGCCGACACACATGAATATGCCTGGAAATCCAAGGCTCTCGGAAATGCCCAGCAAACACCCATGCATAGGCGAGCCTTCAGCCGCATTATTGATGTATGCTAAAGAAAAGCTTGCCACACTTGACTTCGGCTTAGCTTTGGACACTCGGCCCAGGCCTGTGGAACAGGGCTGAACTGCTCTCATTCCATTCTTCGCCAGCAGGCCATCTCCCAACGTTATTCCCGATAACTACATCGATGGTCCTAGTTCAACCTTCATGGGTGTACTGTACTGTACTTTCATGAGAGAGATATGTCCCTCGCCCTTTTCCAGACCGAGTTGTGCGTCTTGTTTTGGTTACAAATAACATGCTCATTTGGCCCCCCATCGGATGCATTACCGAGCATAAAAGCTGTCATTTTGCAGCTGTCATGTCGTTCTCTCCACCATCATAGATACCTTATTGCACAGTAATGCAGTGTCAGGTTTCATTCTGATCGCCGCTCGACTGTCCTTGGTGGAAAATTGTGGTCTGGGAATGGTTCATCCCAAGTTCAGTGTTCTACCGTACAGTTCGTTTCCCAGGTCCGGAGATCGGACGATCTGGGGTCAAATGGTCTCCACCCATGGCACTGCCGGGGGTTCAGGGTGGCTCGTCATGCATGAAACGCTTCTCCTCAGCATCCCCATGCCGGCGCTTCCACTCGGCTCGACGGAGCCTACAAACCACGCTTTACGCGCCGTGTTACCAAAAAATCCGCACAGGCAGATTTTGTTTGGCAGTCAGATTGTATCTAAGAGATGAGTGCACCTACAGTTCCGGTTCGCGATTTAGCACACTCCTATTGTCGGCAAAGTGAGCTCAGATGTTTCCGCTGTCTCCGCATGCGTCTAGTCATTTGTGAGCCCGAAGGACTACGCTTGGTGGATATTCTCGTCAAGCGGGCCCACATCTTCAACAAGTGATCGACGAAACAGCATGTTTCCTGCATAATCTACAAGGATGATAATCCCCAGTCAGAAGTAGACTTTTTGACCTTGTGAGCCCCTATCCCGTGCAATATACAACGAACACGTCGGTGGGCTTTGGCGGGTAGATGAAACATCGGCGTCATTCTAGCTTGACTCGGTCTAATAAGCTCGGCTTCGGCACGTGTTTGACACAGGCTCATGTTGGATAAATAGAACAGCATGAAGACTCTGTGGTGCCGGGTGTTTATTTGGATCAACGAAGTATACAGAATCCGACAGTCCGGCCGAAGGCGATATCCCCTGTTTCACTTAGATGCAGCGGTGACCGTTCCGATAATCCTAGTCAAGAGCATGTCTTTCAATGTGGAAAAAGGAATGAGCTACATTTTGCCCTTCCACGGGCTTCTCAGAGACTATGACAACAATGACGAAAATTCACAGCGTCTTCGTGGGCTCCTGTACTCCTATCCAAAGAAATGTATTCGAGCATCCAAGTCTCACGCGAGCTTTTGGAACGCAACGCGACTCGGCAGGTTCGGAGCGGGGGAAAAAACTATACTGATGCTCTATGTGTTGAGAATCTCCCCGTCCCTCCTAAAGTCATCCTCCCTGATTGGATTTGTATCACAGAAAAGGTAAGCAGTGAAACCCGATGATGCTACTATAAACATGTTGCGAGGCAGAGAGCCGAGCGCAGTCACCTAGTGACAGTGAAGATGCTGGAATTCAGGGCGTTGAAAGTCCCGGTCATGCCTTTCCATCCATCGACCATTGTTTCGTCAGGTAATTGTCCGAAGTAATAGACTGCCGAGTCTACTACAGACGGACACTTGGCTTTCCGATAGTGCTCTTGGTCAGGAGCTGAGTTTACACTATCACGTTAGATAGTGGAACAAGTCGGTTGACCAAGTGGCTCAATAGGCAGGACGCCCTTCTGAGCACGTGCTTCATCTTGTCTTCACAAGTGCAGAGGGCAAACTCACGAAGTCGCAATACCTGAGTGGTCAAATACAGTGGAACGGGCTGAAATTCAATGCTAAAAACTCAATCCCATCTCTAGCAGTGGTATACAGGGGATGTCGCATGCAACCGCCGGTACCACTCAGAATCATTCACCCTGCGTGACTAGGTAGGTACCTCGCTTTCATCCAAACAAAATTATTGTACAACTACGGATTGAAACCTTCTAATCAACAAGGCAGTGCTGGGGTGGGCCGGGGTAAGTCCGACCAGGCGAGCGCAATCGTAAAGTGTAACGCAAGATGAAGTTTTCAATTGCAACCTCTACTTGATCCATTCCTGTTCCAATTTCGGGATGCGGCTTACAAGACAAGCCACCTGGGTGATTCTGTCTGTGGGCCAGAGAAGTGTTTGATGATTAATGTGGAGTGAGAATAATGAAAGATTGGAAGAAAGCCAACAAATGAATAAATCAAATTCCGACGCGTGGAAAAGAATTCCGAATTCACCGACAACTTATGTTTGGAGCGAAAATTGATCTCTGGACACATGAAAGAGTAGATAATCGAGTCACCACATGCGTATAGACTGGAGAGGGAATATTGGGGGCAAAGCTCTGACGAGTTTCGGTGGATTTTTAAATTGTCTGGTTGTTGAGCCTCCAAAATGTTCCAGGCATATTTGCCTGTTGCTCGTTCACATAATGTCAAGCCTTCTTTCCATAGATGACACTCAGCAGCAAGGCACTTCCAAAATCTGCTTGTCTCCATTACCACGCGTCAATTCAAATGGCGACATTCACCCACCTTCATCACCACATTTAATTCCAAAATTGAATTTGGTCAATGTGTTCTCTCTACAAAGATTGATGTAGGCTGTGTCGTGATTTTCCCGTGATGCGACCGTTACACGCCGTGATCTGCGTTTAGGTTCAACGGGTCTCCTGAAACAGTGACGGGCCAAGGAGCCTCACGCTCGGGGTTCACGGACACCTCATCTGATCTTGGCTCCCTGCTATGTCCTCGGCAGCTACGTCAGCCTCTTCACATCACGTTTGAAACTCGACCTTATTTCAACCTGCATTCAACATTCCCGCGTAAGCTTCGACTGACAGCTCCAGACGTCACAAACCTACCCTTAACCCAGCCGATCAGGTGAACCTTGCACAAATTGTTTCTCTTCGGCATTGCGTTTGCAAGACTTCGTCTATCATGTCGAACCGGCCGATTTGCGGTAACGATACGCCAGACCCATGGATGGTCGCGGCGCATGGCAAATTCTACCTCACCTTCACCTTGGGCAACCGCGTCGAGATTTGGCAATCGCCACACCTCGAGAAGTTTCATGACTGCCAGAAGAGCGTCATCTGGGTACGGCCTCCCCGAACTTCTTTTGTGTTATTGATGTGCAGCTGGTTTCACACGATTTGTGATCCTGACTTTTGCCGCTACCTTGCATGACTTCAGGAGCGCGACACGAACTAGAAATTCTCTAGGGGCGCCAGATACGGTTTCTGTATTTCATAGCGTGGCTAACAATCATCTTTGAGCAGCAACCACCACCGGGGTCACCCTGGTCCGCTGATATTTGTGAGTATCTCGTTTGTAATTGTGTCCCCCTTTCAGCACATCAAACATAAGAACCCTACTGTTGTTGTGGGAGAGCTGCCAGAAAACAAGCGGCATTTTCAGCTGGATCCAATCACTCTTATTTGACGAGACTGAGCTTGATTACTGACGAAGACTCTAGGGGCTCCCGAGCTTCACTACCTAAATGGAACATGGTACATCTACACATGCGCAGCACCTCCAGGCGTTGGCAATCCAGGACATCGCACTGTGCTCTTGAAATCGTCCAGACCTGATCCTATGGAACCTAGTGGCTGGCAATTCCTCGGTCCTCTCAGAGGCATGCCGGACCACTGGTCCATTGACGCAACTGTCTTCTCAGTGACGGGCCACGATCTGTATTGCTGCTGGTCCGGATGGCCGCTAGGAGACCACAGTGACACGCAGCAGGATTTGTTCCTCATCAAGATGGCATCACCCGAAGAGGCCATCGCCGACACCCTTGTCTGTATCTCGAGGGCTGATCAGCCCTGGGAGCGGCCAGATGACGGTCGGCGGGGCGTGAATGAAGGACCTACGTGGGTCAACTCCCAAGGATTTCGAGGCATCGTCTATTCAGCCCATGGGAGCTGGACCAGCGACTACAAGTTGGCTCTGCTAGCGCTGGTCGGACAAGACCCTCTACGCCCCGAGAGCTGGACGAAGAGGCAGGCGCCACTCCTGGTCAGCGACCGACACCGAGGTGGTCCGTTTGGGCCTGGCCATGCGAGCTTCTTGCCAAGTCCATACAATGACGGACGGATATTCTGCATTTATCACGGAACTGAGAAGGAGGGAGAGGGATGGTAAGTCCTGAACTGTTTTCAACACACGAACAAGCATGCCATGTCTCAGAACGCTTCACCTCGTAGCATGGGTCAGGGGCTATCTTGGTTTTTGGAAGAAGACATAGACAAGCATCACTGACAAAGTGAAATAGGAACAACAGAAAAGCCAGGATCATGAATCTTGGGCCAGAATGTTTTGCACCGACCGCGTCGCCCGTCTGCTGCGCCTACCAGGGCGGTTTCCCGGGCGTTGGTCCTGTCGGTGGAAACACGCGCAACAAGGTCGAGGACACGATTGGCAAGATCGTTGACAAGGCACCTACCCAGGTCAGAGGCCAGTTGCAGGGCATTTTTGGGAAGGCGAAGAAGTTCTTCTAGTCGTGTTGAAGCATATGAGAGGGGAAAGGAGCAGCACGCTCAATTCAGATATGCCGGCAGGCTCGACCATTCCAGAGGCCTCGAAGCGAGTTGCAGAAGCAGTGGCTGCTTTGCAGATCGACCCTTCAGATCGGTGTCTTTCATAATTAGTCAACAAGTCTCTGAAACCATCCTCACTGCTGCGTATGTGATTCCAACTTTTGGTGTGATTTCAGAAAAGGTGCGAGTACCTTGGGATGACATTGACACGAGAGAATGCATCCAGCTTTCAACGAAGCCCTGGAATGATTTCGATCGGGTCCTCTGCAGGCAAAAGGTGTCGTGCAATTCCTAATTGCAAAGACTTGACATCGCTCATGTTTCTGCCCACTCCCTCAATACAGTAAGTGCAAACAGATGCTTGTATGACTCCTGGCCGGCCAAAGTGGGCCGAACTGGGTCAAACTGGGTCCAGCTTGCCCTGCGCCTCCAAAAACACAGCATTGAGGGAGGAGCTGCCAGGCAGCCGACACTTCCAGGCTGACTGACATGTGCTCCGCCACTGCCAACCAGCTCTAATGACAACAAATATTGGAACAACAAACATTACAACTTCGGTGTCCCTTTTTGGCACATCGCAGCACTCCGAGCTTCCAACACAATCTCTATTTCAAGCCCAAAGATCGCTACCGAGACATCCGTTCATTCATACTCATCACCAGCATTTCATCATCATTTGCTTCCAGGACATTTCCACAAACAGCTGCTACGATGGCTGAAGCAGAATCCTCGGCCGCTGCCAGCAAGCATGCTTCGACCAGCACTTCCCTCAACCAACTAGATCCCAATTACATACTGCACCTGGCTCATGCACACAGCAAAACCAAGGATAGGACCCTGACAACGGCCAAAAAACATCTACAGGATATTGAAGCAAAAGCGAGACCAGTCAGGGTCGCCTTGCTGGGGGCCTCCATGATCGAGAGGATGACAACAACAGGCCGTTGCGAGAGCTTTGACCCCTGGCCCTCAGAGACCATGTTACCTGAGACATCCTTGAGGGCTCTAAATGAGGAAAGAGAAAACCTGGACGAGATGCCCATCTCCCGAAAAGAAGGGGTTGCAAACTTCGGTTGCGGTGGCGACAAGATCGAGAATGTGCTTTACCGCCTCGTTGGAGATGACTCCCAAAACCTCAAAGGACTCGTCCATGAGCTCAGTCCTGCCAAGGGAGGCAATGCAATTCAACGAAAGCCGAAGCTGTGGGTCGTCCAAGCTGGGACGAACAATCTTCACTCTAAGAAGGGTCTTACAGACGCCAGCTTATTCTCACTGGAAATTCTGCTTCGGGTTCTGCACCAAGAGAGCCCTGAAGGATCCAAATTCCTACTGACAGGGCTATTCTATCGCACGGATATCCGCACAGAATTGGTCGACAAGGCAAACGTGAGCTTGCGACACATTGTCGTCAAACTCGAGCAAGAGGTTTCGGGCGGTCAACAGTCAACGGAGCAAAGTCACGGAGCATCACATCGTGCGTCGGAAACCACTACTCCAGCAGAAATGCTGCCTTCCGACCACCATGAAAGAGGACCGCCACCCCCTTGGGACCGCGCCGATGGAACTTTCAGGTTCCTGCCCGCCCCAGGGATAGATGACTTTGACGCCTTTTTCGAAGATCATGTTCACTTGAATGAGAAAGGATATCGAAAGTGGATGGATACACTCCTGCCAAAGGTGGACGAGATGCTGAGACCGGCACCACCACCGGACGATCCCAAACCCAAGAACGCTCGGGTCAGCGAGAACAATGACGTCCATACATTCAACAATTTCGATCCTGTGACGCCAGCAGTGCCCAGCCCCCATTAGAACCAGGGCAACAACACTGGTCCCAGGTCAGCAGGAGAGTCAGAGGTTGGTATTAAAATCGAAGACTTAAAACGGAGAAATAGTTTGCCGACTGTCAACAACCCACGACCAATCCAGACCGAAGTCCAACGAAGACATACCTGTTCCTCACTCTTGTATCCTATGCCAGAAAACTCATCGCGGCATGAGCCAATCAAAGAGACTACGACATCTGACGTCCATCAGGGCCAACCTTCGGGCCACTCAACGGGTGACCCTGCGACAAAATTGGGCACCGTAATTGAAGAAGCGGCTGCTAACCAGCAGCCCCAGGAACCGCCAGAGAGAACTCAACGTTTCAGGGAGCGGTTGAGGGCTAGGCGTAGAAGGCTGAAGGGGAAGTGGAATCGACTCCGCGAGGCCTTCAAGGGAAAAATAAAAAGACGAATGATTCCACGTTGATAGCGGCTCACTGGAGTGTATGGGAATTAGCGTGTTTGTGTGCCTAGGTATGTTAGGTAGTTTGGACCATTCTTCACTTTAAAAACTAGCGTAAACCATGATCATAGACAATACGACGTTGCTTCGGTCATAGCTTATTTTGTTTCTACACGTGGAATCAAAGTTAGTGTCCCGAATCATTTGTTCAAATTTCATGTCGTGAAGCAGGCCTCGCACCAGTCCACTCGGCACTATCCACTATTATCTTCCGAAACATATGGAGAACCGATCGTATATGATAGAAACTTACCGTATGCAGTCGACGCCTATCCAGCTGTCTGCATACTAGTGGTACCCGATTAATCCGACGCATATAATATCGGACGTGCAGGTTGAGGAGGGACTTGCATGCAGGTGGCCCTTCTTGGCCGCGTAAACGTGTAAGCGAGGCAACCCATGGGGTAATTTCCGCGAGCATGCAATGCTACACATGCATGCAGTGTGGCAGCCAAAACGGCGGTCTACTACGAGTTCTACCTGGACCACCGCATCTATCCAAACTGGGCTATGGGGTTATCTTGAAGCGATGAGGAGGTCAATCCCTTCGGGATTCACTACAATTCCCGCCTGAGGTTTGGGCAGCGTCCGAATCTTGTCGACTCTAACCGTCTCCTGACACCCAATATTCAGGGCAATATTGACAATCAACACCGTTGAGTACCAGACTTGCGAGGGAAGATAGGGGTCATAGCGCCCGCCATTTTGAGGCGCATGTGCTCGGCAGGTTCGTCTCATAAAGTAATCGCCGATAGGCGAGATGAGCTCCTCGCTGTCGGTATTTGTATTGCAATCACGGCACCTTGTGCATCCGACGCGTGCTCATTCGGTTAGGCCTGGATTTGATTGGCGAGGTACCCCAAATCGCCGCGTGGAGGATCCGGGGAGCAGGAGTGGGAAGGGGGTTTTGGAAGATAATATTGCTACCGCACCTGGACATAGAATCAAGATCGAGGTGTGGGAGGATCGACATGGTTCGGGTAGGGGGACTGCATGGTGAAACAGGCTCTTGGGCTGGGGTGTAGCATTGAGGCGCCTTATGCTGCACGATTACTGTAGATGGAAGACTTCAGGTGAGGGGGGAGAGAGGGTCCTGAGGAGTTCGAGGAAACAACGTGACCGTCTCGGCATGCGCCAGAGTACCAGCCGCGAAATAGCCAACTGTCTCGTCTGACCCGCCCGTTCATGCCACGTTCTCGGCGTTTTGTCTGCACATGGAAGACTTCCGCGACCTTGGCTGCCTATATTCCGTGTACCTATGACCGTCTGTTCCCTCCATCCTTAGGAAAGAAAAGCCTATTTAGTGGGCTTCTCGGAGATGCCCTATCGATCTCGACACCACTTTCCGCAAAACCTGGTCTACTTCCAGTGGGCTGCAGGAAAGCTAGGCACTATGTAGGATGGATTGGATCAGGCCCGGCAATGATTGGTGCCAATCCTAGTTGAACCGGATTATAGACAAGCGAGGTTGATATCATTACCCCAAATACTACGTAGGCATGTGTTGGAAGACCCTGTGCGATACTGTTATGTCACAGGAGCTTTGCTCGGGTGGTGAACTACCCTATCTCCGGGGACTCGAGAACACAAATGATGAGGCTACTTTGGCTTCGTGTTCGGGTGGGAGCAAGAACAGCCGCCCGCTTACATGCGCACCAAGGCATGATGCCACGACTTGTCGAGGACTGTGTCCAAAGCATGCAAGAGTCAATCCCCGGCCACGTTCTTTGTTCTCCAATGGGTCCTTCGGAGAACGAACGGAACCGAATCCCGGTGAAAGGTGGCCCAGGGAGCTCCAAATTAGATCCTCATTCCAGACCCTTCGAGTCAAGAAGAACGAACGAGCGTGCCTTTAGACGCTAAGCGGCAAAGCCCAGGCAAAGCCATTTGAGTTCTAGTCGATGCCCGTGCCACCGCTGTAGGTACAACCTGGGTACAACCGGGACCACGTCGGCACGTCTGGCCAGTGTATGACTTGCTCCGGGCTGCAGATCCTTAAACCAAGATGCAAACCTTATATCGCAGCACTTTCAGGTGAACAGCATGTGTCTCTGAGGCATTTCAGGCTGCCTCAACTGCACGGAATGCGCCTCGGGTGGCTTCCGAATACACTTGCGATGCTTAAGCTCCATCTCTACACGCCATCACCGCACTGTTCCTGGCGATCGATATTGTAACATGTGAGGGAGGCTCGCGTGGTAGTCACATCGCCCGTGCTGTAGAGGCCCTGGCTCCTGCTAAGCCTCAGCTGCCAATAACAGGCGATGTTTTGAATCTTAATTCGATAGACCGTCGGATAATGCACGGACGAGGACATCGCTTGCCCGCAATGACTCGTGCCATCCCAAGCCTCACGAGGTTCTTTTCAGCCCTTTGACAATTGCCAGTCGTTGCATTGATGACTGTCAAATACTTTGCTCATGTCTGTACGCCGCGAGAATGGCACCCAACTTGACTTGTGGTTGGTAATTCTGTCTCCGGGGCATGTGGTATCAATTCGTCAAGGTGTCGCTAGCTGCTCCCCGCTTTGAGAACCCCAGGTTGCAACGAACACCGTGCCCAACGCTAGGAAGGGTGCTAAGGAGCTGTCGAACCGACTTTGCATGGGGCGGGAGTGCTTAGGCTACCCTTCCGGTCGGGGCGCTCAAACCCAGCGCCCAGGAGTCAGAACAAAGGCGCACAGCTTAGCTGGGAGCTGGGCTTCCAACATGGGCAAGGTTCATGCCCCCAGGATAGACTTGGCTCTTGCGGCCCCGGCACAAGGAGCACACGAGCTGTGCATGTTACAGCCTGATGCTCCAACGGCGTGAATGCTGCTTCGTCTGGGGGGCCTTGACCCTTGACCACCAGCGGTGTGCCGCACAGCCCGCGGGTGAACGATCCCAGGCATGTGGTTGATTTATGGTTCCAGCCGTTTTTGATATAACTTGGCGGCGTTCATCTTTTCTGGTACTCATACAAAGTCCCGCCGCATCCACTTTTATGTGTAGCTCATATTTTCTTCCCCTGTGCGATCTCGTTCGCAGAGGTTGAGATCATGTCGTCAACATCCAGCGCCCCGGGTGGCTCGGACTCATTATCCAAAGAGTCGCAGAGTGGCATGGTGATGATAGTCTCTGCCGTTCTAACTGGGCTCTCGACGATCGTGGTTCTGCTGCGGCTCTATACTCGCTATGTTATCCTCGGTACGGCTGGCGCCGACGACTGGACGATGGGTCTTGCTCAACTTTTGAGCATAGCGGCGGGGACCTCAACTATTCTAGGTGCGGGAGCCATACGTATTGTGGTGCACAACCAGGTCTAACAATCCGCTCAGAAGCACATTACGGCCTCGGTCGCCATCTAGCAACGTTGAGCCAGGAGAATGTTGTGAGGTCTCTCGAAGTAAGAGATTCAGATGTGCATCCGTCACCGTTGCCACTTGCAATCAGCTAACAAAGCGGCATCCAGTGCCTATTCGCCGTGATCTTCAGCTACAACATTGGCATGAATGTCATCAAGGTCTCCTTCCTCCTGCAGTACCGCCGTATTTTTCCAAGCCGCACTTTGCGCATCGTTTGCTTCTGGGGGCTTGTGTTTGTTGGGTTATGGACGGTCATTCAAGGAGTTCTACTTTCAATAACCTGCATTCCCCTGGCAACAATCCAGCCTAGTACGGCGTCATGGTGTCTCGACACTCTGCCTATCTGGGAATTCACGTCATCTGTGGGCCTAATCACCGACTTCGCTATTTTCCTGGTTCCATTGCCCGAAATCTGGAAACTGCCTATAGCCTCGCGCCAGAGGATAGTTCTGTTCGGAATTTTTGGTCTCGGGTTCTTGTAAGTGACAAGACACTTTGAGCTGGTCTACTTAGGATGTTAGGTCCGATTAACTAACCTTGACTAGTGTATGCATTGTGTCAATCATTCGCATCCCTACCCTCCAAGCCGCATCGAAGGCAGCAGACCCAACCGCGGACAACGTTTCGGCCGCCCTATGGACACTGACAGAGCTGAACGCCGCCATCCTGTGCTCTAGCCTACCGGTTCTGAGGCCGCTCGTCTTCAAGTCGACCGGGCGCGGCAGCAAAAGGACGATCACGGGCCCCAATAATCCTTCCAAGCAGGGCTCGAAAGGAGAAGCGTTGGAGTTGACGACAACGTCCCGAAGAAAAACTATGAGATCGACAGTTACGGGGCTCAACAACGAGAGCTCGGACGAGTTGGTGACTTCCACAATCGATGAATTAATATATGTATCCGGCGAGCCTGGCTCTAGACGTGGTGCTGGTTATAACACCGCGGCGCTCACGGATGATAATGCGGCGGAGCTGGGACAAGCGGTCCAGACATGGGATTACAACGATAAAAGGGAGAGGACTAATTAGAAGGTGTTCGGCAGAATACCTATTAATAACTTGAGCTTCAGCTTCCGAGCACCTGACCGAAAGACCTCGTGCACAGCATAGCCTCAGTCACTATCTATTCATATTATGATGGCAGTGCTTCGAGACGAAGCCAACGGCTCACTCAGTGCTGTGCCCTACTTTTGAGGCTTCTTGACAGGATGCACCCACGGCACCTTGCCCTCAAAAGGCTCATCGCCTTCCACGAAATCCAGACACAGTGCCTTGCTGATGGTAGGCGAAAATTTGTACTTTGTGAGGAGATTGTTCAGGGAGGGGATCGCAGGCATCACGTATTGGTCCACCAGCCAGTAAGTCGTGTTCGGCCAGGCACACAGCCGTGTGTTGTGGGCCGAGAACTTGTAGTCCTCCAGTACCGACTCGCTGCGCGCATCCTGGTACCGGTAGAACAGCGCAGCCAGCTCGGTCTCGCTCGGCGCGGTGTCCTTGCCGCTGGTATTGAGGAAGCTGTGGAGCTCGTTCACGAGCGCGACGATGTCCTGGATGGCGTTGTTGAACCCGAGCCCGGCATTTGGCGTGAACTTGTGGCAAGAGTCGCCCGCGAGGACGATGCGGCCGCCGCTCCAGTGCTTCAGGATTCCCTCCTCGAGGTTCGCCATGCCGCCGCTCGTCCTGCAGGGGAATACGTCCTTGACCTTGAGGCGGTCGCCGAGTTTCATTTCGCCGTGCTTTTTGGCGAACTCCTCCATGTCCTCTTTCGAGAAAGACACTCGCTCCGTGGTCGGCTTCTCGAGCTTCTCGTAAACGAACAACCACGCGCGGTTGGATGCATTCAGCAATTGAAGTGAGGATGTGTTTCCGTGGGTGATACAGTGATCGCCCGGGGCGAACTCCCATCGCCTTGGGAATGAGCACCACATGGTCTTGTACTGATGCTGAAAAGGCTCTATGTCATTGACATCGGCGTCTGGAGATTTGCTCAGGGCCAGTTCTCGCATAAGCCTCCGGGTCTTGCTGTGCACTCCGTCCGCACCAAGTACGATAGACCCTTCATACGTCGACCCGTCAGCGCATTTGACGACTACACCGTCGTCTGTTTCGTCGATACTTTCCAGTTTCTTGTCCACATAGATTCGTGCTTGGTCCTCCTCGCTGAGACCGTCATGGATGGCTTTGATGAGTTCTGCCCGATGATACATGAACGAATACGAGCCGTGACTGGGGACTTTGTGTTAGCTGGGTCTCTTCACTGTTGCCGAGGTTGGACAAACTTGTTCCGTAGGGTATGCGTGTGCCAGCTTTCCATATACATGCCCAGCTCCGTGTAATCCGCCCAACGCAGCACTTCATGGCCTAGCTTCTGCAACTTTTCCAAGAGCCCAAATTGAGCCAGCACCCGGAGATTGTGCGGGAAAAGAACAAGAGATGCTCCAACATCTTCAAAAATTTCGGTGCGTCGCTCAAGCACGACAAAGTCTATACCCGCCTTCGACAGCGCATGCGCGGCTGTCAACCCCGTGGGCCCGGCCCCTATGATAATGACTTTGAAGTTCGACATAGAAGCAACTTGTTAATGAGAGAAGTTAGAGTTCTCAGTGCAAAATAGCTCGTAGCGCGATGCTAGTGAATAGGGGTTTTGTGAGCTTAAAAGGATCAAATATCGTGCCGCGAGCCGCGAGCCGCGAGTGGATGGGGTGTGGGCCATCTCCATGTTGGTGGATCAGGCCACTTCAGGGTTGGTTGGCGGAGCGGCGTAGTCCATATCTCATGATCCGAAGCTCCGACCTACAAAAACCCGACAACTACGAACTTGATAAGGCAGCGGTATCGATATTGTGTGCGGAAGACCACTCTAGCAATGAAAGCATCACATGAGAATGCATCTTCGTACACCAGAGCTGAAGGTTGTGGGATCAGCGGGCTCATTTTCCAAAATCGGAAGCTAATACGCTCTCACACTAAAGCCGACCTTCACAATCTAATAGGCCCACGATTGTGGCTGAGCGAGGTGAAGTCAGTGATGGGTCCCAAGCACTTTTCTCACATAGGGGCAATTACATGTGAATGTGAAGCAGCGGTCAATTCGGGCAACGTGTTGTGGGGAAGAAGGTAGACAAAAATGCATGCAGATCGAGACAGTCGAAACGGTATATTGAGCTCTAGTATTATTCTTGAGATGTCCAGAAACAGTGCTTGCTGGCATTGGAATGCAGCGGCTTAGCCATTGTCAGTTCTCTAATCAATACGATAGGAATAAAAATGGCAATCCTGCAGACCTTGAATGACGGGTGTCAGCAATTGTTGGAATAGGTATTTATTTTTATCACACTTTTACGGACACTTGAAGTTGACATATGCTTAGTGTTAAGATTGAGGGCGGCAATACGTCCATATTCAGTGATAGAAGAACCTAGATCATCGCAACGAACACAATTTCAAGGCCCACGGATATGATCATACCAGGGCTTCGGAGCTCACGAAAGGTCCAAGCTTCCAAATCTCAGGGTGTTGGTTCTTCCATCAGTCTTTCTCACTTTCCCTTACTATTCCGTACTTCTTTTCTTTATGTCTTTGGAAGGCTTCTGCGTCTTTAGCTGCGCATTCGGACTTGGGTCGCAGCATTGGAAGTCGGCATCCGATTCAATGTACGAGTATCCAAAGCCCCGCGAATGCAATATGGCTTCATGATCTCCTCACTCACGGGCAATTTCTTATCCAAAGTAATGAGATTCTACATATCGTACCACTCTTTTCTACAACTGCAAGCTTAAATAGTTTCCCCCAAAAGTCTCCAGGTTTGACGAATTGGATGGCACCTGTAGTTGAGGGACTTTGGAATTTACTGAGAAGCACCCCTTGTGGAGATGTATGATATGTTTTATCGAGTTATACCGAAATTATGTTGGAAATGATGAAGAATGAACAGATATTGTGAAGATGAATGGGTGTCAATCACACGGATGCAGTTCGATGAAACAATGCCATGAAGTCTCTCCAAGATGGGAAGATATTGAATTGCTTGCATTGCGAAAACGATTCTCTCGAATTTCAACACATGGAAATCTCCGACCCATGTGACCGCGAACGATGGATTTGCTGTTTGACTCCTCCTGAGTCTGTCTTCTTGATGTTCTTCTAAGCTGTGTTTCTTGCTCATCTTACGAAAGGGCTACGGCTGGAATATGCACAAGTCCATATCTTCAGGCATCGATGCTGTATTTTTCTTTCACAATCTATGAACTAGAACTAACGAAAAATGGGAAAAAAGAAATTAGAGCACGATTAAGTCTCATGGAGGACTACTAACACTTCAACTCGGAGCTCACCTGGCTGAGATAAGCCGCTCTGAGAAGTTCGGAGTGAACAGTTCATCAGACGTGCACGGTTCCAATTGTGATCGGAGATGTAGCAGAAATGAGAAATGTGCATATTCCCTGCCTCTCAGATTCGGTGAGATGGTCCTTGCAAGTGTCGAGATACCGCTAGCCTAGCCGGCAGTGAACGATTTACAATCGACGATGCTGAGTGTCCAGTAGCATCAGTCAAATCATCAGACCGCTTTTGTGGACGCTGCGTTCGTATCTGTCAGACTCGAATACGTATTAGAGAATTTGCATGATATACTTTGATCGCCATCGCCTTCCCATTCTCAGGAGTAGCTGCAGTAATGGTTTGTTTCTTGACTTTTCGGCTCGAGGTCTATCATTCGGCCCTTTATCCACCGCAGTACGGGGTATTATGTCTGGAATCCAATAGAAGTCGCTCAATGCAGTGGTAGTCGCTACAAGATGGCAGTTCTAACAAGCGGAACAGGGGGCGAGTGGCCGTCGTGGTGCTTCACACTGTTGCATTCAAAGAGCGTTAGCTCGCTACTTTACTCAACAGTCCGTCAGCAATCCTCCAAGATGCCGCCTAGGCGGTCATGTGCCTTGCGGTGGAGATCATACACACACACACTCTCTCTCTCAGAGAGTGTGTGTCTGTTTGGCGTCCGTCGGGGCGAGATCTCCGTCGAGACAAGCTCCGATGATCAATGACCACAATCTGGCGAAAATCGCTTCCTTTCGTCAGGGTTACACCAGCCGTAATAATGGCAGGGAAGCTGGCTAAGAGGGTGTAAGAGATTCGATTGTTGGTTGCCAGATGGCGGAATCGACACCGCCTTCTGGTCGATGCAGGGTGCCAAACATGGTAGACAGCATTCTTTCGGGTAGTAGATGCCGTGACGGACTGCATCGTGGTTCTCAAGTCGGCAAGAAGTCGCCAGTCTTCGCTTGATCAAACACGACTTCCGCCGCGTAATGAGTGCGCGTTGCTCGGTGCGTGGCCAGTTTGGGCTAGAGGCAGGAAAGGGGAGCTGGGTAGTGTGTCTTTTAGGCATCGCCGGCGACGCTAGGAGTCAACGTCACTCTAGTGCAGGGGGAGGATTGAAACATGGTGACAGCGTGTGGGGAGCCAATGAATCTCGGTGACTGGTGTTTGAATGGTGTTGTTTTCCTTTGTTTGACACGCAGCCGTTGACGGGCTGCAGGGGGGCACGGGGGGCTGCAAGGGGCGAGCTCCACTTAGAGCCACACCCCTGCTCACCTTGGGCAGCTCTCAGCCAACCAAGCTGCGTCCAGCGCTTCGATCTTAGACACACCCCGTCGACGGCGAGCTCTTGGGCTCGACAGCAAACCATTGCATTGAGAAATCGCAAGCCATTGTGTGGTTTTCAATTTGCCTGACGCCGCTCTTTGTTCGTGTCTGCTGTTCATCCCATTCGGCCAGCCAGTCAGTGACTCGACCAAGGCACACCTTGGGCTGGATTGTTCTCTTCGTCGCCTCATTTTCTTCATCGTCTTTCTCCATATTTAATCCCTACCCTTCCTCCCATCTCTTGGCATTCTTCCTTCTCCTCGTGCTCTCGTCGATTGTCAACACATAATACCAGCAACAGCTGCCTCGCTTTCGACGCACTCTTCAATTTTCTTCGTCGTGCGCTCTCATCTTTTGCGTCGGCCACCGTTTGCCAAGAGTCTGGAACTCTTTTCTTCTCCTTTTCCCATTGTCCCATTCTTCCCTTCAACCGCGACAATCTTTTCCAAACTCGTCAAAATGTCACCTTACTTCAGCAGCGCTTCTGCGAGGATGATCGTCCTCGTGGTCGCCTTTATGGCCGTCCTCGTCGAGCCCCACATGATCATGGCGACTCCCAAGCCTTATGGAAGTCCCGACAATTCCCCCCTTACTTCAAGCAACTACCCTTGCAAGGTCACCAGCGACCCTGCCACCTTCTACAAGACCGATGGAATCATCGACCAGAACTCCATGGTCGCTGGCGAGTCCCAGACGCTCTCCTTTACCGTAAGCAACACCTCCAAACTATCGCATCTTCTTCTGCGTTGTCCCCAGGGGCAGCTCTACCGGCAGCGATACAGCATGGGCCCCCATTTTCCATTGGTCTTCATGTTTGAGAGACAAATGAGAATCGTGACTAATTTGAGTAGGGTTCTGCCGTTCATGGAGGAGGTTCTTGTCAGCTGGCCATTACCTCGGACATGCAGCCTTCCGCTAGCACCTCTTGGAGGGTCATTCTGAGTATCGAGTCTGGCTGTCCCTCTACCGATGGTAGCGGTGCTAGCACCTACAACTACACTCTACCAGCGGATCTGACTGCAGGACAATACAGTTTTGCTTGGACCTGGTTAGTCTCTTACACAACTTATCTCAAAGGAACGAGAAAGCCGGGATAGAATACTAACACGTGTCGTAGGATCTCCAAGCTGGCAGGTCAACCAGAGTACTACATGAACTGTGCTCCCATTACTGTCACCGCTGGCAAGACAAAGCGCGCCAACGAGGGTGTCTCTCTGATTCCCCGAGCTGATACCTACCCCGAGCTTTTCGTCGCCAATCTTGATTCCGTCAACTCCTGCAAAACTTCGCCAGGCACAGACGTCGTGTACCCCGACCCAGGCCAGAACGTGGAGAAGCTGCTCGAAGGCGCCACCCCCAGCTTCGCTTCGATCTCGGCAAGCGGCTGCGTCCCCAAGTCCCAGAGCCAGGGCGGTGGCTCTCTGCCAACCGCCACCGCCGGTGATTCTGGCGGAGCCGCAGCTGGCACTACAGCAGCTGCGAGCGCGAGCGCGACTGCTTCCTCGGAGGCCGAATCTGCCTCTTCGTCTCAGGAGACCAGCTCCAACTCAGGCGGCATCTTCGCGCCTACCGGTGGAGCCGCGGGCAGTGCGTCGCCCACCACGCTGGTGACCAGCACCTCTCCCCCTCGAGCGAGTTCCGTCTACGTTAGTCCCGTGACGACCGCCCAAGCGACATCCGCGACAGCGTCTACAAACGATTCTGCGTCCGCATCTGCGACCGATTCTGCATCTGCATCTGCCTCCACCTCGGCAGACACATCCGCAACGGCAACGGGCAGCCTTCCATCCGCGACCCTCTCACCTACCGGCGGCGGCTCCTCGGGCAACTCGACCGGTTCGGACGGCGGCTCCTCATCCGGCAAGTCGGGCGCCTGCACGGATGAGGGCATGTTTAACTGCATCGGCAGCCAGTACCAGCAGTGCGCGTCCGGCGCGTGGACCGCTATGCAGGCCCTGCCTGGCGGCACGACCTGCAAGCAGGGAGAGTCGGAGACTCTTTGGGCGCGCGATAGCGCTCGCACCAACGGCTTGCGCAAGATCCGTCGATATGGCAAGATGAATGCCCAGGGGGCATAAGTCTGTGGTCAGTCGTGGGGAGCCCCGTCGGTGGAAGGTTTCATAGGGCTGGCTGTACATAGCAACCGTGGCAACAGGACAGGTGTGGGATTCCGTGTTTGCCCATGGGAATAAGGTCCTCTAGACATTCGCCGGTCGGTGTCTTTTCATTGATTTCGATTTGATTCTGGCGTTGCGGAATGGAAAGGGAAGGGACCTGGCATGGTAAAGGAACAATCGATACCCCTTTTGATCAAGTCATCACAAACGGTTTCATCCGTGTCTTGCAGATTTCGTGAAGTTTTGTGTCCTCCATGTGAATACTGATGATGGTGTATCTCGCCCAAATCTTGATGGACATTCGTGAACATACACTTTGGTAATTATGAAGACTGTAAAAGTATTTGAGACACCAAAGCTTGAAGCGATCTGTGGAGCTTCTGACCCATCAGTTCTTATCCTGAGAAGCATTCTTAAGAACGACAGGAAGAAGAAGCGCCAGCTGGCGTCATCGATTCGCTGTTGATGATAATTCAAATGCATGGCCTTTGACAAGCATAATCTGTATGTGAAATACGCTGAATGTGAACACGATGGGCCTGCAAAGCATCCGTCTACGTGATCTTGAAAACCTCGGAATTAACATCACTGCGGATTTAGAAATCCTCCTTGCATGTACCTACCACAAGCTCGCCTTCATTTCCAAACCGGCACTTTCGGCACTCCGATATTGATGCCCAGTCACGCGCTCTCAAATCTTGGCTAAAGGTTGGCAGAAGCGTGTATTTACTTTTGTAACATCAACTTGGGAATGACCTTGTTCGAGCATGCTTAAGGGAATCATGTTCTTCCACCGCATACTGGCCCTGATATTGACTTTTCTCAGTGGGCAGCTGTCTACGTTTTGACACATGACCTTTCACGATCACCAGATTTTAGCTCACTCCTGACAGGCGGGAACCTGGACGCTTGCATTGAAAAGAGCCTGACTGCCGATGCAGGCACTTGAGGAGGGTTACGTTTCCCATTCAGAGTTCGAACGGGATACAACCCACCAAAGTGCCCGACTGGTGCATCTCGCCGACGCGCCGCAACGTGCTCCGATTGAATAAACCAGAAGCTTAAAGTTTCCCATTCATCCTCATGAATACCATCAAAGGTCTGTAAAACCTGGCGTCGGTGTGCGGAAGGGGTATCACGGTCGGGGCCTCAATTGCCGTTGTAGATCATCAGTATCCTGTATGTGACCCTACGAACGACTGCAACGGTTGTGGATGTCATTTTAGCCAAAGGGGACCTTCCCATCCAAATGCAGGAAGAGATAGATTGCATCTAGACATCCAACCTTGACCGCCCTATGTAAGCTGTGTAGCAAGGACGGTGCCCGGCGGGCCAAGACATCCGCGCGTTGCATTTGCGAATGTTAGGTAACACGCGAGCTTCTTCCAAAGCCAATCATGCCGATGTTGTATAGAAGTCTGTATTGTAATTGCCTCGGTGTCGTGCAGTATATATGCCGGGCTGTTCGGGAGTGTGTCAAGATTCTCGCTTGTTAGATCATTCTCAGTGTTATTCTGGAGAAAGCTTCATCCCATCGCGAAATTCAGCCCATACTTGACGAAAATGGCCCAGCAAAATGAGAAAAGTGCATCCATCACCGAGAAGGGGACGGCAATTCAGGGACTCGAGACATGGCTCTCGACAACACCAGTCCGTGTGGTCGTCACGGAGACGACGAGCCTCAGCGACAAAGACGAAGCCTTCGAATTCTTGCAGAATAATCCCCGGCGTGATGAACTGTTGCAAGAAGGCCGAGACATCCTGGACGACCCGGTCAAGTCCAGGAAACTGCTCCGCAAGATCGACTTGACCATCATACCTCTCTTGGCGCTCACGTACTTCCTGCAAGCCCTAGACAAGGTAGCCCTCGAGGTACGTCCTTGTCCAGAAGCCCCCAGTGAAGAATATAGGTCTCAAAATCTGGTAGTACACAGCCGTAATGGGCATCCGCGAGGACACCCACCTGGTAGGGCAGCAATACTCCTACCTAGGCATGCTCTTCTGGGTCGGCTTCCTGGTCCTCGAGCTTCCGACCCAAATGCTCGCGCAGCATGTTTCCAGACTTGGCCTGTACTTGGGAGTCAATATCATATTATGGGGCATCACGGTGGTCTGCCACGCAGCGTGCACCAATTTCGCGGGGCTCGCTGTTGTCCGATCATTATTGGGCGCATTTGAGTCCTGCGTCGCACCAATTCTCGTTCTAATCATTGCTATGGTATGAGTTTTATTTCCTTAACTGTTCTGTTGTGGGAGAATCGGTGTACTGATGGAGATGCAGTGGTACAAAAAGTCAGAACAAGGCCGACGGGTATCCTGGCATCATGTTATGGCCAACGTCAGCACTATCGTAGGAGGATCAGTATCCTACGGTTGTTCCTTCATCAAGAGCAGATTTGCAGTATGGAGGACCTTCTACCTCATCATTGGGCTTTTGACCATTTTCGCAGGCCTGATAGTATGCCTATTCCTCCCAGACTCCCCCGTCAGGGCGAGACGATTCACCGAGGCCGAAAAAGCGGCGGTCTTGTTACGGATCAGGGACAACCAAAGCGGCACTCAAAATGCGAAAATCAAGAAGCCACAGGTCATTCAAGCGTTAAAAGATGGCCGTGTTCTGCTCGTCGCTTTTATAGTGTTACTTATGGCCGTCCACGCTGGAGGCTTCAGTACATGTATGTCAAGGATGGAAACGGTCTTTACCTGTCCTTTTTTCCTTTGATTTCATAATCATGTTGTGTTCACAACCTTTTCATGAAGATCAGCTTTCTTTAAGACCCTCCATATCATTCCAAATTCCGGTTTGGCAATTACTGACCCACATGGCTTGGCAGTTGGTACTATTCTCACGGTATCGTTTGGTTTCACTCGTCAACAAGCTCTGATCTTGACGGTACCTATGGGCTTCATCGGCCTCTTCGTTGTCCTCCTAGTCGGATGGCTGTCTGATAAGGTAATGCTACAAATGACTTCTTTATTCACCAGCCCAAATCTTGATAAGCTGCAGCTACCCGGAGGCATGAGTATTCTATTTCTACGGTCGTCTATTTGAAGCCTCCTCCGATAATGAATTTCGAACCATTACTAATTTTGACACATGTACGAAGCTCAACGACCGATCAACGTAGGCTTTCACCACCTGGCAAATAGTTTTTACGCGGTTGGCTCTCTCTAACATCCCTTCGGCAGAATCCTCATCATAGGCACGATCCCCTCGATCTTGTCACTCAGCCTCATGATCGCACTAGACCCACATGGCAGGCCATTGAATAAAGCAGGATTGCTTGCAGCGAGGCTCATCGGAATAACGGGAAGTTCTTGTCTACAGGTCATGTTCGCGTGGAATGCCTCGTAAGGACAATCTTTCAGCTATGAATTGGACCACAATACGCTGATCCATTGGCTCATAGAAACATCTCTGGACACACGAAGAAAGTTACGGCCAATGCCCTGACTCTCATGTTTTATGCCACTGGTGTAAGTCTTGCATGTCGCTGCGTAATGTCTTCCTCTGGGGTGCCCGAAATTGACAAAAAGCCAGAACATCCTCGGCACTCAAGCCTTCCGGGACACAGAAGCACCTGCATATACTTCAGGAAAGATTACTATCATCGCGTGTCTGTCAACGACATGTTTCCTGGTTTTCATCTTGAGGCGCTGGAATATCAAGCTCAATAAGAAGAACAGCAAAACCCTGGCGGGATTCTCGGAAGCTGAGAATGAAGACTTGCGCACCAAGCTGGCGTTCGGAGACACTCCTGATCGTCAGAATCCTTTCTTTGTTTACACTCGCTAAATTCCTATTGTCGAGCGGGTTGGTGGCCAAAGTCTGGTTTTGGAGACTAAGGGACTATCACATTGAAAACATCATTCGCGATTTCAAGTAACATCCCAAATATTTATGGAAAGCGACTGCGCACGAATAGGCCGTATATAAGCAACGAGACTACGGACACATGTTGGAGTTTGTTTTCGAATTTGGGCCAGGGTCTGATCTTCGTTTTCTCTTCGTCTGCTACAAAACGAAATATACGCATGAAGTGGGCAGGAGAGGGAGAGAGTCAGGTTCATTGAGCTAAATCTGCAATGGCCATTGATGGTCCCTGCCGAGAGGGCATAACTTTTGCTAGTATAGAAAAAAAAAAAACTTCGAGCCAAGCAAGGCATCTTTACTGACACTTCTCAAAGAGACACAGGAAAATCTGGCCTTCACGCTTAACAAATGTTCCTAGCGCCGTTGCCCGTAAGTGTCCAGTTGGAGTTGTCAGCGCATGGAGACTCGCGAACAGTGGTGCCGTCCACCCGCAACGTGATCCAGAGGTCCCGGGTGTTGGCGAACTCCGTGCGAGCCGAGACACGGACCTCGCCACCTCCATTGACGGTACCGCCGCGAATCGAGAGATTGTAGCAGTTCTCGATGAGAATAGCATTGTTGCCGTTATTCGCGAGATCGACACTCTCGATGACAGCACCTCCAGACTCGGAGACGCAGAAGACACCGCGGCCACCACCACGGGAGACGACCTTGGTGACATAGACGTTGGTGTTGTAGTTTCCGTTTGCGTTGCGGCCGTTGCGGTTGGCAAAGCGGAGAGTGCCGTAACCGGTTCCTGCACCCACGTTGTCGCCATCGACTAGGTTCACCTGCGCGTTCGTGGTGGCTTGGAGCAGCAGACCAGACTCCCCGACGTTTCGGGCGATAACTTGGTTGATGGTAAGACCATCTATGTTCCAGGTCTCGACCGCGTGGCTACCAGCACCAGTCACGCGGATGGTGTCCATCTTCACGTTGGAGTTCGCTGCTTGGTCGCGGTCGAATCGAATGCCCACTGGGATGTTGTCAATTAAAGTACGTCTATTTGCGAAGGGTTTGAAGCAAAACAATTGAGCACCCTTAGAAGTAAAAAACCAACCACAACATTGCGAGCCCTTCCGGCTCCCAAGTTCGTCCAAAAGGGACACGGCTCTCAAGGCATATAGGAAAATGGAATGGACAAGCTTTCAAACAAATAAAGACACTTACGTCCACCGCTGAGGTTCATGGTGATTTGACCCAGTACCAAGTCCCGTGTGCCGTAGAATCGCAGTCCAAAGTATGGGTTTCCAGTCATCGTTAGGTAAGGAATCTTGGTGCCGACGGTATTCAGCGACTCGATAGCACCGCGCCCACTCCTATTGCCGACATTGATAGTACCACAGCCCTCGAAGGTCTTGCCGCTCCCGATCGTAATGGTGTTCGCACCGATGGAGCCCGAGGCGATGACTGAAACGCGTTGTCCGCTGCTTATGGAGTCGATTGCGGCTTGGATGGCAGCACGGTAGTCTGAACCTGTGTAGACGGTGCTTGAGCCCCTGGTAGCAGTGAACGAACTGCCTGAGCCAGTCACCCTAGCATCTGGAGTACCGGCGCCACATTGGGCGTGGACGAGGGAGACCAGTGCGAGGACTGCCGTGAGGATGAAGAACCGGGCCATGATGATACTGTCGTTGCGCTTCTGGGGAACGGAGGCTCAGGCTGGGAAGGTCTTTGTACCACAAATCGAGGAACTTGGTCGCTGAAAAGGACTTCTTATATTCTGTTTCCGGCCAGATATGGACCGCTACGGTGTGCCCATCTCTACGGTGTGTGGGAACCACAGCCAAGAACGGCTATAGAAATATTGTAGTATCAACTCTCTATGCCGGAACCGATGATTCCGCAGCCTGCCATCGAGCTTCTGTAGCCAAGCATTTGCACCGTATTCACGTTGCTGAACTTCGGCGTAAAACATGCCTGCAATGTCCGCCGTACCTAAAAAACTCCACTGCCAAGGAACTTCGCGTTGGTGCCCAGATGCATTTTATATACTTGTGGTTCGCTAATCGGCACAGATAAGCCCGGGTAGGTCAGCTCGCCGGCGACTATCCTCGAAGTTTGCCTAGCTCGTGTTGGCACTGCTGGTGCTCGGCGCATCTAGAATCCTAACTGCTCACAGGTGGACTTTTACTGAGATTTATAATTGTTTTCCACAATGGGAAAGTGAAGCAGCGATAGGTTTACTTGGCGAGACGTCTGGTAGGAGGTTCGCGTTGAAATCTGCACGCGTCGGTGCTAGTTCGTGCAGAAGCCGGCAGTGAGGTGCATTGAGTGAAAGCCAAGAGCGGGACAAAATCTACTCCACCAAAGTACACTAGGCGAAAGCCAAGCCAAAAGTCAAATTATGCTCACTTGACTCGGGATTGCCTCACATTCTGCTCCGGGCTTACTTTGTCTAGACACCACGATGTGGCGTTTCGCTTCGCATCCAGACACTCAAACGTGGTCACTTTCTTTGATATTCTCTGGTTCATGAAGCAGAGGGCACAAAGTAGCGTCCTCAGGAAGGCGAGGCCTCCGTAATTATGTCGCTCCTCAGCTTCTTGTTCTCTCCGATGAAGTATTCCGTGATCCAGACCTCCTGTTTGATACACATCCACAACAAACTCCCAGAAACCAGTATGCGGTCCGCTGCATCTCATTTCTGTCACCGCTAAATCCCTGGGCAGGTAAAAAGCGGCCCGTTTCCGCGCAATACCGCTTTACTCAGCTGCCAAACTCGCTTGTCCTTCTACTGCGAACGAAGATTCTCAAAGTCGGACACCTGTATGCATAGATTTGTACATTTTGGAGGCATGGCTCCCGGACTTGCTTGAAAATTCCATGCGCGTAGATGCCTCACGTGAATTTGCTTGACATCCCTAGGTACTTTGGCCATTATCGATCGATTGGTGAAATCGATCGGTCTGTGCATTAGCACTATTTTCGACAGCAGCATTCAAGCTCTTGGGCAACTACTCTCTAGATTCATCGACAGCAAATCAAAACTATAAAATGGCGGCCTGCGCTCAGTCTTGTTCGACATGGTGCATTGCTTCGTCGCCGAGCCCCTAAATATCATCCTAAGGATTCAGAGACACTCGTCTACATGTTGCTCTTCTAGTTCCAGATTTTGAGAGGCGATTGAATGCGCCACAAAAAGTATGCATTCTGGAAAAAGAAAATCAAATGTGAGTGAAGGCAGGTTAAAAAGTAAGAAGCCACTTCACTGACCGCCAAGTTCAGCAGATTTCTACCCCTGAGAACCCCTGAGCCGACTATCCACACCGTGACTGTTGCGTGTGTACACGAGGCTGCAACTGTACTTACACTAGGGTAGCCCAATTCAGATCGCAGTAGGCGGTTTTACTTTTAGCTCCCTTATCGACGACATCGCTCGGCGCGGCTCATCATCTAGGCCATGGCCTCATGAATTGGGTTTAGAAATTGTCTCAGTCGGTTGCTTGATTGGACCTTCGGCTGCTCCGACGACGTCATGCTGAGAGGACAATTATGACAGGTACTCCGATCCAGAGCCAAGACACTGCCAACCCGATGTTCTACGAGTGTGTACGATGTGGGGATTTTCCGTATTTACGACGTCGTACAGTAAGCACATATGGCAATAATGCATATGGATCCTCAAATGGTTTTGCTGACGAAGTAAGAACATTGAAACGCCGCGGAGACATGCACCTAGCTGAGGACTGGCACAAGAGGGCCTGGCATTGGGGGCAAAGACACAATCGATGGGCTCGTAGACAAGACAATCCGCCTACTTGGCGGATATTGCACAGCCCCTTTCAAATACAGGGCGATTGTAAGAATTGCCATCGCAAGCCGCCCTCCAAGGCCGTCCCAAGAAGGCCCAAGTGACAGTCGTGCCAGGTTCCCGCGCTATCGTGCATCTGATAACGCCGCCGAGATCTTGGCTGCCCACAAGTCGCCAACCAGCGAGGCGCCAGAGGCTCAACAACCCAGTAGGCCAAGACGTCCGCGTGATCTCTCGTTGGGTGGCCATGCCGTCAAGACATACGACAAGCCCTGTGGAAAGAAGCGGGGTGCCGCTTGCGGATGGCAAGGCGGCGCATGGGCTATAAAGCAACGGGCCGTCCACGTTGTCGCCCGGGCATTGCTTCCGCCTCCGGCTGTACGGTCATAACGTCTTGACGACGACAGACTCCTACACGTGAATGGGCAACGAAGACACTGCAGTCGAGGGGCAAACTGAGCCCCCTATATGTGGCTTCAAGGGGCCTCCATCAATCCAACCCGCCGAACCCGATTCGGACAAGTCGACAGTCTGCACAAAGACTCCGTCGATTGCAGAGTTCTCTGCTGATTCCGCCCATATCTTTGCAGCGAGCCAGATTTGTGGCTACCTGAACACTGACATCAAGTGAGCGCACATCCACTTCCGTGGCAAATCTAGAGTGCATGTCCCACTACAATGCTGACATGCTGCCACCAGAGATGGCCTCACCGGCGCCGAAGCTGCAGCTCGTCTACAGAAGAATGGCCCGAACAAAGTTGAGGGAGCTAAGGGGATATCGCTTTGGACGATTCTGCTAAGGCAGGTCTCCAACTCCCTGACGCTTGTTCTCGTTATCACGGCAATCCTGTCGTTCGCCATCAATGACCACATTGAAGGGGCGATTATCTGCGCGGTCATCTTGCTCAATATCGTCGTAGGGTGAGACAAAATGATTTCTCACTTGATCATAAGACCATGCGCGTATCCGTGCAGACTGACAGAACAACGCAATTAGATTCATCCAAGACTACCGCGCAGAACAAACTATCCAGGCACTTTATGCCCTTTCTGCACCAACCTGCAAGGTCAAGCGAAATGGCCAAGTAGAGACAATCAAGGCGGAAGGCCTCGTTGTCGGAGACATCGTCCTGCTTAACGTGGGCGATGTCATCCCGGCGGACCTTCGCCTGGCTGACAGCATCAACTTATCCACCGATGAGGCTCTCCTGACCGGCGAGTCCCTGCCCATCAGCAAGCACGCTGACAGGGTCCTGGCCGATCAGGATGTGCCGCTCGGGGACCGTATCAATATGGTCTACTCGGCAAGCACGATCTCACGTGGCCGAGCCATTGGTATCGTCACTGCTGTCGGCATGGCCACGGAGGTCGGTAAGATTGCCGGCCTACTGAGGCAGGCCAAGAAGAGCTCTGAGGGCAAGGTGGGCATCGCTAAACTGGTCCACCTTACCAAGGAGAAGATTCGTGTGCTTCTCGGACTCGACGGCACTCCCCTTCAAGTGTCGTTGAGTAAGTTTGCCTTGCTTCTATTTGCTCTCGCCATCACGCTCGCTATCATCGTCTTCTCGGTCAGCCGTTTTAATGTCGATGATGAGGTCCTCATCTACGGTATCTGTGTTGCAGTAGCTGTAATCCCAGAGTCCCTGATTGCCGTGTTGACCATTTCTACGGCATTGGGCACCAAGGCCATGGCCAAGGGCAATGTGATTGTTCGCAAATTGGCCGCACTGGAAGCAGTGGGCGGTGTGACAAATATCTGCTCTGACAAGACCGGTACTCTGACCCAAGGCAAAATGCTGGCCAAGAGGGTCTGGCTGGCAGATGGCACCGAAGTCTCAGTTCACGGGACTACTCATCCCTTCGACCCGAGTAGCGGAACGATCGAGTACAATGGCAATGAGCTACCTCCGGCCAAGATGAAAGTCACAGGCCGGGAGGCTGAGACCCTGCGAGGGCTTCTCGAAACGGTCGCGCTCTGCAACAATGCCAGTGTCACCAAGCGAGAGACATGGACCGCATTGGGCGAGCCCACTGAGATTGCGCTGCAGGTGCTGGCTATGCGCTTCGGCATGGGCAAGCCAGAGCTGTTGTCCGATGAGAAAACCACACTGGTGTCTGAGTTCCCGTTCGATTCGACCTGCAAGAGAATGACGGTCGTCTACGATGCCGGAGACCAGACGTTCCTGACCGCGTACACGAAGGGTGCCGTGGAGGCGATCCTGCCACTGCTACAGATCAGCGACGCCAAGCAGCGCGAGATCTCCGCCATGGCCGACACGCTCGCCGCAGAGGGCCTCCGCGTCCTCTGCGTGGCAAAGAGAGCCGCCACTGTGACGGAGCTGTCGAAGCGGGAAACCGCTGAGGCTGGCCTGGAGTTCATCGGCCTGGTGGGCCTCTACGACCCTCCGCGCGTGGAGAGTGCGCCGGCCGTCCTGAAGTGCCAGCGAGCCGGCATCACGGTACACATGCTTACGGGCGACCACGTCAAGACTGCAACAGCCATCGCGAGAGAGGTCGGCATCCTCCCTCCGGCCAGTGTGACGTCCGACTCACAGGCCATAATGCAGGCCAGCGCGTTCGACGCACTCAGTAATGCTCAAGTCGACGCGATGGAGAAGCTGCCGCTGGTCCTTGCAAGGTGCAGCCCGTCAACGAAGGTGCGCATGGTCGAGGCCATGCATCGCCGCCGTGCGTTTTGCGTCATGACTGGTGATGGTGTGAATGACTCTCCCGCCCTCAAGAAGTCTGATGTCGGCATTGCCATGGGAATGAACGGAAGTGATGTTGCCAAAGAGGCGGCAGACATGGTGCTGACAGATGACAACTTTGCCTCGATCGTCACGGCGGTCGAGGAAGGTAGGAGGTTGTTTGATAATATCCAGAAGGTAATTCACCATTCATTATCACTCATATCAATTTAATTCACTGACGGTATTATCATACACATACAGTTCCTTCTTCACCTTCTCATCTCCAACATAGCCCAGGTCATCCTCCTCTTGGTAGGCCTCGCCTTTCGCGACGCCTCCGGCGCCTCCGTCTTCCCGCTGTCACCAATCGAGATCCTCTGGGCCAACCTGGTGACGTCCTCATTCCTGGCGCTCGGCTTGGGACTAGAGGAAGCCCAGCCAGACGTGATGCAGCGGGCGCCGCACGACCTGCGGGTGGGCGTGTTCACGCGAGAGCTCATCGTCGACAAGTTCGTCTATGGCACGGCCATGGGCCTGATCTGCCTGGGCATCTTCGCGACAGTGGTGTTCGGCGGCGTGGGCGGCGGCGGCTACACGCTCGGCGACGGGTGCAACACCGGGTACAACGACTCGTGCGACGTCGTGTTCCGCGCCCGCGCCGCCACCTACGCCGCCCTCACGTTCCTGCTGCTCGTCACGGCTTGGGAGGCCAAGCACTTCACCCGCAGCCTGTTCAACATGCACCCGGAGAAATACCACGGCCCACTATCTGTGTTCAGGACTGTCTGGGCCAATCAATTCCTCTTCTGGGCTGCTGTGGCTGGCTTCGTGCTTACTTTCCCTCTGGTCTATTTGCCTGTGATCAATGAAGTAGTCTTCAAGCACATGAGCATTGGTTGGGAATGGGGCATCGTAGCGGCTGGGATCGTGGTCTATCTATGTGTGGTGGAGAGTTGGAAGGCTGTGAAGAGGCGGTTCAAACTTGGTGGTGTAAGGAAGACAGTCGATACTTTTGGAAGAGCGAGTGAAGACGGAAGTGTTGTCTAAGTACTTCCTCGTGCACTCGAGTTTGGTCGTGGGCAGAAGTGATCGCGATATTGGGTTCAACAAAGGCAGGCGGTTGAGAAAGGTGGAAGCTCATTCAACATGGGTCTTGTAACTAGTTTGTTTTGATTTGGATGCATTTCCAGCCTGTCTTTACCTTCAAATTTTACGGCGGGGAGGAATTCCTCCAGCGTCCATTCGTTTGAAATGCAAGATTGAGTCGATGGTCCTTTTTACAGGACATCTGAATATGTGATACTTCAGTTACCCAAGTTCTATTATTGTCTAGTTCTAACGTCTAAATTCTACTCTGGACCTGGTATCATGCTGCCATCTCTATCATACCTCATCAACTCCGTAAAATGGACTCCATCCCAGAACGCCGATCAAAAAGCAAGATCTTCAACTGCCTGAAGAGGTGCAGATGACCCGTGTTGTCCAAAGCAGAGCCTCTCGTCCCACATCTGAGCTTAAGAGAACCCAGACGTCTTATAATCTTTTCAGTCGCAGAGAGGACAAACAATTCGACTCTACTCCTCAAATATATGAGCTCACAACTTTAGCTCTCCTGCCTGCATGAAGCATCTCCTACTTCCACTGTTCAATCAATGATCTATCCGAGCCACTTTAAGGTGCCGGGCCAGTGGCCAAAGGCGGCGCCGCGCTATTTCGAGTCGTTCCGAGCACCGCGCCAGCCTCAATACCAGCGCTCTTCTTGATCTGGTTCTCCTCATCACTTGTTCCAGAGGCATTCTGTTCGTCGTCGTCACCGGCATAAGCGTACTTGCTCCTCGCACGGATCTTAGCACCATATTTCCAGAACAGGAACGGGATGCCGCAGCACGCTAGCGCCATGAAGAACAGAATCATGCTCGCCCACTGGTAGCCGCAGCCAGCGTACATCTGCTCCGTGAAGAGCACGACGGCGGCGCCCCAGAAGCTGCGGATAAAGGTCTTGGCCGCAAGGGCTGATGCCGCCTGGTGCTGGTACGAGTCGACCAGGTAGTTGTTGGCTGCGTTGTACAGGAAGATGAAGCCGAACCCGACCCAGAAGCCGCCGAAGGCCGGGCCGAACCAGTGCAGCCTTGGGTATGACGTCCAGGCGAAGATGACCAGGCCTAGGGGGATGAACCAGCAGGAGCACATCATCGGGATAAGTCGATATTCGGCCGGGGGGCTGCCGTTCCAGCGTTGTGAGATCTTCAGGTAGTGTTTGTTTACCAATGGGGCGCTGGCGGCTGAAGCGAGGACACCGAGGGCCAAAGGAATCTACGATTGGAAAATTACGTCAGTATTTGAAAAAAGGTCAATGGAAGATTTAAGGAGTGGGAAGTAGACTTACAAACATCAGACCTGTGCTGCCTGCGCTCCATCCTTTACCCTCCTGGTAAATGATAGGGAATGCCACGAAGAACATATACAGCAATCCATAGAGAACAGACATGTACAGAGAGATAAGGAACACGATGAGCTCTCCAAAGAGCAACTGCAGCGGTCGGATCAGGAAGATTGTCAACCGCTCGGAGAAGGGCCTCTTGTCGAGATCTTGCTCAGTGACATGCTCAGTGCTGCCAGTCTCCTTGCGCAGCTTCTGAGCACGGCGGGCGAGGATGGTCGGCGCGTACGTCTCAGGCACGGTGAAGGTGATCAGGACCCACACGACAAAGGCGAAGATGAGCTGGATCCAGTACAGCCAGCGCCAGCCCGTCGCGTCAGAGAGATAACCACCGATGAGGGGTCCGATGGCAGGACCGATGAATGGCGCGGCGGAGAAGGCAGCCATTGGCACGCCACGCTCCTCATTCTTCCACAGGTCGGCCAGCGTACCGCCCACGAGGGTCATGGGCGCGGAGAAGGCGATGCCGTCGATGGCACGACAGACGATCAGCGTACCGATATTCTTGGCCACGGCACAGGGGATGATGAACACGACGGCGATGAGGAGGGTGGACCCATATATGATCCTGCGGCCGTATATTTCCGAAAGCGGCGCGAAGACGACCGGGCCGACACCGAAGCCTATGACGAAGACGGTGATGGTGAGGAGGGCGACCTCCTCGCTGACGTTGAATGTTTCCTCGACGCCCTTCAGGTCAGCTGTCACGACGGATGAAGCAAACGCCACGACAAAGCAGGTAATTGCGACAACCATAGTGCAGTACCACTTGTATAATTTGCTCCAGTTCTTGGGGTTCTCGGGGTCACCTGGCGTGAAGGTGACCAGCTTGTAATGCGTCTCCTTGCCCGAGGGCTCGCGCACGACCGGACCCTTGATCTCTCCCGACTGGTGCTCTGTAGTGTACTCGTCGAAGTTGGCATCTTGGGACAAGGTACGATATGGGAGAGAATCGGGGTCGAGGTTCGGATCGCGGCGAGTCTCCTTGGTGGATTGCCGGGTGAGCTGACGGTTCAGGGAACCGGAACGTCGAAGACCAGAGCTGCGACGGTTATGGTTGGACTTGATGGGTGCGAAGCCCACGCCATTGTCATCACTATCTGTGCCACTACCGGCCATGGTTGGGCTTGAAGACCGGGGTATTTGGGAGTCTCGACTTGAAGGTGGTTGAGCCATTATCATACAAAATACAAGGAAAGACGAAAGGAAAGTCCCGAACGAATCACCACATGCACGATCACATCAAAAGCCATATCAAATAACATAAGAGATAGGGAAGTCACTTATATATAAACTGCAAAGGCCAAAAACATGGTGACCAGCGCGGCTCGCGCTTCAAGTGAAGCTCGCGGCGCGAGACAACGGTTTAAAGTGGGTCCTGCGTTGGGAATGCCTTCAGCCCAAGCAGGATCCCATTCCGAGTCCGGGATGCACGAACTCTGGGCTCGAGCACGAACCAGGTGTGCAAAGCGTCATGATTGGTTACCACGGTGCTTTGGCCACTTACGAGAGACAGCGGGATCCTGTAAAAGATGAGGATCGGCCAACAGTCGGAGGTTATGACGGGAGGGTTGAGAGCTTCACCTGTGATCAGGGATTTTCCACACGACTGCAGAGGACTCTTGGCAAGACGTTCGGCCCCCTTATCGCTCCCCGGGGAGTCATCGAAGGGGACTCCTCTGCACCTCGATGATCATTGGAACACTGAATGATCATCCTGACGGCTCAGAAACGACAATGTGCCTTATTGCGATGCCAGATGACTTCACTGGTGGTGACGAAAGTGTGAGAACAAAGAGACGTCGCCCTTGAGGCCAGTGTTGCCCGTCGAGGCCCGGGATCGACACCGACCTTCCGCCCGTCCGCCGCCGCATCGAGCCGGACGGGGCCGCAATAGCCGCATAGGGCTTGTTAGCGCCAGAAGCTTATTTGGGGAGGGTCTTGAGCACGCTGAACCACGAGGCAGCGGGGCACGCAGGCGCTGTCTCGGGTCTGGATTGGGCCCATTCCTGAAAAGATGGGGCCTGTGGACTCAGCAGTCGTCAGACTGTCGTGAAGCTTCTCGCCATTTCGCATTGATTTCGTAGCAGATGGGAAGTTGCCAGTGGGCCCAAGGAGAAAAAGTCTAAAAGGTTTTGAAATTGCTCGAGGTGCTCGTTGTCGTACCCATGATGGTCCCTTTCAGAGTGTTTCTCAGAACACTTCGATAGTGGTCCAACCATGCCGACAGGTGATGACAGGTCCAGACGGCAAGGACGTTGGCGCAGGAGTCCTGAAGCGGCGCCAAGCAACTTCCAAGACTCACGATGGCCATCGCGTCGGGCGCATATACTGATATGCCGAGTCAACAGGGGGCAACTGATAAAGCTGCAGGTCGATCTCGCTTCGTGCAAGAGCCTCCATAAGACGCGAGGCCGTGCTGTCTGGACCGTCCGGCCCGTTGGCTCGAACCGCTATCTCTGGCACCATCCATCCTGCAGGCTGCAGCTCCCACGAGATTTTCAGTGGGGGTCTCCTCCGAACCACCGGGAATCATCAACATCCTGGGACGGCGAACGAGAGTGAATCATCCTTCGCCACATGTGGCCAGCCGGATCGAATGGCTAGCCACCGATGAGAGCAGTCAACACTTCCAAACCAGGCCTCGAGGAATCGTTCCCTTTCGAGAAGTAACGTGCTCTTGAACTGATGGAGGAGTAACAGACCATGCTAGGCCCAGGCTAAAGGGGCTCACTGGCGTGATCGCTCACATATGCTGTGCGATGGATGCCACGAGACGGGAGCGAAGAGCCGCATCCAACAACAGGCCAATCCGATTCATCCAATGACACATCCTCGGATCGATCCTGCAGCCCCAGTTCAAGAATGTGTTGAATGGTGTACCGTCGCCACACCTTCGCGTCTTGGGGGTTGTTATGCAACAGCGAGCTCTGCCGCTCGATGGCTGGCACCTAAATTTAGGCGACACGGCGCTGACGTCACACACCTCGCAATCGCAATCTCTCGTATGCGTATGCGTGTGTGCGGTTTGTGTACCAAGGCACTTTGCCTTGCACTGCAGTCCGACTGCACAATCGAGGACAGATAAGATTCGAGGTGTGACACGCGTCTCTGTCTGTCCCAAGACACTGGGCACTCGGCCATTTCGTCTCACCTCTAGTTTCTAGCCTAGCCTGGCAGAGGCCTGGACGACTCGTTTGAGTAGTCGCCGCAAACAGGGAGCACGGCAGGACTGCAGGACAGAGACACAATGGATGAACAGGTGCAAGCTGTTAGACTTGGTACCTGCAATACCAATCAATACGCGGCCGCAGCTGGGCCGGCTGGGCTGTGCAGCTTGGGGGCTGCCCTGGACGGTGTTGCAACTGGGATGATCGTGACGGGATGATCGAGGCCGAGGAAGAGCTGAATGAATCGTCCCTCTTGGATTCTTGGAATGACGGAGGAGTTTCAGCGACAACAAAGAGCAGCGAGCACGCATTCGCTCGTATTCCCATTGCCTTGCCCTGCTACGCGGATGTTGCCCCTGGATGTGGAGGTGCCCACTGCCACACCAAACCCAGGGCCAAGTCCCATTCATCCGAAGTCACAGATTTGATTTCAGATGGTCAATCATCAGTCTGGACCAGACTCTTGCTGTTTACGAGACAGGCAAGACACAGGCAGACACAGGCTCAAGACAGGCCCAAGGCAGGGCAGGCTGGCAGCTTCTAGGCACTCATTCGCCAATGCTCCTGCCCTCCTCTTAAGACTGACCTCCGCCACCATTTTCATCTCATATATGTGGGCCTTCAAATCCCACGCTGACATCCTGCAGGGGCAAGACACCTGGAGCTAAGCAACATCAATCAAGACCAAATTCACCCAATCTAGTCAATACAATCAACTGGTTCCCCATCAGCTTGCGTTTCTCTCTATTCTTCTCACTCACTCTCTCTCTCTCTGGTCATCGTCTGTCTTGAATCAATCGACTTTGTCTCGCCCTCCACGCAGCGTGCAGTGATCCATCCATTATCGCCTCTCAACAACCACCCCTGGTTCATCTTGCGATACCTTAGTCTAAAAGCCAGACCAGCTCCACCAGTCCACCGATCTTTCCATTGCAGTACTACAGTACCATCGTCCAAAGAAGATCAACACCAAAAGCACAGTCGCCCAACATGCAGATCACAACTTATCTCACCAGCGCGGCGATCTTTGTCGCCTCTGTTGCTGCCCAGTCGGCCACCACCACCGGCTCCGGCTCCGCATCCACGTCGACCTCCAGCAGCGATGTCAACAGCATCGTCAGCCAGCTCCCCCAGTGCGCCCTGACCTGCCTCAGCGAGACCGCAAGCGACATCGGCTGCAGCGCCTCCGACCTGACCTGCCTGTGCTCCAAGCAGTCGCAGCTCATCTCCTCCATTGGCCCGTGCATCCTCCTCAAGAGCGGATGCTCGTCCGACGAGCAGAACCGTAAGGCTCCATCCTGAACCCCCTGCCCAGGGTTTCGAGAGGAGTTACATATTACACAGTATGGATTACGTAAGCTAACCTTGGCTCTTTCTCCCCCCACAGAAATCAGCTCCATCGCAACCAACCTCTGCACCGACGTCAGCTCCGCCGACTCGAGCGACCTTGCCTCGGCGTCCAACTACATCAACTCGGCCCTGGCCACCGGGGTCACCGCGACCGCCAGCGGCTCCTCGGCTAGCAGCACGGCCACCAGCGCGAGCGGCAACGCTGCTGCCAGGACCGATTCGCCCATCGCAGGCATGGGTGTCATGGGCGCCGCCGCGGCGCTGGCTGTCCTTGCTCTCTAGGTGGGAGGAGGCTGACTGTGAGCTTGTTATACCCTGGCGTTTCTGGTTGAGGACTTGAGTGAACATGCCATGTTACCACATACAATGGACTCGGGCATGCAGGATTGGCGTTGGGGCCTATTTGGTTGCTCTTGCAATTGATTCGCGCGTGTGTTGAAAGACCGCGCTTAAGAGGCACGTTTGGTAGAAAGACTACCTCTCATATAGAGGAATTTGCAGCCTAGACCGGCTCATTGAGTTTGATTGATGAAAAGGCATTATTTTCACAAGTGACAAAATTTGTTCTCAGCATTCTGAAGCGCCACCTGAAAAGGAAAGATAACGATTTCCTTATTCGTATTCGGTAACCCAACTCATAGGGGTATCAGAGACATGAACCAAAGAAGACTGAATACGCAGCCACATTACCCATGCACGCACGCACTGTCCGCCACCCCCTCAAAACGCAACCCACCCAAGCAAGCCAGCTCCCAGAGCAACAACCAGCGCGACCCTAGACGAACCACCGTCCATGAAAGCCGCGCCCTCCGACGAGGTCGTAGTCGCCGACGCCGAAGCCGACGCCCCGGTGGCCGTGCCCGTGCCGCCCGAGACGCCAGTCGGCTCGCTGGGGTGCAGGGCCGTGTTGGTGGTCGACTCGGAGCCCAGGCTGGTCAGGCTGGTGCTGCTGCGGATGCTGAGGGTCTCGGACGTGCTGCTGGCCGAGTCGGTAGGGGTGGTGGAGAAGGTCATGATCGGGCTGATTGGGCCGCCCGGGGTCACGCTGGCCGAGAGCGAGTCGGTCGTCAGTGGCTCCGAGACGACCTTGGCCTCGGCGGCGATGGTGAGTGAGGGGGTGAGGAGGAGGAGGGTGCTGAGGAGCTTCATTCTGGTTGGCGGGTGGGTTGGGCGAGATTGTCAATTGGTCTTGCTGTTGCTTGTGAGGTATTGATCTTGTTCAGATATATGAGATGTGGGTGTTTACCGTCAAGCGAGCTCTTGGCGCTGTTTTCGGGTGTTTATTAAATGGAGATGAGAGTGACTTGACTTGGCAACTGACAAAACTCAACAGCGTGAGTCTGCACGCCTTTTTAAGATACAATCCCGCTCGCGTACATTGGTAGCTGGGGGAGGATCTCAAGATCTCGCCCTGGAGCTGTGTTTCCTGTCTTGGCAGGGATCTACGGATGGGACGTCACCCCAGTGATCGAAGTTGCTTTATACTGTCCTATTCTCGCCCGTCACTCCAAGCGTGCACGGTGCGGGACAAGGTGTGTCAAACAAGACAAGCTTTCCGGGGAACGCGACGGGACTGGGCGATCGCCTTGTGGGGTGAGGTGAGGGGCGGCAATCGCCTGTGCCTCTCTCCTCGTGTAGCTTCTCGAGGGCTCCAGCATGGCCTTGCCATGGCCCCTGGCTGCCTCCGACGAGCTTCCTCTTTAGGCATTAAGACATGTTGCGATCTGGCGCTACACTGACGCTTGCCAGCCAGACGGGCGGCCTTTTGTTGCCGCCGCCCGATGATCAGTGTATCAGTGGATATGCTGCGCTGTCTGCATTTGATAAGAAAGCTTGATTTTTGGGCTTCACCCCTCAGCTGGCTCGGTGAGGGCTTCCTGCTAGGGCAGCTAGGCTTATTATGAAACACTGGACTGCCGACGTGCACTTGCATTAGGCCGTGTTCGACTCTTGCTGTGCTTGCTGTGGTTCCGCCCAATCAGCCGGTGTGACGAGATTGCGTGTCATTGGACCGGAACAGGTCAACTTGTGATGCAGTGTTACCTACCGTAGATGGCATATTTCTTTCCACTTCTTGTGTAAGTTCCTGTTGATCCAATGAACCCTCGCCTGAGTCGTAGTCTCGGACACAACAGCCGATTGGTCACGAGAGGTCAACTCAAAAGGCACCGGATCATCAGCGGAACATTTGTGTTTGGGAACAGTCCATTCCAATGATTTTGTAACCCTTGAGATACAAAAGTAAGGAAAGCGATCCACCATTGTTTCCTGATTCACCGCCACCCCACTGCTCACAAATCAGGCTGCACGAAATCGTGTCTCTGCTTTCTTCCCGAGATCTTGCTAGGACGATCTATCCAGCGAAAATGGCTCCCTATGCCATCGATGTTTTTTCAGGTATCTCGCAAGCATTCAAAGTCTGCTTCGATAGCATAACTTAAACGTCTATACCATAGAACATTGCCGGCTCAACAGTCCTACCTTTGGTCACTTAGGGGAAGCTCCCTTCGGCAAGAAGTATCTTCAGCTTATCATCGAGCCAGTCCAAGTCCTCCTTGTTCGTCCCTGGCCCACCAGCCCTGGGTATGAGCGTCAGCAAGCTTCTTGGACAGTCAGCTCAGAAGACAGAAGAAGTTCACTTACCAGTGCCCCCATATTGACGGAAACGCAATCATCTTTCCGACCCCTTCAGCCATGCACTGAACTTCATACTCTGAATCTTCGGGTGGGAAGTATAAGTCCGTCTTCCCAGGTAACACGAGAGTCTTTGCCTTGATGCCCTTCATCGCCAGCTCAAAGTTGCCGTTATATGGCTCTTGAGCGGATGCGTCTCCTGCCTGCCACGTGTGAAGCATGACCAGTAAGTTTTCCGGATCTGCAGATGCAAGTTAGTAGGGACTTGAACCACATCACCCAGCCTGGGACACGAGACACGCACCCTTGGATAGAGCCCAAGACTCCCAGAACCTGACCATAAAGTCTTCCAGATCCTTAAAACCCAGCTCCTTCTCGTGGATCCTCTCCCTATAAAACGCCTGACTGAACCCCCAGCCGGCATACACCCGCCCCAGGGCCTTCAACCCGGTCTCCCGCTCCTCAGCCGTCCAGTTCCTGTACCCGCCCGCGCTGCTCTCCCCGGCACAGACCCCGCCCGACGCCGCCCCCTTTGCCGCCAGCAGCGCAGTCTTGACGCCCTCCAGGAACACCTGGTTGTGCAGGCTGGTCTTGGCGCTCCCGCAGAACGGCACGCCGAGGTCCACGAAATCCGGGTACTGCGTCAGCCACTGGTAGGCCTGGCCGGCGCCCATGCTCCAGCCGAGCACCATGCGCGCGTGGCCCACCCCGAGCCCCTCCGTCACCAGCCGGTGCTGCGCCGTGACGTTGTCGCGGAACGTGACGTCCGGGAACGGCCTGTCCCGCGGCAGGTGCGGCATGTTGGTCGGCGAGGACGACTGCCCGTTGCCCAGGAGCGCGGGGATGATGATGTAGTACTTCTCCGGGCTGAGCGCCTTGTCCGTGCCGATGAGCCACTCGTTGTCTGCTATGGATCCTGAGTACCATGTTGGGTAGATGATCGCTGGGCTGGAGGGGGATCCGAATGTCTTGTAGGCGATGAATGCCTGTGGCAACACTGTGCCGGAGACGAGGGGGAAGTCTCCTAGGTTGAAGAGTTTGATCTCTGGGTCAGCCATGGTGGTTGGGCGGGTGTTATTATCGATATGCTGTTCTGAGGTCAAACTGGATGGTACGTTGTGGCAATGACTTGTAAAACACCTGAGACTCATATACTTCATTCCTCTTGGTGCTCTCACTTATACCGGCTATCGTCCCCTGCCGCTGTAGATGCGGGGGAGATAAGCGGCTTCGCTAACGTTAGTCGACATATTTGGACGTCGGACAAGTCACACGGTGCTAGGGGGCGAATGAGATGGTCCCGGCTTGGCTAGTCTCGGTCTAACTGTCAAATAGAGATCCTTCTCTGTCTTCAAAATCCGTATTCAGTTGCGTTAAAGAAATGCCCAGGCAGGACTGGCCTCCGGCTCTGGCCAGCAGTGCAACACGTCCAAAACTGGTGGCAAGGTGCTATTATTCAGACGCAAAATGTAATTGGGTGAGCAAAGTGCGTCTTTGATTCAGGAGTCGGCAGTTGCCGGTCAACACCAAATCAATTGTCCGACTATTTCCCGAAAACCTGTCTTTGACTATGAAATGGGTTGCAGTAGTAGAGTTGGATTGGTGCTTGACTCGAAGAATTGGTTGAAAGTTCCGCCGCAACATGCAATCTATGAAGGTTCCGAGGAGCTCTTCTGAGTCCGCCTTAGGTTGCCGTCACCATACCCGATCGTAAGGCGAGGTTCTGACCTCTCGATCGTATGATAAAGAAAGAAAAAACCAATTCAACGCCAAAAGCCTGAACCGCATTCAATAGACTTTGACCCACCTAATTGTGGGCATTGCAATCCCTCCCTAGACTTCACAGACACAGTCTGGTGCTGCCAAGATTGTGTGTCTTAAGAAGTGTGTCTTTGCAGGTCTGTTCATTGTCGGATTTGGGTGTGCATTCTTTCCGACTCTTTCATGCGGGCAAGGGAAAGCCACTGTGGAATAAAGACTGGAGTGAGTGTGGTTTTAAGGTGAGGTAGAGTAATATTTGGCATGGCTGGTTGGATTATAGGCAGGGTTGGAGGGTCCAGAGCAGGCGTTGATGGGAAGGCCCCGGCAATGTGAAGCTGCCTGCCTAGAGATGCGAATCAAGTAAAGACAATTCACAAGATTGACTCATCACACACTCTTGGCTAGTTTGTTGAGTATAGGAAAGAAAGAAGAAGAAAAAGAGCCACAACACAGCGCTGTACCCGAGTGCCGAGAAGCACAGGAGGAAACGGAATGTTGAGTCAGAATCGACCTCGAGTACTCCAAACGAAAAAGTGCTGTCTCTTGAATGACAGGATTTTGCAGTGCTCTTTGATGTTTCATGGATCTGGAGCCTTAAAGGCAGGCCAGCGAAGAAGACTCAGCTCCCGTGTAAATGATTTTCAGTGGACTCTTGTGTATTACCCGGTACACCATTTTCTCGCAGTGCACAACAAAACGTGAAATTGAGAACCGCACTTTTAGCTAAAGGAGGCCATGTCAAACTCTTGAACAGTATTGTCTACTGCCAGTAAGTGAGCCGCACTGTTAGGATTCCACAAGACTTCCAATTTGCTTCCTCGTGATTGAGACTAGGGAAATGTGTGTGTATGAGTGAAATCAAAGACCAATTTATTATTAGGTCTCTTTGCACATGTGAATCTCGAGAATGGCTGACATGTCACTCTAGGCGCCTTGCCGGCGACTGTGAATGCAAGGCTTCCAGAATCTCAGATCGCTCATAGGACTCGTGCAATCACAAAGGCCTACATGCACTCTCGCACACAGCATCTGCAAGACTGCTAGGACCTCTTAGTTGGACAACAGTTCCAGTGTCCTGTTAGCTTTCCATCTTGTTGTAGGCTGCAGAATTGATATAGAGTTCATCTATGATCAGTGCTGAGAGCCCAGCGTTCCACCATCGATTTACCTAGGCAGTGCGAGCAGACTCTCCCCAGTCCCCACCATTGCCGTTGGGTTTGTCTGATGGAGCGCAAAGCCTTAGGCAAAAGTATGCCATGCAAGTGTATCACCAGTCAAAGGCGATCGGCTGGCAGAGTTGGGACATGAGACGATCGGCCCGGCTAGCCTGGTAGGAGAGAGCTGATTTGGTGTCGTGCATTGAGCTTGGCAGGGCTAGCAACAGAGCTTCATCGGGAATGCAAGCTCCAAGCAGACATACCGTGTGCAGAGTTGTCAGAAAATGCCCGTGATCATCGGAGGCTCAATGCTTGAGCTGTGGCAAATGTGACCGGGCGAGGTGCCGGGTTGGACTTCCCAGGTGGGGATGCTGATGAGAGGCGCGGACCTGGTTGGGCATGGGAGAGCTCTCCTTGGTGGAAGTGTTAGGGCGAAACGTAGGGAATGTCAATCTGCCTGGTTCGTCCTATGTCTCAGGCAGATGGCATCAGCTAAAGTCTAGTAAAGTAAGAGAAACACTGGCCCAGGTGCTGTGTGGAGTGAATGCACTGGGTGAAGAATGGTCCGGAGTGCATAGGCTATTTACAGTAAACTGCATGCATGCAACCACAGAAATGTGTGTGTGTGTGTGTGCTTCAGGATGCATCGTGGTGCACAGGTGCAGTGCAACCCCTGCAGTGGCTGTCCCAAAGGCGAGCGACGAACGAACGAACCAGGGGACAGCTGCCGGGCTGTCCCGCGAGTCTGCCTTTCCCAACTTGGGGAATCCCTGGCGCACGTCCACCAGTCCAGGAACCGCCTCCCGAAATTGGGGGTCCCTTAGTGCTCTGTCCTTCCTGATCTGGTGGGCTGGTTGCACCTCCATCCTTGCCCACCGCATTGCAATCTTCCAACTCGTACCCGGAAAGTGCTACCGGCTACTACTGTGTACCAAATATCTGGACCGCTCATCCCAATAAGTGCTGAGGATTTGTTTGTGATCTAAATGCAAAGTGCCAAATGCCCGCGAGCTTGATTCTACATGTATATGTCTTCCTGTGTTCATTCTCGAACCTTTGAAGCTCCACCCTTCATCAGAGTGTGATTGCCCTGGTCACAATCCAAGTGCAACCCCACCAGTGAAGTCTAATCTGTTTGACTGGGATCGTGGGGCTGGGCTGGCCGGGTAGTGAAGGTCAAAATCAATCACAGGATGAGGATGAGGACGAGGATGAGGATGAGGATGAGAAAACATAAAAGGAATGCCGAAGGCTGATCCCAAGGCTGGACTACACAACCTATTGGGAATCCACCCGCAAGTCCGAACCGTTGGAGCTACATCTCGGGTTCTGTTGCCCGCTGGTGCTGATTGACGGCCTGGTCAAGAGCTGCCGGCCGATCGTCTGTGCGCCCCGGAGATTAATACAAAACAATACCTGCAGTCGGTCTTCTCTTTTCTTCTGTTGGCCTTCTAATGATCTTCGAATACTGTCTGTGCAAACAAATCAAAAGAAATGAGATAGGTCAGTCAGGTTGTAGCACAACGCACTCCTTTCATTACTCGGCCCAGCACCACTTAGATGAGCCCCTAGAGCTCGAGGCTGACAATCGTCTCACAAACACGGCAGACGCGCTCTCGACGCCCACTCCTCCTCGCCGTTGCTCACCAAACCCATCCTCGTCACCCGCCCTCGCTGCCTTGTGATGCACCCACCCACTGGCTGAGCAGTACCAGACGATGGAAGAAAACAGGCTCCAAGCTGGTAAAACCAGCGCTCTCCCCCGACCTACCTCCCGCCTGCCCATGCCAAGGTCCACTGGCATTCCCACCGCCCTTCGACCATCACAATCAAGAGACAATCTGGCTGCAGCACCCGAGATTAAGCCCTCCCGCTTGCGACCAGCTGCTTCTAGGGAACGCCTGGCACCCCCTGCCTCTGCCTCAGGAATAAGCAACACCACCAACGAACCCTCGCCCACAGCATCCAAGAACTCGCCCTTTGCGCGCAGCCTTCCAAGACCTCGTCCAACCTCGAGCCTCCCGACCTTCAGCCCCCAGCCCAAACTCCCAAAGGCCTCCAGCAACAGCAATGGCAATGGCTTGTCAAGAATACCCCCGCCTCGAGATCGCATGGCATCATTGCCGGAAGATGAGGGCTCACCTCGAGAATCCCAAACCTCCAGGCTGCCCGGCCCGGGGCTGAGGAGGAAGTCGTCGGCGCAATGGATCTCTTCTTCACAATCGGCATCAGCTAGGCAAAGGAGTACTAGTGTTTCGACTTTGTCAAATGGTTACGCGTCGAGCGACTCATTCTCCCAGAACAGCCCTATAGGCGAAGACAACGATGGTGCGGGGGACGAAACAATACGGGCAAAGACCTTGAAAGCACGACCATCATTGGCGGAACGGACGGTTCAAACTCTGTCACGGTTGCCCTCCACACCTTCACTAAGGGGAAGGGCTTCTAATTCGAACTTCTTCGAGCTGGAACCACACAGGTCGGCGTCGAGGCCTGCTAGTCGCGGTTCTCGCCCTGGGTCGAGTCTGAGAAACGAAAACCCATATCCAGCCTCCTCGAAGCCTTCTCTGAGCAGGCCAGGATCCAGTTCTGGCCCTCTTCAAGACTTGTCAAATCCTTTCAACCCGCAGCTACCATCCTTTGACAATTCGCCGTCGCGTGGACGACGGATTAGCAGCTTGCGGACGCCATCTACATCAGGCTTACGAGAACCTTCAAGATCCAAAATTGCAGGTTTACAACGGCCTCGTTCGACTACACCAAATACAGAGGTGCCAAGCCTGGCCCCCGAAACGCCAGTGGATAACTCCAAGACTTTGTCTACTCGTACAATTCAGCCTAGGCCTTCTGTGAATGGCCTCTTCAAGAAACCGGCCTTGCCAGCTGCCAAGAAGCCGGCATCAATATCATCAGCGCCTAACAAGGCGAAGACAGCATCCCTAAAATCCCCAGCAACCGTGTCGGATCGAAGCACAAATCTATCTGCTGCCTCTTCCAACTCAACAAACACAACAAGTGTTGGAGGAGACTCGCCACCGCCGTTCAAAAAGTCTTCGGCAGCACTGCGCGATCAAATTGCCAGGGCGAAAGCAGCTAAGCGCTCTGCAGCAACTCAGAAAGCCCCAGTGGCAGACGAGCCGGGTCAGACAGCTACTTGGGGCGAGTCACCCGTAGTTCCCACAGATGATACGTTCGACTTTGGCTTGTCAGATGACCCGTTCAACCTGAACCGTGATGCCAACTCAACCTCGAAGATTGTCAAGTCACGTGTGACAACTGCCAGGACAAGCGGGAGGCTTAATATTGCGGCCTTGAGCTTGAAAGAGATCCCGAAAGAGGTACTGGACATGTACAGCTTGGAGTCCATTGGCAAGCACGACGGCAGCTGGGCGGAGAGCGTAGACTTGACGAGGTTTGTTGCAGCCGACAATGAGTTGGAGATGATAGACGAGAGCGTATTTCCAGACATTGACCCTGAAGAACTGGCCGAAGACGAGGACGCTCAAGGCAGTATTTTTGCTGGGCTTGAAACGCTTGATTTGCACGGAAATATGCTGATTGCGCTACCTGCTGGACTGCGGCGTCTCACTTTGCTGACGTCGCTGAATCTGGTATGCTATTTTCTGTCATGATACTCTGAAGCCCCTGCTAACATGGACGCAGTCTTCCAACCGCCTTGCCAACAACTGTCTCGAGCCGATTTCTCAGATTATATCACTGCGAGACGTCAAGCTTGGCGGAAATCTGTTTTGGGGCACACTTGAACCCTGCTTCGGTCAGCTCATCAATCTCGAGATCCTCGACCTACATGGGAACAGCCTGCAATCCCTGCCGCCTAGATTTACCGAGCTGCACCGTCTCCGCATATTGAACGTCAGCGAGAACAGCTTTGAGTCCTTGCCATTCGACGTCCTGTCGAAATTGCCCCTGACTGAGCTGAATGCACGCAAGAACAAGCTGACGGGGACCCTGATTGATGAGAGCGTGGAGGTACTCCCAGCTTTGCAAAATCTTGATGTGTCTTCTAACCAGCTCACGAGTCTTGCTCGCCCCAATGCAGTTCTTGCCATGCCCGCGCTGACACACCTTTGTGTGTCGATGAATCGGCTGCAGGCATTGCCAGACGTCACCTCCTGGTTTGAGCTCATCAACTTGGCCGCTGATGAGAACAACATCAAAGCCTTCCCAGATGGATTTACAAGCCTGCAGAAGCTGAGAGGTGCGGATTTCTCGAGCAACGATATTAGAACTGTCCCGGCCGAGATTGCTCGCATGACCAATCTGAATATGCTGAGGTTGAGCGGAAATCCCCTCAGAGACAAGAAGTTTGTATCAGCCACCATTGAGGAACTCAAGGATGCGCTTGCAGCGCGGATGGCACCGCCCCCGACAGCCTCTGATGATTATGACGGCAGCAATGGACCCATTGCGGAGGCTCTGACGAGCAATGAAGTTAGTCCCTTGGACAATGCCTTTGACGACGCTCATTCGTCATCTTCTAACGCAGTCCGCATCCACGGAGAGCACGACGAAGAAAGCAGGACCGACACCGATGACTTTGCGACTCCGCCGACATCTGTACCCACCTCCCCGATACGAACGCGCTCCGCGCAGAGTTCTGCTCTCGTCTGGCCTGTGAGAGCTGGCGGGGTGCTGGATAGGTCGAACACACAATCATCGTCTCTTCACCCTGTCGCCTGCTCCAATTTGGCCATGGAAAATACTATTCGCGAGATACAGCTGCACCACAACCTTTTTACTGCCCTACCGGAATCGCTCAGCTTTTTTGTCGATTCACTGACTACTCTCTCACTGGCCCACAACCAACTTGTCGGCGAAAGCTATCTCAATGTAGGCGAGGGTCTCGATCTGCCATCTCTCAAGGAGCTCAATCTGTCGTCAAACCACATAACTGGCTTGACGCCCCTTGTCAATCGACTACAAGCGCCCAGACTTGAGAAACTTGACGTCAGCATTAACCGACTTGCGTCGTTGCCCTCCAGCAGCGACAAGGAGAAGGGCGGTAAACTCCTGCGGGACGTCTTTCCGAACCTGACGGTACTCCTCATTGCGAACAATCATATCGCGGATCTGGACCCGGAGAGCATCCGCGGCATGAAAGTCGTAGACGCTTCGAACAACGACATCGCGCATCTGAACCCCCGGATCGGACTGCTTGGTGGCGCTGGAGGTCTCGAGCAGCTGATAGTCACTGGCAACCGCTTCAGGGTCCCCAGATGGAACGTGCTCGAACGAGGTACAGAGGCGACGTTGAGATTCTTGAGGGGCCGCGTTCCTGTGGCAGATATGGCCGCGTGGAGGGCCGAGAAGGGGATTGTGGCAGAGGAGGATGTTAGCGATGTGGACTGAGGTCCACCGGTGTTTTTGTTGTCATTTTGCCTATGGGCAAGGAATGATGCCACCACTGCTGTTACTTCGGGTCCTCTTGGGCTTTGCTATTGCTACTTGCTTTTCATCTTCCTGGACTTGCTGGCATTGGGCGGCGATACCCTCTTCATAGTTTCATGCTCTGCTGTGGCTGCACGGCGATATACTTTTACCGGTTGACAGGGAGGACTGGGGGAGCTTCAGAAATAAAGTTCAGGCGCACTGTTCAATTCGTCAGGGATTGGCAAATGGGTACAAAAAGAGGCGGGTGGCAAGGCTTCTCGGTCAAGAAACATTCAAATGGGAGGGAGGGGACATAAGGACTAGTACATCATTGTAATCATTAGGGCTTATTATTTGTACTGAATGATACCACCACCTGAGCATATATCATAGCAGGCCACGCAATCCGAACGCCAACGCACAATGTGCAGGCACATATATATGCACGCACGGCTCTTGCTTGGCCACGTTCTGCGGCGCCGTGCCCACCGCCGCTGTCGTCATCCCGAAAACCTCGGGCACGGCCTGACCCCCTCCGGGCCCGAGGGGCGGGCAACGCACCCGACGCCTAAGCTGAGGTCTGCCATATGCCTTTCCTGCTTGAGTCTACCTCGCTGCTGAAACGTTGACGTTGCAGTAGCGCGTTCGGGGTGGCTTGCGGTAGGGCAGAGAGGGCTGGGCCAGGCAGGCCGTGCAGATGCCCTTCTCCGTCTAAACGTCGGGCGTCTGCATCCGAACGTCAGCCCAGCGGCTCGGGCCCGCAACATCCCCAACTGCTTGTCCGACCGGTCGAAAAGCCATGGCTCGAAAAGCATGTTCGGCCCGGTCACACACGCCAGAGAATGGCTGGTGGGTGTCTGGGCTTCGTGCGGCTGATGATGTATGTGTTGTCGGTCGAGACGCGGTTGGTTACGCCTGCCTGGGCGGATGGGATATGATTACTAGGGTTTCTCTCACTCGCATATCTTTTCTGGGCGAGGTCGAATTTCTCTGATTTATTTTCTTCGACTGACATATCTTGATGACTGTTTGTACTACATGCGCCAGTGGAACGGCAGACGAGCGAACTTTCAACAGAAAATGAACGGCGCAACACAGATCGGGCTGGCGATAGGTGAGCTAACCCTGCATAAAGAGTGTACAACCACATCGAGTTTCAAAAAGCTAACAGTACACCCAAAATAGCCATGCTTGCCCACCCAGCGCTCGCCCAGTTCGGCGGCTGGGGAGGAGGAGACGGCAGCGGCTTTGGAGGCGGGAGCAGCAGCAGCGGCTCCTCTTCCTCCTCCTCCTCCTCGGGGTACGGCAGCGGCTCCGGCTCCGGCGACAGCGGCTTCGCCTTTGGGGAGGGTTTCGACTACGGCACGGCCTCGCGCCAGCGCAGCATCCACGGCATCATAGCCAGCCTCGCCTTCGTGATCCTGTTCCCCCTGGGGGCTATCTTCCTGCGCATCATCCCGGGCCGGTGGTCAGTGCGGATCCACTATGTCGTCCAGATCCTCGCCTGGTTCCTATATATCGCCGGGTTCGCATTGGGCGTTGTGTTGTTGCGGACGATACCGTCACAGGGCCGTGAGGCTTTGGTGAGTTCACCTAGGGGGCCCGTCTGGTTGGGAAGACGGGCTGGGTGTTGGTTCTAGGCGCCATGCTGACAAAAGAAATCCAAATAGTTGACGAGCTCACCCACCAATGCCCATCCCATCATCGGCATCGTGGTATTCGTCATGCTCCTGATTCAGCCTCTGCTGGGTTACATCCATCATCGCAAGTTCAAGCGGTACGAGAGGCGTACTGCAGCCTCACACCTCCACCTTTGGGATGGCAGGATCGCCATTGTCTTGGGTATAGTCAACGGCGGACTCGGCCTGAGGCTCGCCGGCGCCCGCGATACGCTGAAACTCGCGTACACCATTGTGGCTGCCGTCTTAGGTGGAGCGTGGATTGTCCTGGCCGTTTTGAGTGAGTGCAGGAAGGCCCGGAAGCAAAGTGACACAAGATACAGGGGCGAGACGGCACCGACGGTGAGGATGATACGGGTCCAGAAGGCATCGAGACATAACAGTAGCGATAGTTATTCGGAGAGGTCGAGACACTAGGATTGGACTTATGCGTTGCCTAGAAGAGGACAAAGCCTCTTGTCTTGAGCTAGTACCGTGCTTGAAGTCTGGACCCAGGGAATCGGAAAGCTTGCGATGATGGTGGACAAAGAGAGCCATTGATAATGATGGGTTTCAGGGAAACGCTTTCATGGAAGTCTCCTGCAGAGTCTGTGGAATCGTGACGGATCTTGGTCAGGCATATATAGGCCTCAGATGATATCTATCTTTCAGTGATGTATCAGCAAAGCTGCATTAATGGATGTCTCATTTGCATGAGTTCATCGTGTCAACCTTAGAAATAATCATGAAGCATGCCAGGATCTCGAGACCTGAGCGAAAATTCAAAGTTTAAAAGGTTGTTTTCTGGTGCCTTCGCACCAGAACCAAAATCGCCTCGCTCCCCACCTTACATGACCATTGGTGACAATCTTCCCATCAGACATCCAACGCCAGAAGATTACAACGCAGCTATCAAAATGGATTCTGAATATGCAAAGACTTCTCGAAATCAAGCACCACCACTGTCACCAACGCCAGCTGCCAACTTAGTTGGTCATCACCCAGATGGCGCTCTTCGTGAATTGACAATGGAATACACTACGCCGGGGGCATTGACTGAGAAGATGATTACGCTCGCGAATACTGATGGAAGCTACACGGCGATGCACTCCACGCCACCGATGAGAGATGGCATTTCGATGAGCGAGGATGACCACTGCAACTTTGAACACCAAGGCAGCAGGTCTGCTAGAAACGCGAGACCAGTGTTTGAACCGTATGAGCTCGAAGCCGTGCCATCAAGAATTGCTAGCGAGGGCATCAAGGCCTTCTCTGATGAATTTTTGGGCAAATCACACGATCGAGGCAAGGAGCGCGATGGCCGGATATCCAGACATTCGACAGCCCGTCCCAGACCGGGCAAAGGTGTGGGAACTGCTCCAGCAACAGCAATTCGCCATCCGAAAGCCTCGGAGGCGACCAGCGAGAAGCGACACAGACCCGACAAAGGATCTAACAGCGATCCTTTTCTGGGCACCGGAAGATCCATGAATAACTTTCTTAGCCTCACCAGCACCACGACATCGACGTCGACCACTGGCCCGCTCAGCGAAAGCCCCTTGCTCCTACGCAGCAGCCAGCTCGGTGGCACGCCAGGACTCTTGAACCTACATGACGCCTACGAAGAGGTTGTCTCGCTCCTGAACACACTGAAGACCATGCAGAGAAAGCAAACGAAAAACGAGGTGGATGTTGCTTTGAGGAAGTGCCAAGAAGACTTGAAGGGGCGATCCAAGGACAAGACGATCGGGACAGCGGAAGCGAACATACTGGACCGCGAAGCGGCGAGAATTGGTCGTGCCAGAGACGAGGCGAGCAAGCAGACCCCGAAATCTGACATGGCGTCCAGCCCAGGGGAGGATGCAGTCTTTGAAGCGAGTCTACGCCTGGCATTGACAAAGCTCATCAGAGACGCTCGTGCCGCACTGGAGGCCGTGGCTCAGGAGAAGAGTAACACTGCATCCGCTTCACGGTCGACGCCTCGATACCATGCGTTCCCTGGTGCTGAAAATTATCGGCTGAAAGCAATTAATCTCGAGAAACGGACGTTGGAAGATCAAATGGAACGCCTGAGTGCAGAACAGGAGCAGGCAAGCAAGGAGAACTCAGATCTGAATAGCATCTTGGAACAGCTCAAAGGTCATCGACAGGAGGAGCCGATGGGTACATTGGGCCCGTGGGGAAAGGAATGGAACTGTGATAGCAGGAGAGGTGTGTGAGATGCGCAGCAGCATGGCAGGAGAGCCAGTCCAGTTGAGTTCCGAGATATGGGAGACGTTCAATAGTGGGTTGTGGCGGGCAAAGGATCACAGCACGACCATTCGAGATTGGCCGAAGAAACGGTGGCATACGAAGGTGAAAATTAGGATAGATCAGCGGTGAACATTTGAACATTGCGAGTATGTGTTTTCGTTGATGTCTCGGACAATGTGGTAGACGAAGATATAAGCGTGGTGGAGAGGGTGAGGTGCAACTGAATGTGAATGCTGGGAGTGCTTACCTCAGCGGCCATCGACCCCTAGGCACTCCCAGGCTGCACAGGGGCTCCCCTTGCAGCAATTTGACGGCGGGCGGCCTTGCAGCAGCTGATCGTGTCCTCAAAACCGACCTTCGTCTTGCGCTCGTCCCAACCCTGCCAGCCAGCGCATATCACCGCCGACAACCACTACTTCATTCACGTCGCTCCTTTCCTCAGCCCACTTTTCTTCCAAAGGCAACTATTCGATCCCCGAACCGCCCTCCCAATCGATCAACAATCCCTTCCAAAAAGCATCATTCATCGCGAACAAGATGACGCGCGCCCAGCAGACCATCTCCATCGCCCTGCTCGTGAGCTCGGTGCGTTTGTCCAACCCCCATGCGCCCCCAAATGCCCTGTGCATAAGCCAGCAATCACCAAGGCTAGAGCAACATACTAACCAGACAAACGAAAATAGGTCTACCTGGCGCTCTACCTCAACCTGATCCCCCTCCCCGCCGTCGTCCAGACCGAGATCGTGCCCATCCTGCCCTTCTGGGCCCTCGTCTCCCTCGGCGCCTACCTGCTCGTCCGCCTCGGCTGGGGCGTCCTGACCTTCAACGACACCCCCGAGGCGCACGAGGAGCTGATGAGCGAGATCGAGGTGGCCAAGGTGGAGCTGCGGAAGCTGGGCGTCACTGTGGACTAAGGGGTACGGATGACGAGGAGCACGAGGATGCATTTGGAGACTGCCCTTTATACACAGCTCTTGCTCTGTCCGCTTTTGAGCAGTGCTTTGGGCTTTGAAAGTGCCCAACATTTCGGGGTGATATACGAGGCTGGGAAGGTACACGCCTACCAATGTTGAGCTCGCCTACGCCGAGAGCTCGGAGGGCCCTGTCAGGCACAAATGCGCAGTTGAGACTCGCGTGTGTCGGGAGGAAATATTATCAGACGGACGTCATATTTCTGATCATACGCCCCAAGATACAAATAATAATATCACAAGACGCGCACTATCGCGCTGCGTCTCCCGACCTGGCTGTTTGTAGCGAATTGCTCCTCCCTTGACATCCAACATGCTACAGTGTTTCCACATGGGTCTGCGATCGCAGAGACCCAATGGCCGGATTCCTGTACGGCTTTAAAACCCTGGAACAGTCCCTGCCATCTACCCGTGCTGCACGGTTACTGCATTGGATCCCCCGTTTAAGGACCTGGCTCACCCGCCAAAAGGGCCACGACCGTCTTAACTGCCGTCAAAGGGTCCTCGCCACCTTGTACAAGTTTGTCAAACAACATGGGTATTCCAGCAATGCTTTTGCGATTATCAGATGCTTGCCCTGTAGAGAATCCATGTCAGCTCCATTGGTTCCAAAGAACGACAAAACCGTGGCCAAGATTGTAGAGAATAGAGGCACTTACATTTTCCCGGGACGCCAACCTCCACACCAAGCTTGCTCCTCGCCTCACCAGTCCAGTCAAACTCAATGCCCCAGCTGACGCGCAACTCCGACGCTGCGCTGGCGCCCTCCTCGGCAAGGCAGGGCACGCTCAGGTCCATGGTCGCCCTGCCCATGTGCGGCAGCAAATCTGCCTTGGAGAGCATCATGCCCTCCAGGGAGCCGCCCGCCGAGTCGGCAGATTCGAAACTGCCGCCGACATCATCCGTCTCTCCCCGTGCTCGCCTCTTCCGCCTTTTCTTCGTCCTCATAGCTCTCACAACGTCCAGGAGCCCGTCTTTGGCTTCTGGTCCGAGCTGCTTCTCCAGCGCGTGCCAGACCTTGGCCCTTTTCAGCGCGACCCGGTACCATTCGCTCATAGCCCATGCAAGCATACTGACGTTCCGTGTGAGCGCGCTATGTTGTGGCGCCTTGCGGGTGATACTATTGACGAAGGGCTGGAGCTCGCCCACGGCGGCGGGGTCGAGCCTGGGCACGGCGAGGGACGACACTGCGAGGGTGCGGGTGTTGACTGTCATATCTATGCGCGCTACGAAAAGGCCAGGTGGGGTGGCAGAGCCGACGCGGATTATGAGCTTTTTCAGCATGGGCTCTCCTTGGTCAGAGGGGGCGGAGATGGTAATGGACTTCGAGGTGAAGGTCAGAGGCGCGAAGACTTGAAGATAGGGGAGCTCATCTGCGGCGGACATCGGTATCGGATGGTGAGATATTGGAGGAGGCTCGGGCTTTTCCTTCTCTTGTGGTATTGGGGGTGGGAGAAAGGCCGACGAGGATCCATTGAACCCCAACATTGCGATGGGGTCCATCGCTGTCTCGAGCCATTGTGAAGTTGGATCAGGCTCTTGGTCCTTCTGCCCAGGGAGAAGATGTCGGCGGAACAGGTCTAATATGTCGCTGCTATCCGCGGATGAAGATACTCCTTGAGCCGCAGCCTGGTTCTCCCTCGTAGCCAGTTCAAGGTCCGCCTCTAGCTGCGCGACCTCCCGCAACAGCGCATCGCGTTCTCTCTCCTTTTCCGCGAGTGGGTTCAGCCGTATACTCCGGCGCGGATGTGTCCCCGGCGCGAACTCGCTCTTTGACTTCTCACTCTGGTCTTTCGAAGGCTGTGATGTCGGTTGGTCCTTTTCGACAATTTGTACCGGACTTCCGCGTCTTGCGACACGAAATACTCTGGGTTTCTGCGACTCTTTCTGCGGTGGGCCATCACCATCTCGTGACGTTACTTTGGACGGCGACTCTTCCCGCGCACGTCCTCCAACATTGCCCTGACGGCGTCTCTTAGACGGCGTGTTATGTATTCCCGATGGTGGAGTGCTCACCACAGGATCGTTACGGTGAGGTGTAGGCGGCAATTCGGGCTCTTGGGGAACAACGACTGGGAGAACGCCAGTGTTGAGAGGCGAACGATGCAGTGCGCGCCCGATGAAAGGGTTGAACAGGTCTTCCTCATGCTCGGGTGCAGGAGGTGGCAGTGGCCGTGGTTGGGGTCGACTGGGTGAGCGCCGGGCTGGTTGTGCGCCGAGGGTGGTGCCGCCAGCCCTCCTCACTGGTGACCGCGATCCTGACCTCTCTTGATTTCCGCCGGCATCGGATGGCGCGCTGTGAGCTGTCACAGCTGCATAAGGTTGCTGGGAAGCTGGAGACGACGCGGTGCCATCTCCCTCAGAGTGGTGTTCGAGCTGTGCAGTCAGGGCGTTCGAGAGGTCGGCCTCATCGTCAGGGGATTCTGGTTGCGACGCGGGTAGTTCCTCCGCTCGAATCGAAGCGGGCTCGCGTCTGGTTAGGCTTGACCTTGTGGGAGACTCGGACGTTGCTCGTGGTTCCGTTGGCTGCTGCTGCGGTGGAGGGTCTGGCGGGGTGGTGGACTCGACGGGGACAGAAGATGTTGGAGATGTTTTGCGCCTCTTGGGCGCCGATGACTCCATTACCGGACAAAGATGCTGGACATCAGATCATCATGGACATTATACTGGGAGTTTGACGCGCTTTGGCGGTTGCGACGCGTATCAATGGGAGGTGTCGCAAGCTGTTCAGGGTTCTCGGCGCGTGTTTTCGGGAGCATCATATGGAAATTCCCCAACTCGGCTGCTGTTTACTTTGGTCCACAATCTGCGAAGCTCGGGCCAACAGATCTCGCAAGGGGCCCTTGTTGTCTGGCATGCCTGGTCATGATTTGGGGAGAACTTTACAGGCCCAAGACATTGACTTAGGAACCACGAGGCTGTTCACTGGCTTGCGCCTCAATTATGCTCGAATGGATTAAACGTATGTAAACACAATCTAGCTGTTTTCCCGAGCGTTTTGAATTTGTTTACACTTACAGCCTTGAACTGAGATCGTGCTGCGCATGTCTGCTGTGAATGCTATTAACCCCGGATTATTCCCATCATGACGTTTTTTGCCGATCGAGAAATTTGTCCTGGGGCTTTGCCCGTCGACGTCAGACCAATTGCGGCTCTGGCATCGGCAAGCTTGGCCCCTGTTTTTTCCTGCTCCTTCTTCCGACCTCACCTCGTCGCCCACGATAGACTAGACTAGTCTTGACGACACCTCATACTCCTCTTCTCTTGCACATCATTCTCACGCACTGCTGCGCATCTCATCTCCTCCTCTTGCATCACGACGTAAGTCCCCCTGCTGCCCATCTGCAGCAGCCATGTCGTCCTCCGTCAGAACAATGCTCTTCAACCCCCGGCCCTTGCGGTCGCTGGTTGCGACAAGTCGAACCCATCGCGCCTACGCAACCATCCCCACCAAGAACCCAACCCCTTCGCCACCAAAGGAGGACTCGAAAGAGCAGGCCATGCCCATAGGACGCTTCTACGAGGCAATCCTCAACACGCCCCAGCCCATTCCCGATGTCAAGCCCGAGGAGCCCGCCAGCTCTGTCAAGGCCGCCCAAGAGGAGGAGTCCACCAAGGAGCCAGCCAAGCGCGGTCGCAAGCCCAAGGCAAAGGCTGAGCCAGCTGCTACTGCCACTGCCGGCACCAGTCCCACAGCTTCGCCAGCAGCCAACCTCAAGGAGACAGCCAAGGAGGCCGCCGCCAAGAACTCCTCTCCGTCCTCTTCCTCCCCACCCCCTTCGGTAAGACACGTTTGACCCCCCGCATGACCTAGTCCATGCGCACCATGACTCACCAGATTTTATGGCCATAGTAGATAGGGACATCGCCGCCCGTCCCCACGCCGCCGCCCACGCAATCAAGCAGCGAGGACAAGGCCAAGGTAATATTCGGGTCGCGCCTCGCCGGGCCGGCCGAGCGAGCCGAGCAACTGGCACGGCTGCGCGCGAAAAGCACCCTCGTCGCGGGGGTCCTGGTGCCGCCGAAGCCAGAGGAGCCGGACAATTGCTGCATGAGCGGGTGTGTCAACTGCGTCTGGGACCGGTACCGCGATGAGATGGAGGACTGGGCGCTTGCGGATGCGGAGGCGAAGACGAAACTAGCGGCAGAGAAGGCGGCAGAGGCAGAGGCTAATGCTGGTGTTGATGCGGGCGTGAGTGCGGATTCGACGACGACGACGAGACCACCGGCAACTTCTGCGGTAGATCACACTGCTGTTAGCATGGATGACGACGGGGGTGGATCGGATACCAACTGGGACGTTCCTCCCGCTTCACCTTCGCCCAAAATTGCTAAGGACTTTTGGGACGATGACTTGTACAAAAACGTGCCGGTCGGCATCAGGGAGTTTATGAAGCAAGAGAAGAGGCTAAAAGAGAAGCATTCTCGCGAAGGCACCTCGGGGGGTTGATATTATCTATCATGCTAATAGAGTGCTGCTTTAGGCCGAGTTTATGTGTGTTTCCAATGCGTATGTGGTTGATGCCTGCTGTGTACTCGAACTTACATTTCCATCTTCGTGGTGGTAGTCCTCACTGATTGGCTTTCTTTTGTTCCGTTTCCATGTAGTCAATATTTTCTGCCCTGTATAAAGTCTTTCATCCGAATTATTGCTGCGGTAGATTTTGCTGCATTTGATGCTGCCCAGCTTGAAAATTTGTTTACTCACTCAGGTTATAGGAAATCTATGGGCACTTATTCTCATTGTCAATTCGAACTGGGGATGATTAGAACTCGAGTGGAAAGCATTGGCTCTTTGGGTAAAAGCAGGCCAGTCACGGTGTCAGGGAAACGGTCCAGCAAGACGGTCCGAATCACATTCCGTTTAAACCACGATCAGTGACGGTCAGGTTACCAATGTGGGTACTGCGGCTTTGGATGAGGCGACGGGGTATGCCATCAGGAAGAGAACATGTCTATGTCTTTGTCAGTGCTTTACAAGTGTTTTCGTCGTTGGCCTGGGTCTGGCCTCAGGTGAGACTCAAGGCTTTCAGGGAGTCGGTCCTTTCTGTGAAGACACTTCATTTTGGCTGGATGATAAGGCATCTCATTTGCATAGCGGGAGGCAGAACGGGGCTAAAGCGACGGCTTCTGCCCATCACTATCAGGTGAGAGCCAGCAAGGTGTATGTGCTATGGCTTGGGGCTGCGATTTCTTATCGAGTATACAGACAACAGGGCTATGGCCTGCAGATGGAGCTGCGCATCGACCTACGCTGGACTTGCGGATTGGGCTGTTGTGTTAGCGGGTAACGGCTACCTGATGGCCTTGGTTGGATACTTTTCGCACGGGGTGGAATCCCCCACGGCCGTCTCTCTGTTGTTTTCATCTCAACCTTTCTGACAAAGATGGACATCTTTCTGGATCTGAAAACCATCACTATTTTCTAGGTTCCTTATACATCAGGCACACGGAGAATCACCTACCAAGGTGAGGGTACCGTGGGCATTGACATCACACTTTCCTCCTTCACCTCGGCGTCACCTTGTCAACCATCACTTTTGGACTTCGAAATTCCACGACAACTTTTTTCTCATCACCATTCCACAACACTCTTGATACCATCACCACCGACAGGTGAAGCACATTCATTCCATCGGAACAGGCAAACTCTTTCGTTTGGTCGAAATACACTCGACTTCCTCCTTCTCGTCCTCGTCCTGATTTTGCAGGCTTTGCAATTCACCTATCGCAATTCGAATCGCGACTCAACCTCACTTTCACGAAGCACAGAAGCGCAAGCCATGATGAGCGACCTAAGCGGCGGGTTTGCGCCGCAACAAAATGACGAACGTTTGAGCCTCGACATTGACAGTAGCAGTCCGAGCAACGCCATGATCAATCCTGCGAACACTTCGGCTTCGACAGTCGACCAATCCCCCATTACAAGTCATAGCAGCGGTCCACCCAGCAGTCACTTCACTTCCAGCGCATCTGCTGTTCAGGCTCGCGATACTGCCGCTTCCCATTGCGACCTTCCTAGCGATCTAGCGCACTCCGGCGAGCGCGCGATGTTAGAAGCTCGAAGCGACAATCAGCAACGCAAGCTCAATCCAATGGCGATTGATTTTATCCTCAACAGCGATTCTACTGGACACACAAGCGAGGGAAACGACACTTCTACTCAACCCCCGATTGAGGGAAATGACAATGGCACAACGAAACAAACAGAATCGTGCAAGTGCAGTCTGTCGCATTGGACCCTGGGACGTCTTGAAATCTTCGACTCCACCATTCAAAAACAGATCGGAACTCATAAGGAATCGATCAATAAAGTTCTAGCGAGCGCATCCGACAGAGCTCCAGCCAATATGAATGATTCTCTTCCATACGAATCGGAATTTACGCTCGTTATGGGCTTGAGCGAAGAGAAAGTCACCACTGTGCGGAATCTCAGAGCCAGACTTCGTGACGCGAAACGCGAGTCGGTGCACATTTTTCAGCATGCAGAGAAGAGAGAGGAGGCGGAAGCAAAGGCTAAGAAGAAACCGATGAAATTCATTGTGAGCGGATCCAAGTCAACGATTTACGACATTCCCGAGAGCTTCGGCTCCTTTGTACTCAAGGTCGGTTCACTGCCACATATCAACCAAGAGCGACTGAATCATCGTCGCGTTACGCAAGCGCAGGAAAAGTATGGCGCTTTAGTTTGGGCTGGTCCGGACACATCCAGATTCAAAATGCTACTTGTGCCCCACATCATGAAAAGTATACCGACAGGATGGGTGGCGCACAGTGTCCCCGGCCTTCTCAGGCCTTCCAAAGATCTTGACCCACGTATTCAGGTGTTCTACAAGCAGGACGGCGACCGCATAGCCATCGACAATGATGAGAGGGCCGATGGTACGACTGGCATTGTCATGTCCCGGATCAAAGACCTCGAAGAAACCACCCGCAGAAAGATTCTTCAAAATTACTGCAACATCGAGCAGTCACAAGTGGAAGAGGTCTTGAGCTTGAACGACCACTGCCTTGTCCGCGTCTTACTTGGCAGGAGATTCGACGACGACGACGACGACGAGGAGTCAGATGATGCTATGGAATCCGTCTCGGGGAACGCCGTGGACGATGACGTGGAGATGGCCTCAGTTGACACCTCGGACTGTGAGCCTCCCTCTCTCTTAAACATTCCGGGATATCTCGATTTCATCCTTCATGCCTGCAAGAAGGTGCGAGACGGCCCGGAGGCACTTGCGAAACAGATCGCATTCGGCTATGCCCTACTCCATTGGGGAGCTCGCCTCGACGGCCGGGGAATAGAATTTCTCCTGGGCTTGGCCCCACTTGGACGGGGAAAGCGATTGTATATGCTCGACTTCGAAGCCTGCCGTCCACTTGGTGAGTTGACCGCTGCGTGTGTCCGTAACCGACTTATCCCAGCGGCTCTTGATAACGACCCGTACATTCCGCGCGCCTGTTTCGGTGATAGCAATGAAGTCCTAAGACGGGACAGACGTGGGAATCCCCGTATTTTCACAGACAGAAGCGATCGAGTCCACCTGTGGAAGGTATTTGTGAAGCATTACCTTGAGGCCAGCGCAAAGATCTGGGAAGCATCCGACAAGGACTTTGACTCCACTTTGCCTGAGACATTCATCCGGGAGCTCGAGCGCAATTTCTTGGAGCAGAACGAGAATGGGTCAGAGCATGGTGGCCGTGAGCAGGACGGGGAGAACGAAGCCAACAGCCAACAAGACAGTGAGGATGGCGGCAACGACGAAGATGACCCAGCTCAGGCCGACCGTGAGGCCTCTGAGAACAACGACTACGGAAGCGACGAATACAATCCAAATTCGACTGATTCTGAGGACTCGTCAGAAGAAGAGGACAGTGACGATGACGACGACGACGATGTGGACTAGGATACCCACAATCTGTTCTGGTTCGGAACGACTGAGCTCAACTTCGTATGTACAAACCTCTCCGTGCTGCGGCTACCTATCCGTCTTTTTCTAGAATAATCCAGAATACATCGCTTCGGGCTACGTCGCAGGTGACTAACCGCATAACAAAATAGTGCCCACTCCCGCCCGCGAAGCCCATTTTGAAGAAGTCAGCAAGCAGCGACACGTCGACCACGCCGCCGAAGGCCCGCAGTGAGACTAGCCCGCGCAAGGTCACGTTCTGGCGCAACTTACCGTCCTACAAGATGGAGAAGCCGGCGAACGCGCCTTACTGGAAGAGAGGGAGGGCGCGCCAGCCAATCCTTTTGGGATTCCACTAGACCATGTCGTCGGTGGTAGAGTTTTTGTGCGAATTGGAAATTGATCGAATTGGTGGTTAATGCCGGATTGCGATGCCACCAAATGGCAAGATGGTGGCTAATGCCATTGGGTGGCTAATTGATTGGATGGTCTCATTACGCTCTGGAAATTGGCACGCTGCACACGAAAAGCTTTTTCGTTTGGCTTGTTGTGGTGGTGCAGGCCATGTGGTCTTGCTCCGGACCTGGCCTTGTCCCGTCCATGACCATGAGGCTGCATTCAGTTTGAATCCGGTTGTGATTGTTTGTGGCTACTTTACGGAACGTCTCTCTTTCTTTACAAGATGGAGACCAAAAGTTGAATACTTTGGCTTTTTAAATGTGTTCCTTTATTTTGTGTGACTCTATGTGCTTCCCTCCACTATGTAATCCTTTATCAAGCGTTCTCTCCTGTTTTCTTATTCTCTCTGCTTCTGCCCATGGTGGAGATGCCAACATGATACCTGGCCTGCATAGACGAGAAAAGCAGTTCGACCACTAAGCAAGACCAAGCAGGGCCTAGCTCCGGAGGACATTTCAGTGTAGTTTAGGTATAAGCCTTTACAATATTATGTGATCCCGCTGGTGTTCGCAGTGACCGCAACCCGTGAATGGGCCAATCGGCCTATTGGTTCGCCATCGTAGTTCTCAGAGAAGACACTAGCCCGCCCATCTGCAGTATTACTGGCGACTGAAATGAGGCAGACCCTTTTCTGGAGCCCTGCCTAGCAAAACGGATCTATGGGTATAGAGGACGTAGCGTCCCTGGGGCGGGCTTGGGTGAGACAAGGCGGCACCCGAGCCCACTATGCTTGGATCCTCGCGGAGGTTTACGTGAATTGCTATAAGCCAGATCTGCTCTCATATGGCGTGGGGGCGGAAGCAGATCAAAATGGAATCACAACTATGTGAGCTTCCTCCGGTCGCGTATCTGCCGGCTCTCAAGACTGAGATGGAACAGGTTTCTGGGGACGAGTGCATCACAAAATTCTGAGGACATAACTTTGAAATGTTTCTCAACTCTTCGTCATTCGGTTCTAGGTCAGCAAATGTGCCCTTGAGTCGCCTCTTCAGCTCTGTTTCGTTTTCCTCATTCCTGCAGTGATCCAATCCCATCGCTATGCAACCGTCCCAGCCAAGCTGAAGTATTGTCATGTTGCCGCTCAAAAGTCCACTCATTCAGTTGCCCATGCAAACAAGCCGCCCATCCCTTTCCTGGCTCTTATATATGCCGAATATGTCACCCACAAGGAAATAGATCATACGGACATCACAAACGTTATTGCGCCGCTCCCCAACTGGGCGTCAACTGGGGGGTGGCCTGGGGCAGAGTTGCCCTTCTAATGCCAAAAAGAACTTGACGAGCAGGCGCGCGCACGCTCGCTCGCTCGCTCTTCAGTGTGTGGCCCGTCCTCATGAGGAGCCATTGGCCTGCTTCGCCTTCATCTGCCTGGAGAGCTCGTCGTGCTCCTCGATGTCCTCGGCCTCCCAGGGGTAGCAGATCCACTCGTCGCCGACGGTGCGCGCGGCCATGTAGCGGCCGTTGTCCATCATCTCCGCGGGGAGGGTGCCCTTCTTTTGCTTGTTCTTGTTCTGTGTGTTTTTGGGCGCAACTGGTCAGTCCCAGCTCCAAAGCATTTACCAACGTAACAGTGTCGCGTTCAGGGGGGCAGGGAGGGTGAGGGGGGCGACTTACGTGCAGCACAAAGATGCTAAACTCGGTCTTGGCGTCCTCGCCCTCGAGGCCGAGCTTCTGGCGGGCGGCCTCGACGTCCTTCTCGAGCTCCTTGACGGCGTACTCGAGGGTGGTGCGGGTGTCGTCGACCTCGTCGACGATGAGGATCTTCTTGCCGATGAGGTTCTTCATCTCGCCGAGGCTGGTCAGGTCGAGCCACTGGGTGCGGGTGACCTTCTTGCCGGGCTCCTCGACGACGGTGTCGCTGAGGGTCTCGTAGAGCGACAGGCCGATGGCCTGGATGGGGATGTTGGGGCTGCCGGTCTTCTTGAGGAACGAGCGCAGGATGCGGGCGGGCACGTAGCCGCCGCCGCCGATGGCGATCATGAGGTGGGGCTTGAAGTTGTCGAGGATGTGGGCGGCGGACTCCTGACAGAGCTTGTGGACCTGGAAGTGGGAGGGGGCACAGGAGTTAGAAACATGGGTTTTTTCTTGGTTGCGGTGTGCTCGTTCTCGCGGCGAGCGCGAGCGCCGTGTTGGTTCTGGACGGCGTGTGCGTTTTGGGGCGGTGGCCTGGGCGAAGCCTAGGGAGTACACAGTATACACACATCATTGTAGGTGACGTAGAGCTTCTCGACCATGTTGGGCGGTGGGTTGCTGCAGGTAGCGAGCCGTTTGTCGAGTCGGGTGGGTGCAGATGTCTCGGGCGCGTGCAAATGCAGGTGAGAGTTTATGGGCGCGGAGGTACGGGGACGGGCGCACGCAGCGAATAAGCAGATGTGCTGCAGTACTGTATTATGGTGGTGGGGTTGGAGGGGTTCGATGATGAGGAGAATATGAGAATACAAGAGTGAAGTTAGGGAGGGAAAAAGGAAAGAGAAAAAAGAAAAAGACTACAGGTAGAGAAATCAACAGCACGGGAAAATATCTGGCAAAAAAATTCCAAGGGTCCCATCCGTCTCGTCGCCTGGTCTCATGGGATGGGGGAAAATTTGCCTGGTCTGGCGCCAGTCCATAGCCAAGTCCAGTCCAGTCCAATCCAGTCCCAGTCCAGTCCAGTCATTCAGATTCAGTCAGTCACCCAACCCCGCGGTGCTGGGCCATGGGCCGTGGGCCGTCCGTCGCATGTATTGTAGTATTGTACCCCACGTGTGCCTCTTGGGCCTTCATGCTTTCTTCATGCACGCAATGCAACCTTGTACAAGCGCGGAACCCCGCAGTCAGCAGCACAGCAGCACAGCAGCCAGCAGTCAGACGTGTTTCCCCGAGCAAGCAAGGAAGCAAGCAGTTTCATCATTGCTACCCGCGTAAAAGTAAAGTGTGTGCTGTGTACCAACTTGACGCCGTTAGCGACAGGTCACATCTGACTCTGACTGCCCTGAGGCGGCTCCACGCTTCTTGATTGACTTGACTTGACTTGACAATTCGACTGTCAGTCTGAGTGAGTCCATTATGAGTGGCTACTGTAACAAAGAGTTATTGATGGGTCTACAGCGTAATCTGTACAGGAGGAGCTTGCTCCCAGTCCACCCTAAAGAATCCTACGCTATAAGCCAGACTGCGTAAGAGCCGACAACAGGCTGCCCTGGCATTTCTACAGCCATTGGATATCTCGAACTTCATCAATTCCATTCTTCATCTCTTTGAAGTTTCTACGGTTGCACGCCATTGGAAACTTTTCCTCTGGCAACCCTTTAAGCCGCCTTGAACCACACGTCTCCACCGGTCTATCCACCTGCGACCCACCAACACTAACGGAGACGGCCGCCCTCCGAGTCGCATCGGAAACCCCCAGCCAGTCGAGCACTCGCATGTCGGCCCCGCGGCGTGACCGGATCGGAGCATCAACGACCCACTTATCACCCCGTCCAAAAGTCACACAACGCCGCCGCCGCCCCCGCCGACAATGGACCAGGACAACCCAACCTCCGTCCCAGAGAACCTCAAATCCCGACTCAGGGACTCGTACGACGCCATCGCAGAGGCATACACCCACTGGTCCACCAGAGGTGCCGCCATCCGCCTCTCCTACCTGGACAAGCTCCTCGGCCTGCTCTCCCCTTCGCACAGGGACATCCTCGAGGTAGGATGCGGCGCCGGCATCCCCACGACCGAGAAGCTGCTGGCCCGCAGCCCCCGGTTCCGCATCACCGCCAACGACCTGTCCTCCTCCCAGATCGAGCTGGGCAGGAAGCGCCTGGACGAGGCTTGCAGGGCTGACGCGGACCGGGTGGCCTGGGTCCAGGGCGACATGATGAGCCTCGACTTGCCTGACGCGGCCTTTGATGTGGTGCTCGGCTTCTACTGCATCCAGCACCTGCCCCGGGACGAGCAGGCCGCCATGATCCGCAGGGTCGCGGCCTGGCTCAGGCCGGGGGGCTACATGCTCATCAACTTCCCGGCCAAGGATGATGAGAACGTGGTCATGACCGGCTGGATGGGCGAAAAGGGCTGGGTATACCACAGCGGCTGGGAGGCTGACAGGTACAGGCAGCTGTTGAGGGAGGCGGGCCTGCAGCTGGTCTTGGACGAGGTGAGGCAAGATAATGTCAAGGCAGATTTCTTGTGGGTTGTTGCCAAGAAGCCACAGATTCCAGCGGTATAACTCGGTGAATTAGTCTATATGTTCTTGATACCTCACATGGAGTCGCTTTATTAAGCAACTCATACCACCATCAAACAATGTGTGTCATGATCAAAAGATTCTGTTTCCTCCCTTGGCCAATTGTGTGCTGATCGTAATACTGGTCCTCACGCGCCCCAGATAGATAGTCGGATAGATAGTGGTGGGCTCTCTCTTATTCGGTATTCGGTGTGCAACGTCACACCCCGACTGTCAGCTTTACTATGTCCCAGTCAAAGCGGCCTTCCCTTGCGTAATCCTTCACCGGTGCGGAAGGTAAACCACAGAGAATGGAATGCCAGCGAGGGAGGGCGCAGCAAGGCTCCAGACCTAGTCCAGTCATAACGTGGCTTCGTCTCGGGCCGGTGGTCAGAACTGGGCTTGGGCGTAAAAAGTGGCTTTCCCACATGGCTGTCTTCGAACCCAACAATGAACCACATGAGGCGCGAAGTGCAAGGCTAACGAGTGAGACTTTCCCTGTGCGCTGACCGATAGAATTTCTCCTTTCATTTCCATTTTTGGTTGCCGTCTGCTCTTTCATGTATGATAAGCCCAAATACGATGCTCACCGATCCAGCTCGCTTAATATTTCCCAAGTACAACTACCTCCCAAGCTCGCAATCTTGACTGTCGTCGGGCATCAATTTATCATTCCCGCCATTTCGCAAGCCCTGGAATGCAAGGGCCATCAGAGAGCCGTCATCGGTGACGGTAAGACAATCCGGGCCTACAAGATGTCCTACTCGCAGACGGGGAACTTGTGACTAGTGGGTGACATCGTGCTTGGGATGACTCGGGGTCCTTTGTTCAACGGTAGACCAAATTCAAGTGGAAGTCGCTGTACTTGGTACTATCTTTTCTTTGTCTAATCGCCATCTCTCATTCGCTTGTTACTAAGGCCCAATTCACCATGACTGAGGCTGACTCCGTCCGTGGCTTCCTCTGCGGAGCAGCACAAAAAGCAAGCGTTTCTGAACCGGAAAAAAACATTGGCCTCGTAGACAACATATAAACATCGGAATATAAGCGTTACCAAAAAAAATAATACGCAATGAATGAGGACTTTTCAGCCATTCTGGGCAGAAAAGTGGTTTTGTTGCTCCCGTAATGACTTCTTCAATCCCAGCTCCATCCTGGGCCTACTCCCACGACGTGACCTTTTCCAACCCGGTCTTCTCACATCACACAATTAGGAACGCCAACAAGTCAGAAGTCGCACTCGCCCCAGAGAACTTCCGACCAAACGGGGGCTTCACAGCGGCAACCACCAGATTATTCCCCAACAGCAACAGCAACAGCAACAGCAACAGCAACAGCAACAGCAACAGCAACAGCAACAGCAACAGCAACAGCAACA